GGGGGGGGCCAAGTTGAGCAAGACAGACTGCAATCCTTCCGGGCGGATCGGGGATTACCACACGGAGCGGGCGACGGAGTCGTCCGGGCTTGGGCTATTGAATGCGCAATCCACGATTAATAAGGTGTCTAGAATCTAGACGGCGCGCAGAAATGTCGGTATCGCGGGATTGAGTCCGTACTAAGCAGGACCGGCAGCGACACGTGGAAGAGCTTGGTGAGTCGAGGTGTGGATGACTCGATGTCTGCCACGGCCGGGCCGGAGGGCGAGGGCGTTGGACGGCAAAAAGTGGGCGAGGGAAGAGTCGACAGGTGGGAGAGTTGTCGCGGTCGGTGGTGCCAGCTGGTGTAAATGCAGTTGCAGTTTCCGTCGCACCCAAAGTGATTTGGCGATATATGGGGCAGGTGCAGGCAAGCTCAGGTTGTGCATGAGGTGTAGGCAGGTGCAGATGCAGTTGGTGCAAGTGCAGGAGCTGGAGGCTGGAGCTGGTCAGGTGTGTGCTTCGTGCCTTTCCTTCTCAAGTCGGCGGCAGAGGGGGGCAAAATGCGTGCGGCGACCGGGCGGGATTTGTAAGGAGAGGGCGACACGGTCAACAGTTTGAGTACGAAGTAGACATGGAAGGGCGGGGGAAGGCAACCTGCGGATCGTTCGATCGTGACAGGGCTAGGACGGCACGCAGCAAAAAGCCAGGCAGGTACAGCAGTGCTGCGTGGGATGCTTTTTTTTCTTTTCCCCCCTCCTCGCCTCGTTCGCACTTTGCCTTTCCCACCAATTCCCTCTCTCTCGGGAGTTGAGATGGAGAAGGTGCATCCACGGTGAGTGTGTTCCGGGGTGAAGGGCAAGTGGAGACGATAGTGGAGAGGATTCCTTGACGACGACAGAGTTTGCCAATCGCATTGGGGAGCGGGACCTTAGCTCGCAAACGATTCGCTCGAGGGTGTGAGTACGTACCGAATTCCTGGCCCTATGAGAAAAACATGCGCACAGTATTATGGCTGGCTGGGCCGGTCTTTGAACAGGGATGCAGCGCTGTAAACTTCGCAAGATCGCACTGTACCCAAGGCACACCCTGGTCCTTCTCCCCCGTTCCTGACTTGGCCTGACACGACCCCAACCGTCGCTCGCCTGGCATACGTAAGGTACCTTTAGTAGGTAGTCGTGGCACCCACCATCCACGAATGGAAAGCACCTCACCTCGTGCATGGACCCTGCCCGCCGTTCGTTCTTGCTGCGGTCGCCGTCTGCTCGCCGTCTGCTTGCCGTTGGCGCCGCGTCCCTAACCCGAAGGCAGAGCCCGAGCATGACTTTTTGACGTCAATTACTCGGCTTCTCTCCGCAACCTTCTCAATGTCCCTCCCCATCAAATGTCCGGATGGCCACGCCTCCCTGTTCTAGAAACTCAAGAGGCAGCTCCAAACGGATGCCGGCACGACTAGCAGCAGCATCAATCCAGCGATGCCAGCGATGCCAGCAGCTCCAGGCCTCTTCGGTCCAGCAACAGCAACATGGAGCTTGGGCAATACGTCTCGACTTCACGACTCATTATCTGCTCCACCTCACCTACCCGAGCAAGAAAGACTTGATTGGTAGCTCTCTATTGGCGTCTAAGCTTCGCGTTTGACATCACCCCTCCATCTCACTCTACGTCCACTCGTACCGAAACTTTTCTCGCCCAAAAATGTGTGTTCTTATCAGGATGCCATCTTATCTCAGAGTGTCCGATGGACCGACCATCAAAAAAGCTTCAGCCTACCGATGCTCAATGAGCCGTTCCTAGTTCCTTCCCAGCGAGCTCTGTAACGAGGGGAGAGCAAATTTGCTTACACAAGGCTGGATGGCACGCCTCTGTATCAAACATCGTCGGACCAACATGCTCGCTTGGACGTCTGGCAGAGCATCTCGAACCTTGACGCGACCAACCAAAACCTCCATCCCGATGCCCTGCAGTCTGCCAACCTACAGCCAAGCTCCGAGTCAGGTCCCATAAAATCGCGAGGGCGCTCCATCCTGGTCACTCCGCCCCGCACCCCGCCTGCCGTTCACACCCCCATGCGGCACCCGCAAACATGCTCAAGACGCACGGGACCTCCCACCTGTCGTCGCCTCAACTGGTGAATACGACGTTGTCAGCGGGCTTGGTGTTGACGGTCAACGAACTAGACGACTTGTCAGCTTTGGATCGGCGGGTTCCCAGGTTCAACTGGCTTGTCACTTATCACTGTCGTAAATGGGACCACTCACAAGATGTCGGGTCGGGAGTAACTGCCGATGGGGTCAAAGTCCAGCTGCAAGTCGCCGTTAGTTTGGAATCTATCTCATGACTAGCGGAGGATCTCAACCCGTGTCAGGGAACTCGCCTTGGACTCCGTCAGGTCGGCCATTCGGAGGTCGGCATAGACGATCTCTTCCTTGTCCCACACCGGCTCGGCAAGGAAAATTCCCAGCGGCCCGACGATGCATGTGCCACCGTGGTTGAGAATGTCATCCGCTTCCCATTGTGCTCCGTCAGGTCGCCGGTCGGGATGCTCAGCCGTAAAAGGCGGATAGTCGGGTGGAAAGTCCGATACCTTGCAGAACGAGTTGACAGACACTACAAAGCAACGCCCTTCCTTCGCAATATGCTGCATCGATGCTGTCCAGGTGGGCAGATCATCCGCGTGGGGCGCCACGTAAATCCTATCAGATGTGGGTTTTCAACGTCAGCAATTACTTCTCTTCTCAATGCCAACTGGAGTCTACTTACTCGATGCCTTGTTGGTACATTGCCATGCGAGCTGCCGGCATATAATTCTCCCAACTGTGTCGACGTCAGTGTGTTTATTCCACCATTACCCGCGGACAGGAGCAGCCAACCAGATCAGGCTTCCGACTCTGCCAACGTCCGTTGACTTGACCAGCAGGCCATCTCCGGCGCCTCTACCCCATACAAGTCGTTCTGCGGCCGTCGGAATCAGCTTGCATTTGTCAGTCCCGAATTTTCTTCAATGATGCGGCGGTGTCACCTTGCGACGCTTGTACACCAGCTTTCCCTCACCGTCGAGAAGCAGCGCGGTGCAATACAGCGTGCCGCCCGCCTTTTCGATAATTCCTATGTGGAGGAGGACGTTGTTTGCCTTTGCCGTCTCAGACAATCTGTCGAAAGCAGGAGAGGGAATCTCGACGGCCGAATCGCTGTACTTGGCATACCACTGGCGCCCTGAGCTTGAGAGATTAGCGGCGCCCTCTTTCCATCTCGGCAGTGTCCTGGGGCCTACCTCGCGGCTCTCGCGCGCCAATTGTCGTATCAAACGCGTATCTCCATGGATAAGCAGACAGGAACCCTTCACTTCATGCTTTTAGCGGCGACAACTTTCCGAAACCAAAAGCATTGTGTACTCACGGGAACACAACAAGATCTGCGCCAGCTTGGGCAGCTTTCTCCGTCAGCTTACTCAGCTTCTGCAGGCTCTTTTCCAGGTCAAAGGAAACAGGTGCGGCTTGGACAGCCGCAACCTTGACGATAGAACGAGTCGAGCCCATTTTGATTATATACAAATTGACAACTTTGGCAGCTCCCAGGTTTGACGGCTATAGTGCCAGCTGTCGTGGCTTTTTAACGACCTCTCTGCGTGGCCCATTATGACTCACGGTACGAAAAGGCGTCGTTGTCACTGGATGGTCTCACTATCTGTTGAGATGGACCATGTGGAAGTGTGCATCCGGGATACTCCGGGAAAGAGGCCCTGCGATGGCGCGGAATCTGGATCGTCGGGATTGTGACTCAAATCCCGGAACATCTTCAAACGCCGGTCGATAAAGTTTGAGATGGCAATCCGCCAACGACCCCTTCATCCGTAGATGAAAGTGGCATGCGAAACACTGAAGCAGTCAGCCTTTGGTATGAAGCGACCAAGATGCGAAACTGCGCTATGGAGGAGGTTGGCCGTGGGCTACTTGAGGCGTCCTTGCCCCCTGGTGGCCGACGGCATTTGCTTACCATGAGAAGCAGCTATTGCTTGGTCTTTAAGCCATAAAGAACAAGAGAAAATCTTTATTCAATCTTGCAACATACCGAATATCTAGAGGCAAGTTTGTCTGATCAACTTTGAAGAAGAGGCCTCTGCCAGCCGCCAACCACATATATCCACTCAAATAACATCGACTCTTCGCCGTTTGCAATACTATCGCCACCGGCGACCGCACTATCACCACGACTTGGACTTCCAACTCACTTGGTATTCTATCCAGATTTTTGAAAGCTCGTAAAATGGCTCTATGTTAGTTGTCACCGAATCTAAACACGGAAATGATGTTCTCTGATCAAATACAATCACCAGTGCTCGATTCCCATCCGAATCCCGACAACTTCTACGCCCGACTCATCCGAGGCCAGAGATTCGCTGTTATTCTATGTTTCCAGGGATCAGGAGAAGAGCCCTTTGACTGTCCAATCGCATAAAAACATCCGTAGCGGCCGTCGTTGGAGGCTCTATGGGTGTATAGCAAACCTGGAATGGCCTCTCTTTCCACCAACAAGTTTTGTCCGAAACTTCGTTCCTATTGCCACGGCTGTCGATTCTTCTTCCTCGGGCATATCATGGGCTGAAACCTTACGACAGCGCATCTACTCTGACCGAAGTACGATGATGGATACTACAGGCTGACACCAAAAGGCTAGCCTGCGGTGGTGCCTACTGCAGCTCGGATGATTGCCACATTGACTTATCGTTCTTCTACGAGCTTCGACAGTCGCTTCGGAAGAAAACCTCCACGAAATCCCACCATACCCCATGAAATACCTTTGGACCTCTCGGGGACAGATACGTCGATTTTTGGAAATATCAAAGCCTAAGAGAGACAGAAACCCAGAGCGGAAACAAGATTCGTCATTTTCGGCCAAGGAGTTCCTGCATACCAAGGAGAGAAGTTCATCAACCGGTTTGACGCCAATTGCTACTTGTACATCACCAAATTATGGACAGTCACGTCACCTATTGCCGGACGCATTCATCCGAGGACGGCTACTTGGCAGAATTCTTGTCGAAAGCACCACGGAAAGCTTGACGGGCGTGGTTGAGGATTGGCAGAGCCGCGTAGCTCAGACTTTGTGTATGTCAAAGTCCGAAGTGAGGGGTTTCCTCCCGATGGATGATTCGCCAGCCAAAGCCGTTGTCAGCCTTTCACAGCGGTTTTGCAATGTTGAAGAACACACTTGATGCAAACAGAGACTTTCCTCCTGCTTGCAGATGGTTTTAATGCGCTTCACTTCTACTTGCAACATCATACATCGAGAATTTATGGGAAACTGGATGACAGCTTAAACGGAGATCTTTTAGCCTGCAGAGAAGCGTGGTTGCGAGGCTTTCTCTTTGGACACAGAGTCTCGAACATCAATCGAATGTATAGCCATGCCATTACAACACAAAGTGCCGTTCAGATTACTCAGGAGACTTGCAAACCAATCGAATGCACCTTGTGACAAGAAATTATCAACTTTACCACAATATGTTCCAGGAACATCATTCTTCAGTCCCATCTCCAAAACGTGCGTCGTCCATCATGCCGAGTTAAGATGATGGGAACGGGCGGCCAATGCTTCAATACAGTGTGAGTTGAAAAGCACACAACCCGTCACTGGCCGGCGCCGGTGCTATAACGTCCAGCTGCAGCCGGACCCAGCATTGTCACTTTGAATGTGTCCGAGCTGGTAGAACCCCCCTTGTTCAGCGGACCTGCAGTGTTCTCTGTATGCAACGGGAGGAGCCGACGGAGAATGCTTGTCAGCTAGGCCCATCCGAGCAACTTATTGGCTGGCCGGAGGGGGTTTGATGTGCGACATGCCCGAGGATCAATCACCGCTGATGTCACTTACACAACCACAGACATGGCGGCGGCCGAAGATGTCATCCCACATTTGGCCTGGACTTCGCGCCGGAAGAACCCCTTTATACTTTGAGCTCACGCCAAAGCTAGGAACACAGCTCCAGAACTCATGGAACGAAGCCTTTTTGCGCAGTCGCCGAACGGATGAATCCCGTTATTAGTCTGGCTTCGTGGCTTCAAACCCCGAACCGGGATTTGGCCCACGATCATGCAGCACTCACCGATGGACAAACTCCACCCATCCCGAACAGCATCGCCAATGGCAGCGGCTCTCTAGGAAATATGCCTTGGAGGTGTGGAAATGCGTAATTATCCATTCCGCAATGGACGATGGCCGAAAGAGTGCGTCCGTCGCCGACCTCGAGTTCCCCTCTATCGTACTCTAGCATGTCGAGTCCCACTGCTCGCTCGCCGTCGTGCTTTGCAGTCCATCTTACGAGAAGGGGGAAAAAAAAGGCGACTGAGTTCCCGCGCTTGGAAAACGCGACGACATATGGAGTCTAACAAGGCTAAGTCACTTGAGCCCATTTCAATTTGAATCGAACAAGGTCCACAGCTTTAACGCTCGACTGACTGTGTCCGCTGTTCCACGCGCCTGACAGCTTTGCCATCCTCCAGTCCGTCTAGTCCCACCGCCAACCATGGAGACCTCCAGAGAAAACAGGCCATGGCTGGTGCAGAAGTACGGTGGTACTAGCCTAGGAAAACTTCTCGAGTCGATCTGCAGCAAAATCGTCCCATCCTACCTGCGAGACTACAACTTGGTCGTCGTCTGCTCGGCCCTCTCCGGTTCCACCAAGTCGAGCGGCACCACAAGCCTGCTGCTCGAATGCGTATCCCACGCCGAGGCCGGACTCTCTGCGCAGACGCTACTCAACACGAACATTGACACCATTCGAGATGGCCACGTCCGGCTTCTCGAGAAGCACCTCGTCAACACCAACGGCACGAGGAGCGACTTGTGTAACGACATCTTTGACACCACAAAGACCCTCATCGTCAAGGAGTGCGAGAGCCTTCGAGGCTTCTTGCTGGCCGCGCAGATCATCGGGGAGCTGTCGCCGAGGGCACGGGACCGCGTCATCGCTCTCGGAGAGAAGCTCGCCTGTAGAGTTGTAGCGGCGTTTCTGTGCACCAGAAATGTCCCGGCCGAGCCCGTCATCTTGGAAGACATAGTCGAAGCGGTGTTTGGCGCCAGTGTTTTTGACCAGAAGACGGCACTTGACAACCTTGGTCCCAGGTTCTACCACCTCATTGCCGATGAGATCTCCAACAGGATACGGGACTGCGGCGACCATATTCCCGTTGTTACCGGTTTCTTCGGCATCATGCCAGACTCGCTGCTCAAGAACGTCGGCCGGGGATACTCAGATCTTTGTGCGGCCATGTGCGCGATGGCAACCAAAGCGGCGGAACTTCAGATTTGGAAAGAGGTTGACGGAATCTTCACGGCGGACCCGAGAAAGGTCCCGTCGGCAAGGCTGTTGTCTACAGTCACGGCAGAAGAAGCTACAGAATTGACATACTACGGGAGCGAAGTAATCCACCCCCTGACGATGGATCAGATACGCTGCGCCAATATTCCCCTGCGACTGAAAAACGTCTTCAACCCGACGGCCTCTGGCACAATCATCTACCCCTCTCGAACACCCTCGCCGCCCCTGACTCCTCCGACCCCAACGGACGAAAAGGTTGACAAGAAGATCCTGCTCCCTTCCATCGACTTCATGTTGGGAAATGGGTATCACGGTGCAAGGCAGGAGAGACGGCGGCCCACGGCCGTCACTGTCAAAGATGACATCCTCCTGGTCAATGTGGTGTGCAATAGGAATACCAAATCTCAAGGATTCTTATCTGGTGTCTTTGACCGTCTCGAGGATGCGGGGATCAAGACGGACCTTGTCACTACCAGCGAGCGCAGCGTCAGCCTTGCGTTCCAGCATTCGGAAGAGGGTTATTGTCAACACCAAAGGTTGAGGGTCGAGCTGGAGAAGTTTGGAAAGGTAAAGCCTCCGATGTCTTTCATAGCTCCCCGCGCAACCATCTCCCCCTCCCAAGATATCAGGACTGACCAGCGATCCCATAATCAAAGGTAATTGTCACAAAAAACATGTCAATCGTTACGGTTGTAGGACACAAGATGAGGAACATGGTCGGCATATCAGCAGAAATCATGACTGCCCTAGCATCGGCCAAGATCAACATCTTCATGGTGAGCCAGGGCTCCAGCGAGATAAATATTTCGTACGTTGTGTAATTCCCCCCCGAAAATCATCCTCAAACCTCATCCCCCTTTTCCCTCTTCAATTCGCATCTTGGGGGCCCATTGCCCAATACTAACTGATGGAAATCAGGCTCGTCGTTCGCGCCGAGGACGCCGTTCTCGCCATGAACGTGATCCACAGCAAAGTCCTCCAGATCCCGACGCACTGGGAGCAGGAGACGAACTTCATCAAAGGTGCGGAGACCCAGCAGAACCCCCTTGGAGTTCGCAACGTCGTTGCCGGGTCTTGGTACCGACCATCGCCGCTTACAACCCCCTCTTTCAGGTCCATGGCTGTACTGACGAGGGAACGTGCGGCGTCGGCGGCGGCGGGAGGGCATAAGCGGAGATCTGGGAGGCACGCAGCTGCTGCGGCGACGATGGATGGCTTCGTGGTTGGGTCTGCTGAGGCGGCGGCGTATCGGTATATTGTGAAGAGATGGCTGAAGCGGAAGAGGCAAGTTTGATCTGGGAGTCGGGCTTGAGGCTGTACTTTGACATTGGGTTTGGTCCGATTCTTTGATGTCCTCTTTTCCTTTGGGGGGGTAGTATCGGCTGGAGTTGCATGGCGAAGACGGGGCATGATTTTCTTTTTTTAAATCGAGATATCACCAGATACCATGTTTAATCGAGCATTTCTTTCTACCTCAATATCTATATTTCTGATCATCTAGACTGGAGGAAAAGACTGCGTATAGTGTCACCGGTGGCAAAAGAAAATGTGCAAGTCTCTGTTGCCAGTATCAATTTCCACGATGGCGCAATAACTTTCTCGGATTGTGAAACATGCAGACACGTCTATGCGTGCTAGCTCGATTAAACTAACAAAGGTCCAATTTCATCTACAACCTTCACTCCTGGGCCCATATTATGGAACGTGCCGTTCAAGGGTACGTCAATCAATAATGGCCGACGGAACGAATCACGCGCATTTCTGGATCAAACGGTCTACCAGATACTGCGTTTGGCTTGGAAGCAAATGATGAAATGTTTTAGAGAGAAGCAGATGGTGGAAGCGGCGAGTCGGTCTTGGTAGCGTAGATGACTGAGCCTATCGCAGTTCTCATGGCGTTGGTCGTGATGGATGCCTTGTGTTCTGGAACGAAAGACCATTTTTCACCCCGCTATTCATCTCTTTGGATTGAAGTGGCCGGGATGAGCTGGAAGACCGACGGGACTTTATTTCGCTGTTGAAGGGGGGATATTTCATCGCTTCTCTGGTTATGAAGGAAGCGGGAACGTGATATCAGAGGGAGGGCAGGGATGTTGTCAGTTGAGGTCGGGAGATGAATGGCTATACTTATATAATGTCAAACTCTTTCTGTTGTTGTCTGGAGCCTCTCCGTTCCATGCTGTCCGACCAGACGACTTCCGACCAGACGACTCACATTTAATTATGATTCAGTAAATGGCAGTGCTTGTGTCTTGCTTTCTACCTGCTCCGGTCCTGATTAATGTTGCCGACCACACAGCCGATGCCTCTGCTGGTTACCTTAGGCTTAATGTTAAGCTCTAGATCTTATTGAAGGATGTAAAGTTTGGACTTGCAGTCATGCCAGCTTCGATGGTTGGACTGGGTCGCTGCCACCATTTGCCACTAGCATCATATGCTTTCATGTTCTGACAAGCTGCATCGGGAACCAGGTCTCATAGGGTGAGTTGCGTACCCGTTATCCTCTGCTGCTCGGCCTTGTCACACCGTCATAGTTCCATGGCCGTGAGGCTTTCAATTGCTAGTGATTCAAGTATACGGCAGTATCAACCGACATTCACAAAACCTTTCAATGAATCCTAAAAGCTGTAACTACGTAATCTCTTGGTCCGGCTTCTGTTTCTCATGTCGCAAGCATATGCCTTTCCGCATTTACGATTCAGTAACGGCTGACTATGACAATTGCACCAAGTCCATAGACGTCATATTATATCTAGGAGTCCCGGGGAACCTTGGTTTTTTTTTACTGAAAACGACTAGAGGTTTCAAGGGCAATGAAACGAAGACATTCTGAACAAGGCAATTCAAAGTCCTGAGAAAAGAGAAATCGGGAATATTGATGTACATCCACGTGGCAGCAATTGCACTTCGTATCCCAATGCTGAACAAGACAGTCCGGCTTTTCATACCTAGGGCCCTAGGCTCATTCTTCTATCTTGATCATCAGCAAGTTGGCTACTATGGCCCCAATTCTATAGCAAGATGTTCGAGTCGCGGTAATCAGGCTTCAAGACGGTCTCATTGGGCCGTTGGGCGCGCTTGTGAAAAAGCCGCTGAAGATAACTGTGAAGCTATGAAGTAAGGTTATCAATACAGTCGATTGTTTTAATACAGGAAAGTTTTCAATATATGCACATATTTTATCGCGGCATGGGAGCTTCGGCCCTTGTCGGGAGATCAATAGTAGCTTTTTTACTATTGAACCTTCACCCATGTGGAGCCCAAGAATACTTCTTCAAAAGTTACCAAGTTCTTTTCGACCAAAAGGTCTTGAGAGAGGCTGTAAAGCCGAAGTTGCGCAGAAATCCGCTTCAGCTGTGCTACTATACAAAACGTGTTCGTCTCATAATTCCGTACCTGGCGATGAAAAGGTAGCCAGGTCACGTCAGCATTATGGAGTAGTTCAGTAAACTTGGAGAACGAAATCCAATTACTAAGCGGACAGCGCCCCCTTGCCAGGTGCGAGAACGCGCACAACCCGTCTCAAATCTAGTGCCACTGCCTCTGTCGAAGACTCCACTGGCGATCCCGCCGACATTGTTTAATCCGGGGGACGACAGTTGCGGGCTGCAGACATGTGAATCTGGCGTCTCGCGGAAATGGAATCAGTAGCTCGATCTCTAAGCTAGTCTAGCAGCTCTTTTGCCCGTTCTAGAACGTTTTTGGCATGCGCATCGCCAGAAAGGTGATCTCGTCACCTGGTGGAGTGTCTCAGAGCCGCCTTGGGCCGTGTAGAGTTTACTAGTAATAATTGATGGCGGATATTGGGCACATGAATACATAATGTGGGTTCCCTCCCGCCGGCTCGGCTTATGAGAGAATAAAGTTTGTCCCTGCGTAGTGCTCATGCGGCGACGTTTAATCAATCGGCCAATTCTTCGGTTTCTTCCGGAGAGAGCAATTCGCTTGCTCGACGGAGCCATGTCCGACGACTTCGTGGTGCAGAGAAATCCACGTATCAGGGCTTTGAGCCAAGTTTACGGTTCATTAGCCGCGGAGTTGCATAGGGAAGAGTGCATACTGAGTCTTGCAATTGCCCGCCGAGAGACATAACATGTTCCATCTTCCAAGGTTTCCTCAACCCACCCTGGACCGCAGCAATGTGCAGAACCTCAGACTCCATTCACAAGTCATCATAAGATTGCGCAAGCATTGACCCATGGCAGAAGCGATGATGCTATCCGTATTTAGCCAACGAATCCAGTCTCGGAGACTTTGTTATAATATCGTATCCCCTTAATATCAGGGGCATCGACATATTGCGGCTTTGCAATTGCCCCAAGGTGCCCCCAAGGGGATGCGAGGGACTCGGAGTTCGGTTGATGCCGGGAGGTCCGGAGTTTTCAGCGTTTTCAGCAAGGCTCTCGTAGAACCAGACAATCAAACACGAGTCGCACCAGCATCTCCTCTGTATACCGTGGTAAATCTTTCTCCAGTTTCCTCCCCAGGCTGGCCGACTTGGGCTCCGTGCACGTAGCCCCGAATGGGGCTGTGGTTCCGAAACTGAATCAGCAAAAACTCTATTTGGATTCTGACAGGGTGCAACCTTGTCTCTGTCGTCAGGAGACGGGCTAAACCAATGGCCAAGTTACCAAAAGGTACCCGACGGCTCGGATCAGACTGACGAGGCGCGCTGAGTTACAGGTGCCAAGGGGGCATGACACTGAATTCTAAGTGAACCCCATTCAATCCCAGACAGCACTCAAAAGTTTCTGGAGAGTAGGGGCAGCCTGCCCACTGCGGGATGTCGAAACCAAAGCCAAATCTCTGAATCGCTTGCCGAGCACAGATCAGATCAGACGATGCTGGCTATTGTGGACATGTGTATCTCTGTACAAATAGTCAACTGTGCCCGCCGTCTGATATTTGAATCCTGTAGTTCGGATCCCAAGCTTCTGTAGATCATCTTTCCCGTTCCTTTCACATTCTTTTCCTGTTCGTCTCATCTGACGCTATTTTCCAAAAATCACCACACTCTTTTTCAAAACAAATCCGCTCGTAGCCGGTCTAGGAACAATGTTCGCTTCTACCCTCTTTCTCTCACTCGTCGCCGCCGCCCTGGCCGCTTGCGACAACGCCGACAAGAACCACGCCGGCGCCGTGTCCCCCCATGCCAAGGCCCAGTGCCCCCTCCAGTTCGATGGCCGCATCCCAAAGACCTTTAAGGTCGCCGACTTTGACACCTCGGCCAGCCCCTTCAGCTCCTCCAACGTGCTTGGAAAGGGCCTGAAGTTCAGCGAGATTATCCAGCTCCCCGGTGGCACCTCTCTGGTAAGTCGAATCGAGTAAAAATGGTCGGGGCACTCTGGGTGCCGGACTGCATTGCAACGAGTAAAAAAGGCTAACATGACTTTCCCCAGTTCGACGTCAACTCCACCCAACCCTTCGAGGTCACCATTAGCGACAAGTCCATCTTTGCCCCCAGCGCGACCAATGTCCAGACCGGCTTCCGTCGCGCCGAGATGCTGCCCGCCAGCAATGACGGCAAGGACGCTTCGACCGACGGCATCAAGACCCTTCACTTTAGCTTGCAGAAGGATACCAAGCGTCTCCTGAACCAGTCGCACGAGTACCAGCTCGTCTTCCTCGAGAGCGCCGACTTCAGCACCAACCAGCTCGTCCTCAAGACCGGTACGATCCTCGGCCAGAACACCGCCGACCCCGACACCCTCCAACTCTTTGGCAACCTCGGCTCCAACCCCGTTCCCGAGCTGTTCAAGACCAAGTTCACATCCGACGTACACAACTTTGCCGTCAGGTTTGACTTCACCAAGAAGTACTACCCCCCCATCCCCCACTTTGGCACGCAGTCTCTAGTTCGTACCACTAACCCTGATTCAAGCACCACCGAGGTCTTCTACTCCAAGGGTAACTCTCCTCTGAAGTCGACTGGCGGCGCTGTTGCCAACAACATTAGCGGTAAAGGTCAGTTCCACTTTGGGCTCCTCAAGAAGCCCGTCAACGGTGGATCCGACATCACCAAGAGCGGCGACCAGCCCTCTGGCATCAACGAGGGCATCATCTACAGTGGCATCTTCGAGGAGGACAGCTCCAAGGGCTGCATCTCCCTCTCTCCTTAAATCAACAGACCAGGTGGAACGCCGAGTGTATGGATTGGAAGCTCTTTCTTCTTCATAATTAGTAGCGTCTTCGCAAGGCAGACTTTTGTGATGGCTTTCTGTACTTCTGAATAGAAAGGTTTTTGCAATGGAAAACTCCCACATCTTCTGTGAATGCTTCTGTGCATGGATGTTTTGGTAACGTGATTATTAACTTGGTCTGCTTTACTCCAGGAGACGGACTGAGGTGGAGAATGACGAGGACCAATGATCAGTTCCTCAAATAGGCATGCCTGGAAAGAACGTGGGAAGGTGTTGACGGCTGCAAAAAGCCTACGGGCAAAGCCGGACGGCTAGAGCTGCCATCGATTTGATTGAACTGGCAAACATGTAGACATTGAAAAGGGGCCAAGGATGCCCGCGTCGGCGACAGGAGACTTGACAGCTAACCTACCCCATCATTCTTGAGTTTCCAGTGCTTCCGATATGCTCGAATATCTTAATGTGTCACCAGGGCATGACAGGAACTAAACCTACGGATAGACATATGTCAGTGGCCACTGGTCAGTCCATGTAGGGGTGGGTGTCGAAGAATGGTAACTGGATGCGCAGGCCCCTTTTTACGTCCGAAGTCCGCATCATCCCAGTCCAAGGATGGCGTGTGCTTCATATACTGGGCTTGGCACGATGGTGCCTTCATACGCAGCAACCGCCAATGAGAGACATCAGAAACACGTACGAAACCCGTCCGCGCGTGTGGTCGGCTACGGGCTCTTTGAGTGGAGAAAGCTTCCCAGCAGAGCCAAGACCTTCATCTTCGTCAACGCGATAACGAAGAAAAGCTAGAGCTCCGGGTCCGGATAGAAAAAGTGATGGAAAGCATAAAGTTAGAGACTGTTGTATGATGGCGGCCATATCTCGTCGCATATCTAGACAAGGAAAGGTGGACTATCTGCTGCGTATGTTCGTTGAGACGTATGGCTTGTGCCCTCTTGGGCATGAGCCACCTGTCGTCCCATCAGACTAACGACATGAGGAACTCCTCTTCCGAACTGGCATGAGACGTCCAAGCTCTCTGAGTTCAGTCGAGTCAGATATCCCGCTCGAGAATCGCGACTCCAGACCCGTGCCGTCGGGCGACCTTGTCTGGTGGGGCCACGAGCAGGGCGACAATGCGGCTCGAATTATCCTTCGATAGAGTTGAGTCAAGCGCCGTCTCATATTGTTTCCGTCGGAGGTTATTATTGGGTTGAATGAAGAGAGAAGAAGGAGCTTGGGGCAGCGTTGAGCAGGTGCCGTGGACGACGATGATGTACCTAGGCTTAGTATGGCAACCATGATGGTGACTTTGAGACAATGAGGAGCAAGCGTCTGTTGAATTTCATAGTAAGACTGGCGTTTAGTCGCCATGAAAATGATGGCACTGCATCATCAGCTCTGCGATGATTGAGTTGCCAGTGATCTGACCCGTCATACTGTCTCCTTGGCCCTGATATATGCAGTGAGTTGTCCACTTGTCATCTCCGAACAAGTGTTCCTTGAGGAGAGCCGTAGCTCTGATGTCGTTTAGTGCAACGACTACGCTTCAGCATTTCACCACAACATATGCAAAAATCCTACTGCAGTATCTTGATAACTATCTCTCACTCTCTCGCTCTTTGGGTTGACTTCGAGATGGCCCATTGACGTCTGGTCAAATAGCATACTCTTTCAAGACATGTACAAATTGTGAAAAGCTGATCAACCAAATACAAAAAGTACGTGCTTGAAGCTTTCTTCATCTTCTTATTGCCAAAATTTGTTCTACATTTGGACTGGCAATCAGTTGTCAAGATTTCTCAAAATCAAGTTGCGAGAGCCGTTGCCTCTTTGCCCACCAAAGAGGCGCTAGGGAGCGGGCAACACCAACCACGCACCGTCCTATTTGCTCGGTATTTCTGTGGCGTCAGATATGCCATGAGAGTAGGGTTATTCTGCGACTGGTTAGAAAAGGTAACTGCGTCAAGGTTTGGTCTGCCCTTGTTGAAATTTTGAAATTCTTGAAGCCTGTAAGCCTGAGAGATCAACCCACAGCGGAGCCAAATGATCTCTCAACACCAAACAAAAATCAAACAAAACGTACAACACCAGGTATTCGCTGGTCGTCACAGACCCACCTATGAATCCGGCTCTCATTGGAATCATCTAGATGGACCTGGAGCGGCTTTTTTTTTATGAAGGCTTCGACAACCTAAAGTTGTGGGCACCGCTCCTAGACTCAGGACCTGAGACGTGCAGTTGTGAAGAACAGCTTACCCCTGAATGATGACCTTGGTACCACTACACTGCCAGAGTTGAAATCCTCCTGCCGCCTGCGTACCGAATGTCGGCACTTGTAATTATAAGTGGCCGCTTTGGGTGACGTGATTTCCTTCGGCCTCGGGCAATGTATGGTCGTGGCTCTCTAGTATGCCTCGTCTAGTGGGTCAGTGCCACGGCCAGCAGAGCCAGTCTATACAACCTCGAACAGTCCCCCTCCAATGCATGTTGAGGGAGATCATCCGAGTTTTTGTGAATCAAAGTGAATAGCTTCCAGGTTGTATCCAATTCCATTGATCATTAAAACCCAAGAAATGAAAAACGAAAAGACAGTGTCGCACGACGGTCACGACCCGTTGGCGCCCTACGCGTACGCCTGATCGTACCGGTACGGCATGGTGTGTGTGTCGTACTAGGCATTGTACATCAGCAGGGCGAACAACCGGGTCAGCGGCGGCGATGCCGCTGGGCCAGCACTTATTGTCGTCGAGGCCGTCATTGGCCGGTGGGCTGCCGGCGTGGCCGTACGACGCAATGGTGAACTCGGGGTGCGTGTTGACGCCAACAGCAACGTACGTGCGCAGCAGCTAGGCGTCGGCACGGCTGTTGGTTGTAACCGGTATAGTCTTCATGACCTGCTCGCCCGGAACCAGGCACGCCGGGGCCCGGTCCAGAGACGACTGGTATAGGGTGTCGGACTTCTTCGGGTTCCCCATGCCGGTGGCCGTCTCGTTGGCCACCTTGGACGCCTCGGTCGTCGCGAAGGACGAGTTGATGTTGCCCGGCGGCGCGATGGGCTCCCCGCCGCCGGCGCCCCCGAGCGTGTAACCACGGATGAGCACGCTGGTGGCCGGATCGCCCAGCAGCTGCGTGGGCGAGAACAGCAGCAGCATGGGCTGCTGGCATCGCCGTAGCAGGTTGATTGAGAAGTAGGTGACAAAAGTGTGCACATGGTCAAGGTGGGCACAAGGAAGTGGACAGTCGTGCTGGTCCGGCTCGTATGCCTTGATGTCGCCGCTGGGAGAGGGATCGCCGTTCCCCACGGGTGCGCCGGCCTGGGTGCCCTCAAGGTTGACGGCACATTGCACTAGGCTTGCACCCAGGACGAGGGAAGCCGTCATGTATCTCCTCATTGTTTACGTCGCCCACCGAGTAGGTATGCAATGAGCGGCACCCACCGCAGTTACCGCGTCAACAGAAAGAACAACAGACAGTAGGTTGGAGATATGGAATCTAAGAATGTTCAAGAGACCCGGCGACACTACGATGCTTTGTAGCTCGTTCAGGACCGTCGTCCATGGCTCCGTCTTCTCCTCTGCCTGTACCTCTACCTAGATATCATTGTCAAGCTTCCTTTTACGGGGCGTCCACACTTACAGGGCCGAGGACCTCAAGGAGCCTACCGTCAAGCCAAGACATGTACGGATACCCTGGAGCTCATGGACTTGGGCGAGTGCTCGGCTTCAGCTGCGTACCGGTTCTTTACTTCGAAGACAGTCTAGAGTCTCTACATGGACACTCATTTTGGCCCCTTCCTGGATTCCTCCTTTGCTGTATCACGGTACTTCTCCGGTCGTCTCAGTCTGCCGTTCCATTTCGCAATCCATGGCACAAGTGATTGTGTGGCGCTAACATTTCATGCAGTGAAGTATTGAAAAGATTACATTGAAAAGATTACACAGCACGGTACATGCTCAGGGCTGAACCAATCCGTTCGTCCTGCTTGCCAAGCCGCCGTATGGTGCTGGCATTGGCCATCCCTGATGACCAACATTGAAAATCTGCAGCACTCGACTCAAGTTGAACCCTTCCGAAGCCTCTGCCTTGGCAACCTGGGGAGGCATGGAGGACATCGCTCATGTACGGATACACATCAAAATCCAGATATGACCTTTCATGCACAACTTTCTTGTCATTCCCGTGGAGGTGGAGCCTCATGAGAGTTGGTGATGGGGTTTCAGAAGTGAGTGACATTGAAGGCTTTCACTCCGTTATCAGGCACTCTTCTAAGGTCAGCCGACTTCCAATGGCACATTCATGCAGTCAAGATGGAACTGGCGCAGAAAGATCATCTTGATCGGACCGGGGAAGAAAAAGGGGGATGGGTGGCCAAATCATCATCATCAAGACCGCCCCTGGCAGTTGAGTTCACAACAAGACCGCTTACCTAAGACGGGTGGCACAGCAGTTCCTTGCCCTCTTCTGTCCTGTTTGCCGTCTTTCCGCCCTCGCTTTTCATCTTTTTTCAACCAAGGTTGGCTCAACTCTCGGTCAGCAAGTACAATCTTATACAACTCTTTCCGCCAGAACCCAAAAAAGCCGCGGCGATACCGGACACGCCGCTAGGGTCCTAGACCACAACAGGAAGACGAGATGCCGACGCTTGACCAAGTCGAGTACTCGCAGGAAGCCACGGTCGCCGCTGTGACCGACTTCTACGCCTTCCTGACCAAGATGTACCTCCCCGAGTCGGCTGTCGTGCACCCGCCGCCGGGAGGGTGGCCGACATTGGCCTCTGATCCACGGGACCTGGGGAAATCGGACGAGGTGCTGAGCCTGCTTTCGCACCTGCCGTACATCCGCCAGGATCTTGATGACAGCGAGATACCGCAAGTCACCCCGGGGGGCCGTTGGATCGACTGGCGCATGTCCGGTATCTGGGTACGCGAGGGCGGCAGCGACATTGACGAGCTTCGCACAATCACCGAGGGCCCCGCCATCATGGAGCACGTGCCCGAGAGCGTCGTTGGGCTGACAATGAGCGAGCACCATGTCTTGCTGCTTGACACGGAGCTCGGCGTCGTCTACTGGCCCGAGTGTCCCGGCCGGCTCCGCGACGGGCCCCGGTGCATCGAGGACGACCCGTACGACTACTGCGACGACGAAGACGACGCCGAGTGGCGTGCCGACGGCGCGGCCTGGTCTGTCGCCGACTTCTTCAAGGTGCTCAAGGCTGAGTACCGCTCGCTGCGCTGGGTGCCGTGGAACGAGTACGAGGTCCTGGATTCGGAGAGCACGATGACCGGGAATCCTGTCCCGGCGCTCCAGGACGTGTACCGGCGCCACGGCTGGCCTACTTTGCAACAGTATCGCAAGGCGGAGTGCCTCGAGGAGACTAAGGCGGTCAGAGTTGCAATCGAGCAGGGAGGGAATGAGGAGGGGGGCGCTTAGAGTTAATGCGAGCAAGGTGTGTTGGTTTGCGTGCTTGGCATGCTTTGCAGTCTTGGTATTCTTGGCAGGAGGTGATTCACAGTAAGCGACTTTGATAGGGTCCCATTGGGGAGAATCCTGCGGGAAATTGACAAACGGCCAAGCAAGAAAATTGCTAAAGGGAGGCTACCATTACATCCATGATTATCTTCGCCGTGCATTGTTCCTGGGGGACGACGGTGGTGTTCGCGGCCTTGGCGAACTGCTCCAGAATCCTGCCCCTAGCCGGCGGCACAGCACGAGGCAAACCAAACAACCAAACCCACTTGTGTTCTGCGTGCTAATTTCTTTCGCTCTCAGGCTGGTCACCAACAGTCCCATCCACTTGTATACCTATGGCTGCGGTTGACATAGACGCGAGGCTATCAGCGCGGTGATCCAACGTCGTCACTCGCGTCTTGTTCGTTGGACTCCCCTTTCCTTGTCTTGACTCTTCGCTCTTCATCTTCACCAACTTCCTCCTCCATCGCTCGGCCATCCCATCATCGGCTTTCTTCAGCAATCCCTTCATCAAACCAGAACTCCAGTCTCGACGTAATGATGAAGCTGGCCGTCCTCGCCGTCCTGGGCGCCCCCGTGGCAGCCGTCTCGGCTTCCACCACCATCATTGTAGCCCGGCAGGCGACGACCGCGCCCTCATCTGCCTCCATGCCTTCGCTAACCATGGAGCCTTCCTTGACATTGATCTCGACGCACCGTGACCCGTGGCAGTGCGCAACGCAGAACCTGTCGCAGTCCTTTGACGTGCCCAAGCCCTCGGGCACGCTGAGCGCGGCCATAGACATGTACGTCGACGAGCTGGTGGAGCCCTGTTTCGAGACGGCCGCGGCCACCGACCTGTTCCACTGCCGTGTCACCGAGTCGTCGCAGCTGTGCGGCTTCACCACTTACGCGTCTGCGACGCCGGCCCTGATCACGGCCTTTAAGTCGTACAAGAGCGCCGCCGCCTCTTTCTGGCGCAGCAACAGAGACAGCGTGAGCTCGCTGTCGGTCGAGTGCGCGCCGGCCTGGGGCCACTTTGGCGAGCTCGACCACGCCTGGCTGAACCAGACCGTCGCCTACGCCAGCTGCGTGCTGGATGACTTGCCCCCCGTCAGCAGCAGCAGCACCATCGCCACCGGTTCTTCGTCTTCGAGATCCGGATCGACTACTACCTCCGGCACGGAGGTCACCGGGACGACAAGCAGCGCAACAAACACGGCTGGATTGGCTGGGAAGACGGATATGTGGATGCTTGCTGGCACTGGCGTCATCGTCGGGGCTGTTTCTGCCTTTGCGTGAGAGTGGACGTTTTCAATGATGGATGCGGTTGGGACCACGACATATTGTCAATTTCTCTTGCTACGTCTGTCTGTACTGGCGTTTTGCATGCATACGAACAGGAATTTCAAGAACAAAACTGAGCATATAGACGATGCTACGTCTGGTAGCAATATTAAATCGGCTGAAGCTCTGCAGCTGTTAATTCGGGCCGTGTATACGAAGTATACGCGGTGTAGTTGGAATCTTGGGACAAGAACAGCTCCATCTCAAGCCTAGCCGAGACAGAAGGATTCTGAAGGAATGACCATGGAATCATGTGAGTGACCGCAAGATGCCGGGACTACCAGGCCGGGAACTGAATCAGAAGTGAGGACCTTATCCGCGATTCCCTATTGAGGCAGTTAGAAAAGCCCGTGGCGTGAGTGTCTTCCAACTCAGGTCATCAGGCAGACTGACCGACTATGAGTACCAGGTCAGTATGCGAAGTTCTACTTTGTGCAGTCAAGCGAGTCGTGCGCCAGCGTGGCGAGTGCCAACGGCATCGCCACGCCCACGCCCACGCAGCCCAATATGGTCGGTAAGCGTGACAGCTTCTACCTCGTCGTCTCGGGCGACTCGTGCGCCGCCATCGTGAGCAAGTCTGGCATCTCGCTGTCGCAGTTCGCGGAGTAGAACCCCAGCGTGGGTAGCGTATGTGTGCATCTCCATCATCGGCCGCCCTCCCACGTCGACCAGCCCGGGGAACTGCGCGACCATTGCTCAACAATACGGCGTCGCCGTTGCCCAGTTTACTTCCTGGAACCCGGCCGTTGGCTCCTCCTATACTGGTCTGTGGGCAAACACCCATGCCTGCGTGGCTGTATTGTACTGGAATCGATGAAAAAGTTTGAACGTGGATGGTGTCTTGGTATGGGGAATCTTAATTCCATGGTTATAAGTAAATCTCAATGTTGCTCATCCGTACTGAACAAAACAATGCTTTCCAATTGCCGCTGGCTATGTCGGCAACCTTGATTTAAGCTTACAATGGCGGTGTGGGTAAGGTTAACCTCTATACCAGATAGTGTGGGCGTGACGTGCACGAGCATCTCAAAAGTAATGTTGCTGACATAATCCTCGAGCTGACGGGGGGGTTACACTGGCCTGATACCACATTATGGGAGACCGGACGGGATCCCGAATTTTACAAGCCAGCGAGAGTGACTGATATTCATCGAGGGAAAACACAGTACTTTAAAAATATTTGATCTACTATGGTTGTCAGCTCAATGGATAAGAGAGTGATGCGGAGGAGGTTGAGGTAAAATGGCCATCTGGTGGCTTATATACTATATTGCGGAATGGTGATTATATCGTCTCTCACACTTTTGTATGCGGCTACTCAAAATCAAAGTGTATTGCAAAAGGGGCCTCAATCGTGAAGTGAAACTTACGTAAATAGTCAATGAATCCTACGTTAAGTCCAGTCTATGACGAAACATTCGAATGTATTTGTTCGAGCTTGGTCACGCTTAGAGTTTTGGCCGACCAGAGCTTACAGCCTGTAATTTTTTTCACGGCACCGTCAATACTGGGCTTCATTTCCTTGTTCTGGAAAGCGAAACCGAGCTTGTGGCCCGAGTCTCCAGTTATGACGGGCGTAGTTACCTCCCGTAAGGACCGATGTGAGGTTTCAGCGTTATGGCAAGTGGGCCAATCCTGCCCGCTGTAAGTGATCCTACAACAGGCTGGAGAGTCGAGGCTGCTTGTGGCTTAAGCGAGCATGCAAAATTCCATGAGACTGTAGGTTATTCGATGTTGGATATTCATAACTTTTGGGAGAGGTTTACTGGATCCCCAGACGCATCCGATACATTTGCGCCGACATCATTGCTGTCTTACTCTCCTCATCAAAGACATGAGTGGCCCTGAGGGCAAATGTGAATTGGATGGAACCTCAGACTTTGAGGAGGAGCTAGAACGAGAAACATAGAGCTTTGAGAGCGGAGTGAACTTACGGGTAAAGGAGACATGGCTCTGCCACAACACTTACCAAAGTCAGCACTATTTAGCCTGCGACAAGCCCTGATGTTGTCATTACTGGTTTGACTTTTCTTCAGTCGATGTATCACACCGAATATATTTGGCGTTAATAGTGGCTCGTGCCCGGAAATGACCAGTTCCATCTGAGTACGTAGTACAGGTCTGAAGAGTACTCTCATAATCAGTTACGCTAATTGAGAGTACATCTCAATACGGTATATCAAGGTTACCTAAGTACTTAAGGAAAGCTACAGCTCTTTCTTGGGCATTAGAAGCATAGCATTTGCTCTTATTCCGAATGCTAAGTTTTCTACAATAGACATCTTTCGCAAGGATACGTTCGGAGTATCTTTAACTTCTTCTTTCGTCTTTAAGATGCGTGAGTGTAGCTTTTCAACTTAATTGTTCTCCCAAGTCCGCAGCGTTGGTGTCAGCACGTGGAGTAATAATAGTGGAACGAATTCTTGGACCAAACCATGGCGTGACGAACTTAGTCGTAAGGTCGGAACCATCTTTGGTAATAACCCGCCCCAATTCTTAGTAAAGCAAGCTCCACACAACTTGAGCATCTCGTTGGGGAACCTACTCGCGCCTACGTTGTTAATCACGACATGCCGATGCGCGATTGCGTAGTTTGTACATCGTTGCCTCCCGCTCGATAGCCCCGACCTACAGCACAGCGTGCGCCAATCATTGCGACATTGGATATGGCACCGCTTTATCTCAATTATTTCAACTTTATTTCCCTATCTCCAGCATTTGCGTGGCTCCAGCGATAGTTCAAGTCTTGCTTCTCATTCTTCTCTCTGGAAACGATGCGAGGAGTATAGGTCGAAATCGCGTAACAAGGGAGATTTACAGCGGAGAACTTACCACTTGAGAATTGTATTTGGACATTCGATTGCAATCAATCCCCCGAGGTCGGAGATCGGAAACATTCGTTCTTGGGGTGATGAAGCCCACCGTTACCGGCTCTGGTCCGGCATCAGTAGACCGGGATTCACCCATCACGTCATATGGGACCAGTTTCTCAGCCGCCACGAGGATCAAAGAATTCCTGAGACAACACCCAGAGCAGCATTTCAATAACACACTTCCTGCCTGAGAATATCGCACATTCATTGTCCTCCTCTCCTTTGCAACTCATATCTTTGAAAAGAGCTGGCCAGCAGCGACAATTCATCATGGCAGCAATTGAAATAGAACAAATCCCCAAAGCCACCATTGCAGGCCCACAAGAAGACTTCCAAGACCACACTACGTCGACTTCGCAGCTTTTCGAGACTTTCGTCGTCCCTGGCCACCAAAATACTGCCGACTTTGGGCTACCCTGGTCGGCAAGTTTTCCTCTTGGACTCAAGGCATCCAAGGCCCTCGGTCTCTCCGAAAGCATAGATGCCGTTAAAACATTCGTCCAATCGGAGAATTTGAGCCGCTTGATCAAGAAGCATGGAGGAGCGGTTCTGATTCGTGGCTTGCCGATCGAGACACCTCATGATTATAGCAAAGTCGCCTACGCGTTTGGCTTCCGTCCTCATGTAGAGGTTGGACGTCCGCCGCTTCGAACCGTTCTGGCTCCCAATGTCAAGACTGCAAATGAGGGGTGAGTAGAACTGGTCGGAACTTGCTTTGAAAGTGGAAGTCAGCCTGAGTGTTCAGGAACTGGACGGTTGTTTTCTCATTTCATCTTTACAAAGTCATGAGGACTGGACTGACGTAGCATGTCCAGTCCACCAGAACTGCCGATTTGGCCTCATAGTGAATATGGATGGTCCACGATTAATCCATCGTGGCTAACCTTCAGTGCACTACAAATTCCAGAGTCGGGTATGCTCTGCAGCAAAACGCACCCAGCCTGAGAAATTTTGAACTGATCCTGGGGTAGGTGGCGCAACACCCATCACATCAGCTATCTACATTGCCCACGAGCTCTCCCGCCTCAAGCCCGAGTTCCTCTCGACCCTTCTGCACAAGGGTGTAAAATACATATATCGCTACACGACTCAGACCCTCGTCTCCAACACCGGGACGAGCGTTCGTGGCGCTTACGGTCAGGAGGTCAGGGACGAAGATGACGAGGCCACGGCGCGGAGCAAGATTGAGGCTGAAGTCCGACGCCACAGCAACCGGTTCGAATGGCACGAGGACGGCAGCCTGAGCGTAACGCATATTGTTCCTGGTGAGTTGAGTAGAAAGGCCTCCCGAGGTTTCTAGGCTTGAAGCCTCGTCAGATCATGAACTGATACAACGTTAAAGCCATTCGCATCCACGATCCTACGGGGGCAACCGTATTCTTTGGCAACGTCACCTCCGCCTGGGGCCGCAGCCGACATCATGGTGCGACGCGACCTCCCTTCCGCGGCGATGACGGATCGTACCATCCTCCCCCCACATACGGCGACGGCACGCCCATTGACGTTGAGGACTTGGACCTGCTGCTGAAACTCGCGGAAGACGGTGCCGTCGATGTCGAGTGGGAACAGGGAGATCTGGTGCTTCTAGATGTGAGTACCGTCCTCTAGGCATCGAGACGCTAGCAAAATGTGGCTGACACGAGAGGCGCTTCCTTTAGAATTACGCCGTGATGCACTCCCGCAAGCCGTGGACGGGGCAGCGCCAGGTCCTGGCTGCTTTGTGGGACGAGGACGGGAGGATTCGGGATTTTCCAGAAGGCGTGGAGTTGTTGAAGAGCAGTCCGAGGGTGCCTCGGAACGGAGTCTGACGAGGTCGAAGGTCGCACGCGATGATCACCGGCCAACGAAGATCCTCTATGGTTTCATGAAAATCATTCCCCGTGCGTGAGCGATCGTAGCCGCGACGCGACTAGTCAATAATTGGCCAAGCGCACTACTCCGCTCATTTGATATGAAGTGGCAGATCTGGGGCTTGCGCTTGGACGGCACAAAAACAGTGGACGGCATCGTTATTGGTAGGAGGATTTCATCTCGAAGGAAGCTTCAGTGGAATAGGTTATGATACGATATTACTGAGCTAAGATTTGGCTCCAACAGACTAACGCGAGGCTCTCACCTCTTCATCCCCTGCTCATGATGGGCAAGTTGCTCTCTTGACCCTCTTCGCGCTATCTGAGAGCTCCGCCAATCCAAACCAGCCACAAGCGGAATCGAACATGGCGTCAAAGTTGTTATAGAACATCCTGCCAGTGTTGATAAATGGCAACTTTGGCGCTACGGGCGCACTCTCCATGACGAAACCTGATGGCTGCATCGTCGCAGGGTTGGGCTTGCCTGCACCCTGAGCAGTGACGTTGTAGGTCGCGATGGGCTTCTTTTCGTCAGGAATCGAGACCACCACGACGCTTCCCTTGGCAAGAACTTTGGGGTGCGTCTTGATGAACTTGGAGGTGACGTTCTTTGTGTGTGAGCTAACGTCATGGTTGACTGCGACGTAGGCCTGGGGGATGCCGGTATCGAAGAGGGCCTGGCCGTGGTCGTAGGGTGAGTTGTTGATGCTGATGGTCATGTTCACCATGTTCCAATCGATAGAAGACTTGGATCCGGCTCGGACGTCGAGTTTCGTCTTGCAGAAGCCCTCCGTATTTTCGCTCGTGAGACCGACCTCGACGCCATCCTTGCCCAGAATGTAGCCCTGGTGGATACCCTCTACAGCTCGACCCCCGATGGAGGCGATGTTGATCAAGGGCACCTTGTCGGGCAGGGCGTCGGGCTGCTCGGTGCTCCATCGCCCGAAGCCGACGCCAATGTAGTGGATATCCTTGGGGAACATTGTGATGTTCGACTTTTGCGCTTCCGTGCAGGAGCCCTGGGTCTTCCAGGCGCGGCAGATGCTGGCCTCGGTGACGACCATGACGGGCACGGATGCGACGACGTCTTCTCCGGTTCCGCGCTCATCAGTCTTGGCGGGGAAAGTGAGGTTCGCATCGATCCAGTAGCCTTGCCAGAGTCTGCCGCTAGAGGAGAGGTACTCGTTACCCGGGTGGGATTTGTCGAATGGCGTTTTGTCGTCGAAACCGAGGAGGCCGGCGCCGATCATGACGCCGGTGGACCCGGTGTCCATACCGGCGGCGGCGACAGATACTGGCTTTCCTTTGTCGACATTGTATTTTGTCAAGACTGAGAATGCGAGTGAGGGCGTGCTATCGATGAGTGGGAACTTATTGACGAAGGGAATGAAGGCGGTGTTCTTTTCGGTGGCCTTCGGATATGTCGGAGATCCTGACTTCGGGCAAGATACCGCTGCGGCAAACTCCAAGAGAGCCGAGATAGCCAGAGAGGTCGAGAAATACATTTCGGATGACTTGATTGATCGTTTGAGTGTGATGGTGAGCCGATAGAATGCCGGCAGATGTCACGAGGGTCTGGCTGGCATTTAATAATTTCGAATGCTGAACCTTGAAATCTCATCTAGAACAATCCCTTCAGCTCAAGACCGCAGCTGAGGCTCAGCTGAATGTCTAGAATGGTCGTGGCGCCAAGACATCCGAAAACGTGGCATTTGGTTCCATGGAGAACGGCCAGATCTAGATGGAATTCTGATAGGAAATGCGCGTTCGAGAAGCGCGGGTGGCCCACAAGCCATGTGCCGAATGCCGGAACCGGCGATAGTCGGCATGGGGATGGTCTGGACCTCCACACCTTCGCAAAATGTAATGAGACAAGGCATTTGGATTCCCAACCTAAAGCTTGCTAGTTTCCAGCGGACAGGTAACGAGGGAATTCCCTCAACATCGTCTTTTGTCTTTGGGATGAAAGCAGCTGCAATCGTATATTTTCTACCGAGCAGAATAAGGACGTCTTCGGGTGGCCTTGTAAGTTATTCGATGCTTACGAGCTGGAGCAAGTCTAGATTCATTGCGTAGCAAACGAAATTAAACTTCAGTCTAAATAGAGTGAAAAAATGGCACATTCCAGACGAAGTCCTCTCGCTCTTCGGTGGCTTGTATCTATGAGTTTCGACGCCATTGGAAGTCAATTGCAAACCCGGCAAGTCTCTTCCGGCATGAACAACAGCCCGTTGAAATTCCTGCGGTTTACTCGAATCTCTTGAGCCATGCGTCCGCCTTGTTCCATTCCTCAACAAGAATCTTCTGTCGTCCCTCACCACGAACTTTGAAGCTGACATCAAAAGCCTTCGGTCCAGTCAGAATCGCATCCTTGAACGCGGTCTGCATCGAAGTATCTGGCATTGCATCCCCCGGCACGACATCAAAACACCATAGGAGCTTTGAAATTGTCATCAACATGCTGTTCTCGGCCATTCGCTGGCCGGCACAGACTCTTCGTCCAGCTCCAAAGCTGTAGGTAGGCCTTCGTGATTGATCTATAGTTGCTTCTTCAGAGGTTCGTTCACCGCCCTTGATTCCCAGTGCATTATGCAAGAATCGCTCCGGTTTGAAACAGTCAGGATCTTCGTACTCATCTGGATCATGACTGATGGCCCAGATATTCATGAGGATTGTGGTGTTGGCGGGGATATTATAACCTCTGTAAGCGTCGTCACGAGTTGTGGCGTGAGGAATAGCTAGGGGAAATCCTGGTCGCCATCTGAGAGTCTTTGAAATGAGTTAGCGCACCAAGCATGATTGTAAATGCCCATGAATGGATCACTGACCTCGAGGAAACAAGCCTTGACGTAAGGCAAAACTTCTGCCTTGAGATGTTCAACACATACACCGTTCTCACCAAAGACTGCGTCGACCTCCGCTTGGGCTCTCTTCTGGATATCCGGATACGCAGCCATTGCCAGCACAAAAGTCTCAAAAGCACCGGCTGTGGTGTCTGAGCCTCCTTCCATTAGGAAACCGGCAATGTACTCCAACTCGATATCGCTGTACCCCTCTTTTTCGTTATCGCGCAAAAGCCCTGCCACAAAGCTATCTTCGCCCTTCCCCTGACCAATTCGCGCTTTTGCATCCTCGAACAAGTCGTGATACAGCCCATTTTGTTTGAACTTGAGGTCGGCGGCTCTTTGCTTCCAACCTCGCCAAGGCGTCATGGAATCCGGCACATATCGCAAAAATGGCAAAACATCGAACGGAGGAACGGCGCCCTGATCGAGCATGCCCGCCCACTCCGCTTGGCACTCAAAAAACTGTTTGATCTTTCCCTCATCGTTGAAGTCCCTTCCGCGGGTACCAAAGACACTAGACATGATGATGGCACCAAAGTATCTCAGAATATGCTCGTGGTACTCCGCCGGCTCGCAAAGCAACTCGTGCATCATTTGCGAAGACTCGGCATCTTGCAGCACCACCAGCTTGTCAACCTCTTCGTCCCTCAAAAAGTCTGTGATCGTCTTCCTTGCTTTCCTCCACTTGGGCCCATACGGCATGAAGACGAGATGGATGTCGCCGGGTGGGGGTACCACGTACTCCACGATGGGCACGTACGGCCGGGACGAGTAGAGGGCCCCGCGCTGGTCGAGGAGATCGCGCACAGATTGCCAGGTGTTGAGCACGACGGCCTTGCTGCCGGGTCCGAGAGACAAACCCACGAGGCCGTGCGATCCGTAGGTGCGGTTCCATTCCGCGAACTGGAGGAAGGGTTTTGTTAAAGGGATTTGGTGAAGGTTTCCGAGGAACGGAATAGTTGGAGGCCCTGGGGGAAAGTTGATGTTGGACTTGGAGCTCTGGAGGCGAGGGCGTATGAAGAGGTATGCGAGAAAAGCGCCTATAACACTGAGCGCAAGCGTGGAGATGGCCATTTTGTGAGCCGTAGATGACTCGGAGTTAGTTCACTCTTTGTCAATATCAATAATCATACACAGTTATATAAGTACCCAGGGATTTTCGAATTTCCCTGCGCATCCATCTTGACCTGTCGCATGTAGGAACAATTCCATTGGCCCATACGTGTTGGGATGAGTAACGGCATACATGTGCGTGTGACCCTCTGCTTACGCTCGTTTGGCTTGTTATCATTGCTGGAAAATTGAGTCTCAAGCAGCATGAAATGCACCGAAGACAAATTGGAGATGATCTACTATATACAACATAGCATTAAGTACTACCTATGTAGGCAAATCGGCCTATTTCCAATCCAGCAGCCCACCCAGAGGCTGTCAGAGTCTCATTGTTGCTGACATGTTATCAGCGATATGCTCCAAATGATGCAAATGGATTACTGGACATCCATGGACTATAATTCGTCCTCTTGAAACCATGTCATGAACCTCTTTATCGCCCACGGTTCTGTGATTATCAATGTGCATGATTTTGCGAGCGAGTGTCATAACGCGACACCTCGCAACAGTTCCGAGTAGCGCAACACGTTACTTAATTAGGTACATATCGAAGAAATTGGAAGGGCAGCCAGATTGGTGAATCCAAATGCCAAGAAGTGTCATGTCTCTTGACATATGCAATGACATTAGCCTCTCTCAAAGTTCCCTTGACGAAGAACTCTAATGGCCCGAGTCAGGAAGATGAAAGAAAGTAAGCATGGAATGATGTGCTCGTGAGTGGATCGCGGCTGGATTCATCGCGTAAATACGATCAAACCGTAGCCAACTTGCCGACTCATGATCACCTGTGGTCGCAAGATAATCCCTTTTGGGACTAAGATGATGGCTGCCCCATAGAAAGAGACTGTAGACGGACGTCGCGCCTTCGACACACGAAGGGTTCTAAGGACAAAATATGCTCCGCTCCCCAACCCACCGCACACCACGCCTACCGCCCTTGACAGTCTGTCAGGTCTCCTGGCAGGTCAGAGTGAATGTTGTGTCACCGCGATAAGTAACTGGGAGCGCCGCCCGACCCTCAGACGTTGTGAGGGAAGCTAAGGCCCCAGAGTGGTCACCACCAGGAGTGAGAAAACGGGATGATGTGCGGACACGGATGGGATGAACACTCCATGTCCGCATCGCATCATCTGTGCGTCCAGGGGCGCAGTCAAGAAGACATATGCATGCACATGCAAATGCAAGTTTTGAATTTTTCCTTTTTCTGACCCTGCAGCGGGATCTTGTATGTTTAAGGCTTAGCTGAGACAGAAACAAACATAAGCATATCGAGCTTCCTTCTTCAATGACGGGACGCACCACCACTCCTTGATCAAGACGCGTAGATCATGTCTCTGAATTACAAGGCACCCTCCCTCCATTCCCCCTTTCAATCCATTTCTGACTCAAGATGTATGAAGGAGGCTCAATACTCCATCAGACTTGTCAAATGAAGACCTTTTGTCCAGCCCACCAGGGATTAGTCACCACAGCCGCATGGACAATTGGCGTCGATTAGCGCCTTTCGTCCTCAGCAAACAACAAACGCCACTCTTCCGGTGTAACCGCTAGCTGTATCATAGGAGGCCGCCGTGTCTCGCAACCGGTTAGGCTAGCTCAAGGTTGCCTACCCGCCAGCCGCAGGAGAGCGCAGGAGAGAAACTGGCGGGAACGTCCTTGGGTGATGGGGCCAAGTCCGTAGCTTTGACGGTGGGAATTCTTGGAGCTGTGCCTCTTTCAGTCTAGAGGAGGCGAGTGAACGACAAGGCTCGGACCTCCTCATCACAGCTAGTGCAATCCTCATGTCCGCATTGACCTCAAACCTCTCCCTTCCCCTGCCGCCGACGGGACGAGGAGTAACTGTCTCTAATACCCTCACTCTCGCAACTGTCTGCGAGCTGAGAGGTTCTGATCCTACTTGTTGTGTTTTCCCTCCCCCTCACCTCAGTCATTCGTTCGTTCGTGATCGGGCTTCCTTCGTTTAAGGTGCTTCTTTTTCAATTATAGATTTCCTTACACAGCTGCATGACAGGCGCATTTGAGACTTCAAGCGGGCGTTTGCTGAATGTCGCTTGGAGAAACAACCACATATCAATCGCCTAATAATACACATACATACTTATACACAACAAAACAGCTGGACCTGGATAATAATGAACCATGGTTGATCAAGGGATCCACGGGAGGCGGCACCACTTCGCGGAGAAGCTTTTCAACCGCGGCCTGATAGGCGACATCCTCAACGCACCCGGCAACATTGTCAGTCAGGTATTGTCGTCGCCGGCGACGACAACCCAGGATAACGTCCAGGCAGAGGGTACACCAGCGGCAGCGGCCACAACGCAGGCTGCTGCCGCACCGGCTGCTACGACACAAGCAGCCGCTGCTCCTGTGCCCGCGACGACATCACCGGCCGCAGAACAACCCGTTGCATCGCCAGCAGCAGCAACAACAAAACAAGAGCAGCAGCAAGCTGCTACGACACCGGTAGCTCAGGCACCCGCAGCGGCAGCAACAACATCGCAACAAGAAGCTCAGGTATCACCAACAACAGTTGCGGTGGCGAACCCTCCGGCAGCTTCAACCACGTCTTCAATAGAGGCTGCTGCTGCTGCTTCGTCTACACCTCCTGCAGCTGTCACAACTGTCCCAGCAGCAGCTGAGAATGCAGCTTCATCACCGGTGCTGTCACAGGCATATACATCACAGGGAACGGCAACAGGCGTGATCAGTGCTGAGGCTGGAGAAGCATCAAGTACCAGATCTGATGTCGCCAATACCACGCAAACACCGGCGTCGAATCATGAGAATAAGCCACCATCAAACAACCAGGGACCCTTGGTTGCCACCGGGGTTGTGTGTAAGTGAATCTCTGCAGCAGCACTCCCTGACATCGTTGATACTAATCGAATATCAGTGGGTATCGTAGTATTGATGGGACTCTCACTCTTGATATTCTGGTGCTGCCGCCGGAGGAGGAGAGCGGCACACCAACGCCATGAACCCATCGCTCCCGAGAGTCCTAACAACGAGTACGGTCCTGCCTCGCCTTTCCGCGACCATATCGATCACAGCTTCTCTGAGATGACTGAAACTGAGATGACCGAAAATCATACCATTGCCAGTGAAGATGAATCCACCATCCAACACCCTGAACCTGGCTACCAGCCTTCCAGCCAGCCACCAATGTCGCCCCAAACCCAGGACACACCGAGAACAAACCCATATGCAGCCACACCTTTCTCATACGCCCAAGCACAGCAATACGTTCAATCGCTCGCAGGCACAGGAACCTTTGGGTTTCCTCCGCCGCCTCCTATCCCTGAGCCATCACCTATCCGCATCTTTAGATGGCCGACTCGCTCGTCTCGCAGCGGCAACTCCACACCCAGCGTCTTCTCCGGCTTACGTACGCCAAAGACGCCCACTCGCGCTCTTTCCCGGGCGTCTCAGAGTACCATGTCATCAATGCTGTGGCACGGCCGCAGAGACGTCGCCCGAAGGACGATATCCCGGAGTCCCGGCTCGCACAAGTCGACTCACAACGTTTCTTCCCTCAGCCCTGAGAGCACGATGCCAGAGGGCCTCCACACGCCCATCCTGGACTGGCTTCACTGGATCCGTGGTCATCAGCAGGTGGAGCCCGATCCGGAGATGAACCACCGAAAGAGCTTCGCCAGCACGACGGAGAGCTCCATTTCCGAAACAAGCGTCGCGAGCACTGCTAGCAGCGATGTCTTCTCGCCCACACTCCTTTCTTATCACCCTCCGGCCACCACGCCGAGCATCACTCCCGAGACCTTTCAATATCTCCCTCTTCCTCTGTTTAATAAGAGGCGCAGCGATGTTCAAAGTGAGGTCACGATGGAAGCGTCTGGAACTATCCGCATCCCGAGTTTTGGGTGACGGGGATGCCTGACGGCAAATACCAAAATTTAATGATATCCCATATTGGGCAATAGTCGCTCATTGCATTGCTAAGGTGTCTTGATTTAGCAATTACTCTATATTTCCAATTCAGTAACTATTGAATCTGATCAAATCCATCTTTGCTCACACTTAAATCTGTAATAGTGCTCCAACTTGAGTACCTTACCTAGGCCAAGGTTCTGTGCCCTCGATAATGACTTCTCGCTCCATCACTGTGCTCTTTCGACCAGGGTAAAAGCATGCGTAAAACACGCACCCTGACACAAACCCAACAATACCCAACGAGCCATACATCCAAACAAGGTAAGGGTCTTGCGAAACAGGCGCAAGCGCAATGCAAATGGCGGCGGCTATGCCGATAGTCAACCAAAATAGGGCGGACACAACCGAACGAAGACTAAGAGAAATGACGTTGTCAGCAATAGGAACTTATGTAGAACCCCTGAATCCAGGCCGAATAGTAAGGCCGATAGGCTTACTTCTTTGGAGCTTGGGTGAAGGCTAGCTCCAGCCCGGTGACGATGATGAACGCCTCGGAAAACGCCACGAGTAGGTAAGCGGGTGCTTGTATCCAGACATGGATACTCTTGGGCGGGGATTTATAGATGTAGTATTGCAGGACACTGGCGTAGACCATAGAGATGGAGGCGAAGAGAAAGCCGACAAAGATCCGGGTGACTGGATCAAAGTCGATGCGATATTTGCGAAACATGGGGTAAACGATCACTAGAAGTACTGATCAATATTGACACCATAAGAGTACTCGAAATGACGAAAGAAAAAACTCACTGTCCAAGAAGGGTATGAAGATGCACAAGGCGATGGGATCCAAATTTTGTAGCAAATCATTCGGGGTACCATGCAGGGCCATCTCACCCGCTTGGGAAATGAGATTATTCCAAGTTTGAATCCAACAGATGAAATAAAGAGGGAAGAAGATGAACATCTGATGGCATCATATGATCAGCTTCATTCGATGGAAGAGGACTGTTTGTCTACTGACCTTGCAACTCTTCAGACCTCTCATGACATCCATGACATATCCATCGGTATATCTGGTCTCACTTGCAATAGCATATTTGCCATCGTGTCCGGACTCTCTCAAAGCCGAAGGAGTCGCGTTTTTGAAGCCATTTTCCTCGATAGCAATACGAGTGACACGGAGAGCGTCAATTATAGCAGAGCCCTCTGGGGGAACCTTAACGTATTTCTTCTGTCCCGAAATAAAAATGCCGGTGGAAATGATGATAGCGCTGTGGGTGTTAGCGATTCCCCGAAGTCGCGGGATTTCGTTGTTCTTACATGAGTGGAATGAGATATGCCAGCCAGAATGAATGGTGCGCTTCGACGTTGACAGTGATCAATGGTGACAATGCTCCAATATTGACAACCCAATAAAACCTATGCAAGCGTTAAGATCTCGCTTTCTATGTTCCAAAAGTGCACTGCATATTGACTAACCACATGAAGAGTCTCTGCACTGTTAGTTCAGGATCGACCAGTACTTCCTCACCCGATTTCAAAGTTCTGACAACCGGGTGCGAGTTCTGGTATTGTTCCGCACACATTGGCGTCACGTTGGCCTTGATACCACCTGTGCCGAGACCAATGGTAATCATCGCTGCGATCAAACCACCGAAACCTGCGCCGCTTGTAATAGATGTAGGTGTTGCAGTTGCAACGAGAATGACGAGACCCACGATGTACACTGCGCAAGCAGCTAGAATCGCCTTGAACTTTCCAAGGTACTGGTCTGCAGTGCTGGATGTCAGAGCTCCTCGTTCAAAGGAAACATAAACTTTTGGCGAAGTCTACTAGAAGTTAAATATCAGCGTACCTGCGATGATAGCTCCAATGACCGTGGATGCATAGGCCCAAAACTTGAAGAAATTGCCCAACGCTGTGGCTACCGCCTGACCGCGGCCGAGGGCCCCAGGCAGATCGGAGGAAGGATCATATGGATTGCTATCGATGATTCAAATCAGTCAAAGATTCCAGCATCTGAATATCAGCAGTTTCCAAAGCCTGTGCAGTGCTTACTTGATGTAGTTTTGAATCGGGCCGCTAAGCCCGAAATAAGTGACTCGTTCCCCGAGCTGAGAAAGCGAGGTAAGAGTTTGGGAAAATTTTGGACTTCAGGGGTCAAGTTACGTACCTCCACAACTAGAATCAACAGGGCAACAGTTGGAAGATGATCCGGGACTCTCCTTAGACTTTCCCATTGTTCTGCAGGCAACTTGAGGGGCACATCAGACTGCACTTGTGCCTCTTCTAAGCCAGTGATGTTGTCCTTCGTGTCGGTCATCATGCACACTCAACTAAAGTAAGGTACAAAAAGAAGCTGAGTTTATGTTTGCTAGTCATCGAAAGACATGTTACAATGAAGGGGCATTTTCTGGAGTCATATACATGACCGTGACGCCAGTCCTGATTGCTAACTTCCTGACGCGATGCGGCACGACGAGTAAAGCGGGGTCCCCTGGGCAAGCATGAATAGATATGATAGATAACGTTGGGCTATTCTTATGAGCTTTGATTGGTGGTATTATTTGGCCTATCAAGATTGATAGCCTCGAAGAACGCCGCCAATGGAACGCATTACCGTCATCGAAATGGAGATTTTGGCCGTATTCTCCACCCAGATCGGCCATCTCAACACCGCCAATGGGATGTAGATTCGGCGACGAGCAGGTTGAAAGAGGAGTAGAGAAGCTCCGGTTCGGCGATAAAGGCCTGGAAGAGAATCAATGCGTCTCAGTGTCGTTGTCTTTGCTTCATCTAGGCTCGTATTTATGAGATTCGCCAACATGATTCAATGTTAACCCATCGCAGCTGATTCGAGCCAGTCTCTTGTCTACGACGAGTAAGGATGGACTACTGCGATACGAGAAACTTGCTGGGTGCTGGCTGATCTTGCACTGAGTGAATAGCAAGCTCCTTGAAGCTACACATGCCGCGTTCGTCAAGTCGGTAGTGCCGCAGGACAGAGGTACCATGTCACCGCTAAGGCCTAGTTGTTGCGGGTTGTCACCAGAAGGATACTCGGCCTCTTCCACGAAGCCTGACTGACAAGTTGTGCTCCTCTTCCATATGGTCGAAGGCATGCTTGGAACTCGCGGATTTTTGAAACATAGCCTCGAACTCAGATTGGGTAGTACTGAAGTTTAAATTTCAAACATAGTCCAACTATGAAAGCTGCCTATTTAGAGGTTCAGCTTGAAGCTCCGAGGGACTTGGCATTGTCGGCGATGATGTAACCATTTTGAGATGACCTCGACCCGTTGACAGCATTAGCACCCTCCTCAGATGTGGAAAACTTCCTCGGCGCCACAGCCTCGAAGAAGCCGCATTGTCGGTTGTGTAATACACAGAAGCGGCATGGTGGCGCTTGATTGGTCCGACATGCAGTCTTTCGGGAGCGGCAGAAGCCACAGGTGCGCTGTCGCCTATTCATGTATCTTTGCTGTCGGCCAGACATCGGGGTGAAAGCGCGCTCAACGCGTTGTGGCTTTTGAATAGCGATCACGTCTTTGATGATGCCGCCTAGGGGTGAGCTTCCAAGTCGCCTACGCGGTCAGAAGTAGCAGAGCCGCATCAACATTATGGCTGTTATGGGAACAGAATTAGAGTATGAAGAGTAAGTATGACAGGAAGAAGATTTTTAAAGACTAACATCAAGGATGCTTGTGGATCATACCTAAGCCAAAGGCTTTTGATCACATCTAGCACCAGCTGGCAGCTTGTTGAGGCCGGAACCATTGAAAGCCATTTACGTAGATATTGGGTAAATGGCCGACATGAATCTTAATTACTTAGTAGTAGTGCTCATATCTGACTTGAATACGGACTACAAAGTGACCCAATTGTACCTCCATTAACGTGTTTTCAAATACACCAGTGAATCTCTTCAAAGGGGGAACTTCAGACTAAGAGCGCTGGGTCGCAATTCCAACTCTTGGACCCAGGAAGGCTAAGCACACTGATAGTAGTACGGTGCTGAAACGCCCTGACAAGTCGAACCAGACTGCAAGTAGCAAGTGTCAGTCTTGTACATGCAGAAACGGGATGCGGATGTAACAAGCTGGGTGACTTACCGCACAGGTAGTACAACCTGTCCAACCCTGACCACCACATTGTGCGTACTTCTGAACAGTACACGATGGCGGGCTACCGTTTCCAGGAGAAGTGCCTCCTCCACCAACAGGCGACACAGGAAGCGCCGTGCCAACAGGGCCCTTGGCAGCATCACAGGTAGACGCGCAACCACTGCATCCCGAACCCGCAGTCTTCGTGGTCCCGGTCGAAGCAACAGCAGGGCCGGGAACCGTATACCCAGACAGCTTGGCGTGGATGTTGACAGCGATGCCAGGGTCGCTGGCCTTATACGCGCCGGGGAAGATAACCGTCGCAGGCTTGTCCACCCCCGTGCCACCCGTGACCGAGATCTGGAAGCACGTCATGTATAGCTGCGCTCCGCCCGAGGGACCAGCCGCGTGAAGGGCGATGACTTCCGCGCGGAGCAGGTAATCGCCGTCGGCAATGTCTCTGCTAATGGGGATGTCCATCTTGCCACAGCAGGTGTTGAGATCCTTGGTACCCCAGTTGTCGTCGTCGCCGGAGCCGGCGCCTGGTTTGGCGGACCAGCCGTCTTGGAAGATCTTGAACCAGCCTGAGGAACCGTCGGCCGAGGCGGCGTTGTCGACTTTGCTGAGGTAGACTATAACGGGGCCATAATGCGCTCCGCCGATGGCCTCGTTCTTGCAGCTTCGATCACCATTTTGCTATTTTGAAGTCATGTCTCAGCGATCAAATGATGATGCGGTGATGATGAAGGATTAATATCGTTACCTGATGCATCTCGACGGTGACTGTTCCCCCAGCCTTGACCGGGCATTTGGCATTCACGCCGCTCGTCCCGCCGACGTTGCATCTGATTTCGTTCCCAGCAACGTTGGTGACCGGCGAGTTACTCTGGGGCAATCGTGCACACTGGGAGCCTTAAAAAGGAAGTCAGCCTTGTATCTTTCGCCTCGCAAAGGTCGAGACGTATCATATCAACACCGTCAACCCAAAGCTGTTGGAAAGTGGCATGAGCGGCAATTTCCCTCGCCGCTAATGCTGCGAGAGATACAAAAATGCTCGGCTTCATAATGGCTTGACCTAATGGAACAGCAAGTGATGCGGGCAATTTTCAGTGAAGTCTCGAATTTGGAGGGTTTGAACGACCGTAAGATCGTGAGTAGGGTGATTAGGCGATGCATGGAACCACTTCATTTATAAACTACACCTACGCAGTCCTCGGCCCCCTTGTCGTTAAGCGCGTCATGGCTTGCTAAACTCGGTGCTTCATGCGGTCTTCCAAATCCTCTCAATCGTATCCCAACTCTAATCTTTCGCCTGTAGTTCATTTGCCGAAAGACTTCTGGCAATCAGAAAATATTCTTGATATTACATCGGGCCTTCCTCTCATGAGTTTTCGTTCCGTGCATTGATTATCCTGGCTCGGCACATCTATTGACCCAAACTTCAAAATATATAGCCTCACGGAAGCAATATTGGCATAGAAAAACATTGGTCACGCCGAAAGTATTATCACACTCGTGTGGCATTGAAGCATTAACTGATAAGACTTGGCAATTCAGGACCAATATAGCCGGTCTACCGGCAGAAGTCGCCGGCCAGATACGTTCCGTTGCCGTCGCAATACGACACAGCGTGGTAGCATCGTCTTGAAGATCGACCAGTGGGCCTAATGCCTTTCAGTCCTCCATGTGGTCCTTTCAATTAGCATGATCATCGATTGGATGGGTCACTTTCGGAAGATATAAGAGGTTGAGTGAAAGATCAGCAAACAACTAGGCTAAACTAACATAGGTACTAGGTATCTGACATTACTTCGTGAACGTACGTATATGTTTCTGTAAGGTATTAAAGTGCCATCCACCATGAGAAACAAATAGTACCGGGCGTCATTATCTGTGACCTGTCAACGCGTGAGCGCGGCAGCCACAACAAACACCTGCTGTTCTACAATGCTAGGAAAGCAGCACATAGATCCAAGTAGGCCTTCATGACGGGCGTTGTAAGTAACGCAATATCTCTGGGTCCTGGCTCGGCGGACACTTCTTCCCATCAACTCCAATGGATGTCAGCAAGATCGGATCCTCCTCCGAAGTCTCTGGATGAACCTCAAGACCATACGACAACTCCACCTTGGCATAACGTGCCGCATCAATCAGTGCAGGCACATCCATCTCGTTATCTCCCGTGCCCGCCTTTGCAGCTCGAATCAACGCCTCTCTTTGTGCAGCAGGTATACTCGACACCCGCCCCGCAAGCTTTGAGCCAGGCGGCGGCGTCGAACTGCCCCATTCGTAGTTCATCGGCCGCAAAAGGGCGGCACCCGTCTGCAGGACCCAGCTCTGAGCCGCTCCCATATCCTCCACTTCTTCTTCGGCCTTCTTCCGCCACGTTGACGGGAGGACCTTGGAGAGCACGTGTACTGTGCTGAGGAAGCTTCGCTTGACAGCCTGGAAGAAGCCATAAACGTACTCATCAGGAACTTGCCGTATCAATGCGCCTAGTGGGATCACCAAGACTCCAAAGAGCATCGACCAACCCCATTGCGCACCATTGAGGGGGCGGGTGTCAAATGCTTGACCGCCCTTCCAGATGATGATCATTTGGCCAGCCAAAGTGGCGCACTGCACTCCGATGAACCAGGGGTTGCGGAGGACGCCCTGGTACCAGATGTTGAGCTTGTTATCTACACGGCGGCAGTTGTGCTGATTAAAGAATTGCATCCAGACGTAAATATTGAAGATCATCGTCTGCAGTGCCTCGCGCTCGGCAGTTGTGGTGGGGTGAAACAGTTGATCTCCTGCGTAGTGGAGGGTGAACATGACTGCCAGCTGGTAGATTGCCTGGCCCAAAATCATCTTCCACATTGTGATGTTTACGATGGGTGCCGTGCGTGGTTCGGGCCTGCGCTTGAGGAAGTCTGGTGAGGGGTAGTCGGTTGCCAGACCGAGCGAGGCGAAGATGTCCATGATGAGGTTGATGAACAAGAGTTGGACAACAGTGAAGATGGAGTCTCCTGCCAGTTCAGAGACAACAGTCAGAGTACCCGCGGTGATGTTGATTGTGAATTGGAACTAATTATTTGTTAACATCTGTTCCGCTGAGTCGAGAGCAGACAAAAATCACTTACTTGGAGGAACTTCTTTACAGCCGTGTTCACCGTGCGACCCCACACCAAAGCCTTCACAATCGAGGCAAAGTTATCATCGAGCAAAATGATAGACGCAGCTTCTTTAGCGACTTCTGTTCCTTGGATCCCCATAGCAAAGCCTACATCCGCGGCCTTGAGAGCCAAAGCATCATTGGTGCCATCGCCAGTTACCGCAACCGTCTCTCCCATCCCCTTCAAATGAGTCACGAGTAGCAACTTGTCTTGCGGGCTAGATCTCGCCAGCACCTGAAGCCGCGGAATGACCAGATCCAGCTGTGCGGGCGTCAGCTTCCGGAACGTCGGCCCATCCATGGCCAGGCCACCGGCTGAATAGATACCGCATTCTGACGCGATGGCTTTTGCCGTCAGAAAGTTATCTCCGGTGACCATGCGCACGAAGACCCCGGCCTCCTGGCACTGGCGCACGGAATCGAGGACCTCGGGGCGAAGGGGGTCGCGGATACCAAACACGCCGATAAAGGTCATGTCGCCAAAGTGCTCCTCAAACTTGATCGAGTCTGGGTCTTCCGGGTTCTCGAACGGGGCCTCGATGTCCTTGTAGGCGATGACAATCGGTCGGAGCATCTGTTTGGCGTACTCGCGGATCGTCGATCGCAGATCGTCGCGTATTTCTGTCGTGACGGGCCGAACGGCGAGTCCGGCCTTTGGGTCCTTGAGAACATTTGCGCACTGGTCGAATACGGCCTCGGCCGCACCCTTGACGAGAAGCCGGTGTTTACCATCGGGCAGCTTTGACATCACCGCCATCCACTTGCGTGACGCGTCGAAGGGGAACATGTCGACAATCTCGTTGTTGGCCCTCTCTTCGCTTAATGGTCCCATGGCAAAGAACTCGCGGCTGAACCTCAGTAAAGCAGTCTCGGTGCTAGTCCCCACGAAACCAGCATCGTTCGGGTTATCGCTCTCAAACGACGTCGTGTTCAGCGCGATGCTGTTCTTCATCAGCGCTCTCACATCGCCGCTCAAGGATTCTAGCAAGACTCTCGGGTTTTCCTGGTCTGAAGCGTCGTCGGTGCTCGGGTCCTTCTTCACATCATCATTGCCAATCTCTTTCGGCGCGTCGCCGAAGCGTTCAAAGAGGCCGATTCTACCAGTGACGACCGTCATACTGTTCTGTGTCAATGTCCCCGTCTTATCCGAGCAGATGCATGTGGCGTTACCCATGATCTCACACGAACGGATCAGACGCACGAGGTTCTTGTCTTTGAGCATCCTGGTAGTAGCAAAAGCGAGAGCAAGCGTGACTGCAAGGGCAAGACCTTCCGGCACGGTGATCACGACGACAGTGACGGCGAGAATCAGCAGCTTGAAAAACGTCTCGGCCTTTTCAGAGGGCGTTCCTTGCATTGTCGGGAGCCCGACGAGGAAACGGATAAACAGGATGAGAAAGAAGATGATTCCGGCAATGGCACCAAACGTGATGAGCTGCTTGGCCAACTTTCCCAGCTTTTGCTGCAGAGGGGTCTCTTCGACATCCTCTCGTAGTGACATTAACGTCCTGCCGTACGTCGAGTTGGTTCCTACTGATGTTACCAAGTAAGCACCGACGCCGCCAGATACCGTCGTCCCGCTGAGAATGAAAGGGTCAGTCGCCGAAGACCTGTGGGCTTTCTGGCTGTGAATATCGCTCTCGCTAGGCACGTTCTTGTGTACAAGTTCAGACTCTCCCGAAAGAGAGGATTCATCGACCTGGATGCCCGAACCCTGAACCAGTACTCCATCGACTGCAACGACATCTCCAGTCTCAATATGCATGATCTCTCCAACTTGCACATCGTACACGGAGATGTTCTGCGTCTTGCCGGACCGGATGACCTTGACATCTCGCTGCTCTTTTCTCTCGTTGAGCTTAGCGAACCGGACGTTCTTTTGCCAATCCGTAGCTGCGCTGGCGAACACGATGACCAGGATAGCTACTACCACAGTCACACCATCAACCCATTGAATATTCGGCTCGTCGTCAGACGCTTCCACTGTTTCGTAGATTCCCAGCGCCAAAGATATTGTAGCTGAGATTGTGAGGAGGAACATGAGCTTGTCGTTGAACGCGATCCATGCCAGCCTTAGAAAGGACTTTTGTTTTCGTTTTGGGAGCCTATTTTCGCCGTAGATGCGTCTCCGGTCGGTGTAGGCTTCGGCTTCATGTTGGATCAGATCCAAGTCAAGCTTCAGACCGTGCTTGTGTTGTGTGGATGGAGGTAGGTGAGTGATTTCGGCAGCCCGGTGGGCCTCCCCTGCGGCAACAGCCTCTTGAAACGAGATTGTGCCGTCGAGGCTTGTCTCGTCCACGCTCAATCCGGCGGCGAGATCGGTTCGCAAGCCAGTTGCGAGGCCAGGGAGACCACCGAAGCGTCGGAGTGCTGAAAGATTGCGCGCGGTGATGAGCTTGTGAAGTTGCGTCGGCGTGAATGCGAATCTGTTGTTTTGGATGACGGTATCGTCGCGTAGATCCAGTTCTTTCTCATGGTCTTCTAGCTGCTGGGCGAATTGCTTGCTAAAGGGATCTTTTGATGAAGACTGGCCGATATCTGGCTTGCGCGGCGCAACGGCGGTGATCTTGTCGGTCATCGTCTCGTGCCTCGCCAGAACAATGTTATTTTGACCGCGTAGATCGCGATGACAGATGTGTGGGATTAAAAAGGCAAGAATTAACGAGGAGAAAAAGAGAAAGACACAGCGCCAGTGTGTCCATCATTCCATCAAGCAGGGGGGGACATGAGTTGGTAATATGTTATGGTCATCCGGAGCCGACCTTGGGGCAACGGCGCGGATCTCAGAGCCGCGTCATTGCATCTTGGCGAAGCTCACCATTGTGCCGAGAGAAATCCAAGGCTTCTCGGCACGCTATGAGGATGTTGACTGGTCTGATAGGTGGACGAGGTCCCGGACTAGACTCGTTGCACAAGCCTTACGGCCCTGGGAGGGATGTGGATATCAACGGGCTCGGGGCCCGCCCGCCAGGATTGAATCGGATTTGTTTGCAACCGTACCGCAGACGGTGGCACGTGGTCATCGGTCAGTCCGGGTTTGTTTTTCTCTGCGATAGCATTCGGGCGAGAGAGAAGCGGAGATCCATGCTCGTGGGTGACTCTTCGGCCGTTCGCGGTGGTCACCCGGGGCACATTGACGCCGTCTTTTCGGTATCGGCGTGGCTGTGTTCTTCGGAGGATGCGAAGCAGATGTGGATATTTGTAGGGAACTTCTGGCCTCAAACTCGACTTGGCCCAGTCAAGTCGGCGGCTGTTCGGCTCATAAGTGGCTTGGCGTGCCCAGAAGGCATCTTAGCGAGAGACTTGGCTTTGCCCCATTGACATCATCCGGGGTCTGATTCTCAAATGCCAAAGTTGCACCGAGTTCTGTGGCTGTTGCTCAAGCTTAATGCCTAGTTTTATAGATTATTCCCTTGAATGCTGTTAAGAGTCCTGCGTGAGCAATCAAATTAGCAAGCAGAACAGCAGGTTTTTTGAGTCCTCATGAGACTAGTTCGCCTAGATGTCTCTACAGAGTATTTACATATTTCCACTCCCGCAATATAAACCCGCTCGTTCCTTCATGGTTGATGTTGACCGTGATGAAGGAGGACTTAAACGTTGGCTTGCTCGATACAAATATCGGTAGATCTTCCTATCACTCTTACGCAATGACCATTGTCTGACTTGAGGGAAAGAAAAGTCCCCGTTGTAAAGACGTTGTTCTCAGTTGCAGATATTTGATGCCAAGAATGTTTGCTTTGATATTCGGCGCCAATGAACAAATTGGCTGCATGTGGTGGATCCGTTGTTTAACGTTCGCATCCTGCAACGAGACTATTTGATGTCGCGGCAAAACGCAATCTCAGAATTGAAATTTGGGATTGTCGTCTCGGTTGGACACTGATCACCTCCTTCACCATTATCGATCATAGGGCGCGCTGTCCTGATTTGTAAGCATAAGAAGTCATAGAATTAATGTATCACTTGTAGTTATGTTAATATTCATGTTGAGAGCTTGAGCTTAGTAGTGACAAAGACGCGGAGATCCTGCGCATTGAATAAATGCTCGGCCAAAAATATTGTTAGGTCTTATCAGTTATTTTCATTTTCTCTCTCCCAATTCCTTGTATCATGGCAGGAAAGCTGGAAGTTTCTTCGGTTCTCGGACAATTGGCGTTGTCCGCTCGGACTTTGCGTTGCTCGCATCAGTAGCGCTCGGCCTCCTGCATGCTTCATAAAACCTCCATGAGAACATACCTTGGCTAGAATCTTGACCATCGACATCATCATTGTTTAATTTTTGATTTTATCGATCATCGATTCTTATCTTAACGTGATATATCATCAACGTCATCTCAACTCACCAGCTATGTCCAACCCAATCCGCAACGTTGCCATAATCGGCGTAAGTCCAGTCATCATGCCATCCCCTCTCATTTCATTTCAACATCTTTGACGTGGCCAAAGACTAAATTTCCCTACCTCAGGCAACTGGCCAGATGGGCTCTCAAATAGCCAAGACCTTGCTCCAACACGGCTTCGATGTCACAGCCATTCAGCGGACCGAGTCCACCAAGACCGTCCCATCGGGAGCCAAGTCCATCAAACTCGACTTGAATGACGTAAGCGCTCTCACCAAAGCCTTCCAAGGCCAGGACGCGGTCATCTCGGCTGCGCCAGACCCCATCGTCCTGGAGAACCAGAAGCCGTGGATCGACGCCGCCGTGGCCGCCGGCGTCAAGCGCATCGTCCCTTCCGAGTATAGCACGAACGTGGACTCGCCGCTCGCCGAGGGTCTGCCCATCGTCGTAGACAAGGTCCGCGCCAGACGCTACCTCGTCGAGCAGATCGCCAAGAACGACAACAGGTCGAGCTGGATGAGTGTCAACAACGGGCCCTTTTTCGATGCCGTTCTCAGCTTCGGCGGGCTGGGTCCCAACTTTCGAAGTAAGACGGCCAGGTACCACAACGGTGGGGACAACTTGATCGGGACGACCAAGATTTCGGATATTGCTGAGACGATTGCCAAGATTCTTCGTGATGAAGGGGGGCTGTATAAGGAGGCTGAAAATAAGTCTGTGTACATCCATTCGGCGTCCGTCAGTGAGAAGCAGTTGACGGAGATGGCAGAGAAGGCGACGGGTCAAAAGTTTGCCGTGCAGAACCTTGATGTCGAGGAGGTTTACCAGAACGCCAAAGTCAAGTTTGCCGAGGGGGATAGATCAGTCTGGATTGACTTCTACTACCAGATGATGTATGGGAAGGGATATGGAGGGAGCGAAAGCTTCGAAAAGATGAGCTGGAATGAAAAGGTTGGACTGAAGAAGATGAGCAACAAGGAAATCGAGGATGGAATCAAGCAGGCGGCTCAACAGGCCGGGATGATGAGTCAATAGAGATGTGATCGTATTGTAACAGTCTTCCTAATCGAACATGTATGGCTTCAATCCTAAACCCTGTGTCTGAGATGTGTAATCCGTACGCCACCGAACCAAAAAGAAATTGAAAGCAAATGCATCAAAGCTTGGAACGGCCCTTCCAAGCATGTCCCATCTCATCCCTGAACGTAGCAAGCTCATTTCTCTTGCTGTCGCCGCCGTGGCTAACCTGCACGGGCTCGTCAAACACGGTCTTGCTCTGCTTCTCCTGCCTCTTGTCCGCGTCAACGTACTCCCGCTCCCCCTCGCCAATGTACAACTGGCGCGGGCGCCAGATCTTGACGCCTCCCTTCTGGAGCATCTGCTGCCTCCAGTGGGCCAACCACCCGACGCAGCGGGGCACGGCGAAGAGGACGGGGTAGAAGTCGAGCGGGAAGCCCATGGCCTGGTAGATGAGGCCGGAGTAGAAGTCGACGTTGGGGTAGAGGTTGCGCTTCTTCATAAACTCGCTCTCGCGGGCGTACCGCGCGAGCTCCAGCGCCGTGTCAAGGAGCTGGTTGCGGCCCGTCACGGCAAAGACCTCCTCGGCCAGCTGCCGGATGGCGGTGGAGCGGGGATCGACGTTTTTGTAGACGCGGTGGCCGAAGCCGACGAGCACCCGCTCGCGCTTCTCAACCTTTTGCATAAAAGCCGGCACGTTCTCGGGGCTGCCAATTTCCATGAGCATGCGGATTGCGCTCTCGCTGGCGCCGCCGTGGCTGGGGCCGTAGAGCGCGGCGCAGCCGGCGGAGACAACGCTATAGGGGTCGACGAGACTTGAGCCGACCTGCAGGACCGTGGCGGTGGAGCAGTTGACCTCGTGGTCGGCGTGGATGATGAAGAGCGCGTCGAGAGCCCGCTCCAGGACGGGGTGAGGCTGGTACTCGTGCCCGCTCAGGTGGTCGAGCAGGTAGAGGAAGTTGCCGGTGTAGCTTAGTCCCTGGGCCGGACGGTTGAAGGGTCTGCCCTGGCGCATGCGGTACGAGGCAGCGGCCACCGTGGGAGCCTTTCCGATGATGCGGAGGATCTGCTTGTCGAGCATCTTGAGGGCCTCGACGTCGCCGGAAGCCGCGTTCGTGTACAGCTTCTGCCCCTGCAAGCTGGGGTTCGACTCGGGCGCGAAGGCACCCATCGATGAGAAGGACGCCTGCAACATGGCCATGGGATGCGTGTCATAACGGAACGACTTGAACATGCCCTCAATGTCACTGTGGATGTAGGTGTGGTGCATGATCTCATCCTGCCACTTATTGTACTGTGACGTTGTCGGCAGCTCGCCGTAGATGAGGAGGAAAGCTGACTCCAGGAAATGCGACTTGTTGACAAGCTGCTGGATAGGGTAGCCGCGGTAGCGGAGGATGCCCTCCAGGCCGTTGATGTAGGTGATGTTGCTCTGGACCACGGCGGTGTTCATGTAGGCCGGGTCATAGACTCGGAGACCCTGGTCAGTCTCGTCCTCGGCGCGGTCATTGCCGCGAGCTGCCTTGATCTTCTTGATGTCCGTAGCCAGCACGGAGTTCCTGGTGATGGGTAGCTCGTACGACTTTCCTGTGCGGTTGTCAACAATGGTCAGCGACTGGCGCGGCGCGCTGGTTGCGCCACGTGGCGCGTTTTTGGCAACGGTAACCATTTTGGAGAGACTGGAGTTTGTTGAGATTGCTGGCCGCGAGATGAGATGACAGTTGCGGAATGCAGTGGCTTTCAATGAGACGTTGTGAGCCCGGGCGGATGGATTTCAGATGCTACGGACAATGTTCCTTGTCCGGCGGGCTTCTCCTGAGCAGGTGAAAGCTGCGCTAAGACCGTCGGTTGACGTCGGGAGATCGGCACCACAGCCCGAGTGCCGAGGTTCAATTGCAACTCTCCACGAGTTCCACAGATCCCCGGATTAGTGGCTCAAGCTAGCTGCTTTTGCACATGCCAGGGGGGGGATTACCTTCTAGTGAGAAGCTTCCATCCCGGTCCAGGAACGGCCAGGTGATCAAGTTCTGTTTGTCGGACCAGCGGCTCTTGTATGCCCTTCATGAGCCCAGCCTTGTCATAAAGCACACAGCCATTTTCCAAGTTCTGAACATACAACGTTGTATAGATGCGGCATTTTCCCATGCATGTGATCGAATGCCGTGACTAGATACATGTACCTACGTCGTGGGGTCAACAGGATGCTTCAGTCAAGTCTATAACGACCTTCAAAGTAAGTGCACATCTGCACACTATACCATTCAACAGGCATTTGCGTTGACGATCTTCACCACTATGAGATTGTAGAGGTTGACCATCGCGAGAAGCCATGCGGTCTCTATACAGGTCGATGTCACTCAGTGACGAGAAGCTGATAGGCAAGACCTTTAAGGTAAAGGGAATAAGAGACTGCAGAGGAACTAGAATCATGGGACCTGAAATGATGTACCTACTTCAAAATTCGCTAAGTTAAATGACCTGTGCTCGGCGTACTGTTCGACTGATGTTAGAGCTCTCGAATTCATTTGAGCAAGGGCTGTTTCTCCTGATGTCAATTTGAAGACACTTGTCGTTCCAATTGAGTTGACCCTGATCCATGCAAAATGAGGGTCGGGACTAGCAAGAAATCTTCACCGAGTCTACACACAACGACCATAGGCTTCCCCGCAATCTAGCTCATAGCCCTTGCCAGGAGACTTAGTTGTGCAGTTTGGGATTCCAGGTTAGCCAGTCTGCCAACCGCTACCTCCACATCCCTCGGCTGATCACTTCCCTCCTCATAGAGCATCGCACAACACAACAGCTCTGCTTCCTTTTTCTACTCATCCTCCGGGACGATCTCGGGCTAATTGCTCGCGTATCCGAGCTCGCAGACGTCAATTACGAGAATCATGAGACTGAGGGGCTGAACATGCATCTCGAACACCCCGGTTTGGCCGGATCGTCCTCCGTGTGGAGGAATCTTGGCCGATAATTCTTCCGGGTAAATTGCTACAAAGCATCGCTTCAGCCAGCCTTTCCAGAGATCCCTGAATATGTGTTAAGATGTTGCGCTGATCTTCGAATCGCCACGCAATAGCCTCTGAACCCAAGCAAGGAAGATGCTTTTGACACTCCTTTGTACCGCCTTGCTACCGGTGGTCGCACTAGGGCGCATCGACAGGTGAGCTCATAGTTGATACTTGGCGATTGGCTATCCAACTGAGATGTCTCAGACAGCGGGTTGTGTCTCAATTCAATGTTGTCCGAACCAATTTGATCGACAATAACACCACTCCACTGCAAGTTGGCAATGGCAACTTCGCTTTCAATGTCGATAACACGGGCATGCAGGTAAAATCAGCCCTAAACCCATGCTTTTCAATGCTTTGTTGCTGAGACTACGACTTTTGCAGACTTTCCTGCCCTTCAATACACTCTCAAGCTGGGCCTGGCACAACGACTCGCTTCCGACAAATGGGTTTGTTGCACATCTCTAACGATCCTGCTTGTGAAGGGAAATTGACGCGACACTCTCACAGCGAGAAACTCGGTGACTACTCCGGCGTTCCCATGCTGACACACGGCCAAAATGTCTCCTACGATATTCCCGATCCGAAGCTTCCTCAAGTCTCGCAATGGCTCATTGGGAATCCTAACCGCATCAATCTCGGCCGTATCGGTCTAAAGTATAAGGGAGGAACTCTTTCTGCAGCGGCAATCACAGAACCAAGACAAGAACTGGACCTCTGGGGTGGTTTCATCACCTCAACCTTCAAAGTCGATGGCAAATCTGTCAAAGTGGTTACGCAGGGGGATTTCGCGTATGATGCCGTCACATTCCAGATTGAATCGGAGCTTGTATCCTCCGGCGACTTGAACGTCGAGCTAGACTTTCCATACCCGCCTATTCACACAACAAAGTACAAATACGAAGTCTTTGCCGGCGTTTACGACTTCCCGCTGAACCATACGACTCGCATCGTCAATAGCTGCGGACGATCTGACGTGGCGCACATCCATCACGAGTTGCAGGAGACGAGCTATTTCGTCAACCTGCGCTGGCCACACGAAGTGCCCCTTGAGCTTTCTCGGGACGAACCAGAGGGCTCTGACAAGATTAACGCTCATCGTTATACACTGTCTTCTGTCCGCGACACCAACCGGACTTCGACTTCTTTGACCTTTACTGCGCACTTTTCACCTCAGAAGCAAGACCCCAGACCCCCGGCCGACACCCAAAAGGAAAGTATCACTGAATGGCACGACTACTGGAACGAGGGTGGTTTCGTCGACCTGACTTCGTCTTCGAACCCCAACGCCACTGAGCTGCAGAGGCGTATCATCCTGTCGCAATATCATGTTCGCGTCAACAGCGCGGCTTCCGGTCAATCGCCACAGGAGAGTGGGCTGATGAACAACGGATGGTACGGTACGTGCAAATGTCTACAAATCCATAGTGGAAATATTCTGCGAAGCTGATTCGGACAGGCAAATTCCACATGGAAATGGTTATTTGGCACAACGCCCACTGGGTAACGTGGGGCCGGAAGAAGCATTTTGACAACATATTCCCAGAGATTTACGAGACACTGCTCCCATCCTCTCTCGCTAGGGCAAAAGCACAAGGGTGGGAGGGGGCTAGGCGAGTTCAATTCAAGTGCGCAACGGGTTATTATATCTAACCATAGTTGCAGGTGGCCTAAAATGACGGAGCTTGAGACAGGTGTCAGTTCCCCTGGAGGAATCAACGGCCTTTTACTATGGCAACAGGTATTTTCCAACCCTCTAACGAAGTGAAATAGCTCCGGGAAACGTCCTTTTCTAACCAGACAGCCCCATCCCATGTATCTGGCAGAACTTGCGTATCAGTCGTCACCAAATGACGAGACCTTGAAGCAATGGGACGCAGTCTTGACAGCGACTGCCGACTTCATGGCATCGTATGCCTGGAAGAATGAAAGCTCAGGACACTATGACTTGGGGCCACCGTGAGCCCGATCTCCTCTGTGGACAAAGACGTAGAAACATGTGCTAAACGTGCTCTTCAGTTCATATGGAGTAACTGAGAATACGCCACCTTCACAAACGTTGAACCTAGCTTACGAGGTAAGTCAAACTCAGCTTATCTATCCATCGAAGCTTCAATCTGACCCCGTTGTAGATCGCATACTGGAGGTACGGACTCGATCTCGCGCGCGAGTGGAAGAAGAGAATGGGCCAGGCGGTCCCCGACAAGTGGACGGAAGTGGCCGAGAACCTCGCTCCGCCTCCGCAGGTCGACGGTCTTTACGCCGTGTATGAGGGGCTGAACAGCACATGGTGGCAGGACCCGGCCCTCAACGGAGACCCGCGCAGCCTCATCATGATGCAGGGGATACTACCAGACACCCCGGCCGTTGACCCCAAAGTCGCGCTCAGGACTGCGGACAAGGTATGGGAAGTCTGGACGGACCAGAAGATCCGCGGCTGGGGACGGCCCGTGTTGGCCATCAACTCTGCTCGGGTTGGGAATCCGGAAAGGGCTATTTACCACTTGACTGCGTACGATTACTGGAAGTTTGATGACGCTGGCTACGCCGTTCGTGGCGGGGATGGTGAGTGATCCCATTGTGATATCCCTTATCGTTGCTCATCCTTGACTCAGGCGGCACACCTCCTCCTTTCATGCCCGGAAATGCTGGTTTCCTATATGCAGGTACGTTGTGACCCTGACAGAGTGACTCGCAGATGTAGCGCTCGTTTTCCTGATCATTGTCGTAGTTGCATATATGGCTGCTGGCTGGCGAGGGTCAAAAGGCGATGCACCTGGTTTTCCCCAAGGCGCGGGGTGGGTTGTCAAGCAGGAGGGATTGCAAAAAGCACCCTAGTTGATCAGTTGTGGCTTTATGAGATGGATCACAACTGAAAACCCCCTGATTCCAACAGCCTTCATTCAAAGTATTTGCACTGCCCGTGAACATATGGCAGAACTGTTTTTTGATGAGCTGTTCATTATGGAAGTCGTCCTGCGTAATCTTCTACCACTCTCTAATCTCTCCCCCGGGCCCGATGAACCCAGGGCTGACCCAAGCCTTCGCATCCTTGGACAGCTCGCGAACTTGCGCCTCATCAATCTCAATGCCCAAGCCAGGTCCCGTAAGAAGGTCAATGTAGCCATCCGTGACCTTCCAGACCTCTGGGTTATGAGTGTAACTCGTCAGATCCTGGCCCGTGCTATTGTAGTGAATACCCAAACTCATCTCCTGAATCACAAAATTCGGCGACGCAAAGTCGACCTGCGCATTCGCAGCCAAGGCAATGGGTCCCAGCGGACAATGCGGCGCCAGAGCAACATCGTACGCCTCCGCCATGGCCGCGATACGGCGCATCTCCGAAATGCCACCCACATGAGAAATATCGGGCTGGAGGATATCCACGCAGCCGGCTTCGAGGAACGGCTTCACGTCCCAGCGGCTGTGGAGCCGCTCGCCGAGGGCAATGGGGATCGACGTGAGGCGGCTGATCTCCTTGATGCCCCCGAGGTGCTCGGACAGCAGGGGCTCCTCGATGAAGAGCGGGCGGTGCGGCTCCAGGGCCTTTGCGAGCTGCTTGGCCATGGGCTTGTGCACGCGGCCGTGGAAGTCGACGCCGGCGTCCATGCCGAGGGCTTTTACAGCCTTGACGCGTTCGACGGCGGCGTCGAGGGCGTCGGGCGAGTCGAGCCAGCCGAGGTCTTCGGTGCCGTTCATCTTGACGGCTTTGAACCCCTGCTCTTTACGTGCCCGTCTGTTGCGAGAACACAATGATTAGAAAGGATATCCGTCCGAGGGGGGGCGACTGGCGTCTCGCTACTTACGCCTGCTGCTCCACGTCGTTGGGCCGGTCACCGCCGATCCATGCGTAGACCTTGAGCTTGTCTCTGACTTTTCCACCCAGAAGCTGCCAAATGGGAAGTCCCAGCTTTCTCGCTAACACAGACTGTTTGTCAACGATATCTCAGACTCGGCTGGAGTAAAGGCTGCTCTCACCCTTGAGATCCCACAAGGCGATGTCGATACCTGCCAATGCGCTCATGAAGACCGGCCCGCCGCGGTAAAAGGTTGTCCGCCATGACATTTGCCAAATGTGCTCAATGTCGCTTGCCAGCATCAGCAATGGCAATCTCCAAGCTTGCGTAGGTCAGCGTACTCAGCTTCCAGGCCAGAATGCCTCTCGAACCAGGCGTCAAGACAGCCTTCCACCGCTTGGGTGTGGCCTTCAAGAGATGCTTCGCCCCAGCCGACGTTGCCCGCCTCGTCGGTGATCTTGACGAATAACCACCGGGGTGGCACTCGGAAGTACTCCATCGTTGCGATTTTTCCCATGATGAGTTTTGTGTGCGATGACGTATGTTAATCTTTGCGAGGAGTCTTTGAAGCTGCAAGGGAAGCAACAGAAGGTCACTTTGGTTGACTTTGATGAATGACGCTTCAGATGAATCGGCTAACTTGAGGCAATCGTGAGCTGATATTCCCACAGCAAAGCGGAGCTCGACGGAGTTGAACGACGGGAAAGTCGGCCTGAATCCGGAACCTCTCCGACCCGCCTCCTCAGCCGTCCTTCTGCTCCCGATCCGCCTCCGCGTCACAATCCCCCCGTCGGAGAAAGAGCATGGATATTACCCGGCCGCCAAAAACGCTAGGTGGAGAAGGGTGGGATGAGCTGTGCGGGGTTCGGTACACCCTCACCCGAGTCCATTGCCAGGGGTCTAGGGGGCAGCGCGGGGTCCTCGGTGTGTTCTTTTCCGCTCGGTGAGGATAACACCAAAGAGAGGGACGGAAAAGGATCACGGAGGGAACTCCAAGTTCTATTCCCGATTCTATCAGAGATTACAGCGCTGGACGTATGGGAATCACACTTCTGCTCTTCCATGTCTATGCTTGGCCCGCCTTAATCTTCTTCTGCTGTGCCACCCAGGTCTCTACCGCCTTCTTCAGTGTCTCCGGGTCCGACTCGCCAAAAATGTCTTGGCCGAGACGGGCTGGGAAGTTGTAGCGGTGTTTCCTGTCCAGGGCGTTGATCTTCTCAAATACGTCCTTGGGGAGCTCGAATACTGGTACAAGTCAGCGTCTGTCCCTCTGAAAGTGGAAACGTTTGGTTGATCACGTACCCTCAAAGTTCTTCTCAATTCTCGAGGGAGTGACGGATTTGGGGAGCACAACGGTGCCTCTCTGGACAGACCAGCTGATGATGAGTTGAGCCGGCTCCTTGCCCAAAGATTTTGCCAGCTCGGCGATGGTGGGATCATCAACGGCACTGATGCGGATTAGTACATGTGCATGATTCTCGGAAGGGGGTACAGGTAGCTGCTGGGTGCTTACCGAGGCAGGTTGTAGATGTTGTTAGCGAGCGGGCTGTACGCCGTGACCACAATACCCTGCATCCAAACCAGATTAGCGACCTACACGGAATGCGACCTCGGAGACTTTTTTTTCCCTTCCCTCGTTTTGGACCAACGCAAGACTCACCTTTTCCTTGGACCAGGCCAGGAGGTCGGGCTGCTGCAGGTACGGGTGCGCCTCGATCTGGTTCACCGACGGCTTGATTTCGGCCTTGTTCCACAGGTCCTCAATCTTCTCGCGGGTGAAGTTGGAGACGCCAATGGAACGGATCTTGCCCTTCTTGACGAGGGCCTCCAAAGCCTTCCACGTCTCAATGACGGGGACGTCGATGACGTCGACGGCCTCGGTGACGGGGTGCAGGGGGAAGCGGGTGGCATCGTCCTTCTTGTTGAAGGACACGGGCCAGTGAATCTATTGCGAGACATTGTTGCGTTAGGATGGCAAATCGAGAGGAGGGTGGGTGCAGGTAGGTACACGAAAAGGGTAAAAGACTTACCAAGTACAAGTCCACGTAGTCAGTCTGCAGGTCGCTGAGGGTGATGTCCAGTGCGGTCTCTACATCCTCTGCCTTGTGGTGGGTGTTCCAAAGCTTGCTGGTGACCTGAGGAACAAGGATCAGCCATTTGATGCTAGTCGGCCATGAGGACTGGATGGTGAGCCTACAAAGATCTCTTTCCTTGGGACCCCAGAAGCCTTGAGGCCTTCGCCGACCTCCTTCTCGTTGTCATAGACGGCCGCAGCGTCAATGTGGCGGTACCCCGACTTGAGGGCGTGCTCAACGGCATTCTTGACCTCGTTGGGCTTGGATTGCTACCATTCCACATGATCAGATGGGATTTCACTTTCAGCAGGCCTCGCGAATGCTCACCCAGGTGCCTAGGCCAACTGCTGGGATCTCGTGCCCCGAAAGAAGCTTATAAGACTGTCCTAACGCCATTGTCAAAGAGTAATTGTGTTGATAGTTCCGTGATTGGATGTAATGGTACAGACAAAGTCAGATGAGGTGCAGTTATCCGCGTATTTTGTGTTCGTCTATTATATGTCACTCTCCCAGCACAGTCAACGACAATTCCCCCCAGAGCCCTTATATCCCTCTTATATCCTCAATTTGAGGCTGTCGTCACTCCAAACCAGCCTGCAAGATTTCCGCATCACACAATGAGGGGGCTCAACACGGTCCGTTGGCACGGAATAAGCCTTATGTAAACCTCTTTTTCCGGTCTTTTCCTCCCCTCTCTCTCCCCCACTCACTCCCCTCTTCAACAAGAACAATGTCCGACAGCCGGGCCCGCCCGTGGAACCTCTAGAAACGGCCTAGACGGGATAGCGTCGGGATGTTCCCCGCTCGGTCGTCCCCATCGCGCAACTCGTCCCCACCCCCGCGTCATCACACCCCGAGGCGCCCCTCGACCAAGTCCCTCGCGGGATTGCCGAGGGGCACCGAGACCGGTCTGACACGTTTTCCACTGCCAACGTAAATTCAAGCGAGGGGCCGACAAAACAGTGAACGCGCAAAAGAAGAACGTTGCAGCATCGTGATACCCCGGAGCCGTCAATCTCTATCCCAATACTTAACTTTGAGAAGCTCAGCATTCCCCGGCTTCTTTCTATTTCATACCACATTCACACATCACAATGGCAGACGTCAGAGTACCACCCACGGGCGTCTTCGTCCCGGTCCCAACCTTCTTCCACGCCGCGTCTGCATCGGCCGGCTCCCTCCAGCCCAAAGTCGACATTGACACGCAGATCAAGCACAGCATCTACCTCGCAAAGAATGGCATCCGCGGCCTGGTCCTCCTCGGCTCGACCGGCGAGGCAATTCACCTGAACAAGGCCGAGCGTCACGACCTCGTCGCCGGCGTCAAGAAGGGTCTCGAGGAGGCTGGTTTCCCCGACTACCCCATCATGGCCGGTGTCTTGACAAATGGCATTGACGAGACCCTCGAGTGGCTCGACGACTATGCAAAGGCCGGCGCCCAATGGGGTCTGGTGCTCGTCCCCGGCTACTTTGGTACCGCTGCGAACCAGGAGAACATCAAGGAGTGGTACACTGTCGTGGCCGACAAGAGCCCTCTCCCTGTCCTTATGTGAGTGAATGCCTGCCAACGCGCGGCAGCGCACGTGAGAGGGACATTCGTACTCATGAGACCTCAGATACAACTACCCCGGCGTGACGAACAATGTCCTCGTTGAACCCGATACCTACAAAGACCTCGCCCAGCACCCCAAGATTGTCGGTTGCAAAATGTAAGTGAACTCGCCCAAAATAAAAAAAAAACATGTCACTCTCTGTCCCGGGCTCCCCCCCTCTAACGCACTTCACAAAACCCCATCAGGTCCCACGGAAACGTCTCCCTACACACCCAAGTCTCCTCCGACCCGCGCATCGACCACGCAAAGTTCCGCGTCTACAGCGGCTTCGGCGCCCAGCTCGCGCCCATTGTCCTCTTTGGCGCCGCGGGCGTCATTGACGGCCTCGCCGCCTTTTACCCAAAGACGGTCTCGCGCCTCTTTAGCCTGGCGGAAAAGCGCCCCCTGGACCAGGGCACCCTCGAGGAGGTGCAGCGCCTGCAGTACGCCGTCAGCCGCGCCGAGGATTTCATCGGCAAGACTGGCATCATTGGCATCCGCGAGGGCATTATCCAAAAGGCCGGTTTCGGCGCGCTCGAGGGCGGGCGTTTGCCGCTCAAGGGGCGCTTGGATGAGGGCACGTTCAAGGCGTTGGACAAGCTTTTCCTTGCGGATGTTGAAAAGATTGAGAATTCCCTGTAGACTTATTTCTCCTTGTCATTCGTATCTTGGACGAGTTGAGCCGGGGGATCGTACGAATTGCATGATTGGCCATGATACCAAAGCTTGACTTGACCGTACTTACTCTATTGGTGCCACGGAAAAGCACGCTGCTTGTTTGGCATGCCCGTGTCTGTCTCTTGGTATTGCTACGCCATGCCCTTTTCTACGTAAGTTGTAGCACGTCTTCCCTCAAGGACCGGCCCCAAAAGGCTTCTACGTTTCTGGCTGCCAATATTCTAGTCTGACAATATTTTAGTCTGACATGAGCATACAACAAAACCGTGCACCTTGTTGTACGCCGCCATCCTCGGCATTCAGAGTGATCTCAACCTCAAGGGTACCACGTATAGCCGTCTATCCTCCATCTTTTACTTTGGAGTCCTGGTCTGGGCTTTATCTATCAACTTTATGCTCCAGAAGTTCCTATTGCAAAGTATCTAGGCCTCAATATCTTCGCCTGGGGTATATTCCTCAAGCTGTAAGCTGCCGCGCCCTGGATGCGACGGCGTTTGGAAACTTGACGGATCGTGGTAGCTTGAACTTTTGGTACATTTCCTAATCAGACGTTGGACCTGTTGAATTGCAGCTAATTCTTTGCCGTGAAAGTTGCACGACGAACATGCCCTCTGCTAGCGATTCTAGCATCAACTCAATCGAGAGCCACCGATTCCTTTCAGTCTAAAGGTCTGATGGACTCTGTGTCATATTTCTCCATGCTTAATCACTAACGGTGAATTCAAGAAGCCCACAGCTTCTATGAATACCAGATGCAGCCTTCTTATGTGGTACTCTTGCAAGTTCTTCTGCGCTGAAGCTTCGCTTCGGGATGGTATTGTGCAAAATTGCGGACTCAACGTCCCCCGAAAATGCCCCGCAAAGATGCGGTTTTAATTCGGGCATAGGCTAGTGTCGCCGACGCCGGTGCTTTTTGACGCTTCAGACCGCGCTGCTTCACCCTCACCACCTCATCGAACTCTCACGGGCGCTCACAGAGACTCATCACAACGACAGCTGCAACGCTTCTCTTCCCTTCAAGACTCATCATGTCATCTCCTCCAGCTCCCCCAAGGCCGCCGTTCTCATCCCTTCCTCTGGACCCTACTGGCCCTCCTGGAAACGCATGGGGCCTTTACGGCAAAGATGACCGCTTAGGAGCGCTGAACCTTCTCACCCCCGCAGTGGTGGCCGCGGCGGCGGCATCTGAAATCCGCACTGGTCAACGCGTGTCGCTGGACTGGTCGTTGAACAATCCCTCTCAGCCAAGTTTCAACCGGGCGCCCTTTGAGTCTAGACTCGTCAATCGAGCACACCCGAGCGGCGAGAAGAGGATGGTCAATGATGATATCTTGCACTTCAATACTCAATGCAGCAGCCAGTGGGACGGTTTCAGGCACTATGGTAGGCAGTTTAAATGGCCTCGGCCCCAGCAATTAGTGAGGATGTGACTAACTGTGATGATCCAAGGGTACCAGAAAGCCAAAAGGTACTACAACAATACGACCCAAGAGGACCTGGATAACCCCGAAAATATTGGCATAGACGGCAAGTTCGCCTTCGAAACGAAAAAGTGAAATCGAGAACTGACTTACAGCGCAGCTTGGGTTGAGAAGGGCGGCATCGTCGGCCGGGGCGTGCTCCTCGACTACGCCAGCTTCTGCGCCCGCCACGCGCTGCCCCTCGACGCCTTCACCAGCAGCGACATATCCCTAGCGCACCTGCAACAGATCGCCGCCGAGGAAAACATCACCTTCCGGCCCGGTGACATCCTCTTCATCCGGTCCGGGTTCACGGCGGGCTACAACGCCAAAGACGACGCCGCGCAAAAGGCCGTCGCGGCGCGCCCCAGCCCGGACTTTCTCGGGCTCGAGCCGACGAGGGAGGTGCTCCGGTGGATATGGGAGACGGGCTTCGCGGCCGTGGCGGGCGACGCGCCGAGTTTCGAGAGGGCGCCCATCGCGGGCCCGCACACGGCCGTCGGCGGCGTGTGGAAGGGCGAGGCGTGGGAAGACGAGATGCAGGGGGGTGGTTTGTTGCACCAGTGGCTGCTGGGAGGTTGGGGATTGCCCATTGGGGAAATGTTCGATCTCGAGGGTCTTAGTGCGACGTGCCAGGAGCTGGGGAGGTGGACGTTCTTTGTGAGCAGCGTGCCGCTCAAGGTAAGTCATGAATGGGGTGGTCCCCCCCCTTTCCCATTACTCATGTGGGAGCATCGCCGGAAAGTGTGTTGATGTTTGTCCCGTTAGGTTCCGGGTGGTGTGGCCAGTCCTCCCAACGCCGTGGCCATCTTCTGAACCCTCAGGAAGATCGCCTTGAGATGGTCATACAACTTAGAGTTCTGGCCACGTTGTGGCGTGGATAGAGTTGTTCTTTGTGTTCTAGTCTTCTTCACCCTGGTGTAGCTAATGTCCGCTTTGCCCGGTTGCAGGATATGCTGGTCGCGTGGTTTCACTTGGACTCTGCGGCTGGTTGGCGGGTTTGCATGGATAGACCCCTGACAATTTCAAATTAGTAGTCTGTTGTCTCTGGATCAGAATTCTTCTTCTCTGTGTCTCGAAAGCTTGACAAGTTGTCAGCGCATCATTGCTTGTTACTTCTATCGTGCCGCGGACCCCTAGCTTTGCCAGCATATGCCCATGCAAGTTGGGAGCCCCAAGGACATCCCACAACCATCCATCTCAGTCTATCCGGGGTAGATGATTCGATTGGGGGCACTGGGGGAGGCTCCCCCCCCAAGAACCATCCTTCACGCACCTACAAGGATCATGAACCAGACCAGCAAGGACAGGCTAGGCCTAGGGCCCCAACGTAACTAAGAGGGCGGCCGGGTACCCCGCATCGTCTTCTCCATTCCCAAAAGGATTAAGAATGAGGTGACATATCCGTCCTCCACGTCCCGCCTCTGGTCCCCCTTTCTCCCCTTCCCTTAATCGACCATGTTTCCGTGTGCCCAGCTTCAGCAGCAGGATCAGGGGAGTCTGCCGCCAAATTGCTGCCGCACTACGGAGTAAGGCCCAGGACACGGCAAATGGACCTGGACACCGACGAAGGCGACTCCGGTGTCGGCATTAGCACCGGCAGCAACGGCAGCGGCAATGCCAACGCCATGGTGAATGGGATCCGTCAACCTGGCGTTCGCCGCCAATCCCACTCACACCTCAATGGGGGAGGAGGTCTCGGCAAGCATAATCACGGCAACGGAAACAAGCATGCCAACGGCAATGGAAACACGACGTCGAGCGCCAAGGGAACCGGGAATGGCCACCACAGCACCAGCACCAGCGGCATTCACAACGAGAACGGCAACGGTAATGGCAATGGAAATCATCACCTGCCCCAGTCCCACCAGCAGCACCAGCAGTTGGCATCTCCGCCGCTCACACATCCGTCGAATCCGACCCCTCTGACGGAGAGCGGGAGACGTCGTCGGCACCGCGACAAGGAGCGCGTCCGCGTCACCCGCGCCTGCGACAGGTGCAAGAAGCGCAAGATCCGCTGCACGGGCATCCAGCCCTGCGAGTTGTGCATCCGCACCGAGTCCCACTGCACCTACAACGCGTCTTATGCACGTGGTCGCCAGCCGCCCGTGGCCACTCGGGAGGATGTCGCCCGCATGGATCTCGATGGCCTCGACGTCTCCGTATCGGATCATCCCAGCGCTGGTGGTGGTGGTGGTGGTGGTGGTGAAGATGTGCTGATGGGCTCCTCCATTGTCGTGGACGTCTCTGACCCCGGTGATGTTGACCATCAGGACGAGACCATTATGAACGGCAGAAATCTGGCCGTTATTGGCGGCGTCGACCCCGGCACCGCTGAGCCTCCCTCCCGGGCATCTCCTGAGCCTACTCAGACGGATCTCCAAGGCCATTATGTCGGTCCCTCGTCTGGTGTCTCTTTCTTGTTGAGGGTTCAGAAGCGTCTGCACCAAGCTGTCTCCTTCTCACAAGCATCCTCCATCTTCACCTTTGGCGATGCGCCACTCCCGGACTTTGACCCCAGCGGCGCCTTTTGCGTCCTACCATCCAAGGAAGAGGCCACGACTCTCTTGAACAGATATTTTGAGTTCGCCGTGCCAACCCACAGATTTCTGCACCGCCCCACTCTCGAAGGTTGGCTGAAAGAGTTCTACGACACCATGGGTGTCATGAAGAGCCGGGAGGACGCCCCGGCCCAGAGAGCCCTACTATTCATGGTGTTTGCTCAGGCGCAGGAGTACATGGGCACCACACACCCGCGTGAGAACGCAGACGCAAGGTAAATTTCACCCGCGGAGGATACATACCCCGTCCCATGTCGTCGCGATGTCATCTCCAGATTCTTCAAGTTCCTTTTACTTACACGCGATGGCAGTGCCCGATACTTCTTGGCTGCAGATCACCAGCTTTCCAAAGAGAGAGGCGCCGTACGCCTGGCCAGCGTCCAGGCCCGGCTATGCCAATGTTTTTGGCTCTTGTCCCAGTCTCGCATTAACCACTGCTGGAGCTTATTCGGCACGGTAGGGCACCTCGCCCTTGCCATTGGTCTGAACCGTAATAGGCATGCGGACCCGGCTGGGGGATACAACTACATTGAGCTCGAGTGTCGCCGTCGCACGTTTTGGTGCGCTTACAGCCTCGATAACTATCTCAGCGCCGCACTTGGACGTCCACGAACGTTTCATGATGAAGACATTGATCAGGAACTACCTTCGTGTTCAGAAGACGCGGATCTCCATGCAGACCACATCACACCCCGCATGGGACGGGGCCAGTCACTTATGCTGGCTCCGGTGGCTCATGTCAAGTAGGTGATCCATAACATACCCTCTTTCGATCCATGATGCTGACTTTGATCAAGGCTCTCGCGAATAGTCAGCATGATCTTGCGGGATCTCTACTCTATACGCCCGTCATCATTCTCAAATCGATGTGCTCTGGCGGCTAAATACTCCCAAAATCTAAAACACTGGAGAGCCGAAATGTCGCAATTCTTGGATGACGGCGTCAATACGGCATTGCTCATCCCCATCTTCCAGCGGCAACGCAACGTGTTGGACTTGGCGTACTGGCATGCCACGATTCTCACGCACCGGCCCTTCCTGCTCAGTAACTTTGCCCGGTTACAACGAAACGGCAAAAGCCGCCGGAAGGGTGTCCCTCACAAGGACCAAACCGAAGAGAGCGTAAACGCCTGTTTAGACGCTGCCATGCACGTCGTCGACACCGTCAATGATCTTATACAAGCAGGGCAGCTCTTCCGTGCGTTTTGGGTAAGACGTTGCCAACATTCTCTGTTCATCCTCCTACATTATCTAACTTGAGGCCAACGGTAGTTCACTTCCTATTTTGCCTTCTCGGCTGTAGTTATTCTCTATGTATATACAATCCAGCAACGGACAGCCCCGACCGAGGCATGGCAAGCCTACTTCGACGCGGCTTATCGCTGCCAGGCGCAACTGGCCTCGCTCGCTGATAACGAGTCAACGCTGGCGGCACGATACTGTCTCGTCCTCGAAGAGCTCAGGACCGAGGCCCTCCGGCAGACGAAGCGGCACCAGAGCCCGGCCGTAACCCACCAGAATGGACAGAATGGCGGAGCAGTCTCCCGCGCCGCTCTCGTCGTTGCAGGGAGTGAAGATTCTCAGCCCCAGCATGAGCAGGATCATTTAGGAGCCCTCAATTTCCCCGATGTGGGACACGCGGATGAGTTTGTTGGTTTTGACGCGAGCCCGAGCAGTTCTCTGGCCGATATGACGAGCTGGGGCCAGTTTGACTCCATGGTACGTGGCTATTTCCGTCGAATCTCGAGGTGCACTCCCTGGTATCGGCGTATTGACAATCCTGTTAGGTTACTTCTGGATTCGGAGGACTCGAGGCTTTGCTCAATGACGACTCTCTACGATTCTAACGATTAATGCAATCGCTTTCCTCAAATTCGAGACTTGTTCAATCATGCCAGCTGTCTTCTTGCATAGTGTAATCCTTGCGGCGTCGAGGATTGCATGGAGTTCACAGTTGTTTCCCCACTGCCATAAAACTCTGTAGTTCAACCTGATGATATTCAATTAAAGCCCCAGAAACGACATCCTCTGATCCTATTGTATTGTACATGATGCGACTCCCTAGCAACTGAAGGATCTACACAGTAGCCGCTTGAATACCTTCAAAAATCGCCAGGACACCTTCAGCTCCAGGATCGGGCACCTTACCCCACGCAGATTCCTCCACGTACACCGCCCGACCAAGAGAAGCCGCCATGCCCTTGGTAGCCTCAACCCCCTTCCTCGCAGCCTCCACAGCATCTCCCACACTTCCCGAGCTCTCCAACGTCCTCACAAACGGCTCAAGCGCGTCAATAAGCGTCCTGTCGCCCTGCCTCGCCGGAGTCGCCTGCTGAAGCTTCTCCAGGGCCCCGACAGCGACCTTGGTCCACGCTTGGAGGTCAAGGACACCGGCGCTGGCCTTGCGCAGCTCAGAGGCTAGCGCCGCGAAGAAGATGCTGTAGATGGCACCCGAGGTGCCGTCCATGTTGTCCTCGATCACGTTGGTGAGATCAATTGCCGTGCGGACGGCGTCGTCGCTGACGGAGGACGAGTCGGCGTACTTTTGGACAGCCTTGGCTCCGCGGGCGAGGGTCACGCCGCAGTCGCCGTCGCCGACTTGCGTGTCGTGCGCTGTGATCTGGGGCTCGGCTTCGTTGATTCTTTTTGCGGCCTCGGAGACGACCTTTTTGAAGATTTCTACGTTCACTATAGACGGCCTTGTGTTAGTATCTCGCAACGTCTCACATACCATGAGGGACTCGGACTCACGTTGCACGCCGCTCTTGCTAGCGTTCTGAGACGCATGCCCCGAATCGCTGCTCTCGACCAGGCGCTGCTTAACGTCTCCGCTGGTCTCACCACGTGGAGAGTATGCCCAGCCGATGGCATTTGTGCTGGCGTCGATGTACCTCAAAATCTCGGGAGTAGCTTTGAGGAGAGTGATGCTGAACCCGGGCCCGTTCAAACTCGTCATATACGTGCCTGATATGACGCGGGAAAGCTTGAGTCCACGACCGCCTGTGCATCATTAGTAAAGCAGCTTTCTTGTACTTCATTGAACAGCCGTTGTTTTTGACAGTATCGACTTACTCAGCGCACTCGTGACCTTTGCGGTGATGCCACCGAATTCAAGTGGTGAGACACCACCGAGGTTGTTAACCAGGACAACGACGTCCTTGGCGTCAGAGAAGTCAACGTATGCTCGATCCGCGTCGTTGACGTCGAGAAGTTGCGTAAGCATCGCATCAATAAGCTCAGAAAGCTGCGGCCGCGGCTTCAGCACCTGACATCCAAGCTCATTGTGAATACCCATGCCCAACTCAACCTGGTCATCAGTCGAAGCTGTGGCCGCGTCCCGCCCAGGAATATGCACATGCTCCAACGACGCGCCGACAGTCACCAAGTTTTCAGTAACCGTCTTACCCAGCTTCACCACATCCGCCAGCGAAGCCCCCGTCTCCTTGGACGCCCCGAGGATCTTGTGAACGAGAACGGTGCCGGCCAATCCGCGACGCCCGACCTTGCCGCTCTTTTTGCGGCCGACGGCGACGTCGTCGCCGACGATGAGGACCTCGACCGTCACGCCGAGCTGGGCTTTGGCCTTCTCGGCTGCCAGGTGGAAGTGGAACACGTCGCCGGTGTAGTTCTTGATGATGAGGAGGACGCCGGCGGGGCTGGCTACGCGGCTGATTCCGGAGAGGATCTGCGCGACGCTGGGGGAGGCGAAGATGGAGCCCGAGACGGCGGCCGTGAGCATGCCGTCGCCGACGAAGCCGGCATGGGCGGGCTCGTGGCCTGCGCCGCCTCCCGAGAGAAGTGAGACCTTTTTGGGGTCATTTTTTGTGAGCCAAAGTGCTGTTGATCCAAAGTTAGCATGTTGTTCTTTTTCTTTTGTCAAGGCTTTCGGCAGCATTGGCGAGGTAGCGCCTCACTCTTCTTTGACTTGTCCAAGGTCAGGCCGGAATGCTGCAGCACCAAGCTCTCGAGGGCATCGAGAACAAGGTCCTCAGCCTCATCGTAAAAGTGTTTCGACATGGTGATACAGGTTATACGTGAATTTGTACAGATCTTTCAAAATATAAGCAATCGCTCCAATGCTCTCCTTCCAATGAGTGCCGTCTCTTGGACTTTTCTCATAATAAACAACCCTCGTTATCCCGCCGTAGCCCTCTCCCTCACCCAGAATCGTCCGACACCCCGCGTCTCCCCGCGTGTTACTCCCTTGGCATTTGACACCCTCCGTCGATTCCTCACAGTCCCGTCAGTCGGAAATACTCAAAGACACCGTCCCGATGCAGACGAGGCAACACGGACATCCCACCGGCACGTCTCATCGGAGAAGTGGTCCGTGCATCCCGGGTTGTTGTCGTAGACGGCTGTTGCTTTTCCGTGTCCCCTTACCCTGCGCCCCCAAGTGTAAGTGCTTGTGCTTGTGCTTTTCCGTCCGGTTGTCTCGGCACGTACCTCATGAAACTGACGCCGTCTGCTGGCCTCTGGTAGGAAATGGCTGGCTGCGGCTACGTCCTCGCCACTGTGAGGGGTGTGAAAGGGTAGAGGAAAAAGAAGGCTGGAATGGAGGGTTGCGGGCGAGCTAGCGGATGGACAGAACTGTTGGAGAAGAAACCGCCTGTTCTTACATGGGTATGGTTGTGGGTGTTCTATACGAACCAATTTGGATGGATGATTAAGATCATAGGCTTTCCAAACCTTCTCCAAAGTACCTTCTCATGTCATTGCTCACTGGCGGATGAATTAGCCCACCCCTTGAAAAGACAGATGTGAAGACTCATATCAAGCGGAATTCTCGCTGATAGTCAAACTTCGTTAATACTTTTTTCCTACACACATCTTCGACCCTTCTTCACTGAATCTATTTCTCAAACCGGCCGAACTGTGGCGCCAATTTCAACATGGCTATCCACACAGAAGGTGTATTTCCGCGGTCAACACTGGCGTCTGAGAAGCCCTCAGTCGAGATCGTGGAGACTATCAAGCCCATTGAGCTCAAGACGGTCACCGATCTGCTTCTGAAGCGCGTTAGAGAGGCACCAGATGTCGATGTCCTAGCCTACCCGGCGACGGCGCGCGGCAGAGACGACTTTGTCAATTACACAGCCAAAGACCTGGATCGGTTCGCCGATGAAGCGGCGCGCAAGTATGCGCAGGCCGGTCTCCTCCCGGAGGTATGTAGACTCACCGAAGAACTCCACTCACCGAGGAAGCCCCTTGCCCATGAGGAGGAACGTACGGACTGATAACATCAGAACCCTTCATCAAGCCAAGCAGAGGTTGTGGCCCTCCTAGCAAACTCAGACATGAACTATGTCGTCTCCATGTTCGCCCTTTCAAGGATGGGCTTCGCCGTGCTCTATCTCTCAACACGTCTCTCACCTGAAGCCTACGCCAACCTCCTGAAGAAGACACACTGCAACAGGGTCGTCATCGCGGAGCGGTATAGCGATATGGCCGCCCAGATCAACGCGGAGTCGCCCATCACCACTTTCAACATCCTCGACAAGGCCGACTACGACCTCCCGAGCCCCTCGGGCGACCGCTTCCCCGTCTTCACGCATCCCGACTCCGGCAAGCGCATCTCCTTCATCGTGCACTCGTCCGGCTCGACCGGTCTCCCAAAGCCCATCTTTCAGACGCACGCGGCTTGCATCTCCAACTACTCCAGCGGCATCCCCTACCGTGCGTTCCTTACCCTGCCGCTATTCCATAACCATGGGATTTCGACGCTGTTCCGTGCTATTGTCGCCGGGCACAGGATCGCCATCTATAATGCCAACCTGCCCCTTTCCGGTACCAGCTTGGTCAAGGCCATGAGCGCGACGGAACCTGGTAGCTTGCACTGTGTGCCATATGCTCTCAAGCTTCTTGCAGAGACCGAGGGAGGAATCGAGGCGCTGCAGAGACTCAAGCTTGTGCTGTACGGTGGCAGCAGTTGCCCCGACGATTTGGGTGACCGACTCGTTGAGGCAGGCGTCTATCTCGTCGGACACTACGGAGCGTGAGTTGCCTCCAACCCCCGGTTCGCATGAGCTGTCCTTGACATCGTATCCATTTAGTACCGAGATGGGCCAGCTTATGACCTCGTTCCGTGAGCCCGGGGACAAGTACTGGAACTACATGCGGCCATTAGCCTCGGCAAAGCCCTGGCTGCGAATGATCCCCATTGCCGGCGACGTCCACGAGTGCGTTGTCCTCGACGGGCTTCCCTCAAAGGTCATGTCCAACTCGGACGATCCAGCTCCCAATTCCTACCGCACACGCGACACTTTCGTTCCTCATCCCACCATCCCTGACGCCTGGAGGTACCTTGGTCGTCTCGACGACCGCGTAACCCTCGTGAACGGCGAGAAGGTTCTTCCTATCCCTTACGAGAATCACATCCGGGAGCACGAACTCGTTCAAGAAGTCGTCGTCTTTGGCGTCGGCAAGTCCATCCCCGGGCTCGTCATCATCCCCAGCGAGAATTCAAAGGACCTGTCAAAGGAGGAGATCCTCAAGACTCTGAGCCCCGTCATCGAAGAGGCCAACTCTCGAGCCGAGGCATTTGGCCGCGTCTCCACAGAGATGATTGAAGTGGCAGATATCGGTACGGAGTACCCTCGCACCGACAAGGGCACCGTTATCCGGGCCGCCTTTTACAAACAATTTGCAGAACTCATCGAGGACGTCTACAGACGCTTCGAGGCGCCCAAGGACGACGTCGCCGGCGGCGAGCTCCTGGCCCTCGACCTGCCGCAGCTTGAGGATCACCTCCTCGAACTCTTCCGCTCGAAATTGGGCTTCGCAAAGGTCGAAAAGGACACCGACTTCTTCGAGGCCGGCGTCGACAGTCTCCAGGCCAGCACCGCGCGGGGCCACATCCAGCGCGGCGTCAATCTCGGCGGCAAGATCCTCGGGCAAAACGTCGTCTTCGAGTATCCCAACGTCCTCTCCCTGTCAAAACATGTCTACGCGCTCCGCACGGGCGAGTCCGTGGACGCCGAGGACGAGATTGACCTGATGAAGAAGCTCATTGCAAAGTACTCCGCCTTCAACGAGAGGAAGCCCGGAACAATCACCCCCGAGGGCGAAACCGTCGTGCTGACCGGCGCGACGGGCTCCCTGGGCGCACACCTCCTCGCGCAAGTCGTCCGTCAACCCTACGTCAAGGCCGTCTACTGCCTCGCCCGCGCCTCGTCGCCCGAGGAAGCCGAGTCCCGCGTCCTCGCCTCCCTGCGCTCCAAGGGTCTCAGCCTCTCCGACAGCGACCGGGCCAAGGTCAAATACCTCCCCACCAACCTGGGCCTCCCAGACCTAGGCCTCGCCGAGGTCGCCGCCGCGGAGCTCCGCAGGTCCCTGACGACCGTGATCCACTCGGCCTGGGCCGTCAACTTCAACCTCGGCGTCGCGAGCTTCGAGGCACAGCACATCCGCGGCGTGCACAACCTGCTCAACCTCTGCCTCGGCACCGAGACGGTCGCGCCCGCGCGGCTCTTTTTCTGCTCGTCCGTCTCGGCGGCGGCGGGCACGCCGATCCCGGCGCGGGTCAGGGAGACGTACGTGGAGGACCTGGCGCACGCGCAGAACATGGGCTACGCGCGGTCCAAGGTCGTCACGGAGCACGTCATCAAGGCTGCGGCGACGAAGACGGGCATGACGGCGAGGGTGCTGCGGCTGGGTCAAATTGTGGGGGATTCAGAGGGCGGCGTGTGGAATCAGACAGAGGCTATTCCCTTGATGATCCGCAGCGCAAAGGTGATTAAGGCGCTGCCTGCTCTGGAAGAGGTAAGCTTCCCTCCCTCCCCTCCCCGGCCCTGATTTGATGAGGTTTGCGTGAGGAATCATAATTGGCTAACAAAACCTCCCCCAGACGCCCTCGTGGATGCCAGCAGACAAGATGGCCCTTGCAGTGCTCGAGCTCGCGCGCCTCACCGGCCCCCGTTGCACATCCTGCGGCGCACCGCCGTCGTCTCCTGACAACGCGGACCTGGATCTTGTATACCAGGTTCAGAACCCGCGCCTGTTCCACTGGACGTTTGAGTTGTTGCGCGCCCTCCGCGACGCGGGCCTCGAGTTCCAGATCGTCTCGCAGCGCGAGTGGGTGCGCCGCCTGCGCGAGTCCGACCCGGACCCGGAGCGGAACCCGACGTACAAGCTCCTGGGCTTCTTCGAGGACAAGTACGACAACGACAGGCCGGGCCGTCAGGGCCTGGTGTTCGAGACGGAGAGGACGGGGCGGAGGAGCCCGGCCGTCGGCGATGGGTGGGATGTCGTTGGCAGCGGGCTTGTTGAGAGGATGGTGAGGTGGATGGAAACGCAGTGGTGATATGGGCGGGATATACCATGTGTGGGCTCATTATTGGCGTATGGCATATTGTAATCAGGCTTTTGATTGTATTGATGTCGCTTTGGATATCATGATCACGAATCAAATCGAGTGTCGTTGCGTTCGGTCAAGTCTACAATCCGACATTTCAAAGCCAAGTCCACAAGCTTGGGATTTATAGACCAGCTGCAGACTTTGCAATGAGGGGTTGACTGAGTTTGAACAAGCATTCGAGTAATATTCCCCGACAAGAAGAGTTCAATGTGATAAACTCTGCCCCAAAGGGTATCTTCAGGAACGCTGCGGCTGGGTCGGGAGCTCCCGTAGACTTCAGCGTTCTTGAGGTCAGTCATTGAAGCAAGGAACATTTCCATGAGTACAGCCATTGAACCCCTCTCGTAGAAGTGAAGGCGTTGAAACGAATTGATAGCTAGTGTGCGCCACGAGGAGCGGAATGGCGCATGCAAGGGATGCGGACGTCCGAAAGCCACACCATAAACCTCGAGAATTCAGCGCCGTCATCAATTCCCATCGTCTCCTCAAACTATGGCACCGAGCTGACTCTATTTCTCTGTTTACACAATCTTGACTGCAGTAACGATATACAGCGATAGACCGTGGCCATGCGCATCTCCAGATTCGCACCCTTAATCGTGGCCGTCACGCAGGTGGTTGACGCCTCCACCCCGCTCAACATCACGGCTCTGTCGACGCGCGACGGCTACTCCGTCATTGAATGCTGGCAACTCACCTCGGTTCCCGTCGAAGCCCGCGCGGCTCTCAACTACGCCGTCGGCGGCGACCTGACGAGCGCGGAGTGGTCCATCATCCATCCCAGGACGACGGTTGGGGAGGCGTGGGCGCCGGCTGTGCAGTGAGTCTTCTTCATGCCCTCTTGCGACACGTAGAGTGGAGGGGGGAAGTTCCCTGCTCATGAGACGACCGAGCTTCTTGCCATCTGTTTTGTTGAGCTCTTCGAAACTTGACGGACACGGCACAAGGAAGAAGGGTCCTCCTTGGATGTGTCGCCTGACGTCAAGGATCTCGGTGTCGAAAACCCCAAAACTGACTTGATCCCCGAGCAAAGGCTGACGGTCATCCTCAATGGCCTGATTCGCATCACCTCGCCAGCAGCGCCAACGAACGCGTCGCAGGCCACGCCGTCACCGTCATCACCGGGCAGCGACGCATCAGCATCTCAACCACGCCCGGCGCAGTCGACGGCGTACATCCAGCCGGGGACGGTCTCTTCGTCACTCGTCATTGCGGCGGACCTGAAGAACGCGAGCGTGCACGCGGGGCACTTTACCGAGTTTCCCGGCGACGAGCCGACGGTGCTGGTGCAGGTGCCGTTTGCCGGGAACGCGGCCCCGGAGCACGTCGTCGTGGGAGAGGGGCCGTGTGGCAGGGGGACTTGGGCGTTCTAATGGGGGCGGTGGCATCTGATGGACGATGTGACTACCGAGGGGGACGGCTTGCTTGTGATAATGGCAATACTGGTGCCGTCAACTAAGGTAGTATTACATCTACATGTATGCAGCTTACGACCCGTCCCGAAATTCCCGGATCAGCGGCACATTGCTCACGTTGACCAGAGCAAGAGAAGTGAGCGCTATCAATAGTAACAGTGTCATAGCGCCAGAAGTCAAATCCACGCGGTAGCCGACGATGAGACTGGGACTGGGACTGGGACTGGGATTTTAGAGAATTGGCAAGGAAACGTAATGGCTCGGGAAGCGTGAACTCTGACCTGAGCCAACATGTACAAGTCGGGAGGGAACCTCGGATTGAGCTGATTTAGGCTCGCGTCTTTTGGTCGTGGCCTACTTGGGCTTCACCTTGGTCGTGTTCATGGACCATGTGTGAGTGACGCATTAACGATGACAATAAAAAGACCATCCAAAGTCTAGATGGCGCGGCCGTTCAATGTGTACACCGAATTGCGATCGTCTCGGCATGCCGGGACATCCGCTGTTAGCAAACGGGCGTATGGCACGTTGACATAACCCACCTTCGGACACGGATTCATCACTTCTTTGCGTCATGTTTTGTCCCTTCATCGGTGTTGTTCGGACACTTGGGCTACGGGGATCACCCGATCATTGATGGCGCGGACGGGTGGGTTTTTGGTGAGGGCTTCTGCTCTCGGGAATTGAATTGTTACAACGGCACAGCTGAGACAAGAATAGCGGCCGAGGTCCCCTTTTTTTTTTGCGTTCAACGTTTGAACGTCGTTCTATTACTCCATGCTTGCGGAGTAACGGGACTGAAGGCCAGGCCGTGAATCTGTGCGGCTGCGCGCAGTTCAGGGTCGAAACTCGACACACAGGATGCAGCGCACGTCTACTGAACATTCTCTTTCTTTTCCGTGCGTCCAGCCGAACGTGGTTGCCGAAGAGCAGACGAAGAGGATGAATCAAATGTCTACGCGGCCCGTAACCTCGGGATGTGACACACGCCTCGCGCCTCTTGCAGCATGGTGATCTCGTGCTTGTCGGTGATAGTACAGTAGCGCAGACTTACTGAGCATTCCGTAGAGTAACATCATTCACTTGGTGGTCAGCAACAAACCGATGGGAGGATCTCGGCAGTGGACAGGAGGGGAAGGAAGGGCCTCGTGGGGCCTAGGTAGAATCCTACGATTTGATAATGGATCTCCGCACGGGGAGGATAGGGTGCTGACAGCGATCATCCCGGCAGAGCCCGCGGCGTGCTCAAAGAGGCATGCGGACCCGGCTGAGAAGGGTGGGAGGGGAGGGGAGGGGAGGGGCAGATCTCATCCACGGCGGGTCGGATGGGGGTCAGATAGGTCAACTAGGGCAGAAACGTAGGGCATGCTACTGTATACGGATACAAGTGATAGCCCGAGTTGAGGAATGTGGGAAAAGCAACGAAAGGCATCTCGGTAGCCTGTGATTCTGGCGTCGTTGATGTCTTGCGGTGCGCCGGTGATACGGAGCTTTGGCAGCCACATGCTGTTGGTAATAGTTCGAATCGCCAGAGCACTCAGCAATGGCAGCAGCTCAGCGGAGCTTTCGGGAATAGGGCGCATCCCTAAAGACGGCAGGGCCAGGCGGCTGTGAAATTTGGCTGGCTGGGTCGTCGCAGTTTCATTCCAGTCCGGTCCAGTCCCAGTCCCAGTCCTCTGCGAGCGTGACCTCGTGGGCTCGTGGATCATTGCCAGTTTTGGGGTGGCTTCGTAGAAGGGAAAGGTGACTGTAGTCTGAAGGTGTGTGTGGTCGATCCATGTCGTTGGTGGCTGTGGTCCCGCGTTCGCGAACCCGTACGGAAAGGAGGGTCGGATGAAGAAGAGTTCAAGAACCTACCGGTATTGTAGGTTTGAGACCCCGTTGATGATTGGCGCTGACGGGGACCGTTTGGAAAGAGTGAGCGAGACGACAATGGTTAAGGTTGCCTGGCATGGATATAGCTTCAACGTGCGGTGGCTGAGCAACCTGCGCTGGTTCACGGAGAACTATGCAATCTTACCGTCGCATCGTTGGGGTTTGCTTGAAAGCTTCGCCTTGCGAGAGGCATCTGTCGACAGCACTTGACCCGGGACGGATGTGTACCTACCGTGCTATCATATCTCAGGCCCACGATACACACGGTAATCTACCCATCCATCCATCGAGGATGGGATGGGTTGGAGGGATGGATGGATGGATGGATTCATGTACTCGAGAAGCGAATCGCTGCCCACGGGGTCGGGTATGTACGATGACCGCCCTGGCATCACGCTGGGTGCCTCCTCCTCAGTCGGCACGTCAGGTCGCAGCAGGCGGCACACAGGTTGACGCGGTAGGCGATGATTGGGCCGGTGTGAATCAGGGACGATGCAACGGCGTCCAATCCGTGGTAAATTGACTCTGGAGTGGTGTGGTGGCAGAAGCCTAAGACCCGTAAGAGTGTGTGTGCGTGTGAGCGTGTGTGAATGGAGGATGCGTCTTGACATGTGAAAAGGAGTCGGGGACTGCCTGTCAGTCCCAACCACCACCAACAGCACAGAGCAGTGCAATCACAGCGCCGCGAATGACAAGCCCGCCGGACCTGCAACGGAAATAGCACCGTCCAATAAACTGAGGCTTTTGCAACGTGGTGGTCGTCCGCTCGTACGCCAAAGACGCTGCTCAAGGGGTCGAGACAAATCGGAAGATGAGAGACACTTGTGCGAGTCTTACACCAGCTGCCTCTGCGGCTGCTTCCAGCTGGAGATGCACTGCGCATTCTCTCAGGTGACTATTTCCTTGACATCACTGTTCCTCCTCTGACGCTCAGCCATGGGCATGCCACTTTGGCTTGTGATACGTGATGCGATGCCCGCGATACCACCTCGTCGTCTCGTGAAGCGTAAGGCTGCTGGCCCTCTGTATCTGTTCCTCCCTTTGCCTTTTACAAACACTTGATAACGGGATGGATGGATGGACGACAAGCTCTCTCGCAGCTCATTCGTTCATGCCCGCTGGCATTAACTCACTCACCTGCCTACGCACCCCTCGGTCTATAATCTCATTAAGCATTACAACCTTGGCCAAAAAATCAGCCCTAATCAAGCCCTCTTCGCAGAAGATTTCGCAATATTCTGCCCCTCCCTCACGAAATCCCCAGAAAGCCAACCAAAAAGTTGGGGGGGGGGGGGGGAAACGACGCCCGCGGCTGAGAGGCCCCCCTCCCCCCCACGCCACCCCCCCCCCACCCCCCCCCCCCCCCCCCCCCCCCCCCCACAAAAAATTCAATGCCCCCCCCCCCCCACACAAACCCCGAAAAGCCAAACAAGGGGGGGGGGGGGGGGGGGGAAAGACGCAGCGCGCTGGCTGAGTGTCCCACTCACACGCTCACAGTCACACACACACACACGCACCACTTCTCCGCCAAACTTCATCCCTGGACCTTGCCGAGCGCTCTAGCGACATCGGCGGTTGTGCGGGAAGAATCCCAGTGAGGGGCCGCTGTGGAACTCTAGACAGGGGAGGGGGTTTACCGCGTCTCGCCATGACTCTCTCGTCGTCGTTCTTGGCTGTGAATGCGCCATCCATCATCTATTGAAACCGATACGCCATACGCAAGGCACCGACTGTCAAAGTCCGGGCTTGTCACTGTCAAGACTGCAAGCTAGCGGTGGACCGAGACGTCAGAAGAAACGAGCGAGACGGGTGATGTTAATACCAACAAAACATTAGTAGTCGCGCCAACCGAGGCCGCCAGCTTTGAGCTTTCCTTGTCCAGCAATAGATTCCAGAGACAAGCCGAGCTCACGCCGGCCGGCCGTAGAGTAGGTATATCTTCACTGACATGACTTGACGACATTCAAGGCCCGCCATCCCGTTCGCGCCTGTCAGTTCACGCAGCAGACTGAAGCTAGAGAAGCATCGCCGTCTTTTAGTCGCCGCGACTTACGGATACACTCTCGGGCTGCTCTCCGGCCGTCTTCAGCCCCCCCAACTCGTCTCTTCAATAGTGTGAACGAGCTAGCTCTCATTCCATATCCACGAGCTGTCGAACAGCGCACCAAAGGTGGAGTGATTGATTCCAACACCACGCCGCCGGGCTATCCTCGTCTCGATGGCTCTCGTTAGGCCCCTGAGTCCTCGCTCACTCTTTCTCTCTCAGCGACTCTCTTTCACTCTCGTCCCATCTTCAGTTATTCACTTTTTCGTATCCTTCATTCCTCCCCCTCAATCTCATCATACCAATTCCCAACTCTGCCCATCTCATCCCACCCGCGTCCACTCTTGCGTCACCGCTACTCCGAATTGGAGGCTTGGGAGGCGCTTTTCCCCCTCAACCGTCGAGCTTATCCTACGACAACATCAGCACCTTACGCAATACAGACCCCAGGGGCCAGGGATCCATCCCACGATCCATCGCCGCGCATACGCAGTCTCTCACTTGCACGCAACCACGCGCATGAAGCCCATCATAGGTACATAACAAACAATTCTGGGCCGACTCTACGTACGTCCTCGTGGTCCTGAGCTGTTCCTAATACGGATAGAGGCCGAGTACGTCCAGAGGGTACGGATACACGAACCACGCATACGCCCCCTCTCAGCCTCTCTTAGTGTTCTCCTCTCACCCAGAAGAACGTTAGCTGCATGAAAGGCGCCGCAACGTCCTTGAGACGACAAAAAAGATCAACGCCGCGCTCCCGCCAGCGACGACGACGACAAAAAAAAAACACCTGCATCCTGAGTGGATATCCACGTCTCTCTTGTGTACCCCTCCGCTCGCCTCCCCATCTCTATCATCTCCACCGTGTTGCATTAAGAGTCTGAAAGCAACACAACGCCAGAGGTTCTAGACTCGACTCGACTCGACTCCAGTCCGGCGCCGGTCGTGGCTCAACTTCCTCGCGCTCTCTAACCGTGCAAGCTGCCGCAGAGGTGCCCTCTCATCCCAAATAAGCGGTTTTTATCGCTGGGAAACCCCCTCCCCTCTAGCGTGTAGCGTATCGGTGGGCGACTACATCATCGTCCCAACTTTCGAAACTCTGTGACACGAAAGGTTGTTTTTTCTCTTTCCCGTGTCTTTGGCCTTCGTCTTCCCTGCCCCCCTCTTCTATATGGTTTGAACAGGCTTTTACCCTCCACGCCTCTCTCCCGACCTCTTGTCAAAACCTGCCTGCTTCAGCTGCGTCTGAAGAAGTCGATCGGGACCTGGTGCCGGTTTAAAAAAAAAAAAAAAAAAACCTGAGCAAAGGCCCTGCAGAGTCGAACTTCTTCGACGCTGTTCACTCTGACACCGATATATCATCGCCACTTCTGCTCCTCACTCTTTGATCTTGTTTCCCGCCCAGTGTACTCATGCAACTTGTCTCCTCCTTGTGTGGTTTTGACTCAGACATACATGTTGGGACAGCCTCGGGACCTTGGATCTAGAACTTTGGTTCTTGATATCGGCGGCTTGTCGTCTCATCAACAACGCCCTCGCCCACCTGGCCACTTGCTGCACCTGCAGCCCGTCGCTCCCCCTCCCGTCCCGCAGAAGCAGCACACTTTGGCTTTGGACTTCACCCCCCCTCCTTCTTCTCGTCTGATCTTCTAGCCACCGGCTTGTCCTGCTGCTCTTCCAGTCAGTCAGTCAGTCATTGGTGTCCCGTACTGGCCTTCATTGCTCCCTCTCACTCTCTCTATCCGTTGATCCCAGTACGGCCACTTGTCGCCCTATAAACCCAGCCATCTTTGGGAATTACATCCCTCACCCCTTCACCCCGCTCCGCTGCCAGCCAGCACATTCCGACGTGACATTTACATTGTTCCTCGTCGCAGTGGGCTTCCCGCATAAATCAACCTTCAAACCAAGCACCACCCCTTACCCACCGCGCCAACAAAAAGCCAATCCGTACCGGGGAACAGCCTCGCAGCTCATCCTAGCAGGCATAGCAGCAGCCACATCAACCACCCGCGCACAACCCAACCAGAAGTTTCTTCTCGAGGCGGTGTCTGTACCTACATATTCTTATCCCGCACCCTCCTCTCAACCTCCTCTCCCCTTCTCTCCGAACCCGCCCCCCCTCCTGTCATCACCCCACGCCGCGAACCTGGTGGGCAAAAAGAAGCAAGAATATCAACAACAGTCTATCATTAGAGAGACAGAGACGAGGGCTTGTGTAAACCCAGCAGCTGCCAACGCCGCCCGCCTCTCCATCCATCCATCCATCCACATCCCCCTCCATTCCTCAGCAAGACATCCCAGGTCCCAGCTGCAGCACCACGAGACCCCATCGACGCCTCACCGCAACATCCTGACCCAATCACGGCCCTCTGGCCCGCCCACGACGACAACTCCCCCTGCCACCCTCGACCGGGGTCCATCACCAGGGCCTCACGATCACCACACAAAATAGGCCCCGTCCCTTCTCGATTCGCAATAGTTGCATCGTCCACTCTGGCCCTGTAAGGACCTGCATCTGCCGCCTTTCAAAACAGCAACACTTCGCCTGTCGCTAAATAGGCGAACAGGGTTCCCAAGAGACGAACCAAACTCCAACGAGTCCACTCCGACACTTTTGTCGTCAGATCAACAGGAATCTGGAAACGGGGGACCCTCACCCGAGGGGTCTAGGTTTTTTCCTCCTCGTTTATTGACCGCAACTTCACACAACTTACAAGCGCTCCGTTCAAATCTCGCCTTCATCTCCGCCTTTATCTCTCATCTCGTCAACGGATTTATTTAATACAATAACCTCTCTCCGTCCCCTCTTGTCCCTCCCCCTGGGAGGCCTTCCGCAAGCGAGATCATCTCGAGGTCTTTACCTTCGCGGCTCGCAGCTTGGTTTTTAAAAGCTCGCTGGTCGGCATCGCGTTACTCGTCAAAAGTACAAAAGAGCGCAACAACCATTCCCAACCTCCGCTATCGCACCCTATCACCGTGGCCGATCAAATTGAGGGGGGAAATCCTCCAATGGCTTCATAACGAGGAATTCACTTTCTATCGTTCCGAGTTCTACAACACACAAAAACATCGCAAATACCTTTAGTCACAGAAACATTTCTCATCTAGGCGTCCCATCCGCTTCTTCTCTGCAAACTTCGTGAGAGAACACCGGGTCGACTCCTTTCACCAGCAACGCACACACTTCACACTTGCACACTCACACACACACACACACAAGATCACATGAACAAAACCGCAAACACGTCTCGCCTTTCACCTTTCCCCTCCAATATGACCTTCCGCACCGAGTCCCGCGCAAGCGTCGCCGCCTCCGACACGACGTACTACACTTGCGCCTACCAAAGCTTCCACGACGTAGAGCTCTACGCCCCGAGCTCCCCACCCTCCAAGACCCCCATTCCCGCCCCGACGTCGGCCCCGATCCGAGCTCCGGCGCCGGCCCCTTCACACTACCACCACTTCCCAGCACACCCCCAACAACAACAACAACCACAGCGCCATAAAGACAAGGAGCCCGAACCCACCGAGATGCGCCGTCAAGATTCCGGCTACGAGTCCCTTCCCCCGCGGTCCTCCTTCTCCAACCCCCGCCGCGCATCAACAGCGTCCTCCTCACAGTCATCCTCCAGCCCGGGTGCTGCTGCTCCCCGCTGCCGCGGCCGCCCGACGGTCCGCCGCGCAGCAAAGACGAGCCCGTACCCCGCAACGACGGCCCGCACCAGTGGAAGCAGCCTCTACCACCCTCAACGCCCTCATCAGCAGCACGCCCAACCCCCGGCAACTTTCTTCCACTTCCCCGCACACCCAACGGACGTCGAACTCGCCGCCCGTCGGCCCTCACACCGTGGCGGCGGCGGCGGCGTCGAGGACCTCGAGCTCGACCAGCGACAGCTGCTGCTCTCGCCCGGCCACCAGCAGGAGGGGCAGGAGTGCTCCGAGGTGGCGCCTCCGCTGCCGCCGCAGGCCACGCACTACTGGACCAGCGACCGCACGCGGAGGCTCGAGTACGCCGCCATTGACGCCGCGAGGACGGGCGTCACGGGGTGGATGAAGAGGCACCTCGTGCCGGACTGCTTCGTGCCCAAGGAGAAGCACGTTGCGTTCGACGACGACACGGGCAGTGTGCGGAGGTACAGGCTCGAGTTGGACGAGGACATGCCCTGCGAAAAGGGGTGTGCGGGTCGTAGGAGGGGCTGGTTCGGGTGGACTCGCTCCAAGACGGCTTGATGAAGACGCCTTTTCTTCGCCTGACGAGATCTTTTTTTTTTTTTTTTGATTTTATTTGCTTTGATGCTGGTGTTTTGTTTCGGATCATGGACTGGAAAGGGGGGGACGGTACCGGGGGGGGTTTGGTGTTCTTTTTGGCATCAAGTCGATATGGCATTTGCACAAGCGGCTGGGCAGGCTGCATTGGCGTTTTATACCCAGCATTTGGTAATCGTTGGATTCTCGTCATATTTCTGTTCGACTTTCTTATTGCATAATCTTGTTTTTAATGTTTTTTCCCCCCTTTGTCGAAATTTCCCGTGGGCCTTTGGGCCTCACACAAGGGATGAAGGCATGAGAGTTGAAGTTTGAGTATCAGAATGGCATAGCGACACCTAGATGATAGACGACGACACGAGAGTTGGGAGATGGAGAAGAGACTGGAAGCAAGTCAGAGAGACAAATGTCTTTTGAGGACTACAGATATTCGTATCCAGACTGAAAGTTATTCATACACGTAGTCTCCAAGAGATACAATTATATATACATATATGCAATCACTTCTGACGAGGCAACCCATCGCGCGTTTCATTGATCATACTTACATATAAGTGAGGCTCTTTTCCGTCTGATCTTGCATGGACCTGTCGTCTGATGATTATGGCGGGTGGTCTGTCTTCCATCCTACTGCAACACCACCACCAGATTTTCCATACACCGCTAGTCCCCCGCGATCCATTTGCAGAAACCCACGTGAGAGTGTCCCCTCGCGGACTTCAAGACCGGTCTTATCTTCCGCCCGGGTCCGGAACACATTAGGCGGACCGGGCCGGATCAGCCGCGGTTCCGGGGGCGAAGAAGCGGTGAAAGATTTGAGAGATCACGACCCGCTCTGGGGTTTCCAAACTAGGAATCTTGCGGTCCCTCCCCCGGGGCCGGGGTAAGCATCAATAGGGGTAAACCGACTTGCTCCAGTCTCTGCCACCATGGGGAATTCCGACGGCGTCTGAAGCCACATCGACGAGGAACCATTCGGAAGTCAGAGGTCTTCGGCGTTACATGAGGCTAAAGTCAATCGTCTAGAGTTTCCCGTCAATCTTCAATAGTGTCGCATTAAGCTACCCTCTACTGGCATCTCTCTCCCCAACCCAACATCCCAGCTCCTTCACCGCCTGCCCACGTCAATCCTACTGAACAGCATCGCAGCGGCGGCGCCCATCCTCTCTGTACAGACATGCAAGGGCCATTCACCTTCCGATCCATGCGACACCAATGCCAGTATCAACGAATCTCACCTCTTGACCTTGACGCACTCAATCACGGCAAGGTGTCGCCACGGTCCCTGGCCCTTGGACACGCTCTTGATCTCAAGGCCCGCCCTCCCGAGGATATCAGTCCAGCATTCGAGTGACCGCTGCTTTCCGCCAAATGTGAGCATCATGAAGTCGAGCATCGTGGAGGTGTAGTGCGGCGGATTTCCCATAACGTCCTCCTGGATCAGAAGCCGGCTGTCCTCGGCCATCGCCTCGGCGATGATGCGCAACATGCCGACGCCCAGATCGTCGCCGTAGTTGTGTAGACACCGGCGGATCCAGTACGTCAGGGCACCTTGAAGACAGTGTGTGGTCAGCTATCCATCGCAAAATCCTTGAAGAGAGGGAGAGAGGGAGAGAGAGAAGCGTTTGCATCACCAAGCGGTGGGGCCCAGCAGGTTTCGATGGGGATGGTTTGTCTCTCACCTTTAACGGGTTGCTCCTTGTGGAAATCAATAACCTGCTTCTGAACCAGCCTCATATCCTCGTCATCAAGGTTCCGCACAGCCTCAACCACCTCTGCACGATCCTGCAACACGCATCTTTCCAGCGGAAGCCCGGGGTTCTCGCGGTGGATGGCCTTGATGGACTGGCCCCGGCCCGCGCCGACGTCGACAAAGAGCGGCCGGCCGTCCGAGGCGTTTTCCTGCGCGTACTTGACCACCCACCCAAAGTCGTAGATGCCCGCGATGGGCATCTTCTCCTCAATCGGCCCCATCGCGCGCAGGAACCGCTGCATCCTCGGCGGGTCGTGCTGGAGCATCTCGTACCAGCCGTACTCTGGCACGCCGTACGCGTACGTGCCGGGCACGTTGTTGAGCGTCTGCGGTTCCTTGCGGCCGTACTTTTCAAAGTAGGCTGGCATGTGGATGTATGGTACCAGGCCGTTCTCCCATCTAGCAAGTGTTAGTGAAATGGGGGGTTCGAGGGGGTGACCCGCGGGGGGAGAACAAACGCCATGCCGACGATCTGACCCGCCGGGTGACCGTCAATGTAGATGCGAGAGCGCTTGGTGTGCGCGACCGAGTCGTCGCCGACTTGTTGCAGGATACCCATCGACGTCAGAACACCACCAGTTCGTCCTGGCAAGTGTCAGTGATGCAGTCAAGTTCAATGGCCTCGAGCGAGCCCTCGCAGTGCGTTCAAAACTCACGTATCAGAGACACCTCGGCATCGACTTTCTTGGCCAAGTCGCCATAGGAGATACTGCCTTCGGATGGGATATGATCATAAACCTTCCACTCCCAAAAGAGCCGATTCGCGCCCAGCTGCGCGACCTGCGCCGTGGCATCGAACCACTCATCAGCGGGATCCTTTACGGCGTTGATGAGCTTGTTCGCCGCGTCGATGATGCGACGCCGTTGGGCCTTGTCCAAGTCGCCCCCGGACGGTCCGGGGTTCGTCACGAAGTTCTGGAGGGCCGCGTTGACTTCTTCCGTCGCCGCCGCGGCCTCGTCCCGGATCTGAGTGCCAGTGTCGCCGGCCATTTAGACAGCGGGAACGCTATTCCGGTTGGGCCCCTGCACTGAGTTAAAAAAAAGAGTTCTGCCGGTCGCTCACTGGCGCGTAAATGCACGTGCTGTTACACGAGGAATGCGATTACGTTCCTTTCGAATGGGTGTCTGGTGGATTGGCTGCAGGTTTGCAGATCAACAATCTTGTTGCATAGGCAAAAATAACTACGCTGCACGGGATACTGGGTACATGGGATTTGACAGACTTCGCGTTGGAGAGAAGAACGGAATGTGGGTGAAGATGGGATGATGAACTCTCCTGCAGTATCGAGTGCACGTACAGATCAGATCGGGGAGGGGAGGTATGACTTGAGGGAGAGGTCAACCGCGGAAAAAGGACTTTTGCCTCGCTTCTGATGCGCCCAACGCTCCCCAACTTCACCTCTCCCGATACGGTGATGCTACGTCCAAGGATGGACGGTAACTGGATGCGGCAGCTCGGTCTAGTCTCTCAACGTGTGTCGGGGAAAACGTGCCGCACACGTCTCGTCTCCAAGTTTCCGCATGGGTAGGGACGCATCCTGAAGGAGCGGAGGGGATTCTACCGAGTAACCAATAGCGAATAAGCAACTACTGTCGAGCTAAAGCAGCACGACCACCATAAAGCAAAAAAGAAGGGGGCCGCCGACATGGACTGGCTGACGGTCGACGAGGGGGCGGTGGCTGGAGGACTTCAGAGAGGGGAATAGGAGAAGAAGAACGTGCTGAAAGAACCGACCAGAGAAGACGGACAAGACGGACAAGACGGACAAGCAGAGACATCTCGGAGCGCCACCGCGTGACGGTAGAGCGTCCTTTCATACTTACCATATCCGGCTATTCTGCTCGTGGCCCACGCTCCGGGGATAGTCTGACGAGAAAAGGAATCCGCCTCAGTACTAGCATTTCTAGACCGTGGCGCCGGTCGCCGACCAAACCCGGCTAAAGTTGTCCAGACCGAAGCTTGATAGGTCTGTTGAGCGAAAAAGAGTGCGCAGGGGGGGGTCGAGACATGCCACTTTGGAACGCACATATTACACACCAGACGTTTTCTTTTCGTCGAACTACTGCTGATGTGCTGCTGACAGAAGCCAAAAGTCCGCAGGAAAAGAAAGAACAGAAACAAAAACCGAGTACCGACGCTGCGGTCTCAACGGCTTTTGTTGGGGGTTTCTTGTTTTCCGCTGTCTTCTCCCCTTCGTCACCGGGTTGATTCCGCGCATCCCAGACTGGCTTCGGTCCACGTTTTCCCCCCGAAGAGAATCTCTTTCTCTCCTTCATAGTGTGCGTTTTCAAACAAACGTTAAGGTTTGGGACTGAGATCTACGTTCCTTAACCTGGTCAAAGACCCCGGTGATCCCCCCTCTGTTGCATTCTGACGTTGAATTTCCAATTCGACGTCCGCGACGATCTGAAAGGCACATCCTGGCCAGACACACGAGCCTTCACTTGAGGCCTGACAGCGACGACGCCGACAACGAAGGCTGCGGCACCGACCGCTCGCCTAGGTGACAGAGTCGATTAGGAACATTGAGAAAGGGCACATGCAAGAACAAATATTCGGCGCACTTTTTCCTCGACTAATACAAAGCCTGGCCTCGGCCAGTATCGCACAACCATGACGGATGCTACAGCAGGAGGAGAAGCCGGCCAACCCGCCCAGTCACCGTCGCCCCCGCCCCCGCCGGAACACCGCTCGCAGTCAGGATCAGGTGGACAGCAGACGCCTCAAGATTTGCAAGCCGAGAACGTGGTCGAGCCCGACACGGAGGACGACGGCGCGTCTTCGCGGGCGGGGGACGGGGTGTGGGACGAAGGGTTTGACGGCAGCAGCATCGGCAACCACTCGGCGTCGACGTCGCTGTCCAACAGCGTGCGCGACTATGTCTTTGAGAACACGCGGCGGTATCACAAGTACAAGGAGGGTCGGTATCTGATGCCTAACGACGAGCCGGAGCAGGAGCGCGAGGACATGAAGCACGCCATGTGCGTCAATGTCATGGATGGGAGGCTGCATTGCGCGCCGTTGGAGAACCCGCAGAAGATTATTGATATCGGAACGGGGACGGGGATCTGGGCTATCGATAGTGAGTACCCTCTTTGCCTGAGTGTCTGCGCCATGATGTCTGCTTTTGCATTCTTGTCTCCCAAGACAGGCATGGGGGAATAGGGCCAAGTGGGCCGGTCTCCTATTCATTTCTGTTCATACGATACCGGCCAAAGATCAAACTGCTTTGCACGATGACTGACATGTCCCTCCAGTGGGTGACGAGTACCCAGAAGCAGATATATCCGGCATCGACCTGAGCCCCATCCAGCCAACTTGGGTGCCCCCCAACGTCCGCTTCGTCGTCGACGACGCAGAGGCCGACTGGGTCTGGCCGCCAGCCTCCCTCGACTTCGTTCATGCGCGCCACATGTGCATGGCCGTCAAGAACTGGCCGCGCATGCTCTCCCAGGCCCACGACGCGCTGCGACCAGGCGGCTGGATCGAGCTGCAGGAGCTGCGGTTCGTCCTGCAGTGCGACGACGGGACGATGCCGGGACCTGAGCAGTACGGGTACGGCAAGTTTGTAGACCTGTGCATGTCCGGGTTTCGGAGCTTCGGCATCAACCCGCTGGCGATGGAGAGCAACGCGGAGATGCTCCGTGCGAGCGGGTTCGACGATGTCGTGGAGAAGGTGTGGAAGGTGCCTATTGGGACGTGGCCGCGGGACCAGAAGCTCAAGACGATTGGGTTGTATAACCGCAGCATGCTCATCGACGCGCTGCAGGCTGTGAGTATGGCGCCGTTGACGAGGGGGCTCAAGTGGAGTGCGTCCGAGGTGGAGGTGTTCCTGATCGACGTGCGCAAGAGTTTGATGAATGCGTCGATACACTCGTATCTGACCTTCCATGTGGTGTATGGGCAGAAGCCTCACAAGAGCTAGAGTTGGTTGAGATCGGGGATATGACGTGCTGCGGCGAGGACTTCGGCGTTTGGCTGGATCGGAGTTTGGTAGTGGTGGCGTCAAAATTTGTAAGGAGTATGGAGAGAGTTATTCTTGCAGCCAAGTCGGGACTTCCTCAGATTCTATCAGTCAAAGGTGTGCGTGAACCATCAAGTTTTGCAAATTGCACGATGTTTGCAAAACCCTCATCCTTCACTATGCAGCGTGCTTGCTTATCGTTTCTGATGACACCCGCTTTTGGTTTTCAAGATTCCGCATTTTTTCCCCATTTCTTATCCATGTGTTGTTAGGAATGAAGATACTAGACAACAACCAACTTCCAGAGTCGTGCAAACACAGCTTGCGAAATAAACCTGGTTCTTATCAACGGCAGTGGCTCTGGTAAAAGTGATGTGGCACTATTATATCCCAACGATGTGCGTACAACACTCCTGCGATGATACTATGAGATTCAAGCATGAACAGAGCATTGTAGAGAGTTCAAGACCATCCTATCCTACAACCACACTGCTTTTCTCTATTCATTTATCCATCTCGGGGATAATGGCTTATTCTACACATGCTCACAGAAAGTAAAGTTGACACATCCTCAAATCCTCACTTCTATGCTCGGGCCCCTGAACGTTCCGTTCAACTACGTTCTTTCCGTAGAATAACTTTCTGGAAATGCCACGTCATTCTATACACTCATCATGATATCGACGATAACGGGTCGGTGGTCCGATATGTACACCCCGTCATCAAACTGATTCGGCAAAACTGCGTAAGTCAAGAACGCCATCCCTACGGCCGTCGGATCGCGTACAAACAAGTGGTCAAGTAACGTGTCATCCGAGACGTCGTCCGTGAAAGCAGTGTACGTCTTAGAATATCCCGTCCTCCTGGACTCAGAAACTACATCACGGATATCGTGCAAGTTTCCCTCTGCAATCAAGGTCTGGTAAGCCGCATTATCCGGCTCAATGTTCAGATCGCCGCCAAGAAAGACCGGAACAACCTCATCACTCGAGGACTCCCACTCTTTGGCCAGGCTGACCAAGAGTTCTGCACTCTGTTCTCTTGCAATCTGGCCCTGGTGGTCAAAATGCGTGCACATGTACACCAGCGGCAGTCCACTTTCAATATGCTGGAAAGACGCGACGGTGACGATACGGGGGAGCGCAGCGTCCCGGCCCTTCGAGCCTGGTACGTCGGGCGTCTCGCTCAACCAGTACGTCCGGTTCTCCACGAGGCTCCACGTGCCCGGCTGGTAGTAGATGGGCGAGAATTCCCCTGCAGCGACGCCGTCGTCGCGGCCGACGCCGATGTGGCCCCAGGCAGGGCCGAGGTCTTGGGCGATGTCGAGCAGTTATTCTTCAACCACTTCCTGCATGCAGACGAGGGATTCGGGCCGGACTGCGGTCTCAAAGTTGAGCTGGGCAAAGAGGTGAGGTCGGCGGGTGGACCATGGTGCTTCGTTAATGCCTGGGCCTGGTGTGGCCCAACGGATGTTGTAAGTCATGAGGCGTAGAGCGAGTCCAGATGAATGACAATGAACAACATTCGCTCCGAGTGTCAAAATTGCTGCTATGAAGTGTTTCATGGCTGCTAGCTACGGCTTGAAACACTTATAGAGATCCTATGATGGTGCAGGATCAACGGAATCAGAGCAGCATTTATGAGTTTTATGATTGGAAGATCACGACTTTCAAGCTCCAGAGGGTGAACGATGAACCAGTCAGGGGGGACAAAATGAGAATCCTAACGACATGCTCACAGCTGCAAGTTGCCGTCATTTTGTTACTACAACATGCTTGGCTCTTGGCCTCACAGCTTAAGCTACCATTGAACCGGCAGTTATCATCTACGTTTGCCCTGATGATCGGCGTGCTCCGGTTCACGTGGGGTCCAGATAGCCGCTCATTCGCCGAGAAAGTGGAGAATAACCGGCCAAAGAGCGAAGGAAACCAGGTCGGAAGCCTGGGCAATGTGATGGAGGGACATCGGGGCTTCTTGCTCGCGGAGCTCCGGGTCGTGTCTCTGTGTTTACGGCTACGCGTGTGAAGTATCACCGGAACAGCGCCTCCGGTGTAGATTACACGTCGACCCAAGGAAGTCGTTCGAAAAGTCTTGAGTCATCATTCCTGCTTAGCTTCTCCACTACCAGAGGGACAGCTTACCCAGTTGATGCATAAATCAATCCGCTTCACTGTTGAGCACTGAGTCTAGAACTCCAAGGTTCATGGAATTATGAAAGTGGATAGCTCGCTCTCCAGTCAAGATACTTGGTTGCAATCTTGCGCCTCGGTACGGACTAAATTGCCAGAGCTCCTGAATTTTATTCAGAACCGAAACTTTCTTTCCGCCAAATCTTAGCACTAGGCGTGATTTTTAATGTGTTCACAAGAAGTTCCGATGGCAATTAACCCAAATTTGATGCTATTCAGTGTCGACGATTTGCTGGCTAGAAATAGAATTTGACCCAACTTACCCACTACTTTACCCTTTCCTCGAGCTTCACCGTTGGAATGCTTGCTACATACACCTCACTCAAAGGTCGGAGTGAAACTCGACACAGGTTCACAACCACAAGCAAATTCTCTTCTTGGTTCGGCTATCGGATCTGCACTGTCTCGCACTGACATAAAAAGCCCGAAATCCCACTTTGTGCGCAACTCCATTCTCCTCCAGAGTCGCCCCCTCTTGAGGACGGTTCCAACGAAGTTTTTCACCATTCGGTCACCCACTTTCCCCTTCGAACAGTGGGGGCTGGGCCCCATCCAATTCATTTATTCGTTGATTCTGAAGCGGTCAAAGCGTGTACAGTCCAGCGGCACTTGCAGGGACAGGGTTCAAACACGAGTGTTGACAGCAATCTGTACACGACTTGATCGTGGAGCTTTTCTGCCCTTGTGCTTTCTGTCACCCGGTGTGGAGATTTCGCTGTCAAAGGACTGGCGCAGAGGCGAAGACGTAAGGATCTTGGGACATCATCGCTTAGGTAGTGAAGGATTTCCGCTTCAGGTATTTAGCCACTGCCTTGTTTTTCTTCGATTAATTTCCGTGAGAAAACACGTAACTTGGCGGGAAGCAAGGTATCATCCCAAGTGGATATTTTGCAGGATTTTATATATGAGTCTGGAAAACTACCTAGTACTCGATATTTGACATCCGCTGGGTAATAATTTTCCCTCAGCGATGCGACTCCGCCGTTCCAGGTTGACCACCCGCTCTCATGTCGTGGGACATTTCGATATCGACTTGATATGTGTACTGGGCGTGAATGCCTCCCTTTTGATCACTCGGCAGCAGGTCACCCTTATCCGAGTCGCCGTCCTGGAGACGCTCCCAGCTCTCATCCCCTCGGCCGTGAACCGCTGTCAAGCTGAAGGCCACGTCCGTCGGGTTGCGATAACGATCGCGGCTCCTGGGCTCGAGTGGCTTGCTACCGATTGTGAACAGCCCTGATTTGGTCCCGCTCCCGCTCGGGTTCGTCTTTTCCGACGTGCCGCGAGTTCGCGCGATAAAACGGCGTAGCGAGGGTACCGATGAGGCTATGCAGCCGATCCCGGTCTCGATGTTGGAGCAGAGCACCGTGTGGGCGACCCAGACTGAGAAGGCTTCTTGTAAGCTTCTATGACGCAATATAATTTCTTTTGGCACTCAGGGGGTTGAACTCACATTGGAGGTCTTGTTGGGCTTTGAATTTGTTGACATAGGGGATGCGGACCATGGTGATGATGGAGGCTCTGAAAGTAGGTTAGCTTTGATGCTATGTTTTGCTTCTTTCGAAGAGGTGGAAACTTACACTGAAGCAAAAGACAACAGACCAAAGACCTGCAGCTTGGTCTGCGTCTTCATCTGCGTGCCCCAGAGTATAATGGCAGGCACCACGACCAAGGCCAGATCCGTTACAATGGCCGAACTCGTCGCAACGTGGCCGAGGGCGACGAACACGTCCACAGAGCCGCACTTTCCTTGGCCGCTGACAATCATCGCAGGCGTCCACATGGCCTCAATCGGGTGACAGTAAAGCAGCGTTCCGACAAACGTAATCATGAATGAAGCCCACGTGACGCCGAGCAGGACCCAAACTGTAATGTGCAGACCATTGTTATTCGTGATGATTCGTTGAATGGTAAGGCAGACGGAAGATTTGACGAGGGCGAGGGCGATGACGTAAATCAAAATCCAGACAATATAGATCTTGAGGGCCTCTGAGAACATCCACATGTTGAGCTTCTCCTGTAACGTCCCCAGTCCGACGAGGCAGCCGTATATCGTCAGTGCCACGCTTGGTACGTAGACCACCTTAGGAGCAAGATTAGCAAGTTGTTCATCTCTCCAAGATAGTAGGAGTGTCATACTGTTCCCGCAAGCACGAGACCATCGTCCAGGCCGAACGTGCCCTCAACGAGGCGCACACGAGTTCGTACTCCAACACACAATACCGATATGACGAGGAAGATGGAGGATATGATGATGATTGCCAGCGGCAGGTGCTCCGGCTCGAGGATCCGTAGATCAGGGTCGACGGTCGTTGACAAGGACATATTGGCGGCACGTGTTTGGTCAATCCTCTCGTTCTCACCACCCTCACGCCACGGTTTTCCGAATATGGTTGGCAAAAGTAGGCTTTCCCCGAGTTATAACATAGCCTCAGGTACACCTGATCAGGACCTCAAGTGCCGCAAGCCGCAGATCTACTACTAATGCAGGGGGTGCCACTGGACTGGACTGGACCAGTCCTCAAGTAGGAGGCGGCGTAGCAGTACCATTGGTTTTGGACAGCTCGCAAAACTCAGAACCGGGGATCGTGTTCCATGGATGCGACCCCAGATATTAACCAGTAGGGGGCACTTTGACACTTCAAGAACTGTCATAGTGACATAGTCTCGTAAAGTCGCCACTGGTCGAGAAAACCTGAAGCAACCAACAGGGACCGACCTCCATCGCTAAAGGGGTTCCTCGTCACCGGGGGAGCATTGGCCCATGGGTCATGGCATCCGGATGGTCTGGAAGAGGGAAACAGTCAAGAGCAGTTGTCGAACTGGGTCTCGTTTACCCACTTTCCGTCACCAATGAAGAACCGGTCGTCGGGCCGAGAAGCTCGGGTTGGTTGGATCTGGGGGCCGCTAGCAACGCAGCACAACCGGGGTCCGTTGCAAGAGCATGGCTGTGAAAGACTCCACAGCACTAGGCAAAAGACATGACAAGCGGCCGAAGAAAAGTCAAAATGTTGCACTGAAGATGGCTTCGTGGGCTTGACAGCCATCCAATGGCGGGATCTGACAACTTGACAAGTCGCATGGCAGACCGGCGCTAGCAGGAGGTGGAACTCTCTGCCACGATCGCTTTTGGGGGTTGAAACAGGTCGATCATCACGGGGGTCGAGGGGTGCCACAATTGGGATCACCATCGTCTATTCAACAATGAAATTGTGGTAGCCATTCTTGCATGGTCATCTTGCATATGCGAGAATCATACGAACCGCTGTGCCGCTTTCGGGTTCCAAGACGTGATATGCCCAGTCTGACCTGACTGGCCCCGGGTGAGAAAACCTTGGAAAAGTGACAACCAACCCGAGCCGTCCTGAATCGGCTATTCATTTGATGGTCCGGCCTGGGGGACACATCCGCTTGGCTCTAGCGAGACCAAGACATCCACTTTGATATGCATGTTTGTGGCATAGTTGAGATTAAGAAATGAACTAAGCTGGCCGGAAAATCGGCATCTATGATAATCAAGTCCAGGCATGGAGCCATTCTAAGGCTGTTAGGCTATCGTCACCCGCACGCCCTTAGATCCCGACTTAGTCACGGGAATGAACATGTCGTGATCGTAAGCAACATCCTCATCAGTCGTCTCATAGAGATGCATCTTGGGCAGGACACGTAGAGCAAGTGCCGTCAAGCACAAGTTGAGCTCGCACAAAGCCAGGCTGCAAACATAGGTCAGCAAACGCGCTTCTTTTCAAGATTCCGGGGGAGGAGAAAACTCACTTCATGCCCAAGCAAGATCTGCTGCCCTTGGAAAAGGCAAGCATACCCTTCTCAACATCTTTGCGGCGTTGGTTATTCTCATCCAGCCAGCGCTCGGGGATAAACTGGTACGAGTCGGGAAACACAGTTTCGTCATGATGCGTTATAACAGCAGACATGCCAACGGCGTAGCCGGCAGGGATGACATATTCGACGGGCTTCTTGTTGAACTCGCCGCGGTAGACCAGCTTCTCCTCGGTAGCCACGCGCGCGGTGCGTGCAGAGACACCGTACGAGAGACGCAGGCCCTCCTGGAGGACAGCACCGAGGTAAGGAAGGTTTTCGAGAGCCGTCCAGCCGGGAAGGTGCTTGGGGTCATCCACGACGGCGTTCAGCTCGTCTTGGAGCTTCTTGAGCAGGTGGGGTTTGGTGAGCAGGTGGTATGTGATGACGCCCAGGGCCCAGCTGGTGGTCTCGGTTCCGGCGCCTATGACGGCGGCCGCCTCCTCGGCTAATCGCACTGGGTTCTTTTCAAGCAGCTTCAGCTCTGACTCCAGAAGGGATCCGAAGACGGTGGGGCGCTCGTGCCGGATGCCGGCGTCGAGTTCGGCTTTGGTGTGCTCGACCTTGTTAGGAATATCAATCTTGAGCGTGCGGATGAGCAACGCGATGTCGGCCGGCAAGTAGTTGACGAGCCTTTGCAAGGTCAGCATCTTCCATCACCATGGGCATCATGTGTTCATGTGCGTTCATCAGAAAAGAACATACCACTCTCCAAGAACGGCAAAAGACTTGGTCCAAGGGAAGAAACGGAAAACAAAGACGGGTCTCAGGATGGAAGCAGTCGGCTCCCGGAAGTTGGGGTACCAGCCTTCTTGTCTGAGGAAACCGAAGCTCTCGCCGAAGCAGTATCCGGAGATGGCATCAGAGGTGAAGCAGCTGTAGGCCATGGTCACGTCGAATGCCTCACGCTGAGCCAGCAGCTTGTCGCAAAGCTTCTGAACCAAGTCGTGGATGTCGCCTTCGAGGCGCGCAATCATGCCGCGAGAGAAGAACTTGGCCAAGGGGATGCGGCGAGCGCGATGCAAATCATGGTTCACGGTTCCGAAGCCAGCCTCGCCCAAGCTGGATATCACATGAATCATGAGCACTGAACGTTCCTTCTCATGGTGCATATCGGAGAGTAGAATACTTTACTTACGCAGAGCCATTGATTTGGTGGATGGGCTTGTCACGCTTGCGGCCGCTGACGGCGTAGATGTCATCTGAAAAGTTGACATCGCTGCAGTGTACCTCGTGAGGGTTGATACGAACGATGGGGCCTTGACGACAATGTTAGATTTTGTTTAGGACATCCTAAACAGACTACCTAGACTTACCATATTGCTCGTGCATGCGGCTAATCTCCTTAGTGTAGCGACCAAAGAGAATGACATCGTAGTAGAATTCGGGGATGTATGTGGCTGCGGACAGTTTAGGTCCGGGGATGTGGCTCAACGGATGCAGAGACGAGATGTTGTAGAGCGCCTTGAATAACTGGTACAACAGCCAGAGGCCGGCGAGGCCAAGCACGCTGCGAACCGAAAGGTACGACGTGGAAACGTCGAAGGGCGCCGACGCAGTCTCAATGTTTGACATTGTTTCTTAGCGATTCGCCCAAAGAGGTAACTGGGAGGATGAGAAGAAAGTCGGATCACGAAATCCAAAGAGCGAAGGAGAAGGGCATTGTCTCGTTTCTCACCCTCTCCAAGACTTTGCGCCTTGGTGAATGTGTGGAGAGTCCGGGGTGCGATGAAGGGTAGCCAAAGGGGGCGGTCCACACATTCTGCATTTGACCTACACTACACCCAAAAAAGCCAGAGCACCGAGGTTTGCAACTTTGAAGACATGGGTGGGTGGCATCAGCGATCAATGGGACGTGCAGGGAGAAGCCCCCGAGGGACGGCAGATTCCTTGCGTTGTTGAATACTACCTTATGTTGGAAAGGGATGATTGCTCTGGCCCAGGATCTGATTATGGCGTTCTGGGAAGCCCAAATCGATGGTCCGATACTCGCGAGGCAAAGATCCATTGTCTGTTCGCGCTGCAACGATACAGAATCCTTGAATTGGGGTGTAACGGCTTTTTTCGGTGGCTGAGACTTGAACCAAAGTTGCCTAACTCGGTCATGTCAGACGGCCCGCTGGGCGGGGGGCTGAGCTGGCTACATGGAGATTTCTTGATTGGGCCCGGGCAGTTGGTTGGTTAAAGGATGAGGATCCCTGAAGATTGCGTCCATGGCAACCCCTCCTTTTTTATACCTTGTTCAGGGTGTGGGACGCCGGACTTCTTCCGGCCAGATAGAAAGCCCTTAATTACGCTGCAGCCAGCGTCATTCGTTGGTTCACATGCAGTTGGGACGGGGAGTCGGGTGCGGTGCCCGCTCTCACTCTTCAAAGTGAATGGGTATCATGGACTTGTGGGCAGACCGGTGGTTCGGCCTACGTACAGAGTGAGTTGAGCCGAAAAATTACACTCGCTCGGCCTGTGGGGCCGGGTACCCACCCCGAGGGATCGTCGTATCCGGCGCCGGTCATCCGGTGTTGAAGCCAATCAGACCCCGTGTCGCCGTTCCCAACACTTCAAAGCTACGCTATTAGAATTAGATGAAATCTTCTACCAGGTGATTGCCCCATTGGAAAGCACTTTAGTACTGCAACCTCTTCCAACTCGGAACGACCATTTTTAGTACCTAGTACACATACCTACATGTAGTCATCCATTACGCATCGTCACCTTGATATTAGTCTGAAATAACGTCAATTTACTTTCTCGGTGCATACATAATCCCGAAAGTAGCCCCAGACGCAAGTCAGCATTCTTCGACTGTATGAATCCTACAATGAGCGGGTAGTATTCCAACGCAACATCGGGGGCCGGGGCGTTCGGCAAACGGCCTATTTTCCGGCCCACTGCCTCTGCATGAGACGGACTACTGCGAAAGAGCCTCACCAATTGTCGCTGTGCCGTATTATGAACCTCATTCTTCCTCCCCGATGCTTTGTCGGATAACTGATATGATTTGAGGAGATGTGTCGAGTGATCAGATTCTTGTATTGGCTCTACATGCTTCACTACTTGACGGAGAGGTTTTGTGTGAGGAAACGGCTGCCCTTTTAACATAGTCAACTTGTTTGGCCAAAAATCAAAAAAGGACCAAAAAAATGGCTAATAGTTTCCTTCAGGATTAAAATTGACCTATGCTGGCTGGTAATTCTCAGTGTGAAGATTTTGAAGACATCGTTCTAGTCTAATGGTCTCCGGGGTGGTTCACCTATCAACATTGAAAGAACCCTACGGACATGCTTCTGTGGGAGACTGTTCGTCTTCATTCTTGGAGCGATCTCGTGGTTTATTGTAGCACTCGATTTGTGAAATATCAGTCTGAAGTTGATTGAGGAGACGGAGGTTACCAGCGAGACCTTGGGTAAATGAAGGGTTGTAATGATAGGAAGATATGACTCAGGAGACTCCCGTCCCTAAAGCAGGCTTCCTATGTTCCGTCCTAGCGGCGCAATCTACATCCTCGATCAGTTAGTATTACCGCCTAACAAAGCACAGATCTACCTTCTAATATGCGAATTTCGCCGGCCAAAGAAGTCGCAAAGGAGCAAGGCTCGTCGGACTACGCGGATTTCATGGAGAAACGAGTCAAGGTTTTCCGCCATAAGTGCCACGACTTTCTTCTGGCACAAACAAGGGGCTGGCTAGGGTTTGTTTAGAGGCTTCTTAATCAGTGTCTCTTCCTGGTATTATGTCTCAGTACTTCCTTGAAACCTCTTTTTCCCTTACTTGCGCGTGTCATAAACCCGAGCACACGGCATGCATTGCTCCTCTATAGTCAGCAACCACCCTTTACTCAGTTCGTCTCATTGGGTATATACATGTAGTCATCCTATTTGCTTAATGTTGCCTCCCTGCTCCTACTACGATTTTCCCAATGTTTGATAAGGTTCACTGGGCCAGGTTGACCTCGGCCCATGTTGCCATTTCACTCGGGTTACATACGTATTGTAGTCGCCGTGCAGACACGATGTAGAAGGCATCCATTCATGGTCTCACAACTCGGCGAGATAATTTTCGACAAGCGCTTGTTCACTCCAGGAATGGCTTGACACGAACAAGAACATATCAGATCAGAACGGAGCAGTCTAGCACGATTCAACTTCCAGGTTTCTCACTATCACAAGGCAAGAGAGAGATCGTCAGAAAGATGACGTGACGCCAACGCCATTGGACTTGACGATATGACGAGATTGATGACAGCTGCGAAGGGTCTATGCAGCCGATAAAGCATGTTTGGCTCATCACAGTAACACTGGAAATGTTGCCTGCACAGGTGTTTTTGGTGATAGCATTGACCTGAGCTAGACTTGATCGGTGATCTGGCAAATCGACACGAGGCCGCTTTTACAGCCATGAGAGCGTCCACAGTCCATTCTACACACAGCAACATTACTTTCCGGAACCCGTCTCCTAATCAAGAAGCGACATTGAAACCGCGTTTTCATGGCCAGGGCCAGGAATATCTGGCCGGTTGCGGAAGATTGAGAAACAAACCTCGGCGATGTCTGTGGCCATAGCCGGAGTGGCCGCATCGATTTCCAGGCCGCTGTGTCCCATTCTCACAAGCTTGGCTTTCGCCGACACCATGTGGGCGATGATGAATGCCTTTCCAACAAAGTCTTGCGTCGCCAGCCTTCTCTCAGCGATGAGGGCATAGCGGTCGACGATGTCTATTATCCGGTCTCTGAGCTCGGCGATCAAAGTCCAAGGCTTGTTGTCCTTGATGGAGGCCTCCAGTTGATAACAGAGAAATAGAACCGCTTGCAGAGCCACAGTACGAAACAGAGACCCGGATGTCCTCATCATGTTCACAAGCCCACCCGAGTCTTGGGGTTTGGCTAGCTTGTCGGGAGGATCAATAGTCTCGAGGATTGAAATGGCGGTACTGATGCAAAGGGTGTATGAAAAGGCCAATGTGGAGCGTCTTTGAATTCCAAACGGTACATGAAGGGCCAGTAATGATCTCTGACAGAGAATGGTCGACAGACACAACGCAAAGTTTGCAGGATCAGAAGGGCCATTTGCTAGCAGCGGATGCGCTAGAACTTCAAACTCGTCCTGTAGACTGGAAGCCTCTTCGTACTTCGTTGAGCATTTAATGTCGTTGAGGAATTTGGCAATCCGCATCCGCGTCCTCAAGGTCAATATCAAGTAGCCCACCGGGAATGAGACATCCAAGTGGACTCCCTCAATATTTCCATTCGGTTTTGACGCTGCTGGCAGTGGCATGTCCCAGTCATCTGGGCCTATCGTTGGTAAAACACCCTCATTCATTGAGCTTTGCAAATCCAGCTCCAGGATTGTGTACCACAGGTTCTGCTGAGCCTCGAACTCATCCTTGGAGGGGCAATCGCCTGTGACGGAGGGATCGCGGTGTAGACCTGCCAACATGGCATTTCGCACCAGCATACCGGATGAGGACCAAGTCGCAGCAGAATCCAGACTGTAAACCTGCCTCATGATGTCAATCAGGCAGCATGCTTGAAGCGTGCCAACATCACAAGGATTTGAACGCAGTGCGACGCCCTGCCATGCCAGAATAAGATGCCACCATCCCTCAATTTTGGCGTCCGGCAGTCGGCCACTGGCATTGTCAATGGTTCCGTTACCAATGGCGATTACTAGCAAAATTTGTATGCATGTGGAGATTGACACGCTTTCGGGCTTTCCCCAAAACTTCAGAGTTTGATCTTGGAAGGTTGACTTCTGTAGGAGCGCAAAGACTGAGCCAAAAGTGTGGAAATACCTCTGAATTAGGCACTCGGTTGTGTTTCTGGGTGGGAACTCTTCAAAGATGGACAGTTGGGGCCCCTGTGCCTCTGCGAGAAAGAGGGTCCGCCGCTGATAGAGTTGAGATTTGAAGTCGTTGAAGGTTGCAAACTCGCCACTTGGTAAAGAGAATCCAGTTCGGCGCATGAGAGACATGATATGTTGAAACTACAATACATGTCAGTTGAGGAAAACCTTGCCGTCGAATTTGCCATACCTTTGGAAAAAGCCAGGGGACGGCACTACGCCCGTACCAGGTTCTTGTGGAATTGAGTTTGCTCGGCTTTACGGTCGTGTCCCCGGCGTTGTCGGACATAGCAGGTGCGTCTGCATTCCCACATGCTTCCAGCAAGCCATCTTGGGGCTCAGGAGTCGGAAAGTCCCCATCCTCCTCCTCCGGGCTCCTGTCCCTCCATTCAGCAGCTGAAGCGCTGCGGGGTGCAGCTGACGATATGTTGCCAGATCTTGCGTCTACTGGATCGCCAGAGTGCCCCGGCTTATGACTGGCATTGGGTCTTTGGTCTGGATCATTGGATGCTTGTTGCTGCTCACGGGGCGAAGGCTTCGGCGCGGAGCCGACGGCTGGTTTGAAGTAAGTGCATCTGAGTGGTGGGTTATTCTTTGTGCACCGGTCGCAGGGCCGTTGCTTATTGCATTTCAGCTTTCGGCGATGACATTCGAGGCAGACGAGCATCGGCCGCTCCCTTCGGCGCCGGCGGGTTCGTATTTCGTCCATCTGTTGCACGTCGGACATAGCAATAGACAGTTTCAGTTTCCCTGGGCGAAGTGGGTTCTGATCAGCGGGAAGTGGCCATCGGCATATGGCTGCAGATGGATATCGGATGTCGGGTAATGGAAAGGAAAGCATTTGATTGTTGGTTAGGATGACCGCAGATTTGAGGTCGACTTTGTCTAGTCTACTTTTTCGAATACCGGCGACACTTGATCTGATCTCCGCCCATAACGCCGATCACGCCTAATACTCCTCGGATTTAAAAGTGGAGAAGGTTTAACGGCATGTAACATATAAGCTTTTTCACCCAATCTATGGCGGCGAAGACATATTGAGCCCATTGAATCTAGCCAAGTAATACAACCGAGAAGAGAAACTTAGGAGTCGTCGTCGCCCTTTGTAATTCAGTTCATGAATCTCTAGTAAGCTTTTCGTGGAATGCAAAACTGGATTTCTGGCTTATCAACTTCAACACGTTGAGTTGCCATTGAACTATGGGAGTACAGGATGACTACCCCAAAGTCGCCGACTGGACCGATGAATACGATTTTGGCAATCCTCGAAACTTTCCTCCGTCCAATAATTGGGAAATCTCAGTACACTACGGTGTCGTTGCCTTCATCGTTACTTTTGCCAGTTCAAATTCACCACCGCAACAGAGGTTACCAGCGACTTTTTCGGAGCCTCGACGGATATTATGCACCTAGGCCCTCAACGTGGAATACACGGTATCCAAATTATGGTGAAGGCTCATGTGCGATATGGATTTGAATTCCGACATCTGGTCTTTGGGCCGCTCTCCGAGGTGTACAGACGCATGACTGCCCTCCGGATAGAATTCCTTGTCTTCTGTGTTTTCAACATACCACTTGCAGTCGCCACGAATTTCGAGAAAATCTTGATATGCGGATTCATTGTCAGCTTCGGAGGTTCCTCCCGGTCACTATTAGCGTAAGTTGGCCATCACTCATCCTCACATCGACCCCAAAGCTGTGTTGTTCACCAACATTATACCCCAGGCTGGCTACTGCCAAGGCACCATCTGTGTCGACAGGATTCAAAACTTCGAGTGCCCCAAGCAGTGCCCCACAGACGGAACTTGCGCTCTCAAAGTCCCTTGCTGAGTTCGCGTCGAATTGTTATTTTCGCTTGAGATTTAAGCCCTTCATGAGATCACTGCATTTCAGACCGTCGGGTTCTTACGTGAGATACCTTAAGTGAGGGGAAACACATTGTTGAGCACAAAGTAGTATACGCTAGTCTGATGGACTGTATAAAAGGCACCCAGTTATTGCCAGTTGGCTTGCATCGAGCACGATATCTTTAATTGGTTAATACCCACCTTTTGGAACATGAAAAAAGCGTAGTAAGTTAAGGCTCTGGCTAACATGATCCCTGTCACACATAAGCTTTCAAGTTTTGATACTAGCTCTTCAACCGACACCGAACAAAGTCGATAACAATAATGACAACAATAATAAATACAAGAAAGCAGTGTGTTATGCCCTGTTGTTCTGTTTGTGCCTGGATTAGAGATTCTCATATTGAGTGATGCTGCTCGCAGCGTCAACACCTCCCCGAGATATAATGCCAGGCCTGTCATCCGCTTTCCCCTACCTGAAAGAATGGTTGCTTGAACAGTCTTTCTTCAGCGAAAATGAAAATGCCCCTTAACCAGTGTAATCCTTCATAGCATCACCGATAGCATTTAATTCTTGCCCTTCCTTCAAAGGCTTACCTCCTCTCAAGTCCTTGTTCGTCGCTTGGATCAGAACGCGGCGGTAGCTCGTCAACGCGGGTGTCCCGCTATCGATAACCTCCAAGATGAGATGCAGCAACTGGCCCTTTGCCACCGGCTGCTGGCTAATGAGCTCCATGCAAGACTTCTCAGGCTCTGGTACCGTGACCCTGATCTTCTTGCCCTCCGAGTCCAGCTTTTGAATACCGAGCTCCGAGACCTCAAAGTGGACCAACCACTGCGAAGCGCTGGGTTCGCGGTACTGCCACCACTTGAACGTCAACTCATCTCCGTCGGGGTCGTATGTCTCTGAAGCGTCTAGTTCGATCGTGGAATCGGCTTCAGCCTCGAAGTATAGCGGCTCAAGGCTCTGAGAACCATTGACAATGACGATGGGATGGTGATTTGTCGAAGCGAGGTCAGGGTTCAGTGACCACTGCATGCGCGCAGCAAAATCGTTTTGAAAGGTGTCACGCCATCGCCAGATGGTAGCCTGGTTAGAACGGTATGACTTGCCGTCGACGCCGACGACCGAGTCGGACATGTCGCTGTAATGCTTGCCCTGCTGGCCGGCATCACTGGCATCGGTGAGCGCGTAACGACCACCCCACGAGCCGTATTCTGGGTGCATTCGATCACCGAGCCCGTTCTGGATAAGGTAGAGGAAAGTCGGGGTATCGCCCTCTGGAATGAAGAGGAAATCGGGGTACGCGGAGCCTAGCGGGCCGATTTGGATGTTCTCCTTGATCCATTGCTTTGAAACTTTAGAGAAGTCCGGGCCGCCCTGGTCGAAGCCGTAGTATTTGTCTCCAGAGATACCAGTCCACGCTGCCAGTCCGTATTGGTTCCAGCCATGGATGGAGGAGATATAGAAAACATCGGGAAACTGAGTGCGGATCCAGGCGGAGGTGTCGTCCTGGTCGGAGATTGTGTACACTCTGAGCTTCGATCGCAACTTAGCCGCCTCTTCGGGGGAGCGTTTATCGCGAATGGTGAGGAGGACCTGGGCGAGGACGTTGGTGCCGCCCCAGACAAGCACCCACAGGGGATCTTGCGACGAAGCCTCGATCCTCTCGAGGAGCAGCTGGGCGCCGTCGGTCAAAGGCTTGTCCGCGCCTACGCCAGCGAAGCCATAGACCTGGCCGAATAGATGTTAGCATATTCAGATGTTCCGAGCGATATTCGATGTGCCTCAATCGCGTACCGGCGGGCCAGACTTGACCAAGGCTCGTAGGCTGTCGGCTGAGGGGTAAGGGTAGTCTGGATGCGTGTGTTTGTTGAGGTTATCCACGGCGCCGGCATAGGCGTCGAGAATCTTATGAATATCTTGCGGGCAGACTTTGTTCTTCATCCATGTCGATGAGACGGCAACGAGGCCCTCGGTCTGGAACTGGTTAGAGTAGAGAAGGTAGCGGACGAGGGATTCGGCATCGTCGGGCTCGTTTGAGATGTCTGTTAGGACAAACACCCTCGGCTTGTCTGGAAATGTTTGAAGTCTAGTGAGTTGCGCCATGTTGTTGATATCTCAGCTCGCTGCCGTGTAGTTGTGACGTGATGGGTGCGCGGGAATGAGAATGAGACGCAAGTTCGTAATGCAAGGGTTTCATTCGGATCAGGGGTTGAAGTCGAATTGATACGATGGCTTGGAAGGAAAGCCGCCCACTTCCCTTTTGACGAGCTAGCCAGCGCGATGTGCTCACGGTGGCCTGGGTGCTAAAGACTTCCTAGTTTGGAACATTGACAGATCTTCTCCCTCTTTCTCACTCGCACTTCGCTGGAAACCTGGCCCGAACCATCCCCATCGCGTGGTGGGCAAGGTTGTCTCGGCCTCTTTCCGGCTCTCCTCATTATTCAACGGGGTGGTAACCCCGCGTTCTGCCCAGCTTCTGGGGCTTAAGCTTGTCCAGTTTGGGGGTTGTCACGCGCCCACACGAGCTGTGTGGGGATGGATCCCCATTGTCCAGGACGATTTACCAAGTCCGTGGTCTGGGGTTGCGTCACTTCCAACTGTTTGGACATCAGAACACAAGAGTATTGGACTTGGTGATAACGTGATAGTGGTAAAAGCGGTCTGAATTGTCATCATTAGCTGCATGTATTTAACGCAAAGTACTTTACGCGATGAGAGAATGAGATGTGATGCTACGCTCAACATGTGGGCGAATTCTGGCTCGGGAACGATTGAGAGCCTCGCTTGATCAGTTTTTGATCTCCCTGTGTATCAAGCATCACTGAGATTCAATCAATGCTTAACTAGGAAAGAAGCTGATGAAGGAAACAAAGTAAGCACTATGGTATCGAATCAGGCATTGCTAAGCACCCGCGTTTATGGCACCTAGACCGTGCTGTGTCAACGTGGACCAACATCGGACAATGTCGGGCAGCGCCCGCAATAGTTTTCTCAGACCGCTCTAGGACCACGGGAGTGCCAAACTTCTTTTGTAAAGTCGGGCGACAACCGGCGACGCGCCTCCACCGTTCGACACACCAAAACACCGCTAAATGATGCCGCGAGCCGGGAATAGCCGGGGTTCTCTCTCGAGAAGGGCACATGAAAAAAGAATTTTCAGTAAGGCGGAGACTAGCGAGACTGCGGTACTCCTCTATGATGCTAACGCCATTCTATGATTCTACAAAGATCTACTCTTGGTATGAACTTGACGGTTCGACTACTGTATCCAATGCTGCATACAGTTTCGCTCGGAGACGGTGACGTCAATCCTCACATATTCTTTCATGTTGCCTTGATTATCAGACATACCAAGAAATGACATGTTCTTCTGATCCAACGCATACATTCAAGAGTGCCATGATATTGTATCAGTGGCTTGGAGAAAACAATCGATGCTGCTTGAGGTGTGGAGAGAATATCTCCGCCTCTTTCCCCTCTTTCCCCTGAATCCAAAAACCAAGAAATATTAGGGTCCGTACCCGGCAAACACACCTTGATGGGGAAACCCCAGGCACTACACCGGACAAACGGTGGATGTTTGCGTGACGGCGTCTTGGTCTCCTGACTCGTCTTGACCAGTCTCCGTCTTCCCACATTGACTCGGGGCCCCGCAGGTAACCCCAGACGATGCTGGCAACACCCCGGATCCACCGTCGTATCATTGCCCCGAGTATCCAGATTTTTGGTCTGATCGTTCCATGATGCCGGCGTGGGACCACCCGGGTTACTCATTCGTACTTACGAGTCCAAAACCAGGGTGCTGTGTTGCTTTATAAAGACTTGCCAGAGCCCGTGATGGTTGCAATTTCAGGCCTTGCCCTGCATCAAGGCGTTCCCTTAGACTTCAGCCTCTATAAACCTGAATTTCGGATCGATTATTCCTAGTCTTGAATTTTTTTTTTTAAGATTTTTTTTTTAAGAATTGTTCTGTTTTAGGTCCGGATTTTACTACCACAGGAAAAGCTGCCACGATGCTTGACGCCGAGAAGAAGGATGGAGCGCCTGACCACCTCGAGCACCCAGGCGAAGGCCAGGCTCAACTCGCAAACCTGGGAAACCAGGAGGAGCACGAGCTCGGAAAGTTGGAGTCGTTGAGAAAGTTCCCAAAAGCGTCCTTCTGGTGCGTCTACGCCATATGGTGTGTTCTGGTCCTGGCGTTCGAGAACCAGGCTGGCGGCAGCATCTTGAGCATTCCAGAGTTCCGAAAGGACTTTGGCCATGAATTCGAAGGCTCCTATGTCTTGGACGCGAAATGGCAATCTGCCTTCAACGGCGCACCTATCGCTTCGTGAGTGGTCTCACATGCTTGACCATGCACAATCTGGCTGTTTACTAACCTATTTTTGCAGAGCCGTTGTCGGTGCCTTGGGTAGCGGTCCTCTAGCAGATATCTTTGGGCGGAAAAAGGTCATTGGTCTCGCATTGGCGTTCTCCGTCACCGGCATCACCCTCGAATTCGTCGCAACCACGAATGAACTCTTCTTTGGTGGCAAGTTCATCAACGGGTTCGCCATCGGTGCTCTCTCGACCGTGGCTGTCACGTACATCGGAGAGGTATGACTTAAACCTGTGCCCAAGACTTGGGCCCGTAACATTACCGAATTGGGGACGTGTACTGACTCAAGCCTAACTAGATTACACCACTCGCTCTCCGCGGCCTCTTCACCTGCCTATCAGCCTTATCATACACACTCGGCCCCTTGGTCGTTGCTATCATCATCAACGAGACCGGCACCCTCAACAGCCGCTGGGCATACCGTGCAGTTTTTTGTGCTCAATATGGTTTCGCCGCGATCGCAGCCATCTTCCTGCCGTTCATGCCAGAGAGCCCTTGGTATCTGGCCATGAAGGAGAAAGATGAAGAAGCGCTCAAGAGTTTGAGCAAGCTCGGGCACCCCGGAGACGAAGGCCGTGTCAGGTTGGCCGTCATTCACCAGACACTGGAGCAGGTTAGCCAAGAAACCGCCGGTGCCAGCTACCTCGAGTGCTTCCGCAAATCGAACTTGAGACGTACCATCATCAGTATCTCGCCTCTTTGCATCCAATCACTCTCAGGAATCACGTTTGCCGCCTCCTATTTTACGTAAGTCTACCGCCCCTAGTCATTTCTACTTTACGCTCTGACTAACGGTATGTAGGTACTACATGCAGCTCGCTGGTTACAGCACCGCCGCCAGCTTCAAGCTCCAGATCGTCCAGCAATGCTGCTCTCTCATTGGCAACGTCATGTCCTGGTACTTGGTTGACAAGGTGGGACGTCGGCCCTTGACAGTGTACGGACTCGCGTTCTTGACCGTGATCCTCTTCATCACCGGTGGCCTCGCCCTTCCTGGAACGCTCGCGTTCAACAGGGGTACCGTCGCGCTGCTGATGATGTACTGCTGGTGGTACAACGTCACGATCGGTGCGACCGCGTACACGATCCTCGCCGAGGTCTCGACTTCACGGCTTCGCATCAAGACCATCGCTCTCGGTCTCGCTCTGCAGAACGCGCTCACGACCATGTGGAACTTTGTTCTGCCTTACCTCTTCAATCCTGATCAGTTGAACCTCGGCGCCAAGCTGGCTTTCATTTTTGGTGGTTTGGCCGTCATTTCGTTGGTGCACCTTTGGTTTAACCTGCCCGAGACGGCTGGGAGAACATACGAGGAGTTGGATGAGATGTTTATGAAGAAGATCCCGGCCCGCCAGTTCAAACAATATACTACGGAAACTACTGTACGAGGAGAAGCTGTCAAGACGGCTATGGAGAAGGAGAATGACTTGTAAGAGGGATATGAACATCGTAGTAACCCCAAGATACCCTTGATTTCACGCTAGATAATAACATGGCACAAATTTCGAGTTGCATGATCACTTTGGCCATGTCTTTGCAAACATGCTTTCAATTTGAGGGTTCAGCGGTCACCGATATCTCAAGTTCAAGCCTGATGATTGATCACTGCCGCATTTAACTTGCCCCAAATCACTACCGGAGCGTGACAACGGAGCGGGATAAACCGAACAATGGCAGCTGACTAGGGTATTCTATCTCATTCACTCCACAGTTTAGTCCCGCCTCAGGAAGTTCGACTCTCATGAGCAAACTGAGTCAATGTGAAAAACACATGTGCACCGAATCTGGTTGCTCATGAGGTTTCGGAGTTTCATTGGCAACTTGTCGAAGGATTGGGGCGACGGAAAATTTTCTACCGTTCCCTTCTTCGCTCTTGTGACCCAAACCCGATTTCCAAAATTTGTTAGATCGGACGCAGATTGATGTTTGATTGGTGTCTTCGGATCTTTGGGAAAGTTGCTTTGTTAGTAGACACACAGTGGAACAGGGCAATAAGATAATCAGAAAGTTGTGTCTCTTTGGAGGCGGCTTGACTAGTGCTGACGGAGGAATGAAGGCGCGTCATCACTCCTATCTCGTATCTGAATCTCACTGTCAGCGTGCTCCTTAACAAAGGCACATCTCCTCAACTCTCATCCCATTGCGAAATTTCCCACGGCGTTCATCCCAACTTTGACCAAGCTTGAGGGTTGTTGTCTGGTCTGGTGCACCAGTCCTACGCGCAGAATGGACAAAATCAATGCGCCGACTGTAGCTGTGATCGGAGCAGGTACGTAGCTTGTCCAGATGCTCATGCATGGTCGACAACATAATCCCACTCACACTCATCTTAATCTACCTGTACTGACATGATGATAAAGGGTCCACAGGCTTGTCAATGCTAAAGACTCTCCGCGAGGATGGATTCGATGCTACGTTATTCGAAAGAAGGAGTCGCGTCGGCGGCCTATGGTCCTATACCGACGATAAAACCATGACGACTGCTCTCCCTTGTGCGTCCCTTGAACGCCTTGAAACGCTTGTGTTGCTAGATGTACTGACTATTCTAGCTACAAACGCCATTATCAGCAAATACACCTGTGGATTCACGGATTTCCCGATGCCAGACAGTAAGTGGTTATTAATCTCTCTCGAAGCCCATCAGTCCTCCAGCTGCTGACACACGGAAAGAGTATGAGCCATTCTTGAGCCAGCGTGATTTCGAAGAGTACATGGAATCATATGCCGAACACTTTGGGCTGTACAAGCACATTGTCTTCAACAGCCTGGTTAAGCAAGTTGTCCGAAGCGGCGACGGAACGAAATGGAAGGTTGAGATGGTCACGTCAGGAAGCACGGAATCCAAAGAGTTTGACAAGGTCGTTCTCTGCCATGGGTATCAGACGCAACCCAAGATGCCGCTTTTCGAAGGCCAAGAGCTGTATGAAGGGCAACTCATCCATTCTCAACAGTTTCGAAAGTACGTATCAGTGGTTCATCTCCGCCTGAGTAGTCCTTGAAGCTCACTGCTCACCAATCCCATACCAGCCCGGAAGATTACAAAGGCCAAAAGGTCGTCCTCGTTGGTCTTAGCGCTACTCTGAGCGACCTTCTCAAAGTGATAGCCGATCACGCCAGTGCAACTTTCGTATCCCACCGGAACGGTGCAATGATTGTGGGTCGCTGGCGGAATGGCCTTCCAACCGACCTCTTAGTCAACCGCTCCCGACGACAAATGTCATTCTTCCTTCAGAGAAACTTCCCGAACGCGGTCAACAAGCTCCTCAAGCGGGCCACGGGCTTGTTGATGCGCCAGCATGGGAAACTTGACCCGGCATGGCGGCTCCTCGAAAATGTTGCCCCGCTCAGCCTACATCTTGCCGGATGCATGGACACGACCTTGGCGCTTCTGCGCGAAGGGAAGGTGTCGTCCCTGCACGGGATCAAAAGATTCCTCGGGGGAAAGAAGATTGAGTTTACGGATGGAACCGTCTTGGATGGTGTCGACTCTGTGATATGCTGTACCGGTTACACTGCAGATTTCAGTTTGGTTCCCTTTGTGGAGACGAGTAAGCCCAAGGCAGACGTATCCGGCCATCCGTATGGGGGCGAATCTATCGCCAGGCTCTACATGAACCTCTTCCCGCCAGCTTACGCGGACAGCATTGCTATTCTCGCGTACTCGACTTACGGCAAGAACAACGGCTTCTCATTCTCGGACGTCACCTCAATGGCCATCAGCAATATTTGGCGCGGCGTTAGTGCGGACATGATCCCCTCCAGACCCAAAATGGAGCGCGCCATTGACTGCCATCAAGAATGGATTGCCGGCCGGTGGTACCAGGAGAACAGATCCGAGCCTGGTGCCGTCAAGCAGTGGGAGTTCCAGGAGTTTTTGCACAAAGCCGCTGGCACCGGCATGGAAAACCTGGGCTGGGGATGGCGTGGCTGGGTGACTTGGTTCAAGGACCCTTACATGGTGTACCTGATCAACCACGGGGTCGAGACAGCGCATGCGTTTAGATACTTTGAAACGGGGAAGAGGGAGACTTGGGACGGGGCGAAAGACGCAATCATCCACATGAACAAACTGGTCAAGCAGCTCAAGTCTACTGATAAGTGAAGCTGCGGATCGTGGAGGATGAAAAGTTCAGTAGATCCTGGCGGCGTTTTCGGCATTATTCAGTCTTGTTTCGCTTCTGGTCAGTATTACCGCAAGGGTTTTCCATAGTCAAAGATTCTTACAGCTCCCTTCCACTTTGGTATCCACGGCCGAGTGCTGACCCCGGGTCCGGAGTTAGCCCCGCAAACTCCGGCTTCTCCTCCGTAAAACCTAAACGGGCCCTGCCGATCGTGCCGTCCCTTCTAAGGGCCGATCGAATCCTTCGGCGAAGATGACTACGGGCTTGGCCAGACGCTGTATCCCCGATATAAACCGTCTTAATGGCCGACCAAAGATTGGTCAGAGACCAGCTTGTTGTGTTTTAATTGATGTAGTGATCGCGACGCACGACCATCCACTACGTCACGGCCGCAACACATCCCCACATCATACCCTCGGATCGAGGAGTTCTCTGTAACCGAGCTATTTGTATCGGGATGCGGCTTGCTAAATTCCGGGCGTATTTCCGGAGTGGTACCAGCCGCTCTCCATTGCCGATGCCCCCCTCACGTTACAAAGTATAAATCATTTGCGATTCGTCTTGTATTCTGACTTGTAGAAGCAGGGTTTTTTAAAGCAGAATTCATTCCAATAACCACTCCGCAGGATTCGCTGGCAGCTCAATACATCTAATCCGCATAACGTTAGACTCTACCCTTACCCCAAATATCACCACAATGTCGAACTTCCTGGCAGAAGCACCCGAGCCTCCCACCGAGCTGGGCAGGCTCCGCGTTCTCTCGCCCAATGCAGGCATTCGCGTCTCCCCTTTGGCTCTCGGCGCCATGTCAATCGGTGAAGCTTGGGCGGAGGTCATGGGTGCCATGAACAAGGAGCAATCCTATAAGCTCCTCGACGCCTTCTTCGAGTCCGGCGGCAACTTCATCGACACGGCAAACGGCTACCAGGAGGAGCAGTCCGAACAGTGGATTGGCGACTGGATGAAGGAGAGGGGCAACAGGGAGCAGATTGTGCTCGCCACAAAGTACACCTCGGACTACCAGAGCCACGTCCTGGGCAAAGGTCACACGGCCAACTTCACGGGCAACCACCGCCGCAGTCTTCACATCAGCATCCGGGACTCGTTGAAGAAGTTGGGCACTGACTACATTGATATTCTGTACCTGCACTGGTGGGACTACACGACCTCCATCAAGGAGATTATGGACTCGCTTCACATCCTCGTCGAACAGGGCAAAGTCCTCTACCTAGGAATCTCAGACACGCCAGCATGGGTCGTCAGCGCCGCAAACACTTACGCAGTCGACCATGGCAAGACGCCATTTAGCGTGTACCAGGGCCGATGGAGCGTGATGCACCGCGACTTTGAACGCGATATCCTCCCCATGGCCCACACCTTTGGCATGGCCTTGTGCCCGTGGGACGTTTTGGGATCGGGCAAGTTCCAGTCAAAGAAGGCTCTGGAAGAGCGAAAGAAGGCCGGTGAGGGTCTAAGATCCTTCATCAGCACCGGAGAGCAGACAGAGATGGAGGTCAGGATGAGTGAGGCTCTGGAAAAGGTGGCGGGCGAGCACGGCACGGAGAGCGTGACGGCAATCGCCCTTGCCTACGTCCGCAGCAAGGCGCCCAATGTCATCCCCATAGTGGGTGGCCGCAAGGTTGAGCACTTGAAGGCCAACATTGATGCGCTCAAGATCAAGCTCACGGATGAGCAGATTGCCTTTTTGGAGAGTGTCAAGCCCTTTGACGTCGGGTTCCCCGGCAACTTTTTGGGTGCAGACCCTAATATCACTGGCAAGTCGATGCGGCTGGCGCGCGCCTCCCAAATGTCGTTCCCGAATGCAGGCCGACAAACAAGTGTCTAAGTAAGATAGAAGCTCGATTAGAAGCATAATATATTCACGTCTTACAGAAGGAGATGATGAGATCTGCCAGTCAACCTAGATAAATACAGTCAACGGATGATTGCACTGACCCAAGCTTGCGAGTCTTCATATTGAGGCTTCAGTATGACTAAGGACACAGATTCGGTTGAATGCTAGACATGGTCCCCTATATGCGATCGTACGGTTTAGATCGTAATCAACCCGGAGCTTCCTTCGAGTTTCTTTCCAGTTAATGAATATGCTTTCGAATGTTCACTTGCCATATAGTAAGTTACCAAAGTTTGTATTGGTTCACTTCACTCGTCTCAAGTGTTCCGATCTACTACAGCATAGTTCCACGTGTAAATTAAAGTCTTTCGTTGCTATATGTCACGTACGATGAAGGCAAGAACCAAACAGACATTATCGTCTGCCTGCACCGAGACTACTTGACTCTTCCCTCGTTGTTTCAAGTTTGGATTATAGGTTTTCAATATGGCCTATAAACCAAGAGAACATGTTTGGAACAAAAGAGGCCAGTCAGAGTCATGGAAAGGAAGTAGAAGGAATGCATAGACACGAACATACACCTCCGCAGTTTCAATGCGGGGTCTTACCGTCACATCGGGTCTCTAAAAAGGTCATATGCACTAGTTTTCATTTGTCAGAGTTGCGCTTGAATTAAAGACTAAAGCTGAGAGCCGTTTCTAGAGACGTTCTAGAGACGTGAAGTTGCTGGGGAGGCCTCTTAAGATCATTTACGGTCTGTCAATCTGCGTGACCGTGGGCTTAGCAGACGAATCTAGACCCTTGTGGGTATCCTTATCAAAGTCAACCGCAGCATCAGCATGCGTATCGAGACCCATCTGCTTCATAGCGTTCGCTCCCACCGCCGCGTCCGGTCCGTCAAAGATCTCCGCCACCTCCTCGAGAGAGCGTCCCTTTGTCTCGGGGAAGAAGAAGTAGATGAGGGTAAGGTGGATGGCAATCGCCACACACCACACAATGTAGTACTTCCATGCAATCGCCTCCATCGCAACAGGGTTGGCAAACGAGTTGTAGACTCCCGCCAAGTTTCCGGTCAGCTGGTAGAGCATGGAGGCCTTGGCGCGCAGCGAGTACGGCGTAACTTCCATAATGTACGTCGCACCGATGGGCGAGCAGGCGTGGTACCAGAACGAAAAGACAAAGATCATGGCCAGCACGGCTCCCGCGTAGCCCATGTGCTTGAATCCAGTTTCCTGGTTGATCGCGGAGCAGATTGTCCAGATGACGTACGAGATGCCCATGCCTGACATGCCGACGAGGAAGAGTCTGCGCCGGCCGAATTTGTCGACCAGAGTGGCGAAGATGCAAGCCGAGAGGAAGCCCCAGATCTGCAGACCTGCGTTGATGAGGAGCTGGGTCTTGTGGTCGGTCACATTAATCGAGTTGAGCACTCTAGAGACAAGTGTTAGCTACTAAGTATTGAGACGAGAAGGAAGAATAGGGCATGACTGACTTTGAAAGGAAATAGCTTGTGAGGGCGTTGCCAGACCACTGCAGCATTGCAGGGATGTATAGAGCCAAGAACAAGCGATGCCAGTTGCCGCGGGTTGAGATCCATTCCGCCCAGCGTGACCTCTTCTGCACCTTTTCCACCTCGAGCGTCGCCGTGATCTCGGCCATTTCGAAGCGGGCAAGCCGGGAGTTGGGATCTCCGTAGCCGTGCCACTTGACCAAAATGTCTCTCGCCTCCTTGTAGCGGCCCTTGTAAATCAGCCATCTGGGCGACTCGGGGCAAAAGAACACCAGAGACGCCTGGATGACGGAGCAGACGCATTGTAACAAGCTGGGGAGACGCCACGCCCAAGAATTGCTCATCTGAAAGGTACCGAACGTGACCCAGGCAGCAATGAGGGCACCAAGCGGCCACGAAACCATCATGAACGAGACGACTTGTCCGCGGTGGGTCGGGTAGGTGACTTCAGACAGGAGGGGCGGCGCGGCTGTCGAGATGATGCCGAGTCCGAAACCGATGATGAAGCGGGACGCGACGAACATGCCACAGCTGACGGACCAGGTCTGGATGATGGAGCCGATGATGATGAGCATCGAGCCGCCAAAGATGGGCTTCCGGCGGCCGAGCCAGTCGCAGAGCTGAGAAGAAACGAGGATCGAGATGAGGACGCCACCGCTGGGGCCGAACGTCATGGCACCGAGGCGCGTTCCCTGGGGTTCGCCAAAGAACTGCTGCCACTGCGGCAGGGACTGCATGCCATTGAGCATGCTGGCGTCGAAGCCCGTCGCCGTCTGGGTCAGGAGACCGCTGAGGAGCAGCAGGTTGAGCTTCCACAAGGTCCAGTCGCTGTACCAGGGCTTACGATCATGAGGGATAACATCGCTGAGGACGAGACCCTGGAAGTCATCGCTGTCGGCGCCGGGCGAGTGGACCTCTTCGGTGGTTGGCTTTGCCATTGTGACGGTTGTCATGTCGGAGAGTTGCCGTTTTGTCGTTGCCTCTTGGAACTGACTCAGGCTTTGCGGGCTGTTGCTTGCTAGTTGCGGGTCTGCAGGGTAGTAGTGAATCCGGCGCAACGTTCCTTTATATCTCGAACGAACTGCAGTTGGAGTCGCGATGCGAATGCGGGATAGCGCCGGCTGGGCGACCACCCAGTACATTGACCGACGCCCTTTCCAAGTTTCCCCATGGGCAACCCCCGCTGCCAGATACGCGGAGTGAGCTAAGGGTGAATCAGACCACTCGGCCGGTAAACTGGCACAACTGGTTTTGTTCCAATTTGGTGGCTGTCGACGCTTGTTGGTGCGCATCGAAAGCGTCGGGGGCGCCTTTGCCCCGATGCCCGATGCAGCATCACGTGGAGTTAGAGGTTTTACCCCAGATCTACCCCAGGTTCCTTTCTCCTCACTCCTCACCACACCAGATGTCATTCCGGCCGTACGTGCCTAGCTTCGGGGAATAAGAGCCGGCGGTTGCTTGATTGCTCCTCGGGAGACCCATCCCCCGGTATCCCCGTGCCCCCGGGCTACGGCGTTATCGACGGGGCCTCTCATGCCGAGATAGCCGCTGCGGCGGAATGCGGCGCAAGCCAACGACATGAAGCTAAAGAAACGAACCCACGCTGAGTCGCACATGACCTTTCCCAAGATCGTTCGCCATTCTGGAAAGCAAACACTCCTTCTTTCAGCTTGCAAGTCGGCATCTTATTCAAGCCCAAGCACAAGTCAAAACCTGCCAGTGTTACCAGCACGTGGACGGGGACCGTTCGCTACGAGCCCAATTTCCATGATTTCAAAATCAGAAGGCCAAGATATTGGCGCGCATGAACCATGAACAAACCAGTCTGTATTGACACGTCTAACGGTGCCGAGACCCTGGTACCACAATCAGCAGATAATGATGTTTGCAAGCAGTGAAACTTGGACAAGCCTACTCGGAGCCTGTTTATCAGGTGGGTGGTATGAGCTCATACTAGGTACCAGGAGCTGAGCATGAACTTGGGGATACCTTATCAGACTACGGCCATGTTCGATTGAGCGGTGCATAACATCCGCTGTTTGTCACCTGCCAGGAAGAACGCCAACTTCCTGCAGGCTCTACCCTGTGATCCGGAGGTCGGTCAATGGGATGAATTCGTCCGCAGTATGTCCCGCGACCTATCACGGAAATCGGCACGTCGCTTGTTGACTTTCATGATCGTCTAATAACACATAGCTGTATTTCAATCTGTCAACAAACATTGTGGTATCGGTATGCTGCAACTATGACCTGTTGCCATCTTTTACCATTAAAATTTACAAGTAGCTCATGTTGAAACTCTAATGTACTTTCATGTTGATCAGCCGAGAGAGCCATGTAGCACAGCGAGAGACTTCTTTCTTCCTGAAACGGAAGCATCGAGTGACCTGGGTCCCCTAATAGCCTATTATAGTTCCACTGTGACTAGTACAGAGGTCACATCTCACTAGCTTGACCGCCTTCGATGGCAAAACTGTAGTCCAAGTCACGCGAAATGTTGTGATTGCAATCTTAGTACATCAAATAAAGGTATCGAGACCTTCGCCGATATAAACTCCATCACGCATGCCGTCGACTCAAATTACTTCGTAAACACAACCAATAGCATTTCCTATCTGTGCTTGAGTGTCTTCATCTCATACGAAAAGTTCTCGCATGTTTCCTGCTTTGTTTGAAGCACAGTCGGAGCGCGACGAAGGCAATTTCACGTTTTCTAACTAGGGACATCGAGTTCGCATCTTCAACTCGAGGCGAGGCAATTTAACAATGAATCAACCTTCCAACGGACCAACATAAGCACGGAAACCTGCTTCTTGGCAGATGGGCACGATGCTGACGGAACCACGAGAAGGATGAACTTGTACTACTACCTCGTTGCCCGGAAATGCGTAGCTGACCGCTGATTTGACGCTTCTAGAATACTCTGTGTAAGCTCCGACATCACAAAATTTGCCCGAATAATGAGTTTCTCTTGAGCTCTGGGGGTATTATGGAGTGCTCTGCGTCCCACGCAAGGGCTATGCGGGTGGAAGGTCGTTCCAGGAAGGGCTCTCAGATATAAGTATAAGATCGTTCCTCGGATTACTTTGCGAGAGTATAATACACAATCATTCAAACGAATAGTCTTTTTTTTGCAAACGATTAAGAAAAAACTTCATCAATCCAGCCATCCTACCAAAGTAAGAGATATTATTCTTCTCATCGTTTCCAAAAGCACGACTTGCTGACGAGAGATTCCAGAACGCCAAGATGAAGTTCACAGCCGCCGTCCTCCTCGCCCTCGCCAGCCAGCTTCCCAACGCCCTCGCCGGCATCGTCCCCAGTGCCGCCGAAGAATGCGGCTCCCTCGGCGTCATGTCCTACACGGCCTCGTCCCTCGACGGCGTCGACCCGGCCAACATTCGCAAGTGCAGAGAGCACCCCCTGAGCCTCAAGGACGGCTCGTCCCCGAACCTGCAGGCCCGCGATTGCTGGTTCGGCGACGCGTACGGCTGCAGCAAGGGCTACTGCTGGCAGTCGTGCGACAGGAAAAAGGGCACCTGGTGCTGGACGGCCTGGAACGACGGGCACGGGAACTGGAGGACTTGCTCTGGCAAGGAGCAGTGCGCGCCGGCGGCCCAGTCTGCCTGTGGCAAGGATTGCAAGGACCCCAAGGAGTGTGGTTGCAGTTGTCACTGAAATAGTTTTACTTTTCGGTGGAAAATCTTTTTCCACCTGTTTTCTTTTTTCCTCATCTCGATCTGTCTTTACCTCTGGGAAACTCATGGACCTTGTTGTATTTTGCCTTGAGCTGGAAATCTCTTCGGTCCAGCTGATCATAACATAAGCTTACGTTCATTCCAAGTTAAGCATTTGGTCTCAGACATCTTGTCCTTTGTATCAAAGCTTGCTGTCAGTTTTACCTCTCTTCCAACGTAGACTCATATCGGATATGATAGGCGGAAAGCACACAGCCTCACCCAGGGGCAAAGCTGGAGATATTAAGGTGTTGTTCCATGGGTGTATAAAAATTTCTATGAGATTCTTCGATGCTTGTTGAGTTATTTTACAAGGTTGAGACCTTAAATTCCATTTGCGTGACTTGAAACTCAATTTTCTTCTCCGTTTTTGAAGCTTTGAATTTGTTAACACCATCAACATTCTTCATCTGACAAAAGTAGGTACCTTACATCAGGTGGCAGTTGTATAACAAAACCTCAGAGAAACCTTCAAGTTTCAAGCGAACCTGGCCCGTCCCTTGAGATACATCGGTAACTACTCCACGAACAAAGCCATTCGCTCCGGAGCAGCCGCCTGTGAGCCCGGCGCGGCGGGCCCGTTACATCATGGCCGAACTCCCAGCTCCGACCGTGCACCCCACCCCCTCGTGCGGGACCCCTCAGACCAATCACCTGCGACAGCCGCAACCCCACCAAGGCCGACGCCCGCACCGAAAGGGAAAGGAACTCGTGGAGGCCGCAGCTCGTCCCATCTCCGGGCAGACAGAGACAGACAAGAGACGCATAAGCGACCTGCCAACCAACCAATCACCAGCACCACGCGTTTCTCTTTTCTCATTGCGGAAGAAGGGGACCTGCATTGGATACGATCCCGCTTATAAGTCAACCAAGTTTCTTCCTTTTTCTTATTTTTCTTTGGCTCGGAGCGAGCCATTCTTGGTCATCAAAAAGTTTCCATCGCCATGGCTGAATCGGCGGCCCAGCAACAGCTGCCGTTGGAAGGCGGCAAGACTCTCACGCCGGACGCCATCGCCGCCATCCTTTCGTCCGCTTCGGCGTGGGCCGACCCAGGGTCCGAGGACCAGGGCCGCGCTCACAGGACCACACTGCTGGGCGACGTGCTCTTCACTGCGCAGCAGCTATGGAACGGGGGTAGTCAAGAGATTGACGCTGTTGCGGAGAAGCTAGGCGATGGAAGCAGAGATGGTGAGTCCCTCGTACACGTGTATGAGAGACTGACATGCTGACACATACAGCATCATGGAGGCTGCCTTTGGGAGACTCGGGCATCGTGGACTTCTTCCTCTCTGTTATTTCCACAGAGAACCTCAGGCCGGCGCTGAAGAAGCACTCTCTTCGTCTACTTGGCAACTCATGTGCCGACACGGGTACCATGTTAATCCCTTGTCCCTTGAATGAAGATGGGAATTGACAGATTCCTAGATGAGAACCGCGCCAGGTTCGTAGCATCAAACGCAATCACCGCCGTCATCAGCTTCCTCGCCGACGACGCCGCCCTCCCCTTTGCCGTGCCAGTCCTCTACAACATCCTCGTCGACTACGAGCCCGCCCAAATCCAAGCAAGCTCTTCCTCCCTCACCCTCCACCTCGTCAACCTCCTCACCAGTCCACGGCTCGCACATGCGCCGCATCTCATGGGCATCATTGGCAAGATCCTCGCCTTGCTCGCCACGCACGGTAAGCCCAATCCCAAACCCACGCCTCACTCACCCATCTCCAGGGAACCGCAAGGCTCACAGTTTTTGCCTCCCCCAGAAACCGAGGCCAACTTTGCGCCCCCGCAAACACCAGCCATCCTGCTCACACTTGCCCTGACGCCCACGACCGACGCCGAGGACTTTGTCTCCCTGACGGCCGTCGCCCTGGCCTACCTCACCCACGCACCCATCCAAGCCGCCCTCATCGCAACCGGCTCCGTCCCCGTCCTCCTAGCCACCTTCTACCACCTCCAAACCCAGCTCGACGCCCTCCGGGTAGAAGACGAAGACGCCGCCGTCCTCCTAAAGTCCCTCCCCCAGTCCTTTGTCCAGATCCTCGCCGACATCTCCTACGCAGAAGACTTCACCCTCCACCACCCCATCGGCTCCCCCGTCCTCGACACCCTCCAGTCCTGGCTCTCCCTCCCCAACATCCACCTCCAATCAGCCGCCTGCCTCTGCCTGGGCAACATCGCCCGCTCAGACGAGGCCTCCTTCGCCCTCGTCAAAAACAACGCCGTCCACCTCCCCCTCATCGCCCTCCTCAAGCACTCCTCCGACTCGATGCTCCTCCACTCCGCCCTCGCCTTTCTCAAAAACCTCGCCATCCCCTCTCAAAACAAGCCCGTCCTCGGCGACGCGGGCCTCTTTGACCAGGACATCCTCCCCCGCATCTGGTCCCTCGACGTGAATCCCCAAGTCCAGTTCACCGCCGTCTCCCTCACCCGCCTCCTCCTCGTCAACACGCCCACCAACGTCCGCCGCCTCTGCGCGCCCCTCAACCCCGACCCCCTCGCCCCCGCCCACGAGACGACCAACCTCCACCGCCTCCTCGACATCTTTTCCCGCGTCGACGCAGAGCACACCAAAACCGAAGCCGCCCGCGCCGCCGCCGCCGTCTGCCGCGTCCTCCACACCGCGCCCATTCCCCCCATCCTGCCCGACTGGGACCCCTCAGAAGACGGCTACGTCTTTCGCCCCGAAAAGCCCCTGTCCCCGACGGCCGTGGCCGAGGCCGAGGGCGACGGCGGCGCAAAGCGTCGCGAAACGTTTTACCGCCAGCACCCCGGACTCAACAAAGCCCTCGCGTTCCTCGTCACGCAGACGCGGTTCCCCGTGCTGCGGAGCGAGGCCTGGTTCGTCTTCGCGCTCATGTGTCGCGCCAAGGACGGCGCCGATGTGGTTATTCGCGCGCTGCAGGTCCCGGGCGCGTTTGAGGCGTTGACGGAGGCGATTACCGGACGGACCTTTTCGGGCGAGGAGAATCCGGAGCAGAAGGCTTTGGAGGCGCCGCTGCCGGCGAGCGATGGACAAGCGGTGGTTGTCGGTGGTGGAGAAGGAGGAGGAGGCAACGCCGCACTGGTGGATGGGCTTGGGTTGGAGCCGCAGCAGGCGGATCCGTCACAGGCGGCGGGCATGAAAAAGGTGAATCGGGAGAATGGGCTGGTCATGGTTTCGGAGCTGGTGAGGAGGCACGCGGATGAGTTGCCGGCCGTCAGGCGGGCTGCGTTTGAGGAAATGTTGAAGGAGGGTGGCGAGCTGATTGCTGATGAAAAGGGAAAGGGTAAGGCATAGAGAAAGAATAGAATGCAATGAAAACCTACGCAGTTCCAAAACAAGGCAGAAATGCACTGACTGTTTTTTTTTGGGACCAACTTGTCTCTCCACCTGGTTAGCCGTTGATGTCACGAAAGGATCACGAGATGTCTTCACCGAGAGGGACCATGAGTGGAAATAAAAAGCAATCGAATCAATCCTTAGTCTACTCCTGTCACCTTTGACCCATGATACACGTCACGTCGTTTTCGTACGATGCGTCTTCCTACGCCCGTCGATGGACGGGGGTTTTGGGGGTAGTAGGGGGGGCAACCGACACAGGCGGGCGTGATCAATGCAATAATTTCTTTATGACCTTGTCCTGAGAGTATCTCATTCCACTGAACCCACGCCAGGCCAGAAGAAAAAAACCCGACTTCCGAAGAACTTTTTTCCCTTCTCCGAAAGTGTTTTTAATTTGTGTCGAAAGCAGCAGCCGAAAATCCCATTTCCATGCAGCTTAGCTGCACTAGTAGCCGCAGCATCAAACAAAGCCCCCCGACACCACAAGAGACGACAGCAGAGCAGCAGCGGTAGCAAAGACAGAGACGTGCTGCGTTTATTTCTTGGCAGCCTCGGCCTCGGCCGCGTCGCGGGCGCGCTTCTCCTTCTTGCCCAGGTTGCGGGCCTCGGCTCTCGAATCGCGGAGCTTGCGGTAAGCACCGCCCTCGATGGGCTTGGGGAGGTCGGACTTGGAGATCTCAGAGAAGCCGGAGACGGCCTTCTCGATGGGGAGGGCGGCGGAGAGGTTCTGGACGGTCTCGGTCTTGGAGAGGTCGACCTTGGAGTCGCCCTGCTTGACCTTGTTGGAGCGGCGGGGGAAGACAACGAGGCGCTCCTTGTAGGCCTTGAGGCGGGCGACGTTGGCGGCGAGGGACTCCTCGCTCAGGTTCTTGCGGCGGCCATCGACGGCGATACCGATGGTGGGAGCGTAAAGGCGGGGGATACCGGCGGCCTAATAAAGCCCGTGTTAAAAATTTGGAATTCTCCCAGAATATTTCTTCCTGGCACCGGGCGTGCCTCTCGATCGCGGGAATATCGTACCTTAAGCTCGTCCAGGGTGAAACCGCGGCCGGCACGGACCTTGCGGTTGTACTTGAGGGTAGGGCATCTCACGACAGGGCGGAGCAAGTCGGTGGGACGGGGAGCGACCTTCGCGGCCTTGGCCTGACGGGCGACACGGCGGCTGTGCTTCTTGCCGGCCTGTTGTGTTGTTCCAAGTCAGATCCAAATTCCTTTGCCATAGCCATTTTCCTTCTCGACTCTCTCCCGGGTAGGGAAAGGATCCTGCGCAAAAAAATCATACCTGGTCGAAGTGCGTCCGGACCCGGCGCTGCCAATCCTTGCGGAAGTCTGGTAAAAAGGTGTCAGTACTGTATCTCGATGTCGTCGTCTTCGGAGTCGTCGCTCTTCGCGGAGGAGTGCTCACGGTTGTGGGGGATCTGCTGGTTGTGTGCGATCGCCTGGAAAAAAGTTGAATATCAGTATTTGCGATGCGATGCCATCAACGGCGAGTCTCGTGGGCGCGTCGACGTACCATTGTGCCTGTATTGCGCGATCAAGGGGTTAGTAGTCCGGATGGGCCGTCGTCGAAATGCTGCTGCAGGCTTCGAAAATTCCTTGAGAGGGACGAGTCAAAATCTCTGGAGGGCATGAAAACCCTACGAAAGGCAGGTACGTACTGGAAGTTTTTGGGGTGGGACAGTCTCAATTGTTGATTGGCTGTAGAATCCACTTGGTGTGGCAGGGCGAAAGACAGGCGACGGCCGAACCCTATTCCGGGATTCTCAAGCTGTGGCTGAGCGGCCCATGGATATTCGGTGTGCCATCTGTGGATACCTGCCGGATTGCAGTTGTACGTGCTCAATATCGAACATCCGCAGCAGTACGGACAGCATGCCAGCTTCACCGAGATTGCCGCATCGCTCTCACTGCCAAAGAGTGCTTCTGATTGAATTTGGCGACTTTAGGTTCAATGGCCTTCACATAATATATGGTACTCTTTGGCGTCTATCTACTTGTGCCCGCCTCAAGGCAGCCAACATTCTGTTGTGATCTTGGGCAATGTTGCACGAGTATTACTTGAATCTAGGGTCTTGTGGTCTGTTGTGATGGGCGGCGAAGTCGATGGCGATGCCTCACTGAATCTAGCCAGCTGTTTGGTGTCGTTGGCAGCGGCGTAGAAAATACGTACTGGCCTGTCCAAGTCTCCAGACCCACATCTGTTGCCTAGGTAAGGGAGGGAGGAACAGGGTCGTCACACACGTGACTGCCACTTTCGATGCCTTACTGATTGCGGCCATCTTGAGAGATTCCAAATACCTATATAATGCCGCGCTCTCCTCCCGCCTCTCAACCTTCTGCCCTTTTCTCTTCTTCATACTTACCTTGATGGGCGTACTGGGGATCAAGAAATCCGGTACGCAGAGAGGAGTGCCTGCATTGCACATCGCGGAGTCCTCCTCTCTCGATAGCCCTTCGGGGCCATCGCTGTTGTAATTTTTGATTTTCAACCCTTTTCATTGTGTGCTCTGCCTCGCGCAGGGTCATGAAGAAGAGCATTCTGCCAACTTGGATACCCAGATCATGGGTATTCCAGTCGAACGCTTCAATCTTCTGTCCTCGTAACATAATCTGCTGATTGAAGGTCTCAAGGAACCGCAAGGTGATTCGCACCCTAGCAAGATATACCTCGGAAAGCGGCGACCAAAAACATCAATTGCGCAATATAGGGAGCTAGTTACCTTGCCTCATGCTATGGAACACCATTAAAACCCATTCTCCGAAGCTCTCCTCCCACCATCCGTACCGGCCTGGTGACCATTCGTCGGCTCGTGAGAAGTCCAACATGTCATGTGCTTGGAGCAGGCAGAGCTTGCTTCTGTTACTTTATCTGGTAGATGTATCTTTCAATGAGGGCAATCAGTAAACTCTTCAGGCTTGGCCACCTGTTGAACGTGGGATCGTCTATGTAGCAGAGAAATTTGGTTTCAAATTTTTTTTTTCCGATGGTTTTAATCGACCAGCTGCTATTGAATACGAACTGTGTATTTCGACTTCGCAATGCATCCCCCTTGAAGGATGTTGACATCTAAGTATCTCTTGGTATTCCAAAATTCTGAATCCTCAGCAACGACAAATGCCAGCTGAGTCCAGCCGGGCCCAGCTGTCCCGTTACAAGAGCTCAAAGCTCCCTTCCCGAGCAGCTGGCCGGTCGTCGTACGAGAAAGACCCCGGAGCAAACCGCACCAATCACAGCACCCTAAAAAACATGCATCCAGCCAAAGGGACCCATTCAATCCCAGAGCTCCAAAAAATCTCATGACAAGTGCTTTTTTTTTGGTCCTGGTCCCCCCCCCGTCCGATTTTCCCCCGTCTTCCGCGAGAGAGAGAAACGTAACGTCGCCGACCCCGAAGGCAAACCGAATCGACGAAAGCCTCACTCCTCGTCTCCAGCCTGATTGAAGCCTCCCATCCACCGTGTCCCACACAGTCGCAAACCGCCCAATTGATCGGACTTCAATTCACCGAAGCAAGGTACGGCAAACAAATGACAATGGCATCCAGAGTAGGCCCCCGGAGCGCCTCGGATGCAACGCGCTTCACCTCTACCACCCCGCACGCCGCATCCAAGAGCTCTCCCACACCCTCCACGACAGCAGCAGCAACACCGACTACGACGGCGACGACAACAGCGACAGCAGGAACGACAAATACATCACAGCAGCTGCCTCCTAAGATCCCCGGACGGCAACCGGGTGAGAGCCCCGAAGACCGCGTCCGCCGCCTCCGCGCGGCCCACGAGGCGGCGCGCAAGGCCCAGACCTCGAGCGTCGACCGCGTCATTGGCGGCAGTCGTCGCTTCTTTGATGTCGCGCACAAATTTACCGTCCTCGGACTGGTCGGGTTCACGGGTACGTTTTTTGTGTAGAAGAAAGAGGAAAAAAACCCTCGTACGATTCTTGCCATCTTCAATGGGAAGAAGCGGGAGAGTGGACAACCATCTCTAGAGCAAAACCTGGAAATTATCTCAAAGAGAGAGAAAGAAACACCACTAGATGGGACAGCAAGCCAGCTAACACTCCTCTTTCCCCCCAAAAGCAATCGCAGGCCTCGTCTCCGCCTACTCCGTCTACGACATGGTAACCTACAACAAGCAGCGCCGCACCGACTTTGTCGAGGCCCAGCGCAAAATGGAAGACGACTCCCTCGCCAGCGCCCGCCTCGCCTTCATCAATGGCACCGCCACCGACGCCCAGGTCACCCTCGTCGAGGAGGCAGACGCCCTCGCCCGCGAGACCGGCGTCAAGCTCCCGCCCCTCCTGTCCGCGCCCACCGTCACCACGCAGGCCGAAAAGTTCTTCGGTACGGGCCAGCAAAAGACCTTGGCCTCGCCAGGCGCCGCCACCACCCCGGCCTTCCCTACAACCTCTGAAGCGTCCGCCGCACCCGCCCCGCAACAAAAGAGCAGCAGTTGGTGGCCCTTTGGCGGCAGCAGCAGCAAATCCGACGCCGCCGAGACCAGCTGGAGCGAGGAAGACGAGTCCTCGGGCGTTCGCGCCACGGATCTCGCCCGCGCCGTCGAGGAAAGGAAAGAATTCCTCCAGGACAAGGCCAAGGCGGCGTTTGAGCGCGAGAGGGAGAACCAGCGTCGGGGCGGACCCCTGGACCAAGTTGGCCTCCCCCCGCAGGAGGAGAAGAAGGTGGCTGAGAAGAAGGGCTGGTGGTAAATGGCCAGAGTCCAAACAAAATCCAGGACACAATCTTGACGGCTAGTGTTATAATATGATGTCACAAAAACCTCAGAGGCGGAAAGGGGGTCTAAGAGGAAGGCGCGGTGTTTGTCATGCGTCTGTGTGACGCTGTGTGACGATATATGGTGCATTGAGAAAAAGGAGAGGTGGCCGTTTGCGAAGGATTGGAAGAAACGACATATCGAAAAATCTCCCCCCTAAACAGAGAGTTGTCTAGCTCAATTCGAAGAGGCGAGAGGAAAGGGGCCACGACATTCTATAGATGTGGGCGAGGATGGCGAGGAGGGGGCTGCCGAGTGTCACTGTATCATAAGTGTTAGACTGACTGGATTGTGCATTAGAAGGCGTCCGGTTCACAAGTTTTGCATGCGGGAAGGGGGAATACAATACTACCCTCATCTCTGCACAGCCCAAGTAAAGTTCTCCATATCCAAAGTGTCCCGTCCGTCCTATTCAACTCGTATCATCTGGGGCTGCGTGCCTGACACAGACCGGTCCCTCGCCTACGTATTCCCAGTCACTTGAAAAGCAGTAACAGCAAAAAAAGAAAAAGGTGACATGATATCAATGAAGAGTGCCGGCGTATGTCTGCCGCAAGATTATGTCCTTTGGACCGGTATTATGTACAACCGCGAAAACGCTTCAAGAATGCAGGCTTCCGCCGAGTCTCAATCTGCCATGCCGGGTCAGACGACTCCCCAATCCCAAATAATGCATACCGGTAGCCTATAAACCGAGGAAACAGAGTCTGACCTTCCAGACCCGAGCGAGTGTAAAATATCTGCGCTAAATGTGGTATTGCCGCCAGCCGAGACTCCCGTGTCTCTGGCAAACCGACCCGAAATCAAAAACGCCGTGCAATCGGGGTTTTTACGCGCTCCAGTCAATGAACTGCGCAACATAAACCCCGGATTTCATTATCTCGATCGCTCGTCGATCTTCCTTTTCTTCCAACGCTCTTGCGTCAAATTCTCTTCGTTTTTGTTCTCCAACGGGAAGTTGCCTACTTCGTTTGGGAGGCTTCTGCACCGCCAAATCATCGGGCAGCAGTGTTTGTTGCCCCTTCTATGAGACAACGATGTGGTTAAAGTGGCCCGGCACCTTGAGGCGGCACTTTTCGCAATCGGCACGGTAACCGATGCTGAAACTCTTCTTCATGCCAGGCTGCCATGTCCACGAGTTGACCGTGTGCCTTGATCGGATATGTCCTTTGCGTCCCGGCGAGGGCGTTGCCGGTGCCGACGTCGTTTCTGTGGGGCCGGCGTCGATGGTGGTGGTGACGGGATCATCGCTCATCATGTGCGAGTGGTCTTCCACATCCATCATGCCCATATCATGATGGTCGTGTCCATTGAGGGACGACTGTTCCAAGCGCGTGGTCAGATTGGACGGGAAGCCATTGTCGAGGACCATTCCTGGGGGACTCAGGCTTCCACTCCCAAGGTGGCTCGTCGAGTCCTCACCCTCACTGATAGGCGAGGGCAGACGGCGGTTCTGGACGGCGTGCCAGTCGTCGGTGCCTTCCATGGTGCGGGGAATGGAGCGGGACTCGTCAGCACCGAAGCCGGCATGCATGTGGCCCATATTCACGACACCGGTACGATGGCTGACTGCGGGTCCCGGGCCGCCCCAGGCGCCACCCCGAACCTGGGCGGCAAAGTTTGGCTGGATCGGGGTGGGCATGCGGCCATTGATGGAGGCGGGCTGGTCCGAGTGGATGTGCTGCTGTGGGACGGGCGGCGGCGACATTGTGTCCATCATATCCATATCACGATCGGGCTCGGTCGGACCAAAGGGCGAGGGCTGGCAAGACATGGGTGCGGGTGATGACGACCAGGGCGAAAAGTGTGACCTGGGCTGTTCCTCCGAGTCGGAGTCGCCTGGTGTCAGGGTGCAAGGGACGGCATTGAGTGGTATGATGGGTGTAGACCAGCGCTTCGAAGAGGTCGGCGATGTTCGGAGAGGTAGGCATTGGAGGCGTTTCTGTTTTGGGGGAAAAGTCAGCGTTCGTGTTCCAGACGGACACGGGGAGGTGGTTTGAGCAAGGAAGCGACGTACGTTTCTGTGTTCACCAAAGCTGAGAGTGCCATTTTGCATGTCGTCCTCGTCGTCGCGTCCCCGCTTCCGAGTTACGTCTGGGTAATGCTGCATGCCGAACATTGTAGAAGTCGTCGAGGGGAGAAGGAGGGGTGCGGTATGGTGTATGTAAGTAAATGGGATGCGACGTTGGTGGACGATGGCGGATGAAATGCAAAGGCGTAACTAGCGATAACAAGCGTCGAGACTCGGGTGACGCTTTGTAAAGTTGATTATGTCGTCGGTAGGTTGAAGAGTAGAAGATGGACAGGACAAATGACGATGGCACCGAGAGTGCCGTGGCTGCCGTTCCTGCTCGTGCACAGGCTGGAGGTGGTGCTTGTGCTGGTGCTGGTGCTAGTGCTGGTGCCAAGTTCCCCCGGACTGAAGGTGCCGGGGTAGGGGGGTAGGGGGGTAGGGGGGGTGGTTGGTTCAAGGTTGGTGGCAGGCGCGGGCGCAGCTGCGGGTGCAAAACTGACAGGTTCCTTTGGAAAGGGAAGGGGGTTTGGATGGAGTCGAACCAAGTGGCTCGTATTTGGGTTCTGGGTTATTGAATTATATCTGTTGGCTACTATCGCTACTGGGCGCAAAGGGAGGCTGAGCCGGGAAGCAGGGCAGATAGAATGAGGACGGGAAGGCGGAGTCGGGGACTCGGAGGAGGTTGATGTTGCGCAGCGTGTATTGGTGCGTGGTGTAAGTCGCACCCGATGAGGCAAGGCCCGATCTGCACAGCACCTGCCGGAAGCGAAGCTGTGGACGGTGGGCTGCCCGCAGTAGTTCCCTGGTGAAGGACAGAATGAGGTGGGAAGATCCGGTGATCTGGTTGCCGGTCGAGTACCGGTATGCTGCAGTTGTTGTCCGACGCCAGCTTTTCCTTGTTGTGTTTCTTTTGCTTATGCTTTCTTTCCCTCTCCGAGTCTATGCTGAGTGTGGCGGATGAAGATGGCGTTCGATCAAGTTCGTTGGCACTCTACGATCTTGGAGACGAGAGACCAAATGGAGTCAGACCGAGCTGTCAGGAAGGAGGGGGCAGCCGCCGGTAAAATAATCCGCACAAAAAGCAGCGGCCAGTGGAGAGACAGGTGTAAGATACAATAAGGTAGACGTAAAAAAGCAAGCCACCTCGAGGGAAAAGCTGGAGAAGCAACGGGGCCAAGACCCAACGGGCGACACGAGGCAGCAGGAACGGGAGAGACCAGTGACGGCAGCCTGCCAGAAAGTGGATAGCGCAGAACGCCACAAAAGGGGGAAAAGCAAGAGGCAGCAAGAGACAGCAAGAGCACCTTCCCTCACCTCGCCTCACTTCAGAGCGAGCACTTTCCTTCTCAAATGCTCAAGTGACGCTGTTCCTGAGAGAGAGAGTTGAGAGAATTGGGCAAGTTCCCCGTCGTGCCCGTGCGGCAGACAGGCCGCAGGAGGACGGAAGGGTGGAGGCAAGAGGTGTAGAGAAAAAAAAAGGGCCAAAGCAGGCAGGAGCCGAAAAGGGCCTAGACCGTCAAGGTTCTTCCCGGACCAACGGTTTAGGGGACGTGGACCACCACATCCGCCCCACCAGGAACCTTTTTTGTTTTATTTTATTTTTTGGCTGGGAGAGACGGCGACCAGGGAGGGGCGCTAAGACGGCGCTAGTTCCACTCTGCTGGAATCCAACCGACGGGAACCTGGGAAAAGAAAGACAAAAAAACCAAGAATGGGTCTGTCTAACGGGGTGGTTGGATCGTCGAGGAATGCAATGGCGTAGGCGTGAGTCGCAAGATCGCAGGGAGGGAGGGCTGATCGCCGTATTACATGGGGATACACGACGAATGAAGCTCAATGCGGACGGGTTCGAGTGTTCCCTTGGAGATGAGAAAAAGACCGTGGCAACTTGATAAATTGGGCCCGACGACGTCCAAGCAAATTGGGGATTGAGCGCTAGCTAGACAAGGACTGGACTACTAACGGGATCGGAGAAAAAAAAATAGAGAAACGAGAACCTAAGATGTGAGGGTGGGACATAGGGCGAGGTAGCTTTAGAAACGAAAAAAGGGCGGCGGCCAAATGGCTCTTACTCCGACCAGCCGATATTCAACTGACCGGGGGCAGCTCCAAACTCTTGACTGGGTTGGCATCAAGGTCTGGGTTTCTGTACCTACTTCTCTTCTTTCCTGCTCTCCCGACTAGAAACCTGTAGGACGTCTCGTGTGTTGCGTGCCCATTCACTACGAACTGGTCTGACAACTTGCTCACCTCACGGTGCGAACCAAGATTATCCGTAAACTTGCTCGTCGCTCCTCGCGTCAAAACGGCGGGCAGAGGCCAACTACAGATCCCCCGACGCGAATTTCAATCTGTTTGAAATGACTGGCTGCCGACCGACCAAGGGCCAACCCTTTTTAACCAAGCTCGTAGACGCAGAGGTAGGCAAAGCTAGGAGCAAAACGGCCGCTCGAGGACGGGATCTGTGCAAAGTGCAGGGTTTACTTGTCTTCAGTCGAGGGGGCATGGCTCCTGCCGCTGGACGGCGATTTGCTGGTTCGTCCCGCCTGCTACCTGTGGCATCCTGTGGCATGTTCACATGTAGAAGGGGGCCTTGTCCGTTGTTGTCGTCGTTGTTGTTGGTCGTTGAAGAGTCTTGGGCACTCAAGGAGACGTGCTGGTGGTGAGGGCTGGTTTCAGAATTGCTTCATGAGATGCCGGGGTGGGTGGGATGAAAGCGGTTGAGTGGGCAGTTGGATTCACCTTGAGGGAGTGGGGTCACGGGATATTGGAGTATCGGCACTGATCGCCACTCGTCCACAACGACTTCTTGAAATTCTGCAGTTTGGTCGAGGAGGCGAAGGCGATTCCTTGCAAAAGATTGCGTTGCGGAGGAATCGGCGCATGCGACGATCTTGCGTCGTCGTTGGGGTCATTTTGTGATTTTGAGACGGAAGTTGGTTCGGTTCTACAATCGAGGTCTTAACTACACCAGGGCAAGTGCATTTGGGTCTGCTCGATGGCAATGATTACTAAATACCTAGCCTGAAAGTGTCTATCAAGTTCAGCTAGGTACGGATTAGTAGGAGAGAGTTGGCCCCGCGATATTATACCAACCCGGTACCCAGACGTCAAGAATGGAGCTTCCGGTCCGAGGTGCGGATTCGTCTCTGCCTTGCGGCGACGTTCATTAATTCGCGGCGGCTGCGGTCGTCCATCCTCTCGCATACCTCGAAGACGCGAATCGACGCCAAACTTGAGCGAAACTTGGCCCATCGTGCGAGTGAAAATCGGAGGTGGAAGCGCAAAGCTTTGTCTCTCTCGGCCTGAGCATGCCGCAAACCTCCATGCTCAAGAGTCGTTCTTCGACGAAGGAGCACAGAGCAGCAGGTTCCGACTGCTGGCACCACCGCCATTTGAGGGAGAAAAAAAAAAAAAGGAGTGAAGCAACAGCCAAGAGAGGCCGGGTTGCCAAATCCCGTCTACCTCAATCCTCTGCTGAGCATCGGTTGTGATCGTTAGAATCGATACGGCAGTTCCTTCATCAAGGCCCGCCCTATGTATCCGTACGTTGGGCAATTCAAGGTTGCAGTGGTGCTTGTCTCGGCGGCTCCATGAGGATCGTCGGCGCTACTGCCCGTAACCGCCGTCACGGTGCCATCTGGGGGACAAAATTGTATGCGCCCGATATTTTGGACTTTCTGTCAAAATCCCGGTAGTTTGCAATACGAAGAAAGAACGGGAGTTTGGTAATTCTCCGCGTCCGAGCCCGGGACGTGCACCAATTACCCCCAGAAGGGCAGCGCTGGGCGTCCACCACCACCACGAGTCGTTCACTCTAAACGGTAATGGTTGAGACTGGTCGGACGGGCCAGCCGACGCACAGCTTGAGCTTTGGCACTTGCCTAGTCAGATAGCCGAGTTACGACCATGAGTGTAAGTCCGTTACTAGAGATTAGGTCAGATGCCGGCTGGAGGGTCAGGAAGTAGATGGGGGTAGTGTTCTGCTACGGCTCTCGGAGTGCTGGGTGATGGGTGACAAGCTGCCTTTTTTTTAATGACTTGACGACTACATCCAATCCAAGTGTCTCTAGTAGTCGCCAGCAGCCTCATAGTAGGTAGGTCGCGGGTCTGGACCTTTTGGCTGGTTGCCAAGATACAGCACTCCCAAGCCCACTCAGCCTCATGTTCCCCCCCTACCACGTCTTGCCTACGCGACTAAGGGGCGAGTTGTCCATGGTATTGAAAACACAACGGAGACAGCATTCTGGAAAATCTATTTTGATATAGGCTGAGACTTGATCCGCGAAACTGACCGAAGCATGTCGATCTCTCCAGGTTGGTTAGAGAGCCGGGACCCACGTGGTTTCACGTCTCTTTTTGGGGGGGTGGTCAGCTCCTTGTCTGGGTTGCCGTTGCATCGAGTCCTTTTTGCAACATGTTAGTGAAAAGGAGCCTCCTTTCATGTCCCGATCCAACCTATTTGAGCCATCGCACTCTCGGGTCACTTGTCGGGAGGTTGAAAGTGGGTTCTCCGGCCTATCGCGATGCGGGGCCGGGGGGCAGGCGGATGGGTGGAAATCAAACGGCCCGGTCGGTGAGGGGACACAGCTGGAACGCTCACCTTCACCAGTGCCGGCATCGGTACCCCACAACCCGAGGTGAGTTCTCGGTAAGATTGGGAAAGAATTGGCCAATGAGACGTAGTCAATTTCTCACGAAATTTCTCCTTCTTTTCTCCCTTTTGACGAAAGAGAGGGTCGTCCAACGCCAACGGCGTCTCATCCTTGTTCAAGGCGTCAGGAAGCAGATGTAACACCATCCTTTTCTCCTCCAGATGACATCAGTGAACTTGACATGACTGGGCTCAGAGTACCTCTCTAGGCATGGCTCTCAGCAGCAGAGAGAAGCATTGGGCGGTGAATGGGAAAATGGTGGGCAGGAAAAATGTTTTGCTCTCCGTGCAGCAATGCACCACCTGCCCCTCCAGGTTTTTTTTTTCTGCCCCGCCATCGGCGCTCTTCCTGACTCTTGCTCTGCCAATGCATGTCCTCATCACAGTCACGTTCGCCCATGTATCCGTACTCTCTGATCAGTCTGTCAAGATGGATGGGCCAGTGACGTCGCTGGACCCAAATTTGTGCGGACAACCTCAATTTGGAAAAGCCAGAAAGTAGTATAGCTCGCGGAGGGAGTGACCAAGTACACCGTCCATAAGTCTGGAATTCATGGATGATTGTCGAGACTGGGAGAGAACCCAGACACGTGGGATAGGAGCGCGAAAAGCGCATTGCAATGCAGATTGACCGTCATGTCATCCTAAAGAGGTACCTCCTGTCCAATACAAAGGAGAGAAATACTTCTTACCTCGCCCGGCGGGACGGCCTCCGAAAAAAGTAGAGGGCTCCGATCCGCCGCCGCCGCCAGTCACAAACCACGCAAACATCACTGACCAGTGACCACACAAAGGATTATTGGGGTTTTCAGTTTCCAATTGGCTTTTTTATTTTTATTTTTATTTTTATTCACATTGGGAAAACCCACTTTCTGAGTCACCGCCCAACTACATTCAGTCATCGACCAGCACAACGTCCACACCCAAAGAGTTAAAAAAAAAAAAAAAAAGGCCACTACCGAACGCTCCCCTTCCCCTGTGGACGAACATTCATCCTCCCACTCCTCGGTCAACGACGGCTCAAGCAAACGATTCACCACACGATACCCAGTCAGATCCAATAGGCGACGAGACGAAACCCAGCCCAGCCCGTTCGCTCTCCCGTTGTTAATATCGGTGTAAGCTTATTTCCCTGCTCTTGATTGGCTTTTGACTGCCGTGGGAGAGATCGACCTCTTCACCGTGGGCTGTTTTGGGGTTGGCGGGCGGTTGCGCAGTGCGTCAATCTCACGATGGGCATCCACACAACCACTGGAGATGGAGGGGAACGGGGGGGAAACCCTCTGGCAACGCTTCAGGATGAGAGACATTGTAACTGACCAGCAAGGCTCGATTGCGTAGTTTTAAAGATACCCAAAGTTCATCAACACACAGCCAAAATGCCCGGTCTCGACCTTGAGCATGAGCCCCTCGCGGCCGACGACGTGAGAAGTGAGTCACTTTTTTTCCCCCCTCCCCTCTGCACTTTGAAAGAGGTGGATGGACATTGAATGAGCCCACCCACCTTGGGACATGTCACTCACCCATGAACCCCCTACCGTTCTGCCCCACACAAGCTGTTCAACTCAAGCTACGGACGTTCCTCATGGAGAGACGTGTGCAACTTGTCGTTGAACAAATTGGGTCTCAATCTTGTTTCAATCTCACTCTACCGCCCGCTTCATCAACATTCTTATTCGACATCCTCTCACCGTGCCTCACTCACCTCACCACCGCTACCATACCACAACCATAATGACCAGACGACGACTAACACGCCCGCAGTCCTGGGACAGGACCCCCTGATCCCCCCGGCGCTCCTCAGCTCCGAGATCCCCATGACCGACGCCGCCCTCCAGACCGTCGTCCGCGGCCGCAACGAGGCCGTCGACATCATCATGGGCAAAGACGATCGCCTCCTCGTCATCATCGGCCCCTGCTCCCTCCACGACCCCGCCACCGCTCTCGAGTACTGCTCCCGCCTCAAGGCCGTCGCCGCCCGCCTCTCCGCCGACCTCTGCGTCATCATGCGCGCCTACCTCGAGAAGCCCCGTACCACCGTCGGCTGGAAGGGCCTCATCAACGACCCGGACATTGACTCCACCTTCAAGATCAACAAGGGCCTCCGCATCTCCCGCCAGCTCTTCAGCGACCTCACCACCGCGGGGATGCCCATCGCCAGCGAGATGCTCGACACAATCTCCCCCCAGTTCCTCGCCGACTTCATCTCCGTCGGCGCCATCGGCGCCCGCACCACCGAGTCCCAGCTCCACCGCGAGCTCGCCTCCGGCCTGTCCTTCCCCGTCGGCTTCAAGAACGGCACCGACGGCAACCTCGGCGTCGCCATTGACGCCATTGGCGCCGCCGCCGCCAAGCACCACTTCATGGGTGTCACCAAGCAGGGCCTCGCCGCCATCACCCGCACCAAGGGCAACGAGCATGGCTTCGTCATCCTCCGCGGCGGCTCCCACGGCCCCAACTTTGACAAGGAGAATGTCCAAAAGGCAAAGGACACGCTCACCAAGAAGGGCCAGAAGCAGGCCATCATGATTGACTGCTCCCACGGTGCGTCTGACAACAACCCCCCACCCCCCTCCCCCTCTTCATCAGATCCAAACATGACAGGCCCCTAACACCAACAAGGCAACTCCAACAAGGACCACCGCAACCAGCCCAAGGTCGCCGCCGTCGTCGGCGACCAGCTTCGTGAGGGCGAAAAGTCCATCATCGGCGTCATGATCGAGTCCAACATCAACGAGGGCAACCAAAAGGTCCCCGCCGAGGGCCCCGCCTCGCTCAAGAAGGGCGTCTCCATCACCGACGCCTGCATCGACTGGGAGTCCACCGTCGACGTCCTTGAGGGCCTCGCCTCCGCCGTCCGCGCCCGCCGCGACCGCAACGCCGGCACCGCCAACGGCAACGAGGACTCTCACAAGGTCACCCACCTCGAGGAGGAGTAAAATGGCCCTTGACGTTGTGTGAGATGACGGGGTTGCCACCGCAGTCGAGGTACTCCAAGCTTTCTCTCGTAAAAAGAGAGATTATCAAAACGGTAAAAGGGGGTCGAGGGGGTGCTTTGCTTGGATGAGAGAAACATACCAACACATATGCATAGCATTTGCATTTTTCAAAGGCTCCAGGGAGGAAACCAAAAAGTGAATTTTCTTTGTTGTTGCTGTTTATAGTCATGGTTGCATGGGTCATGATACATGCGTCCCTAGGTCGCTCGAGGGCGCCCGGGGGCATTGGGAGAGATACATAGCTTTGCAAAACAGCTTCGCATTTCTCCTTTCAGGCCTATGGTCTTGGATATCTTCAAATGCCTTTTCCCGTATCTTGATGCTCATACATGAACGTCGTTCGTAAACCCCTTCCCCTCCCCCAACCAAATCATGCCCAAAAAAAACGCCTTTCCCGTCACCCTAAACCCGTTGTCGGAAATCAATTCGGCCTCGCTGGCGAAAGTTGACTATAATCCCCCCTCTCCGCACCATTCCTAGCAGCAGCATCGGCAGCTCGCTTCCCCTCGCGCAGCTCGTTGGCCCTCTTGAACACGGCCCAGCCCAGCAGGCCCGACGTACCCAGCAAAAAGCCCCAGACGATGACGCGGTCCTTGTTGCTATCGCGCTGAAAGCACATGGTCTGAACGTCCTCGTCTTTTGCATCGCGGCAGAAGTCGATGCCGCGGCTGAGGCAAAAGGCCTTTGTGCATTGCGAGCAAGAGGAGGAGGCGGCGCGCTTGTGGATGTCGGCAGAGGAGACGTCGCGGCGGGAGGAGGCAGGAGGTACTTTGCCGGGGGGGTCACCGTCTGCGTGTTGGGGGCCTAGGGCGACGATGGTGCTGTTCTTGAAGCAGGTGCATTTGCAGAACGTCGGCGCTGCTTTGGAGGGGTGTTAGTAGGTATGTCTTTGTGCCGGGGGGACTTGGCTGCAGGCATCGCTTGTTTGGCTTACAGTTTGCGCTGACAAGAGCGACCAAGCCGCAAATAAGCAGCAAGAGGATTGATATGCGATTCATCCTGGCGGGTTGGGTCCACTGCCGACCCGACTCTGATTTCTCGCGACGGCGCGGAGCAGTTGAGGTTGTCGCCGTCCTTGGCTCAGGGAGCCCCCAATGGTGACAGACGCACGAGCCACAGCCGGATTGTTGGCGTAACCAACCCACTTGCTGTGGCCATACCACTGTGGCTGAAGCTTCCTCATCTCTGATTCGCCAGCTCACCAGCATCCAAAAAAGTTCAATTGGAGACTTTGAGCTCCCTACCACCATCGCGCTACTGCTTTGCCTCTACCTGAAGGCCAAATCCCCTTTGCCTCAACAACACAGCAAACAGCCACGCCCGCCATGCGTCATGTACCGCGTCTCAGGCAGCCGAGCCTGCTGGCAGCCTCCTCGATCCAGTGCACCTGCGCCGCGCCCGCCATACTCCCCATCTCGGCAACAGCAGCAACAGCAGCATCAGCACGAAGAGCCCTCTCGACGACACCCGCGACGAACAGCAGCCGCGTCCGCAAGGCCCTCTGGAAAGGCGAAGCTCCGGGACCAGAGGACCCTTACGCCGCGGAATCCTCCCAGGCCCTCCGCCAGGCGCAGCTCGAGCGGGAGTTGGCCGACGCCGAGGCCGAGCTGGCCGCCTATGAGGCCGACGCCAAGGAGACGCAGAGGGCGGAAGCGAGGGGCCGCCAGAAGCCCCAGAGCAGGCTCGCGCGCCAGGTGAAGAATAAGCGCGTGTGGGCGCCGACGGAGAAGGAGGTTGAGGAGAAGGGGGATTACGTCCCGGCCAAGACGATTGACGGGCTCGAGGAGATTGGAGGGCTCGAGGGGTGGTGGGAGCAGGAGGGCCGCTGGGGTAAGGAGAGCGAGTACGTCGGCTTCTCGAGCGGCGGCAAGATCGTCGATGCCGATTTGTGCGCTGCGCGCGTCAGGCAGGCTGTCGTTGAGGCGCTCGCTATCTCTGGGTCTGCTGAGCTGCAGGGCCGTTTGACGGCTGCGTGGGCCAGGGGCGACGGAGAAAGCTTCAGCAGGGCGACGGCGCTTGGGTTGAAGGTTGGGGAGAACGGGAGCGTCTCTCTCGAAGGTGACGCCTCGGCGATCGAGGGTGTCGTCGCACCTCTGTTCGAGGCCCCGAATGCGGAGGTTTCGGAGAACGCTGTCGAGCCCGCCAACGCGAAAGCTTTGGTCGAGGCGTGGGGCGAAGCCTGGAAGAGCATTTCCCTTGAGGATGCCCGCTTCAAGTTTGCTGTAAGTCTTTCTCTCACATGCCCGCAGAAGGGGAGTTTCTGTTGGACAGCATCCTAACGCTCGAATCCCACAGGTCCACAAGCGCGTCTTCCAACTGACAGGCCACAACGTCCACGACGCCAAGCTCGCGCAGGTCAACACGGTCGGCGACCTCATCGCCACCATCGTCAAGCCGCCCAAGCCGACAAAGGTCGCAGAGGCCATCGCCCTGCAGGGCGAGCTGCTCGAGCTGCCCAACGTCCGCGTCCGCGACCGCCGTGTTACACCCATCGACAAGGAGGTCGAGGTGGGTCGGTGGAAGGTCATCAGAAGGGAGCTTCAGAAGAGACGTCTGCCCGTTACCGGGCACGAGCATCTCCCCAAGCCGGTGCAGAGGGCATGGATCCAGGGCAAGGTATAAGGAGAGGCGGCGTGGTGACGTGGTGACGTGGGTGGGCGAATGCGAAGGACAAAAAGGGGAGAGAATATGTGTCTGGTATAGAGGAGACTTGTACAGATATTGTACTCTTTGTAACATATGGATTATCAATGATTCTTGCTCTGATAACACCTGGTTCTGCGAGTTTGATCCTGATCTGGAAAATGATGCCAATTTAAACTGCTTTTTGTCGAACCCAAATATGAACCAAAGCACTACCTTATGAAATGATGGTGGTAAAAGCATTCAAGTCGTTCTTCACAAGTAGCTACTCAGGACATGACTGTTTCAGATACCCCTATTCGGTTGACTCCTCGATATCACTCCCGTACATGATGAGCGAGATGAGCTCGCAGTTGCTCCAATCCTCTTCTGGGCCGTTGCTCCTTGAAAGAGATTATAATTCATCTGCGTTGGTTTGAAGCGGCTGCGTGCAGAGCGAGTTCAGGTGACCGACAAACAGACGAGCCTCGATCGGAAAGAGCGCCTTCCTGTGATGTTTTCCTATTCACCCCACCTCTTTCCTCTCGAACATAAACTGCACCTTCCTCCACCCTCACCTCTCTCGGTCTTACCGCCTCTCAGCCTTTCCTTCGCATCCACTCAATTGTACTCTTCACCTTCCCTTCTCCTCACCAATCACCCCCATCCAACCCAGCAAGCCTCCTGCTCTTCTTCTTGCCTTATATTCCCTTACCTCAAGGTACCTGAGGTTACATCTTGTCAGCCAGGTATCTTACAAGTCTTGATCGTCCTTTCCACGTCTTACTCGACTCCCGTCTCGGCGTGAGATCCTTCCAGGTACAGCATCTCGCAGACTCCTTTCAGTGCCGCTGACGAATACAACTTGCGCAGGATGGCGCCACCTCCATACTTTGGGCACTGGCCCGTGTCGGTCAGGTTCAGCAAGTGGCTGGAATGGGCAAAGTCCCAGAAGCTGCCCTCATTCAAAGACTACCCGAGCCTGTCCGAAAAAGTCGATCGCCAGCTAGACCAAGTCTACTGGAAGTTTGAAAGGCAGCTGCCTGCCCCCAGGGACCAGGCATGCTGGGAGCGTCTCCTCCGGGGCAGAGGGTCTGATCGTGGCTTGAAGGCCTTTGGTGAACCCAATGTTGTCGATTGCGAAGTGGCACGGATCGTCAACAATGGTTGTGTGCACGAATTCCTTGTTGTGATTATGGAGAAGATGGGCTGGGATGCGGCCAAATGTTGCGACCCGTCGCTTTCGATCGATCAGAAGAGATCTCGGCCTCCCAAAGGACCTCGTCAGAGGAACAATGCGGACGAGCGCATGGAAGACGACCCGCCTCCCAGGCGGACTACTCCTGACACGCCACTCAACTACGCGGCTGTTTCGGAGCTTATGCTTGAGCAAAAGGCCCTCAAGGAGAAGAGTGCGGCGGCGGCTGCTGCTACTTCTTCCAGTGTTGTAGCTCGCTCAGCAGGAACTGGACGCGGGTCGAATGGAACAGCTAGCTCCTTCTCTTTTGGAGGCCACAAACCCGAGCCAAAGATGTCGATAAAAAGTCCTGCGGTGAACGAGGCCGTTCGCCTGAAATCGAACGAGCGGCCTTCGTTGAGAGAAGAATCAGACATTTCTGGAGGAACCGTGGCCCAGTCGACCCTTCATGGTATGTTTGACAAACTAGTTGAGGTAATGCTCGACGATCCAAGCACAGTGGTTATTAAAGGCAATGGGTCTCTTTCTGGACAAAGACAAACTGGTGGCAGCGTCCAACGAGAAAGCGGTATAGCCGCAACGAGGCCAAATTCGATGTCAGTTATCAGCACAACTCCGATAGGAGGGATGTTCGGGTCTCAACCCCCCGTCTCAAAGCAGCCACCTGCGAAAGTGCCCGTCAGGACCGGAGGAGCTTTGGAGCGACAAGCTCAACGACAACTAAGTGGTCTCTTGAATGGCTCTCTTCCCTCGTATCCCGCGTCGGTTGGAAGGACGAGTGACGAAGAAAGCTCCAGATTGTTGACGCTATCGACCCCGGCGCCGCATGCCTCCTCCAGCAATGCTCAACAACGCAATAGCGCGGCAGCCAAGACAGCGTCTCAAGTGCAGAGACCTGTGGCTGTCCTGCCGGCAGAACATAAGATGGATAGCCAGACGGTCACTGCCTCTACTCAGGGGCACACGACGCAAGTCGAGAGCCTCACGGCTGAGATGACCAAGAAACTCGAGGCGACCATCAATCAGCATCTGTTAGAGGCGATTCGAGGGGTCTACCGCAGCGTCCCCAAGTTACTGGAGCAAAAGATTCGAGACTTGTTGGACGGCACAGAGTACCGCTCTATAAGATTCGCTGTTCTCCGGGAGATTGAAATAGAGACCACAAAGACTGTGAGAGAGGCTGTCATGTCCAAGATGAAAGCCATGGAGGAGATCATTAAGGACACTAAACATCCTGAAAAGATGAAGCCATCAGGGAACACCAAGCGCAAGGCTGACGAGATAGACGCAGAAGGAGGTGACCAAACTCAACAGGCTGCGAAGCGACATCGGAGCGATGGCGACGGTGGTGGATGGACCATATGAACGTCATCGATCGACCGTTCAGAACAAATGGCGGAGATTTGGAATATATCATTTCCAACGGCCAAGTGTAGGATACTGTCAATGATTGATTGTCGGGAAGAGGAATGCGTTGCTAGGAATTAACGGAGTATTGTGGTAAGGGCGTTGATATGGGATGGATATGCTTTGAGGATTACTCATACCCGTCGACACCTCTTTCAAGGAAAGAAAAAAGATTCGTTGGGCATAATTGCTGAGTATACTCGATGTGCTTTCAGGAAAAGCTGAAAAGCTGAAATGTTGACCCAATGAATGCTACGTCCGATACGGTATCTCATCCAAGAGTCCATGGTTTCCTCACAACAAGAGACACAGAACGATTCATTCGGCCCTGGAAAGGGTGAAGTAGCTCAATTGGTGCTACCTAAGGATGCGTGACCGACCTCTGGTTCGGTGGGATACTGATCGGGGTTGGGTCCCCGTCATCACGCGAAAGCAAACGCTTCATGCCAATTCATCATTCCATCCTCCTCACTCGCTCGTGTGTCAAACTCCGTTTTTGATTCGTTTCTGTAAAAAAAAGACGGACCCGTTCGTCAGCTCTACTCAAGTGAGGAACAAGAAATGATAGTAGTGTGGGAAAACAAACAGTCAAAGTGGAAGTGGCCGTCGTTGTTGGACAGGCGCTCGCACAGGTTGACGTCGGCGTCAATGGCCTCGCCGCCAATGTTGAAGAGGCGGGCACGGAGAATGGGCTGGTCACCCTCCAAATCGAAGCGGATGTCCTCGGCGGATTGCGCGAAGCCTATTATTTTGGAAAAAAAGAAAGACGTTAGTGGATTGTGTCAGATGTTGGGGTGAGAGGAGAGATGCTCAAGGAGACGAGCTTAAGGAGACAAGAGGGGAAGGGGGAGAGGAATTCTTGGCTTACCCTGGCCACCCCACTGGAAACGGCCGTCGTCGTTGCCGAGGAAGTCGTTGAGGTTGATCTCGGCGTCGACAAAGTCGCCGTTGCCGTTCTGGAGACGGGCGCGGAGGATGTGGCCGTCGTCGACGCGGGTGTCCTGGGCGGAGAGGTGGAAGTTGGACATCTTGATTGATTGTGTGTGTGTGTGTGTGTGTGAGAGAGAAAAGTGTTTTGGTCTAGAAAAAGAATTTGAGTTTGTTCAAATTGAAGAAAGAGCTGCGGGAGAGTGGGGGATGGGAGAGTGGCTTTATATAGATTATCGTCAGAAAGGGGGAAGAGGGATGACGAGGAGGAGCGGGAAGGAGGAGCAAGCAAGACTGATGGAACCAAAACCCCCCCCCCCTCCCTCGTGGCTGGAACCTTATTCACACACCGAGCAGGAAGCAGGAAAGCTCAAGAGGGGCAAGGGGGGGGATTGGGAGGGGAGTGAGTTTGTGAGTGAGAGGCCTCCATTCGTATTCACTGGGGAACTCTGATTGTTACAGACACGTGGAGGTGGGAAAACAGCGGTCTTGGGGAACGGGTTTTTGGCGACGGAGGTTTTCCTTGGCCGGGGCCGCGTTCACGCCCTGCTTGTAGCTTCATGCTCTTGCCTACCAAAAACCCCCCATTGGCATACCTATCTGGGGCTTTGCTTGGCCTGTCTGTCTGGCCCTATAGGGAGAAGCTAGCTTGCCTTTTGGAGCGTGATCCATGGGCCAAGTGGACTGGGGATTGCGACTTTTCATTGTTTCGGTTTGCTTCTGCCACTATGTCACACCTTTTGTTCAATGGGAGGAGGTGGTGTGTCCTTGCTACGTAGCTCATGGGGCCAAGAGCCTCCTCCGCCGACAGGGGTCATGGAGCTCCGGGAGAGCTCGTTGGTTGGAGGCTGGCGGAACAGGGGGCAAGGCGAAGGGTGAGGCTAGGCGATGGAGGGGCGGGGGGAGCTTAAGTGGGATGGAGGGGTAGCTTGGTCTTCATGTCACGGCGATGCCGGGTAGCTAGTTTGTCTGCGCAGAGAGAGAGAGAGAGAGAGACAGAGAGGTAGAGTTTGCGTATGGCTGTACGGTATCTCTTGTCTGATGATTTCAGGACGTAGAAACTAGGTAGGTAGCTGCTCCATTCCTCTAATACACTCCCCACGCCACGCCCGCCGAGTCTACTGATGCTCTTTCAAGAGACCGCGCCGGCACCCGCGTGCCGAGGACTCGCGATGGGGGCCGCTTGGCGTACATGAGGACACGCCTCTCCTGCAGGGTGCGATTGGGACGCCGGACACGCTTGGATACGGGGACGACTGAGAGGTTCCCGGGGCCGGTCGTGTGAGGTGCAAGGTGTGTGTTGGATGACGCGGCCCTCTCCTTCTTGTCTGCGGGCAGGAGGACGGTTCTCCGGTCTTGGTGTTGGTAAGGGCAGGATGAATGGATGGGAGATGGGAAATATCATGGGCCAGTGTGAATCTTGGGATGGCATGAGGGTTTGTGTGCGGGTGGAAGTGTATGGACAAACACACGGATGGGAGGCAGCCGCGCGCTTGCTTCGGCTGAGGATAGGTGTGGGAGATTCTTGGCAACTTTTCCCTATGAGCCATGGGTTGCCTCTCGCGTGCCGCGTATCCTGAGAATCTGGGTAAAGTAGGTGCCAGTGAAACGAAAGTAAACAAAAGGCCAACATGAAGCATAAGTTGGGTTCGGCATGGACACGCCCGATTCATGCGCGCTGCAGAGCTCCCCCATTGCTTGAAGACAGATAGCTACAGAAGTTGAGTGGAGAAGGAGGAACAGAGCTCATCGTCCGAGACCTACTGAAAGCCAACCCCCCCCCCCTCCTTGGAGTTGCAGAAGAAGCGGGGAGGAGGTCTTGGTCCCTTGCGGGCTGTGATCATGACGCTGGGAGAGTCTGGGACAGCTCCGAGAAGAGCGTTTTGGGGGCCTGCTCTCTCTTCCACCACTGTAACATAAAGAAAGTAAACACGGCACGGACGGAAAGCTTCCTCTCGGACTGTTTGCTCGCTTCCCTTGGCCACGGGAGAGACAGAGAGAAAGGAGTGGAGGCGTCGCGTCGCGGGTTTGGCGATGTCGTCCATTCAGCTGAGGCCTTGTGGCATGAGGTTGCCAAAACTTTCTGGAACCACCTTTTTTTCAATCCATTGGAAACCCCCCCCCCGGTAAAACAGGTCCGGCCTATCAGGGTCTCGGCAGGAACACCACGAGAGAGCTTTTTGGCGGGGATCGGAGGCCGTGGCTTGCGGCAAGGACCGATGCGTTCCGTTCGTGGCATCACCTCATGGGGCGGGCCCAGATCAGGCCCCCTCTCATTCTTTCTCTCACGTTCCTGCTTTCTGCCCGGGGTCCTCGCCCAGGACCTATGCCATTGGCTTGATGGTCCCCGTCCACGCTGGCGGTGTGGCGTCAAGGTGTCGTCGTGAATGTAATCATGTTGTACAGCACCCATTGACTGGTTGTCGAGGGTGATGTGTGGTGTGTTTTGAGTTGAGGTGACGATCTTTGTGGTTGCACAGGAGGCGGCTGCTCTCAGGGGTTTTTGGAGGGGTCCAGTTGTCGAGGGGGGAAAGCCATGGCGGGGCGGGGCGGGGTCCAAATTCATCATAGGAGCGGTCAGAGGTCCGAGGGGTAAGAAGGAGACTGGATTAAGATCAAGAGAGCAAGAGGCATTGCCGCGACGCACCTTGAGTACTTTGAGATGGCCTGATGGCTAACTGGACGAGTCAATCAAGGTTGACATTGTTGGCACCTTGAGGGGTTGAGCAAAATGTATAAAGAGACGCGCACCGCAGGCCAGGATACTTGTCTTTGCTGCGCTGGTAAGACTTGGACACTTCGACCACACGCCGTCACCTGTTGCAATAGTACAGGAAATACGCCGTATCGGGAATACAATCTAAGACCCTGAGATCCATGGGTTCAACAACAACATCACAAGAAGCAAGCGCTAGACATTCGGCGTCTCAAAAGATTTATTGCTCAATGAGTGACTAAACATGCCAATAGGTTCATCAATTTGTTTGAGTGGAACACTATCCGCCGATGCAAACCATCGTCAACCCAGTCGTAACCCGTTTCCCGAATTCAAAACTCATGTCGATGCCGTATCGAGAGAAACCGAAACCGCAATCAAGCAGCGACGTGTATCATAGGTAGTCCGTCAAGGGAAGTGTTTATTTGCAGGAGGAGCAAGAGCAGCCAGAGCCGCAGTTGCCTGGACAGGTTAGCGTCTTGTCACCAATCGGCAGCCGACAACAAGGTTGCGGTGCATGGGGGAGATCAATGTACAGGTAGAAGCGCCGGAGCAGCCGCAGTCACCCTTCATTTTGATGGTTTGTGGTTGGTTTGGGGGGTTTTGAAAAAAAGGTATTGGTTGTATAGTTGACGTGATGGACGTGGATGTTGACGTTGTGGAGATCAGGCCTAAGACGCGGAAAAAGAGAGGTAAGAACCCGCGCACTTATATAGGTATCCAGAGCCTTTCCTAGCAGCCGGGAAGTCACCTAGAGGAGGAGTAGCAGGAGGAGGGGTCAGTCGTCTGATGAGGGTGGCCAGATGGGACCGGATCGGGGCGCCGTCATTGGGCGGGTGCGCCGTTTGTGCAGAAACGCAGTCCAGCCAAGCCAGCGTCCGTGGCTCAGTACTGGCGAGGGGTGCCCAGGTGGGGTTTGCGGTCTTTGTGCGTTGACCGTGGCCAGTCGCCCCCCTTTCTTTCGGGGCTGGAACTTGGCCCGGCATGGATGACCATGGGGGGGTAAGTCGGGTATGTTTTTTTACGCCGCGCGAATCGCCTCGGCCGCCCAAACCAATCCTGGCTGACGGGCCAAAGGCCGCTGCGATGCTTCCCAAATTGTCAACCTTCCCTTATCGAGTGATCGCATCGTTGCCGGATAAGGTTCAGGTGGGTTGCGTCTTTTGTGCGGGAGGCGCTAGGATTCGGCCACTTGTTCCTCAATGCATCGTTTGCAGCTGACCCCGGCACGTCGGGATGGGCAGGGCAGATTCTGGATGATGAGATGAGATTCGTACCTGTGGGCACTGGCACTGACTGGGTGAGGTGTTGGCGAACAAGGTAGGTATCCCGTGGCATCTTCTAGCAGATACTGGTTTCTAGAAGAGGCTGGGAGCCTGATACAGACTGATAGAGGGCGATAACGGTATGACGCCTGATACATAGAAGCCGGTGTCTCGTTCAGGCAGGACCCTGAATCTTTGGCCTGCCGGTTGACGTCGGACACACTCTCGGCGAGGAGGGGTATCCCATCTCTTGCCTGCCCGCAAAAGCTGCCCCAAGCGCAGCGCCAGCGCCAACGCTGATGGAGGGGTGACACTGGTGGAAGGGTGAGGGGTTCCGTGGCTGTGACGTCTGTCTTGTCACTCACTCTGCTGTGTTTGTACATTGTATGTGGCTGTCTCGAATTGCGGCCTTTGTGCGTGAATCTTCACCACTCGCTCTTCGTTGTACCGATGTAGCTGAGACCAGATTGGCATACCTGCTGGCACGGCATGACCCTCGAGGCATTTGTGCCGTTGATTCGAGTCCGAGATAGATGCGCGCATGATCGGGTCAATCTGCGATTGATCATCGGCTACCAGGGCGGTATGACGGAGCAGCAGTGAGGGTCTGGGGTCTTCTCTTCTCTTAGGTTCTTCTTTGCTCGGCCATTCTTCATCACCGCTTCTTCAGCGACTGGCGAGGAGACACCAGTAACACCCCCACCGCTCGGACGGCGACCCCACGGCTCCAACATCCTGGGTGCATTGACCTCCTGCGTAAACTCACTGCTGGACCTGCCCTGTTCCCGGCCCAGCCACTTTTTCCTGTCGACTGGTGCCGCCAGCCGCATCGGAATGTTTTCTTAGTCACGGTGCTAGCGATCGAGGCTCGACCGGCGCCGTTCTCTTTTGCCCCAAGCCATGCGCTCGACGGCGGCGAGTAGGAGGCGAACATCCCAGACCGCTCCGGTCAGGCCCGAGAAGACGGAGAGGAGAGGACCCCTTCCTGAGGTGCTGAGCGAACACGCTTCCGCAGCAGAACGACGTTAGTGACCTATTCAGGAAGCGATCGGCTAATGTCGGAACGGATGACATCGACCCACGTGCATCGGAACTCGGGACGGCGCAAGATAATCCGGTCACATGTTCTTTCGGCGTTAGCGATCAAGTCCGTCACCCCACGCGTGTGCGGGTGGCATCTGTTCTCCTCAATGGAACTGACAGTGCGATGAGACACAAGATGCGCACGAGCAAGTTCAAAAGCAATAGATTGCAATTTGCAGGCTGCCTGATTGTTTTTATCCCAAGCATGGTACTCTGACCTCGCCTTGGTCACTTCCAACACTATGTAACTTGTTTACTGAATACCGAACATCATCATTCCGTATCTAACGTTGCTGACCGGAAGACTTCCTACCCCTGACTCACAGGCGAGATCAAATGAGACCAGAGTCCAAAAGCACACGCCCTCGCCGAACTTGTGGTGACATCAGAGCAGGAATGTCATTCGAGTTCTCCCAAAGAAGTCCAAACATCGACGGGTCAAGGATGATCATCAGTCGAAACGCTGTCCCCGCCCCATGGGCTCTGGCGTCTCTGGAGATGTCATTCCAAACCTTGTCGCTCCCAAAGTGGACAGTGATGACCAGGTTATTGAATCGAAGCTGGTTCTCTTGGTGTGATCCGCAGAGATTTAGAATAAGACTCCTCATACCTGCTAAGTAAGGTTCCTTACTCAGATGCTCCTGGCTGAATGTGCCATCCAAAAAAAGACTGTGCGCTTGAGGAGGCAGAAGGTGTGGGATCCACGAAGCACAGTCGGGAAGTGATTCAGAGCGAAAAGCGCATAGTGCAACCCCGATGCGTAATACCTTCAGGTCAGGCAAGTTTGACAAGCTCTTTAGGAAAGGAGAAATCTCTAAATCAGCGTATGGACCAAAGAACTTGTACACCCCATGACCTGGTATGTGTAGGGATATTTCCTCAACGCCAGGGCAACTACCCGAAATCACGGCGCCCAACTCTTGCTCCAATGGTTGACCGTGGCCATTTGCGCTCTCCATCCGTCCTGCGTCGACGTCAACGTAGAGATGCGTGAGCTTTGGGCATCGGCGCAGGACCTTGCTGAGAGTTAATGCATTCGTCTTTGTGCGCAAAATCATGAGTTTCTTTATTGAAAGAGGTGTTCCATCACCCAGGGTGTCGAGAAAATCCCAGCTGCCAATGTCGTACCTGGAAGTGAACGCCTCAAGAGTCGGATGGGCAAGGAAGAATTGTATCAATTGGAAGTTCTTGCCATAATATCTCGAAATCCGCGTATGTTGACAGCTCGGTCTTAGGAAGAGCGACTTGAGTTTTGGGCAGAATGTTTGCTTCACAGGGTCGCCACCGCGACTGCCGGACTGAACGACAGAGAAAGTTGACATGGCAGAAACCAGCATTTGTCCAAATCCCATCAGTTGCATTTCTAGGAAATCAATTCCAAGCTGTGTCAGGGTTAGCTGAACAACGCTGTTGAACAAGCAGAGCAGCAGGCCCATGATAGACCCCACGACTTTTGGCGATTGCAGCCTGCTACCTGTTGCGGAGTTGACTCTGCATAGTAGCAAGAGCTGACTTTCACAGACGGAGAGCTTGCTTTCGTCAAACACCAAGTTGTGCCAATCGCTGAGAATGAAAGGGGCATTCATGCTGTATGGGTACATGCGAGCGTCCCAGCCTAGACAGAAGTCTACATGGCGAATCAAGCCACGGAGATTTGGGTTTTCGACCAGCGTTCGGACGAGAAATATGAGTCGAAGGAAGTTTCCGGGCACAAACGTGATGCAGTGATATAAATGATGTTGAGCTGACGGGCTGGTTTTCTTGTCCACGAGACAAAGCCTGCGGGCGTCTTGTCCATTCTTGCACCAGTTTACGATCATTCTGACGAGCTCGTTCGGCATGGTTGAGAAAGTAGCGCCCGCCATGACCCTGGGTACGGTGTTGAGTGGCTATCTAGCCGTTGTTGTTATTGTTGTAGTCGGATTGCCAGAGCGCAGAAGGCGAAGAATTCGGAGAGCGGGATAACTAGTTGCTCGAAGTCTCGTCGGAAGATCGTCAATCGATAAGAGCGTGTCTAAAAGGCTGTCGTAGTCGCATAATGTATCGGGATGATAAAAGTTGGATGTCGATGGAGGAGGTCTCGCTGGAGAGCAAATGAAGCAGAAGAAGTAATGGAGGCGGAGAGAGTCGAGGAGGCATGGTTGGGTAGGTAGATAGGGCCGTAGACGGGCCCGGGGAAGCAAGAAAGAAGCATCAGAATATCACCTTCCAATTATGATTGCTGCTTCCACCTCGCTCTGCACCTGATTTAATCACAACTCGCATGGTCTTGCCTGACCACGATGAGGGGCGGAAGGAGTGATGAAACGCAACAACTCGAGAGAAGGAATAGTCCATCGGGACAGAAAGAACACTTGGCATCGTTCCCATCTGCTCATTTCTTTACTTGAGGGAATAGGCTGTTGCTTCTCCGAGTCGAAAGCTGCCGCGTGGGAGGAGGTATTTGGCTGCTTTCGCAACGGACACGTCCAGACATTGGTCAACAAGAATGGCATTGCTCATAATGTTCGAGAGGCCTGATATCATACATCCCCTGACAGCTACCACAATTTTCTGCCCGCGACGGTCACCTGTGATGATGTCGCCTGTGTCCCGGAGTGTCCCGGCGGCGGCGGCACCGGCACCGGTCGACTACCTACGTATCCCACCTCGGCATTCACGCCTGCTTCCACGCAAACCTCGAGCTAGGCCTCAAAGACTCCCTCACATACCACGGCGCAACCTCCCTCGTCCGCGCCGAGCCACCGGCCGACCGCCGCCGCCGTCGCTCTCCTCCGTGGAGGTGGCATCGAATCAAACTTCGACCCCGTAACGCAGCACTTCGGCATCGGCGGCCCGTCCCCCTCCCGCTGTCATGCGATCCCTGACCCAGTTTTTCCAAAGGCTGTGCCCGCACTTTTTATTCATCTACCGCAAACCCTTTCTGCATGGGGTGGTGAATCATCGTCAAAGAAGATACCTGGAGTCTTGGCATTGCAGTGCGTTGGACCTATCTTAACAAAATCCATGACATGATACTGCACCAGTCTTTTATTCCACATCGTTGGCATCGCCTTAAACTATGACCAGGCCATCGCATCTCGGGGAAGCTAAATGGACGAAAAGCCACAGGCCTACTGCGTCACATCTGCGCAGCATATCACGTCTCTGCTGCGCACCGATCGAAGTCAGTACGGGCTTGAACACGCACGCACTATTTGTGTTTGTCTATGGCGCCGTGCAGGCGAGCCGCTCGGTAGAGGTATTCAGAGTCACAGATGAAAGCCAATCTCTGATCCTAAGGCTGGGAAAACTATCGCCAGCATAGAGCCTGTCACGAGAAGTCATGGCCAAAGTATTAGACTGCTAAATACCCGCAAGAGTACACAAGTCGGGCCCTCCCCCTCGGACTCGAGACCTGTTTATCCAGCCTTTATAGCAGTTACCATAGCCATCTATGTTCCCCTACTATCGCCCTTCTGCCAGCTTCTTTTTGCCCGGAGTTTCGTCACGATGCCCCTTGCCAATCATAGCCGTCATTGCTTAGTCGGTGTGGTTTTGAGACAACTCACACATTCATCATCCGCTTCCAGGACTTTCCCCACATTCTCTTGCTGTCGATTCCGGTGCACACACGGACCTTGGCACCAGTTCCGGCGAGTGTGTTATTGGCGACTCTGCTCCACTGCTTCGGCTTGCTGTACTTGCAACCGAAGACGATGGTGTTGAGGCGGGGAAAGTGGTCTGCGCGTCTCTGACAGAGATCTTGGATGATGTTCTTGACAGACTTCACAAACTCCATAACCTCGGGGTTTCTAGGCGAGATTCTCGTGGGACTCATCACCCTCAACATGGAAACATCCACAAAGAGTTTCTCCAACTGCTCAGGGAGCTTTTCGTGAAGATTCAGTTCGCCGAGGTCTCTTGTGTGCGTGATGAAAGATTCCATCTCGATGCGGAGTTCTGTAAGTTTGGTCATCTTGGGGAGGCAGTCGAGGGTGTTGGGCCCTAGGAACTTGTCCTTGAGTCCAAAGAAGCGAATTGACAGAACTTGAAGATGGGGACAATACTTTGGCAAGACCTCATTGATGCTCTCTCCAATTCCCTGATAGTCACCGTCTCCGAGTGTCTCAACTTCAAGATATTGCAACTGCGGGCAATGACGAAGCAGGACGCAGAGGCTCGAAGAAGTGCAGTCGCTTGCCTTCAGCGTGACCTTGGTGAAGGGAAGCTTGAATTTGGAACCAATCTGGTCGAGGATGTTGTTCAACCCGCCCTCGGTTCCGATGAGATGGAACTCGCGGACATGAGCCGAAGATGTGAAGGCCAAGAAGGGGTGATAAGCCTTGTTGAAGACTATCTGGTTCGATTTCTGCAGCCAGATCTTGCTGCAGACATCCAAGCTCACCAGAGACGGAAGGAGCGCTGAATAGTCGAGCGAGTTGGAGTGTGCAGAGGCAGCAAGAGAGAGACCGGCTGCCAAGAAGCGGTCCATGGTGCCCAAGTAGGCATCGGCGAAGAGCGTCAAGTGTTGAGTCTTGTCCAGGAGGAACATCAGCAGGCCGAGTACACACTGAATGTTATCGACAGCCTTGTCGCTGCACGTAGCTCTGCAGAGGACGAGGAGCTGACGGTCGAGCTGGGAAAGATTCGACTCGACCATGGCCGTGTTAGCCCAATCGCGGAAGAGATAAGCATCAGGGCTGTATCTGCTGAATCGAAAACTGTCGAAATGGATGACGACAACACGAACAAACTCTCTGGCGGAAGGGTTCTCGATGAGGTTTCTGGTGAGCGAGGCAAGCTGATGTCCGGACACAATGACAATGCGTCGGTACAGCTCTCGACGAGCAACTGGGTAGATGCGCTTGCTCGTAAGGCAGAGATTACGGACGCTCTGACGACCACGGAGGCCGTTGTCGTGTGCCTCCTTGACGATCATTGAGAGAATCTCATTGGGCATGGTAGAGAGGGTAGGACGATTCATCTTGACGACGTGACGGGGTTTAGCAGGCTTGGAAGCCGGCTTGGGTTTGGCGCGCTTGCCAGCAGTAGCTTTGCGTTTAGCCATGATCGCGGTGGAAGATGAAGCCGAGCAGGCAACTGTTGGGTGCTGTGGTGGTTGCGCTGCCGCCTGTAGCGATGGAGGAGGAAGGGGAGGAGGGTGAAGGGGAAGAGTAGGAGGAGTCCAAGGCGCACCAGATGATGAAAGCCCTCAAGGACAAGGTAAGCGAGGAAACCCACGGTGAAATGTCGAAGAAGGCACGAGGCGACTTTGGGTCCTTCTCTGTTTCGCTTCCGCTCCGGGCCGAGTCTGCTTCCTTCTCCATCGTGATGCCTCAAAAGAGGAGGAAACGCCCTCTTCTACCCACTAAGAGTTCGTTTCCCACGTGATGATGGCGGTGTAGCAGGAAGGAAAGAACTATCCAGAGTCTACGTGTCGATTTCCAGGGCTTCAGGTACTGTCTTCCCGTGCTTTGATCGGGGGTTGTGGTGAGTTGTGATAAGTAAGCGCCGGTGAGACGGAGAACTTGGACTCGAGGCGGGGACATGGTCTGGAAGTATTGAGAAGGATATGGCGAAAGAAAGCCAAGGAATCCTCGAATCAGGAAATCGTTGCTTTGTTGAGATGGAGCAAGCTGTGTTGGATATGGTTGACGTATTGACAAGCTGGCTTGTCGACAACTCTTTGATATCAAGCCCCTTCCAGGTTGTTGATATTCTGGCCGAATCAAAGATACAGAAGAGAGCACATCTGTCCAAAAGTAAGCAAATCCAAAGGAGATATATGACCGACATACTGATTCGAATATAGATCTCGAAGAGCCCCTTCTTCGATTCCTCAAAAGGGAGAGAGATGGCACATATCCTCCGAATTCCTCCATTTCGCCACAAGACCTCACCCAGACAAGCACCGAACAACATCGGCCATGACCTCGCCCGCGAAAGCAAAGTCCCTCTCAACCTTCTCATTCAAACCCCAAGCCTCCTTGCTCCCATCCAGCACAGTCGCCCTCCTCATATCCCTCTTATGGCTTCCGACCACCGGCGTCCCCCGATGGAGAGTACAAGTGTTATCCCACATAACCAGATCGCCCACCTGCTTCCACGGAACCGAAACCACAAACCTGTCCTGCGTGGCATGCCGGTAAAGGTACTCCAGCTTCTCCCTCCCCTCGTCCTCCTCGAGACCTTCAATGTGGTGACAGTGCGACGGCACGAACAGGTTCATCCTCCCGCTCGCTTCATGGAGCTGGGCGACCTTGTGCTTGCTCATCGGATGCTTCCCCGGCTCCAGCTTCGCAAAGAAGTCGGGACATGCCTTCTTTCGGGAATACCAGAACGAATGGCCCGCGACGTAATCCTTGGCCAGGAGTTCGTGCTTCCATTCCTCGGGGAGCTCATCCCACGCCGCCCGCGTATCGGCAAAGTCGGTGTTGCCGCCCGCTTCCAGCGGCGGGATCTCATGGGCCAAGAGGATGGAGTAGCTCGCTCGCTGGGCGTTGAAGCTACTATCGACGTGGAAGAGTGTGTTGCCCTGCTCGAACGTCAGAGATGGTGCTGGACTACTGAATCTGGCATCAGTCCCGGAGAAACACACCTTGCTGATCTGAGCTCGCGGATCTTGAGAGCCGATGACATTTCCATTGGCATCAATGTTGCCCTGGTCTGTCAACTCTGCCAAACTCATCCGCGACGGCGCGCCTGTGTCTTTGCGGCGCTCGAGTTTGCCGAAGCGGCTGGCGAAGGCGACGTGGCGTTCGTCGTCTAGGCCTGTCGCCGGGAACACGAGAACTCCATACTACATCTCAATGATTAGCAATTAGTTTCATTTGGCCGGAGATAGCCGCGGTTCGAACCTTGGTAATAGCAGCTTGGATCTCTTGAAAGACATCTTCCGTCAACCGCTCGGAGAAGTCAACGCCACGGATCTCGGCCGCGAAGGTGGGATGGAGGGGTTCAATGGTGAGTGGCATAGTGCTTCCGATGCTGCCTAGGTTCTGTATGTTTCTCTTCTATTAAAGCGATAGTAAATTCCAAAAGATTTTGGTCTAAGGACCGGTGGGTGAAGGGACAAAGTTCAAGCCAGACAATCAGGTCCCATGTCTTGGCAATGGGATGCCATTCTTAGTCCATCTTAAAAGCACCGATCCAAGCTCATCGACTTCTATCCCCCATTTTAACTTGTCAATACGTAAGATCGACGCAGTCTCAAAGACATTCATCTCACCGCCCCACGAGCTCTTCATCTAACTTGACCTTATCTATAGTTTATCTCTCCTATCGCGAGTCAGACCCTGCATCCCCATATCACTGGCGACGGCTATCGCCAATATAAGCTTTCCTGCAACAGGGCATGTCCCTGTCTACGCAATGTCGCAAACGCTCGATGGGACGACCGAGTTTCGTCTCTAAGTTTCTCGTCTCTTGGGTTCTTCCAAACCAATCCACCCACACTAGCAACCAATCTCACCGTTCACTCTTGAGTCCCAACACCAATCTCGCGGGCCACCACTCAAGTTTCCATCCATCTCTCAGCCTCACATTGCCAACGGGTGATCAACAACCAGATTTCAGTATGCCGTCTCTCCGGCCTCTGTTCAACCCGATCCTGGGCCCAGAGCCCCACAAACCAGACCGGGTTCCCACAGACACCGTGGTGCAGCTCTCAGCAATGGACAGCTCCTGGATGATGCGCATGATGATTATGAGCTGGAGCATGTGCTTCCACGACGTGCTCGACCCGTCCATGCTCCACGCCTCGCTCTCCGAGCTCCTCACCATTGGAAACTGGAGGAAGTTGGGCGGTAGGCCGCGACTAACGGTAAGTCTCGTCATTGCTATACCTCAAACCCCAATCCAATATGTGGTCTGTGAGAGGAAATCGACAAGTAATTAACGACACACCAGAAAGACGGTCAAATCGAGCTTCACATCCCTCAATCCTTCACTCCGTCTCGCCCAGCAGTCCACTTCACAACAGAACCTAACCCATCAAGCGTACAATCTCACCCTCTATCCTCAACCATCCCCTCCCTCTTCTCCCCTCCCAAAACCACCTCTCCAAATCTTCCCCTCATCCTCGACACCCCCTCAACTCTCACCCCCCTGCTCGCCGGCCCCGAAGCACCAAAGACCTTTGCAGACTACACCACCTCAGACAGGCCCCTCCTCTCCCTTCACGTCATAACCTTTTCCGACGCAACCTTTGTCACGATAACCTACCCGCACAGCATCACAGACGGCATGGGCCGCCGCGACCTCGTCGACAACTGGTGCCGCGTCCTCGCAGGCAGGCAAGACGCCGTCGTGCCTCTGGCGGACCCGGCCTTCGATCCCATGTCAAACATCGCAAAGGCAGAGAAGCCGCGCTATGACGAGCCTTTCCTGTGGGAGCACAAGAAGCTCACGGGGTGGGGGAAAGTGCGGTTCACGCTGGGGTTGCTGTGGTACCTCCTCACGAACCGCATCCGCCAGCGAAACATCTTCATTCCCGCCGCGTCGCTCAAGACGCTCCGCGAGCGCGCCGAGGCAGATGTGGCGACCGGGGATGACCAGCAGACGACGGCAACGACGGGACGCCTCAGCGACGGCGACATCCTGACGGCGTACCTCGTCCGCCTAGCCTGCTCCCACATCCCCGCAACAGCCCCCGCCAAACCCATCTCCATCTCCACGGCCCTCGACCTGCGCGGCCGCCTGCACGAGGACGACATGCCCTCTAACGTAGCCCACGTCTCCAACCTCGTGGCGTACAACTGGACCAACACGACGGCTCTGGGGATCCTGCACGGGCCGTTTGGGAAGGCGGTCGCCCTCATCCGCAACTCTGTCAGGTCCCAGCTCACCGACGCGCAAGTGTACGCCTCAACGAGGCTCACCTACAACGCCGTCGCGGAGAATGGGAGCACGAACCAGTTTACTGAGCCCAATGGGTTCGTGGTATCCGTGTCGAATGTGTCCAAGGCGAGGTTTCACGAGGTCATCGACTTTAGTCCTGCCATTGTCGAGTCTCAAAAGGCAGGGGAAGATGAAGAGGACAGGACGACGGCCAGGGGCAAGATTATGTGGCAGTGTAATACACCGCGGATGAGCCTGCTCCCGCCCTGTCTCATCTACATTCAAGGAAAAGACCACGAGGGGAATTACCTGGCGCAGATGTTGGTTTCGGAACGAACATGGCGGATAATAGAGGACGAGATCAGGCGGGTGTAAGGCTCTCCAGACTCTCCTTGTTTTGTCTCACGGGACAAAAGGCTGAGAATACTAGGTGGAGAGAGCATATTCAACGTGAAAAGGGGGAAAATCGTAGTAGGAGATTGCTCGATTTCTGAGCTAAAAAGCAGTATTACTTCGCTAGTATGTCTTTATCCAACAAACACACCAGACGCCGCGCTACATAATAGTTAATATAAAACACGAGGCACCCAAAACGGGGCCTTTTCAAGCTCAACCTCGATCCGGTTCTTGTCATTGAGTTCGGCGCCCTCGTCTGAACACCCGACGACCTTGCGGCAATGCTCCACTTCTTGCTTGCTGACGCCGGCCGGGTCGCGGGGGATCCAAATGACCGGAGTCGGTGACGCCATCTCCGGCGGCCAGTATGCGCGACGGGCGTAATCGGCAGGATAGGTCTCCGTCGGGTCTGGAAGATCGACGGGGATGTTGCGTCGCAGAGTGGAGAAATCGTCAAAAACGCCCGGATGGAGCCATCGGAGGACAAAGTTGGGCTTGATGGACGGGTCCGGGTCGACCCAGTCCATGATGTAGCCGATCGGGCCTGCCAGACCCCATTTCTCGGCGGAAGCCTGCATCTTTTTGGTAATGGCGCCGGCAGACCAGTCCTGGACTGACGCCATGAAGCCGCTGGCGCCTTCGACACCTCGAGTTCCGTTAACCTCGTGTGTCGGACCTTCGTTCTCTTCGCCAGGGTCGAAGAAGTCTGGGTATGCCGCGGTGATGTCAGCATCGGTGAGGAAGTCATCCTTGGGGGAGTCCATGGCGGGACCGCCATCGAGCTCTTCCATCTCCAGAGCCAGCGCTCGGGGAATGTTGTAGAGAAGCGGGGCAACAGCTTCTCTGAGGGAGATGTGAACCAATGCTGTGAAGACGAGGAAGGCGATCATGAGGACCATGGGAATGTATGCTGAACGCAAAGCGAACAGACCGACGAGACAGATCGTGGCGAGATAGAGACCGACAAGGAGGTGCATTAGAGCGCGTGGATACACGAGGCCACGGGTATCGATGGACGCGTCGCTGACGTAGAGGAGATTGTACTTGTAGACGAGGTACATGCAGTAAAGGCCAGCAGTAGCAAAGCCGAGAACGACGGGCGCGATACAGGAGTAGCTGATGGCTGCTGGGAGTCAGTATCGAGAAACAGTAGGCTAGAAGTACAGCATAGCTTACCAATGACGCCCATGTTTGTGAAAACGGGGAAGACTGCGCCCCAATGCACTGGTCGTTCTCTGGACCAAATCCTGAATAGTCCACGAGGGTTATCGAACCCCTTTGCCATTATATGATGACGGAAAATATCGAATGCCCGCAGTAAAGAGGCAGCGCCGACAGCGAGGCACTGGATAAGGATGTAGGAGATGTAAAAGTTGGAGGCCTTGGGTAGGTTGTCCGCCAGCAGGTCCTTGGCTGAAAGAGGGTCTTTCAGCACTTGTGTCAGAGCCGCCGATGCAGCGGATGTAAGAGTCGTGATTAGGAAGACCTGAACCACTTGGAACGCGAAGTAGGCATGTTGTACAAAGAGTTCGACCAGGGAGAGCGAGGGGACGCCTGCAAGCCTGGCACAGCCTTTCCACGAGTCAGTAGGATGATTAACGGAACGTACACATATCTCTTACCTCGCAACATCCACGGCACGATGGCCATGAGGAACGACAATGCCAACGCGGGCAGTAGACCACTGATGATGCCAGTGACAGGGTCGGGCAGCTTACTAATCCATGCCAGGAAGGGGAATGTTTCTGACAGGAACTTGATGTTGGAGATGGCACCAACAATTGCTGATGGAATAGACCAGAACACGATGGCGGCCGTGATGAATGCGCGCATCAAGAAGTCTCTGGTGATTCGTTCAAACCACTGCATCCGAAGGGAGCTCCATACCACTTCGTCGGGTCGGATACCGATATACCGCGGCGACATGTGCAACGGCCGATTGTGAGCCAGCGTCTGAAACGCGCGCTCGGCATCAGCCTGGGAGGAGAACTCGACGAAAGCAGTAGGTAGCCGACGGCCTTCGCCTTTGAGAAAGCCTCGGCGCAGCTTGTTGATCTGGTGTGTGAGTGCCTTGATACGCAAGCGAGTCCACTTGATCGTGTCGACTCGGCGGAAGAAGTTGGCCAAGGGCCGGTGGTAGGGGCGCTCGCTGGCCCCGATCCATTGTGCGGCGACGGAGCCGTTAACGTCGGGCAGGGCGGTGTTCTGCTGATGCGGGTACCCTTTCTCGGGGTCGTCGGACCGTTCAGAGCTTCCGCTTGATGACGGACTCGGGACTGTCTCGGGGAGAGCGGCGGGAATCGCTTTTAGCTGTTTGTTCCTTCGTTTGTTGGCCATTTTGATCAGGCGAATCTCTGCCTTTTCCAATCGCAACGCAGTCTCGTCTCGCTCCTTGACCAGCCTCTCCAAGTCGCTCGTGTCTCGAGGAATCCAGACGTTTTTGACAGTGTCGCCAAACAACTTTCGCATGCGTGCGGCATCTTGGTATTTTGGTGGAACGCAGCCGAACATGACCGTCCGAGAGGACAGGCGCTTGGAGTAGTAGGGAGACAGTAGGTAGGCATGCCGAAGGTTGATGTAGTAAATGCATTCACGGTAGATCGTGAAGAGGATAAATCCCATGGGATTGTCAGTTTACCAGAAGGGTCGTGTAAGATAAGGGGTGCCTACCAAAGAAGGCCCACGCGATCACTGCGTGGGCGTAGAGTATCTTGGAGTTCTGGACATTACCAATGGTGATGCGGTCCAGTTGCGAAAGCCCGCCAGTGCCGCAGGCATGGATGGTCATCAATGTCGGCCATGTTATGCAGATACCAACGAAGCAGATCATCGTAAGAATCCTCAGATAGCGGAGGAAGAGGAAGGCATCTAGCGAGGAGCGGTTCAGGATGTCTGTGTCCGGAACCGTCCAGAACGGCTTCACCCAGTCGAGCCATCCTTTCGGAAGCGGCACGCTTTGCTCGCTGTCATGGAATCAGCAGGGTAGACATTGTGAGGATGTTGCGGACGACATACTGGGAGAAGAAGTCTCTGAGGATAGTGCGCGGGGAGTAAACGCGGAGGCTCCTCCGCCGCAACGTCCAGAAGATGAGCAGGCACACGATGGTGTAGATGAGCACGGGGATGAATGTGCTGACGAGCGACATCAACGAAGACGAGTCAGAACCCAACTTGAGTTTGCTGACGGTTCCGCCCCCCGTCGAGTTATCACGAGCGGAACCTACTCGGTCATCGCCATTGCCACCGCCATTGAGCGACTACTCAGAGTTAGTTAGGAGGAGGCCTCACGAGACGGGGCAGTTCGTTGGGAGAATATCTTACGATTCCCATGGCAGCTGAAACTGCACAACATGTCTTGCACAATGCACACGATCCCTTGATTGTAGCCGGCTGAAGGCGGACGTCGTGGGATTGATATTGGAGGATACAGGGTGAACCGGCGTGATGCCGACTTGTCAGTGTCAGACGATAGTTCTAGGCCTGGGGACGTCGTCTCGTTAAAACCTGCACCCGGCAGAGAAAGATGTCTGACCCCCCGCGGATTTGCAGACTTAGCGCTGCGGGCGATCAATTAGATCATTGACGGGGGCTGGCCGTTTTGCCGTTGGGCTGGCGTGGGCTGCTTGGGATGGGGGATGGGGGGATGGGCCGCCTATTGCTGGCCTGCAAGCCCGGTAGGGATTGGCGTGGCTCTTTTGCGATGCTGATCCCCAATACCAAGACTCGCCTCGGGACGACTGATCGCGCAGACCGACAGTTTTGTCAAGCCGTCAACCCCCCGTCGGAATGGCTGGAGATATTGAACTGTCGACCGATGATTGGCAAGTTTGGACGAGGGCCTGAGAGACGCGATGACATTGACAGCTCAGGCAGCGGGACGACAAAGAAGAAAACGTGCGCCCGAAAGGGGACTGGTCCCCTGGCGGCCCCACCTAACGTTCAAATGGAAGGGCCAGCGTGGGTCCAGAGTAGTCCAGACCCACCCATGGCAGCTTCCGTTGCCACCAGCCATTGGCTGCCTCCCAAGATTACACCCCCTCATGGCTGTGATTGGACGACGGGACCAACGCTAACGGTGATTGGCTTTCTGGCCAGGAGAAACATTTCCCCACGGTCCCGGATAGGTAACGGGACAGGGGCAATACTGACGGCTGACGGCATCTATTGATTACCAAATCCTCCTCTTCCCAACCGACGAAACTGCGGCCGAAGTCTGCCGAGAGCGAAGTTAACAACAGCACTGGGAAGCCCTGCCCACATTGTCGGGCAAGACGCAAAATGCAGAGATTTAGTTTAGAAGGGGAAAAAAAACCAACTTTCAGCCCCCATGCATCCTCGGAGGTTACAACTCAGCCCACTACGGCTGAACTCTATTTTCTCGCCAGCGGTCCAGCACGCGCAAATGCGGAGCTGGCTCCGATTCCCTCGACGGAAAAGGGCACTGATCGACGATATCTTCTTTCAACGCTCAGCTGAACTCATTCTCAATCATCCATGCCATTCGCCTGAACACCGCAGATGAGATCGACCTAACGGCCGCTCGGTCCACCTCATTCTTGAGCCGCCAGCCTCAAGTTGCGCACCACGAGTCAGTATCTGTCAGCTCGGTCTGGCCTTCGCAATGATCTACCCGACCTTCTCGTTCTGCAAGTGATTGGCGTCGTCCTATATGCAAGGGAGAGATATCTCCAGGCTGGGCAGGCAATCCGACGATACCACGTGATACTGTCTTGTCAGGATGAAGCGTTGAAGTCTGACAGACCAGGAAACATGGCATGGAGTTGCCGCTCAGTCATCGGGGCCCCACGGTTAGACTGACGAACTCGGTTGGTTTCTGGGCCATTCCAACTAGCACCGCGGAACCCACCCGGCATTTCTCATCGGTAATGTCTCGCAACCGTGATCAAGGGGGGTTGATATCATGGCAATATTCCAACTTGTTCATTGGGGCGGAGAATGTTCATGGGCCGTGGCCTCGGCTGCCCTATCCGCAAATCACGAAATGGAAACGCATCTCCCCCGCAGAGCAACGTTGCTGGATAACTCTGAAATGAGAATATCTCACCCTGTATTCCTGTATGTCAGGGAGACATGTTCTCGAGAAGAGCTGGTATTTTGATGATTACAGGAGGTGGCTTGTCCAATAGGAGCAATCGGAAGACCGAAGCATACCGAAGCAAATAGACATCACGCCTTCTGCCGGCATTTGAAGAGCCATTCACTCCTCGTCTCTCCAAGAGGCCCGATAGAAGAGTATGCAGGAACACGCGGCTGCCTCTATTCAAAGCCATATCTCGTTCACCCATGTCACTAGGTAGTCTCATCCAATGAAGAAGCTAGACTTCTTCTTCGGGTTGTTCTACAGGTTCCAGGGTGGTATCCGCATCCCTCAAAACCCAGGCTCAACAATCGCCCATTTTGTCCAATAGTTGACTTCAAGTGTTCTTCCGGTTCATGGCGCGATGTCACGCATCAAATAACCGAATGAGGACTTTTTAGGTGTCGACTCGCAGAAACGGAATGTGGATTTTTGTGCAATCTTGAAAGTACTCTCTCAAAGCCTGCAATTGCTCGTTAAGTATTGCATTATCATCCCAAGCAACCTCAGAAGAGGAGGAACGCAGAGTTACAGCCCCCTATGCCGAGTTTTAGTCACCTAGTGCCTTAGAAGAAGAACATAAGACGAAAAGAGAGCAAATCGGCGATTACAAATCATCCATGCATTCACTCATGGCTAAGAGTGAACATCGAAGAGTACTTCATTGCTTGTTTCAAGTCAAGGAAATTTCAGTCTGCTCCTGGTACAAGGGGTAGTGTGATCTACCCATAGCCCGACTCCCTTGAATGGTCTAGTTTACTGCCGTGAGTGCAAAAGCCTGGATAATAGTACTTCCTTCACCATTGAAAACCCACCCGGGGCCGAGGTTCTGCTCAGTGCTGGGTGCTAAGGTACCTTCACTGAGGCCCGCAGCGGAAAGTGCCAGTGACCGCATGCCAGACTCATTAGATGGGAGGGGAAGTCTATGAGACCGCCTCTCGCGTTGCCAGGTTGAAAGGCCGGTTAGCGGTCCGTAGATTGGAGTTCTACATTTGTTCTAGTATTTTGAGACGACCTATTCTTAGTACCTCAAGGAGGAAGCACATCTTCAAAATGAAGATGGAGAGGTATGGGCTTACGATTTGCACAGGACTTGAAGAATCAAGGCATCATTCTTTCATCATTGCTTCGTTCCCTCTTTCTAATTATAGAGAGCCTTGAACAGAGCCTAATCCTCTGCATTATAGTACAGCCAGTCAGGTTTTACGTATCGTTTGATTGGCAGATCTTGTGCAGTGAGGGAGCAGCTCCCTTAGCCAGTAGACGTCGCGCTCCGGTGATTTGGATTTTAGCACACAGATAATTGAGGCCAAAACGACAGCTCTACACCCTCCGTCGACAAAAATGAGGCTTTCCGCCACGTCATTTGGGGTTTATTGCCCGGAATCTGCGTGCGCCTCACCATTCATCCAGATTCAGCTCTTTGCAGCCTAAACTCTCTGTCAACATCTGTGATGACGGCCTCATTAACGTCGGGGTTATCTTATGCTTTGTATATTCCCCACGGAGTAATCACCTTGAAGCAAAACAGCCTTACTGTAAGTAATGGTGCCGGAAGCATAGCCCCGTTCTCGTGCCTGGTCGATGTATTTTTACTTCATTCAACTCAGACTACAACTACCTTAATCTAAATACTGCACAAGTAGCCATTGACGGCATTTAAAGATTGGTGGCTGCCCCTTGAGGCTTCATTCGCCTCATCGTCAATAAATGCCTCACCAAGTTCGCAACTGATGCTCTGCTTGATCGATCTTGCAAACAATGGAACTACTCTTGGTATAATTGCAGTTTTATCAAACCCCCATTTGTCATAATGATATACTGAACCACGGAAAATTGCGCTCTCAGCATCAACAGCCGTCATGAATCGTTCCAAGCCGGGGGTTGCTGAGGCATCCTCGCCAGCCCAGGTGACCGTCCACGAAATGTTTGCACCTTCAGACCTTTTTGAGAAAGGCAACGTAGCTGCCTCTTCGGAGAGAATACCTTGAAACAGGTCTCAGTCCGATTTTAACAATCTTCGGGACCTGATTAAACTCTTCTTCGAACAAAAGGGTCGCGCGCGTAAAGATGAAGCATGGGCTAGACTCATTCTGGACATTTGTCACGCGGGGAGGGCTTGTCTCAATTTGAATCAGCGGAAGATTTCTGAGCCTGAACACCCGAGGAAACATGTGGCTTGGCTTGTTGACGCAAACAACAACCTGGTACTGAGTCCATCCATAGGATCACTGTCAGAGCCAGGATTCATGAGAGCTCTTCTAATAAAGGCATACATATATAACCCGCAAATTGACATCGCTAACGCTTTGACTGTTCCACGTAAAGATTTGAAGAGAAAGGTATCAGTGCCAGGCTGGATAGAAATTGTGACTGATAGGTGTTTCCATTCAAGAACAGAGGTGACTTATGTGAGTTGGGCCAGTAATAAATGCCTCATGAAGCTGGAAACTCACTATTCCCAAGCTATATGGTAAGTTTTGACGGCTCATGCATTTTTGCTCTTGTCAAAGTTGCTCCTGTATTTCAAACACCGCACGTGGTCAAGTTCTTCTACAAACATAAATGTTCACGAAGCTCAATAGATGAATCAATTTCGGTATGAAATATAGCGATGAGGGCATTGATACTAGTTCCAGTGCCTCAATCACTTGCTAATTCAGTTGCCAAGGCTGGGTGCAAACAAGTTTCTGCCCAGAATTTAATCTTCCCTTCCGCGTATGGAGAGGTGCGTCAGAAGCTTTACGAAGCGACAAATGTGTTAAAAGGGTGATGAGCCTCTGAGGTCATCTAGAGATATCGGGTTCCTCGTGCCCTCGTGGCACTAGTCATGATAAATGGAGATGGCCAGCCTACTCTGCCATCGACAACTGCATGTGGTTTGATGAAAACGAAGATATGAATGACCAAGTCGCACGCTATGACATTGACAAAGAAGATCGTTTCGGGAGGGATACTTGCAGTTGACAAGACGACGCCATAAGAACCTACTGGTATCCGCGCGGTTGGTTAATTCTTCCGCAGTTTTGTCAATTCGGCTTGATCAGATCAAGTATGTATGGGACTCCGTGTGCCTCTACTTGGGGCAGATTATTGACAGAGAGGTTTGACATTCCCCCTGAGACAAGTCATGACAATGGATAACGTTTGGGTTAGCATCGAAGACATAAGAATTCCCTTTGTGAAGCCCGACTATCACCTGCAGCTGTTGTTGCTGAGAAGTACAGGCATAAAACTCACGTCTTCAAGAATTTGATGTTGGAGATTAGAGATATTTTGCAAGATCTTATAAGCATTATTCAGGAGATAGTAAATGTTGGGTCGTCTTTCATGTCGATAGAAGTAAACTTCTCTCTGAGCGATGGGTGACCGAGAGAAGCCCCAAAGTGCTATTCATGTCTTACTGAGATCCGGCGTGGGTTCAAGATGTTCTGGAAGCTAAGTTTTCCTCTAGAAAGCCACTAGCCTAATCGCAGCTTCTCGACACAAGACTGTGAAGCTTTCAAAAAGGAACTGAGGTTCCGGGCTGCTACTCATGAGCGCCGCTGACAGGTCTTAAATTTTGCACAACTCCTAATCAGTTTCAGACGAGGACTTGCCTCCTTATGCATATGTGAGTGAAGTTTGAGTCAAATTCAATTAATTCGAAACTCGCAGCTGACGAGAGAAAGCTTGCTTTGCTTCAACTACAGGCGGAGAAGGAGATACAACCAAGGGGGAACGCTGAGGAGCTCCGAAATGTTGATCATCTCACGCATAAAAGATAGAAGGACCATCTATGACATGTCAAGCAGGACCTTCGAAAACTGGAGTTCATAAAGTACCAACTTCTTACAATCAGAACGGGTAATCTAATCAATGGTGGGAGAACAAGATGTCGGTGTTTCTACGGTATAATTGTGTCTGGTTTCTTGGGATTTTCAGGACAATATTCAGTACATGGCCCTGCAAGATCAAGGTGCATGGTCTGAGGATGATGGCACAAATGACACTAAGTGTCTGCTACATGAAAGATGGAGGTCGTTTCCCACATCAGTCCCCTTGTCGACGCAGGAATGCCCTGGTAATCAATCCTTCCTACAAGCATTGAGAGTCGTGGTCGGGGGAGGAACGACATGGCTTACGAGGGCTTTTTGTCTCACAGCAGACTAGAAAGGCCGACTGGCATCAACAATGTAAAAGTAAGTGTGATGGCGAATGCGTATGAGTTGGACTAGCTGACTGGGGCCATTTGAACTAAGGTACTTGAGGATAAGCTGGTTCACATCCTCCTCCTCGGGCGAGAGCAATGCTCACCTTAAGAACATGCTGTTACCGGCCGACATAAGAAGACGCATTCAGACCGATCGCATTACCAATTTTACTCAATTACTACAGACGATGCAATCGCTGCCGGCCCCCATGAGCTTATTTTACGCGTCGTGCGCAAGATGGATGGCCCCTTTCCTTGCAGGCTACCGGGATGTTTCGTTTTCGGCTTAGAAATTCAGGAAGAACTGAACCACCAACGTCTGGAGCTGATCAGGCTTTTTCTTGTGGTACTTGCAATCTTGTTTAGTCTCTTTGGGTCTGTTGCAAAAAAAAGGACTTTCAGAGCGACTTCACGACTGCAAGTTGCCTCAAGGCTCTCGCTGTGGTGGGACAGGGCACGCTCCGGACCATGATAAGAAGCAAACGTACCTCATATCGGCGCCGTCCGGGCTTAAGGTAGGATGAGTGTGAGCAGGTGACGGTGCAGGGGCATTGCGATCGCTGTTTGTTTTGCCAATTCCCTTGTTGACCAATAGAACCCCTGAACTTCCGAACTCCAACTGCACCAAGCCGAAAGAGTGCGCAACACAATTACAGACCGATTACACGAAGGTCAATACAGTGTGACGATGCGATTTGATTGCCCGGAGTCGTAGGAGATGCTTCTAGCCGACCTGTGAATGGGGATCCTCCTGCAGCCATGTTGGATGTAAGGTAAGGTAGGTAATCAAAGACACATGGAAATGAAAATGAGGGTCTTTCTAACGTCTTCCCGAAGCCATGGCATTGGTCACGGAGCGAGGCAAGATACAGTTGGCGGTGCTTGGCTGTGTGCAGGTGGACCGATATGGCAGTTCGACGCAATTTGGAGCGTGACGTTGAATTCCTTGCTTCCTGACCAAGTGAGCCAGGTTCAGTTGGCTCGGGTGGGAGGGCACATGTCGAGGCTGGCCATTCTACGACTGGATCGTCGGAGACCATTTCAAAGACTCATGAGAGTAACCCGAAAGAGACCACTGAGCGAAGCACCGCGCAGTTCGGAAAAGACATGGATGCATCACATGGGCTCAGGCTGATGCGTGCATCACTGATTGTGATGGGGCTCTTCCTGCTACAGGCTGTACCGCTGTGATGCACGGCAAAGGGTTCGGTGAAAACAACAATCTGTCTATAGGTAGGCAACGATGATCGTCCTTACGATAAAGTCGTTTCTGCAATGCCAAGCCTTGATCGTGGCCAGTTTATTATGGTGTTGCAGCCACCCATCTGATTGTGGTACGCGAGATTGGGCGGATGCCGATATCGGTGAGACACATTCATTCCTTTGAGACACCGAACACTGGGCATGTTGCGAGTGATGCTACTGGTGCACACAGCACCATGTGTGTGCATGTTTGGCAGTTGTATCCCGAGACACCATCGCCATGACTGGCCTCAAATTCTCAAGCGATGTGAAACCGAGGATGGTGCCTTACCCCCCTCCCCATTCTTGATCGGTGACAGCTTCTAGAGTAGGAATTCGGGTGGGTTCGGGTTGTAGAGTGGCTGTGGTCAAAAGGCATCTGAGAGGCAACCAATAGGCCAAGGTCGTGCCGTTGCGGATTTGATGAAAGTGCACATTCCGGCTAAACGTCGACCAGTTGTGAGTCGTTTGAGCCAAAAAGTCCGAGTCACACGGGTTTTTTTTTATCATTTTTCATTTCGATCTGTGATACTCCTACGGGGAGCGTGAGAAACTCAACGGAACGTGTCTATTGGAGCCACGATGCTCAGCGAAATGGTTCACGATGTGGCGGTGGTCGCGGTGGTAGTCGCGAAGCTGGGGCGGACTAGCTCGGTGTCCGTCCAGGCAATTGGCACGAGCGAGCTACCGGTATCTCCAGAGGCGAAGACTGTCTTTGCAAGACATGTATCCGTAAATGAGCACCCAAAGTGAAGTAAGGTTGTATTATTAGTTTGCGTACCTATCCAAGGACCCAGATGACATGTGTTTTGCCTGATAACAGATACGCGGTGAAGGATACCGGTTCATGTCTACGTATCCGTCTGGAGAAAAGGGGCTGGCCTTCGGCACTCTGTGTCACATGACCGAATATTTATTACATCAGCTACCTTAGGTGAGCTGAGAATCAAGCTGGCAAGCCACTGAGGGCCCACTGTGCCCGTCCGTGCTTGGTACAACTGCAACGTACCAATGCAGTTGTCACTCGGGGATGGCACGTGAGTGGGTATAAATCTCTCCTCAAACATCTCACAATGTCCAACACTGATCAATGACATGCACGGAACCTTGGCCTCTTTGAGAGCTCAATTACCCGGGCGAAGCAACTGTTCAGGTCAAGTCTCGGCAACAGGCTTGCTAGGCCTGCATGCTACACCTCACCTTGTGCAGATAAGCCGTTTGTTGTGCGCTTGTTTTCTTCTTTGTAATGCATTTTCGTTCCAAGGGAGTCGTCCCAGAAGCAATCATAAACCCGAGGCGACCTGGCATGAAAAGCTACTGGGAGATACGGATAGACAGGGGTGATGATGTAAGCCACTGTTTGTCAGGTGACTCGCACCAAATTTGAAAACGCAGCGGAAATGAGCCCTCCTGTGAAAGAATTGAGCGTGTCGCGATCCTCGGACGATTGCATTACAGCTCGTAGCTCGTGGAACACGGTACCATTCCTAAACTTCTCCGAAGAGACGGCCTCTTCTCCGTCTATAATACCCAATTGGCCGCTTTTTTACGAGCAGGCAACCTGGACGCCTAACCAATCCTCGATTGCCCTCCACACCACCTTCGAAACCCAACGTCTTTGACAGCCCTGATTTTGCAAGCCAGCCTTTCCGCGTGATCACTTCAGTCACTCGGTCTCCAGACACACCATATGCACAGTGAACCCAATCGACACAGCAAAAGGGTGTTGTGGGGGGTGTGGAACGTAAACGACGGTGAAGAGGTCGATTTCAGAAACGAGCTTTAAGAGGAGCCTGTGGACATCCGGACCATGGTATATCAAACACCCTTCTTTCTACTTTTCGGAATATCTGCCATGCCATACACCTCCTCACATATCAACTTCTCAGCCACTGACGGGCCGTCCCACCAATAGCCACCACGCAAGAAGTACACGTTCCGGTGGACCTGTGTACGTCATCCAAAGATCTCTATCCAGACTCCCACCACGGAGCTGCCCTCCTCGCAATCTATCGTTGCTGACGATAGCTATAGTGCTACTGTGGTCAAGGTGGCATGAACGTCGTCACCGATCCTTGCGTTAACTGCGGATACCCCAGGTGTTCGCGTTGCCGTGTCGAAAGGCTTCACGTTCGGCAACACTTACACCACGACACTTCCCACAACCAACACACCCACCACAACCATATATAATAGAGAGAAAGACGGGGAGAACTTAATATTCGATCGGGAATTGTTTCATTGGGGATACACAAAACAACACCGGGAGTTCTCAGCAATAAACAACAGGTTCGACGGAAAGGAAAACAACAAAAGCGAATTGCAAACCATACATCTGGACCAGGAAAGGGAAAAAAGGAAAAGCAAGGGTTCTGACTGTATTTTGAGGATTGGTGCTGTTTGTTGTTTTCAATTAAAAGCGTTGTGGAGCAAGGCGCCATCAAGGAGCCCATTATCGAAATCGAGGTGATTCGGGTTGACAGAGAACGAGCGACAACGAAACCCAAAGCGCGAGAGGAATGACCATGACCATACACCAAACGGAACCGGCTCCAAACTGTCGTTTCGCGCCCCAACATGCGACATCCCGAACAGAACCGGCTAAACCAACTGAGCTGCCGAAGCCGATGGATGTGCAAGTCCCAAACAGAGCAGGAGCATTTGCGTGGCCCGAACGATTTTTCAACCGAAGGAAGTTTCCTAGTGGCTGGGAAAATTCCTCATGGCTTGAGGCCAGGCTTAAAGCTGTAGGCTTGACATTGGCAGATGCCGAGGAAGAACACCTGTTGCACTCTTTGCGGACCGCAGAGAACTGGGCCGCAGACAAGTTTCGGCTCGATCTCTTCCTCGATGTTCTTCGAGGTGCAACGCTACGGCAATTAGTAGAAGAAGACGACAGCGTGCCTGAAAACAAAGTGGCCCTCCTCATTGATAGCAACAACATCGGCACTTCACCTGTCTTTCGGCCCTTTCTTGGAGGCCTAACAGCGAGGCAATTGTTGAGAGAGGCGAGCAAGAAGGTACCCTCATCAAGGTGGCAATATTCAGTCAACTAAGGTACGGAGGCTGACTTGAACACTCCCAGCGCTATAATGAGGAACCAACTACCGAGAGCAGTGACTTCATCGAGGCAGAACGCAGATTGATGTAGGGTTGACCTCATGTTGCACACCTACCACGGCTAACTTACTGATACCTTAGCTATGTGGTTGACCTGAACGCCTGGGCCATTGTCGCTCTTCTTGCGTCCTCTCCAGAGTCCCTCTGTAGGAATGTGACTCGCTTCATTTACAACTACCTCGTTGCAAAGTGTAGCATTGGTGTTTCTTTCGCCGTGAGTGATGAAAATCGTTGTCATTGCTTCAGGTTCGATGACACGAAGTACTGACATTTACTCTAGACGGAAGGACCAGACACATTTCTCCTTCAACTTTCGCTTCCAATCAGAGCTTTTCGTGAAACGACTATGCTGAAGAATGATGATCGGAAGAAAAGGTCTAATGAAGAGCCCCTCAGATCATCCACAGAGATTACATTTTTGAGGAGTCTTACGGACGCAAACTTCGATGCCCACTCTATCGATGTCATCTACTCGAGTCATATGAGTGTGATGGTCACAGGCTACGATCAACGTCGATGGACCGGAGTAGCCCTCATTGAGAGCTGGTTTGAAGACGAACTCGATGATCCATCGCCCGACATGATAGCACGCTACGAAAAGGACTCTGACGAAAAGGACTCTGACGAAAACGACTCTGACGAAAACGATCCTGAGGACGAAATAACATTCGACCCACTTTGCCGAGGACGAGGCGACGCGACGAAATCGGAATGGGAGCCTCGCCAGTACTATATCCGTGTGTTTGAGGTACGACTTAACCATGTATATGGTGAATGGGAATCACTCTACGGACACCTTGAGAAGATCATCAAAGCCGCGGTAAGATCAAAACTCCGAGGTCTCCTTTCTCCCTGGACTGTCAAACTAATACACTTGTTTACTCCATAGCCGAAGAAGCACAAGAAGCTTCTAAAAGAACTTTTAAAAGCGTCTCGCATTCCTACAGCTCGTCAAGAAGCCCAGAGAAAGGTCGACGAGTTTGAGGTCAACATCGGCGAAGCCGAAGAGCTTCTGATTGACCTTGCCCAAGTCCTTGACGACATACTTAGCAGTGCCTCGATTTTCATGGAAACAGACGTGCAATACTTTCTGCAGGATAACGGTCCCAACGGAAACACGTGGAACTGCGTGCTTCCCTTGTCCCAAGTCCGGGGAACATTGAACGAAATGAGCAACACTCACCGGAAACTTGGCGTCCTACAAACAACATGCAAGTCGATGCTTGATCGTGGCGCCGCCGAGAGACAAAAGGTAGAGTACACGAGTGGCAATCCCCTCCCGTCATGTTGAGAAGTTCCTGAAGGGCTTGTTCTAATCTGACTCAGTACGTCTTGCAACTAAAGATAAACGAGATAACCCAGCCTCTGGAGCTGAAAGTTTTGTCTTGGACGACCATCGTAAGTCAAACCAACAGTCTCACAAAACTTGTGCACAATCCCTAAAACATACAACAGATGTCTCAACCATTACTCAATATCGCTGCGGTTTTCAGCTGTGATGGTATCATCACCGTTCCGCGTACATGGTACTACTTTCTCTGTGCCTTCTTCCTCATGGTAGCGGCAATGGGATTCATCGTGGTGTTCTTGCTCAAACTACTTGACTCAGGCGCAAGCTTGTTTCAAAGTCGGCACGGAGACAGGAATCCTACACAAGAGTCCAGCGACAGCTCAGCAGAAGGCCAAGTGACGGCTCCGGTTGACACCAACAACTCTCTGCCACGACGGAGACCCACCTTTTGCACAAGTGGAATGGATTACTTTCGAAGACGACGCAGAGGCGATATCGGCCTTCTTGAACTACCAGGACAAATTTGCTAGGACAGTCGGCGACAACGATACCGAGCCTGTCCAAACCCGCAACTGCTATCTTGGCTAATCGGCAAAGCAACACCGAACATCTTGCTCCAGAGACATGACGTAGAGCTTGGCACCTTGAACAGCAGCTAACTGCCAATCAACAGCTCCAGTGACTCACTCTCTATCGCCTTGGCAGCAACAGGACAGCCAGGGCCTCAGCGCTTGCATCACGGGAGCGGTGCCCAGATTTCCCTTGAGGGAACTTTTGTCGTCAACGGTTCGACAAGCGGGACAGGCAGCAGGATCTCTTTATGAGCCACCACCGATTTCAAAAGGACCCGAACCCGAAGCCCAGGCAACCTCCTCCACCCCCCCTGCCACGTGTCAGACAGGCATGTATTGCTGACGTCCTGGTAAACTCGGTATCCCCTTTGGGATAAGCTTATCACGGCCCAAGCCGCCCTGGTGGTGTTGGAGAAACCCAATCGCAGGGCGTTGAAGATTGCACACGAATGGGAAAATAAGGCAACCTATCAGAGCAGGTTCGACAAGCCAACCCAACCAAGGGAAGCCAATACCCCAGCAAGGACCCTTGATTGATTCGACTGCTGCAGCACGCGCTGCAGCCGAGTCCAATCTGGTGTTGCCGCGTCGATACTTGTAACCATGACACACACCTTCATGCCCAACTCACTGCACACCACCCAACTCAGTCAAGCTCAGCCTCCGTTGAAGAAGGGTTCCATGAATCCCATATCGTTTGTGACGGATTTTCCTATCTCTCTTCCTTCTCACACGACAAGTCAAGCTGTGCAGAAAGGGCATGTAAGCTTCAACTTGTCATCATGGCGACTCTTTCCATCAGCGGTCTTCAATCTTCCCTCGAGAAGCTCAGCCTCGACACTCCCCTTCCTTCTTTCCCGGTTGCCGAGGTGCTGGTACGCCCGCTTGACATCTTTCGATCGTACATAGCGCAGATTGTGGCTGAGGTGGTGGGATGCGACCCGGCAGTTGCATATGAGGCTATTCAGTCGACGGCTGCCATCTCCATGGGCGACCTTGCTATTATCCTCCCCCGTCTCAAGATTAAAGCAAATGGAGATGCTGCAGCCGCGCTGCTTGACAAGGTAAGAGACAACCCGCCCGGCTGAAATCAAACAAGCTTCAAACAAGCTACAAGCACATTGCTCACAGCATCCAACGCAGTTCCCCAAGTCACCCCTCTATACTTTCCCGTTCGTCGACGGCGTCCACATTCGCATCTTTTCTCATCCCTTCTTCCTCCCCAGGCTCTTACTACCTTTTATCGCCGATCGCAAAGAGCTCTATGGTGGAGATGACTCGTGTGGCCTGCGAGACCATTCCTCTGCAGACTCGGGGCGCAAAAAGGTCATTGTCGAGTTCTCGTCACCCAACATTGCGCAAGAGTTTGAAGGCAGACACCTTCGCAGCACAATCAATGGTGCTTCCATCGCCAACTTGCACGAACGAATGGGGTGGGAGGTTGGCCGACTGAATTTCTTGGGTGACTGGGGCAAGAATATTGCCCTTCTTGCTGTCGGCTGGAACAAGTTTGGCTCAGAAGAGGCCTTCGCCAAGGATCCCATCCGTCACCTCCTCGACGTACACAATCAAATCAACGAGTTGTTCAAGCCCGAGCAAGAGGCAAGCACAAAGGCAAAAGACGAAGGGAAGAACACAGCCGAGATTGAATCACAGGGCATCTACGCCGAACGCGATGCCTTTTCTAAGAAATGGGAAGAAGGCGATGCCGAAGCCGTAGCCTTGACCACCAGGTTCCGCAATGTCTACGTCGAGGACTACACCAAAGCCTATGCCCGTCTCGGTATCAAGTTTGACGAGTATGCCGGCGAGTCTCAGGTCACCTCGGAGTCCATCGCCGAAGTGGAGACAGTCCTGAAAGAGAAGGGAATATCGGAAGAGAGTGATGGGTCCTGGCTCATCGACTTCAAGAAGCATGGCGCAAAAGGTCTCGGCACCGGCATGATCCGGAACCGCACCGGCACGACCATGTACTTCTCCCGTGACCTAGCGGCAGTCCTCGATCGCGAGAAGAAGTTTGCATTTGACAAGATGATCTATGTCGTCGCGTCTGAGCAGGACTCTCACTTCCGCGGCGTGATTAAAGCACTCGAGCTGATGGGAAGGGATGATCTCGCCAAGAAGATTCAGCACGTCAACTTTGGCAAGGTCCAGGGCCTGTCATCACAGCTCGGTAACGCGCACCTGTTGGGGGACATGCTGAACCAATGCGCCAACGCAGTCAAAGACGCCATGGCAACGGAGCAGAACGCCGGGGCTCCTCTTGCCGCCGCGGAACCGTTCGGTATTACATCGCTTCTGGCCCAAGACATGCACACAAAGCGCAGCAATGGCTACTCGTTTGATAGCAAGAAGATGACCGAATTTGAGAGCGAGACCGGCGCTGCTCTCCAACTTCATTACACCCGACTTTGTTTAAACATTAAACAGCTTGATGCTGACCCGGCTGCTCTGGGCGAGGTCGACTATACCCATCTCGAGGAGGAAGAGTACACGAATCTCCTGCGGCTCATGGCACAATACCCCGATGTTGTGAATGCCGCATACAAGACGCTTGAGCCGTCGGCCGTCTTGACGTTCCTGTATCGGCTGGCCGAGCAGCTTGTGATATGTCTTGACGACGATGAGGGTGAGGACGAAGAGGAGGAGGAAGAGACTGCCGACGACCCGGCTGTTGATCTTGCGCGAGCGGTGCTTTATGAGAATGCAAGACAAGTATTCGAGAATGGGATGAAGGTCCTCGGTATCAACCCATTGGCAGCATGATTTCAACATTTTGATTTACGTCGTCTTTTTGGCTTAAGGAAAGGCAGGCTTATCATAGTTGCATAACGGTGGATGTGGTAAGATTGGCAAGGAACATTGGAAGGCGCATGCTTTGTTTGGAATGATTTAATCATGAGATCATGACTTGATGACAGATATGGGAGCACACCAAGGATCCCAGGCCGGGTGGCAGCCATGTAATTCGTTGCAAAACAAACCTCACAAATAGTCAATGTAATGTTCTTGCCTTTGTATCAAGCTTAGTGAAAGTGATGTTACCATCCTTCTTGCGATTGCATGAGAATGTCATGACTTTTCTCAAGCTCCCTTGGAGCAAGATGATACGGAAGATGAACATATGAAAGCCCCAGCTATGTCCATCATTCACCATGCATCACTAACATACTTTGCAGCATGTGTTCTCCATTCCCAGAATTTCAACATACCTAAGTCAGCTGCCACGCTCACCGCCCGTCCCGCTCGCTCCATCCCATTTAAGATAAAGACGAATATACACGATAGAGACGGAACAGGACGATGCGGGAAGGAGAAGGACTACAGTGCCTGCTTAAATAGTTTGTGGGGAATCACCTGTTGATGAAAATGCCCTTTAACCTTTCCGCCCTCTCTTTACCTTGCACTATCATCAAATATTCAAAGCCGACCTCTCTGACACACTACGACCTGGGTAAGCTCTCATTTCCCTCATCACTTGATTACTTGATCCTCTCAATACTTATCTTCCATAAGCAAATAAAACATTTGCTACTGTCCAGCCGCCCGAAACTTTCGTTGGCTTGAGGTCAGTCGCTCCTTCCTACTGCAAGGTGAGGTCCTTCTTTTGGTTCTCATTCACCTCGATCTCTCCCCACCTTCTCACCCTTCAACGCCCTCTCTCACTCTCATCCTCCTTCTCCCTCCTCCATCACTCTTCAGATCCGAGTCCTTCTCCTTCCGTCAACCCAATTCTTCCTACACAATTACTTGTGTATCTTGCTGTGATAAATCCCTGACTGGCAAGATACAGACAAGTAGCACAATTATTACTCCTTTCTTTCTTGCAAGAACGTCACATCGGCGCGTGCTGTGAGGGCTTCGACGGGAAGCTGAAGATCGAGGTAAGCACTCTCATTTCACTCATTCTCAAGACATGATTCTCATTTCTGTTGAAGCAGATTCCTGCTCCGGCAAAGAGGCCCCCTCTCACACTCTCATTATCTTATCCCACATCACTTCATCGACTCAATCATCATGTCGAACCGTGGGCGCGACCGCGGTACCACCGTCATCACCCCCGAGGAGCGCGTCCGACGCGTCAAAGAGGCCAAGAGCAGCATTCGTGAGACTGCCACCTTCACTCCCGCTCTTCTGGGCCGCATCGAGTCTCGCATCGACGCCAACGCCTTCCGCCGTTGCATCTCGGACAACACCATCTACCAGTCCCTCTGCAACTCTCTCAAGGACAAGAACCTCCCCGAGCGCGAGCGCCGCCCCGACCTCGTCGACTATCTCGCTCTCGAGGCCATTGTCGCCGTCAACTATGACGGCGAGTACAACAAGGTCCTAAAGGACCTCTTCATCCGCTGCCATACCGCCGTCTGGGTCGACAAGGCCGTCCTCGCGGCCAATCACGAGTGGTACCAAGACAGCCTCTCCGACGCCCGCAAGTTCGTCAAGACTCTCATCAACAAGGTCGACTCCCAGCTTCTGGAGATCATCCTGGAGGACCTCGAGACCACCTTTTGGCGCGAGACCATCAAAGACCACGTCCTCTATAAGAAGATCCTGGAGAAGCTCAAGGACAACCGCGACCTCAGCCAGCGCGACGTCCTCACCGCCGTCGCCCTCAACGGCGGCAAGTACCCTACCGAAGTCTTCCGCCACCTCATCGTCCACCAGAACTCTTCCATGTGCCAATGGGGCAACAACGTCCAGGCCCAGCACGCGCTCTACGAAGACGACGAGTTCCAGGATACCCGCGCCCAGAACACCATTGTCAGCGACACCATGACGAACCTCGAGTCCTTCGCCGACGCCATGCATAACAAGCAGAAGAGCAACGAGATCCGCAAGAGGGTGCGCGAGCTCAAGGAGCTGATGAAGGACGACCTTGGCCTTCTCCGTCACACCCAGGGTGGCCGTGTCCAGAAGAGCGCTGGAGGAGTTGGCGGAAGAGTCGTCGGCGGCGGCGGCATCAGGGGTCTCAGTGGTCTCATTGGCATTGGTGGCATGGGTAGTGTTGGCGGAGTCGGTGGTGTTGGCGCTGCCGGTGGTGTCGGTAATGTCCGCAGCACAAGCAGCACAAGTAGCTACCCCATTCCAACTCGTCCAACCCCGCAGCGTCTCGGCTCTGAAGCGTCTTCTTCTGGCGGTCTGTTCATGCGCCAGGATGGAGACAAGAATGGACTTTCCCAGAGAGACCAAAGCCAGATGGAGAGCGAGGGTGGTCGCAGTGTCAGCGGCGGTGGTATGGGTGGCTTGGGCGGTACTGGCCTAAAAAGAGAGGCCTTCAGTCCCGTGTCTAACCCCCGCACCCTGGGCCGCTCAGGCTCCTCTTATTAGGTACCTTCCTTTGCGTATACTGCTCTCTTTGATATTGGAGGACGACGATGGCAAAGGGGGAGGGCTGGCATTCGGATTGATGAGGTTTGCTTTACTCTCGACTGAGAAATGTGTATTGCCAAGCTAGGGCAAAAGTTTGTGGACCAAAAGTTACGCCGTTTCCCTTCAACCCGTGCAGTGTCCATCCCAATGTGCGCACAAGGCCATTTCCCTGCACAGCTTCATGACAAAAAGCATTAACATCAGCTCTTTGATGTTAGGCTACCTCTTGTCTGCAGGCCTTTGTGAGATTGTAGGTTTGATACTCGAGTGACGTCCACTTTCTCCAGCACTTTGTTCACGTGCGGCATTCCATAGAAACCCTTGAATGTCTCACTCCATTCGCTTCGACATTGAAACCCCTTCCTGGCAAACCAAGGAAGCTAAGATGTCAAGGAATGAGCCAATGGCGAAGTCTTATTTGATGGTGGGCAAGTTCAATTACTTTTGGCTCAGCTCGGGCCGGTCCGCTGGCCGCGATGGTCTAGCAAACCTTCCCGTTGTTGAGCGACCGGTCAACCCAGTCAACCTAGAACTCTGTTGCATTCAGACTCATGTGTCCATGCAGCCGGGCTACACAGACCAAGCTTTGACAAACCCTAAAGATACTTTCCGAATTCCTCACCATGCTGAAGTAGCCTGGTTGGTCTACCAGTCAGTATTCTTGAATTCCCTCAAACCGAGTCGAACATTCTTCGTACCGGAGAGACTCGAGAGCAATAGTATTATTCTAGACATTAGGCATGAACATATGATCTACGACCATACCGCCGAACCACTCTCCGAGGGGCACCTGTCCTTTTTACGCACCAAGGTCAGTCGCGATGCCCTCAAGGATTCGATCTTTGAAATGGGTTGCGCCAAGGGACCTAGAACAAGGAGCCTGTCTACAGCACTATGGAAAAGACATTCCAACGGTGGATATATGACATTAATGTTTGAGACGGAAAAGTCCGACTGGAGGTGGCTAGAACGACGCTGGCACTAAATGATAGGCACGCAGATCAGACGATGAGGGGAACGGGGAAACTCATCCTTTGCAACCCGAACGGAAATCTTCGTGTCATGAAAGTATCAGACATTTGAGGAAATAAAGTCATCAGCTAAGGAGACACACGGCTGGTGTTGCCTGCGTACTCAGCGAGTCGTACGAATTAGAACTATTTAGAAAAGTACTCCGACATCCATCTACCAAGTCGTGTTGATTTTCGCTTCGGGACCTTCAAACAACCTCCCCTGGCAGCCTAGGATTGCTCGTGACCACAAACTCCGTCTTCTTGACGATAACTGGCGCATCAAGATGAAAGTCGGCGCTGCCGTCATCCGACCCCTTTCCTACTCTCGAACTCTGGACCCCAAGCTCTTGCTCGCTGTGATCGGTCCCGCTGCTGAGCGGCTGCATACCGCTCATGCCCGGCCGCCAGCTCTGCAGCGCGTATCTGCTCCCCACGTTGCCGCTCTGTCCCGTCTTTCCGTAGCCGCTCGCGGCGCCGTACTTGTTGCTTCGGCTCCCGGACTTGCTCTTTTCGTTGAAATACTTGACGAGGGGCGCGAGGGTGGGGATGCAGCAGACGATGATGCCGAGATTGTTTTCGATTGAGGACCACATGATGAGGGGCGAGGAGTCGAGGTAGTTGGCGAGGGCGTGAACGGTTTGGATTCGGATGATTTGGATGACGGTGATGAAGGCGCCGAGGCCGAAGAGGCCGAGCAGGACGATCTTCTTGCGCTTCTGGATCTTGGACGATGCAAGGACGGGGAAGGGGAGGAACATGCTAGGGGGAGACCTTGTCAGCTGACGTTGCAGAGCAGGTCGGGTTTGGAGAACTTACACGACAAGGTCAAACGCAATCGTCAGAGACGCCATGCTGGTATAAAAGGGAACACTTGGAAGGCAGGAGCCGTTGGTGATTGTGGGATCCCATTGCTTTGCGATCTGCTCTTTGTCAATGTCTGGCTTGTCTTGTAACAAGAGACCGGGGAGACCTACCGGTGTGCATAGATTTATCTGGACGAGGAGAAAGGCAAGGTGGTATGAGACGCAAAGACCAATGGTGACGAAAACTGCCCATCGGTAGGAACCCTTCGGGATGAAGCGGAGATACGAGAGAAGCAAGCTGATCTTGAAGCCAAGAATACTGCTAATGTAGCTAAAGTGGATGTCAGTTTGGATTCTTGTTCGATCCTATAGAAAAATGGGTCACTCACAAAGGAGCACCGGCGTATTGTAGAACACCAAAGTTGTAGACATTCTCCGCAGGCATGTCTTCCAACCTCTTGAGACCAAGGCCCCATTTTGTTTCTTCGAGTGATGGTTAGACTCAAGACGACGCGCTACAAGGAGAGGAGAGAGAACATACGGACGGTGCTGACGACTGCGAATCCACAAGCGGCAAACCATGTAACAAAAATGACCCAGTCATCTATCATTGTCAAGTCAGTACGCTTCGTGGTGGCCATGGAACCAAAACCGCAAACCTACCTGAGCCAGCAGCCTTGAGCATGATCACACGGACGTATAACCGCAACATCAAGATGATCAGCGACAGTGCCGTAAACGCCAACGCAATGGCCGTGATCTGGGGTCCCGTGGATAAGGTCCCCGGCGGGGTGTTGTACGTCCACGACTCGCTCATCGTGGGATGAACTATGAGAATAACCTCCTTCGAACCCGTTCGGTGAACGCGGTGAAGTTGAGCCCAGATAGACGTAAGGCTGAAGGTCTGCGTGCAGACTTGGTCGACGGGATGTGGTGAGACGGGAAGGACGCTCCCGATCTAACCGATACGCCTACGTAGGAGACTAGGAGGGAAGGGCGAGAGTGGACAGAGGGGCGGAGCCGAGTGGCTTGAGACCGCTTTATCTGGGTACGAGTTCGTGTTCGTCGTTCATCACATCATCAGACCAAACTTTCAGCTAGTCACCTCGCGCCGAGAGGGGGAAGAGTGGAGGGAGGATCAATATACAAATAATGTGCCCTGTGAGGTTGTGGACATGTTCCTCCGGGCCTTTGTGCCTCGGATCATCTATAAGGTAACGTTCCCCTCTTGCCTAGTGTACTGCACGTTGGTGAGAAGCTCAGGGGGAGCCACGAGGAAACGATTACAGGGTCAGTCTCCGTACTCAAGCAGAGCTTCTCCCCCCCAGCCGGATGATGTGCCGATGTTGTATTTCAGGAGTGCTTCCTGGAGGCGAGCCTACCCTTGCCTGCATCTCGCAAAACGCGTTGAGTTTGCGGCCAGTAATCTCGAACTTCTCTCGGCCACCGGCTGTAGATGCATCTGGGCTGTCTAACCTGCTAACCAACCTAGCATTCTAGAAAGACTGTGATCGTCTGCGGCCCCCGCTCCCTGCAGGTTGGCCCCCCTTGGACGCATGTACGAAGCACTGTAATACACGCACGCTATGCACGCGTATGGGCATTGCACGCGGCACTAATTAGCGCAGGTCCAGGGATACTTTTTCATAGGAGAGCTTTGTTAATCCCCTGGCAGTTGGCCAGATTCCATAGGTCCGTATTGTGGGAACCGCTGCCGTGGGTTATCATGGAAGTTAAATCCCAAGCACGGAATCCATCCGAGCGAAAGAAATGAGCCGCAGTCTAAGCCAAAACCCGAGGAGAGGTCGTTTATGTCACATGGCGTTACCGCGTATAATATATCACATTGGGGGCTAGAATACTGCGTTGCCGCACAGTTGCAGAAGTGACAGCGGGAAGTTTTGACAACTTGGCCGGCTAGCCCAACTCGACTTTGCGCAATTATCATACTTACTCATGAACTATAGCGATAGAGTGGACCACTGTCCAGAATGTGGCCAGACTTGGTCCGTGTCACGATGACAAGTCACTGGATGAATGTGATGTACGAGGATATCCCTGTCCGAGACACACCGGTTCGGGTAATATGCCATGTGTGGTAAAGCTCTGGACTCTAGTATCGACATGCTATCCTTCTTGAAGCAGGTTGTATTGTTAGGAAAAGCTTCCTCCTTGGAGTAACTTGTTTTCTACTTCTCCGTCGTGTTGCAATTTGCTCTAGCTTCTTCTGCATTGAATGGGCGTGAAGCGGCGTCCCATTGACCAAGAAACCTTCTGCCATCAAGCCAAGATCTCGTCAAAATGAAGTCGACTAAAAGACTTGCGTCCAAGTTGCTGTGCCACATTCCGACTACGTGGGTCTGATATGCCGACTTGGCCTGCAGAGTGTGTGCCTGCGCACCGATGTCACCCATGTCGTCCTCAACCCCCACCGATGAAAAAGAAATTCCAGAGGTTCTCGGCGCTATCCCGCTTTTCAGGTGAGCGTGGGTGCTCGAGCGGCACAGTCAAAAATTTGATTTCGTTCGAACTTCGAAGACCATGCGCCAACCCCAAACTCCTCGGAACCATATCCGCAAGCAGCCGGCCAGCCTTCTCGGGCAGCTGTGGGGACGAGAAGTTTTGCATTGTGGACGTCCAGGGGAACTGGAGAATGATCAGGAGAGGGAGGCAAAGCGGCCCGAGTAGAGGAACCACTGATAAGAAAAAGGGTCCTCTTCGTGACTCGGACACAATGACATCGAATTCGTTCCTTTGACGCTCTACAAAATTTCCTCTCGGATCCAAACAGCCCTTCTGCCAATGCCCAAGCAACGCACTCCGGCAGTGCCGCTGAACACCCTTTTCCCGACCCCAAAGGAGTAAGCCACACACACACCACTTCGGAGGGAGAAAAAACGTTAATCGGGACGGGACGCCGATGTCTGTGCTGTTCAGCTGCCGGCGTTCTGGTGGCTGACTTTTTACTGCCCGCTTGTATGAGGCACTTAATGCCAACTTGCACAACGGCCGCTAACCTTGTTCCATTAGTGCTCCCTAGCACCGATGATTTTAACCACGCGAAGGGCCATGTGTGTTAAGAACTCCCAATTAACGTTGATCTATGGCAGTAAATAAGCTCATGCGGCTGGAGGTTTGGATGAACGTTGTGGCTCAACGACACCACCGTCTCATTCGTGAGACTTGAGGGGGTGGGAGACCCTTGGTTGAGATTCTTGGGGCTCAACCAGTCGTTGGCTGGTTGCAGAGAATGTCGTACTCAGCCAAAGCTTCGCACCCTGCTCTCGGATCGAGCATGAGAGACATTACGACGGCCCATGTACACTTTGACCAGCCCCTGGTTGTCTACACGTTGCCTCGTACGATGCGGTTGCAACCGATTGTTGGAGGAACTTCATCTCATCGGCAGATGGCGAATTCTGGTTAGACCGCCGCGAGGCCCCTCCACCTTGAAGGCGTAAAGGATGCGAGGGCCTACTTAATCGGTCCTCTTTTTTACCAAGGATCTGGTGGCGAGCCCCCAATCGGACAGGGGTTCGATAGACTTTGCTGAAGAATCCCCGCAGCTTCAATTTCCGACCCAGGTTACGCCCAACTATTGAAGATTCCTCAAAAGCGCCGAGGAGAAGTCCGGGATATTGTCCAGAATCCAGATTGCTGGTAAACCGTGAAGCACTTGTCACGAGAAACTGACCCGAACCGCACCAACGACAGGCCGGCCGAGGTTGAGAACTGGGAACAGCATCGTCATTCTTGCATCTACAATAGCACCATCCCAACAGCAGGTGTTTGTCCATTGCCTCAGAGCGTAAGCGAACTGCACTCTGCAAGGAAATATGCGCGATTCTGCAGCATTTGGGGTATTTGAACGAGGATTTCGCCAGGGTTGCTGTCGGGAACTCGGCGCCCCTTTGATCTGCGAGCCACTCTCGAGTCCCCGCTGAACAAGACTCTGGGAGAGCGAGCAACCTGACCGCGTGGAGCCCGGCCCAGCAGCCCAGACCCGGCCTTGGCCAAGTGGTGGAAGCCGGGCGGGCTACGGAACCCTCGTGGCCCGGATCTTCATCGCCTTGTGGCGGCCGGGAAGGGGCGAGCAGGCCGCCACACGCGACAACGAAAAAAAGAACCTGGAGCTTTGAGCGGAGAAAGGTATCAGTGGCTCCGGTGTCAACACGCGGGATTGTTGACTGTCCTGACGGCTATGCTAGTGGCCGAGGGACCGAGGCACCCGGTATCCCTGATGACCGGCCGATATCTACACGTGTACGGATAGGAGCACAGGATGTCGTCTATTTGTCCTTGTCTCCCGCTCCACAGCCCGCAGCGCTTTACCGTCCCTGGCCAGGAATGGCAGGGGAACAAGAGGGAACCGGCCACAAACGGCACTGCAAGAGAATCGGCCGTGGGGATTTCTTCCCGTTATTGCTCCCTTTAACGATTTCAAGATGGATTCATCAGCAATAGGTAAGAATGCGGCAAACTTCCACTAGTTTGAGGGGGCGAAATCCGCCTTCTCGGACCCCAAATCTCGGTGAAAACCCCAGTCGGGAAGCGTCCTCCCTGTCGAGATGGACTCTTCAGACTCCCATGCCATGGTCCCGGGCTTCGGGTAGGCCAATCCTGCGGCATACTAAAAGTCATGCCCATGGCCACCGATACGACGAACTTTCTTTTGATGAAATGGTCCAGCGGCATTTCCCTCTCTCTCTCTCCTCCCCCCTCCCCTCGCCTCCCCTTCTCCCGTCGATCTTTGTCTCACATTGCGCTTGCTGCCCTTCCCTCCCCTCCCAACCTTGGCCAAAGTAATCAAACATGAAGAGCTTTGTCCTCCAAGCGGCCCTCGCCGGTGCGGCCCTCGCTGCTCCGAACCACCGCCCGTTCATCGGCACCGCTTTCGTCGAGCGCGCCGCCGGCGACTGCAAGTGTTTCCCCGGTGATGCGTGCTGGCCTGCCACGGCGCAGTGGGATGCCCTCAACACCACCGTCGGCGGCAACCTCATTGCCACCGTTCCTCTGGGGGCGCCTTGCCACGACCCTGTCTACGATGCGGCCACCTGCGCTACGCTGAAGAGTGAATGGCAGTATGCGGATATCCAGTAAGTGTCTATGCCAATCAAGCGATAGCCAGGAACTAACGACGATGTAGCATGGAATCCTCCTCCTCCGTCATGGCTCCTTTCTTCGCCAACCAGAGCTGTGACCCCTTCCAACCGGAGTCTCGTGCCTGTGTCCTCGGTAACTACGTAGTTTACGCCGTTGACGCCAAGACTCCCGAGCACATTGCTGCTACCATCGCCTTCGCCAAGGAGAACAACATCCGCTTCATCGTCCGCAACACCGGCCATGACTACCTTGGTCGTTCTACCGGCGCCGGAGCCCTCTCCGTCTGGACTCACCACCTGACCAGCACCGAGGTTCTCGACTGGAACACCGCCACCTATGCAGGCAAGGCCATGAAGGTCGGTGCTGGTACCCAGGGCTTCGACGTCTTGTCAGCTGCGCACACCGCTGGCCTTGCTGTTGTTGGCGGCGAGTGCCCTACCGTTGGTATCGCTGGAGGCTATACCCAGGGTGGTGGCCACAGTGCTCTGTCCACCAACTTCGGTCTCAGTGCGGATAACGTCCTGGAGTGGCAGGTTGTCATCGGCAACGGCACTCTCCTGACTGCTTCCAAGACCGAGAACACTGATCTCTACTGGGCTCTGTCTGGTGGTGGCCCGGGTAACTGGGGTGTTGTCACCTCCATGACCGTCAAGGCTCACCCTGATGCCGTCGTCGGTGGTGCCACTCTCGTCTTGATGGCTGACGAAAACGACAACACTGCCTTCTTCAACGCCATCGACGCCTTCCACGAGGAGCTTGCTGGTATGGTTGACGGCGGTTCCATGGTCGTCTACTACTTCTCCGCCGATTTCTTCCAGATCGCTCCCCTCACCGCGTACAACAAGACCACCGACGAGGTCAAGACCCTTCTGGCTCCCTTTGTCGCCCGTCTCGACGCCCTGAACATGAACTACACTACCACCTACACCGAATCGGAGAGCTACTACAACCACTACGACAAGTACTTTGGCCCCCTTCCCAACGGTAACATCCAGGTCGGCATCGCCCAGTACGGCGGCCGCCTCATCCCCCGCGAAAATATTGCCAACATTGGCTCCTTCTCCCGCAGCGTTGCCGAGAAGGGCGCCACCTTCATCGGCGTCGGCACCGACGTCAGCAAGTTCGGCACCAAGGAGTCCAACTCTGTCACCCCCGCCTGGCGCAACACCCTCGTCCACGCCACCCTCACCACCGTCTGGAGCTTCACCGCCCCCTGGGAGGAGATGATTGCCAACCAGGACCTGATGACCAACGTCCTCATGAAGGAGATTGAGGCGCTCACCCCCACCGGCGGCGCCTACATGAACGAGGCCGACTTCCAGCAGCCCAACTTCCAGACAGTGTTCTTTGGCAGCAACTACAACTCTTTGTTGAGCCTGAAGCAGAAGTGGGATCCCGAAGGTTTCTTCTACGTTCGCAATGCCGTCGGCAGCGAGTCGTGGAGCGTTGCCAACGATGGAAGAATGTGCCGTGTCTAAGTCGCAAAAAGAAATATCCGTAATAATTAAATAAAAATTGTGTTCTTCTATCAAAGTTTCGCCTTTTACAAGTAACTCGGTGTGCCGTATAACCCTCCAATTTCGATCATCCAGCAGGTCAGTCCCACCATGCCCATGCGCAGTCCGGCCGCCAGCTGGTTGCGGAAGCAGCCCCACGAAGACGCGACATCACCGCTGCAGACGAGCGCGCTGTGCTTCTGCCCTCCGGTCCACGCGCAGCAGAACAAGTTGACAATGTTTCCCTGGCCGGCTTCTTTTTGATCTTCTAAACGTGTGTGCGTGATTTTTGGGATAGATGCTGCCTACCTTACGTATAGGCTTGGGTCGAGGAAATAACGGTAGTTTCCAAAGTCGTGGGCGGAATACTTTGGCTCGGCTTGGTCGAACCAGAACGTCCTGATTCCCTTCGAAAAGTAGTTCTGCTTGGCTTTGTTCCAAACATGCTCATGAGCCCTGGGGCTAGTAGGATCGTAGTATACAGCATAATCTTTGAACTCAAAGTTGGCTCGGGCGCCTTTCTCAGCGCGGACCAAAAAAGCCATGCTCTTACATGGGCCAGTAGGAGAAGTCGATGACAATCAGATCGAGGGGAAGTTCAAGGCAGCGGTATTCTCGGGAAATCTCCAGAAACTCTTTCTGGGTCTCTTACCGGACTTTTCACTGCTACAAGCCCAGGCGGGCGTGTTCGCAACCACCACCCAGAGATTCAGGATGTTGGTAGAGTACGCCCCAAAGAACGCCGTATTCTTCCCAAAGACAAGGAGGGCAATTGATGGGTTTTTCTGTAGAATTCCATAACCCAGAGAAGACAGCGCAAAAGGCATACTGGCCTGCGAGTTACGGTGTGCCAACTCGAAGTCGAGGGCCTTCATGTCCAGGAAGAGCTGTTGATATTAACCCATTCCAAAAACCTTCTCGTCAGTCCGCTGGCTATCGAAGCACCTTGTGAGGTGGTAGTCAGCGCGTCGCGGGGGGCTTCAACTTGAGGACTTCAACCTCGATGACGCCACGTTTGGCGTCAAGCAGCTCGCGACGGTTGCGGGCATACTCTCCGGGGGCAACAACGTCATCGGCATTGTTGATGGTGATCTTTTCCCGCTTTCTCATTGCCGCTTCAACCTGCACATTGCGTATGGTGGCTGAACCGCCTTCAGCGAGTGAGATCTTTGATAGAACTTGTTTTGGTTGTTCCTCCAGTGCCCATGCTTCGAATGGCATCACTATGGCCCTTGGTAGCTCGCACTCGGAAGGCATCTGGGCCCCATGGCTGGAAACAGACTTGGTCTCCACCATCCCGGTAAATCAGAATGCCGTTCTCTTGATAAATCATGTAAATGACGATCGAGTTTCTTGGAAGATGGTCAGATTTGGGATAGGACTTTCGTGTAGCTATATGCGTCCGAGAATCGATCAACAATTATCAGGTAGATAGAGAACAAGAAAGCTGCTGCGAAAGCAGCGCAGCAATCCAGAAATAAGAACCTCCTTGCAAGGATCGAGCTAATGTCCCATCTAGAAATTTCCGGTTGATTCCCCGCCCCTATGGAAGGCAACTCGGCTACTTGATTACCAGCGACACAAAGAGTCACCATCATGATGGCCCAATCCCTCACAGTTCCCTCGTGAGGTAGCTCAAGCTAATGCTTAGTTTTAGCATCAACAAATGCTACATTTGCTTGACTCAATAGCCGTGTCAGCCCGCCGGAACATGACCGCATGAACTCCGCTGGGGAGATGAGCACTGCGGTCCTCCCACATCCCTGGTAGATAATATTGGCAGGATTCTCCAGTCCTACCTAATGTGAGGCAAGTCTCTTGAATTAGCAATTAAATCAGTTCCGTTAGCTCCAAATTTAGTCTAAAGCTCGGATCCCTTCGCGGAACTCAAGCTGATGTTCACGTACCAAAGGCTTTAGAAGGCTCTCTGGCTAGATCCAGCCATGATTCGAGTATGGATATTTCGATATTGATTTATGTACACAACAGCACAGCAACATAGCTCGTATCTACGGCTAGCTAAAATCAGTGCCCATAATTCCATATCCAACCTTGGTCCTGTCTTCCAAAACAACTCTCAGTGAGATACTCGCTGAACTCCACGGGTTCTCCCTCGCTAACACCATTGATATCATACATCATAACTAAAACTCCTGTTAGCAGACCATTGTCGCTGAGCGAGGTTTTAGACTTACTCTGCTCAAATTCCGAAAGGGCTTGTGTTATTAATGGGTCTTCGCTAAAGCTCAAGCTCGCTGTGACATCCTCGTCCAAGTCAACCGCTGGTGTCTCTTGCTGTGGTGTGGTCTGATTCATGTTGCTACTAGAAACTTTGGCGGCCGTTTCGTTGCCTCGGGCAGTGGCCTGAATAGAATCTAGACAACCATTTGTAACATCTTCTCTACCATGGGGGCTGGTTATTGTCTGGGGTGGACCATCTAGTTGAAGCATTCTCTCCATCTCTTTAGTCATGACGAGCTTCATGAGCTTCGTGAGAATGTTCAGGCCCTGTTCAGCAACAACCGACTTGGACTTGAGTTGAGAATGCATCTCCATCAGCTGTCGGAGACCCACTTTGGAATCATGGGACTCCCGGCTCAAAGGGTCCAGTCCGGTCATGATAGAAAGCGCAACGCCAGCGGTGAAGAGATGCAACGCGACAAATGATAACGCGTAGGTATCAATCGCCTCCTTGAAGTGTGGTGTGTAGCCAACGTTGGCAATTTGTAAGGCGGCATCTCGACAGATTCGCACGGAACCCTGCAGCGCATCGTGCTCACCAGCGCGACGGAAAGCAGAGCCTTCGGCCGCGTTGCTGTTCCTTGTCGCTCTGTAGGCTAGCAGGGGCCGATGGACCAAGATCCTCGCGTTTTCAAAAGCCAGTTTGAGTGCTAGGGCTTGAACGCGGAACAATTGTTTCTGATGTTCCGGGCTCGAGTGGTGATGTATGCCGCTTGCCCAAGTAGCTGGGCTCGCGTGTTGCTGAAGCTGTTCCGTTTCTTTCACGCCCATAAGTAACTCTCGTGGCAGACGGTCGTGCCACGAGCGAATCTGTTGATCTAGGCTGGCCACAATGCTGATGAGGCGTTGAACCACGGGTCCTTCGGTCCTTGCAGTGAATTCGCTGCTGTTGGTATGCTTCCGGTTTCCGTAGAGCTCAGATAACGTCTTCTTTACAATTATCGACAATTGCGCCATCGCCACTTTATATGAGAGCAAGGTAGCCCTGCCAGAGGATTTCCATCGAGTAGATTCCCAGGATGCATCTTTGGACCTCAAGGGATATTGTTCGGGTATTTCTATGCTGCAGTCGGCGTCCACAATGCCGAGAGGAAAGCCGTAGAGCATCGAGCAGAAGGTTTCAATCTCGTAGATGGCCCACCAACATCTCTTGCGTGTCTCGGCTGCTCGATGGACAGGGTTATCAAGATCCGGCACAGAGATATGCTCATCGTTGTGTCGTTGATGAAGTTTGAGAGCTTGGGCGATACGAAGACCGCTCCCACAGATGGGCCAGGCGAGCTCAGGTTCCCCGTGATACAAGTAGAAACTTCCTAACAAGATACACGTCTGCACAGCCTCGATGGAGCCCAAGGAAACTACATCGAGGAATCTCAGTTTCAGCGTCGTCAGGATGCTTTCTTGCAATGAGTCTGAATCAATGCAAAGTTCGATGAGTCGAGCCTGTTGCTCTGGACTGCCATAGCGGAGGCTAGTCAAGCAGACGGCGAGGATGAGGCCAAGAACTCCCAAGTTAGCTTTTCTGGGCAGATATTCCTGCGATGTGGCCGAATGAAGCTCTTCGACTCGGCTTCGGAACTCGCTTTGAAAGAATATCAACATAAACCAATGTATTTTATCGAAATAAATGTTGACGAGTAACACTACCGGCGCAGGTGCGGGCAAGACCGATAAAAAGTCCCGCTCAGCTATGCTCATGGCACCATGTCGACGTGAAACAGATCGGATTCGCTGTTTAGAAAGAGGACGAGATGATCGTTGGATCGAAGCAACAGTCTCTCCAGTATCATCATGATCATTTCGTGAGGTCCACTCATTGGCGGCGAAGGCGGATGTGTCTGTTTCCTCCGGCGTGTCTGTGTCGTGGTGTTGGAATGCCTAATCTAGAGTTTAAGAACAGAAATTCCACCGTAATGATGCTTTCGTGTACGACTTACCTCGTCGAGGAAGCTTATGGCAGCCGAGTTAGTTGACCACGGTCTACTTGACGCAATGTGATCCGACGAAGACTGGGGTGCGGTGTTCGATTCATCACCAACTGAGCCATCTTCCGGTGGACATGTCGGAGAACTATCACTGGCACCAATGATTGAGGACAGTCTTAGCTCGACCGTATCCTGCCTTCGGGTTGTTCGGCGGTCCAGTTTGACTCGGCGAGGCCTGCCTATGCTCTGCGCCCTTTCTTCTTTTTGTGTCCTGGACACAGCAATACTGGGCCCCTGAACCCTCCATATGTTGGGCGTCTCATTGATGCAATCAACCAACGCTCTTTGGCATAAAGTGCAGGGGCGTTGTGTATCACACTGATCGAGGTTGTTAGACAATACTAACACTATGATACCGGGTCTGAAGAGTTCTGGAGGAAGGCCTGCCTTCAATTTCTGTCGTCGGCAACGTCGACATGCTGCGGCAACCTTTGTTCTCCGTCTCCTAACTTCCGGAGAAATTGGACTCTCAGCTTTATCCATCGGTGCGTGTTTGCCGATTTCGATGAACGCAATGATGATGTTGAGTTGTCCATGCGACTTGTAGGTGCAAGATGGAAGTGCTTCTCGCACAACGGGAGTTCCACCGGAATGAAAGTCCCGAATTGGACTACGCGCCATGCCATTTGCGGTAATTCGTTCCGGCTGATCGCCCGACTACCACACCTTTCCGAACAAGTGGGCCAAGGTTTCCAAGCTACCTTACCTCGAGGATCTTCCCATGAGAAAATTTCTGAGTCTTGAGAGTTAGATGATGGGATGCTGATAATCTGTATCTGTGTGCAGTTCATATAGCACACGAGTAAATTGCCGGTACTTCGATGAGTAATGGGCCACCTCCTGGTAATCCACGTCATCTAGAAATGGGAAGAACCCGCCATGGAATTTGGGTCTGGAAACGAGTGGCTTCAACAATCTGCAAGAAGATTCCCAAGTTCAAGGTAAAGTTAGATAAGTGCAAGGTGCAATTTTGCCTGCCTAGGTATATGTAAGGTAAATGAAGAAGTTGCTACACTTCCGTAAACCTCAGTAACCCCCAGCCGATGGTCCGATGGGCTTGAACTCCACCTCCGTCCATTGATCTGTGAATGCTCGAGTGAATGCAGCTTCCATAATGGCAACTGTAGCAGTTGCGCGGATCCGAGTGACTCCCAGCGATACGACGTGGAGTAGGTCATCTAATGTCCAAACCCCTCAGCAGCGTTGGCCTGAACCTCGGGCTTCAAGTGCTCCCTCATCAACTCCAGATGCCGAATGGGGGCTCCATTGTTTGTGTGCAAACAATTGGGCTGTTTCACGAAGCCTTACCCATTTAAAGGCTTGACGAACGCGACGCCAATATCGGAGCAGATCTCGCACAGTCGAATGATGTGTATGTCTCCTAGACAATCATTCTCAAAGATGACTTGGAGGATTGCGTCTTACTTGACTACAGCATCGTTGATTTGATGAAGACCTTTGGCGACATATGTCCAATCGCCTCCAAGGACCTTGCCAATATCGACGACCATGTTCAAACTCCTTGCCATCGGTAGCAGCCGCCTGGTTGGCTTCAAAAACCTTGACTTCGCCGGTGCCGTTACTGTGCAGGAACCCGATGACAGGGAAGACAAGCACACCGGTGCCCTGTAGCTCCTGTGTTTTTGCGAGAGAAATAAGATACGGCTTCACGCATGCCATGGCAACGCCGTGCTTCTTGGAGATGCGCAAGCTTTCTACGAGATCGGCTTCAGTCATTTTTGGGTGCAGTGGTGAGGGGTCAATCATGTTTGCGACCTGCTGAAGGGTGACGGCGATGGTGTTGGGAGATGGTGCCGGGAGATGGCGCGGCCATTTTGGTCGTCGGATCAGACTCAAAGACTGGTATGAGGGATGTGGGAAGCGTTGTGGCAGGCGAATTTCGGAAACGTAAAAAGTGATATTGACGACGAGTAAATAGATGTCGAGCTTTGTCACGTGTCTAAATGTTATATAATCTTTCGAGAAGCAGGAATCGACTTCATGAGAGGCTAAATAGCTGGATGAGGCATCTAAAGATGGACGAAAACGACGCGTGGGACTTCGGCTCTGTAACACAGCACTGTTAGGGCCACGCTGAAATGGCATCGCTCCGACTTCTCATGGATTGGGTGGCTGCTCTCAGAAGATTTGTTGACCGCAGCAAATGGCTATCGTAGATCTCCGTACCATGGGTGTTTCATACTACAACTTTTTGATGAGATAACATAGAGTAGGTAGATTGGACTCCAATTTTTCCGATAGTTAACCCCTTCTCTGGTAGTCAAGCAAACGAGACTTTCGATTCATATACTCGACTTATTCCTATGCAACGGCCTCGTTCTCTGAGACTCTCCAAACAAGCCTCTCGCCGCTCACAGCCTTGTTCCGCATGAGCACGATAGCATCTTGAGCCCGCTCCAGTAGTGTATCTCCCTCGACTATCCTTTGTGGGTTTGGCCGCACCACTTTCTGCTCCAGCAGCGATGGTATTATCTCACTCTGCATCTTGTCCTTGAACAGTTGGTTCTATGTAGTATGTCAGCCATACCATTCCCCATGAGAAGTGATCCACAGGCATCCTGTTTCCGGCTCGGTTATGACCTACCTTGAGATAGAAGTGTGTTCTCACGCCCTTCACTATAACACCTTCTTTCCATTGCCCTTCAGCAGGCTCAGTCATTTGATAGACAGGAGCCTCGATCTCGGATGGGTCCTTGATGACGACAGGGAGCATGACGGCGACCTTAGTTCCTCGATCCGCCAGTTCCGTAATCGGTTTGAGTGAGCCTGATAAGTGCCCGATGCAGTCAATAACATAAGGTACGCCCTTGGGGCCCAGGTGATCCCGGATGCTCTGGACGACGTTCTTGTCTCGATAATCAAAGCAGGCCGTCGCACCCAAAGATTCGAGATATTCGTGATGCTTCCCGCTCGCTACCACGATGAGGTTCTTGTATCCCCAGTGCCGGAACACCTCGATGGAGTACATCCCGACCGATCCGGCCCCGCCCCACAACAAGATCGGCGCATCGGCTTCCGGAGGCGTCCACCCTTCCGGGATAGGCCATGGCAGCGGCAGTCCGAGATCAACCACGGCAGCCTGGAATACGGTAACGATGTTGTCGGGCACAGTCACGGCTTCCGGCATCGTCAGTCCCTTGGGCATCTTTCCCAGCAAGAAAGTGGGGACGGTGATGAGGGTCTGAGCGGCCTTTTCCTTGCCGTCCTTGTTGTCGCGGAATGAGTACCCCAGAACTTCGTCCCCGACCTCAAGGTCGACGTGGTGCGGTCCGGGCCCTACCAGGAGCACCGTCCCCGCGAAGGTGTCGCCTAGTATGCGGGGAAACATGTCGATCAGCAGGCCGCCGTCCGCCTGGTGCAGGTGATAGGGCGTAGAGGAGGTCCATTCTACCTTGACAATGACCTCGCCTGCCTCGGGCGGATATGTCGGAGCATCGATGAGGATGAGAGGCTCTCTCGGGGCCTTGACTGCAACTGCCGGATGGATGGCAGGGATTTCGATTTCCATCCTCGACTTTTTCTTTGTTTTCTTTTGGATTTCTTGCTGTTTTCCACTTGTGATGCTTCAAGTCTTCAGTATTCGTCGAGGAGAGGACAATGCTGGGGTTTTAGGTCGCGCAGAAGCTCGAAGATCCGGACCCACAAACGATCATACGAGGCGAACCGACAAACCGAATGGTCCGTTCACAAAAGATGCAGGTTTCTGATGGGGAAGATGGAAGAATAAGCTTTGGGTTCTGCTGTTGGGTCAAGGGTCTCATGACAGCATCATGCATGTCTAGTCCATTGCTAGCAGCTGTGTTCGTCGCCCCTTACAATGACGGCAGTTTTGCGGGGAGAGATTACCAATCGGTGTGGAATTTCGAGCCCAGCTGGCCCGTCGCCGTGGCAAAAAAGCTTACGATCGTACCAAGAATGTCGGTGCATTTTTTTTGGTCCTTTCCCACTGTTGTCCTTGTGCAGCATAAGGCTCGTGCCCAGACCCCTTATGCATCGTTGCTACTCACCTTGTACTAAGACGAATGCCGTGGCGACTTGTTTCAACGGCGCCGGGAGCGGCCGGGCGGAGTGTGCCTACGTACACATTTGACCCGTGGCCGGCCTTCTTCGGCGCCGAGGAAACGGGGTGTGTTCCTTGTTCAGGCTAGTTTCGATGACCAAATGATCTGTGACAAGTTTCCTTCTTGGTAGCGCAGCTGTGGCAAATGTGGACAGCTCCGGCCCGATGTCCGTAGCCGGAAGAGGAGCCTTTCGGCGAGAACCGGCGAGCAACAGGACTTCCGATCCGAGTCTGCTCCATTGTCCCCACAATTCCGGATGGAAACGCTGAGCTTACCGGCAAAAACCTTAGTAACACCAAAATTTCACCCAAATCAATTCCTTTGGATTAAGGAGGCACAGTTCGCGTCCATGGCAAAAGCGAATGATCAGTGGGAGGCTTGAACTCCCGGCCTTGGCATTACACAACATTTTAGGTGAAATATTAGTACCACGCTCTAACCAACTGAGCTAACCGACCAGATGTCGTTGAGGATCCCAAAGCCCTAGCACGTTTATACAGGATCCACTGCGTGATTTTCGTTCAACTTGTTGACTCCACACGCGCCATCGGAGAAGAGTCTCGAAAGAGTACATCTTCCCGATAACATGAGTCGTTTTGCTCATTTGGAGGATTTGATCGCAACATGAACTTTGTTATGAAGCATTCCTGGCTCGATGAGCATCCGGATGACCAAAGAAGCTTGTGCTCAGACGACATGCGGCATGCGGCATGCCATGCTTGGATTCGTCACGCTTGCACCTGTCACCCAGTGTAGCTCATAGACAGTGCAGGAATCGCAAGCATTGGAAGGCGGTTCTTCTGTGGATCTAGCCCTCGCTATGTATGACATCTATGGGGACTATACAATCACGGATTGACTTCGTCCAGAAAGTGACCCCAAGTCAGTCCCAGAATTGAACCTTGAAGATCCTACTCATTATCCAATCCTACCAAGAACTGTCTGGAATCAAGCTCTAAGGCAAGCACTGACTATAGTACTGGTTTGAGACCTTACAGGTACCCTGGGCGCAGGTCGTGCTACCAGTCCAACCCTGACCGCCACATTGCCCGTATAAAGCAACACTCTTGCCGCCACTACTGGGGGGAGGGGAGCTCGAAGTAGGAGGAGAGCTGGAAGCAGGAGGGGGGGGATTGCCACTTCCAGAGCAAGTGAGTACCGAAGGTCCCGGAATCGAATACGCGCGGCCACCGTTTGTGGGCTTCCCAGCATTGTCGTAAATGTTGATGAGAATCCCTGGGTCAGTCGCCGAATAGGCGCCGGGGAAACTGACAAAGTTGGAGCCAGTATTGGTTCCTGAACCAGTGACGCGAATCCTGCTGGATGTGAGAACACGATAAAACCCACAGATTCTTAGAGATATATAACGTACTGGGCGCATTCCATGTAAAATTGCGCCTCACCCTGTGTCGAGGCGGAATGGAGTGCGATGATCTCAACGCGAAGGAGATAGTCGCCGGGAGCGACACACGCGGGTAGGGTGAAGTAGTGCCATCCGCCGTTTGCTATCATGGTGTCCACGGCCCATGTGCTTCCGCTCAGGCCAGCTTCGGCAATCTTGAACCACTTGAGGCCCGTCGTGCTAGTGCTGGCAGCATTACCAACTTTGGCCAGATAGACAACAATGGGGCCTAGTTTTCCCCCCGCATTAGAATTTGGAGTCATCTTCATCCATAGAAGGGGGCGTTTGGGCAGTGCATCTTACCTTTATGGCTCGCCGCGATGGGGTTGTCGGCGTCATTTGTTCCTTGGGCACCTCCGATGATGTGTCCCCACCAAGCACCGACCTTTGCACCAGCAGCAATGGAGACAATGTTGTTATCCTTGTACTGGATGTTGTTGTTGCAGGCAAATCCTGCGTCATTGACGTTTTGAATGGGGTTGTTGCTTGAAGGCGCGCGAACCCCCTTCAGCGATCCTTGATCAGCTCCGTTGACAGAGACCTTCTGGAAGATGCTGTGACCAGAAACGGCGGCAGCAAGGCCTAGAAGAACGCCTGAGAGCCTCATGATCAGAAAGTTTTGCGTTATTGAGTCTTGATCAAAAATTGGCTTGATTGATGATTGCCCGATGCTTGAATTCCACTCACTACGACGAGGTTCGTGCAAACATACTTATATGCGGAAAACCTCCAGTTTTGTGGAAATTTCAGGGAGATTGAGATTCCAAATCCAAAAAGTATTGCAAACTTTGGAGGCATCTCATGATTCCTGAATCCTCTTGTCTAAGTAATAAATGCCATACACGCCAGGGGTTACAAGACTCATCGAGGACCGTAAGCGAGTTTCGGTAGCTGCATCCACCCGCGAGACGATATTGCCTTCTTCGTTCTAGCCCATGTCTTGACATACTCCTTCATAGTTGAATGTTGTGCCCCTTGTTGTGACAAAGGGAGTTGGCACCCCAGCAAGCATGTTTGCTTCTTAGGACCTCGCTTAGATCGTTGGCAGCTCTAACCGATCTGCCAGAGTCCCGGTCCGCAGATTTGGGACACAAGGAGGCAATCCAGCAGATTGGTACTAGGCATTTGTTGAGTATCGCTTAACTGTGGCTGTCACAAACTGAAACTAGCGGCTTGCTGTCAAGCGAACCCTGTAGATGTCAGGAAACATCATGGTGGACTGAAAACAACGTGCTAACCGCTTCCTGGAATATGAACACTCATAGCGATTATCCCAATCTCGGTCCTTTGAGGACAACCCCTATGCTGGGGGGTTTTGCGGCTAGTGCAATAATTGAAAGCTACTGAAGCGATCGACACCAATATTGATGTTAGAAGCCTCACATTGGAGGGACTTGCGATCTAGACACATAATTTGATAGAGACCGGTGCAAGCAAAGTAGTCCATGAGCCTCATTGGAATGCTGTAGCGAGTCCGACCCTATTACGGAGGCTGCCCCGGGGGCCGTGATAGCATCCCCGTCAACGTTGGCTGTTCTCGGTCCGAACCGCCCACCTTCAGTTGTGCATGCGGAGCAGAGACGGGCATCGGCGGCCACCGACCTGTTCACGGCGACCGGCTTTAGAAAAAGACCGAGAAGGCAAAACTTGAGGTTGCGCTGTCTGGTGTTCGTTTCAAACATGAATAAACTTCATGGCGTGAAGGTAGGCCAATCAGTCCGTGGTTCTCGGCTACAGATGGCTTCAACCTGGATGAGGTTCGTGAGGCTAACCCTGTCTCCAACGCCAATTGTTCCCCCTTTCTGCGACGTCTCTTTTGAATACTCGACCATCGCCAATGTCAGAGGATGCCCTGAGTGCCACATGGTTTTCAGAGCCTTGACCTAGAAATAAGCTTTTCTCGCTTCTATTGTCCCTGCATAAGGACCATCTTGAGAAGTACCTACCGCATGTAACTCCAAGCAATGCTGAATGCGGGGAAAATTCATTACCACGGCAGATGGCTCACTAGGTAGTGTGCGAAGAGTTGTAATACGATACATGAGGTCACAGTTGGACTGAGCGATCCACGACAGATGCGATTCCATGAGATTGCCGAAGGAACACACTCGCTCTACCCGTACTCGGCAATTACTAGGGACCGAGATGCTATCACACATGGAGGGTCCAGACCCTTTCTGATGTCAATCTGAATCCGGTGAGCTCCTTCTTGGACACGTACAAACCATGGACTTGGCGAGCGCTGGCTTTGTGTAACCTTGGCAAGTGCGTAGACAGGAACGTGACAGAGTGATGAATCGTGCCTTGTCTTGTGTAACATACCATGATACCAAGGACACTGGTGCAAGCCAGCCAAACCTCTCTTCAGCCAGTCATGAACAGTCGACGTCTCGCAACGTTAGATCAATCGGCTAGACCAGCTCGGAGATATCCCCCGGAGCGACCGCTTTGCGTCCGGTCTAAATGGAATAATAAGAGACAGCATATCCGATATCTGGTATCGGCGCGTCCGACTATGTCCTCAGTATCGGACCGCAAACAAACATCGTCAAGCAAGTGCTGACGTTACCCCGCGGTCGCTTCTGGACTAGCTCTGTCTTCCACGTCCCGCTGCATGATATGTACTCGCGATCCTGACTGCCGCGATCTAAATTTGGTCCTTTGTCAATATCGGAAATGATGGCTTTTCGGCAACTCGGATATCTGGGTCGACTGCCGTTTGCGGAATGACCACTAACATTTATTCGCAGCCATCAGTCTATTCCCCTTGGCGGGGAGACTTCTTCCCGCCCGAAGAAGCCGCGCGCCAGGCGACCCAGGCTAAAGAAACAAAGTTTTCTCTTACCCAAACACAAAATCAGATGAGGGCGAATAAACTCACCCTCAGACACTTGTCTATGACCTATCGCCTCTGGCTGCTCAGGTCCCCAAGATACTGGGCTCGATCTCAACTTCCTTCTAGAACAGGGTTTCGACTGTCGATCCTGCTCTTACAAAGTCGCGCGCACCTGCGTCTCCCCCTCTTAACTTCGTTCCCCAAACCTTTTCTCCCTTTTTGGCCGTCCCGATTCATCGTGTCTCAACTGTCAAAATACAATCCCAATGTGGGAATGCCATGTTTGCTGCTGACTCAATGAGCGAATAATCCTGCGCCAGCGCGTATGATGTACTCATTGTACAAAACGATAACCAGAGCGACGATACCACCGTTTCCCATTCTCCCGCGCGACATCGACCCTTCCGACGATGTCATTGACAATCATGATATCAGCACCGTAATCGTGGCAACGGTGGTTCCGATAACCATCATATCCACGTTATTCGCGTTTGCGCGGTTTTTTGTCAAGGGATGGGTCCAGCGCCGGATTCAGTACGACGACGGGATCCTCCTGGCGGCGGTGGCGGCGGGGTGGACGGCGACGGGAACGACGCTGAAGGCTGTCGCGCTCGGCAACGGGAAACACGTCCATATGCTCACCGATGAGCAGAAAGAGGAGACCCTGAGGTGGACGGTATTATCTTTCGCGTTTGGGATCATTGCGCTGGCTTTGCCAAAGCTCGCCGTTGTCGCGCTCATGAATCGACTCCTCAAACCGAGACGACTTCACCGACTTTTCCTATGGGCGTTGGGGCTTCTATGCTGCGTGGGATTGTTCGGCAACGTGATTGGGCTCTTTGCCCAATGTCCGCAAGAAGCTGTGGTGAATATAACATACACGACAACCGCCTGTCTGGGTCCGAAGAGAGCGGTTGCGTACTCGATATCGACAAGTGGTGGGTTGATACATTCCCGACATAGGGGTCAACAAACGACGGACTTACTGACATACCCTGGCGAACCTAGGCATATCCGCTGCTACGAATGCTTACCTCGCCACCTTTGTGGCACTCTCCGTTCGAAGGTTGAAGATTGAACGAAGGAAGAGACTGGCTATAACGATCGCTCTCGTGCTGGGCCTGCTGTAAGTCTATCTGACGGCGACATGAATCCGCAGCCACGGCTTGACAACATACGTCAATGCCACTCCTCAGACACTCGAAAAGAAAACTAACATGCCTGCTAGAGCATTATTTACGGCCTTATTCAAGTGCACGAGGCTGAAGTCCCTTGGAAGCCCCGACTTCACTTGTGAGTATGACGCTTCTGGTGGTCCTCGACCGTCATCGCTGACTGTGAATTTAGACGATTCAGCAGATCTTGTAATTTGGACCAGGTAAGATCTCTTGGGATGAATCCAACACCACGCTTCTCAGAAAAAGGATGACGATCAAAGAATCGCTTTATCAATGCGCATGAGATGGTGGCTAACAATAAATGCAGCCTCGAAGCGGACGTTGTCGTCATCGCCGCCTGTATCCCGGCCTTACAGCCTCTGGTGGATCATCTCTTTCCAGGCCACTTCTCAACACCAATCTCGTCTCCAGTTATCCCAGCTTCGCGGGTCTCTACCGCCTCACAGAGGAAACTTTGGCCTGGTCCTACAGGTGGCGACTTGGAGGCCGCAAGAGATTTCAGCCTTTCGACCCAAGGCCCCGAGATGATCATGGTCGAGAAGGAGTTTGAAATTGCGTACACCAGGACTACGGTGAAGAGGTCCTGTACGTCCGACACATGGATTTCAGAATTGCCGGATGAGGAAAAGTTCCGGATTGTGAAGGATCACGGGCCTGACGGATCAGTAATGACGACGGTGGTGGTGAGATCTGCGACACGTCCGCCGGATCATCCGGCGTTTCCACCGTAATGGCGGCACGGACGATGGCAGACGACAGCAGACGACAGCAAATGAGACTAATACCCTTGTAATATAAGCATGACCGAAGTAGCGAATTAGCCCACGTGCACATTTAGAGTTGTAGAAATGAAACGAGTCAAGGTACATCCTTGAGACGATACCTTCAACAGTTCGTCCCCTTTTTCTAAAGCTATCACAGATTGGCTGTTATGTTGACCCAAAGTAGGGTTTGAAAGGACCAAAACTAGCGAAGTCTACTCGTCTTGCTGATTCAGATGTGCGCTCCACCTCGCTGCGTGCTACACCTGACCCGTGTATTTACACATCGGTGTAGAGAATGAATCCGGGAACCTCTTCCCCGCAAACCATCCACGTCCAAGCTGCACTGGGCCAGTAGTCGAAAAATGTCGCCAACCGCGCCCCGTCTTCAGGCGGGAACAGCGTCTCATCCCGCTTGTGCTCCTCGGCAACTTTGGACGGCAGCGACCAAGCGAGGAAGTGGTCCCGTCGTTGACCTGGCGGGAAAGCACTGGTTCATAGTGTGAGTTCTAGGTTGATGGCCCGAAACCGAACGCTTTCAGTACTCACAGAGAATTCCCCAATGTTCCGTGACACAAGCATGGCTCTTTGCGTAGCAGCCCTTCTTTCCAGATGAACTCCCTTCCACTTTTGAGAGCTTTTCCGATTTTCTCCTTCAAGTCTGGGAAGAAACGCTCAATGTGCACCAGCGAGAGAATAAAACCTGGCGCCCCGTGGCAAAACTGAGTGAGACCCTCGTAGATCGTATTGCCTGGGTCGTCTTTCGTCTCCCAATTGCCATTCTCTCGCTGTATCTCGAGCTGACGTTCTATTGAGCGGCGGATCATGGGGTTCTCCGCTAGTTTCGGGTCCGTCAGTAGGAGTTGAGTCAAGATGCCGATATCACCGTGAACGGCACCGATGTAGCGCTTCCCGCGCCACGTCCACAAAGGCCCTGCGCCAAGTGTCTTCTCAACGATCCGGGATTTGACGATGGCGAACTGACTCGCTGTCTCCGGTCTCTGGTACACCTGATTGTCAATTCCATTTCTAGCCTGAAGGAAGGGCACATCGACACGTACCGAGAACTCAACAGCACGAATCATGTACAAGATTCCGGCATAGCCAAACAGGAGCTCGTATGGGTGATCATCTTCGTCTGCAAGCCTTTCTAGCACTTCTCGAAACTTTGGCGCCTTTGTTGCATCCAAAATTGTGGCCACCGCCCAAAAGGCAGCGCTCTCGCACGCGAGGCCGCAAGGGGCCGAATCCCCTCCCTCACGCTCGACAGCCGCATAAGAAGTTGCCCACTGCCGGAGCGACTGGCCTTGAATTTTGATCTCGGGATACGTTGCATGGATTCTGAGAAGTAGATACGCCAGAGAGGTCGGACCGCGAAAAAAGCCTCTACATTGGTCTTGCGTGTAAACTCCAAGAGGGGGGTTGGCACTGATGATGTGAGTCAACGCCTGTTGAACACGAACCTCTGGGTGACCTGGGTGTATGAATGAGGCATATTCCTGCAATGAAGTTGGGGTTGGAATATAGCGCGGCTTATCCAGAGACATCTTGATGGTGGTTGATCTCTGAAATCTTCCTCGAAACTGTTTCTATGAACTTGAAGTATAGACTGTCTTCAACTCCGGCTTGTGGTTTAGAAGACTGTTTAAGCTCCAAGTCAAAGTACAAAGTTGTATGAGTCTGACCGAAGCAAAGGTACATGTACGTTATCAGCCAGGCAGCAACGCGGGGATTCAAAGATGACGTCAAAGGCATGCGTGCGTTTGTCAGCATTGCAGATAAGAGTTGAAATTGCGCAGAAACCAATTCTGGTCCTCAAACGAGTTGTAAATTAAGTCAGCTATGAGCGAGGGTCAGTCTTTCACTAATTAGTGCACGCCAAATGCGGTTGTGATTACTCTCTACTTAGCTTTGGGGCAAACCTTCAGTAATTTGCAAACTAGGGAAATAATGTATTTACAAACAAAGACGTTGCATTGTTTGAAACGCATTTTAGCAAACGAAAGACTTTTTACCCTGTTGCGATATATATAGCCCTCAGTAAAACCAGCGCGCGCCAATCGTGGCCGAATATGATATATCCGGGCACGAGTTAGGTAAAAATGAAAAATACGAAAGCAATTTACATAGCACAGGTATACACTGCAAGCTTCCTCTGCATACCTTGCACTCTCTGTACTCGTCCTTAGAGGATGTTTTCTTATTATTCAAGGCAAGCATGAATCGACATGTAAGTACTCAGGTATGCGATGATGCAATCATGTCGCTATTCAACAGTAACCTTTGTTTACCACAGCCTCAAAGTCAGAGTCAATATGGCTGGCGTCTTCTATTCAATAAAATTCTGGGAGTTGGTTGACGCAGGATACCTCTTCTAATACCCATTCTACATAGTGAGGACAACGATTTCGTGAGCACAATAACCCAGGGCTAATCATCCGTGTTAAGTCATTGAAGCTTGAGCTGCTCTTTAGAGCGATGGCACCTGCACTCTTCCAACAGTCTATTCAGTGATTTCTTCGTCCCTGAACCTCGTAGACTCTGCATCGGTATCTTAGCATACCTTGGTAGTGTACATGGAGTGTTGGAAACATGCTCTCTCCCAAAGTACCAAGACTTCCACGATGCCGGTGGCCCGCCCTCAAGTCTTGGCATAGAAAATTCATTGCCCATGTTTCATGCCCCTTTTTCTCTATAGTACTAGAAGAACCCCGGGTCCCTTTCTTCTCCCTCTCTTCCGGACTCTTTCAGGAAATCCCACCAATTGTCCCTGCCTTTTCCTGATTCTGCGGTTCCACCAAGGGGTGTAGTGGATTACCAGTGGGCTTTACCAAGTGCCGCATGTTAATCAACTCAAGGGCATGATTGGCGACTGTCACCCTGTCATTTGTGGAGAATTGACGGAACATGGGGGCTGCCACACGGGCAATTGATTAAACAGCGGCAGATTTCTGCTTGCCGTCGATCCATCTGACACTTTAATCTTGATCTCTAAACGTACGACTAATTTGGGGAGAGAGTCTCAAAAGACTTTTAAAGGTCTACGCTCGGAAGTTCGGCTTCCATCTCTGAGCAGTCTTGCGCACTTTGGTACCAACACAACTCCACGAACGGCACCACTTACCCGGTTTCTCTCCACAATGTTGTTTACGCACGCTATTCTTGCGGCTCTGGCTGCCGGTGTCTTTGGACATGGTGTCGTACAGACCCCGGAGCCCAGAGCGGTACGTTCCGGGACCGTGCCGTCTTGCACCGGAAGCACAAGCTAATACATTGGTTGTAGGCAGGCGCGAAGCAGGAGGAGCTTTGCGGAACCGCAGTAACCAACAAACTCGACAGCGATACCGCCGGTCCTATCGAAAACTCCCTTGCGGTGGCGGACGCCGACTACAAGTGCAACCTGTACCAATGCCGTGGCTACCAATATGAGGACAACGAGGACAACGTTCGCGCCGTCAAGGCCGGAGAGGTTATCCCCTTCCACATCGACCTTGTTGCCGGTCACAGACCGGGACACGCCGTGAGCTTGAGTCCCGCACATTGGCGATGAAAGAGCAGAGGCTGACAGAAGTGGCAGAACATCTCGGTGATCGACCTCGCAAACAACACCATCATCGGCGAGCCGCTCATTTCGTGGTCTGACTGGCCGACTACCGACCCCGATCCCTTGGCTGATAGTGAGTGGAGCCAAGCTTCAGCTACGCTGCGTGTGTGTGTCTCGCACTGACAAAGATACAGCTGACTGGAACATCACCATCCCCGACACCCTGGCATCCGCTTGCGACGTGGGTGGCAAGTGCGCAATCCAGTGGTTCTGGTACGCCGAAACCAACAAGCAGACTTACGAGAGCTGCGTCGACTTCTACATTGAAGCATAGACTTGAACTATGATGAAGGATCTTTGGGGAGTTTCGAAGCGCATTGATGACTTCACGTTGTACATATTTCCCCCTTACACTGTACATGTATCTGCCATAGACAAGTATATACAAACAAAGAACTCTACTTGGTTTCATGCTGACAGGATCAGCATGAATCAATCCATCTAAAGGTCAATGACTATTCAAATGAGTCTGGGACTGTATCCGAGTTTCATTTGGTTTGTAGTAGGCGCTGTAGTTCGAGACCTTACATGTACCTTTCAGAAGCCGGAACGCTATATGCTATCAGGCGACTATAAGCTTAAGTCCGTTCCGCATACCGTTGGAGTAATGCTATCTGGCGCGCATATATATATATATATATTTAGCCTTGTTCAATAATTCGACGACCGGGCCCGGTCAAATCTGTCCGACTTGGGCCTAGTCCGTCTCGCGGTGATCCGCCGGTCTGCCAACGGACTCGTCTTCGGCCCGTGGCTAGTGTTGAGTGTGGGGTACAGGGGCCGAAGACCTCGGTCGCAGCCGGCCCCGCACTCACAGAAACTGTCATCATTAACAAGGTCGAAAGGCTGTCCATGTACTTTCGCTCTAATCATTACATGTTTACATGTAATTTTTGAATCGTCAATTCTCAACTTTCGCCTTCGTCTACTCCGTTCACAGGATTGCAAGTCAGCGCCATGTCTCAGGTTCCATTCGCAGATCCACCATGGCTGAGAGGCTTGCCCTCACCTTACTTCAACGATTCACACCGCAGATTCCAAGTTGCCTGCCGAGAGTTCCTCGACGAAAACTTGCATAAGAATGCCCTGGAATGGGAAACAGCGGAAGATGTGCCATCTGATTTGTTCAGCAAGTTCGCCCAGGGCAATTTCCTAATCCCGGCATTGCCGGCGCCCTTACCCGTGGAATGGCTGCACAAGTTGGGAGTCACGCATATGCCCGGGCAAGTACCGGTGGAGGAGTGGGATACTTTGCATACCATGATTTACTCAGATGAGGTACATTTATCTGGTTATTCACGCCTTTTTGTGCAATGCTAACGTGTTGATTTGCAGATGAGTCGCTCCGGACTAGCTGGACCTCCGGGTTCGTTGACTACTGGCATGGCATTCGGGGTGCCTCCTTTGCTGCACTATGCAAACGCCGACGTGCAGAATAGATTCCTACCTGACCTTCTGCTTGGGCGAAAAAGAACCTGTATCGCGATTACTGAGCCCGAGTATGTTAGCCATGAAGCTCCCCAAGTAACCTCACGAGCATTCATGCTAACCTCCTCAACTCAATGATGATAGTGCAGGATCAGACGTCGCCAATATCACCACAACAGCTGAGCTCAAAGGCAATGAGTACATCATCAATGGCGCCAAAAAATGGATAACCAACGGGTTCGTCGCCCAGTACGCCACGCTAGCCGCTCGCACCGGTGGTGAAGGCTCAGGAGGGAAGGGCATCTCGCTGCTAGTTGTTCCACTTGAGAATCAGCCCGGAGTGAGCAGGAGACGTCTGAAGGTCGCCGGCCAAATTGCGGCCGGCACCTCTTACCTCGAGTTTGACGATGTTCGGGTGCCGCGAGAGAACCTGATTGGTCGGGAAAACGAAGGCATGAAGTACATCATGCACAACTTCAACCATGAGCGGATGTCCATCTCGGTTGGTGTTACGAGGCAAGCTCGAGTGGCTTTGAGTTCCGCTTTTGCGTATTGTCTGCAGCGCAAGGCATTTGATAAGGTATGCACGCACGAGCGCATTTCTAGAAATCATGGAGTTTCTCGACTAATCGCTCTATGCAAAGACTCTCATCGAGCAGCCGGTGGTTCGTCATCGGCTGGCCAAATGCGGAGCCCTACTTGAGTCACAGTATGCCTGGGTCGAATCCTTTGCGTTCCAGCTATCCAAAATGCCAAAGAAGACTGCAGATGAAGAGCTTGGTGGGTTGACGGCCTTGTGCAAAGCCAATGCTGGCATTGTTCTCGACGAGTGTGCAAGATGTGCCGTGCTGCTGTTCGGCGGTAACGGTTATACGCGTACAGGCAAGGGGGAGATTGCAGAAAGTGAGTGTTACTCTTGTATGATAACGCACAGTGTATAGACTGAGCTGACTTTGATGCCCTAGAAATCTACCGCGAGGTTCCCGGCGCGAGAATACCTGGCGGAAGCGAGGATGTCTTGCTGGACTTGGCTATTCGACAGTTGACGAAGCGATTCCGAGCAGAGACCGAGAAGGAAAAGTTAAAGCCCAAAATGTAGTGAGCCAAATAAAGCAATCGTTTCTGTCGGTCAAGTTTGAGGATAGAGCTGTACAAACTCTTTCCATTCTTGTATTGTTGACAATTATGGCTCGGAATTCTTATCGGGACCCAATCAACAGATGTGCTTTCGAAAATTAAATGATGATACAAAACTAAACTTATTCTCTTGTCCACAGAGGCTTGTCCACAGAGGACAAGTGGAGATCAGAGCCGGTCTTATGCGTTACTTCATATCGACCCCAAATATAGAGTCTCGGGGAGAAAGTAGATCATCAAAAGTCCGAACCGACATTTACTTTGGGGTTTTCTACAAACCCGTCTACAAGGAGCAATTCAGCCTGATTCTTGACCGTCTGTAGCTAGATCTAGGAGCTCGAATATCTTGTGATGGGGTGAACTAATTGTCGCAGCTGTCGCTGGGGCTTGCCTTCAATGTCTTGAATATCCTCGAGACCAAGCCAGACGACTTTCGGACGATTACAACGCAGACTCTGGTCTTCATGATCACTGCCTCGGTACTGGGGAAAATCAGAAAAATGCAGGAAAGCCAGTTCACCTCAGAGCAATACACTGTCAAATGCACTACCGAGCGATGGAGAAAGTTTGTGGTACAAAGGCTATCCAGAACCTACCAAATTATCGGCCGACGCGCCATCCAGCGCGCCATCGCCCTTCTTGTCGAGGCATGGTCGCGTATGGATTTTGAGCCAATGACTGAAGACCAAGTGAAGATCCAGGGGTTGGGGGGCGGGGGCTACCCACTAAGTCCACTGGATAGATAGACGTCTAAGAGGCGGAAGGGCAGGAGACTATTCTCGGTCAGCTTCGCCATACATGCCTTCACACGGTTGTAGGCACGCTCCTGCGGTCGTCTCTCTCGTTGGTGACAAAGAAGCGCAATCAGTGACACTCTTGATCTAATTGAGACGAGAATAATGACCAGATAGTTCAAGTCTCACAACAGGTTCGTCGTTCTTACTTCTCAGTAAGAAAATATTTCTGGAGCATATATTATGAGCCAAACCGAAATGGTCACATCAGGTAGTAATTATTTTGGAGGTCAAAGATGTAAGCAAAGGTGGCTCATGATAGGTCAGGTGTATGCAACCATATTCATGTAATCTCCGAAGTCCCTCCCAACGTTTTGTGCGCGGGAACGTTGGAAGACGGATGTGAAAGGCGCAAGAATACTGGGCTGACGGCGTCTTATCCCATAGACAGGAGCTAATTTGATGAGTGCGCATATCCTTCCCGAGTTTGCGCCATGATTCTCTCATTAACGATGTCGGAAGCTTTCTGTGATGATCTCGTCCAACCGATCGGAGTTGTGCTGGGACAATGTCTTAACAATCTGTTAGCGGCTCCTTTGATATTGCGAATAATTGGTCGCGCTGGTGAGGCCTAGCACTAGCAGCAAGGAACTTCAGTAAGCCATCGGCGAGCCCTTTCCAATGGTCTGGACGGTCAATTGATGTAAGTAAGCTTCTCCAGGTCATGATTGGTTCGCCACCTCGAAGCACCGTCCTCGTCCTCTTCGTTCCGTCAGGATCTCTGCCACCACCTCTCACAAATACGAGCTGGGAATCCAGAGCAGATCACGATCAAATGTTTGTCGCGAGCGCCATCTGCCAGCCTCGGTCCATTCGAGGTGGATTCGGCCAGCCAGCCCATCACCTGCACAACAAATCACATCGCCAGGGTATGTCTACTCAACCCCTGCCACCCCAAGTTGATATAGCGCGGCCAGTGCCTCTTCCTGGTCGGGCCGGCGTCCAAGACTTGGGCAAAAGCTCGCCCATCTCTGCGGCCACCTCAGGCAAACGATTCGTTCGCGCCTCCGAAAAGCTTAAAGAGGAACACCTGCGACCTGCCGTAGTGCCAGGGCCAGAGATCAGCACCATCCCCTCTCGGGCATCCCTGTCGATTCCCCCGCGTCTTGCCCCATATCGGAAGCATCGCCGACCCCAGACCACCCCGGGGTCGACTGCGGGGGAAAGTGGATGAGCAGAAGTCGGCCGAGAGAGACCGCAAAAGGAACGACTACAAGGGAAAAAATTTTGGTGTGCTGGTATATGGTGGTAGTGTGGGTGACATCCTCTCCACAAGCGTCGTATTAGCGATGATATTCCCATTCACGGTTCCACGGACATGACCTCATGCCGACCAGCCGCCCGCTGGCAGCTACATGTGAAAGCGACAATCTGTGAGGGAAATTAGATAGCTCCCGAGGAAGCTAGCTGAGCTGTAAAGTGCAGCTGAAGGAAGCCTGGCTTATTGGTCCAAAGCTATGGGTTCGTATGTATCGCGGGCGACGAAAAACAAACGAAGTGACTGTGTGTCCCTTTTCTATGTCCCCGTTCCCATTCCCACCCTCTCCTGCATGGGGTTTTCCTCCAGTCTCCTCCACAGAGAAGCTTGCCACCCTTCTTTTCATTCCTGCATGTATCCAGACCCTCAGGAACGAATTGGACGCTCTATCTCCATGTTCACCAAGACCCCTTGAAGCATTCCTCGTTTCACCATCTCCCAATTCAACCAAACTTCACAATCGCTTAACCAATTATTCTTGGGCAAGGAGGGCAGACAGACAGAGGGAGAGAGAGAGAGACCATATATCATGATGAAGAGGAACATCATTCGTCTCTTTGCCGGCGCGATCTTGCTGGCGAGCGGTGCGGCGGCGGCAGAAAACTGCGCGAGTGTCGCCGTCACCGCGATTCCTTCCTGCGCACAAAGCTGTTTCCTCGAGGGCGCGTCTTTCGTGGGCTGCGACAGCCTCGACTTCTCATGTCAGTGCGGAAAGGAGGCGGCTCTCTATGCTGCTATTGAACCTTGTGTTGCAACCGGCTGCCCTGCTGCGTCGTTCCAGGCTGTCATCAACGGAGCTTCATCTGGTAAGTTTTGATCTTTTTTCTATAATTCATACTTCCCACGAATCTGTTGTCATGGGCCGTTTTTGAACATGCGGCGCTCAACTTTGGTTGGATCACTCGGCTAACAAGAGATGAAGTGTGTGGTTGTGCCGGCGCAGGAGCGGTCGGTGGCTCAACGGTATCCGGGTCTTTCGTCTCGGCCATCTCGGGCTCCGCGATCGGTTCATCGCCGGCGATCGCGACAGCTACGCCGTCTGCAGCCGCTGGAGGTTCTGCGTCTGCCTCAGCAACGCAAGGTGGTGGTGGCGGAGACACATGGAATCCCCTTCCCACCTCTTCCCCGTTCTCGACCTCGTCGCCTGTCAATGCTGCCGGGCGCCAATCAAACTCAAACTTTGCCATGCTCGTAGCGGTTGTCGGAATGGCGGTGTCCGTTGCGGTAGCTCCTTGAATCAAAGCTGGGTCAGACGAAAGGTCAATCTCGAAGAGATTGACGGTTTCATTGAGAATAATTGCCAGATGAGACCACGATAGTCTGTTGTCTTCCATTATCACTTCTTCTTCACAACATTACGATTTACATCATGACTTATGGACGGATATACCCAGAGGCCGGCGACCTACATACTCAGCCCGACTCTTCTTCTACCGACGACCTCACATGACACAGCTCACCCAATGCTACTTTTTCGACAGGGAAGAGTATACTCAGGTCACAACCATCCGATTTTCCAAGAGCACAGGATCTCCAGGGCCATCACTAACATGTGATGAGCCGTTGCTCATATCTTGGACCAATGACAGGCTTGCGAGAGGGAGCTGTCGCGAACGGGGTCAGTTATTTAATCCTAATTATAGATTATGCATTCATCGATCTTTAAGCATCTTCATTGTATGATTGAAGCCTGTGCTCAAGCAGAGCAAGGTTGCTCACAAAGTTGAACCTGGACACCGTGTCACTCCTTACGCTATAATAATGCAAGAAATTTGAACCACAAAAGTCACCTCTCTTTCCTTCAGTACTTCATGTTCATCTTTGCAAAATTGGAAACTACGTCAATCTGTAGAACTTTTCGAACACCAATTGATTATATGTGAGGAATGACGCTGTGGACCGTCACGCAAGTCCTGGATTGGCGACTTGTCTTGTCATCATTTACATGCTGCTTGTGAAATTGGACCGTAGTATGGACCTTTCGGTACCATTGTTAGGGTATATCTTGAAGCAAAGTTTAAGTAGACCGCCAAGTAATCAGTGAATTACTTCAAGTCGACCAAAACAGAAGCACAAAAAAACGGGCTTATGCCTTGGGATTAGTCCTGGCACTGAACACCAGTCCTCCTGTGATGCACAAAACCTGTAGACGTAATTTAGATACATAAGAAGGATTCTGAGGATTCTGACAAAGATGAAGAATATCATACAAGCAGGAGTGCGTGCGTCTGGACGAGCCAAACAGCTTTGACCGTTCATAGATCGACGCGAGAGGAGCCAGCTGCCGATGCGATCCTGCCGGCAGCATTTAGTACGCGAAGGAATGTTGAAGATCTCTTGTCTGATAACATCCCAGTTACTTGGGCAATTGGTCGGCATATGAATATGTCTCTAGCAAAGCCGCGGAGTTGGTAAGGCAACCGTAACTGTTTATTTGCGATGTCAGCCCGCGAATACCATTGCCCCACGGTTTACATTGACGAAATCCAGGCAGTCAGTCTTGCCATTGCAAGGCCAGTATTTTCCATCATAAAAGCATGTCTGGCCATATCCGTCACGCCCTCTATCCGATGCCAATGAATGCAAGATGGAGATATTTCCCTTATGGATCATGTCCGCAACGGTGATCGAAAACTCATCCGAATGATGAACATCTCGCTGCCTGTGACGATTCTCTCCAATTTTGTGTCCAACGCGCAATCATTCTCAAGCTGGACCGCAACTAATCTCAAATTCGGTGGCGGTTATGTGAGCACCTTCTGTGCTCAGCCATTGTGTCTGACAGCTCCGACTAAAGCAATGGCCCTGAGGTGATGGTTACTGACTGAAGGAATTGACACTTTGCTCATGACATCCCGAAAGCTTCAAATCAAAAGCAGCAATTAGCTTAGAAGCCTAACAAAGATTACTGGTAAAAACTTGGACAATCCAGTAGACACTATCTATAACGAGACTCCCGTCAGTTACCCAAAGGCCTGATATATCAATCTCAAAATCAGGAAAGCCGTCCTCACGCCAGGTAACCACACCATCTAGACGCAGCAGTATCGAGATTATCTTTGACGTCACATTTACCATGCATTCCCCACGCCATTCCCCAGTTGCACTATGACAAGCCCGAGTTCCGTCTACGCCTCGGTGCCGGATAGCGAGGAAGGGGGGTGGGGGGCAACTTGATCGGCCCATGGGAGACGGGAGACATAGCACGGCCCGGGGCCGATCGGGGAGATCATAAGTCCAACGGAGGACCCGCAACCTGCGCCGAGACATCGCATTCGGAAAGCTATTCATGTTGCCCCACGCTCGGGTTTGCGTTTTCCGGGTCCGTCTGTCCTAATATCATCATCCGATCTCATGACCCTCTAGAACGGATCAACAACCGAGGCACATTGGGAACTAGGTCAATGCGTACGGGGTCTCTTGCTTTTGCAGTGGCGTTTCTCCGCATCCGCGGACGCCCGTAGGGCCATGAAGTGTGGTCTATACTGACAGTTAACCCACAGTTGACAATTCAGTCGCGTGAGGCGGGAATATGCAGTGCACCCTTGGCTGTTCCCCCTCAACCAAAACTGCATGTATGAATCATAGTGTCTTGACAGAGTATGTAACGCGTCTCTGAAGCGGATTTTCAAGCGCGGGGCCCGAATAAACACCGACCCCGGACCCCCCTCCCTCCCGTATGTCACTGTTTGCTCAAACAAGACGAGAAACAGGCTGGTCAGGTTCGAAGGTTTCATCCCAACTCGCAGCCTCGGCAACTCTGAGCTTTGGCAAGTCTGCATTGCAAGTCTGCATTAGGAAATCTGAGCGTAGGACCCTCGTTACGGTCGGACATTGGCTGGTTGAGATGTAAGAGGTGGGTATACTTTCGCGTAGTTGATGCTTGTAGTATGAATCATACAAAAAGAAGATGAGCTCCCTGTTCAACGGCTGGGACCGTCTAACAAGATCACGAATCCTCTCAACACCGTCACAATGGCGCCAAATCAACCCTCAGACTCTCGCATTGATGAGATATACGACTATGTCATCGTCGGCGCCGGCATCTCTGGCATCAACACCGCATACTACCTCCACGCCCATGGGCCCCAGAACGCAAGCTACGCCGTGCTAGAAGGGCGCCCCAGGATGGGAGGAACATGGGACCTCTTCCGATACCCGGGGATCCGATCCGACTCTGACATCTTCACCTTTGGCTTCTCATGGAACCCGTGGAAGGGCGAGAACCCCCTCGCAGGCGGGCCCGAGATCTGCGCCTACCTCGACGAGTCGGCGTCGACGCACGGCATCGACAGGCACATCAAGTACAACCACCAGGTCGCCTCCGCGGACTGGAATTCGGCGACGTGCAGGTGGATTCTCAAGGTGACGGTCGCCGGCGGAGAAAAAGTCAAGACGATCGCGGCGCGGTTCGTGGTCCTGGGCACGGGGTACTACGACTACGAGCAACCCTTGGCCGCGGTGATCCCGGGCATCGAAAAGTTCGAGGGCAAGGTTGTCCACCCGCAATTCTGGCCCGAGGACCTGGACTACGTCAACAAGAACGTCGTCATCATCGGCAGTGGCGCGACGGCCGTGACGCTGCTGCCCAACATCGCCACGGACGCCGCGCGCGTCACGATGCTCCAGCGGAGCCCCAGCTACATCATCGGCATGCCCTCCCGTAAGGCGGGCCTGACGCGGCTCCTGCTCTCCACGTTGCCGATGAGCGTCTCGAGCCGGATCTTGCGCGTGCAGTACTTTGTGCTCTCGTATTTTCTGTATTACTACTGCCAGTGGTTCCCCGGCGCCGCACGCCGGTTCCTGCTCGGCGCCGCGCAGAAGCAGCTGCCGCCCAACATCCCGCTCGACCCGCACTTCAAGCCGCGATACAACCCCTGGGAACAACGTCTCTGCGTTTGTCCGAACGCGGATTTCTACCAGGCGCTGCGATCCGGCAAGGCGGATGTCGTGACGGACGTGATCGAGGAGGTGACTAGCTCGGGGATCGTGTTAAAATCCGGGAGAGTTCTCCGCCCTGACATCATTGTGACGGCCACGGGGCTGAAGATTAGATTCGCGGGCTCGATTTCCCTCTCGGTAGACGGCGTTCCCGTCGATCCAAACTCAAAGTTCGCCTTCAAGGGTTGCATGCTCCAGGATATGCCGAACATGGCCTACATCTTTGGGTACGCCAACGCCTCGTGGACGCTCGGCGCGGAGGCGACCAGCTCGTATCTGGTACGGTTGTGGCGCGGCATGGAGAAGAAGAAGGTCAGGTCGGTGACGCCTCTCCTTGAGGATCCGAATATGAAGCAAAACGCGATGATGCCGCTCAAGTCCACATACGTGCGGAAGGCGGGCAAGGTGTTTCCCAAGGCTGGATCGGGGCGTTGGGCGCCGAGGAAGAATTACTTGATCGACTTGTGGACGGCCATGACGACCGATGTGTTTGCTGGGTTGAAGGTCCAGTAGTTGTCAGGGCTGGCGTTGGTCACTCGACTGATTAATTCGAACAGGAAGGCTAGTTGGAGTATTTGTAACGAAAGCGTCTTTTTGGTTCGAAGTCTGAGTGCCTCACTATAGCGAGTGTTGTCTTTTCGAATTTGACGATTGGCCTCTCAATAGACCATATGCTGTAATGCTCTGGAAATCTAATGCGTCTACCCATCTATAAGCAACTCTCGCTTGATCTAGTCAACCGACTCCTAAAAGTGCTCTCCCTGTCACTTTGATCCCGCTACTCCGGTTGGCCATCAGCCCAGACAACGATATTCTTCGGCGGATCCTCCAACCCGTTGAAGAACGCAACAACATCCTTGTTGCTATACCGCATGCTAAAGTGCGTCAAAATGAACGTCGTCTTGGGCCACTTGCGCACCACCTTATCCAGATCCTTCCACTTGGTATGCTTCGTCTTCTCCGCCTGGGCGTCGTGCTCATCATATAGGAAACTGCACTCGGTAATGACTACCGGAATGCCCTGCGCCAGCCACTCAGGCTCAGCAGCCAGCGTCGAGGCTGTCGTGTCGCCTAGGAACGCAAAAACCGGCGTCGTCACCGGCGCCGTCAGCTCCACTCCCGATTGCCTCATCTCCTTCAGCTCCGGGCCGGGAAGGGAGGTGTATTCGGGCTTCAGCTTATGCGTCGTAGTTCTGAAAACGTAGCCCACGGCGGGTACATTATGGTCACACCGGAACACGAGGGCGTCCATACCCTTTAAGCGTCTCAGCGGCACGACGTCGCCGTGCTGAACTGCCGTCGTCACGTGCGTGCCCAGGAACGCCCTCTCCCCCTCCGTCCTCCCTTCCCCATCGATGCCTTTGCCGTCCACCTTGAGCCCCACAGCCTCAGCGTCACTGCTCGTGGTCAGACCGCCGCGGTTGAGGAGGGTTTTGGCGAGGCAGAAGTCGTCAAAGGCCTTCTTCATCTCGACGGGGCAGAAGATGTCTGGCGGATCTTCGCGCTTGGTGAAAGCGGGCGCGAGGAGGCAGTGATCCGAGTGTCCGTGTGTGATGAAGATGTGTTTTGGCCGCAGGTTGTTCACGACGAGTCCTGCATCGAGGAGGAGGTTGAGTTGGGGGATGACGAAGGAGGTGTGCCATGCTGCCCGAGACTTGCCGGTCAGGACGTATTGGTGGTACGGTTTGGGGAAGCGCCATTCAAGTATCTCGGACCGGCTTGACTGCGGGAGAGGAGTTGCGAATGTGGCCATAGTAGTTTAGGTGGTGAGTGGTGTCTTGACTGGGTGGGTAAGGGGAGTTGAGAAGGGCGGCGTCGGGACCGGGGCCGGGGAAATCTGGGGCCGGGGCTGGCCCGGGGAGGGCTTTTGAGGGTCCGGAAAATAAAAATATCCTAATGGGAGTTGATGCTGCACAATCTTGATCATGCGGCTAGGGCCAAGGTCTGATATCCTGGGCTGAAAGCTCTCGCAACTGCTCCTCAGGGTCGTCGAAACGCTGTGTAGCCGAGATGTCCCGTCAAGATTGATGACTCTTAAGCTTGACGATGACTTGGAAAGTGGAAGGGCGAATTGAGGCTGGTGAAGACAGGGATCCAAGTGTGGCCAAGCAGCAGGTCAGACGGCGTGGCTAATGATGGCCGACTCAACGTTGATCAGATCAAAGTCACAATCATCGAGCGCAGCGCTGGCAGAGATTTTGCTGACGTCATGTCGCTGTCCAGTTAACTCCGATACATCGGACATTGTACTAACACAACCGCCTCTACCACCGGCTTCCTGTATTTGCTGTATTGCTGCAACTGGTCACATCTTTTAATGATTCTACAGGGTGCCAATCACTATCGACAAAGAGGTTCAGACCGCGCTGCAACGTGCCTGGGTTTCATGCATCCGTCGCGTGGCTGCACGGTACATGGCATCACACCGCAGGGCGCTATAACAATGTCGATGCATAATTCGTAGGCCTGGTTATTCCGTCGTCAATGACTTCAAAAGAGACAGATATCCTGCCGTAGGGATCGGGTCTCATACAAGGTCCTATCGTCTAGCTGGCTCCTCGCACTTTCGCACCTTCGCAGCTTCGCACTTTTGGGCAAGAAACGGCCTAGTCCTATCGGTGATGATGAGTTCCAGGTTGCCTTAGGTAAAGCGTTCGACGATGACAACTCACAGCCGGGTCCTGAGTGGCCAGAATACACCGCTAGACCCGATTGGGATATTTTACCCGGCGTCTGCTGAGTGGACAGAGCAGTCAACGGTCGCCCGAACCTGTGTTCCGAGCAGGTCCCCACCTGAACAGCCGTACAAACCGACACCTCCGGTCCCGGAGAGTGGGCCTCGAAGGGTCCACCTCTGATAAGGACACCCGGAGCGCCAGAGCTTATCGTGTAGGTTTTCCCCATCCAGCCCCTCGTCTCGTCTTTCCCCCCCCACTTCCTCCTCCTCGTTTGTCCATAGGTAGGAAGTCGCAGACCAAGACCGTCTCCCCCGCGCTTGAGCTACCTAGCCTACGTACACTGGTAGAGTTCCTTGGAGTTCCTAGAGTCCCTGAAGGCAAACCGTCGGAAATTCGCAGCTAATGCACGGTGTGTGTGCGACCCTCCTTATCGGGTCAACCAGACGAGACGTTGACTACGCCTTACATTTTGCACCGCAATTCCAGATGTGTCTTATCAAGCAAGCTCCGAGAGTTCTCCACCTAAGGTAGGGTTTCCAATGATTTGACTTATCGAATCGAAACGGCTTACAGCGCCTTTGCTCATTGGTATGACGCGCCGCCTCGGTTTGGCAAGGTACGGTGCAGCTCGTCGTTCGAACGACCCCCAGAAACCCCATGGGCTTGCATTGCCTGATCCGGTTGGCCTTGGTGGGATGAGTCGCGCATCGCATGAGCACGAGAGCGCGCCTATCTGCGCGCTCCTAGTCGGAAGAAGAGGGGTGGCTCATTCTGAGTATCCCCTTAATCGATTTGGAGATACGGATATAAGCTCGAGCTTTATCTAGAGCTCGGCATTGCTCGATCGCAGCTTTTTCGATATTCCTCCACCCTCGCCATTGACCTCGCAAGATTTCTCAGTGAAGAGGAAAACCGTACACCACACGCAGAACCCTCACATCACAGACACTATGGCACCGCCGCACCCTCTAGATCCCCTCTCTTCCGCAGAGATTGAAAAGGCCATCGCCGCCGTCACCAAGGCGCACGGCGACGTCTTCTTCAACGTCGTATCCCTCCATGAACCCCGCAAGGCCGAATTGACGACATGGCTCGCTTCGCCCACGACAACAGCCCTCCCCGCCCGCATCGCCGATGTCGTCGTGATTGCAAAGGGTGGCAAGGTCTATGATGGACTCGTTGATCTCGCCTCGGGCGCCATCACCAAGTGGGAGCTCATGCACGGCGTGCAACCCATTGTCAGTCTGTCCCCGTCACACTTCTCTCGACACCAAGACTAACACCGCCACAGATCACAATGGAGGAGCTCCAAATCGTTGAACACATCTGCCGCACCGATGCCAAGGTCATTGAGCAGTGCGAGATCTCGGGCATCCCCAAATCCGACATGCACAAGGTCTACTGCGACCCCTGGACCATCGGCTACGACGAGCGCCACGGCAACACCGTCCGCCTCCAGCAGGCCCTCATGTACTACCGCCCGGACCCGGACACCTGCCAGTACCAGTACCCCCTCGACTTCTGCCCCATCTACGACGCCGACAAGCAGGCCATCATCGCCATCGACGTGCCCACGGTCCGCCGGCCCCTCAGCAAGGCCGCCCCCGTCGGCTACCACCCCGCCGCCGTTCAGAAGCAGTCCGGCGGCTACCGCACCGATCTCAAGCCCATCAACATCACCCAGCCCCAGGGCGTCTCCTTTCAGATGCAAGGTCGCCAGGTCTCTTGGCAGAACTGGAACTTCCACATCGGCTTCAACTACCGCGAGGGCATCGTCCTCAGCAACATCACCTACAACGATAAGGGCAACGTCCGCCCCATCTTCTACCGCCTCTCCCTGGCCGAGATGGTCGTCCCCTATGGCAACCCGGAGCATCCGCACCAGCGCAAGCACGCCTTCGATCTGGGCGAGTACGGCGCCGGCTACATGACCAACAGCCTGTCCCTCGGCTGCGACTGCAAGGGCGAGATCCATTATCTCGACGCCGAGTTCCCCACCCGCAACGGCGGCGTAAGGACCATCAAGAACGCCATCTGCATTCATGAAGAGGACAGCGGTATTCTCTTCAAGCACACCGACTTCCGCGACGACTCTGTGATTGTCACCCGCGGCCGCAAGCTCATCATCCAGCAAATCTTTACCGCCGCAAACTACGAATACGCCATCCAGTGGATTTTCCACGTGAGTCATCCTAACTGGCCATTACAGCAACACGTAGCTAACACCTCACCAGCAAGATGGCACAATCCAGCCCGAGATCAAACTCACCGGCATCCTCAACACCTACTCCCTCAACCCAGGCGAAGACACAAAGGGCTGGGGCACGCAAGTCTACCCAGGCGTCAACGCCCACAACCACCAGCACCTCTTCTGCCTGCGCGTCGACGCAAACGTCGACGGGCCGAAAAACACCGTCTTCGTCGCCGACGCCGTCGCCTCGGACGCCCCCGTGGGTTCCCCCGAGAACTACTACGGCAACGCCTTTTACGCGAAAAAGACCAAGCTCGACACCACGGGCAAGTCCAGGACCGATTATGACGGGTCCACGAGCCGCACGTGGGAGATTGCCAACACGGATAAGTTGCACCCTTATAGTGGCAAGCCCGCTAGTTATAAGTTGGTGAGTAGGGAGGTTCCCGGGTTGTTGCCCAAGGAGGGGTCGTTGGTGTGGAAGCGTGCTGGTTTCGCGAGGCACGCCGTACACGTCACAAAGTGTAAGTCCACCAAAAACCCCCCCTTTCCTCGTCTTGATTTCTGTCAGACTCTTGGTCGACGGCGGGCTGACCAAACCCCCCCGAACAACAGACCGCGACGACGAACTCTGGCCCGCGGGAAGACACGTCCCCCAGACCTCGGGCGAGCCCTCCTCCGGCATCCCCGAGTGGATCGGCGACGGTACAGAGTCCATCGAGCAGGAGGACATTGTCCTCTGGCACACGTTCGGCGTCACCCACATCCCCGCACCCGAGGATTTCCCTGTCATGCCCGTGGAGCCCATCACGCTGCTGCTGCGGCCGCGCAACTTCTTCGCGAGCAACCCCGTCATGGACGTGCCGCCCAGCTACTGCAGCACGCCGAGCCAGGTCGCTGCCGGCAAGGGCGCGCTGGAGGCGGCGGATGGGGTTAGTAAGCTTGCCTTTACCCAGGGGGGAGAGTCGTGCTGTGCGCCGGGGAAGAGCAAGCTGTGAAGTGGTTTGGTGGATGACAGCGGAGTTTCTATACCAACGAATTTTGGATGAAGCGGTTGGAAGGAAATTTTGGGCATGCACATAGTATAAAATAGCAATTTGCATTTGATAGCGTACGGCTGCTTCCATTATGGACTTTACGAACGAACCTTTCCACAGTGAATCCTCTAGCAGTTTGGACGAGCAGTCCACGACTTCTTCCGTTGAAACTAGGGTAGCTTGGTGGAAACGACTCAAGGGAGTAAGAGTAGCACTTTGGCTATATTGTTGGATTTTAAACATTGATACCGGTCTCCTAGGCCTCGGAAGAACATTCCCAGGTGCAGCTCCCGCAGTTTCACCGGCGGGCCGCGGCCTGATGGGCAACTCGCACTCGGTCAAAAAATAGCTTCCTCTCAGCTTCATCGAGACTAAGGTCTATCATAATATTTGCATCGACGCTGTAATCCCATTGATGTCAGTCCACACTATGTTCGAGTGAAAATCGCGACGGGGTAAAAGGAAGAAGGAAAAAAAAAACGGCTAATACGAACTTGCTTTCCTATACCGCGCGGTCGACGATAATTTTGTCCTGACGCGCCTTGGCGAGAAGTATCTCAGTACTGTCAATTCTGGCCTGGAGTTCAGCTCGCTGTGGGAGCGAGAGCTGGATTGAGTTGATGACCATGTTGTACAAGCGGACGGCTTCGCTGACGTGCTCGACATAGTCTTTCGGGGACGAGGCGAGCAGAGTATGGAGACCGGCTCGTTGGAGAGAACTCAGTCCCGGCTCCATGAGCAGCGTGACGGCTGCGGCCTCGGCTTCCTCGCGTTGACCTTGCTGCTGGCTCTGCGCCAATATCTGTTCCCATCGTCGATCCAGATCCCCTGCGAACTTTTGTTAGCTCGTTGGGGATAATGAGAGAGAGAAAGAGTTGGTGTACATCTGAGGTTGTCGGGCAAGTCGAGTCCGCCGAAGGTAGCCATACTAGTTAACTGAATGTCGTGAATCGTGATAACAGAGCACGGGGGGCAAAGATGTGTTTGGCAACGTGCAAATTGCGGTTGTGTGAGGAGACGAAAGGATGGGACCCCAGAAGAAAAAGAAGGGAAAGGGAAAGTAGAGCCCTCGACGGCTCAAGTAGTGCTGGGTAGCTCCATAAAGGGAAGAACCAAAGTAGTCGCTCTTGCCGGCTGTCAAACTCAAGGCAGGAACGCCTCGGTGTAAAATTTTAGTTCCGGGTTGGCTCAGACAGGTCGGGCCATGAATATTCCTTTGTAAAAGATGGATACCAGTGATGACATGGAAGCCTTGTATATCTCGTTTTCCCATATGCCTGCTATTAGGTGACTTGGCCTCGAAGCTAGCAAACCACGAGGAGCTGATAGTAGAGGACCTACTTCAAAGTACCCCTACGGTAATATCTGCATGGTTTCTTGCCTGCATCAAACCTCAGGTACAGACCTCTGGAAAGAGCTACATAGATCGTCATGGTTCGGACGAGTAGATCTTAGTTATCTTCCATTACCTTCGGTGAAAAGAATCGTGTCAAGTTACGAAAGACTTCCCAACAACAGACCTGGCCAGTCACCATCGAGGCTTCAAAGCTTGCACGGATCGAAGAGCCCCTATTGTCTGTGACAGGACGAACGAGGCTGTCATGAATGATGTAGAAAGACAATCTGTAGCTGACAGTGGATGAGAACCTCCTCAATTTTGCAGTATGTGAACGGATTTCTCTAGCAGATATCCCGGGATTTTACGAGCTATCTAAGGCTTCCACCTGAACGCAGGGTGCTTCCAGTCCAAGTCACTCTCCTCTTGCCTTGACAAGCCGTGCAATTCATCCTCAATGTTCCGGGCCTCTCGCTTGCGGTTATCTCGCTTCATCCAAAGCAGCGTCAGTGTCGAAATTATCAGGATCATACTGCAAGTTGCTAGGTTCAGTCCGTTGCCGATCGGGTAGTTGGGCGCATCCCACGGCAAAAATGCCCACTAGTACCAACGTTAGCATATTTTCACAGTCTTTCAAAGGAAGGGGGTTCATCTCACTGTTGAAATAAGCCCTCCGACGTTGCCAAACATGACATTGGTTCCAATCGCGGCGCTACGTGCTGTGTCTGATACGACGTTGGCGGCGACCTGGGCGTTCGTGAGAGCACCTAGGGCGAACACGGCTGATGTAATGAGGAAGGTCGCACCGTAGCGCACCGAGAGGTCCTTCGAGGCGAGGAACATGATATAGCCAATCATTGCTAGCGGCGCGGACATGATGAAGAAGATTTGTCGACGGTCGAGGCGCCAGCTGAGCAGCGGTAGTAGGAGGGTAAAGAAGGCGCCCACGACATAAGGGGGGACTGTATAGAGTTGCTGGCGCTGCACAGTGGAGGTTGGATAGATTCCCTTGACGATCGTGGGCAGGAAGAATGCCAGACCCTGAACGGTGACGTTGTTCAGGAGGAAGACAAACGAAGTCGCCAGCGTAATGGGTGCGAAGATTCCTCGGCGAAGTTTACGGGTGTCCAACTTGTCGAGAACTTGAGTCTGACCCACACGCTCAGAGCGGACGCGGGTCTCGGCGAGATCCTTTTCGGCCTCTGTGAGCCAGCGGGCTGAGGCGGGACGGTCGGTCAGGGTGATGAAACCGATGAGGGCCAAGCCAGTGGTGATGATCCCTTCTATGGCAAAGATCATGCGCCATGAATGGATGGTTCCGAAACTTTCGAGACGGAGAATAGCAGAGGCCAAGAGACCGCCAAAGGCACCAGCCAATGGTGCCATAACAATGTATAAGCTGAGGCGGAAGGCGAGTTCAGATCTTCGGTACCAACGGGACAGGTAGTAAGCTATGCCTGGCAACATTCCAGCTTCGAAGATTCCGAGGAGGAACCGGACGCCCATGAGTTGCGGAACGGTGTGAACGAAGGCGGTACCAATTGAGCAGATACCGAAGAGGAGGGTAGTTAGAGGGAGGAACCAGCCGGGTCCCATGACCTTGCAGAGGATATTGGCGGGGATTTCGAAGAGAATGTAGCTAATATAGAAGACGCTCAGAGTTCCGTTGTAGTCGTAGCCTGCCATGTGGAGGTCTTTCTCGAGGCCGGCGATGCGAGCGTTGCCTGGGAGTTTGTAAGTTGCTGTCAACACTGTGATGATACGACAAACAAACCAATGTTGGCTCGGTCGATGAAGCAGAAGAGATAAAGCAGGGCGACAGTGGGCACAATCATCAGATCGATCTTCAACCTCAGCTTTCTTTCTACGGTTGGATCGTACGCGAGAGGCTGCTCGGTGTGTCTAGCGATGAAGAGTCAGTCAAGTGTCTGGGCCTCATTACGCCCTCAGAGTCTTACTTCTCCGGGTCAACCTTGGCGTCATACGAAGACCTCTGCGCCATCTTGGCGTTGATGTCGTCGATGCTCTCGACGGTCGGCTTATCGTTGCTCATGATGGAGGGAACGCGATGCGCTGATCCGGATACCTTTCATACAAAGAAAGCCTCGATTGTAGCGGGATACTAGAGAGACAACCTGAGTCAAGAAACTTATGAGCCTGGCAGGGGATGAAGACCCTTTTCAATGTCGAGACGACTGACTCAACAAACCTTTGTCTCAAGGGGGGCGGCTGGAAATCCCGTAGGCCTGCGAGATAGATATCTCGTTAGCGACCCTTGTCTTTCCCCCTTGTCCCGGATTTTAGGTGGAGGTGTGGCACCTACCTAGCTACCCCAGACTGGTTATCCCACACACCAAACAGCGGGGTAGACATCCACCAGCGCGGACGCCTCTTTTCACATCCAATCCGAATCTGGTGCCAGCCCGGAAAGAGTACCAAGCACCACTTGCAGCACCGCGGCCCATGTTATCGGATCCATTCCTCTCCCACGTCGGGGACGATGCCAGCCAGTGAGGACGACGCTCTCTCTGATGACGTGTTGAGATGATGATTTGATCTGCTTACGACCGTTGCAGCGATGCGAGTCCCAGGGATGGCGAACAAGCACAATGGTGCAAGATTGGCGATGTGACGGGATGTTTGTTTACGCGCTGCAGCAGCACCTGCTGCTTCGAGTCGACTGCAGTAGAGACGACATTTGACCAAGAGTCTGTTGCAGCTGCGGCGATAAGCATATGTCAGAGCTACAGCTGCCCGAATAGAGCATCGCATTGCGCCAGCTTCCTCTTCCTAGACAATGGCTCTGGTCGCAAACAGCCCTTGTTCAGCCCTCCATGTTGACTAGGCTCGACTCGGCGTAACTGGGGAGGAATGCAGATCGCGCTGCATTCTCGACACGTTTCGGGAGTAGATATCGGCATTTCTCACCGGTAAAGAGAGCACGAGCTTTATTACAAACTACGCCGCTGCAGACTTTGGCTTCGGACTTGCATCTGGACGGGAGAGAGAACCCTCACCGGCACAGTTGCAGCTACCGTTCGTGCGTTGCGTGCGTGCGTTGCGTGCGTGCCTGTATGGGGCGGATGCGAACTAGCTGGCACCTTGTCAAGCACGGAGCGCCGCATGATATATCAGATGCAGTCCCTCCGCAAACCCGATTGGAAGACGACGCAAATGGTTGAGCTGGTTTCCCACGAACGCGCGCGGCTTCATCCGCTATTATATCGGCGTGCTAATCTTGGAGTCGTGGTGATGTAACTCAAAAATGCGGTCCGGCGGAGTCTAGTTGTCGTCCAGCCGTCGGTGGTTGTGAAGAGCCTTTGAAACCACGTTGCTGTCCCTACCCCTCTTGCTCTGGACGAGTCGACCCCCAACTTGAATTTCCCCAACCTTGCTTTTGGTGTGTGAGTTCTACGACCAGCTGGGCTTTGACACGTAGAGGCGTTCTGCTGGTTTCTGCTTGCAGCGAGGACCGCTCAGTCATCCGGGATATCCGCTGCTCGGGAAGTCCGCCGTCACATATTCATTTCTGAATCCTTAACGGGTCAACGGATCGTTGTGTTCGGGATGCCCGGTGGTATAAGAAGACGAAAGAATTCCTGACTTCGACGGCGTCATTTTCCGTCGGATATCACCTTCGTCGACTGTTGGAAAGCGGGTTCGGTATTCCTCACTTTGCGACTCGGCCTGGCGGGGTTGGGGCTCTACCTTACGGGAGGCATGGACGGCTTTTGTTCCCGGATGTGTGAGCCTACGAGGCAGACCGTGGGCGTTTCTTTCAGCATCTGCAATACCCCATTTCCTATAGCGAGAGCGATTCCTCTAGGGGCTATCCCAACTCAATGGTTATCGTCCCTCGCAGCTTCGGCTTGTACTGTAACTTTGGTGGCCATCGATGCCGCAAAACAATCTCTTCCACCAGGACCGACGGTTGCCTACGCACAAGTCCCAAAACATCGTCGGATGGTAGAAGCTGGTCCAAGGAAGGAAGGGGACGCAATCGAGGCCCAGAACCTGGAGAAGCCCCGGGGAAAGCTAAGCTTAACGTAGTTGGTGGCAGAACCCGTCACGCCGGGCCGTGGCGGTGACATGGTCCCACGCGAGATGGTGTAGATTGATCGCCTCGAGACATACTGAACGTGTCGAGTACCGTTAGGGCCGCTTGTTTGATCCCTGACATCCGCAACTCTGGTCGCCGTAACATTTGTGCGAGCGTTGCTGGTTTCACCCAACCACAAGCATAACCTCTTTGTCCAACGTACTGTGGTACTGTGCTTGACTCGAGGTGGCTGGTGCTGGAGGGGTGTCCTAGCCGTTGGAACTTGGAAGGAAAGTTTCAATTGAAGGTGTTCTGAGAGTTTGGAGTAGGAAAAGTTACAGCCAGGTAAGGTAAGGTAATGTCGCCGTCAAATTTCAATCGGCAGTCTGGTCTAGAATCCGCGACGGACCTGTAGAGTCCTCAGCAGCTGCCAAAAGGTAATAGAAACGACCGGAGTCTTGGTTGGGTCGGGTGGGTTGAGACTATGAGAGCAAGGGCCTGAGCTGGTAGGCATCCGTTCATGTATCCGTATCCCGCGGTCCAGTGAAGTCCCGGTATTAGGTACGTACCGGTACTCCGGTCTGATTGAGAGCCCTTGACCCACCACACCGCCTCGTTGCATGTTGTGCATGTGAACTATCTTGATGTTCTGACATAAGCAGATACGCATCCATCAAGATAACGCACCTTGGGTTCACAGCTTCCCACTGCGTGAAGGGAAGCAGCAGAGAGGGAAGTACACTGTTTGGTCCCGACAGACGAGACCTGGCAGCCCACCGCGCTCTTTTCCAAACGACAAAGCTGCCTCGCCCGATTCTCGTCCGTCGTCAAGTCAACTTCAACTTCACCCACGCGCGCGTTTCCAACAGTCAGCTTCCAACAAGTAAAAGGGTAATAGGAATGCAACCTGACAAGCACCAACCCGCGCACAAAGAGAACAATGCCAAAATCAGAAGCGCAAACTCCAACTGCTCCCCGGAATGGGGATACCCCGGTTCCCAACGTCTCCTCAAGGCTCAACGGCCAGTAGGGCCGCCATCGGGCACCCAAGTCGCTTCGCCGGTGGAGAATGACAATTAACCCAAGGCTCCAAGGGCTCCTCTACCACATCCCCACCACGGCTTTCGATTCGCGGCTCCGATAACCCACGCCTGAACGCTTTATCTACCACCATGACTGCGGCGTGCCCCGGACCGGCGGCTGGTTGGGCAATGGGTGCAAAGTGCAGACTGCGCCAAATTTGGTACCCGACGTCATCGAGCAGGGTGGCGGTCAATCCAACCCCCACAGAGACGAGCTGGACAGGGCACGTTGGCGCAACCAGCTGCGGCGCAGTGACGGCAGAGGAACTCACCAGTTTCGACCTGTGTTCTGCCGGAGACGAAGCGCAAGGCAAGGGCCGAAGCGGCAGAACGCAATGCCAGAGGCCAGACGAGACGGAAAGTCGAGACACTTGACAGCGAAGAAGAGTTTGGAAGTTTCCAACGTCGGCCCATTCCACGCCGCCCGGACGACACGCCTAGAATTAACCTCTGTCCACCCACCCGTCCGACTTGCTGGCATCCCCCATCTTCTCCATTTCCCGTCGATCCGTTCTGGCCCAACGACGGGACCGCAGTTCACGGAACATTCATACCTACATAGTAGGTAGTGGGCTCTTGGCTTTCGTACGGGGATACCGCTGTGCGCAGGCTGGCAGATCTGATCCGGAATGGAGTCCTGACTGCGCGTTTGAAGCAGGCGCCCCAGCGATGGCTGCCCAAGCGGCGACATCAGGTTCGAGAGGGAGCAAAAGCGGGTTGGGTCACTGAGGCTAAAGGGCGCGTTGGACCAGGTCTGGAATGGTCAGATGGGCTGAATGGAAAGCGAAAAGCAATGAAGCAAGCCTCGGGAAGGGCTGTATACAGGGAGTAGCCTTGTTGCCACAGCCCTCTAGTCTCCCGCCAGGATTGGACGACGGATGCGACGACCGATACGCCGCTGATGGCGCTCGTTAAGAACCGACACTCATTCTCGCCCTCCATCGCGAAATGCCATGCTGCGGGCCTGCGGCCAGTAGCCTGTCCAACGATGAAACAGGCTTTGGATCTCGAGTTCGGATGCCCATTGGCATCCTCATTGGTGTTTCTGCCATGATGCGGGAGAGCTGCGGGCCATCCGTCCGTCGCATGACTAACAGCAGCCATCTTGTCCCTACCAGGCCGTTGGACCATCCAGAGAACGCCAGACAAGCTGGGATCATCGCTCAAGCGGCATCGCCAACACCACCATCTTCCTCGCTCAGTTTGACCAGCCAAGCCAACCCTGTCCTGGCTTCCGTCCGTCGTCCAAGAAGCCTGCTTTTCCACTCCACCACAAATCTCCGTTACGTCCAGGACTAAAACTACAAAACCGCCTTATTTCTTCCCAGCCACCTTCTTTTCGTTTGTCTGCTCTTTTCCCGCAAGGACCTTTAAAACGACACAACTCACGGCTTGGACCGGTACGACAGCCTGCAACACATTTCGCAGCTACAGTGGTTCAGCAAGAACAGTCCGAGGATCGTTTTCGGGGGAGTGTTGAGTGGACGAAGGACCATCATCAGGTCTACAAAGTCACAGGCCCAGTTTCGTGAGGTCAGCTGCCAGAGTTCTGGGTGGCTTCTGGATTCACATTGCCTTCTCATAGGCCGATTACTACCCACGTCTACCACCGCACACAAACACACACAACAGAGTCTAGACCACCGAGTCCAGTCACTCGTCGAGTCCGGCTTTCCATCACATCACCCTTCTGTGTTCGTCACCAAACATCAGTCAGCCAAAGGAGGGGTGGTTATCGCCTGTCCTGTTTTCCGCTCTCTCTCACTCTCTCTGTCATCGCCACAGATACCACGCACCTTTCACCATACGGGTGCCAGTGCTACAGTGTCACCTACCAGTCTTACAACCCCTGTAAGAAGCCACTTGCACGCCACTCCAACGCAGGGCGGCGCCGCTACTCCATTACCCAATCCCAATTCCAAAATAGTCCACTGCACTCAAGGCGGGTCAACGGCCTTCACCGACACTACCTTACCGGCGCTATTGGCCTGGGTTCGCATACGTTAGGGGGCCAGCCATTCCACCGCTCACTCACTCTGCTGCTTTTCCCCTCTTTCTTCGCTCTATTCTGTCCCTCTCTCCCTTGAGGTGTCGTCATCGCTCTGGTTCTGCACTCTCGCAATACGAGTGACTTTTCTGGAGAGTCACAACCACGAACTCCTGCCATCACCCGATTATTCCACATCTTCCCGGGAACAACCCACAACCTGTGTCATCCCGGATCCCTAATTTCGCGACCACCGCCTTTTTTCAACAATACTTTGTGATACCCGAGATCGACTATTATTTCATTTCGACCACACATACGTTTTCCATCATTCGAAATGGCCGGCCGTGCTGAACGCTGGGACCGCGACCGCTTTATGCAAGAACGGGAGCGAGACCGCGGCTACCCGGATGACCGTCGCTATCCCGATGAGCGAAGCCGATTCGAAGAACGAAGCCGCTTCGAGGAACGGGATGACTACCGCCCACCACCCCGCCGGGGCAGAGATCACTCAGATGAACGCTTCGACCGCGGTCCATTTGATCGCGGACACCGAGGGGGCTACGAAGAGGATGTTGTGAGAGAACGCCGCTACGTAGAGGAAGATCGTTATGGTCCGCGTCGCGGAGAGCCTTTGGACCGGGAGTTTGACCGTCGCCTTTTCTTTGAAAAGGAGCAGCGCGAATTCCGCGAGCCATCTCCCCCACGCCGCCCGACCATGCTTCGTCGCCAGTCTTCTCTCGACACCTTCGACCGCCGTCCCCTCCGCTTTTATGAGCGTGAGGAATACCCCCCACCAGCTCGCAGAGAGGATGTTCGCCCTCGCGACGATTACCGGGCGCCTCCATACGTTCCCATTCCTCTGCCCCGCACCCGCCAACTGGGCCCCGCACCATCTCAACGGTACGACGAGATCCAAATCGCCGAGCCTGGCTACTATGGCGACGAAGAGTTCCGCGGCATGCCCGAGCGGGTAAAGGAGCGTGAGGTCGTTACTACTCGTCGACGCAGAGACCGGAGCCGAGAATCTAGGGTGTCAAGGTCAACCAAAAAGAGTTCGCACCGAAGCAGCTCCAGGTCAAGCAGCACCTCAAGCAGGACGACCAGCAGCACCACCAAGAGCGCGACGACCGTTCGCAGCGCATACCCGAAGAAGGGAAAGACTCGCATTCCGCAACGCCTAGTCTCCAAGCGTGCCCTCATCGATTTGGGCTATCCCTACATCGAAGAGGCAAGTCCAGGTTCAACCTAATGCACTGAGCTTAGACTAACTGATTGCTAGGGTAACACCGTCATCGTTCTCAAGGCTCTTGGTCAGGACAACATCGATGAACTTCTGAAGCTCAGCGAAGAGTACAAGCAGAGTAAGTAGATTCCACATGAGTTCAATTGTTCGAATGCATCTGACTGTGTGTTAGGCGAATTGGAGATTGCCGCTGCTCGATCATCGGCTGGCAAGCATGAAGAACATCACGAGGAGATCTATACTATCCCTCCACCGGTGGCTGCCCTTCCCCCGCCACCCCCGACAGTCGTCCTGGCTCCTCCTCCATCAGCGCCTGCCTCAGTGGCGCCGCCTCCTGCGCCACCGACCGTTGTTTCGGCCCATCCTCCTGCCCCTCCTTCAGTGCATTACGAGGTACCTCCCCCACCACCTCCCGCTCCGGTCCAAGAGGTTATCAATAAGACTACTATCATCCGCGACGTCTCTCCTGCTCGCAGCTCCACCTCCTACACGACTTCTACAACGGCAACACCAGTCGTATACGAGCGCCGAGAGTACAGCGAGGAAGTCCCCATCGGACCCTTGGCAGTTGCAGAGCGTCGCCGTAGCCGTTCTCGGTCTCGCAAGAATATCAGGTCCGAGATTAAGGCTCTCGAGGCCGAACTTCACGATCGCAAGCATGGAAGGAGCCGCGAGCTCGTCCGTGCTGAGCAGATGCCCGATGGTGCTGTGGTACTCTTCGAGGAGAAGGTCGAGAAGATAGAGGAGCCGCGGCGCGGAGTGAGGATCGAAAAGGACAAGAAAGGTAGGATGGCCATCAGCGTACCAAAGTACTACTAAGGTACGCTTCGTCACCGTCTCGTCAAAGCAGAGCCCACGCTAACGCGAGAGTTCCCAGGTCCTCCCCCTGGAATCATGCGCGCCATGCTGGCAACTCTCACATGAGGCCATTGGGTTCAGGGCCATGACTTGTTTTTCAGTATGAAACATGAATGTACAGAAGGCGATTTACAGACCTCGTACATTACGAGACGATTCTATGTTGCATTTATTTCGAGGATTTGGATTTCCAGGACGATTCCATCCTTCCTTATTCCCCAATAGAAAAAAAAGGATGTTGCTAGTTTTGCGATCCCTGGGAGGGATTTGCATACACGTATGGATGTGGTCCTGGTAGTGGCAACCCGGCAGTTTGACCTGTTACCATAGGCAAAGTGCAGGTTTTGGAACGTGGTCTGTCGTTTCCACTCACTTGTGGATTCCCAGTGTACTTTGTTTAGATGGCGCTATTTACGAATTTACGACTTTTAGTTTGATCCAACTTCACTCTTTGACAATGGCGACGTGAATAGTTGGTAGCCACAGCAACCTAATACGTGAATCAACACAAGCTGATTTATAGCCGCTGTGACAGCCTGGGACTCAATCTGTTTGTGACAACGTATTCACAGACCACCTATGATGAGGCCATCGAAAATCAGCAGAGATGAGGTGATCCTAGCAGGTTAGCAGGCAGGTTGACGGGTGTCTTCAGCTGGGAAATGATCATTCTAAACCAAATCTTGCAGGTTTAGCATTTTTCAGCCCTGTCGAAACGGGTCGTAATACGCCCCAGAGACGAGAGGTTGACTCCATTGATAATCTAGGGCCTCGTCGCCCAGATCATGGCTAAGTTTCTTCGGGGCCAAGAGTGAGTCAAGATCTCCATGGTATTTTAGACATACATGTATGCTGGGAATGCGGAGGGTGGCGTACCCCTGTCGATCACGTATGCTTACTTTTGAAATATCAACCCGAGCACAGCCTTAACACGTTGGACAAAGATCCTCTAGTCTTGTTGCTGATACTAACTGAAACCTAAGAAGGCCTGGTATTAGATCGCCTTCTTCATAGGGGTAAATCCTTGAAGGACGACTTGTTGCTCACTGTTGCGTAGTAGAAAGCGTCGGACATGGAAGCCGAGCAATGAACGCCTTCGAAACACGGAGTTGGTCCAAGATCCCGCTCATCATTCAGGCCCTTCTGCCGCTGCTCGCCCCGGCACTATATGCGGCCTCGATTTACATGCTTCTCGGGCGTATCATCGACTCTTTGGAAGCGGATCATCTTTCTCTGATCCTCGTTAGATGGATGACAAAGATCTTGGTCTTCGGAGATGTGTTCTCCTTTGCTTTTCAGTGCATCGGTAAGTCTTTTGAAGATTGTCATTCGGACTGAATGCCCAGGTACTTCCTGTTTACTTATCTTCTCAATAAGTGGAGGGATTCGCTTCGGTGCAAGTGACAGAGAGGGGCTAGACCGCGTCGAAGATATCATTTTTGTTGGTCTCAGCATCCAAACCCTACTCTTCGCAGCCTTCACCGTGTCTATTCTCCACAACTGCTTGGGAACGGCCATTCCACGTCACATCGCCCGAGAATTACTTACATGTATCGAGCTAGCCACATTTACATTTCAAAAGCATTTGCCCGGAGAATAACGCAAGGTTATCACTGTCACGATGGACAACGAGGCTTTGGCAGGGGCTTAGCGCCTCGCCAAGGCGCTAGAGCTTGAGGGCCTGGAGCATTCAGAGCCTGATCATGAATGGATGCTCTGCAAAGGGCCAGGAAACTAGTATGAGTGACACATTCTGTAGACAGACAAGCATGCGAAGAGCGAAGCACTGCCTCTGGGGCGAGGAATTCTACCCTTGATTTCATCAAAAGATACTTGGACTTCAAACGCATCAGGAGAAGAGGAATTAAGCTTGATTTAAGCCAGAAAAGAGGCTTAATTCTTAGTCCACAATACACTGAGGCTGACGAATGACTATGAACGAGCCATGAGGAGATTGTCAAGGGGGTTGAGACTTAAAGCCTAACAACGGCACCTCTAGTCACGAGCACAAGTCAGGACCTGTCCATATCCTGCGGCCTACATACAAGACACCCGACTTGTGACGCTAAGAGGCTGCAGTCGACTTCTACTTTCAAGGATACCACAGCGCCCGCCTTATGCGTCAAGAAACAACGATTGGGCCGTTTGGCTTTTCTTGGCGACAAGTACAAGGTCTCTCGTTGTGGCATAGCCATGTGTCGTGCCCGGTTGTGGATACTGGGCGAGGCGGGTAGAAGCTGTAAGTCGCCCGGGGCTTGTGCGGCGCAGTCTACACCAGGCGACTTCCTTCGCCCGGCCGGGATGGAATGGTACTACCTAGGCGAGACCTCAAAGCGGATGTACAGCAGGCTTCGGCATTGAGATCGCCAAGCATCGTTCAGCGGCTCCTTTTACTTAAGTCAAGACAGGACGCCAGCCAGGCTTCTTTGTGGTGCTTTTCTCATCATCCATCAATCCAACCTCCCGGTCTAAACCTTCAATTTTCTAGCTCGTTGAACATTTCATATCAGCAACGACTCAACCAAAGCAGCTGTTTGAAAATAGTTGCGTAAGTATCCCAGAGTTACACGTCATCTAACATGGGTTACATGGATGTTCAGACTATCGTCGGAATTGTGTTCACTGTGGTAGAGGCACTAGCTGTTATCGCGGGCTTCACTTTCTTCATTCTCCTTCTGCGAAAGGCGCCAAGAGGCTATCATGACCCAATTCATCGATGGGTAGACATCACCAAAGTTGCCCTTGGGCTCTGGTTATTGTATGCATTCTTATGCCGTTTGTTCGACGACGACTAATGTTGACATTCTCTTAGACCCGAACTCCTTTCGGTCATCATCAACATCGTCTCCCTCTCACACTACTACTTCGAGTATTTCTCCCCGCTATACAAGTTTATCATTTACACCACGTCTATCGTTTCCTGGATCTTAGCCGTCAGCCAGGCCTTGACTTTCCTGTCACTCTTCTACCTCGCGCGGGCTTTCGCCGTCCTACGAACCGATGAGGCGTCAAAGCGATACCGGATCGGCAAGATGGTCTCTCTCGCCGCTGTCGTCTTGATCTCACTTCTCAGCTTCACGGCAATGTGCCTGTGGCTGAGCATCAATAGGGGATCCTCTTGGGCATTGACCAGTGACGAGTATGAGAGAATGACTCTGAGGAGTTTAGTGGCTCAAATATTCGATCTTGTGTGTGCTTGCATTCACCTTGCTTGCGCCATAGGCGCCGTGACATATGTTGCACTGGTCCGCAAGAAAGCTCTTAAAGGGCGTCTGCACAAGGTTAGTACTTACTTATGTTTCCATAACCCTCAGTATTGGACGACGCTGTCAACATATGATCTTTTGAGTGCTAACACTACACCGCTAGGCTGCGAATCTTGCGCTTGCAATTACGATTGTGTGGCTGATCCGTGCAGTATGGATGCTGTTTGCCCAAATTTCCTCGCGATACGGATATTACTACTACACGTACGACACCTACACATGGTTCAACATTCCATCACTCATCCTCGGGATCTTGGGCACACTCGCAGTTTTCATCATGCTTTACTTGCTGGCCACCAAGGACGAATATGGCTTGAAAACGCGCGGAAACCTGGTGAAACAGACGGCGGTGGATGATGAAGAGGCGCTAGGCGGTCGAATCACTACTGCCAACAGAGGATTTTGAGTTTCTGATGCTAAAGGACATGGCGGAGTGTTCATAGTAGGTGGGATACTTGTCCATCCATGGTTATGCAATGCAAGGTGGCGCGACAAACATTCAATGGTTCTAATTGCGAGATGGGGGAAGAGCAAAGAAATTAGGGGTGCGTGGGAAACCAGATAATGTGTGATGATACTCAATGCTTCTGACTTATGAATACACGGCATTCTATACCTTCATTCACCCTGATTCCTGTGAATACAACCCGCATACTCCGAGTCCATCATATGTTTTATTTCTCTTCTTCGGCAACATACTCGTCGGGAGCAACAAAATCCTCTGACCCCCATGTCTTGGCAATGTACCTGGATATAGGTCAGCAAAATGCCGGGCCGGCCTGTTGAAGAGTCTTACTTGGTATGGCTGCCTCTGGCAGCCAACTCGCCCTTGTTATTGAAGAATGTGACTGTTGTGTATGCCAGTGTTCTTCCCACTATGAAGAGTCAGCTTGGGCGCTACTGCATTGCCAGGGGCTACGACGTACTCTTGTCACAGGTGGCGGTGCCCGTCATGATATCGCCAGGCTTACCTCCAGGGTTGAGGTACGTGACTATGGCGGTCAGCTGACTAGCACGACACTGGTCATAGAGTACACGATGGGGACTGGTTGGAAGAGGGTGAATGCTCACCATTGATGTCAGTCGAAACACCCGTCATAAATCGGCCCTTGGATGCGACAGCAAGAGAGCCACCAAGATCAACAAGACTAGCAAGTGTTCCGCCATGGATCGTGGAGAGGCGATTCTTTGAGAGATTATTCATCAGCAGATGGGACTCCTTACTATGAGTGAGAACGAGTGAGATTAGACGTACCGTGTGCTCCTTCTGGATGGCCAGCTCAAAGTCGACTTTGCCTACCGATGCGCCCGTCACCCGAAACTGCTAATGAGTAAGTCGAGAGACACGCTACCAATCGACTTGAAAGTTCTTTCTTACGTTGTTGCCCAGTAGTCTGAAGTTTTGTCAGTCCCCATTCGTTGGCAAATCGTAGAACTGGTGCAAGCCAACTTACCTCGGCTCAAGTCCAGAGTCCTTGGTGAAGGAGTTGAAGACCTCAGAGGCTATTAGACTCAATTGACCGTTGTTGGGTTACAAGCAGACTCACTGAGCGCACGAAGCGCAACGGTGGCAGCTTCGGAGCCATATTCTTGGCTTTCACAGTGACTGAAACGACAAGAATTGGTGAGAATGGGTTTCAAGGTGAACTCGGCGAGCTTCGGGAAGGGAGTCGCGACGGGGAATATGACGTGCGGCCGAAGACGGTAAGGTACGTATCTCAGGCTGATAACGTACTGATAACAATGATTGATAAGATAACGCATCTCAGCTGCCAGCCAGGCACCCCACGAGAGCCCCTGCCTAAGGCGGAAACCTCCGCAGACCCCTGCCTGCCCGGTTCGATGATTGAATGACGGCTGCGCCGTCCAGTTTGCCTTTGTCGCAAACTATCGTGAACTTTCCAACCCACAACAGCTCTAGCGCTTCCGCTCCTCTCCCGGCCCCGAACTCGAGCCCGAAGCCTCATGCAGCCCACCCGATCATGAGATAACATCAAATTTTATCTGCTATCCCTCCTCTACCCAAAACTCCAGCGCGCAAATCGCCCATCATGTCGGTCAGCTCGGGTCAATCGCTCCAGCTGGCCGACTACCTGGAGAAGCTCCCCGGCACGACCTTTAGGAAGCTGTACCTGCAGCCCTCTACGGCCTTTGCCATCTTCCGCAGGATGATTCCGCCGCTGGGTGAGAAGCCGTGATTCCCCTCTTCGACCGATCGTGTCGGGCATCGGTTGTTTCGTTGGAAAGAGAGCAAGGTCGCTGACCCAGAAGCCCAGCGAAAACCATTGTTATGGCCATTCTATACATGCCGCAGCCCATGCTGCTGGAGGACCTCGATGTTTGGGTCAAGCCGGACTCGAGAAGGTGCGCGCTGAAGTCTGATTAGCGAAATAACCCGAGTCTAACACATCTTGCCGCTCACTCGCAGGCAAAAAGACCAGGCCATCTCGACCCTTCGCAGCCTGCACATCCTCCAAATCACACCCCCCTCCAAAGAACGGCCACAGGAGATGCAGCTGACGACAAACTTCAAAAATTCGCTGCGCCTCGCTCTCGAAGGCGGCGGAACCCACAACTCCTTCGGCGTGCCCTCCTCCCTCCCCGTCCCGCCCGAAATCACCGTCCCGTTCCTCGACCGCTATGCCCGCCGCAAGTGGGAGGACATTCTACACTACATTGTAAACACGGTCAACCCCGGTGGCGCCGACGTCAGCGGGCCTAAGGCGTCCGTTAAGGACCTGCTCGCCGCCGGCGCGCTCGTACGTCGCGCCAACGGCGCCGTCGGCATCACCCAGGCCGGCTTCACCTTCCTCCTCCAGGAGGCCAACGCTCAGGTCTGGACCCTCCTGCTGCTCTGGCTCGAGGCGACGGAGCACGCCTCCGCCGCCACGGGCATGGAGAGCACTGACGCGCTCAGCTTCCTCTTCCTCCTAGCGAGTCTCGAGCTCGGCAGGGCCTACGACACCCAAGCCCTCACCGAACCACGGCGCAACATGCTCCCCAGCCTCCTCGACTTTGGCCTCATCTACATCCCCCAACACAAAACCCAACAATACTTCCCGACCCGCCTCGCGACGACGCTCACTAGCAGCTCCAGCGCCCTCCGCAGCGCAGGCGCAGGCTTCTCCGCCGCACTCGCCGCAGCCACTGGCCCGCGGCCCTCCAACGGCTTGACCCCCGGCGGTAGCGAGGAGAACAAGGGCGGCAGCATCATCGTCGAGACAAACTACCGCATCTACGCCTACGGCCAGACGCCCTTGCAGATTGCCGTCCTCTCGCTCTTTTGTAAGCTCAAGCTGCGCTTCTCAGACATGGTCTCGGGCCGCCTCACGCGCAACTCCATCCGCAACGCCGTCGAGCGTGGCATCACGGCTGACCAGATCATTTCGTACCTCGCCGCCCACGCTCACGAACAGATGCACCGCATGGCCGCCGTACGGAACAGGCCCGTCCTGCCACCCACCGTTGTCGATCAGATTCGGCTGTGGCAGCTCGAGACGGAACGCATGACGACCACTAGCGGCTTCTTGTTCCGCGACTTTGACAGTCCCCGGGAATATGAAGATATCGCGGGCTATGCGTCAGAGATTGGCGTCCTGACGTGGCGCAACGACAAGCTTGGCATGTTCTTTGCTAGCAAGCATGAACAAATCAGGGATTACCTCAAGTTGAGAAAGAAGGCTGAGGATTAGACGGAGGCGCTTTGGTATGGTTCCGAGAGACATAGATAGACCCGCAGAGGTCTGGAGGCGCCCGAGGTATTGCAGGGTGGCTCTATGCATTAGCAGGCGTTTTGGGATGGAGACAGTTTAGGCTGGTGTAGAAAGTAAATGGGTATTGGTCTTGACAGCTAACTTTTCGTCTCTGGTAACCTTATCTCTGATGAACGCCATGTTAAAGAACGCAAGGACAATTGATCCTTTGTACAGACAAAAACCTTCCCTCAACGACTCGAACAATATGAGTATGCTGCCCTTCCTGTAATCCTCCATTCCCAACATGCCAAACATAAAGTAAGACGCCGTAAGTCATGATGCTTCCCACAACCAGCCTCCGCTAATGATAACAATACAAACCATCACATAATACTTGCTCGCATGGCACTCGACTGCTTGCCCTTGCCAGTCTCCTTTCCTACCTGGGGGCCGCCGAAACTCCGTCTTCCGCTTCCGCTAAAGAGCCGCGCAACGAATCCCTTATCCGGGTTTGTGCCTTCAGGCAGAAGTACACTCCGTCCCATCCTCCGGGCATATGCCTCCTGCCAGGCGTGTAAGCTTTTCTGAGCCTCGGGTGTACCGCAGAGTGCTTCGAGGTGCAGGAAGACGCGCAGACTCCGATTGTCTTCGTCCGAAAGTCGCTTAGCTTCTTGGATAGCGGCAGTGCCGTAGCGATCGAGGGCTGTGGTCGTGCTCAGGGGAAGATTGCCACGGCCTTGGTAGGCAGCACGCTGTTGCGCAAGAATACTGGCCTTGGAGGCATGGGCTGTGACAAATATCGACAGTGTCTGCTCTTGGAGAGATTCGCCTTGGAAACGATCCTGTAATGACATGAAACGACCCGACCAATAAGCTGATGGCTGCGCCGTCGTAATGATGAGGGGGTTGACTTCAGGAGTAACGGGTGTAGGGGTTCTGGTAGGCATGGGAGTTGCAAGAGTCGAAGAGCTGCTGGTCTTGCGAGACGCCGTCGTCTGCAGAGAGGCCATGCGGTCACTTCCGGTGAAGCTGGCCAGAGATGTCCTGGAGAGAGAGGCTGTGAGGTTCGATAACAATGTGAAAGTGCGAGACTTGGGGAGTCGCTTCTTCTCTATTCCGCCTCGGCTTGGGGGTCTGGGGTGCAGCCGAGATTGCTGCTGAGAAATTTCGTGTATGGGGCTGCTCCCGCTGGAGCTAACAACCGTCTCTCCCGCGACTATTGTATTTTCGGACGACAGCGATTCGTGAGGCGGATCTAACGGGTGTAGTTCACTTGTGCTTGCGGTGATGGGGAAGCTGGCGACAGTTGGATTGCTGGACAAAGGTCCCCCTGTGGTGAAGCTGGCTGAGAGTCGTCGAGCTCCATTATATCTCGCCCTGTGCCGGGCTCCAGATTCTGAAGGCAGCAAGGGCTGGTTCTCTTGGGACTGGATTCCTCCGCACTGCACAAGGCCGGCTTCATCGAGAGATGAAGGGCGCGCAATGTCAGCGTTGGTGTGGGAAACCTCTCCCAACACTCGACGATTTTTGACAGCAGCCTGTCTTTCAGAACTGAGATATGGTTGGTAGCTTTGGCGACTGGATAGGACTCCTTGCTGCTGAAGAGATGGTTGGGATGATCCTTGGGATGGTCGATGGCCAGTATTGACGCCTTCGAGGGCTTCGTAACCTTTGACTGCTTGGGAACTCTTGAGATGACTGCTGTGTCGGTTCGGGCCAAGATCTGAATGATGAATTCCCAAATCTGTCTCTGAAGTCGATGGTGAGATGTCTGAACATTCCTTCTCGGTGTCGTTGATGCTGGAAACAACGGTGATTGCTTCGGCACGCTCAAGGTCCGGCCCGTTGCTGCGCTGGACGGGCCCAACTGGTCCTGAGATAGTCGGGCGCGAGGTGGTCTGCTTTGGTACTCGCGAATTGCGGCTCCGAAGCGGGAGGAACGAAGATGCAGATAGACGGTCTCGCATTTTTCCAATAGAATGACAAGTGCCGCAAGGAACAGGGTACAGTTGAGGAAAACGAGATAGGGGATTGCCCACAAGAGGACGGTGAGAGTCACTTGCCAGGCGACGATGCCGTACTTTGAAGAGGTGACAATGATGAGGGTCGATTGAGTGAATGAGTGGAAGACGAGAGTGGCCGCAAGAAAACAAGAATGAAACCAAAGAGAAAAGAGGCGGAGGTTGGCGTACGCCAATTCGATGCAGAAGAAGGAAATCGTGATGATGCAGCGGGCGGTGTGGGCAAGCAGGACCAGGCCAAGAGAACCAGACTCGGCGGGGCACATTGTCTGGAAGGTAAAGGTGACCTACACGAGTTAAATCAGACGAGAAGAGAAAATCAGCGCCAGAATAGGTACGCAGCCAGAGCGGTGTATTACAGCCGCAGCAAAGTGAGCCAAAGATGAGGTTCAGATGAAAAGGTGCTCTGATGTTGTTGAATGTTTGGAGGACGCGTCGACATCGAGTGCACGGTCGAGGACCTTGAATAGATGTCGACTCACATGCAGCTCTTGCCGAGAGAGAGAGAGTTTTGGGCATTCGCGAGAGGAAGGTTGACTTCTGGTGTCATTCCCATCCTCATCACCTTCTTCCCGACGCCCCTGCCGCGATGCCTATCCCACACCATGCAAGGGGTGCAGTCTCTACAACATCATGTTACATTTACCAGGCGTCACTTCCATTACCAAAACTTGCTCTTACTGTCAACTCTGATTGCCACTGTAAAATCCTTATAATTCTTTCTCTCGTTAACTATGCCGTATCATGATGCGTGGGGTAAGAACAAACTCCCGCGCCGGTATTGACGATGCATGAGCCTCTAGATGCAACAGCCTCTCGACGAGAGCATGATTTTTCAGCTCTCCCATCCCTCAATCTTGAACTTGAAGACCTCATCTCCTTGGCCCCTCCCAATCACGTTGCCATTGCCATCCCACAGTGCTCTCTCGCGGTATGTCACGTTGCCATCCCAGTCGACCATGATGATGGTCTGTCGCTGTGTCCCGTACAACCCCACCTCGAAGCCCACAGTGCCTTGAGCAGGAGGATCAGGTCGTTCGCCTAGTTGCAGGTCCTCAGCTGCCTTTTGGTCGTCCGTAGCCCATTGACCCGGTCCCCTGGAGACTGCCTCCTCCATGGCTTTCCGGTGGCTCTCGTCACCAAGGGCGGGCACGAAAATGGACTTCTTCAACTCCTTGATGTAGTCCGCCAGGCTCATATCGGGGTGCTTGGGAAGTGTATCGGTGTCCAGGACTTTGAACAGACGCTCGGCCAGGGCATCTTCGTCCAGGTTGTTGGAGACAGCTTCCTGAATAGCCTCCGTGACTAGACGCTTTCCGTTCTCGACCTTGGGCCACGGCTTGGGATCATCGTAAACGGTGTTACTGAGACCATAAACCTCGCCTCGCTGCTCTCCGATCCACGGTACATCCTGCAGTTCGTCGCACCGGTTGGAGATGATGGCAATACCTTCGAGCGCACGTTCAGGCTTTTCGTCGTTGCCGCGCTTTCGCTTCAATTTTCCAGCCACCATGGAGAAGCCGCCGACGCCCTTGACACCACCATTCTTGACGAGGTGATTCACCGATACTGAAGCGGGCTCTGCGGGGTCGGAACCCAACCAGGCAGTGACCATGCCGCCACGGCTGCGGGCAGCGTGGATGGGGTGTTTGGCATCCTGTTGGTCGGTCTCGCGGTAGTTGGTGAGGACTGCGAGCTGGCCAGTCTTGGTAATGCCCAGCCAGGTGCCCTTCTCCGCTCTTTGAAGGTCGCGGGCAGAGAGGACAGTAGCGCCAGAAGGGTGAGTCCACCAGTGAGGGCGGGAAGTTGGACGAAGGACAAACTCGTCCCGGTTGTCGACAACGATGAGGGCGTAATCGGGGTGGGCGGTGGTGAGGACAACGATGCACATGCTGGGCGTTCTCGTGGTTTCCTGGAGGTGCTTGTCAGGAATATCGATCACTTTCGATCTGGTTGTGTTTGAGGGCGGCTGTCTTGGTTTCAACGATTTCCTTGTGGCTTTGGTTCAAAGCTTAGTTTTTCGTGGACGTGCTCGTGTTGATATCTTCGTAGATGAGCGGTGGGCAATGAAGTCGATTTCAACCTAGAAGTTGTGCGTGAATCAAAGGCCTGACGTGTCTATGTGTGACTGGTGTTTGTGATGGTGAGGTTTCAATACTGTGCGTAACGGTGTGCCCAAAGTTCGCAACCCCCCGGGAAATGTTGGTCTTTTTATGTATTCAGAGCTTGAGTATATAATCAGTCCACTTAAGAGCAAAACGTCAAGACTTGCTCGGCTCAGCTTGGTCTTGTTGAAGATGGTGTTGCCTCGGTCTTGGAATCTCACATCGCCTGACGCTGGAGCTTGGCAGGCTGTTGGGAGTTGGCAGCGTGGCCGGTCCTGTGCGCTCCGAGTGTCGGACAGCGGTGCCGGCCGGAGGATGACAACATGCTTGGAGGGATCATTAGATCAGCTCCAGCTTGCGGGACCGAGCGGGACCTGTGCGCGTGCTGTGCTCTGCAGTGTGCTGGAACCTGCAGCAGTAATCAGACTGGAGCAGCTCGGTTCGGGTTCGGATTCTTGGCTGGGCACCAACTGAGTGCAGCTGATGGTTGCAGAAGGGTGCATGTGGGGAGCAGCATTGGTGTGGCTGGAGATTCTGTCTTGGATGTAGCATGAGGCTGGTGATGCTTCGTGGCGGTGCTAGCTGTGGGGAGATTTTTTTTCGGCTGCTGGTAGAAACCTTATGTAATGACACCCGGTACAGGCGACCTTATGTAATCAAGATTGGATATCCATACGGTATCCGTATTCCTGATTAGGAAATTGTCCCGCACTGATCAACTCAACCCCGCGACGTGCCCGCCAACCTCTGCGTCCGCATCAGAACCTCGAATCCCAGCTGCCCACCTTACCTCGCGCAACGGCTAATGCTGTGCAACACACCGCAGACACATGATGATGAAGGGAAAAGGTATCTTGGATGCTTGGGTACCTAGTTTGGTCAGACAGGCAACGGAAAGACCGCCTTATCACTGCCGTCAGCAGTCTTTGAAAGAGTTCGAAAATCCCCCCCTCCACCAGTATTCGACGATTAGCAACAAGCATCAAATGAAGCCCTTTTGGACTCGTCATCAGCTTCGTGATTGCGAAGCGTCGACTATGCCAAGTTCACGCGTCCACCTTGACTATATTGCAGTATATTTCTCAGCGGTTCTCATCCCGCCATCGCGGGAGCCTGGACCTGTCAGCAATTTCCGATTTCAGATTCAGTCGTCATCACCTGTGGATGTTACCCCAAGAAGCCAGACAATCCATTGCAAACCCGACTAAGACGGCCGGCGGTGTGGATACCATGAGTCCTTCTTTGGGTCGCTCATGGGTTGCCCTCCCGGCGATGATGCCTCTGGCAAGGATTGCAATCCTGCCTATCAATCTGGCAAGGCCTTTAGACGCGGAACTCACAACAGGTAGAGTCCGGAATTTCTCTGGCGGAGATTGAAATTTGGAAGTGAACTTTGACCATCGCAGTCACGGTTCGGTCGGAGGCGAAAGAGTTTAAAGCTTCCGCGCGTCTTGTTAGTCGCAGAACTTTTGTTGGCCGCGGCGTTATAATACCTATCCGCCATGGGAGACGCTGCGAGACTCCGAAGGCATTCGACCCGGCAAAACTTAATACCTTCCTCATTTGACATAGCGCGCCGGCTGCTGCCCGGTGCGAGCCCAGCAATCGCTGCAGTCTGACATGAATCGGCGCTTTATCACGCCGTGTCTCTGGGTAGAATGGTGTAGGCTCACCAAAAGCCTCCCAATGACAGTCCCACTGCTTACGTTTGCAAAGTTCGCCGCGAACACGACGACATGGCCTCGCAGATAGCCTTCGACTACACCAATGCATCTCTATTTTGCGTAGCCTCCGCGTCAACCTTGCACAGATTGCGCAAACCTGTTGGTCAGGGTACGGAAAAAAAAATGGGCGCCTGATGTGAGTCAGAAGGCATCGACACCGACCTGAGAGGCACAGTATGCTCATCCTTGTGGTGCGCTCGATCATTTTCAGGGTGCGAACATTTAAGCTTGTTCAACAAGTCTCTTCATAAATCGAGCCGTTACATGTTGGTTTCTCGAAGTCTTCCCTGGCTCAGTCACAATCTCCTCCCAAAGCAAATCTCACACCCACTCGAGCATTGAGTTTAAATCAACATAAGCTAGCCTCTGGTGTCAACGGACCGTGAACTCGACGCTCGCTGCTAGGCCCTGTTTGAACAATGAGCTCGAGATGTCTCAACGACGAATCCCTCGGGCCTAGCGTCCAAGGCTGCCGCGGCGATTTCGACTTCACTCTTCGGTTTGAGAGAATTTTCTTGGCCATCATTCCCGCGGCCGTTTTTGCCGCTCTTTCACTTCCCCGAATCGCCTATCTGTGCCGCAAACCGCGCATCGTCGGTGCCAAATCAATTCAAACAATTAAACTGGTGCGTAATAGTATTTGTGCGGCAAATGCCATCTGCTTGATTCGTGTCTAAAGTCTCGCTTTGCTTAGGCTATTATCACAGTCTTTGCAACACTCCAGTTCGCTATTCTCATCCTTCAGACAACGTCCAATGGCTCGCGCATCAATGGGTTGGCCGCCACGGCATCAGCTCTCAGTTTTCTCGCGGCTCTATTCATGGTTGGATTGTCGTATGCCGAGCACTCCAGAGCACCTAGACCCTCGTTGCTTTTGACCGGTTACGTCTTTCTCCAAGTCCTATTTGACCTTGCCCAAACAAGAACGTCATGGTTGATGGCCATGACTTTCTCAACCCAACTGTTTGCAAGACTATTCACGGCTTCGCTAGTCATCAAGATCGTCATCCTCTTCGTCGAGGCCCAGAGAAAGTCACGATGGATCCGCTGGACCGCCGAGGAACACAGCCCAGAGGAGACAAGCGGCCTCTTCAGCTTAGGCGTCTATTGGTGGCTCAACCGTCTTTTCCTCCACGGATATCGCAACGTTTTGAAGATTAGCGACTTGTATGCTCTTGACCGGGGTATGATAGCCGAGACGATGCAAGTCACTCTAGCTCATGAACTTGACAAGGGAAAGAATCGAGGCAGAAATCACGGGCTCGCAAGAGATTTAGCCAAGGCCCTGGCCGTCCCTCTGCTCTTGCCGGTCGCCCCTAGAGTTGCTCTTATTGGGTTCAGCTTCAGCCAACCATTCTTCATCCAAACTCTTCTCGAGTACCTTCAAGACGACAACGCGTCAAAGAACATGGGCTACGGGCTCATCGGTGCTGCTGTGTTGATCTATACAGGAATCGCCGTCTCCACGGCCCTGTATTACTACTTCCAGCAGCGGGCCTTGTACATGTCCCGGGGCTGCCTATCGGCAGTCATTTACAAGAAGACCACCGAAGCCGCACTCGTGGACACCGGAGATGCAGCAGCAGTGACACTCATGAGCACCGACACTGAGCGCATCATTCGTGGGTTTTACAGTCTCCACGAACTCTGGGCCAACGTTATTGAGGTCGCACTCGGATGCTGGCTACTACGGGGCCAGCTCGGCACAGCCTTCATCGCGCCTATCGTCGTCATCCTGGTATGCAGCGGCGTCACCGCGGCCGTGGCCAAGTTCACCGGCGAGCGTCAGTCTCGCTGGATGGCTCAGATCCAAAGGCGCGTTGGGCTCACTGCAAACGTCATCTCCAACATGAAGTACCTGCGAATCTCTGGCATCACGCAGCCTGTCGCCGAGTTCGTCCAGAATATGCGCATTGACGAGATGCGCATTGGTAATCAGTTCCGCTGGTTGATAATCATCACTGCGATTGCTGCACTGGCCCCCAATATGGTATCTCCTGCCATCACGTTCGTCTTCGCCCAATCACGCCTTGATACTACGACCATCTTCACGTCTTTCTCATTCTTGGTCCTTCTCAACAACCCCTTGGGTCAGCTTTTCCAATCTATTCCGTCCATCATTGCCGCATTCACCTGTCTTAATCGGATTCAGAAGTACCTCGAAGGAGATTCACGCGTCGACTTCCGGCAGTCCGCCCAACCTTCAGCATTTCGGGAGAGGCCGTCCGATGAGAGCCCTTTTCGAGACAACTCGGATGGTATTTCTCTGGAAACCCTCTCGGCTAGGAAAAGTCCCGAAGATGACAGCGCCAGACCTGCGATTTCCATTGTCGATGGCAGCTTTGGCTGGACGGCCGATAAGATGATTCTCCAGAACATCACTGCCTCCATTCCAGCTTCTCAGCTTACCCTCGTCGTCGGGCCTGTAGCATCAGGAAAGTCCACCCTGTGCAAGGTTCTCCTAGGTGAAGTACCATTCAACACCGGTCTGGTCTCCGTACCATCACGCAATGCTGCCATCGGATACTGCGAGCAGAACCCGTTCTTGTCAAACGGCTCCATCAAAGACAACATCGTTGGATGGTCAACCTTCAACCAAGCCAGATACGATGAGATTATCGACGCATGTATGCTTCACACGGACCTTCTCCTTCTCCCATACGGCGACGATACGAAGATTGGAAGCAACGGAATCATGCTCAGCGGTGGCCAGAAGCAGCGCGTGTCGCTAGCTCGTGCACTGTACTTGAACAGCAATCTCTTGATTTTCGACGATATCCTGAGTGGACTTGACAACGACACGGCGTCCGAAGTCTTTCGAAGGGTGTTTGGGCTCGACGGAATCATTCGGCGACGGAAATCAACAGCAGTACTGTGCACACATGCGATTAAGTATCTGCCGCTGGCAGACCACATCATCGCCCTCGGGGCCAATGGCAATCTTGTCGAGGAGGGTACTTTTGCCGACTTGATGCGGAATCAGAAGTATGTCGCTGGCCTTGGGGTGAAGGCCACAGACTCTGATACCGACTCCGACTTTGGGTCCGAAACCTCCAACAAGACTACCGCTGGCCAAGCACGGAAAGCGAAACGTGCTCCGGCCGTTGCCGACGAGATGATGGAGAAGTCGAGACAAACGGGAGACGTGAAGGTCTATGTTCACTACTTCCATAGTCTGAGCTTGACGTCAACCGTCATATTCATTCTCTTTTCCGCGTCCTATGCCTTGTGGGACAACTTTCCCACAATCTGGATGAAGTACTGGGCTGAAGATACTCTTGGCAAAAGCAGTCAGTACTACGTTGGACTATATGGCCTCTTCAAGGCGCTGCAGCTCATCTCCCTCATGGTCTCCGGTGTTGCTTTGATCATCTACATGACGACGTCCTCCGGCACTATTCTTCACCACCAAGCCCTGAAAACAGTTGTCCACGCGCCTCTTGCATTCTTTACCACCACAGACTCAGGTGTCATCACCAACCTCTTCTCCCAGGACATGACACTTATCGACAACGAGCTACCAACGGCCCTACTGAATGCTGTTATTGCCTTTTTCCAGTCGTTTGGCATGGGAGCTGTAATCGCCGTTGCATCACCCTACATGGCTATTAGTTACCCTTTCATGATTGCGTTTTGTTGGATCATCCAAAAGTTCTATCTCAGGACTTCTCGCCAACTGAGGCTCCTGGATTTGGAGTCTAAAAGTCCACTTTAGTATGTAGAAAGAAGACCAGTTGATTGGCGAATCTCTGACTGACAGCTGCTAGTACGCATTTCCTCGACACAATCAAAGGCGTCGCTACGATACGAGCCTTCGGCTGGGCACACAAAGATATCGCTCGCAACCAGCACATGCTGGATACCTCTCAACGCCCGGCGTATCTTCTCGCCATGATCCAGCAATGGCTCGTCGTAACGATGCAGCTCATGGTGGCCGGTATTGCCGTCATTCTTGTGGCACTTGCCACCCAGCTCAGGGCCAACTCAGGCTTTACTGGCGCCTCCCTCGTCACTCTCATGTCGTGGGGCGACAACCTTTCAGCACTTGTCCGGTTCTATACCCAGCTTGAGACGTCGATTGGCGCTGTTGCCCGTATAAAGACCTTTTCCGAGAAAGTAATTCCAGAAGACCTAGAGGGTGAGGATATCGAACCGCCGGAGGAGTGGCCCGAGACCGGGCGCATTGAGATCAACGGGATCTCCGCTTCATACAGGTTAGTTGAGTTCACGTCATTTGCAAACGCCGCTAATAAAGGATGAAAGCAATGAACATCAAGTATCATCGGATGGCGAAACAACACCTCCGCATCTCGCGCTGAAAGATGTCACCTTCTCCATTAAACCTGGTCAAAAGGTCGCCTTATGCGGCAGGACCGGCAGGTAAGTTACCTTTTTGCATCGGCAGACTGGCCGTGAAGCAGATGAATACTGACTGCAATCCCCTAGCGGCAAATCGTCTCTCATTCTCCTTCTCCTTCGGCTCCTGGACCCCATCTCGTCCTCCCCGAAGAACATCGAGATGGACGGCATCCCTTTCCACCGCATCAACCGCTCGATTCTCCGCCGTCGCATCATCTCCGTGCCCCAAGACGCTGTCTTCCTCCCCGATGGCAGCACCATCAAGTCGAACATCGATCCCTTCAATGCAGCCTCGGACGCCGAATGCTTCTCCGTCCTCCGCGCCGTGCAACTTGGCACCTTTGTCGAGGAGCGCGGCGGCCTTAACGAGGCTATGAGCGCCGACGGCCTCAGCGCTGGACAGAAGCAGCTCTTCAGCCTCGGGCGAGCGATCCTGCGCCGCAGGGTCAAGGATGCCAAGTTCAAGAGGCGTGGCGGCGGGATTTTGTTGTTGGACGAGGTGAGCTCCAGCGTCGACCACGCGACGGACAGGTTGATGCAGGAGATCATCAAGGAGGAGTTTGGATTGTACACGATTGTCATGGTATCGCACCGCTTGGACATGGTGATGGACTTTTTCGACGCGGTGATTGTCATGGATCAGGGCCGCGTCATTGAGACGGGGAGCCCGCGGGAGCTGGTGGAGACGGAGGGGAGCCGGTTTGGCGAGTTGTGGGCGATTGAGAACCAGGGGAGGTCGAGGGATTCATGAGCGCGCGGGTGCGGACGGGTCACGGATATGGGAGGAAACATCAACTCAGCGATAGATAAAAGCAAGTGATTTTCACCGACGAAGAAGAAGTTCCTGGACTGCAGTCTGTGAGCACGTTGAGAAGCATCTCATATCGGTGCGAGCCGGTTCTACACGGTGGGAGGCGACCTAACAGAGCAGCAGTCACCAGGGGACGATGTGGTTTAACACTGATGAGTTAACACTGATGAGGCTTAGACCGTGAGAGACGCAGCGCAAAAGATCGTGGCATTTCAGCCTCAATGCGCGTGTGCTTTGCCAGTTTCCAATCTCGGCTTAGCATCTAGGACTAGATACCAATTACCTCCCGTTCATTCTCGGTTTCGTCTGCGAGCAGTCCGCGAATCAGGGGGGAGATCTCTTGGTCATAGTAGGAATCTCATTTGTTCCGCTTGGAGGCATAGACGGCGAGATGCTTCATCGAGTGAGTAGGTAGGTGTAATATTCCAAGGTAGCCTGTGAGAGCCTACGATAAGGGAGAGCGCGTATGATACATGCTCTCTTCATGGCGATATACCAGCGACTTATCTAGTTGTGGCAAAAGAGTGGCCTAGAATATCTCTGGATGATCCTTTCACAGGTGATAGGTACCGCCTTTAAGCAGCGCCATAATATTCAAGGATATCTAAAAAGCACGCGTCTTGCGACATAGAATGAGACCTTCAATCCACGCTGCGCCCGATTTGAAGCGAACTCGGCTGACGCGCCTAAAGACTCTCTAATTAACCCCTCATCGCGCCGTGGTTCCTGGTGGCTGCGCATGTGGCAGCCCACCATTTCGCGCCACCGTCGACCGTCTTCTAGAACACTTGCAGATCTACCTCCCCGATCGGGACGGCAACCACAAAGTCGGATATTCGGTAGTGGCATTCTTGTTTGATAGTTTGAATTCTTGCTCGAGTTCAGAGGACTCCAAGTTGTGTGGTGTGCGTCGGATACCTTCCTATGTGGTCTTAGGTCTTACCTTTGGATCTTGCGTGTTTCTCAAAAAGAATTGGCTCGTCAGTCATCAGTCGGTCGCCTAGATTGGTCGATGAGCCGAGTGCGGCGGACGGAGCTTGGTGTCGACAATAAATTTCATCATTCTATCAGGCACGGATTTAAAGGAACAATCTGAGCTCTTTTTTTTTTTTTTGAAGGGGGGAGAGGGGGGTTTCTCGACAGAACTTCAGAAGCGACATGCCGTCAGCATGAGACCAAATGAGGCAATGGTGCAGGTTGTCTCGGCCTCGGATGGGCCCATAAACCCCGGGCTGCCGCTCCGGTCAAGATGGCGGAGGGGGAAAGGGAACTTGCTGATCTTCATCGGGTAGAGACATTGACCCAACCAACAGGCCCTCGGAGTGAAATATGAGCCGATGTTTTGATCACAGAATGGGACCTAAGGCGTGTGCGCCGCCCGGATGGGCGCAGCTCCCAGGCAAAGGCTCCGCGATGATGAGTTGGTGGGGGGGGGCGGAGTTGGCATACAACGGGAACGAGGGAACGAGGTGAAGCTGCAGATGTGTGTTTCTGAACATTGTTTGCTCATGCATCTGTTGGTGAACTTGGGTATATGTACGAATAGGTCGAGGATCCAGACTTGGCTCATTTCAATCGGCATGCGGGTGAAATTGTTGTTTCTTCTTTCTTGTTCTCCGACTGCTCGTGATGGAGCGCATGCGGCGGTGGCCGACGTTGCGGAGGGGGTAGGTACTAAGGTAGGGGGTAGTGCCCCTTTCCGGCACGTATCGTTGGTAGCACCCTGGCAAGTGGATCCTCGAAGATGGAAGGAAGCGTCGAACAGCTGCCTAATGGGGTTAGAACAGAGGTTGTTGGCTAATACCTGGTAGGCGAGGACACACGGGCCATCAGCTTATTGCACTTACGAGTGACGCTAACAGGCGCCTTCCCTCGTGACACCCGCCGCCGCCTCTTCGTCTACCCGTCCTCCCTCATCAATCATCCGCCTGTAATTTTCTCCCGGTACCTTACCTGAGGATCGAACTCTCGCAACGTATGCAAGCGTCCACGCGGCTATATGCGCCTTTTTCTGCAACATCGTTAAGCCATCAACGCCATCAACGCCACCATCGATGCTCCCCAGCTCTCCAACGGCATCGGCAATCCAGGTAGCGGTGGCTTCTTTCTTATTGTCAATGTCTCGATAATAGGTTTGCAGATATGAATACCAGCATATCGGACCGGTGCCTTACATAGTATGCTGCATGGGACCGCGACAGGGGGGCACATGGCCATTGCCATGTGCCCTTGACGCAACAAGTACAACCTCTTAGCCGCCTTGCCATACATGATACGTCCACTAGCCCGTCGACGCGGTGTCTGGTTCGACTACATGGGACGCACAACGGCTACAAAGCAGCTCTCGTAGAGGTCCGACCCTCTCTCTCTTCGTCTGGCGAGATGCCCCCCGCGCTGGCCCGGGCCCAGCTGCACTTCCATGAAGTTTGAACACCACCCATCCACGGCGTACGCTATTAGGACGCACCCTGGGCCCTGATACCACGTCTCGGCACGCACAACGCTTGGGTTATGGAGGATATCTCAAGGCGGTAGGTGTCCAACGGACGACGCACCCGTACTGCACGCCATTCGCACTATTGGACACCGCCTGGCCTGCATCCTCTGCGCCGTACCATCCACTGCATCCCAACGAGGAAGCTGGTCCAAGTCTTGGCGGCTCTTCGAATGAACAACACCCATCGACAGTCCAAGACCACGACTCGCCCGTCCGGACCCTTGCGAAATTACTCTCGTTGCTTGCCCCAGATAGCACGGCCCACGCATCAGGGGGCGAGCCATTCAGCCGCCGGGCGAGCACGACTGTTCTCTTTGCGCTCTCCCCCATCCTGATCCCTCGTCTTGGGGCCTTGCAGCGATGCATCCGATATTCAACGCGACTCTGCGCCTGGGCATGCAACTAAACATGCGCGCACAAGGCAGGCCCAGCTAGCTGCGTACAACCTAATAGCTCCGGCCAATGAGCGTGCCTTTGAACCCTGGACATCACGTCTTCAACAGGGGATAAGAGCAAGGTAGCTTCATCTTTCTCGTGCTACCTTTAATCCTACTCCCAGTTGCTATGCCAAGCTTCAGACAGACCGCGCTGCTACGCACGAAGACATGGGCTCATTGACATATGCCTCCCGACCTTCGCTACGCCACCAAACGGGCATCTGGTCGTCGGCGAGACGTCTACGCGAGATGAAGACTACTTAAACCACGTCGTCCCCGGGATGCCACCCTGAGATGTTTTCCTTCGGTAGCTTTGCGCTCTCTCACCCTCGTTCATACCAAGGCAAGACCCAGCACCCGGCAAGATGCGCATCTCGGCCACCGTTTCCGCCTTTGCCCTCGCCCTCCACCTTGGCGGCGTTGCGGCCCTCGGCCCTCGCCAGGAAGCCAGCGAAGAGAAGGAGGCCCCCACCTTCATCGCCAAGAGCTTCATCATCGAATACGCTCCTGTGAGTGCCCGCTGCGCGTGGCTGCTGCCCGAAGAAAGCCTTTCCCAAAGGTTGTAGTCCCCAGCTGACACTCACCATCTTTCTCAATCTAGGGTTCCAGCGCTCGCGTCCGTCGTCAAAATGTCGCGTCCACAGACGGCATCACGGTCGTCAAGGAGTTCACCAGTGATGTCTTCTCTGGTGCCAGCATCGAGACTGACACCTTCACTCTTGACACACTGCAGGAGCTCCCTGACGTTGTTAATGTCTGGGTCAACGAGCAGATCAAGCTTGCGCCGACCGAACCCAAGGCCGCTGCGCCTGAGGATGCTCCTACGTACTCGACACACAACGCCACTGGTGTAGCCAAGCTTCACGCTCAGGGCATCTTTGGTAAGGGTGTCAAGGTTGGTATTGTCGATACCGGTATCTGGTACAAGCACCCTGCTGTAAGTTGGAACGCGCCTGAGGTGAACGTCAACAGAGACTTACGGGATACTAGCTGGGTGGTGGTCTTGGCCCTGGCTTCAAGGTGGCCTATGGCTACGACTTCGTCGGTGATGGATCGTACCCTGCCAGCGGTCCCAAGGCGCCCGATGAAGATCCTCTCGACACCCGCGGCCACGGCACTCACGTTGCCGGTATCGTCGCTGGCAAGACTGACTCGTAAGATCCAACTCATAGCCAGAAGAAAAGCCTGACCTAACTTCCGTTGCAGATGGGTTGGTGTTGCACCCGAGGCTACTCTTCATGCCTACAAGGTCTTCTCCAACGCGGCGTCTACCGACACGGCTACTCTGATTGAGTCTTTCCTCGCTGCCTACAGCGATGGTGTCGATATCATCACCGCCAGTATCGGCGGCTCCAACGGCTGGTCAAACAATGCCTGGGCTGAAGTCGCTTCCCGTTTGGTCGATGAGGGCGTCGTCGTCACTATTTCCGCCGGAAACAGTGGTTCCAGTGGCCCTTTCTACGGCAGCTCTGGATCGTCTGGCAAGAACGTCATTGCTGTGGCCTCCGTTGAAACAGAGGTTTTCCCGGCCATCCCCTTTGAAGCCACCTATGGCGGCAGCGAGACCGTCCGCGTTGGATACCTTCCTTCCGGAACCTACTTCCCTAATACCATCGTCGACTGGCCTATTGTCGCCCTCAACACCGATACAAGTGCCACCGCTGATGGCTGCACGCCCTACCCGGCGGGCAGCCCGGATTTGACGGGGAAAATACCCTTGGTCCGCAGAGGAACTTGCACATTCCAGATCAAGCAGGAGAACCTCGCTGCTCTGGGCGCCGAGTACATCCTCATTTACAACAACGAATCGCCCATGACTACCCCTAGTACCGGCAACACCGATACCCAGATCGCCTTGATCACGGCTGATTCTGGTGCTGCCTTCATCAATGCCATTAAGGCCAACACCACCGTCACTGCTGACTTCTCGGTCAACCCCGAGATTCCGATTGCCCTCGAGTACCCCGCTGGAAATCGTCCCAACACCTTCACCAGCTGGGGCCTGCTGTACGACAACCAGCTGAAGCCTGACATCGCCGCTCCTGGTGGCAACATCTTTTCTACTTACCTCGACGGAACGTACTCCATCCTGTCGGGCACGAGCATGGCCTGCCCCTATGTGGCTGGTGTCGCAGCGCTTTATATCTCCGAGAAGGGCGGTCGCAGTGTCCACGGCAAGGGCTTTGCTCGTGCTCTGTCTCGCCGCATCATCTCCAGCGGTTACGCTTTGCCTTGGTCTGATGGCACCGCCACGAACTATGGCTACAGCGCACCCCCGGCTCAGGTCGGTAACGGCCAGATCGACGCCTGGAAGATCCTCAAATATGACACTCAGCTCGAGTTTGAGAAGATCCAGCTCAACGACACCCGCTACTTCAGCCGCTACCACGATGTCACCGTTACCAACAACGGCAAGTCGGAAGTCACCTACAAGTTCTCCGTTCAGCCCGGCGCTGGTGTGGACGCCCTCGCCTGGATTCCTGCCACCTCTAGCCTTCCCGGCACCAAGCGCGTCAAGACCTTTGCTCAGCTTGCCCCTAAGACGTACACTCCGGACATCAGTTTCCCCCGTGACTTTACCCTGAAGGCCGGCGAAACCAAGACCGTGTCCGTTAACTTCAATAACCCCGACAACCTCGGCTGGAACGCAACCGGCCTGCCGCTCTACGGAGGCAAGGTCGTCATCCAGGGCAGCAATGGCGAGCAAGTCTCAGTTCCCTACGCCGGCGTCGGTGCCGACCTCCGCAACACCCTCGGCGGTGTCCACGAGGCTGGCTGGCCCCAATCCGTCTCCACTGTCGACGACATTCCCATCAGCCAGAAGGCGTCCTACTCCTTCGACCTCAGTATTGAGGCTCAAGACTTCCCCAAGATCTTCCAGAAGCTTCTCTGGGGAACCCGTCAGACACGCTGGGATATCTACGAGGCCGGCTGGACTGAGCGCCAGTGGGTCTACCCTCCCGTCGAGGGCCAGAACGGCTACATTGGCTCGGCCGCCTCGTGGGTCGGCTCTGGCGAGATTCAAACCTTTGACCCCTCGCATTATGACCCCAACGAGACCTTCACCTACCCCATCACCGACATCTACCGCAATGCTGGCTCGACCTACCACGAGCACTGGTGGTTTGGCAAGCTGGGCAACGGCACGCAGATCGCGCCTGGTAACTATACCTTGCGTTTTGCTGCTCTCCGGCCGTTTGGAAACCCGACTCACGCGGACAACTGGGATGTCTACAAGACGCCTCAGATCCAGATCACTGGACAATACTAGGTGTGATGGATTGATATTAGGGCGCACAGTATACGATAAGATAATGATTTAATACAATATTAATATTCGTACCCCAGAGAAAGCTTCTTCCACCATGCACTTAGTAACCTCAGAATGTATTAAGAGCTGAGCATTGAGCCAAGGTGGCCGCCGATAGCCGGACGCCGCCCTGTTCAGGCCAACTCTCATCCGGTATCTCAATACGAATCATTGGAAGCCGGGTTTGAATTCGCTCAGTGGCCCCGCGTCAGCCTCACGCATGGCCCTAGGGCAGGCTGCATGACGCGGCTTTTCATCGAGATGCGGAAAGTGGCAAAGATTCTCGGGCTGAGACTCTTTCGTCATGCAGATTGGTCTCGCCCCCCTCGCACCAATTGTTCGTTTAATAAACAGGGATCACTGAGGAACATCGATTGCAGCCGTCAAATAGAGTGGGGGAAGGGGTGTTCTCGCGGCCCGCGCCGCAAAATTGGAGTCGATGGAGCTGAGGGCCTGGGATGGTGGGATCCAGTTGGCAGACCGAGATTCAGATAGGACGTGGTGGTCGCTTCACCAGGTATGATATGTGTTACGTGTGTGCGGGCAGCCAAGCGTGTAGAGAAACTTGATTTCAGAAGACGGGGATGGGCAGACTGAGGAGATTGGTTGGCTGGGGACTTTTGATGCTGATCTTGGCTCTTCTCTCTGAGCTACTTTACCAAATTTCTTATATCAATGAGACATATACATCATCCCCTCGTCAATTTGTAGAACTGTTTGACGGCCATGATCCGCTCCCTTTACTCCAAACCTTCTTGCGATCAATTGATCAGATTACGGTTCACCTCCAACAGTCTCCGCTGTAGTTTCCCAGTTGTGCCCTGGTAGACCACCACAACAAGATGACCATCGAAGAGCAGCCCGAGCAGTTCAACAACACCCGCAAAGCCGACTTCAAATCCATCTACAACCAGCCCGATCCCCGCGCCTACTTTGCGGCCCTAAATCCGTTACAATACCAGATCCCGCAACTGGCGCGCCCCTTTGTGGACCGCATCCTCCAGCAGCTCTCAAGCGGCTCGTCCTCGTCCCGGAATGTTGCCCGAGATGATCCAGCGGTGTCCGCCACAGGGAATAAAGTCAAAGTTCTAGATGTATGCTGCTCCTACGGCATCAACGCCGCCCTCCTCCGCTACAACGTCGATCTGGACGGCTTGGCGGAACACTACGCGTCCACGCCGAAGCTCTCTTCTCGTGAGCAAATCGAGGCTGACGAGCGATTCTTTGCGGGACGTAGACGGGGCCTGGGTGAGCAGCAGCAGCAGCAGCAGCAGCAGCAGCAGCAGCAGTTTCCGGAGAACGGGGATGTAGAGGTGGAGGTGATCGGCTTGGATGTGGCGGCCGAGGCGATAGCGTATTCCCTCCAGACGGGCCTCCACGCGGCTGGATTTGCGGAGAACCTTGAGAGCGGGGACCCGTCGCCGGAACTTTGTAGGGTGCTTCGTGATGTCAGGCTTGTGGTATGTACCGGCGGGGTGGGATACGTTGGCACCTCGACGTTTGCACGGATTGCTGCCGCCGTCGCCGCCGCCGCCTCCTCGGCAGCAGCAGCAGCTGAAGCGGCATCCCCCACGGAGTCTCCTTTGGTCCCCTTGCAGTTATGGATGGTGACGTTTGTTCTGCGCGTCTTCTCCTTTGACGAGGTTGCGGAGAGGCTGCGGAGGGAGTTTGGGCTCGTGACGGAGAAGGTGGAGGGCAGGGTGTTTCGGCAGAGGAGGTTTAGTTCCAGGGCGGAGCAGAGGGCTGCGGTGGAGGATGTGAGGAGAAGGGGGCTTGATGAGACGGGGTTGGAGGGGGATGGGTGGTTTTGGGCCGAGTGTTGGGTCACGAGGCCGGCGGGGACGGAGGTTTCGTTGGAGGAGTTGGTGGAGGGTCTTTGAGACTGCGTTTTTGTTTTGAGAAGAGCGAGTGGTGTACTGTGGTATTTGCGGTCTGCGTTAATTTTGTCGGTGAGGTTCTGTTCTGGATTGGTGGTGGATAATGGGTCCGGTTGTGGTGTCTGGGCTGGGATAATTGTTCCCGAAATAACGGATTTCTCGGATCTAGTATCCGAGAATTCTTCGACGCTACGCAACCGGAATCATCAAGTGGTAAACAAGACGGTTTGTAAAGTGTCCAGATTTTAGATTGATGTGATGGCCCGCTGGCGGTTCCGGCTCTGGTCACTCTGGTAACATAGACTCAAGAGCGTGTCTTAAAAGACTCTACCCCTGCAATGCAGAAAACTCTTCGTGAAACAAAAAGTTGCTGACCTTTTGGGTATGGTGGTCATCATGAGTGCAAAGGCCTCGGATCTTGTAGCCGACCTTTATGTGAAAAAATGTCGGCGCTTTGGGATGATGGGTTTTGATCATGACGGGCTGTTGAATGAGGGGACACTTCGTCCAGAGACATCGTATCTTTTTCTTTTCATGATTGCTGAGTTGAAAGTCGATTAGTAAACCCATCGTTTGACGTCCTGTCGAAAGCAGCGCTTGCGATTATTGGTGATTGCGCCTCGAATTTGACTTGTGATCCGCTTTCATTCTTGTCTGACGGCGTGGAGTCTCGCGACGAGTCCTGATATGTAACACAATTGTGGCAGTTGCTTGAAGCCCAGGTCCCCGGAGAAGGTACGTTATCCTAGGAGGTATGATGTCAGATCTTCTGCCGTCAAAGCTAAAGGAGTAGCATAATCAAAAAAGATAACTCAAGCTGGCTGAGCCGCTGAGGTTATATATCTTTGCCACACCTTTTGTTTCTGTTTTTGGCATTCTTTGCATTTTCGGTGCTGAAGAGTACGAGGTATTCGATGCATCTCGTCGACTTGCCGTTTAAGAGGGAAAGCAAACCCGTCTGCCGCGGTTTGAATCAAACATAGATCGACCAACCTCCAGTAGGTCCATGTACTTGACAAACGTCTAACACGTCGATGGTTGATATTGCTCGGGTTGGACTATTGCGACCTCGGAAGAAAAAAATAGACTTTGCACCAACGCCAAGCCAATGTCTGTCATACTGGGCTCAGTTTAGCAAGATTGCCTTTACGCTTACTATTAGCGCATTATAACTAACGAGAAAGATAACTCGGACCTCAAGAGAACAGGAGATATTTACTGTTTGTCTCAGCTCGTAATTTCCCTCCACGGTTAACCATGGTAGATAAGAATTCTATATGCAAATCTTTGCGGAAAAGGCCGAGGTACACCGACCGCACCGTCAACGAGTTGGTGGCCTGTTGTCAAGGGGGGCGTACACGCAAGCCCTCCAAGATCTTCATCGCTATTGGATCTATCAATGTGAATTGCTTTGACAAGATCCAAAGAACGCCTTGCCGGAGTTGTTCAGCCGTAAGAAGCCGCATAGACCGGGCTTGGAGACGGACTTTTTTTTCGAGTGGGTCGAGGCCTCCGTTGTCCAAGTCTCCCCTCCCCCTGTGCTGCTTTGGCCCTGCATTATGCGGGGAACGCCGTTGATACTAGTCTTGTTGGTGAAGCCACTGGAGACTTGTGTCCGCGGAACTCTCGGAATGCTCCTCACATTGGGCTTCTTCGGTGCATGGCAGAATGCTGACAGCCTAGAGGCGGTCCAAGCTTTTTTTTTTTTTTTTTTGCAGAATGAATGCTTGCCAGGTCGCGTGTCGCGTGCCGTTATTCCCATGGTTTGCGTCCGTCCGTCATGATTAGTTTTCAGTACCGGGAATTGGATCATCTAGAAACGGCGATGTAAAGCACCGACTCAAGGACTGAGGAAGTTATTGGGGCTTGGCCTGATAAGCACCGTCTTGCGTCTCGTGCAAGCTGTTCGTACAGCTGTCAGTAAAACTCTCCGTGACAGAATGTAGCAACCGCTAGTGACTTGACGGTGTCATCCGAAGTTGTCAGGCACGACTGCTTCAGAGCTTGTTTCTAGCCCCGTAGCAATCTTGTAGGGCGAAATTGACACGGCCGAGCTTGTGTCTCAAGATGCATAGCTCTACCAAGACTAAAAAAGCCGTGGAAAAGGTCGGATCCTATGGCGCAGTCTAAGGTATCGGATGACATCTCGAACCTGGTTTGGTTGAAGTCTATCATTGCATATCGAACGCGTGGCCACAGCGGTGTCCGATTGCATAGTATGACGATCTTGTACCGGCTGAGCAAACACAGCCGAGCTGCAAAAGTTCATGGCATGCCTAGAGGACATGCACGATGGCCAACCATGGATTTCGAGGCTAGAAGATTTCCATGGCGTAACTCACTACGTAAGCTATCGCTAGTGTACCAACCAGATGGAAGCCTGTTTACCTTCGCAGTAAGGAATGCAACAGCGTAGGGGCATGTTGGAGTGGTTTAGGACGAGGCTTTACCGGCGTCGATAATTAGCGTGGTCCATGATGGACCCTCAATGCTAGCTGTGGGTACATGCAGCTATATTGATGGTTGTGGGCGGATGATCCAAGTACAGTCAGTCTTTTGGCCAAGAGCTGGAGACATTGATACGAGCGAAACGAGGCCATGGAGCACCCGAGCTACACAATTTGGTCCTTTCATACCCAGTAGTTGTCGGTAGTGCATCCACTTTCCAGACAGGATTTAAAGTACTCGTAGGTGACTCTGGGAGGCACTAATAGAGTTGACAGGTAAGGGAACCGTTGTCAAACGATTTTAGCTCTCTCTAGTCAGGTTCAATCGCAGAGCATCGAGTTCCCGTTCCCGTTGTTGGTTGGTAGAGACTCAAAAATGACCACGATACTACGTTACAAGCATTCGTGTTCTAGGCAGCAGCCAATTCAAGTTTCACATGCTCTGGCCAGGGCCCAGGTTCCCTGCAAACATAAACACCCGGCGCTAGAAGCAAGAGCTACGGAGCTGCAGACTGACGGCGGCTTCGCGCTGTAATTCCGAACTACAGCACATACCACTGGCGCTCGATGCCGAGTCCAACTTCGATGGACAACGTGACCTGGGCAAGGGTGTTGGTTGTCGAGGAAGATCTGAGACTGGGTCACTTGAATCTCCACAGACCACGGGCAAGAGGTAAGCCCACTTCTCAGGGAGTAAAAATGGGCTGTCGGCCAGTCAGACTCTTTCAAGAGAGCCTAAGTAACGGAACAAGACTGGTCCTCGACCTCGTAGGGCTGAAAGAAGCGTTTGTCTCATCTATCGGCGTCGCCGTGTGCTTCACGCAGACTAGGCAACCGAATTCTTGATATCTTGGCTCAGTTCAGACAATTTGCCGAGTCTTCAAAACTGCCTCACCATCTACGGCCCCATATTTCATGAGGTGAAAACTTACGTTTTGTGTGTCTGATTGGTTTTGTCGTAAAAAACTAAACCTAGCGTCAAAACGCATGTTGATTTGACGAAGAGGCTGACTTTGCAGGGTCAAGCCAGGGGCACACGGCGGCCGAGGGTCGCGATCATCCGTATTCGACACCTTGGCCTTATATAGTGGGCGCCGCCCGAACGCGCCATTCTTGGCAAGTGTGTCCCCTGTCTTGGTTTCTGCGCCCGCATAACCCGATTTCCGAAAGAGCCTCACTGCTGAGTTCAGGGTTCGACGCCTGTCAGTGGCTACCTTGTTATCTCGCCAGTGAAAATCTATGCGCCCCTAGAAACGCGAAAATACACACACGCAGCCGAAGCCGACAATGTCATTGGATACCTCGATTCCGGGGACTGGAGTCTTCTCGGTTGTACCCGCACCCAAGAAGCCCAAGCGGACTAGGGCGAGCGCATCAAAGGTCAGGACCGGCTGTCTGACATGGTTTGTGACTTCACTGATGCCACAGTAGTATATTAAAGAATGGTTCAACTGACGCCGCCTTCCCCATTAATAGCAAGTAAGGCTTCCCCGTCTCTTCCTACAGCTCTCAACTCTGCCGCATCCTTCACGCAGTCAACCCTAGTTCTCCAGTAGCTGACCATGATCCCGCCGCTGTCAGAGTCCGACATGTTAAATGCGACGAGGCGAAGCCGTTTTGCAAGCCGTGTAGCAGGGACAAGCACAAGTGTGACGGGTATTCGACGGCTCTTCAAGACAAACGGCCGACTCCGACATGCTCGACTCCTCCCGCTCGGCGGCAATATTTCAACTCAGTAATGAAGCTGTCGCCTCCTGTTGATTGGGACGTCTCCGGCACGACCCTCGAGAGGCTAATGTTCCACCACGTACACCAATGTACTGTCCCGGATTTCGGAACCGCTACCCCTCTGGCCAAGTTATGGAGCAACTACATCCTACCGCTGGGCTATTACTCCGACTCGGTGAAGCACGCTATTATCGCGCTTGGTGTAGCTCACAGGGGATTTCTGGAGAATCCCTACTTTGACGAAAAGCCTTCCGAATCGGCTTTAGCGTTCAACGACCTAGCCGTGAGGCATCATCGAAAGGCCGTTTCGGAGACGATACAGATCATGGCCGACCCGTCACCCGTCAACATCCGGATCACGCTCATCTGCTGTCTAGTATTCGTATGTTATGAGATCGTGCGAGGCCAATACGACAAAGCCATTCAGCATCTAAAGGCGGGGTCCAGAGTTCTCGAGTCACTTCACCAAGCAGCAATATCCAACCAACGCGACCCCTTGTCGGTATCAACCTACGACGGACAGCTGGCGGAGACAGTACAGAAACACTTTGACCAACTATGCGATATCACAAACATGTTCACTTGCATTGGCATGGACACCTCCATGCTCATCGAGGACGAAATCGTTCCCGACCTGTCCTACTTCACACATCCAGAAGCCGACGACGAGCGCCACACACCGTTCAAGACCGTATCCGAAGCCCGGCACCGCCTGCATTTTGTTGAGCTGACATTTTCAGGGGCCTTTGACGACTGCTGGTTCTGCGGGTTCGACAACTGCTGGCACTCGGCCCCGTCGCCGTGCCAGGCGCCGGAGCCTTCGCAAGACGTACAGACCCTGCAAAAGGCAGCGTGGGATGAGGCGTCGACGCGTTTCAAGGTCTGGTGCTCCCGTTTCGATCTGCTGCAGGAGAGACTGCCGGGGAAGCTGGACCCGGCGGACCTAGACGAGCTCAAGGCACTCCGCTTCTCCCGCACGAGTTGGGAGATCTTCAATGCCCAAGACGGACCGTGTGCGATGAAGAACTCCAACATGGCTGAGCTGCACGCGCTCGTCGACATGGCTGAGGAGATTGTGGCCGGCAGGGATGGACTCCATCGGCCGAGGTTTGCGCTCGCGGCCGACATTGTGCCCTCTCTTTCGTACATTTGCGCGTTCTGCGACAATGTCGACCTCGAACGGAGGATCGTCGACGTTCTCCGAGGTATGAAGCGGAGGGAGGGCATGTGGGATAGTCGAGAGCTGGCGAATCTGTATGATCTCGTTATACAGGCCAAGACTGGCAACCAGTGGAAAGACGAGTACAACTGGGAGACTTTGCCTAGTCTTGCGAGGATGATGTCGAACATGTCATTGTCCGGTTCGGGAGATCGTGTGGGACCGCCTAGTCCTTTGACTTTGCTTTGAGAGCGCGGCAATGACGGATAGCGTGGAGTTTTGGAGGATTTGAGGGAGAATTTGGGGTTGGTGTAAAGATGGAAACGTTCCATCATGGTTGAGGGACAAGGGCTTTTGGTGGTCACAAACGTTAGCTCAGAACTACTTCAATATATTCATTGAGAGCATTGCTCCCATGAGGTTGTACAGAGCCATACGATATCAGGCTTTCGTAGCCTGGTTGGGAATCCTACGTCCGTTTGAAATGATTGACAACTAAACATTGAAATAAGAATACTATGTGAGATGAACTATACACATGAAGGGAAATAACTTTTGAGGAAAGGGATCATGGCTTCAATCCAACATTGACAACGCGTCAACCTTGGCAGCACACATGTGCAGCGCAGAAGTTGGCGTTGGTTTAAATCCGGCGCTTTGATTCGTCAAACATCATGAATCGCTTCCAGCACGACGTTTAAAGCTATCGCCGCTTGCGATTGTCGCGGGTGCTTTACGTTCAATGCCGCTGAGACAACTCCAGCTCTCGTACTCAAGAAGTGCAGCTGAGCGTTCCAAACTTGTTGGACACCGGCGTAAGATCTAGCACGAAGAAAGCGTCAGTAGATGGTCGAAACCCATCCAAAGGCAATTAAAAGATCACTTACCAAGATTGATTGAACTCTCGGAGCCGTTGCAAGTGCAGTTTAGCCAGACTCGGGTGGTGCCGAAGATCGGCCCGTTGACCGGGTCCAGGATGCGGTAGACGTAGCAGTCGTTGCAGGCATCACCAAAGTTGCCCTTGCTACTGTACTGCAAAAGGAGAGTCAGCAACAGGAAGCATGCATGCTATTAGAAGCATTTTTTTTCATACCTGGATCTTGGTGCCCGTGTACGTGAAGCAGGCGTTGAGGTCAAGAGAAGCTGAGTCAATCGTGCCCTTGCCGTCACCGGCGTTGCAGTTCGCCGTCAAAACCTCGGTTGCGGGGTCGATGTGTTCGTCCGTGCAACTCTTGCTAAAGTCCCCTGCAGCGACCAGGGGCGCTAACACGGCAACGACAACGGAGAATAACTTCATGGTGTGGGTATTGGATCTAGGTTGACGGGGATCTGGAGGCGAGTGTGTCAAGGTATTAGTGCTGCTGCAGTAAAACCTTCCTTTCCGAACCTGTCCGACTTTGAGGAGGCACTTCACTTCATTAATAGCCAGATGCGGATGTCGGAGAATGCATCGAATTTCCGGGTGTTTTTTGGTTCCATATCAAGTTTCCGGGCGACCGAGTTTCCAGCGTCGTATGCTTCGCTGCTTTTGGAATGCCGTTGCACCCGCGGAGTGAGTTCATTTGACCATGAGAACGTGACATCCAATACAGCCAATACCCAACGGGCAGGTGAAGAGCATCACTTTCCATGTTTGTGATTCTTAAACACCAATCAGGGAGGTGAAAGGCCTGGTACTGCAACGGCGGCTATCCGCACAGGCTTCGCCAGAACTTTTGTTTCTCTCAGCCAAGCGGACCCGACCAAACCCCGATGAGGATGGGGCCCGGCGGGTGGTGACAGTGCATGTCTATTTGCCGGTGATTATAGCTCAATTTCTAAGGAAGTTGCTTGCCTTCCTTCTCGAACGAATCAACGGTGAGGCACGCTCGCTAGGTAAGGTTACAATTAAGACTTTGTCACAGCGGGACATTGTGCAAGGATTCCAAAATACCTGCATGGAGTGGATCTCCGCCATCAGGTCTAGATGCAGATCCTAACATGAAGTCTCCTCATTTCGATCGTCCCGCGCGGCACTTGACGCTACCCTCATTCCCTCACAGGTTGAGTGGACGGGCAGATCTTTCCGATCACGGGTGCGTGTGAAGTCCCGAGCAGAGTCATAAGCGAGCGGTAAGGAAATGTGTACGTGTACTGAGGGTTTCGGGAAGTGGGATGGGGGACTTCAAAATCCAATGGTTGTATACCTCTCTCTATGCGTCTTGAACACCGCCAGTATTCTCCGATGTAGAGTCAAACTCTCAGCACGGGCAACTTGTAGTAGAGCTTTGTTGTATTGTGGCACCTGGTTCCTCAACAACGGCGAGAACAGACGATAAGGGAAGGTGAGTGCCAAGAGCCGGCGCTGAAACCAAGTACTCGATCGTGAAGGCCGGACGGCAAAAGATTCGGCAAGCCTGTTTGCCTCCCTTGCATCCTCGCCCCCACCCCCACCTCCCGAGGATCCGGGTGATCTTGCGACTGCCACCAAACAACCCAGGATGGCAGTTATAATGCCACAAGTCAAGGCCAAAGTCACGGGAGCTAGCGTGTCAAAGATCCCAGCCAAGAAATGATATGGCCCGCTATAAAGCATCGTGCATGTGATTAATCTTGGGCGTGTTGCTGTTTTGTGACGCATGGGGAGTTGTCAGCTTATTGAAGAATCGAGGAACTGCACCCCAAAAGCATGCGTGAGATGTGAGATCGTCAGGAAACGAAGGTCCGGGTGGAGTTTATAGGACAACCACACTGGAGAAGGCTTGATGTCACATCAATTAACTCAAGCTCCAGTGAGACAACTGTACACGTGATTTGAAATGGCTTACCTTAGATTGAAGAAATGAAATTTTCAAGTTTCAGTAGTTTCGTTTCCAAAAGATAGATGCACTAACCAGCCCACAATGATTATCTTCTGCCAAGAAGATTGACTGGGAAGGAGTCTAGCTCAGGCGAGTGGGATTCTTTCTGAACGTCAACACGGGCTACTTTTGATACAACTTTTCTTAAGGGATATTCATTGGCCACAGATGGAGGAGAAGACTACCTAGTCTGCCTTGCCATGCGCATTATCAAATCACCGCGCGTCCAAGTCTTCGAATATGGAATGTCTGAGGCTAGTTTTCATTGCTCCGAACACCCTACAGCACATTTGAGATAGACTGGAGTGAGACAGAGAGGGAGAAAAATATGCTTGACTTAAGGGATGTAAGGAGTGAAAGACGAACTTCAAAGTATACCTGACAAGTAGAATACGGAAACCCTATTGCGTAGTGTGATTGGGCTCACAAAATAGCCACGGTCTACGTAAAGGAACGAGTCTATTGTGACTACTTAGTACTGATGAATGTCCGTTCAAGACAAGAGCTCACTAAAACAGAAAATTATATCGGATTGAGGCGGTTGAGTGAGTCGATGCACGAGGAACAATTTGGCAACCGCATCGTTGCATGTAGATATGCATTGCATACGTCACGATTCCAACATTATTGTATAGAATTCTCAGTTTATTCGCGACTAACCGGACAGAGTTGATTCACTCTGGGTCCTCAAGCTCGGCCTCCCTCCTTGACTTGATATGATACATGAGTCTAGGCTCAATTTCAAGATTTGACTGAAGCATTAACGTGTAGGTCAGAGTCAGACCAAAAGACGACAGCAACAGCCAGCGAAACTTGAATAAATCTATGTTGTCCCTAGTTGAGCTTTGTGGACGGCAAGCCATGACCCTGAGCAGTATAGACCAGTCAGCGGACAGGGCGAACATCAGATCTGGCGCAACAAAGAATCACCATTTTCCAATGTTTTGATGGCAACATCATGTGCACCGGACCACTCACCAAAAGTCATCTCAAGGGCGTTCACCGCAGGTTCTCCTGCACAGAGAGATGGCATGTCCATCGTAGATACCAAGGTCATCCATGCATTGCTGAACGCACTGGAAAGAATATGTTAGTCAAGTTGGCCATTCTGGGCTTCAAGAAATTGAAACACTCACAGGAGAAAGTTGGCGCTTCTCTACTTCAACAGGGCTTGCCGCGGTGGTCAACGCCAATAAGGCGGTAAAAAAGGTGATGGCAAAGAAACGCATGGTTGTGACTTGAGTATTGACAACGTAGATAAGTAGTGTCTGAGTGGTAGGTAGGTTGTTTTTCAGTAGATGAGGCAAAGATTTGAATTGCTGGACGCTTACGTTTTATTTATACCCCATGTAAACCAATGACTTTGAAAGAGACTCCCGATAATGGTTTCCTACTTCAACTTCGATAACAGTGAGACTCACTAGTCACCTTGGCGGGCAATGGTTCAATGACAACTACCCTATAAGAAGTGCAGTTCAGGATGCAAAGGTAATGACAAAGTCCCAAAGGATCTGCCAAGCTATTCAAAGTAAGCGCGACAAGGTTCTGAGATTCCTGTACGGGAATCAATCGGCAGAAGGATGAGACCGTCATAATTCAAGTCCGATTGCCTTCCTTCCATGACTTAGGGGCTTCATATTTGTTGTGTAACCCCAGCATCCGTATCTCTTAAAAAGGACTAGCACACGATGACACGACTGGGCTGCTGTGGCACAGCAGGTTGATTCAGCGCCAGAGTGTCAGAGCCACCTGCCGTTCAGGTTGGCTTTTGCCCAGGAAAGATTGAACCTGTCTTTGGCATCTCATGTGATCGAGGGTTGCGATTGGGAGAACTCGATGCTTGAGAAGAGAGAACCCTTAGGATTCTATCTCAAAATGAATATCGCTTGGTCCTACCTTTGGCCACAGCTCAGCTGAAAGCTCAGCTGAACCCGAACGTTCTCGGGTGTCATTGGCTAGGTAGCTCGGAATCGTCTGGTTGAGGATCCGAGCATCCACAAGGATCAACATGAATTGCACCAAGGGCTTGGCGCTGTCGATATGATGCGGCGTATTTCATGACCTAAGACAAGTGTTTGCTGCATCATATCATTGACTCTTGCAGCAAGACTAAAGCCAAGAGGGCACTTGGCTGGTACACTACACGTTGGAGCTAGCCAGCCGGATATGTCATATTCTCTCCCTGGCTGTTGAAAGACCAGCACCCGCCCAGAAGCTCGCTATCAAATTGAAGTCATCATTTACCTTATCTGACATCTTTGAACTTTACCCCGCAAAGTCCCGAGAGTCGGCATCTGTGCAAACGTATCGGGACGGGCAGCGGCTGACTCGCCCAGCCCTCCAACATGAATCTTGTATGGCTTGTAGGTATTCTACCTGACGTAGGTAATTAGATAGAACAAGGTTGTGGCTTCTTTGCCGCGAGTCAAGGGAAACCAGGTCCTGAGACCGAAGAAGCGTCGTATATCGCTTATGCATGTTCCCAAGACTCGCCAACTGATCCATGGATTTGCGACTGATTGCAGACTGTGATGGACAGAGTGTGTTTGTTTCACATGATTTCTGTCAAGGCTTTCAACAGTTCAACAATAATGCTTTCTCAAACCTTGTTGGCGGAGCATGCGGGGTCTCATGTTCGGATGTGATTTGCCGTAGGCTTCTTTTCGTCGTACCGGCCCGGCGCAAAACTAACTATTCGTAGCACATAGGTTCCTGTCATCACTCACTAACCATCAGTCCTCAATTGAATGCCACGCGGGAAGAGAGTTTTAGTCGAGAGTTTAAGCCTATTCCATCAAGATTTGGTATGAACTGACACAAAAGGACCGCGCTTCCCACGAGGCAAGCCCACTCTCGAATCTGGACCGAGCTGGAAAACCAATTGACCCGTGCTCCAGCTAATCTGAAAAATGAAGGTCCCGCGGCGGCAAGATGCTGTCTCTTCTGGAACAGCGGCTGTAAACCTTGCGCAAGCCAATGGCAATTCCTCGGTTCACAATCCTCTGGCCAGCGGATAAATACCATGACTCGAAAGGACAACCTCGACGACGACCATCGTCTTGTTTTGAGTTTGGTCTCGCATCGACAACTGTATTTCTGCGTGTCTCATCCGCTTCCGCGCCTGCGGTTGCTCCGATCCACATAGCTTCTCGTTTCGCTCAATCTAGACTGCAACCGGCCGTAGTGACATTTAGTGGTCTCATAAAGAGGTGGAGCCCCAATCCTCCCAACACGCGCCGCCATGCTCTCGTAATCATGGCCTCTGAACTTTTTCATCACATTTATGATCAAGCCAGGCGGACACGAGTTGCCTCAACCTTCGCTGCTGATGACTCGCAGTCATGAAGCCGACCACACTGCGCGCTGCGGTATGGCTAGCTTGTTTTACTGCGGATGCGACTGTAGCATCGGCTTCTGTACGAGTGGCGGCGGTCCTGTCGAATGCGACCTCGTCAGGAGCAACATCGCCCGCCACCCTTGATCTGTCAACTACTGCGATGCAGCAGATGGCAGCCTCGTTATCCCCATGCGCAGTGAGTTTAGACTGATCTGATTTACTACACAAACTCACAAGTCTTTTAGCTGAACTGCACGACGACAGAGGTCGCCAAGTCATCTTGCAACGCCACCGATTTGGCGTGTATTTGCTCAAACCAAATGCTCAACGCAAACATTGGCGCTTGTTTAGCACAGAATTGCACCGTAATTGAGGCTTTGCGTATGAAATGTCTTGCTCAGCTTTTTTTTCTTTTTTTTAACCTTCTTGTTCCCTTATGGTTATCCAAACCAATGCATGATACTGACAAGAGGTCAACCACCAGAGGCACAGAATTACTCGAAAACATCTTGCGGAGTGCCCGTTCGTCGCAACATGGACCAAGGTCCCACAACTTGGACATTATTCTCTCTAGCATTGGTGGCTGTAGCTGCTCGACTCATTTCCAAAATCCCATCGCTGAACCCTTCTTTCTCCTTTGGCTGGGATGATTGGACAATCCTTGCATCTACGATTGTGCTGATACCGGCCGACATCGTATCGCAGATGGGTGTGTATTGTGTCTGTACTAGAGCAGTGAAGCACTACAGCTAATCGTATTCATAGTGATCGATAGAGGTCTAGGACAGGACATATGGATGGTGCCTCCGGACAACATTACCCAGATACTATTGGTAAGGAAGTCCAAAATTCCAAAGTCCTTTCCATTCAGTAGGCTATTGAGAGCATGAACTAAAACGAGACGAAGCTTTTTTTTGTGGAAGAGCTTCTATATTCATTCGTCGTCGCCGTTACTAAGCTGTCGATTCTCATCTTTTATCTGCGTCTGTTCGCCGACAACTGTTTCCGAAACGCTTGCTATGCTATGCTAGGGGTGACAACAGTCTATGGCCTCGGTCAGATGCTAGGTGTTGTCCTAGTATGCTCACCAGTGAGCTATAATTGGACTCAATGGGACAGGGAGCACCAAGGAAAGGTAGCCATTCAACATCCCTCGCCTAGGTTTGGTACATGCACTATTTGGCCGAGATCATACGCTGACGTGTTACACTACCTCCCAGTGCGGTGATGTCCATCTTATGGCATTCATCAACGGCGGAGTGAACATTGCTATTGATCTCATTCTATTCATTCTGCCGGTCACTCAATTGTAAGACGACGTGGAACATTTCTCGTGGACTCGGCTGAAAGTTTTGCTTATCCAGTATCACCGTCTCCTGGACGGTGAAGAAAAAGATCGGCGTGAGCCTTATATTCCTAGTGGGCTTATTGTGAGTCTATCACGATTACAGTTTATGTTAGGTGGCTGATGTTGGCGACTTGATAGTGTCACTGCCTGCAGTGGAATCCGGCTGGCTAGTTTGGTGAAGTTTGGCGGAACACAGAATCCGACCTGTAGGTGATAGTCTTATGCTTCTAGATGAGCATGGCTGACTCTATTATCCTGCTTCTAGACGACTATAAAGAAGTGTCAATTTGGTCATTGGCAGAGATGCATTTGAGTGTCATATGCGCATGTATGCCGGGAATGACCTCCTTTATTCGGCGTATATCTCCGCGGATGCAACGCTCGAAGGCCGACACACCTCAGCCACACGACAGAAACCAACCGCGGACAGGGCGGTCCGTCGCTCGCCGGTTACAAGACACGTTAGCACGCGTCACCACAGTTAGAATAATAGGCAATCAGCCAGGTTGGACGAGCTCACGATTTACCGGAAAGAGCAGCGGTATGGGGACCGAATCAACTAATACCACAAACCCAACATCAACCCTATACCGAGACTATCTGGTTTACGCACCATACGCAGAGGAGCAAGACAGGGGGACCGAATTGGATATTCTGAGAAGCAGAGAAATCGCTTAAAAGTAATTAATGATGCAGAAAACGAATCAGTTTATGAGAAGAACCGGTACTTCCACGGCAAACCTAACTCCTTGAAATCCCACCTTGCCATTGTAACAGGCCATTTGGGAATCATGATGCTACTGTCCATTATTGATGTTGCGATTTCGTAACCGGTCCAGTTGGATTTCATTTTCTGCATCATGACCTCGGACGAGACTTTAGCTGCAGCCACCCTTGAAATCCTCCGGATTCGAGATGCCCGGGGACATTTGACTTGGTCCCATTGCTTCAGCGTCTCAGGAAAATCTTCTGCGGTGAATTTTAGATGAAGGAGAATCCGAAATGCTTCATCATCTTCTAAAACTGATGTGGTGGGCTCCTTGACCTTGATACGGCAACATGAGGTCGGCCGCATCGCCAATCAAAAACGTCGAAATTATTCGTGAAGATAGTCGACGGGCCTGAATCGTGGAGTTGATAAAGCTTGACGTCAGACAAGTTTCTCACAGCATGTCAGCGCTTTTTAAGAGCATGCACAGAGACTAGGCTGGCTCAGGTGGCTTACTGTGTGAGCTTTTGAAGCCATGAAGGAAAGTCCTAGAAACTTCCAAGTTCCAACCATTCCATCAAAATCACCATATCTAGTCAAGACTCTTCGGTTTGTTGCCGGAGCATGGTGTGCGGGATAGCGCATGCGAAGTTGATGACTTCAACATTGCGACAGGGATATGCAACGGCATTTCCGTTCGACCCGTCCGCCGCGATGAACGAAGACAGAAAGACGCCATCATCATCTCGCAGCACATTGGGAATTCATTCCAGGACACTAGACATATCGGAGCGTGGAATGGCGAACGTGACTGTACAAAGGAAAGTTTGCAGGATCCGGGAGCCATCTTCAAATATGATAGCTTGATCTTGAGTGGTAATTTCTTTTGTGTAAGGATTGTCAATAATCTGGGTTGGCCCGGCAGACTCGGATCTGGACTTGTCGCCGCTCGTGGCACAGCGTCTTTAAGATCAAATCCTACCGATGGACCATTCTCCACTCTGAACCAAAGCTTTTTGCAGAGTCAATCCTTGATTTTGTGAATGAATTTCCTTCTTGGTCATGTTCCTAAAGCCGTCGAATACGATAACTCTGAGGGACACTTTAGTGAGTCCCAAGGTGGTTTACATCTTCGCCCCGTTCGGCCCCAGTCCAACAGCGGCACCGCTTTCCGCCACTGCTGGACTGTTACGCTTGGAAATCGTAACATCGTGAGTCTCTCTCAAGGCGAGTGCTGCGGCAAGTCCGGCTTTCCCACCGCTAATCATGACAACAAGAAGGGCCGTGGGTCTTGCTATATTGATGCCCAGGCAACAAAAGGCTTCCTCCAAGAGTCACAGGATTCGACTTTCACTAGCGAACAAGTACTAGCAGGCTAGGAGTTATGGAGGAGAAAGAACACCGATTTAGGTTTTCCGCTGAGAGCGTCTTGTTCTAGTTAAGACGATGAACCGTCCGAGCTTGGTCAAGACCAAAGATTCAAACGAACATTGTCTGGACTCCGTGCCTACCGTCCGGCAAGAGACATGACTCGCTTGCCACTTCTACTACTCGTTTGTCGGACTAATATGGTCGTAGCGGCCGTCGCTCTCGGACGATGGGTGGGTCCCGCGTACATCCGGCTTTCGGAAACTGAAGCCCGGAAACCTCGACTTCAGCCCATCATCTCCACCAAGAATACATGCAGCCAAGGCTAAGAATACATTGCTCGGGCAAATAGAGCCGTCAGAGCGAAGACTTTTGTATTATTTCAGTACTATTCGGCCGGATCCCGGGTTTCCTGCGGTAAACAGATTCAGCTTCCTGAATCAATTAGCCGGCTGGGATACCGGTCGAGAGACTGAACATGATGAAGCTCGGCAAGTACATGAAGACCAACATCTTCCAGCCTCTGTAGATAAGCAGCTCTACATTCCATCCCCATCGAGATCCTGAATCAAGCAAAGACTGATTGAGATGAGTGTGAGTACCAGGATATCTGATGGTACACTTGTACCCCTGGAAGGGTCATATCTCGCCGTCACAGAAGACGACAGCGCAGCTATGGTCTCGTCTCGTCTCGAGTGTAACGGGCCTCGCCAAGTTGATAATTGATATTCTCAAACCTAGGAAGCTGGTTATTCTCGGCGAAGAGTCTTTTAGAAAGCTGTTCTCACCATGAACTGTTGCCGACTCTTCATCCGCCAAAATGTTGGCTTGTGGTCCGGTAAGTTTTCCACGGACACAAGAAACTGTTCAATACGACAATTCTGATAATTTCTCAAAACGGTGTACGGCCGTTTGACTGGAGAGAAATGCGGTCCCCGAATGGTCAGGTTCCAGAGGCTTACTATATCAAGGCAGACGCCAGGATGTTGCTCGGTGCGACGCTTGTCATGACGGGATTCCAAACCTCGTCTGGTTTGGTCAAACGCGAGCAGGGCGTAAGCGGCTTCTTCACAAGCGCCATCTTGCCGCTCGATGATGCCAAAAACACGAAATTGATGCAGGGGTTTCCGGAGGAAGCTTTCAGAGCAAGGTGATGGCAGGAGTGGCATTGAGCGAAGATTGGAATAAGCCAGACAGATGGGTTAGCACATCATGATCTATCTTGTGCGATGCATTGGAATTATGCAGCACAATCGGCACAAGTACGGGAAGATCGGCGCTGTCCACCCCTGGATTCAGCTGCTCGTTGGCGTTCCCAGAAGAAAGACATTTGCTAGCATTGTCGCAGATAAGCTAGTGTGTTTTGGTATAGGCCTTCATTGGTTGGTCCCAAAAGAGCAAAAGAAAGCACAGGACGCAGCCTTTCGCCCTCTCAAGCTAGATCATTTCAGCTCAAGCTTTCGAGCTAAAGTGACAGAGCCATAGGGCCACCTAGTCGCACTGGTCGGACGGTGACCATATATGTCTAATCCGTAGCAAGATAAGGTACCTTAGGTAAAGGAAGCAGTATACTGAGACAGTGAGTCCCAATGAATGTTGCAATAGGATGCTCTAATCATTGGAGCGATTCTGACAGATTATCTATCATGGGCTGGTATATTGAATGTCAAGTGGAAGTAAGGGCAAAACAGCCCGAGAAACGGCTAGAAATGGCGAGTCATGTCACAGGAGAACAATATTGTACGCAACAACCCTTGAGAAACATTCTCCATTTGACGTCACTAGTGCCAACAGCACTATCAACTAGCCTGAATCTTACCTAGGTTTGCGCTTGCCCACACTCAGTGGACGTTCCCTTTGTTCGGGAGCTAACTCTGGGCTCCATGCCCGCGGACGCTCCACGCCTTGTCAAGTCAGACCCTCCCTCCCGCGCGTCTTTCTCCTCTGTTCTCCCGTCCCGTCAGAAAAGTCTCCATCACCATAAGAAATCACGGAGAAAAGCACATGAAGCAGATCGAGATGGCCGGAACGACGACATTACCGCCTCTGTCGAGCCTGATACAGCCTGCGATACGGGCAGTGGTGTCCAGCGAGGACAATTGGATGGGCAAGACAAGCCCTGCAGAGAGGAGGAAGATCCAGAACAGGCTCAATCAGCGGACGTGGAGTAAGCCGCGCCCACCACCTTATGCACCCTGCTTACGCCCGCCTTTGATTGCCATCGTTTGATGGAATTCTCGACCACCTCTCGTCCAGTAACATTTGCTTACTCGTCTATTTTTGCGACAGGACAGCGGAGAAAGCTTGAAAAGCAACAGCAGCGCCAGGCGGCGTCGACCCGAGAGTCTGGTACCGAAGACAGGAAACCGTCGTCCTCTTCCTCGTCCTCTTCCTCGTCGTCGTCCAGCGCATCGTTGTCGCCATCCTCCACCGCCCTGGTACCGACTTTGAAGTGCACGGCAGCAGTACCGGGCGCTTCTATAGCCAATGATGGCACGACGACCGATGTGAGCGCGACAGTAGCAGTGTCTCGGCCGGGTCTGCACAAGAAGAAGGAGGGCGAGCGGCCGTGCGCCAAGAACGCGACGCTGGCGGCCTTAATGTACATTGGGCGGCCACTGCTGATGACAGAGGTTCGAGAGGAGGACATGGACGAGCTGCACAAACTGTTCCTGCAGCGCGCGTATCAGAGCCGAGTAGGGTGCCCCGGCCCTGATCCAATGTCGGATTCGCTGCTGCCGCTCCTGCAGTTCACCCTGTTCCGCGGCCTAATGGAGAACATGAAGACGCTGGGCATCACCATGCCCATGGTCTGTGATGATGACTGCGTTTCTCCCTTCGGAACCGACCCCATGTACAATGCCACTACGACTTGGAATGTGCCATTCTTTCTGAGGCCGACAGAAACGCAGCTAACACGAGTACACCATCCCTGGCTCGACTTCTTGCCCCTACCGCGGATGCGGGACAACCTGATCAAGGCTGGAGATGACTGGGATGATGAGGAGCTGTGTCTCGACATGATCGGTGACGGAGATGCGCCATCTGGAAAAGGAGGGATGATTCTATGGGGAGAACCGTGGGACCCCAATAGCTGGGAAGTTACAGAGGACTTTGTCGAGAAGTGGCGATGGATCTTGGAAGGATGCGAGGAGATGATCAGGTCATCTAACTACTGGAGGGCAAAACGAGGCGAGAGGAGGATGCGGGTGAGAATATGAAGCTTGGCTGAACGACCAAATCGCTTCCACCTACATCCACGCCATGTTCTGATCGAGGTTTTTGATGATATGCCTGCAAGCTAGCCGTGCCGCTGGCAGTCGTTAAGCCCGATGGGATGAGACAGTCTAATCAACCCCTGAGCTATCAAGAGCCGCTTGCAAGTGTTTTGGTGAGACAGTGGCGAGGGCCGCGCAGGATTGATTCCACTCCGCCATTTGCACCACGCACTAGAGCAGTCTTCTCAATTACATTCACACATCCCCTGCAATCAAACATGTGATTCTCGGCTCGAGTCTCCTTTGGGAGATGTAGAGGTGGTCTTCAATACCATCAATACTCGTTCCCTCAACAAAAGACGCGGTCACCGATCATGGCGATTCTCAAAAACGCCATGTTGGCACACATCTTTCCATTTAGAGGACCGCAGCGGCAGCCAGGCATACTCCGAACCCTCGACGACTATGGTCTTACCCATCTCTAATCAACGATAGAGAAGCATCTCCGTGATTGAGACCTCGAACGATGGATCTGGGTGTTTTACCGGGGGACCTATAAGGATTACGCTTGGGCTTGGCTCAAGGACATCGTCAATTACGTGTGGGACGCGAGTACTATGCGTATCCATAATTTTTTTGATAAGATGAAGTGGACATTCTTGGAAGACAGGGAAGACAAAGACTGATGTGATGGTGCCTCGACGGCCAAGTTGTAGTCCCATTTCCGCTGGTGGGTGAACAGGAAGTCACCAATCGTATACCCGGCTGAAAAGCAACGTCAGGACTTCAACCCTCTAAAACCGGAAAGAACTATTTAGGAATCACTAGATATGGTGAGTACTTTATGCAAGTCGACGAGGCATCAATGTGAAGCGTTATCTACAAAGATGTGCTGCCAGCAGGTATGGCCTTCGTTTCCGCGGACACAATAACCTGGTGGACGCCAACTAGGAACCGTAAAGTCTGAAGGATTATTGTGGAGACAACATAACTGAGTACCATTTCAGCTTCCCAGCCGTCGAGGGATGCACTGAGGAGAACGTTTGCTGAGTGAGGTTGGCGGCGAGTGAAGTTGGCCCATCTATTTTTCAAAGGATCCCACGTCTGCGGTATATCGTGTAGTAATCAACGCCCGCTTGAAGTCGCGTTCTTTGTATGAGCTAGGTCATTACAGTAAAATAGGTACATCACCATCTCTGACTAAGGTAGTCAATTGTATCGCTCTATTGCTCATAGCATTCGAACTCAAATACGTCAAAGCCGGAGAATGGAGGATTGGGTATGGTCTACATATGTTATCAACAACTCCAATGTTAGTCAAATGAAATCCAAGCAATGAGTCCCTACTCAATGGAATCCTAATTATCTCTGGTTCTAACTGTTTCAAACCAGCCCTGCTGGTACATTGCCATACCAAAGCCTGACGCCTGGCTTACTGCCATACACTTGTCCATGATCCACATCTTGGTATCCTTGTCGGCAAAGGCAGACTTGAGTACGGCTATCATGGGCCAGAACATATACCACGCGTTGAAGCCGACGCCCTGTAGGGTACAAGCCGATTCCCTTCCATCGAACCCGAATACTATACGAACCTGCTCGCACACTTGTTCCACCGCTGTCAAACCGTGGGGGAGGTTGGCGAGCGTTCTCAGCTCTTCGCCCGTGGGTTCCCCGAGAGCAATAGACAAGCTCAGAATGTACTCAATGAGATGAAGCCTGATGGTGAGATAGAGCCCCTTTGCTATCGCATCGCTGGCGATCGATTTCCGGCCTAGCAAGTGATTGAACGAGTTCATTTCTTCGTCGACCGAACCATCTGGTCCGGGTTTGTTTCGGGGCGCGGGGGATAAGATTCTGTAATTCGCAGCCGATTCGAGGTCGCGTATGATGTCGATTCCCATCTGGAAGACTTTTGAAACGTGGCCGGCGGATGCCCGGTGTGCATCGGGCGAAGATAGCACTTGTTGGGCCATGAATTTATAGTCTATGGCTCGAACGAGCAGCGGTTCCACCATGCCGCCCTTTGCCCACGGGGCATTCTTCAAGCCGACCAAGACTGGCGATCGGCCTTCTTGACCAATGAATATTTCCAGCATCTAAACTTGATTAGTAACAGAAAGACAACGAAGTCGCCGGAAATGATGAGGAGACTTACCCCCAGGTGGACGACAAATGCAAGTAAGCCTTTGTCGAGTGATGTGGCAACACCATGTTCGGCTCTATACCTGAGAAGTGCGAGGGAACCTCGACAATGTGATCTTATCTTTCTTGGTGATGTATCTGGTACTATCGCCTATGGCTTCATCAGCACCACACGCCTCTGGATTTCAGTCAGAGAGATCCCGTGGTTGGGTCACTCACTTCGAAAATGCCGAGAGTGAGCAATGCAGTTACAACAGAGTCGTCCTGCGCTGTCGAGTTGTCTTTTAATGCAGTGCTAATCTTCGTAATGGCCTTGCTATAGTGCTGCCTCGCTTGAGCCATCAAGCCTGCCTGGCACATCTGTAGAGAGGAACTGGCTAGTGCGGTAGCTTTTAGAGCCTCTTGCAAGACGGGAGATGTGGCGGCAGACGACTTCATATCGGAAAAGAGGTTGAACAAAGCAATCTCGCCCCCAGAGGCATAGTTGGAGGAGAAGTGGTTCATGGAGGCGAGCTCGGAGTCGACTTGGAAGGCTTTTGGTACGGCTATCGGCCTCCTTCCCATCGTCTCTTCCTCTAACACGTCTGGCGAGGTCTCCTCATCGTCAATGTCTCCGATTGACGCCGGGGATCCAAGTCCGCCTCTTTCTTTGAGCCGTTTGGCGACGCGGGTCTGGACCTGATGAGCCGCCGAGACGTTTTGCTGGCGGTGAACAACGGCCCACGGATCCGAGTAGCCCGGACACGCCCTGCCGAGACTAATACATCGGTTACAGGAGGGCTTTCGGAGATCGCACTGGGGGCTTGCGTTAGATTTGTGTCCACTTCAGGTCCCAACATTCGGGATATGGGCGCTCTGGGAGTCTACTTTGACATTGCGCGCCTTGCAGGCGAAGCAGCTCGCTGACAGGCGATTTCCCGTCATGCCGTGATCGCCGCCCTGCTCACTATGTGGCGATGAACCTTGGTGTGATCCCGGCCCCCCACCACTCTGCGAAAGATTGAACGTTAAGCCAGGGCCTGCGGTGATCTCAATCGGACATAACTTTACGAAGCGAGGTTCGTGGGATACCTGCGACGGCTTCTTCGGGACGCGGTTTCGTTGAGCTTTTGAATGAACGCGGTGATCGGTGCGGTCGTTGGCAGAGACTGAAGAAACGCACCAAGGGGTGGCACGTCGGGCGCCTATTCAAGCTAGCTATCCCTGGCCCGAGGTACTGAACGTGCGGGGGGGGGAACAACCTCTTGACAATTTAAACTTTCAACAAAAGCTCCAACGTGCAATGAAATACGTAGAAGCTGACGAAAGCGTCAGGAAGACCGAGGTGGTGTGGCATCGAGTCATTTGTGGCATTTCATACTTGTCTGGAAGCCTCCCAGGAGTCCCAGCTGGCGCCATTGAACCTGTAAGCTTCCGCAACAGGACTGAATTGTGTTTGGTGACGTGGTCAGAGCGCCAAAATTCAAATCACCGTCTTGCGACGGACGGTCCGTGGTGGGAAATTAGGTCGCATGGATAGCATTTCATAGGCTTGTGACGTTCAAATAAGCTTTCCAACTCATGGGACTTTCCATCGTCGATGGGATTATGAGGCCTTCTCCAAGTCTCTCGCGCACAAATAGGGGTTTGGTTGGGTGGCCGCTGAAGAATACCTACCATTTGATCGCTCGTCCCGAAAGACGGGGCAGGTCGGGCAAACCTCCAAGGGCGACCCTGAAGACAAGGAAGCTGTAACATCCGCTTGCCAGAAATAGGATTTGACCCGAAACTCTCTGACTGTTCATTCCCAATTACAACATAGCCGTCGAATTTCTCGCTCAGATTTAGCAGGGTTGATCATTTACATGAAGTCTCGGGAGATGAAATAAACTCCTGGAACACGCACATCAGACATATTGGGAAGAACCACTCACTCGGCAAGCAACACAGGAGGGGAACATTTCGAGGTGACGATGATCGCATGTGAGAATACTTCAGAATAATGCCGATATAAGTGCCCATTCTTGTTTCGCGCATTCGAAGTGGCATACGGTTCAGGTACGGTGTGGGACGACCCTTGGTCCAGGTATCAGGAGGCATACAGACCATGATTATTGATGACATCTCATGTAGTTGATTCACAAGTATCATCATCAGTGCTACTGTCAGTTTCGATGCCAAGTAGAACCGTCTCGGCCGAGTGCTTGCCGATCAACTTTCCCGTTCGAGTTAACAGACCGACCACGCCTCCCCGCAACCGCTTCCTCTCATCCTGTTCGTGCTGGACATGGAACTCGACCATATCCTCCAAATCATCCTCCCATTGACGAGTCTCTCCATTATATTCCACATTCGCTAGTCCCCAGTCAACGAGAATTGCGCTGATCTCTTCGACACAATCGCCTTCCGTGATTCCCCCATTCTTCTCCGGGATAACCAGGTCTCCGTGCTCCCTTCTGAGCCCATGAAGTTCCTCCTTGCGAACCTTTCCTGCCTTTTTTCTTTCCTTTGCTTGTAGCATTTGAAACCGTGTAATTTCCATTCTCTGACAGATGCACTTCCTTGCAGGCATGTTTCGATCATTGAATGGGGTGGGTTCCTTAGTGCTGCCAGATTTTGATGTTTGCCTGGCTGTTGCGCAACATGTGGAGCGTGAGTTGAGTGTCTGTACATGGAGATTTTCTTTGAAATCTTCGAGTTCAACGGTGTGGGCCTCCCGAAGTTCGGCCAAGAGCGTGCGGTGAAGTGTTTCGAGTACGCGACGCTGGATACGATAGGCCGCTACAGCTATCTTGATGTCATAGGTGCTCATCAGTTTTTTCTCCGTCATTGGATCATTTGCCTCGGATTTGGAGAAGATTTTCTTGGGACCCATCACGGGGTTTCGCACATGCAGGCTGCTAGTCTTGCTTGATTTCATGGTCTTCGACCCAAATATGGTGAGACTAGTAGTGAACATCTGCTGGAGCAAAGTATTGAGCAGCCGTGGGGCTTCGATAAAAGAATTCTATATGGCTCATGAGCCAGATCCTGTAAGCCAAGAAGAAAAATTCCCAATGAGGGAAAACACTCCATTATCTTGTCGTCATCTTGGCAGGTTTCTCCGATGCATGTACCATATGGAGACTGCTTTACAAGTGGTTTTGAAAGAAAACGATAGGACCCAGAATGCAACGGCAGAAGCGATAAATTCGTAGTTCACAGTTGCAGAGTATTCTTGACCGCTTTGAGCAGAACCTCGGCCCAGATTTGATAACCCCCCTGGTTCAAATGAACGTGGTCTGCCAAGCACTCATCCATATCGATCATGGGCGGTTCCAAGAATTGTATCCGGTCCGGTCTTCCCTTCTCAATCTGCTTGATGAGCTCAATGTAATTCTCATTCGCTTCCGTCACCAGCTCGTCCTTGATGTCCTTCCTCCTGAATAGCCCGACGAGAAGTACCTTTCCACCCATGTCGAGTAAAGCCTCGATGATCAAGCCAAGTAAATCTAGGTCGGCCTTTCTCATGCCGTGCTTGGGATGCAGATTGTTTGTGCCCAAATGCAATACCCACAACTTGACGCCGCGATTCTGAAGTGCTTCCAGGAGACCAACGAGGGGCCTCGAGGGATCTGTTGAGCCGACGAGTCGATAGATGACATTTTCGAATTTGTCGCCGCCCACACCGGCGTTGAAAACACCCTGTAGACGCCCAGTGTTGATCGACGGGGTATGTGTCTGATATTGCGCAATGACTTCGTCGCTGATCAAGGTTGGGGATGGCCAAGGGTCAAAGCTCGGAGATAGGCCTGTCTTTATCAAGCGTTCAATCATGGAATCTCCTAGAAAAACAACGGACGGTGGCGTATGGTTGTTCTCAAGCTCTACAAGGTGCCTGGCGCGAGATGTTTCATGAGACCGCTGCTTGTATCTGCCGTAGGTAATCAGATTTTCCATTTTTGCAGACTTCGTTAGAGTACCTTAGTGCAGATCCTCGTGAGAAGTAGTAAAAGAAGGACTCGAAGAATTGTAGACTGCTGATGAGATGCGCTTAGTACAAGTCAAAGGGTTGATTCTCAAGAGCGATTCGGAGGATTTAATAGTGACTAACTAAGAGCCAAGACTGTATGATCCCCGGCGCATGTTTAAATGTGCCATGGTGGCTATGCTCGATCTTACGAGCCCGCTCAGCCCGCCGTTTGACTCACCGGCGTATGCCAGCCCTGACTTTTCGCAAACCATCAACAAACAGTTGTTAATCCGACTGAATACAGAAAATTTCAATAAGGTAATTGTTCCAGAGATGTAGCCCTAGGTTGATGTGTCCTTTTGCCTCCAATTTCCAGATGCTGCTGATCTGAGTGGTTGAGAAGACCTTGTGCTGTTGTTCGAATTGTCGAATCTGGGCTTCCTCCAAGGCGAGCGCTCACCAGCGGCGTTCTGATCGTTTTGCACGTCCGCGGGGGTCGTCCGATCTTTAAGCTTGTCGGGCAAAGCGCGAGCAATGTTGACACGTAGCCGACCGGTTCCCCAAACCTTACGGTCCAGTGCGTCCTTTGCTGCATCGGCCTCCTCAACTGTCGCGAAATCAACAAAGCAGTAGTGGTGGTTACCTCCTTTGGCCTTGGTCGACTCGTGAGGAGTGATGCGCTTGCTGATGGCCAGTCTATTTCATTGGAATTTGGTTAGCAGCGACGCGAACAGGACTATGCCGTCGTGTTGAGTGGCGGCAAAAGGGGGTGAGGGGGCTTCTCACGGTTTGTGGCCCTCGAGAATTTGCTGCATCTCATCCTGGTGTTGCGCCTGATCAACCATGGAGTCCAATCCTCCAACATAGAGCCTCCGGCCGTCGTTATCGGTCGCAGCAACCTCGTCAAAGTGCTTAATAGCGCCGTACGGTCCGTTTTCGATACCGCTGTTTCCAGCAGGGCGCGCTGGCGCTTCCCGTTGCTCACCATCGCCCTTTCGCTGCCCCGACCAGTCTCCCCATCTGTTGAAAGCAGGCTCTCTGTCGCTTTGCCATCGACTCCGGTTCTGCTTCTTGGGCTCACACGGGCCGACCTTGAGTGGTCTACCACGGAGGCGCGCCTCGAGGGAAGCTAGTGCCCGTTCGGCGTCTCCGCGGTCCGAGAAATCGACGAAGCAATATCCGGGATTCCGAGCGGTCACCGGATCCATCGATATATGAATCTGTTCGTAGCCTTCAAAGCCGTTGTCTTTGAGCATCTCCTCGATTTCGACGGGCTGGACGCTGTACAGCAGGTTGCCCAGGTAGATGCGTCGGCCCTCGGCCAGGGCTGCGGGCTGCTCCGATGACGAGGCCATGATTTCAAGCGATGAGCTAGTAAGGGGACGAAAATGTTGAGACGGAGTACTCTACAGCCTTAGGGAGCGCTGTTTGCCGACCGTGTGTAGCTGGGAAGGGATGTGAAGGGATCAAAGTTTGAGAAGTTGAGTTGGACCCTAGTGAGGGGCTTGAGCCAAATTGACAGTGGGGTAATCCGCGCTCGCTTTGCGCCTAGGGTTCATCGGCACAGAAAGCTTACAATACTTCGTCTTCCCGTCAGGCTGTGACAGACTTTTCCAATATAGACCTGGGACACCCTCATAAGTTCATTTCCTACTTCGTTTACGTACGAGCAATTTCGTTAAAGAAGCATGGTAGTAAAGCCCATGTCCAAGTTTACCGCCTCAAACACCGTCATGTCATTCATGAAGCGCCCAGTTCAGAGGATGAACACGGGCTGTCTGTTCCCAATCAACTCGCTTTTGGGCATCTGCACATCCTTCTTGTCGAAATCGTGCAACATCAGCCAGCAAATCATCCTAAATACCAGCGTGTACCAGATTTCCAAACGTTGCATCTCCACATGCTCGGTTACAATCGTTTCCCATGGCGGTAGCTCGACTACTCTGCTCGTCTGCGGAGGTTCTTGCTGATCATTCAGTAGGTCGGTCTCGATCCGATGAGGCCACGTCTTGACCCTGCTGATGCCGGGCGTGGGTGTCGAGTCGTCAACAGCCTTTGTAGGGGACTCTCCAGTGCTGATCCCAGGTGTCGGTAAGGGAATTGCATTGCCAGCTCGGGGCGACCCATTCCCCAGGCGTGATCTCCGTTTCTCCGTGTCATCGTGAATGGTTCTCGAGACGAACTCGTCGTCTCGTTTGCTCTTCTTGGCGGAGTTGGTGGGCACGACACGCCAAAGGATGCGCTCAAAGTACGTCTCCATGAACCTTTGCTCTCTCATCTCCAAGGGAATCCCGAGTAGGTCTCGGAACGAAACTTGTTCTTTCCCTTTCTTCTCCGGGCTGTTGATGGCTGCCAACACTTCTTGGAGGTGACGGCGTAACACGTCGAGCACAACCTCCTGGTCTCGTTTCTTGAGAGTCGTGTCTGCCAACTCGATGGCCTTGTGCAACAGAGTCATTCTTTCACCCGTGAGGGGCGGATTCTCATCAAACACATTACTCAAGCCCTCCGCCGAGTCCGAAATAGCCCTGATATCTTCGACGGCAGATTCGACCCTCTCGTCGGTAACGGTTTCGGCTTCTTCTTCGATAACAGTGAGATCATGCATTACCTGCCCGCTAAAGGCAATAAGCAGGCGCTGGAGTGATAGCGATTCTCTGTCCCAGGAGAAGATGGTCGGGTTAGGCAGAAACCGAAAACATCTCCCTTTGATGTGCAAAACTCGTGCGAGCATGCCAATGACTTCGAAAGTGACTATATGCGGGATTAGTCACGTTTGTTTTCATCGAGGCTGGGCCGATGCGTACCTGAAAAAAGATGTCGATCTTGCTTTCCTTCCTTGTAGTAGAGCGTGGTTTTACCGTTGCACCCTATCTGGGTCAAAGTCTCCGCAATGGAATCGGGGGTGCTCAGTTGAAGTATTTCAATCTTGGTGCCAGTTCCCGAAGACGTCGTAAACTCTTGTTGCCACTCCAGATCTTCGTCTGGGTCCTTCTTATCCCGATAAAAGGTCGGCACTCGCCCAAAACAGAGCTCCTTCACTTCGGATGTCGGTATCACGCGTCGATCCTCGAACACAGTGGGACCAGTTTTCTCAAAGACAAAGACAATCCCCAAGTCGGGCACACGAGAACCTGTTAGACTGTAACCGTTGCCTTCAGCGCGGTACTTGTTATCGTCTCGGTCAAAGACTCTCCAGTAAAGTCCAAGTATTGCTGCCAGCTCAATCAGATGGGAAATTGTAGAGGTTGCGTATGGTTTCTTGATGGTAGGGTTGGCATCGAAACTTCTCTCCTTTGCTTGTACTTTGACAGCCAATGTCGGCCCAGGCAGGTCCGGGGTGAAGGAACGCGGCAACCCTTCCCCTTTAAGCTTTATCATTTCCCATTCCTTGGACTCCTTTTCCATTCTTTCAATAGCGATCAGAAGATAGACCCATGTTGCGAGCTCGTTATTGACTGTGTGGACTTTTTCAATTGGCTTGGACTTTTTTTCGGCGTCGGTGTCGTTGATGTTTCCAGAGTCTTTGAAAATCTTGGCATATTCAAGTCGGTTTCTGGTACAGCTCTCCTCGGTGCCCTCTACTGACCATATGTCTCCCTTTTCAGGTTTGTTCTTGTTGTTGGGAGGCGCTAGAAATATGATTGGCGCCTCAAAACTGACCTCAAGACGTAGCTCTTTCAGCTTTGGCCTTTTTGTCGTGCCCTTTGCCCACCCTCCCATGACGATCTCAGTGCAATTTGGAAGCCCTCGAGCAGACGCGAAGATGGCCTGCATTATCTGCAGAGTAGCCGCAAACAGAGCGACTACTGAGACAACGAGAGCAACAATTGCAACTACTGTGTCGCTGTCACCGCCAGCATTGCCGTTGCCGTTGCCGTTGCCGTTGCCATTGTCGCCTGGGCTACTATTACTGGCATTGTTGTCGGCCATCCTGACAGACGCGCGACATACGAGACACCACGCGATGGTGACAAACGTGATCCTGCCAAGGTCCGAGGCCTTTGCCAAGAATTGTATCCCAAAGACCTGGGGTTGAGAACGAGATCGATGCTACCCCGCCGAGGAAGATTCCGTTGGTTACCGGTAGTGGTGGGTCGTAAGTGGATAGCCCGGCGCCGAAGAGTTGTGAGCACGTGGGAGGCGGCGACTAAAAGAGCCGTGCTTAAGGACGAAAAGTCGGTGAAGACGTAGTCCAGGTACCTAGAACGCCATTGTTTCGAATGATATCAACGTTTCACCGAGGAAGAAGCATAAGTAAATAACTAAAAGAAGAGGAAGGGCGAGAATGAGCTGGGCTTCGGTAAACTCACGCAATTGCTGAATGTGCGCCGGTTCGCCCCGTCTCCAAAGGATTGCGGCTGCAGCTGAAAGTTGCTTATGCAGCATCCCTGGAAATGCGCATCATGAGCTCCAGCTCAGCCAATGGCGCAGCCAAAGAGAGGCAGTAAGGGACACTACGGGTGTCCGGCCTTCGCGGCCTGCGTAGCCTGCCGGATAAGCATCTACTGGCGACTGTGTCATTGGTGGCCTTCCCTTCAAAAACTCGCTGAATACCCAATAATTCCGCCTTTTCACGCAGGTGCGTCATGATGTTTCAGTCATTGGGCGGTGTTCAATTGGAAAAGCTGGCTGCTGTCACATCTCACCGACACCACTCTTTGGGTTCAAGCAGGCTTCGCGCATAGCCTCTTTTTTCCACGGAAACCCTAGCTGCCATGCGCCTCATACGTTCCTGTACGTAGCTGAGCCTATTGAAGTCCGCCTTATCGACTCTCGCTGGCCGGCTGGAGACGTCATACCTCAGCTCTGATCCTCAGCTCTGATCATCGACTCAGAAGAGGGCGAGAATGCTGATGGTCCCACTGAACCATTAATTGAATATCTGCAGAGCCACACGTCTGATACATTCTCTACTTACCCCGTGTTTTCTGTCAACTTGCGATGGCCAAAAATGAGGATAACTAACTAAAGGGCCTTTCACTCTTTTGAGATTGGTGGTTTGGGGTTGAGTACTGTATAGTCACACTGAAGGGGTCAACCCTGAGAATAGGATCGTCTCATGCTCTCGGGAAATAAGGGAGTCTGTGCATACTATTATGCGGGATGACGGAATCTTATTCTTGAAACCAAAACTAAAGCATCTCCGGTAGCGGCATCCTGGCGACACATCAGCCAACTCGAAAGATGCAAGAACACCAATTCAGAATTTGGTCTGTGTGTCAAGATGACCTGGAAAGAAAACAAGGGATTTTCACTGAATTGAAAGTATGGGACTTTGAGCGTCATTGATGAGCCCCATTCATATATTTTTTTTGCAGTTATTCTCAAACAGAGTTACGCTTCGTTACTATTTCAATATCCCATGCTGACTCGAGTGATTTGATGCATTCTCCACATCGTCAGGGAGATGCTCGTACGGCCCGGCCTTGCGATCTGTATCTTGCCTGAATTCCGACACAATCACTTCTTTTGTTTGCATGATTCCATCCATCGGCCCCAGCTTGCGTCGTGTGCTCATGGCATAAGCCTCCTCCTCCGCATTTCCGCGCCGAACTGTGGACCGATGCGTAGACACGTTGGTGCCTCGTCCGTAGTAGTGAAGCCCCGACGTTCCGCCCTGAGACTTTGACGATGACTTTGCTTGCCTCCTCTTGTTCCACAGTCCATACAGTGTCGGTGCGTTGACGACGATTGCGGCAGTGAGCAATTCAGTGCTGGCCCAAGTCGTTCGGTTGATTTGGCTGTCCTTGTTTGTAATGTTGATTGGGAGTCGTATGACGGTGATGGCGATGATGAAGACGCCGAGCGTAAAGAGGGCGTATAGCTGGATCTTGCGTTGCCAAGGGGTCTTTAACGAGAAGACCAGGGGAAGTGGCAGAACAAGCAGCATAAAGTCGGTGACGATGTTGAGCACGCCCACGACGACGAGCTGCATCTGTGCCTCTGCGCATGCGCCTGCAAGGGTTGAGAATCAATAATCAGAGCTCCATCTATATGTCGGAGAATTGGCTAGTCACGTACCTGGGCTAGGGACAACCTGCCAGTAGAGGTGGAAGGGATCGCATTCGCTAAAGGTTGTCACCTGGCAAGCGACGTAGGTACCAAAGAAGACGACGCAAAACGACCAGATGGTGACCTTCTCGAAACGAAGATTCATTAGGAGTCGACGATAGACATCCAATAGGACGAGCTTCTGTAGCCAGAGGCTTGGGACTGTCAGTATGATTGATCGCAAAAGCCTGATAACCTTCCTGACTCAAGCCGCATGCAGATTGTGACCAAACGGACCAAGCGACCCAAACAAATGTTGAGCCCAGGGTGGTTGACGGGGCACGGTGATGCAAATGGGGGCGGTACTGACTAGGAGTTGTAAAAGACCCGGTTCGCGATGGACAGTTTGCTGCCGATCTCCCGCCTGTAGATCTCCTCATCGGTAAACGTGTGATTCTTTCGATACGCCGCCGAGACGTTGTTCGTGCCCCAGGTCAAGACGACGTGGATGAGACCGAGCCGAGTCAGTGCACACACGATGGCGGCGACGGTGAACCAGTCGCCCAGGTTGTAGTCTTGCTTGGTGATGTGCACCTTTTTCCAGACCAGCCGGGTCACCATGATGAGGAGGGCCAGACAGCTAAAGAGCCAATGGATGAGTAGCGTCGAGTTGTCCATGGCCGGCGAGTGTCCGAGGCTCCGGGGACGACGAGACGATGGGACGGGACGGGACCAGACAAGAGACGAAATAGACAGACGACGGGAAAAAAAGGAAACTCCCGAGAGGAAGAGCGCGGGTTTGGGGGCAGATCATGATCATTATTATCTTCTTGGTTTCCCGTCTACGTACTCACGCACTAAGGTAGGGGAGAATAGGGGGCCTGGCTAGCTTGATACGCAAAGTCTCCAGATCCCAGCTTGCCCGAGGTAATGTGCAGAAAGCCTGAAGGGACATGATACCATTCTCAGGAATGTTTGCGGACGTGACCTTGCAAGGCTTGCAGAGAAAGAGAAAAGATGGTCTTAGATGAAAGGATCAGGGCTTGAGACCTCAGGAGTTCAGTTGCTGCAGACCCCAACTTTCCCTGTTGGCCGGATGCATGTCGGCCGTCGAGGAATCTCCATACATGTGTGATTGCAATGATCCACCGTGGGGCTCTTTCTTGCAGCTGTGCGGCACATACCTACTGATACTCCGTGGTTTATCGACTTCTAGAAGCCGAGGAGGGCCGGTTTGCGAGAGGGACTCTGGAGTCTTTGACCCAGATTGACTCCTGCCGCTGTGCCGCTGAAGATTCCTGCAGGATTTAGAGATGCCAAGGGAACAGGTGGAGCAAAAAAGCCTTAAGTGTTGTCATGTTTGACAACTGACAGTGATGATGAATGTCGAAGCATGAATGTGCCAGAAGTTCGTTTTGTTTGAGTTTGACAGCTTGACACTTGCCCGCGCTCAGATGTTCTCAACGGCATTCAAAGACGGGAGCGATTGATTTAGCCGCTCCAAGCCCAACTTAATACGGACAACTGCCTTTGACTGTCTTCACTGAACTCAGTCTAGTGGCGACGGCGCCGGCGTTGCACATTGCCTGTTTCTCCCCGGCTAGGGCCGGCTAGGCGTTTATCAGAGAAAAAAGAAGAAAAAAACCTCACCGGGAAGAGGAAGGGGATAGGCTCACCGTTGGCCCGCCGGCTGCTAGCAACACTAGTGAGAGCAGCCATAGTCGTATTCCAAGTATTCTTCACGGTCCTCTTCCTCCAGGATCCAAGGCCGGGTTAGACGGGCTTGGCAGCCTAGCCCGTTGAAGAATGTCCAGGATGGGGACTCTGGAGACTGGGACATGTTGTTGTGCACCTGCAGACCCGATTTACTCACAAGATTATTGTGGGAAGACTTTTTGCGAGATCATCGTAATCAAGACTTCGCCCCGCCGCCACTGTGTAGTTTGAAACTTTGAGTTGATCAACCGAGTCACCCCCCTGTAATGTACGTCGGGAGCGAACTCATACATTGTCTTGGGCCCTTGGCTTCCCGCTGCCCGGCACTTGGACCTGACAGAATATTGACGGAATTTAGCCCCCAAATATTCCATAAAGTTCCATAAAGGTCAGATTTTTTGCCTTGCCAAGCGTCAGACACCTCGTCCGGAATCGTACTCGCCTGTGCTTTCCGACTTTTCTCTGCTCAAGGGCGGAGATTAATGCTCGGGCTTGATCCGTAGTCATCGATCTAGTGAAAGGCTAATACCCTTGATGCCGGATTGGTGCAACGTTTGCTCCATTCTATATGAGACCATCGGTCGTGGTAGTCCCCTGGACCCTGTCCACCAGCTGACTCGCTCACAGGACACCACTTTAATATGAGCCGACTTGCTCTCTTGATGGAGAATTTCCCAAGCAGGAACAGCAGTGCGCCTCCTTTTGCCTCTACTATGTATCCAGTGTCCCGCCGCCCCCCGAGTTTCGCCGTGATATTGTCTCGCACGCTGGGCCACAGCCCACCTCGGGATCGGGATTTAGCCGCGTGGCGTTCTCGACTCAACCTTTCGGCTGACTGCCGCTCTTCAGACATACACACCGAAGCGGGTGGATGCCGCTCGCCGGCCCCCAAGGAAGTCCAGGATCGGGCTTAATGCCGTATCACCCTCCTACGCCTCCATTCCTTTATTTTCTTCTCCATCAGCCCTATCTTAAAATCACTAGAGGATGGACCCTTTACGCCAGGCTAGCGGAGCACGCGGCAGGGTGGTTTTCATTCATTAAAGAAGTCCCAATTGCCACCCTTCATACCGCCTGGCCCAAAGTTTAATCCCCTGCTCAACCGCCGTCGCTTTTCCAGTCCTTTCCCGGTTCCTGCAGCTCGCGTCCGTCCCTTTATTCTCCTATTATTTTACTTTAATCCCAGAGACGGTACGCCTTCCTGTCCGTGTGTCTCACTTCCCAGGCCATCTACGTGACACGCCCGACGCAGCACAACCATGCAGTTCCTCAAGTTCACCGCTGCGGCCGCCGCTCTGTTGGGTCAGGCTTCCGCATTCCCTCCCGGTCCAGGCTCTGGCTTCCCCGGCGGCGGACCCCCGGGCGCTCAGCCCGAGACGGATGCCTGCGTCAAATCCGAGGCGGCTTACATTCGCTCTTACTTCAACATCGGAGGCGAGTACGTCAGCGATGGTGCCGGCGGTCACATCTTCCGCGACCAGATGTACGTTGAGAAGTTGCTCCCCACGAACGGAGTCACCCAGCAGACGCCGATCGTCCTGATCCACGGACAGGCCCAGACGGGTAGCGTAAGTATTCTTGCAGATCTTCTCCAGCGGGATATTCCTCGCCATGTCATAATTTTGAATATTGTGCTGACCCTTTCCCCTAATCAGAACTTCTACAACAAGCCCGATGGTGGCAGAGGTTGGGCCTCTCACTTTGTGAGACAAGGCTTCGAGGTCTACATCGTCGACCAGACGTTGCGTGGCCGCTCCGCTTGGATGCCCGGCTACGGCGCCTCCAAGCCCTCGACGTACTCCGCCGAGATCATCCAGCAGCGCTTCACTGCCGTCAAGGATTACATGCTCTGGCCCCAGGCTGTGAACCACACCCAGTGGCCCGGCACCGGCGTGATGGGCGACGAGGTCTTTGACACCTTCTACAGCTCCAACGTCCAGTTCATCAACAATGCCACCTACCAGCAGAAGACTGTCCAGGATGCCGGTGCCGCCCTTCTCGACAAGATCGGCAGACCCGCTGTGGTTCTCGGGCACAGCCAGGGTGGTATCATGCCCATCCTCATCGCCGACGCCCGCCCCGAGCTGACCAAGGCTCTCATCCTCCTCGAGCCCACCGGCCCTCCTTTCCAGGAGGCCATTTTCAGCACCAAGGCCGCCCGCGCCTACGGTCTCACCGACATCCCCGTCGCCTACTCCCCCGCCGTCACCGATCCCGCCACCGATCTCGTCCAGCAGACCTACCCTGCCAAGGGCGAAAACTACGTCGAGTGCGTGCTCCAGGCCGAGACTCCCGCCCCGCGCCAGCTCGTCAACCTCGCGGACAAGCCCATCCTCCTGGTCACCTCCGAGGCTTCCTACCACGCCCCCTACGACCACTGCACCGTCGAGTTCCTGCAGCAGGCCGGCTGCAGCAAGACGGAGCACCTCGAGCTCAGCAAGGCCGGCTTCCACGGCAACGCCCACATGTTCTTCATGGAGAAGAACAGCTACGAGATCCAGCTGACCCTGCGTGATTGGATCCAGGCCTTGTAAGGCTTCCGATGGGTCAAAGCGGCGGTGGGTGGGGAACAAGAGAAGAATTAGTCGAATGGTGCGCTCGCGTGTGCATCTTGTACGAAAGCAGATACCCATAGACGATGAATATCATAATCTAATAATGACACGCACTCGTCATCCCTCATGACCTCAGTCCTTGCGATTGTTGAGGTTTGGTTCGGATTACCATTGTGACGTCCGGGGACATTTGCCTTAGTCGGCGTATGCCAATTGCCTCCATGTAGCCACGTGCCATCGAATCCAAGTGTCGGCCGAGTCATTCTCCATGTCCGACCGTAACAATCTTGACGTGAGCTGAAATATGACTTGAGGTATATGTCGACACCCTCAGGTACTTAGTTGAAGGAAAGATCTTCGCTGGCAGGGGGGGGTCACGTTAAGATTGCTTCTGCCCCCCTCCGCCGGCGCTATGGCGGGGAGATGGGAGATGAGTCGCTAACACGGATCCAGCCGCCCAGATCTCGGAATGGGAAAAAAGCCACAGACTAACCCTCGGATGTTGAGTGCTCTTAGCTCACGTCTTCGCCTTTGCCTCACGGACGCTGCGCTAGGGGACGTCATGTCAAGCTATGGCATCGCCAAACATCGCATCTGCACGTCAATGGCGTTTCGAATGCTGCAACTGATCTCTGTAACAGGAGCCAGCACGGCTGCTGGACGGGCACTTGGCCTCTTAAAAATGCAGCTACCTTCCGAGCTAGAGGCTAGAAGCTTTCTAGTTTCTTGGTTCCGTGACAGATTCTAGTCGTACGTATTAAAGACTGACAGACATGGCCACTACAACGAGCATCATCGGGACCAAGGGGGCGGGAGATGGATCCTCAGACTCTAGGAATTACACGGTCGTCCGTAAAACGAGTAAGTCTCACTCGCAACATCACAAAACACTCGACGCTCATGCATTCTAGCAAACCTCGACCGCATGTTCTTTCTCTACCACCGTCTAGGAATCCAATCCAACGTCCTAGTCGCAGCTCGCTACGCCTCGGCCCAACCTGGAAAGCAGCGTCTAATCCTTTCCGATGAAGCAGTCTTCTCAGCTCTTCACGCCGTCGTCACAAAATACCCAGAGCTTGGTCTCGTTGGCGTTGTGGAACGAACCGGCGAGGGCGACAAGCACCTCTTGTCTCTCGCCACGCTCAAGCACGTTAATCTCGTACGCTGCGTTCAGTTTATCGATGACGAAACGACCCAGGTCGACGCCGAGCTCCTCGAGAAGCTCCACGGTCAGTGGCACTGGGCTGATGGCATCGAAGAGGGCGTGCCTTGGTGGAAAGTGATTGTCGTCGGACGTCGAGACGTCGTGTTTGTTTACCACCACCTCATCTGTGATGGCGCTTTCGGTATGACCTTCCATCGTGAAATTTTGGACGCTCTTAACGCTGTGGCCGTCTCCGACACGGGCTCCGCGCCACCTCGCATCATCCAGCTCGACCCCGACAGCGTACGGCTGAGCAAGGCCCTTGAAAACACTATCCATAAGAAGCCGGCTGTCCTCGGTGTCATCTACAACCTGCTCGTGTTTCTCTTCTACCGATTCATGTACGCCAAGAAGCTCTTCTTTGTCGACTTTCCGAAGCCTAAAGAGCTACTCAAGGATCCGATGGCTGTTGCCGGGCCCTCAGATCGCACCGTCACAAAGGTGACGACCTGTCGCATCCCTTTCGAGAAGACGGACGCCATCATCAAGGCGTGCCGCGCGCATAACACAACCTTCACACCTTTTCTGGCCGTCGTAGTCGCTGGCACGCTGGCGGCGGACTTTTATCCCCACGCCGAGGTCGGATTTACCCGATACGCTGTGGACATGCGAGCTACGGGCTGCTTTGATACGACCTCCCCGGACGAGGGTAAACTTCTCAACCTGGCTGCGAGTCTTCCCGAGCCAGAGAGGTTGAACAAGTACCGCCAGGCTTTCTCGCAGTCGTCTGCTGTGGGCGATAAGGAAAAGGGACTCGCCGCGACAGTTAATGCCAAGGCCGCCTGGAACCTGATTCAGGATTACGGGAGGCGGATGTTGGAATCGCGAACTGGCGGCGAGGAGTCACCCCTGTACAAGGCCTGGATCAGTGGCAATGCCCTTCGCCCAAGCCTCGAGGACTTTACGGAGAAGCTGCCGTCGATGGGGTTGTTCATGCAGAACAGCTTTTCCGTCTCCAACGTTGGGTCCCTCAAGACCGCGCCTCCGTCTTCAAATGTCGAAGAGCCACTTGTGAAGATTGAGGATGTGCAGTTCTCGGCTGGCCCGGTGCAAGGCGCTGTTGGCTATCATGGCATTGTCTTCAATGTTGCAGGAGTTGCGGGTGGCGATACTGTCATCAATGCCTGCACCGAGGGAGGCATGGCGCCCGAGGGCATGGCTGAAGCTGTCCTGGATGGTGTCATGGCCAGAGTCAATGCATTATTGCAGGAAGAGAGCATCGCGAAGAATAGTGCTGGCCAGAAGGGCTTCTGGCACGCTTTTGGCTGAATCAATAGTCAGTAGACGGGCGTAATGTGTACCAAGTTACCTCGTGCTAGTCCTTGATTGCTATGACAACCTACGACATATTTTTTTCCTAGAGCCACGAGGACAGCTTCAAATACATCGTTCGATTAGAGACAGGCCTACATAATGAAGTGGCTCATTTGCAACATGGGAGCCTAGTTGCTTTTCCAATGTCATCAGAGAAAGTTGTGTTTTGACTGAGCGGTTGCAATGAATTAGACATCAAACGAGTGTTTAGCCAAGCTTAAGGGCGTGAAATTATTTCCCAATGCCAAATATCTGTGAATTTAAGGACGTTCGATTTTCTCATCCTTGTTTTGTAAAGTTATTACCAAGTTGAAGATTGGAAGATCCTCATACTGAAAACTCGAATATGCCACAGTGGGATTCTTCGCCTGCAATGCGGCCAAGTGACAAGAGCAGCAGTGTACACATGAGTGACGGCGATGAATAATCAAAATTTCATTGTATCTGCTTCCTACACCATACTTGAAATTACTTCACCTTTGATCCATGACGCATACAATCGCGTCTCGGGTCGCCTGAGGAGAGCCGACGCTCATCAGCTACGTGGGACACAACATCGTCTACAACCCAGCGGAGCAAAAGCTGAGATCCGAAAACGGCGAACAATCCGCCATAATCCTCAAACAGTCCTGCAGTGGCGTCATCATGTTGGCGTAGTACGAGGCGTTGGGCCAGCGGCAACGGCTTCGCCGCCGTAGTGAGGTCGTATGACGGCATCGGCCTGGCAAGGTCTGGCCGAGGCCCTGATGGCCTTACTGCAATGGCGGTAAGAAGAAATTCCCTTGAATACGAGGTTTTTTGTGATGAGAGAGCATTGTATCTGGACCGGCATTGAGGCGGATGGCTGGGATGGTTTTGTTAGGCTAAATATAGATAATTATGAGTTTTCTTGACCTCTTGAATTCAAACCTTTTTAGTGTTAATTTTGTAATGTTCCCAGATACCAAGCCCTTCAAACGCTCAATGAACACTGTGTCTTTGATCGGCAAAAGCCTCTTCATCAATGAAGCTTGGTAGAGAACCGCCAAGGTCTGAAGGGAAAAGGCGAGCCTGAGTCTGGTGAGCCGCCATTGAATCAATCCCTAGACCAGGCCTGGGCCGCCGAGAGATGTTCTTATTTTCTACTTCACTTCCTATCAAAACGAAGACCAGAGTGTAATATGGGTGCTGCTTTGATCTGACGCAAACAGGTGCGCCTCTTTAAAGTATGAAGGTATCTCGTTGCGAACTTACGTTACTCACCAACACTTTATTTTCGAAGTTAGGAAGATACGGCGCTTCGATCTGGAGATATGATGCCTTAGAGTTATTGCAAGGGCGTTAATGTCATTTCGGACCATGCTTTGCTTCGGCTTTTTGGAAGACATGAGTACTTCGAATTATACACTTGTAATTGATTGACTGTTCCTGGCCTTGAACCTGGGTCGGAAAGCCCGTAGCCAGAGGCATCTTTCTGAAAAGTTGATACCGTTCTAGCATACTAGTAGTTGAAATGTATCGCAGGACTGAGAAACATGAAGAGCATACCACCGGAGGTATGACTTTGAAAGGAACTGAAGTTCAAGACATATCCGTATTGAGCAGCGTTTCTCCAAGCCTTATTGTAGCAGACATGCTGAGATAAGTCATAGTGCAGCCAATAATATTCGCGCGGGATGGAGTATCACAACATAACGATTCCTCGTCAACGAATAACGTGAACAGCCAGTCTCCCATTCCCTCAAACTACGTCAAGCAACTTGGTCAGAAGCCCAACCGGCCGCGGAAACAAAAACCCTCCCTCCAAAGCTGACCCAAAAGCATCCCTGCCAAGGACCCATCACGGCCTAGTCCAATCTCATCGGACCCTGCCGCGCTCGCCATCGTCAACCTAGTCTAAGGAACCCACTCATAACCCCATTGTGGTCAGCCGCCGCAAGCGACACCCCATGTTCAAGCAATTGTGGCACCCGAGAGGGCATCGCAATCTAAAGCTGCAGTTTTGTCCTTGCGCAGAGCCAACAAGGAGTCTCCATCTCCGGCAGGTCGAAGCATTGAGAATTTACCTGCGCTGCTGCGACAAAAAAATCCAAGCGAAGCGATCAACGGCCGGGCCCAACAAACGGGGATACGGCTCCTCACGATGGATCCCGATATCCACTCCATCAGACTAGGTACTTTGCTTGGCCAGTTCTCCAGCTGCACACTGGGTCTTGCAATCACGACGCTTGAGTTCCAACAAGATGGCATGAGGGGGGCCACTTCTGCATGTTTGTCTATCTGTTAATCTGCTACTTGAACACTCTGGAGCCTCGGATGTTTGCCCCCTCTAACCCTGTAAGCGCCCAGAACCCGGTCGGGAAACCCCGTCGAATCGAGGCCTGTCGTCGTGACGAACCTTTTCCCGGTTCGGGAATGCATCGGCAGGGGGACAAGGGTGAGCTGATGTTGTTTGCGCTGCTGCTGTGCCTTTGGGATGCATATCGTGAAGTGATTGTTGGAGCCAGGGCTGGTGTGGACGATTGTGATTGTCTGGCGAGAACTATTGACAGCCACCCGCTTGGCGGGACGGCTTCGGCGGGACGGACTTTTTTGACAAACAAGTCTTTAAAGGCCTCGTCAGCTTCGTCGGGTAGAGTGCTTTCTCGATGCTTGTTACGGATACTCTTCCGCAATTGCGTTCTCGTCGACTTCACACGGGCACGCTGCAGGGATGGCTACCGCGGACTCATTGATTGCGAGTCTTCAGGATATCCACGGGGAGACCTTTACAGATAAGGCGGAGAGGGTACGGGCCAGAGATGCGTTGTACGATGCTTTGAGAAAAGTTCAGACGCCGTGGGATATTGCGTGGGACCACATCGTTGTCAAGGGCGGCGGGAACGCGGCTATCAAGACACTCATCGACGCCGGCGTATTCAGAAAGTGGCATGAGGCCGGCGGCGGGCCGATCACTTGTACCGACCTCTCAAGGTTGACCGGTGCCGACGAGCATCTCATCAGTACGTCAAAACACCGCAGCAACGGTTCTACTCTCAAGATGATGAACATGGACTGACACGCAGGTGAAAACAGGGCGCATGATGAGGGCGATAGCGGGCCAACGCCTCGTCATCGAGACAGACCTCGACACTTACGCCCGCACGCCCTGGGCTCAGGCCCTCGGCGAGGACGCGCCCCTGCCCGCCATGTACGGCGGCTTCTACGGCGAGCTGACGAACCCCATGTTCCGCTCGCTGCCGTACTTCCTCAAGGAGAACGGGTACAAGAACCCAACGGACAAGAACGACTGCAACTTCCAGCACTGGCGGGGCCCCGACGCCGTCTTCTTCAAGTACGTCGGCACGAACCCGCTCCTCACGTCCGACTTCAACGACGTCATGGAGTGTCACTCGCGTGATAACCTCACGGCGTGGACGGAGGTGTATCCCACGGAGAAGATCATCGAGGGCGCGATCCCGGAGCGGCCGCTGGTCGTCGATATCGGCGGCGGTAAGGGCCACGACCTGAAGAAATTCCACGTCCGGCACCCGCAGGTCCCCGCGCGGCATCTCATCCTGCAGGACTTGCCTGATTTTCTCAAAGACGTACAGTCCGACGCGGCCTTTACGATACAGCCGCACGACTTTTTCACGCCGCAGCCGCTGCGCGGGGCGCGGGCGTACTTTTTGCACAACGTGCTGCACGACTGGCCCGACGCCACGGCCGTGGTGATTCTGAAGAACATTGCGGGTTCCATGGAGAGGGGTTACTCGAGGCTGCTGATCCACGAGAGCTTGATCAGCGAGAGGGAGCCGCTTTCTAAGGTGACGGCGACGGATATGATCATGATGGCGGGGCTGGCGTCGGCGGAGAGGACGGAGGAGCAGTGGCGGGACCTCATTGCGGCGGCGGGACTGCGGGTTGTCAAGATTTGGAGGCCGGTGCAGGCGGTTGAGAGTGTCATTGAGACGGAGTTGGTTTGAGAGATGGTGGTACACATGCAAGGCTTCTGATTTGCGTGGGAGTGTTTGTCGTGTTTGATATATCTGTAAGGTTTAGCGAGCGTATTGGAAGGTTGTCTTTGGTCAAGCCGATGTGATGCATGGTCGGATGTAGTAGCGTCCTACTTCCTACACGTCCTGTAATTGATTTTAGTGATTCGTAAGTCTTTGGGTATTACTGGCTATAGTTCTGAAGCAGACACCGCCACTCAATACGCCCAGAAGAAGCCCGGCGTACTTGTTCCTGCTCGGGCGCTGTCCTTTTCGATGCGGGAAGACTGCTAAAGCTATCAGTTGACATGTTCATCACTGGACTGGGTCGTTTCCGCCTCGAACAATGCAACAGGTCCCCTGCGACCCAAAAAAAAAATGAAGAAGTCTGAAATAGCATTGGTGAGATGTATGCTTGTGGGCAGCTCGACGGCATGCCCCTCTTGGTATCCTTTTATACGCCCTGCCTGGCTTCGTCCGCCAAAGCCCCGTCTATCCTCCTCGCTCCATCGTCGTCACGTTCTCGTGTTTCTCGTATGCACATCTCCTTCGTTTACTGGCGCGCCGCGAGGGCCTCGGCGGCGTGGCGGTCGTGCTCGGCAATGTCAATGGCCTCCCACGGGTAGTTGATCCAGACGTCGCCGACGGTGCGGGCGGCGAGGTAGTGACCCGAGTTCATCATCTCGGAGGGCAGAGTACCCTTCTTCTGCTTGTCCTTGTTCTGTATTTTGGTTGCGTCAGCATTTTTGGCTCCTTCTGAACAGAAAGAGACGAGGTGTGTGTATGGTTATGACTCACATGCAGGACAAAGATGCCAAACTCGGTCTTCTGGCCCTTGCCGAGGCGCTGGCTGGCGGCCTCGACGTCCTTCTCCAGCTCCTTGACGGCGTACTCGAGGGTGGTGCGGGTGTCATCGACCTCGTCGACAATCAGGATGCGCTTACCGACGAGGTTCTCCATCTCGCCGATGGCGGTCAGGTCAAGCCATTGCGTGCGGGTGACCTTTGTGCCGGGGATCTCGGGGACGCCGGGGGTGGAGTTGCCGCCGAAAGTCTCGGGAAGGCTCTCGTACAGAGAGAGGCCGATGGCCTGGATGGGGATGTTGGGGTTGCCGGGCTTCTTCAGGAAGGAACGGAGGATACGCGCGGGGACGTAGCCGCCGCCGCCGATTGCGATGATGAGCTGGGGCTGGAAGGTCTCGAGGATCTTGACGGCGGACTCCTGGCAGAGGTTGTGTACCTGGAGAATGAAGACGAGGTGTTAGCCATGCTTGCGGTATCTCGTATCATGCTAGGATGATGGAATAAGAAAGCAAGGGCGCCAACGGCAAGGAAGAGAGGAGGATACTCACATCGTTGTACGTGACGTAGAGCTTCTCGACCATTTTTGCGATGTTTGGAGGGGTTCTTTGACTCGAATTCGGTCGATAGACAGGGTGTACTGCGGGGTAGGAGAAACGGTGCAGATTTGGAGATGTCTCTGACGTCTGGAATTTGGGGTGGAAAAAAGAAACGAGAAGGATGGATCGTGTATATCGGGGGAAGGAAATATACAGAAGAGCGACTTTAGAGTGAAAAGAAGCTTAAGTAGGAGGATGGGACCAAGGTTCTGCCACGAGTGCCGCTATTCACACGCGGGACGAGGAAAGGAAAAAAAAAAAAAGGATGCGCGCCAGGCTGCCAGGACCCCTCCATCGATGAGCGAGGGACCCCGCCATGCATGGATGGGCCACGGCGCGGGCACTGGGAGAGAAATTTTGTCTGGCGAGCCCCGAGCCCCGGGATGACACCGGTTCCTCTAGACCCATTTGGGCATGGATTTTGAGGCTGCGCCCCAGATGCCAGTTATTGGACGGTAGCTTGTGAGTGGCTGCTGACCGAGGTCATCTCACCGAGCTATCGGAACCCGCCGTCCCTTTCGGTGAGAGACCCACTTGTCGGATTTATTTACCAATGAAATTCGATTCACTTTGAACACACAGGGATTAGGCGACTCGCTTCATTCCTCTTGTCCCAAGAGAGAAAGCAGTTGGTCACTGAAATTTTCTTCCCTGTCACTGGGGATTTCACGATAATTTCAAGGCTCATACTTTGTGTAAACCAAACGCCAAAACTCCTGCGTTATTTGGCTGGCGTCTTTTCAACACCGAGTCATGAAAATAAGAGAGAATGAGAGAATGAGAGAAGAGGGGCCGGGGGGAGGGGGGAGAAAGAGGGAGACAGAGAGACAGAGAATGAGCCCTACGTTGACCCCTCGTCGACTTGGTGACATGCCGGTTTGAGCCCCACTCCTTCCCGATCCTGGCCGTGGGAGTCACTGTGGATGTTCGATGCTTTGCTCAACTACGAAGTAAGGTACTGTTCTATCCGCCTTGAGACAAACATGACTTGCCTGACGTGAAGTAAATCATCTGGGCCAGGAGCGTTCCGAATGATTGGGTCTCTGGGCATTCAAGCTTGTCTGCTACTACTTCACACACGCAGTCGAGTGTCATGACTAGTAGGCAACATGCTAGGGCATTGTCTTATAGCCTGTACATCTCAAGTGGCATTGACTGTATTCTTTCCACAAAGCTCTGGGGATCCCGTCCGGTTCCTCGTCAGTCTCGTCACAGCAGCTGTCGCCCCCAAATAAACCTGGCTCGAGACAAATCTTGACACACTCTTGACCTACAGCGTCTCCAGACGCGCGAGCAACTCCTTCATGAGCATCTTCCTCAACTCCTGATCCCTATACGAGCCCTCCGGCGCAATGTCCTCCTTCCACTGCAAGATTGCCTCGCTGACAATCAAGTACGCCGCCCAGAACGCGTCAAAGATGCCAGGACCGACATCAGGCCGCGGGTAGAAACGCTCGTTCTCCTAGACATAACCAGCCGGATCTCCCAGAAAGCCGTCTCCCGCCTCATTGGCTCTCAAGTCGTCCATGTTGCCCAGCCCGCACATCCAGAGCTGCGCCTTGTCCTGCATGGGATCGTACGCGAGCCGGAACTTGACGTTGCGGGCGTCCTTGTTTAGGTCGTGGTGGATGATGGCGAGGGCGCTGCCCATCTTGCGCGCGAGCTCGAGAACGCCGGCGCGACCGATGAACTTGAGGAGCTGGTCGAGGTAGGCGGGCCGCGTCGCGAGGTTGGGGTGGTCTTTGAGCATGTCTCTGACCTCGGGCGGCTGCTCGAAGCCGAGCCAGACTTTTGGGTGGAGGTTGTAATTCTCGGGCATACTGAGGGCCTGCTTCTGGAAGTCGGGGTCGATGGTGTGGTCAATGATGATGCGGATGACGGTGGGCTTGATGGGTCGCATGCGCTCCATGACGAGTCTGCCCTGCATTTCGGGGAACGGCTCGATGAGCTGGTCGGGGAGGTGGTGGGAGCCGTTTGAGCCTCTGATGAGCTTGTACTGACGCGGCGCGGCGGGAAGCGCGAAGCGCGAGAGGTAGGGGTGATTGTCTCCCATGATATCTTCCATCTGCTCGGGAAGCGCGTTGGCCCAGTGGTGGAGAATCGAAGCCATCTCGTCGGCGGCGAAGAATCCCTGGCTCAGCTTTTGGTAGGAGGATCGCTCTTTGAGGGCCTTGCCGTCCTTCAATACGTAGACCTGTGTGTCCCATCCTCGCGAGTGGTATACGAGGCGGAGGCGAGCCGAGTGGGTAGGAGGAGAAGGCGGGCGCGCCATCTCGTGGGAGAAGAGGAGGCCTCGGGGCGGATTGAGGTGTTCGTCGCGGTTGTCATCTTCATTTTCGTTGTAGTCATCATCCGAAGAGGAGGAGGCATCTTCCCAGTCCCCCTCCTCGTGGATGATTGGCATCGGGGTTATAGTGGCCCTGGCTGCCATATTTTGTGGTGAGATGGTTGAAATAAAAAGGAGAGAGAAGAGAAGTTGAATGTCTTAAATGGTGATCATCGTCATCCTCAGGCGCTCAGTTGCCAGTCCCCGAATCGCTGCCAAGGGTTTGAAGAGTCCTAATGAGATCTACTCAGTCATCGAAAACAAGGCGAGAACAGCTTTGCTGGCAAAGGTGTTCCAGTTTGACGTCTCATATGTGAGGACAGACCCGGCAGCGCATAGGGCCAAGATCGGCAACTTTCACCCAACAATATCTGCTCTCAATGCTTTCCATTCCTGGATCATTCATATTCGGAATGTCTACAAACAATACGGAAACAGCACTGAGTAACGAGGGTGATAGTGAATGGGAGGAAACGAGAAGCCCTGTGACCACTCAGTACCTATGTTAATGTGATCATTGTGACAAATGAGGGTCAATGGACAGAAAGGGAAGGTCAGTGAAAAATATGTTTCGGGTGCGTTGAAGAAGGCAAGTGCAAAGTGATGGGAAATATGAGAACGAGGGGTAGCTTGAGTATAGGAAGGTGTGAAGTAAGGCAGAAAGGGCAAGAACAAACAAGCAAGGTCTGTTGTTCAAGTGGTGTTGGATCCAGATACTGAAAGCCATAGTAACTTGGAAATGTAGACAAGGAAGTGGTAGATGACTATGGGTATGCTGAGCATAAATTTGGCCCTCTAAGCTTGACAAATGTGCAACCGAGCTGTTGGTAGAGTCTGGGGAAAGTCTGCAACTTTCAGACATACTCTGCTATATTTCAATCCTTAGAAGATGTTGAGAAGTGGATGTACTGCTTGCGTCAGCCACTGGCACAGCTAGGTGAGGCCGATGGCTTGCTTTTTAGAAAGATTGCGGCCGTTTCTCGGCCATGTAACAATTCAACATCATGCGGCTTTCGACAACACACTGGATCATGGATCATGGTATTGCTTATTGTAACACATGTCTATGGATGACGCTGATGATGGCTTTTTAGGACGATTGCCTCCGACGCAAGCTATGGGATGAAGAAGAAGGAAAAAAAGGACCAAGAGACCAAGTCCCGTTGTCCTCAGCCCCCAGTTGTACCCTCTTTTTCATGCACGGCTTTCAACTTCTTCTCCGTCTTCATAAACTCTCGGATGCCTACGGGAACATCGTCGTAAAGCTTCTCATCCCACATATTCTTGGCGATCTTGGGATCCTGGGGCACCCAGTTGGTATCGGAACCGCCGCCGTCGTCGTCCATGGTAATAGAACCGCTCGCGCCTTGTCGCTCTCTCAACTTCAGCTGTGCCTCCGCATTCGCCGCCGACCAGTCTTCCATCTCCTCCCTGTACCGTTCCCACACGCAGTTGACGCAGCCACTCATGCAGCAGTTATCCGGTTCCTCCGGCCGTGGCGGGATAATGACGCCAGCTATCGTCGTGCTCTTGGAGCGCATCTCCTCGAGACGCTTCTGGCGCGCGGCGGGGCCGGCCAGGGCGGAGCCGAAGACAATGGCGGCCTTTTCAGCCGCGGTTTGGGGCGGCGGCGTCGGCACCGGCTGTGCGGAGAGAGCTTCAGCAACGGGCTCCGGGGTTGGGTATGGGGAGGGAGGCGACGTCTTACGGCCTTGCTCCTGCTTGTGGACGGAGGAGTTTGGGGGCTCCTCGGGCTTCACATCGGGGATGGGTTGGGGGTCGTTGAGAATCGCATCGTAGTAAGGGCCTAGCGGGTGGGCTTGGGTATGAGAGGGTTCGATCGGAGCCGGGCCGGTTTGCGACTGGCTCGTGATGAAGGCACCGCGAGGCACACGAGCAGCGCGCGACACGACAGGCCGGAGGCGGGGGAGGAATCTGGCGGGTGCTGACATATTGATCGTTCTCCGTTGGTAGTCCAATTCTAGGTGGGTTGAAGCTCAGAGACTCGCATTGTTGGCGTTGAGTGATGCAGGCCTGCTATCACTAGAGAGGCAAGAGAGGCCAGGGCGACAGGAATGCGGTCATCCAAGCCGCGGACGTCATCGGTCTCAATATGATGCTTATGTAATGCGGGAGAGATTGTCACGTGCTTCCGCGTCTGGTGAGAGCAAGCTGCTGGAGGAAGGCGGCGTGTATGAAAGTCAGGACAACTTCTTCGCTGGATGAAAAGAGAGAAGAGCAAAAAAAGAAAAATGTTTTCCTTCCGTCTGAAGAAGGAAAAAAAAAAAGGGAAAAAAAAAGGAATTGAATCCGATTGGAACCAAGTAAGATTTGGGGGATGCCTGCACTTAGACTCCCGTTCCTTGGAGCTCTGTACAATGTACGGACTAAGGTATGAGCATCTACCCTGTTTACCTTCTTGAGCCGGCCCAATCAGGAAGGCGGTGGGGTCGCATGTACACAACGCGCTGCCTCCCGTCTGCACCGGCTTGACGAAACCGTCGCGAGTCCCGCCAAGGTCGACATCTACCACCGCCAGATATTTACGAGTGGCCAGCTCCACGCTGAAATGCTTCGATAACCCTCACGAGCACCATTGAGTATGGACGAGTCCGCGCCAAAGCGGGCGAGGGTGTCTCCACGCCTCAGTAGCCAGCGCGATAACGACAATAACGAATCGACCACTCCGCCGGACCCTCCCCCACCACGATCGAGAATCCCCAGAAGGCCATCCTTCGCGTCGCCAACGAGGTCAAGCCTCTCTCGGACGAATCCCGATATCCTACGAAGAAGAAGTCGAAGCCGTAGTCCGTCAAAGGCGGTTACCAGCAATCAGTCAACGCAATCCATCACGCAAGATGTTGCTGGTGAGGATTTGGCCGCCCAAGCTGAGAGCCAAGCAGAGCGATTCCTAGAGAGAGGACCTGCGCGGCCAAGGAGTAACATGTCTGGTTCAACGGCATTCGAATCGACCAACCTGGGCTCTCCAGCTCGGCGGATGGCTATTGAATCGAGGGTTAGCGGTGCCCTGGCCTCTAGGCCCCGCCGATCGGGCGGCATACCAGTTCCCAGGCCACTTCCCGAACCCGATCCCAATGACGACGAGGATTTCAACCCTTTCGCTGGTCGCGTCTTGAATCGCACGCCGCCTCGCCACGGTACCTCTCTGGGGAGAGCACCTCCCCGACAAGTCGAACCTGAGCCTCAGCCAGAACAAGAGCCCGAGCTCCCGCCGACACCGACGCAAAGGGGCCAGGCTGACCCTGTTGTCACGACACCTCCGCGCGGCATTCATGATACACCGTCGAAAAGGAAGCGGCGGACTGCATCACCATCTAAGAGCTCGCCGCTCAAACAACCGCCCCTCCGACCACCAGAGTTCTCTCAGAAGGCGCAAGATCCCTCCAAGAAGGCCATGGCACGCGCCGCGCGAGACAAGAGCCCGGCTCAGCTGACAAAGAAGACAAAATCAAACAAAGGACCTTCTGGGACACACGAGGCCCGTGGGATCCCGGTTCCCGATCCGCATTCGGAGCTCAAGGAGACAAGGGACGCGCTTCAGGCGGAACTCGCCAAGTTGGAGGCCGACCTGGAACTTGCAACCGATGAAAACGAAAGAATACGTAAAGCGCAAACTCGTCGATCCGGTGATGTACAGCCGTTGGGACCCTCTCGTCAAAAGTCACTTCTCGACTTGCTCCGCCGTCACCTTGTACCATCCGAGAAGGTAGCCACGCCAGATGCTGCGCAAGAATGGTTCGACATGGCCATGAACCCAACATCATGGCTTTCATTCGGAATCCTTGGACAAGCTCAACTTTCCATGACGAAAGCTGATTTAGAGGATCTTCCCCCTCCGACATCGCACCACCCGATACAGATGACAGCCGTCGACGAGCTTCCATACCTGCAAGCCTTCACTCCCTTCGAATTTTCAGCGACAACAAACATGCTGCCGAAAGAAAATGACTCTGACCCTCTGCTGCGGAGACACAACATCGTCGTCAGATCGGCTTATCCAGCGGGGCTATTCACGGCGAAGATGGAAATGACCGTCGATACTGAGAAATTTCAGATCAAGGAGCTCGCGGTGCCCCGCCTGGACCCTGCAGCCGTTGCGGAACTCGGCCCATTTATCGAAAAGGTCACGAGCGGAGGCTCAAACACTCACATGAACCGAAATGTTAGCGTGGTTACTTGGGCAATGTCCGAGTGGTATAGAATCGCTGTCGAGAGGGCAAATATGTGGCACACCCTGGACAGCGAACTCGGCGACAAGGAGAAGCTGGCACAGAGCGTAGCGAGGATAAGGACAAGGCGAAAGAAGCGAAGGAGAAAGGACGACGAAGAGGAAAGCAGCCAAGATGCAGATGCTACCCTCGAGAGGAATCGAACCGAGCACCTCCCTCGTTCAGTTCTGCTCCCCCATCTCGGAAGGACAGCCTACGAGATTCCTATACCGGGTGCCGTAAAGGAGGAAACGTCGTGTTTGAGGATACATTGGAGGATTGATTTTGACTGGACTGGTGAGGCGCAGAGCAAGGTTGGGTTGGTGATTGGCATGCCTGGCAAGTGTGAGTACCTGCGAGAAAGAGCCTTACATCACATCTTCTGACTAACATTTACTAGGGCATTTAGGCGACGAACGCGGTTCACTTGCGGCAGCGTCCAAGGTCTTTGAAAGATTTGTGCAAAGTAACGAGGGACCAATGACGGCCGTACGAACTGTTGTTGCATTGTTGGCGGGAGACGCGTTGTCTTGACGGAATACCACATAGAGAGAGCACTGCTTTGCGCGAGGTACCGTGTTCAAGTTTTATGGAAATATACTTATTTTCGGTCAGACCTCGTCTGTGGTCACGCATCTAGAACTTGTGCAAGCTTTCTAACGCAGGAATCCTTGACTTTCTCACTTTCTTTCTCACTCATCAAAGCCCCTTCTTAGGCACTTGAACGACGAGAAACTTGTCACCAGAAGGTAAGTCCGTCAAGTAGGCCGCCGCCGCCGCCGCCACCTCGGCAGCCATGTTATCTGTTCGGAGGATATCCTGCACCATTCCCACCGCCATTGCCACGACTATTGGCATTGCCACGACGATTGGCATTGCCACGGCGATTGGCATTACCACGACGATTGGGGCTGGCACCATTGGGGCCATCGCCATTAGTACTGTCATTAGTGCCACCGGCATCTTGAAGACGAATCCATTCAAGCATAGCACGCGTTTGACTGTTTATGTGCTCGACGTCAAATTCCACAGGGGGGGCGCCCGAGCTGTTGCCGCCACCATTATCATAGCTAGTACCGGGTATGATACCAGGAAAGCCAGGCCAATCCGCCGCCCTGCTAGCAAATGAAGGCCCGTCGCTGTTGACCCAATCGGCCATGCCGTTGGTGTTGCCGTTGACGCCGCCATTATCATAGCTAGTACCGGGCGTGTAACCAGGCAAGCCAGGAAAACCCGCCGCCCCGCTAGCAAATGGAGGCCGGCTGCGGGAGCCCCCATGGGCCGTGCCGTTCGCTACGACGGGGTCCGTGTGCGTCGGAATGCGCGGCGCATCACGTAAGGGGGACAACGTTCCCCGCGGTCCGTTTTGAGAGGGTCCGGACCTGGTTCCGTTCATGTCGGTGGGCGCGGGGCGGTCGAAGGCGTCGGCGTAGGTTGGGCCGCGGGAGTTGTCGTTGGTTGTACGGCCGATCATGGCGTTGCGGTTTTCGCGGATGCGGGACCTCATGTGTTGGTACGCTTCGAGGGATCCCAAGTCCGTGGGTTCCGAGTCCATGGGTCCCGAGTCTATAGGACCCAAGTTGATGGGGCTTCCGAGAGAGGCGCCTTGGTTGGAGGGGCTGTTGTCATCGTCGCTGCTGTGGTCCGACATGGTCTTGAGTGTTGGTTTTGTGGTTTTATTTCGTTGATATGGACGTCTTGTGCTTGTGATGATTTGGTTCTTTGATTATATCTGTTTCGTTCCTGATGGTGATCTTGAGGGATAGGCAAGAGACTCCTTTTTCCATTTGTTTCACGACGTTTATATAGATCTTTCTGAAATATGTTGAGGTGAATCAGTGCTGGCGGTGCCTGGCGGTGAATTCAGAGTTGGTGATGTGGTGGCTTTCTAACCGAACATGACGACTTCTCATGTAGGACAAAATTTGCACTCGCCATTCACTGTGCTACTCGAGTGAGGATTTACCTGTACAAAATCCTTTATCTGTCGAACAGGGCATCTTTCCACGAATATTGTTCGGTTTCTCTAATCTTTGACTTCCAAAAGTCACCGGCTTCCAAAGCCTTCGCCCGTCAAGCTCTTCCCATGTGAACAAGACGGAATGCTGGCATGTTTCAAGATCCACATTACAGAACAAAGTGACTTGAGTTGGGAAGCTTAGAGTGACGACCCGAGGTCCCTGACTTTACCACAGCATGAATGCAAAATGAAAATACCATGCAGTTGATGCTTGATGCAGGAGCAATGTGTGGCTCCTTACGTTGCCCATCGTTGCCACTCTAATATTCGTAACAACGACAGTGCAGGTACTTAGTCCAGTCTGAGTGGAAGCTTTCAATGCTTTGAAATTGCTTTCGGGTTGCAGGCATCAAATTCAAGGCCTAATTTGTTTGAATTCTAACTGCCTAGATCATTTCAAAAATGGAACGCTGCCTGCTCCTGGTCTCCCTTTCAACCTAGAAGCCAGTCTTCGAATACTGCCTTAGTCATCTCATTTGATTTCAAGAGGGGCAAAAGAAAAGCCTCCTGCGGCCGGACAATGACTCAACCTCTGGGAAACATTTCGTCACTTATGGAAATGACTGGACGCCTAAACTGATAGTCAGAAGCCGCAACGACGTTTTACATCCACTTCATTAGGATATCACTTCCTTGTAGCTTCTTCCCCGGATATACGACTACTCACTTGGAACTACTGTATATAGGTACCTCAAGTTGCGTCAAGGCTTACTGCCAGTTTCAAGCGTTCATGTTGGACTTTCTGCTGCGGATGCGTCGATCTGCACCGTTTTTTGATTGGGATCTTGAGTAATACGGCGGATAGATAGCATATGATTTGAGCAGAGAACATGAAAAGCATAGCACCTTGAAACTGGTCTCTCTCCATAGAGTTCTTCCCCCGTAGGAAAGAGAAAGGCCACAGCTGAGATGACAATATGGCATATCACGGACGACATCTCAAATTCTAGTTCATCCAAGGCATAGGTATCTTTTTTCCGTGATGGATTTCAGCGAAGACTAAGAAACAAGAAATGAAGATGAATTGGCAAGGACCAATCCTCTTCAATCAATGAGTGGGCTGGGCCTACTTGTATTCGGTTTGTTATGACATCCCCGGCCAGCGAGCGAATGTAAGTTCCTTAGATGTTATACGCTTCCTAACACCAAGCTAAAGATTGAAGGATTCTGAGACGGTCCTCATCCGCCACTGAGTGAAAAGGGCGCAAAGGGTCACTGGGCTTGTTGTGGCTTCAACGCTGAAAGAATAGATGAACGGGGCCATATATTCGGATCCTAGAAAAACATACAGTTGACTGCTGGTATTGTAAATTCGCTTGCTGAAATTGAGTTTTTGAGCAAAGAACACTCGAAAAGATCATTTCGTTCACTCTCCCAAATTTGATCGCCTGGTTTAAATTTTAACAAATCCTAACAAAACTAATTCGCAAGCTTGCAATTTCGATAAGTGTCACTATTCAAACGTCAGGCCATCGAGTGATTGCGGTAATGCCAATTGCGAATATCAATCTTGCGCTGTGGGTTTGACTCAAAGCTATCTCTAGGCAGCCAACCTTTGCATCAACTTTTGAGACCTTCATTATTATTGTACGTTCTATCCATCAATGGACCAAGCTGGTCCGTTTTCCGCGAGATTGTACCAGTTTCGTCACTGCAGCGCTGACCTATGACACCGCGATCATGGCAGGATGACGGGATATGGGTGCAAGATGGAAGTCGGGAGAGATTAACGAGCTTGTGGAAACGAGCTGGACCAGGTCGGTGAATATTAGTAGGAAATGGTCGCCATTACTGATAAGCATGTTGCGGAAGAGAAAGGCAAGTGAAATAGCCTAGGGAAAAGTCAATGTCTGGAGACATACTCTTGTTCATTGCGGCATGGTTTTTCTGAGGTGTGCGTTTGGAGTTTGATGGGATTCTGTGGCGCCTGAGGAAGCCTGTTGCAACCCTGCACAATGATATTCCGATGCAGACGACCTACTGCCTGGGGTTCACCATACCCCATACATTATTCGCTTGAAATGGCCTCCTCACTGTGAGGTGTTCATGATCTCTGGGCATTCTCGTAGGGCGTGGACTTGGAAAAATTCATCTAAATGTGTGTGGTGCACCTCGACGTCGGAGATATGTTTGAGATATTAATATCAATGGCATACGAGTCTGGAATGTTACAGGCCGTTGAAATTTTCATCTCAATATACTATTAACCTAGTCATAGGCCACCCTAGGCTTAACCAGAAGCATCACAAGGCCGTAGTCAACTCCATTGGCAGTGCCGGCTTTGGTGAGACCTGGTGATGTGTTCAAAGTCGCAACATTACTCATCCAAAATGTATAATTGATGTAAGATATGACCACATGAAAAGGCTCGAGGCGGGTATTAGTATCTACTCTCGCACTGATAGCTTCAAGCGCATTAAGACGCTAAGAGTTAACTTTGTACCTCATGCATCCTGTTCTTCCAAAACCTCACGTAACCGTTGCTGGTTCACATCAAACACCACGATCCGCAAGGCATCATACACGAAATGCATCACGGAAAAATAGTTTGTAGCTGCTCAATAGCTTGTGTCTCTATTCATCAACAGTTCAAATACCAACAGTTCCGATCCCATTACGCACAATTAGACACCGCCGTGGCAAAAATAACATCAAAAGATGACTCTGCAGGAAAGGATGTTAGTATACTGCTCTTGTTTCTATGCACGATGTGTTCAACTGACCTGCATCAACGCCGACGCCTGCTGCAATCATTACATGCCCGATTGATCCTGTACGCTCCCACCGCGTTCTGGGGTGCAGGGCTCTTGCAGAAACCGCTCTTTCCTGACTTTGTTGTGTTTGTCCCGCATTTATACGAGTACTGTTGGAACAAGTGAGAGCAGCTACCATAAAAGCAGTACCATCCGCAGGGACAATTGTTCGGGTTGCCGGCGTCACCCACCAACACTTGTGTTATAACAATTTGAATTTGAGATGGATCGATTAAGACTGGTTCGTTCTGCATTTTTGAAGGCCTAGAATAGATGAATGGGCAGGCGAGATACGCGTGTTTAGTTTTAGGGGCTGAGGACTGAAGAGGGAATCTGGTGAAGTGGGACCCACCAGCAGCCCGGGCCAGCTTTATAGTAAGGTGACCTTTACGTTCAACTATGAAATCAACTTGAAGATCCCTGGGGTTTGTTGGTATAGCCTTGCGTTTGTCTATTTGACGGCACTGTTGGACGTTGCCTGCATGTGGTCATCAAGAAATTGCATTTTGAACCGCCCGGTTGTTGGTCGTGTGAGTGCGATCGCATTTATGATTGGTCGCCACATGCGGTGGGCTGACAATAACAGGGCTGGCCGCCAGTGTTTGTGCAACTGTAGGTAATCGCGCGGTTGGTTAATAGAGAAAGTGTATATCTATTTAAGGCGGCCGTCCAGTCCTGCCTTACCCCGCGCTTACATGGCACAGGACGTATTGCTTCTGTCCGCCTCAATCTTTGCCCCTTGCTGATAGCTCCAGCTTTGCTCACCTCAAACGGGCGATTAGGAATCGCCTGCTCCACCCTGGGAAGGCGTTGGCTTTTCCTCTGGCACTTTTTCATAATCTGTCTGGTATCACCGTCCCTTCGACCACATCGCCAACTCTCGCCACAAGCTACCACGACATGATCGATCCAGAATCCAGGTACTTTGCTCCTGGCGGTGCCCTCCAGCCGGGAGGGCCAAGCACATGGCACATTCTCGATTGGGACCAGAGGCGAGTAATCGCCGTCACCATGGATGAAGAGCAAGACAGCGAAGACCTGGCCATCGAAAATCTTAAGAAACATATCGACACTCTCCCGCCTGATGTGTACGCAATCCATATCTCTCCAGACGGAAGTTTGACTTCCATGTCCACCGACCCCGAGGATGACGAGACCACTAGCGTATATTATCCGCCCCTCGAGGAACTCCAGCGGCCAGAGGGCATCAGAACCATCATTCGCTCCGACCTGAAGGAAATTGATCGGCTTTCTCCCAACGTTGATCTTGTGTCATACCAAGCAGACCCTGGCGTCAATGGTGAGCGAAAGGTCATCTTCAAATATTATTTTATTGTACAGTTTCTGCATAGGCTATGGCATGAAATGAATCTGTGGATGCGCCTTCCCCAGCATCCAAACATCGTCCCCTTCGATCGACTTGTGGTGGACGAGCTGAACGGCCACGTTGTTGGGTTTACGACTGTCTTTATTCCCGGCGGCACAATTGAAGAAAACCCATCACGCGTATTTAAACTCAAATGGCTTGAGCAATTGACTCGTGTTGTGGATGACCTCAACCTCAAGCACGGCATCATGCATCAGGATATAGCTGCACGGAATCTGCTGGTCGATCCGTTGGCAGACAACCTTTTGTTGTTTGACTTTAACTTCTCGGGTCGTATCGGAGGCATTGGGCATGTCAACGAGCGAGACGATGTCAAGGGTGTCATATTCACCTTGTACGAGATCATTACCCGCGACGAACATTTCAGGAAGGTGTCCCATGAGCAGCAGAATCCTGCTGATGTTCAAGGGTTGACCACATGGCCCAAGCACCCAGAGGTGCACCTCGATCACCCTGTCTCGGAGTATCGAGCAGTTCTGGATCATTGGGTAAAAGGAAGGCAAGAAGGAAAGACAATTTCTGTTTATACGGAAGCGCAGGAACCTGTCGACTGGCCACTAATCGACGGGCCCCCAAAAAAGGAGCTTGTCTTCTCCGATGGGGAAGGCAATCCAACTACGGTGATGGGAGCCAGCTGGTTCGACATTCGCCGCGATGAGCGAACGAAAGGCAGCGTCATGCTGGACTGGCAGCGCCCACCACTAGATAGAGCGGTGTGAAACATGTATCCCCTGGGAGTGTTGTAGTCATGGAATGGAAGCGAGATAGGCACTTTCTTGACGATCTTGACTACACCTGCAGTTGATAGAAATGTTCTATGCATGGATTAAGCAGAGGTGGATAACGTGAAGGGTTTCTCCTTGAACGTGTACATGCATCATTCAGCAAGAATGCCCCAAGGTCTCCAAAAATCAACCGTAAACAAAGACTGAAAGGGATTGTCGATGAGACTTGATCGGCTTCGCAGCAAAGACCGAAGTGTTACGAAACTGCATGTAATTGAAATTAGCCACGCTTGACATCACTTTGATTCATCAGATCATCATTCGCTAATAGGCGCTTCCAGAAAATCGTGGGGATGGGCACCTGTGTGCACAGCATATACCTCGTTATTAGGTTGATCCCCAAAGCCAGTAACGTCGGAAAAAGACATCCTAATTTTTCGTTATGCTGTGCCTGAACGACAGAGGGGCGTCAAGTATGATTGTGGCTGACTGGCGATGTGTTGTGGTGAAGACAAGAGAAGGCCCCTGAGAGACGGAGCCGGCTGCGCTGAATAATTGGGGCCATTTATGGCTATTAGACCAATGAAAGCATCTCATCTGGCTGGATGACTCCGGGAAATCATCAGGCCGCGGACTCCGTAAAGATTTGTCCTTTAAGGCTCTAGCAGCGGAAAATAATCCCTCAATCGTTCACTCATTGAATTAGGAAAGGCTCTTAGTTCACGCATCCGGAAAGCACTTACACACAAATATCTTCGAGGCAGTTTCAACTGTTTCAACTTCCGTATGCGTAGCTATGGCGGAATGTCCGACCGGGATCCAGGTCTCTGCCGATTTGTCCGAGTTTCTGATATCACCAAGCGAATTACTTGAACAAAGACCGACCATTCACAACATCGTCAGCGGAGCTATGGTATTCAGAATCAAACCTGAGCAATCCATGAGCGGCATCACGAAAGAGAATGTCTACGAGATTCTGCTACTGAAACGCTCCGCGTCCGACTCGTTTCCCCTGAGGTGGGAAATTCCGGGAGGCACCGCGGACCTTGGCATCGATCAGGATCTAGTACAAGTCGCTATTCGTGAGCTTTGGGAAGAAACTAGGTTGCGAGCGCTGAAGGTCTTTTGCGCGGTCGGTTTAGGCCTCCCCAGTCATGTCAGCAACCTCAGCACGCTAGTCGAAGGAGAAGATGTCACGATGGACCAGACGATGAACTTCTGTCTGCTGGCAATTGATGGTCTGACCTGGGCAGTCTCGGCATTTATTATCGACGTAGAGGACTCGCAAGCGCAGATTGTATTGAGGGAGGATGAGCATTTGCAATGGGCATGGGTCACTGAAGAAGAGGTGAAGCAGAAAATGTTCAATTCTGAATCACTTGGACAACTTGACTTTGTCACCGAGGCTATGAAATACATGATCTTGGAAGGGTTCAGGCTAAGGAGGAAAATATAAAGCCATCTAATTTGCCAATTTATGGAAGAGTTCAGCTCAGAAAGACATCCGTTTGATGTGTCTCACTCCGAGAGTCCAAACCTTTGGCCACAGGGACATCTCTGTATTGCACATTCTTATTGATACAAAAGTGAACAGGCAATTCAAAGGAACAGTATGGTGAGATTCTGTAGGGTGGTTCTGAATGACGGTGGTTTTCGGAGATGGAACGAAAAAGAAAAAGGAAGGCATGTACCCATCGTCTATAATTTAGATATTTCCATGAACAGCTTTCATACTCGCTCTCGTCATCTTCATAAACCAGCTTTGGGCTCGAAGTAATTAAAGCTCTAAGTTCTTCATGGATCGCATTCACTATATCTACCGCACTTCCGAGACACTTAGGATGAGCGTTAATGGAGCAAACGCATAAGGTGTGGTGGGCGCAGTGGGACTGACTCCGACCAGCTGCGCGGACTTGATGCATATGTCCTCCAACTCAGCACAACAATCACTATTTTTGCAACGGAGGGAGACGAAATTCTCCAGCATTTCCTCATTGCTTGCCTTGCGAGTAGAATTCCCCTTATCAACCCAAATCTCCTTGGGATCGAAGTTGCCCACCACGACCTCGGCACCGCTCCTCTTGTAATAACCCGGGCGGCTGACTTTGCCGGCGACAATGTTGGCTGGAGGCTGGGCTTCATAAAGGGCCATATAATGCCTGTCCGGTTTGTTGTGGTATCGTTCGTCATTATGGTGAGGCTCAACTTCAAGATGTTCGTTGTCGCAATATGCGTTACGACATATCTGCGGTCATGCTGCCTGCAGCTCTGCAGCGGTCTGACTTCGCGGATTCTCTGCAACGGCACAAGCTTATACTTCACGGGGCACACGCTTCTGGACAGTTGGCCGGCACCTCCGTTCTCATCTCCATGGACGGGCCGAGTCGATTGCCTCACATTTCGGCCTTGCCAAACCATGGCTGGAGGACACTCGTCGCACTGACAGTCAAAATCAGGCTTCTGCATCCATCCGTTTATCCAGTCGGTATCATGGTCGTTGCTATACTCATTGACAACAGGATGGGGAGTGGCGCCTACATTCCCCTTCGTTGTGCAGGTAATGAGCCCTAGGTTCTGATTCCTGACGACAGATGCATAGCGGATGCAAGCCCGAGGGTAGTCGTAGCATTTGCAGACCTTGGTTATTGTACTGCGGGCAACAACCGTACGCGTGGACTTATCTCCCTTCCTACGAAGCATCACCTTCTTCGCGAAGCTGCTGACCTTGTGAAAGATATGGCCTGATGGTTTCATTCACTCTATTTGAATGACCTTGATTACATGATGCATTTGATGAAAGCACGAAACATCAGATAATCCCGGAAATAAAAAAGAAACGTAAGCAACTCATAAAGGAAGTGACTCTTATTTTTTGTGTTTCACGAGAAAGTGTGCCTGAAACGCATATGTAGAGCCTATCTGAAGGTAGCAGAAGAGAGTGTTGGGTGTTGAAGGTAAACTTGAAGAGTCTACCCACACCGCTGGGTCCGTGGCGAGAAGTATGTAACCAATTAACGAGACGTAACCCGGCCGTGGCTCTCTCAATTCTGATATCTTCATGGGTTCCAACCGCTCAGCGCCTTCTGCAGAACTTCGATCCGGCCATTGAGAATTGGCAGGGTCTCATCAAACCAAGCGACGGCGTTCTTAGGTGACTTCGCCTTCGCCGACCGGCTCATACCAAGCAAAAGATATGCTGATGCTGGATCCTTCTTGTGGTAATATTCGTTGAGACACAGTTGAATGGCTGCCTTTTTTGCCTTATCGGTCATAGACGCGGGTGCCTGTTGGGACAAATAGGACAAGCTTCCGTAGAAATCGTCAAGGCGCACACACTTGCTCTTCGAGTTGGGAGGTTCCTCTGCTCTGGTGTAATAATTGACCTGCCCGGTCTTCAAGTAGTATGTGTCGAAAGTTGTGTTCTGCTGTTTGGCGCATGTGGCGACTGCCTGACACATAGGGAAAATGTTTTTAGCGTAAGTGGTCATATTGTCTGTTTGATTCTGAGCTTCTGCGTTGAGGGGATGTTCGATTTTTCAATACTGACGCGAAAGTGACGGGAAAAGACCAACGAATTTAATTTATCGTTGCTGAAGTTGTTGCGATGGTTAAATTTCCAGAGCAAAGTGATTGCAATTGCGGAGATATAGATGCTTGAAAAAGACCAGACTTTTTATATTTATGATTGAAAGCCTTTGACATATGTATCATACACTTCATCTAGACAACTACAATGCTGAAGCCTACTTCGATGGGACGATCGAAGGCCCACGGACTCATCACTCAAGAACTAAAGGCCATCCCCTGAGAGCTGAATGCAAGTGGCTGGAGAAGGTGGGACCCCGGTTCCCACCCCGGTTCCCACTATCTAGTGTCATCACATTGGTGTCTAGAACCAACTGCACGTGTGACTTTTCGGAGCTGTTACTCTAGGTACCTTATGCAGTGGCTGGCTGAGAATGTTTGCCCAGTAAGTGCCATTCTGAGTTCGCCGGGTGCGGCGGGCGTCTCTCTCATCGCTTCTCACATTCGCGAGGAACTATCGGAGGAGTTGCAAGAGCAGTGGAGAACGCGAGTCCAATCTTCCGCACGCCTTGTGGCTAGCTGAGAGAGCTTTCCCATTGCCACTTAGACCTCCGCTGTTCTAGCTGTTCAGCTGGTCGCAAACAGCGCATAACTAAGCCTTCTCATAGGTCGCAGTCAACCCTGTATTCATTAGTTGTGCATCTAGATTCCCATCAACACCTTCTGGACCCTTCGCAGGTGATAGTGTGAAGCGAGCTGGATACTATGCAAGGGCCAGCTGAGGACTGGACGCTTTCCAACGACATGGATTACGGGAACGAGACTAGGTTCCGACGCCACAACGCTAACTACTTCGATGCCGTTACCCGGTTGCTCAGTGCTCTCGCTTGCTCAACTTGGGACCAGAACTCGCAAACGGTGCATGCGCCATCAACGAAAATTATGTGAGCGTGCTAAAGTGGTGGTTGAGATGTCAATTGGGTATGTCTCTGTTTAACCGTACATGTGTCTATATTACGTTCCGTTCAGTGGTCCAACGAGCTACGTCCCTAAGGGCGCTCATTGGCAGCAGGATCAACTCGACTACGATGCCTCTATTTGTCAAAAAGTCGCACTGCGCATTTGTGAGATGGTCCCCATGAAACATGCCCTGGTCTTCCAAGATCTTGATACTCCTTTCGAGCAAGTCTTGCGATCGTAGAATGACCTCCTCGGCATGCTCAGAGAGCTTCTCAATGTCCCTTGAAGTCTCCATCGCGACATTCCAATTTGTGTCGCTCAGAGTATCGTAGCCCAGTAGCCGCATCTTCTTGCCAGCCGAATATGTGTAAAAGTCCTTTGTCCACCTATGGCTCATCTCAACAAACAGGACTTCAACTGTGAGCTCGATACCATATTGCTCAACCTTCTTCTTCTCGAAGGACGAGCTGCTGATCATGAGACCGGTGTCTCCTCCCAGTCGGTAGCCCCAGACAAAATAATCACCGTACTGTTCTGTGAATGCTGTGTAACCTCCTCCATACTTTAACATGGCCAGAGCTTCATGACACAACCGAGGGTTGCGTTCGAGCTCGACCACACCGCAACGTAAGCTCGCCCGGATGGAGCTCTTATCTGACTGCACGACTCTTGTCAGTTGAGGACAGTAGAGATATGAAGATCATTTCGTACATCATTGTTTTCCTTAAGGTCTTCGTCGTAAGTGCCTTTGACGGAAGCCGAACATAGGATCGGCAGACCTACTCCAACACCAAAGCCAAGAGCAAGGTGCTTACTTGTCTCGGTCTTCCTCGATGTGCTTACGGAGTGGAAAGAGGAACTGCTCCCATAATCGCTATGAAGAACTTTTGGGATCGTGTAAAAGTCTGAGAGAATGAATGGATTATTTTGGAGCCAGGGATCGTCAAGATGCTTCGATCGGAAACAGGTTCCGAGGCGGACCGCTTGCTTCTTCCATGGAAGGACCACAGGTACTCCTTGGGCAGTCTGTTGAGCCACCCAGTTCGTGTCTTCTTCGTCGAGTTGAAGCCAGTCGTCAAACTCGTTGTCCTGGATTTTCTGTCGAGACATGGCAGCTGTTGTTTGCACATGGCCTGGACAGACTGTGGAGATGCATTCATTACCAGGTGATGCATTTTCAACTCGTTGTCGAACACGGCCGAGGAGCATCGGTTGCGAGATGGACGGGACGCAGACCATACTAGGCAAAAGGGGCGTTGGCAGATCCGTCGTCTAATGTTGAAGCTAGCGGCCATCCCCGCCTTCAGCTTGCAACATCACACGGCCTGGGCCGTTCGGGTGATTTCGAAAGACGCCACCCCTGAGGCTGCTTGTCCCATGACTCAAGAAGCTAATCCATTCTCCTCTGAGCTGAACCTGCGGTCCATCTAGGTCATGTTCCAGACGCTGGTTTCAGGAGCACCACGATTGTGTCCACGTAGGCGTGGGCGGCTATCACCACAAACTATCACCACTAGCCTGAATTTCTGAACTCAACCGAGATGTCCTCTATGCGTCCTTGCAAAGACAATTAGCGATACGTACACAGGCTCATTTTTCTGTTCTTGAGGTCGTGGATTAATCACCCGCGTTGCTGGTTGTATGGTTCCAAATAAAGATGAAGGACAATTTCTCCATCTCCGTCCTTGCGAGAGCAGCCCTTTCTCTTCAACGAATTTCCTCGCTACCATTTGGCCTCTATAGCATATTTTTCCTCGTCACGCTGGAAAACATCCAACACAATTCAACATGGCTCTTCTCCTTGCGCCTTACACCAACGCCATGAGGCTTGGGCAAGGGTAAAGTCCACCAATATTTCACTCTCGAGGGTGCCCCAGCTAACATTGGGACAGCTTCAACTCTTATACCCAGCAAATATGTGTCGATGATGCCGTTGCCATCGACCCTAACAGAGCGGAGAATATCGTCACCAATGATGGTACCACTATGCGAATCGTGGCAGAACTCACTGGCAAGCCAAGCGCCTGGAACCGAATCAAAGAGGTGGTCAAGGAAGGGCCCCTCGTCGAACCCGGGCCTGCCGAAAGCGAACTGGACACCCCGCAGGACTCATCGTCGGAAGCAATTGTCAAGCCCACAGGGCCAGATCCTAAGGTGATTGAAGCGGCCAACCCAGCACCAGGATCTGGCGAAGCTGTTCAAGAAGAAAAGGCTTCAGTGTCGGACGAGGTGGCCGAGGAGGTGCTTACTCCTGAAGTCGGCAAAGATGCAGCTCCAGCAAGCGAAGATTCGCCCGTCAGCGAGCCAGAAGAGACAGTCAAAGTGCCAGCAAGTGAGAGTAGCTCTGTGGTTGAAGTTGATCGCGAAGACGCTGCCGCTGCCGCAGCAGCAAATCAAAATGATAGCCAGGCTGCGCCAAGCAAAGCAGAGCCTTCTTCTACCTTGCCGCCTCCTGCTGGAGAAGGCGAAAAGGCAGGACAGGAAGTCGCGAAGACAGGCAAATCTGCCGCCCGTACATCTCGGAACCGATCGTCCTCTGTAGACAACAAGCAGTCGGTTTCGACGTCCGCACCAGCCATTCGAAAGTCGGACAAGTTCCAGGTCAAGGAAATACCATCTCGGCAAGCTCAAAAAGGGGTTCTCACAGTCCCTCAACATCTTGATGAGCTTGCTGTGGAAAAAGCCAATCTGGAGAAGGCAGAGAGGCTCGAATTATTGCAAGAAGAGAAGAAGCGCATGGCTGAGCACCGCGCATACCAACGCGAGCTTGAGATGGAGGGACGCAAAGAGCAGGCGCGAATTCGACAGGAAGAAGCAAAGGAGCAAGAGGAGCTCCGCGCAGAGAAGCGAGCTTTTGAGAAGGCTCGCCGTGAGGCAGCGCAGAAGGCCATCAATGAAGCTGTGGCAAAGAACAAGGACGCCTTGACGCTTGAGGAGCTGAACAAGATCAGGGCCCAAAATCAATTTGCGGATCGCTTCGAAGGCATTATGAAAGAGGACAAGAAGTTCTACTTTGACCCATCTTCTGGTCGTGGCACAAGTCAGACTGTCACCTATTCGAGCAAGTTCATTGACAAGCTCAGCGACATCACGGAGGATATGTGCATTTCCGGCGCTCTCTCTGTCAAGATGGCCAAGATCGGTGGCTCCGGTCGAGGATCGTTTGTTGACTCTGACAAATTCAAGGAAAGTGACTTGAGCTTTTATGTCAGCGTCAAAGTCATCAACCAGACTGTCAACTTCAAGGATGCGCTCGAGTTCAACAAACTGCGGTCAGTTGACATCGCCTCCGACGACTTCAACAAGGTGTATGGTGACAGCTTCATCTCAGGCTTCGTCGAGGGAGGCGAGTTCAATGCCGTTGTCAGCATGAAGGTGCACAACAAGGCAAAACTTCTCGACATCAAGGCCGAAGCCAAGGTTGCCCTCACCACAGGGCCCGTCGATATCACGGCGGAGGCCAATGTTGGGATCGCTCGCACCAACCTCGAGATGAACACCGAGACCACTATTCAGGTTAGCTGGTGTGGAGGTGGAGTCATCAAGCCCATGGACCAGCCTTGGAACTTTCAGAGTATCATGGAAGCTGCCGCTCGCTTCCCTGAGTTGGTGTCCCATTGTCCTCAGCGCACCTACGCCATCCTCACAAAGTACGACACGCTTCGCAGCTTCGTCGCTTTGCGCCCAGCTTCGTTCTCGCCATTACAGTACGAGAACGCGCAGATGTACACCAACGTGCTCATGGACGCATTCATGACATACAAGTCTATCTACAAGAAGCTAGGTGATCAGAGTTTCAGCATCCAGAACAAGATTCTTGAGTTTGAGCCCGTGGATGCGGCGCAAGCGGAGGCCTACAAGACTGCCGCGATAGAGGCTGCAGCAAAGAAGACGCCTCTGATGGTTGAGCTCGAGCGTAAAATCGACACGAAGCATCCGCGAGCGGCAGAATTTCAACAGTACCTGGGAGCACTTCAATCCGCTGTTGACATATCTCGATTTGAGGCTTCTATGAGAGGCATCAGCGATGCTCGTAAGTTTATCCGCCGTCAGATGGTCTACATTGTCAACGAAGTGGACCTCATTGAGAAGGACCCGAGGATTGCAACCGAGCAAGACCACGAGGAGCCGTTTCAGTCTCCCCTCATGTTTGAAGAAAGATTGCCGGCTACTAGAATACCGGATCGCCTAAAGCCCAGGTCTGATCCTCTTGGTGGTCGCCGGATCATGGCCAAGACTCAAACCGAATCAGAGCTCGAGGAAGAGCAGAAGTCTCAAGAAGCAGCTGACGCGGATTCGCCGCCACTGTACACCATGGAACAAGACCTTTCCCTCGAGGAGACCGCTTCTCTGGATAAGATCAAGGAAAAGTGCCCGGGAATTGGGAACCACCTGAGAGTTTCTACGGCAGTTCCAAAGGCGGACGGTGGAGTGCTCTTCAATAACTTGGACTTTCTCTTCCCGGAGTGGCAGGTGGAGCATATCACCATCGGAATTGGCATGGGCCGCGTTGTCTCAGTAGAGATCAAGTACGACAATGGGTTGATTCTGCAGAAGGGTCTGGTGAGTGGATGCGGCTTTATCAAGGTCGCGACCTGTCGTGCTAACAATACATGTGTCTTTAGGCTTTTTCCGACGTCAAGTTCAAGACTCTGAAGGAATTCCAGTCTGGCGAGCGCATTACCTCTGTGGCAATCGAGGTAGGTGAACTTGCGTCCGGTGGTACGGGAGAGCGAGTGTTGTCAATCTGCATGTACACCACTCGCGGCCGTAGACTACTGGGGCAAGCGGTCCGGAACGAAGTGCTATCGACGGACCTGGTGCGAAAGGACGGCGTTGAGTATAAGAAGGCGCACACAACTTTCGTCGATGCAGCGTTCAGCTCTGGAACGTTGAAGGGCTTCTTCGGCCGGCTCGACATGGACCAAAAAACAGGGGGTCTTTTGCGCGTCGGTGTGATTTGGGGTGCCAACACCACGAGCACATCGGCTCTGACTACCACCGTGCAGGAGGTCGCGCCCATCTACGATACCGACGAGATGTCTACCGCGGCAACTATTGAGACCTTCCGTGGACAGGTCCGCACCGCCGAAGACCAAACGCGTTCTGTCAGGACCGAGCTCTCGGCTGCCCAGGATCGCGAGCGCTCGCTGAACGAGAAGAAGACGCAACTCGAGGAGACAATCCGGAACCTTGATCAAGAGAAACAGCGATACAGCCAACTCGCCAACACAGCAGAGAATAGCCGCCAAGATGCTCAGGATCGCTTGAACAAGGATCGGCAGATCATCGTTGGTGCCATCCAATACGGCGGGAGGGATTATATGTTCAACCAGAAGATCCACAGCAAAGTGCGAGAGTATGTCACCAAGGGCTGGACCCTTGAAATCTCGAATGGTTTCTTTGAGGAGGACCCGTCACCTGGTAATGGCAAGAATGGCATAATTACTGTTTGGTCTTCTCAGTCAGGCACGCGAAGTCTCCAGGGAGGCGAGGGATCATCCAGAGTCCTTCTCTGATACCATCAGATGTTCAATGACGGCAAAGGCCTGGACTTCACAATCTTTCACAGCAGAAAAGCCGGTGCCAGCAGGGGACGGTGTAATTCGGGACTCGTTGAAGAATTGACCCTATGTAGACGCTTAGTGTTTGAATCAAGCAAATCGATGACCTCCATGTTTCTTTTGAACCAAGCTCAGAGTCAATCATAACTACTATGGCAGTCTAGCGAAAATGGCAGTCGAGGATGACTTTCAATTTCCGAAAGTGAATCCGTGAATACGTGTGATGCCACTGTTGTTGCTATTGCTTGTAATGATCAACCTGCGATGACCTGTCTCGTTTGTAGGCTCATGATTGGGTCCGAATGTCCGCTATCTTCCATCTGTTTCAACTCCGCCATGAGATCCGGCTCACCCAAAAGCAATGTTTTACCTGCGACTTTCCAAGCCCCTTTTGAATCATCACCATCCACGGGGACTAATAGCCACGCCCTCATCCACGCGCAGTCTTCTTGCAGCAGGTCTGTTGGCACTGCTACCCTCATCCGAGTGTCAATATCACTCGCACGGAAGTTCTTCGTGAAGCTGAAACCCGTCAAAAGTGCATCTTTTCCATTTCCAGTACATGGAATGCGCAGAGCCAGTGTCGAGATCCAATAAATGGACCTTGGGTCCGTAATCCATGTTAAGAAGGCCATAGCAACTTCGACTGTAAGATGATCGTCGTTGCCAACCCCGGTTTGGCCGCTCGGAGAAAAAGCCATGAGAAAGTCCTCCGCATTGGGACGGAGATTCTCGTTCACTATGAAGTCGGCAAATATGCCCGTGTTGTAGTTCCACTGCACCACTTCACGATCGAGCTGGGCCCAAAGGCGCCTCACCAGGCATGGTCCACCCGACACCGCGGCAGCAAGGAACCGTCTTCGAGGCGTATCCATTTCCTCTTCAGGCTGGAAGCTCGGCATTTTGACTTGAGCTTTGAGCGGTGGCGGTGTGTTCCTGATAACGCCCGGAAAGACGGTGTACGTACGCTGAAGCTCCGTATCCGAAACCCACAAAACACCACGATTGAAGAAGACCAAGTCGATTTCGATCCTGTTAAAGGTTACGGCGTGGATCCCTTTGATACCGCCCAACGTGAACTTGTCGAGCGTTGTGTCCGCCGCCGTGACCGGTCGCGCAAGCCATGATCCCTTACCGCGAAACGTCAGGGGGTCCATGTTGGTGAAAGCAAGCGGCATCTTTTCACCCGCCGCCAGTGCTAGTAGAACAGCCAGATAGTAAACCTCGTCTATTGTCGGCTCCTCAGATCGGAAGAATGCCAGGCCAAGACCGATGAGGTTGAGGCATACGCTCAGCCTGTCCCCGGGCATTAGACACCCCGTCTGAGCGATGGCGTTGAATTTTGCCATGAAGCTGGACCGGATCTCACCGACCTTGCGTTCTGGGTTGTCGAATCGCGGCGACGTGCGATTTGCAAAACCGGAAAGGATCGGGTTGAGGTGCGTGCTTCGTTCAGTCTTGTGGCCGAGTTGTACCGTGATCGTTGCCAGAATTGCATGCAATGTAGTCCATTCTACCGTGACAGTCCGATCTTCACCAAGACCTAAGATAAAAACAGTGTTGTGAACCCGTTGATGCCGCTTGTCACTCCACGGCTCGGCAACCACGAATTCGTGATAACACCATGAGCGCTGCCACCACCGCGCCGCGGCCACTTTATCATATAGCGAGATTAGGTGTGAGGCCTCTCTATCATCAGTCGGGCCCCTTTCCAGAGCATATGGAGACCGATAGCCATCATATAGGTCAAACATCTCGGCCTCGTCGTTGGTGAGCTCGACGTCTTCCAGAAGTACCACCAACTTTCGGCAAGATTTGTAGACAACATCCATTGACGCGATAGCTCTCTGCTGCTCGAATTCGTCGCTCTGATTGATGCAGACCTGGTCTATCCATATTCCCTCCCGTGGATGCCCTCGTAATTCAAAGATTGCGTTCGCGAAGCGTTTCCCAACCGGCCACACACCTCCGGGTTCAGGCACCGAGTGAGGAGTTCCCGGCCAATCCGGGTTTTGCCAACTATAACTGATGGCTAGAAACTGTCTAATGACAAATCGACTGTCGAATGGGATTCCGGTTGGGCTCGAGCAAAGCAGCCGGAAAGCAGTGTCGAGAATAACGTCTGATGTGCGTCGCTGGAAGCGTTCAGCAGCCTCAGCGGACCACGCCTGGAGGTTACCGAGAATAAGGTCGGCTTCATCGCGGCTTGAGTCTAGGCTGCCAATGGACTCGGAGAAGAGATTGAGCTTGTTTTCTCGGGTTAACGACAGCTTGAACAGATCCTCTGAGATTTGCTCGACTTTGAGGATGTCCTCTGCTTGCTCAGGACAGTATTCGATGAGGCCAGGCATTGTGGACAGTATTTTCCGAGCCGCCTGACTGAGCCTTCGTCCCCAAGCTAAAATTCATGAGACTTTGGGGCCGGGAAAGGTCTGATGGAATGCGCACAAGGTATATAGTTGGCAGTCAGGGGAAGTAACTTCTTTAAGACCTTCCGTTGTGTGAAATAACGAGGTCCAACTCCCCCTCTTTGCAGTTGTGTGGGTCGTATGCTCAGCTAACTATCCGCAGGCACTTGACTTGTGGTGTGATCGTTCAGGCTGCAGCAAAGCCTCGAATATCCATATTCGCAACCCTTTTCGGTTAGTAGCTTGGCCAAGCCTCGTTACCTCCAGGCTAATCCAATTACGCTACTACACCGAGTCATAAATATGGAATACTAAACACAGTCGCGGTTCAATGAGATGGCCTTTCAACAAGTTGATCAGTTAAGTTAAATAGAGTCCAGATAGTCCTACAGGCTTGAGAAGTATTGGCATACTTGTTCGTTGGCCCGGGCCATGTAGACTTTGTGCCTAACTTAATCTTCGCAGCGGATCTTTCAATTTGACTGTTCTATTCTATGATTGATTAAAAAGTCGATGAGCTGAACATTCTTACAAGAACCATCGGAAGTGAGGGCTCTTGGGTCCATCGCCCAGCTTTGACGTCGGGACTTCACTAGCAGTCAAAGTAACGCCCTCGGCCCGGTTCCTCCTTCGGTTATCCCACATCATGTAGAATCCCAAAGCAAGCGCACAAGAGGCACCTACTACACCGAACGCAGCCGTCGTAATCAACGCGGGCGCGTATTTCGGAGCGTCTGGCTTGCGGAAGATGTTGCTGCTGACAAGACCCATGAGGTTGGCCAATGGAACACCAATTGAAGTCAGGAGCACACCTGTTGTCTCGATATTAGTCTTCACGTAGCACAGGAACATGGGGAAGTCTTGACTTACGTTGGTTTTCGTTGACAACGTTGTTGTTGTACCAAGTCGACAGAAGCACACTCGGCGCCGAAGTGCCCCAGGTCATCATGAAACAGGCATAGTATGCGAGCTTGATCTCGGCCTCAACATCATCGATGGCGGCGTATATGATGAAGCCGATGAAAGTGAGCATGAAGCCCAAGGCAATGAACGGGAAACGCAGGCGTCGCCAGTCTGAGAGAAAAGCGAGAATCAGGAGCACGACGGCACCGCTGACGTTCGGGGCCACCGTGTAGAGGTTTGTCTTGATGGTGCTGTAGCCCAGACGCTGCACAATTTGGGGCATGAAGAGGCCGACGCTCTGGAGCGGGACGCCGAGGCAGATTTCAATGGCGAGGAAGCCAAACTAGGAGAGAGTAGATCAGCAAGGGGTTTTATCTCAAGGACTGATTTGAAAGGATGAGAGGGTGGCGCAGAGGCTTACCGTTGTCGGGTGCTTGAAAACCTTGGCTGCCTCCCGCATCTTCATCTCCTCTCCAACCACGGATGAGCTGTCGACTCGGATACGGTGGTGAGCAAGCTGCTTCTCTTCTTCCGTGAGGAATTTAGCCTCTGCGGCGCTGCGCGGAAGATACCAAAAAGCGAAGACGGAGAATAGGATAGTCGCAGTCGCCTCAATGATGAAGAGCCATCGCCAGGGATGCAACTTGGTGTTGGTGATGTGGAACACTCCAAAAGCCAGAAGACCGGAGAAAGCATTGGCCTAAATATGGGTTAATCGCGCGTTCACGTATGTTCGTAGATTTGGTGGAAGGAGACCCTACAATGTTGGAAGCGGCGTAAAAGATGGCCAAGCGTCGTGCGAGCTCACCGCGACGGTAAAAGGTGGTGAGGTAGTAGATGACGAGGGGGAAGAACGCCGACTCCGCCATGCCGAGGAACCACCGCAGCGCAAAGACGCCTCCAAAGTTTTGCGCGGCGGCCATGAGCATCGTCATCGTGCCAAAGGTGAACATGAGAATGGGGAGGACAATGGCCGGACCGAATTTCTTGCCGATGAGGGCCACAAAGGGCGCGGCCGCGACGAAGGGCACGAAGAAGATGCTGACAATGAGGTTGTACTGGCCGTCCTTGAATCCAAGATCCTTACTCATGCCATCGGTTTCGGCGTTGCCCAGGTTTCCCTTATCGAGCGCGTTGAAGAGGTCTGGCGAGGAAGTGTCAGTGGTGATGGGTGCATCGTCCAGCACTGCAAGGGGAGCCAGCAGGCTATCTTACACATCATGGCTAGCACGGGCAAGATGTGAAAGTCCAATTTCCTGCACAGCGCGCGCTCAGCGGCCTTGTCGATGATTTGGACCACATCGTCATCGTAGTCATTCTTCTTGACGTGCTCGCCGTCTACAGATCCATCGCGAATTGATCCTTCGGACCGTACCGCCGGCGTGATTTTGCTGTCTTTTGCAGCCTCCATCGTGATTATCGGAGGGGTTCTGGTTCGTACAACTCAATGCGAGAGGAAAACCGAGAGCGGTGGTTGAAAGATTCAAGCAGTGCGGAACAGAGCAAAAGAAAAGAAAGCAAGGTTACAGTTACCCCAACTGGGACATACTACTTAGATACATAAGCTTTGGTCGGAGTTGTTGGAGTAGCATTTGCTGATCCAGCATATCTTTCCCTGATTGACGTATCTCTCATCCTGGCCGCATAGAATACTTGTGGCTGGTTCGTAAGTGTGAAAGACAAGCTCGTTGGTGGCCAGAGATAAGAGTGATACTCCAGGTGGGGTCTTTCATCCACGCACCCTCCTCCGGTATCCCATCCGTGCCACCCCTTTGCCAGGAGTGAGCTTCGACTCGACGTCAGTTCGCCGGCAGCGGGACATTTGCGACGGTAATGTGTATTCCCGCTACCACGAAAGCTATGAAAGTAACAGATCAATGTTCATCAAATTCAAAAAAAAACCCCGCGTGAAAGTACGTGACGCAGTAATATGAAGATAGCACGGGAAGCCCATGTGACTTCATGTTCAAGTTGGTATACAATTCTTAATCTCCAGTGCTCATCAAGAACGGCCTTCGGTCATCGTCCGTTATTATGCGATCTCTTATTAAGTCTTGACGTGGGAAGCGCTTCTCAAAGATAGAAATGAAGGACAACATGGCACATCTGCTTTAGGTTTTACGGCTTGATAAGGATGGATGCCGATGGCCGTGCTATTGCTATGACAGAACAGCCCATGTATCAACCTGCACCCCACAATCCACAAAGTTTACAGCGACTCCATAGTAGAGAGATGGGCCGGCGAGGACTGAAGAGCCGCTATCCGGCCCCTAAGACGAAGTTGGCCGGCGGTGACCGGTTCGTGGGTGTTCAGCATGACACATTCAAAGGCTCACGGACGCGAGCATCTCCTGATAAAAGCCAATTGCTACAGGAACTGCGTCCCACTTACAGATTGAACCGAGAAAGCGGGACAAAACTACGATTCTGAAGCGACCCGCAGGTGAGATACTCGGAGAAGATAAGGATGAGGTGTGCTATCCGGGGTGTTGAAACGTTGCAATCTCACTCACTCCAGGATTGCGGGGTTGATAGGACGATCCCACACAACTCTCCGCGGGCAGCTCAGGCTCATCCGAAAACGGAGCTTGCAATGAGCATTCGCGTCCAAGAGAAGACAATGCTCACGATGGACGCGATGGGCTATTGATGGAGTTTGTGGATAATCAGTCACTCCTATGATGAATACCTAAATTTCGCTAGTTGATAGATGACCAAAACAAACTGAATATACTAAGACAAACTCTTGCACTTTGCTTACACCGCATGCATCCATCGTCAACTCAAATAAAGTCAACACAACACCACACAACCAACCATGTCCTCCTCCAAGATCCCCGTTCTGACCGATAAGGCCCCCAAGCCCTTGCCCGGCATCTACAGTCAAGCCATCATTGCCAATGGCATGGTGTTCTGCTCCGGCGCCGTTCCCATGGACCCGGTGACTATGGAGATCATCGATGGTGACATCCAGGCACATACGGTACGTGCATGTATGCGCTAGAAATCTACCGATCTGCGGCCCTCCCATGCGCCATGATCGGACACCAATGTCGCTAATTGGTCACCCCAGCATCAATGCATCAAGAACCTTACCGCCGTCTTGGAAGGAGCCGGTACTACGATTGACAAGGTCGTCAAGGTGAACGTGTTCCTCGCCAACATGGACGACTTTGCTGCAATGAATGAGGTCTATTGCACCTACTGGGGCGAAGTCAAGCCTTCCAGAACGTGAGTATGATAACGTCCTTCATTTTATAAAAGATGCTGACCGGGGATAATTCAGTTGTGTTGCGGTCAAGACCCTGCCACTGAATGTCGACGTTGAGATTGAGTGCATAGCTGTTCTGTAGATCGAGTTAATTTGAAGAGGGAGGCCATTTAGGATGTATTAATAGACTGGAGATAAGAGAAGGCTGATACAAGGAAATGAATATCTATGATGAACATGAACATTTCAATCCCCGGCCCAGGTTTTCTTCTGAGCAGCATCTTCATGCTGTCGCTCACTTAGCATGCTGAAATCTGACATTGGGTGACTCTGGATTATATCGCAAATTGAATTGAAATGGAGCAGCCGACTCTGGTTTATTTCAGTTGTTATATCCTCACAGCCACCTCTCTACAACAACTCTACAAGCTTATCGCAGAAGTACGTGATAGCTCTCCTCCCATCTTCCAACGCCTCATCCATGGCAATAAAGGGATGCGGCTGCCCCTTCATAATATGCACATCCGTCTGCACACCCGCATCCTGGAGCTTCTTCCCAATAGCCTCGCCCTCGCTCCGCAAAACATCGAGCTCACCAACAACCACCACCGCCGGGGGCAGCTTCGACCACTCGCCCTCCCACAACAGCGGACTCGCCTCCGGGTGCGCCCAGGTCGCCTTGTCCGGCAGATAATGGTAGCGGTACCACATCATCTTCTCCGCCGGCAGCGCGGGCGTGAACTCATTCTCCCTCCACGACGCGTGCTCCGCCTTTGTCGAGTCGGCCGTGGCGGTGTTGTCGGCGACCGGAACGGAGAGCAGCTGCGCTGCCACGGGCGGGAACGCTGGTTGCTTCGTTGCGCGCTGGCATACGATGGCTGTGAGGTTGGCGCCCGCTGATGAGCCTCCGATGGCGATGCGCGTGGTGTCGAGGTTGAGCTTCTCGGCGCCGGTCGCGGAGAGGGCCCAGAGCACGGATTCCCAGCAGTCGTCGACGGCTGCAGGGAAGGGATTCTCTGGTGCGAGTCTGCGAGGAAAGGTTAGTAAGTGGGTACTTGCTGCGACGCAAACTTCGGCTTTGGACCGTCTTGACCCTGTGATGCTTTACTACTCACCTATAGTCTACGCAAATCACGACGCATTTCGCCCGATTGCAGAGGTGCGTGGCGATGACATTCTCCGTGTCAATGTTGCCCAGAACCCAACCGCCGCCGTGAAACCAAAAGCACAGCGGCCATCCCTTGGCGGGTCTCTCTCCCAAGGGCGTGAAAGCTCGCAGGAGGATATCCGGCCCTCTCGTCTCTTTCCTCGGAATGGTAAAGTCTTCTGAGCTCGCGACCTCGAGCTTGGGGCCGGCGCCTGGAATTAGGGTCCCGCTTGCACGAGACGCTGAGATAGGTTGGTGGTGGACGACTTGCTTGTCAAAAACAAATTTGTTGTAAAAGTCCTTGTACTCTGGGTTGATGCGGTCGACGACCGAGGGGTGCAGGGGATAAGGAGGCTCAGGCATGGTGGCGATGTCCAAGGGAAGCAAAGGTTGGTGCTATTAGGTCGACGGCGTGTTGCAGGCTGGCACTGGAGATTGTCGAGCTGCTATTAAGCCTCACTTCCCAGCTGTGTCAAAGCAAATGTTCAATCGGCAACTCGCCGTCTTTAGCCGGGAAACTCCTCCGAGCTCCGGTCAACGGCCGGATGCCCTGTCCGACGTGACACCCCGCCTGAGCAATGGCTTTCAAAGGCAAGATACGGATACCGAGAGCTTTATCGGCGAGTGGAGCAGTCTGGAAGGTTAAGATTTGGCCCATCAATGCTCTCAGGGGTTGACTTGCGTCATGCTACATGACCCCTCCAAACCCCGCATGGGTCAATCGTCAAAAGATGTCGATGAATCAGCACATCTGCGAAGATTGGATGAGGCAGCATGAAATCTGTAAGCCTTTTGAACCGGGCTATAAATTCAGTGGCCTACCAAACTTCTCATTAACCCGAGCTGGGTTGGAGAGAGACGGACCGGAAAGGCCTCAATCCTGAATCGGATGAGCTAGCCAGGGTTGGTATGTGCCCGTTGGTTGGTCTTGATCGAGATGTACGAGCCGAACTCCGGCGCCTGCTTTCATCCATGGTAGCTTCGTGTTGTCTGTGAAAAGATTGAAACGAAGCACAAGTCTGTGCTCAAAACGATGTTATCTCGAGGAAATTCATCCATGAAGACGACCTGAGGTCCGAGAAACTCGCAAATCCGGATCCGACCTTGCCAGCGGGTGGTTCCTATCCGATCTTCGGGCCTCTAACGGTAAAGTTGAAACGGACATGGACACAAGTAGAAAGCACAAGGCAGAGGAACGGTTGAACGGAGCCAGGTCCGGCAATCGCATACAAAATTCATGTTGTCAGGTGGTGGTGGCCCAATGGAACTTACAATGTTGACGAAACTCTGAGCTCTCTGCACAAAATAAAAATCACGGCGGGAAGGATACCCTGGAAGCTACTAGAGCACTCCTCCGAGCCACGTTTTGACGAAGCAACAGGCAGCACTTACGTGGAGTCTGTTCCCACGCCTGCTCATCATTATTGCCTAGTTCTTTACACGGGCTAGGCCAGTCATGCTCTCAGGTACGGTGGGCACAGCATCTCGAGCAGCCACTCTCGTCATGATTACCGCCTTCGTCACGCTGGAGGAAGTGGTCCGTTATCGGTTGCTTCACGGGCTCCTTTTTTTGAATGGACGGAATACCATGAGGCAACTCTCTCATAACTCAGACCTGACGACTGGGCCTGGCAGGATTGCTACAATACTGCGTTCGGCCAATTCAACGATAGCTCTTACTCGCGCCAGCATGTAGTCACAGACTCTTGATCTTGAGAGAACCGTGAGCGTATTGAACGGCTGTCGATGCCCGACCATTCCCCACGTTTATACCGAACCGTGACAAGTCTCTCCATCGCGTACTCGAATCGCATACGTGGCAGGGGTAGCGTCGTTGAACAAGTCTCTTGTGGACGCGAACGACGAGAGCGTCGTGAATGGGTTGCATGCAGGCGTCGACGCGCCGTCTTGGTTAGATAATCTCAGGCTATGTCCCCAAATATCCTACAGCATCGCCATGTCGAGTGCAGCATCGAGTTGAAAGTCTCTTGGATATATTCACATTCTATTAGTCCACGTCAACACCAAGCTTCCGCAGGTCGACGACGGCCTCATCAATCTCGGCCATGAGTTCCTTGTGCGCCTCGGGCACATCGTTGAAGGTCATGACATTGTATCCGAGTCGGGCGAGGAGGTAGGAGCCGAAAGAGATGAGGGCCCAGAAGGGCAGCTGTGCGCGCAGAAGTTAGGTTAGCAAGGTTGGGCCGGCCCGCAGAGGTTGCTGGGAGGGTTCTTTCGGGGCGGGGGTGCGAGCGCGGCTACGTACAACGGGGACAACATCATTCTGGATCTTGGCGGGGATCGGGATGAGCTGCAGGAAGAGGGCGAGGTAGAGCTGTAGGAGACATTGATGGTCAGCAGGTTTCGTAAAGAGGTGGAATAGCTGGATACAAGGGAGAGAGGGGCCGTCGTACCGAGCTCACGAGGAGTGCAAGAGAGATGGTTTGCTGTGCGCGGGTCATGATTGCGGATTGTCCTCACAGCCCGTTTATATAGTTGGAGATGAAATCCGAGGTCGTTGGCTCTGCGCAGAAGCGATCGTGGTTGAAAGGAATGACGGGAGAGCTGGCGAAGAGGTGACAATGCTTCTGCCCTTGGAAGCGCTGCAGCAGGCGGGAAAAGGAGTCGCGAAGCTGTCCAGAAATCTTGGTGGAGCTCCGAATGACTAAGCAAGGCATATTAGGCCCTGGACATACCCCTGCATTACCGCAGTTAACGCGTCAGCCCCACTGACGGCAGCCCAATAAGCGCGCCGCCTTCAGCGCCTTCCTCGCCTTCCACCACCCCCTTCAATGCATGCTGAGTAATCTCATCGGCCAAAATACAAACTCAATTGAGTCTTTCCTACATGTATTCAGCCGCTATCCTTGAAAACACTAACCCTTCATAATTACGTGGTGATCTTATTGCAAACCTTATGGGTGCATGGTAATTCATGATGGAGCCCTCAGCAGCCACCTTGCAATAGGGGTTATTCATCATGGTTTTTCAAACCCCCGGCGCCGAGAGTCATTGAAGATGTCAATACGGTCTGCTGGAAGTAATTCCCAATTGCTATCAAGGTGTTCAACATACGGCGCGTAGGGTAGTAGCCCGGTCAAGGCAAGTGGTAATACAACGTGGTCCATTAGACTCGAACTAAGATTAACTCATGCTTTGGCTAGCCCTGCCGCGTTACCGAATGCCTGACTCTGAATAGCCGTCACAGATATAGTGCAATGGATTAACGTGCTCAGGAACGAGGAACTCGCACCAATCGCATCACGGACCACAAGCTGGTCGCTGTCGGGATACGCATGCCATGGGACTTTGAGACGAGGATGAGGGAACTGGTCGGTGCATGAACAGGCAACCTCTGGAACTCTGTTCTACGCTACGCTTCAATAAAACAAGGTTTTTGGGACCAATCTACAACGAACTGGAAGGGAACGAACGCAATGCAAAGTCCGTCGGGCTATCCGGAAATAGCGAGGATCAAGTGAATGGCAGGGTGGCCCATCATGATTGAAGTTTGCTGAGTGAAACCAGAATTCAGGAGTTTATAAGATTAACATTGGCTGCCCTTGAGGCGCACGACAATAACCTGTGTGCTGATCTCTATCAGCTTGCTGTTGTATCCGGCGCCAAGATGCACACCCTCGGCTTTCTGACGTGCGTTGCTGGACTCTGGGGCACAGCATCCGCAGACTTCGGCCTGACGACATCAAACACCTCGTACACGGTCGACACGAACGGAGGACTGGTGTTCAAGGTGGACCGGTAGGCAAGATGCTTCTTCAAACAACGTTCACAAGCAAGACACAAAGATTAGGATGCTAACGATACAACTAAGCGCGAATGGCGACATCACCAGTCTCATTTACAACGGTGTCCAGTACCAAGAGACGACCAAGATGTCACAGATCAACTCCGGTTTGGGCACCTCAAATGTCACAGCCGAGACCGTAAACGGCTACATCAAGATTACTGTCAAGGCCGGCTCGCAGCCCTTGACACAATACTATGTGGCCAAGTCAGGTGACCCGATCATCTACATGGCGACTTATATCACGGGCGAGATCGCCCCTGGGGAGCTGCGCTGGCTCGCTCGCCTCCAGCGCAAGCAAGTGCCGACAGGTGTGCATGGTAATGTCGCCGATCTCGATGGGTGCGAAGCCTTTGAGGGCAAGGACACATTTAAATGTCCGGATGGTACCACTAGATGCAAGATGTACACATCCGATCGTTTCATCGACGACAAAGTCCATGGCGTAACGGGCAATGTAAGTTGAGATGGCGAAGAACGGGGAGGGGAGACCTGCTAACATTCATAGAAAACTGGGGTGTGGATGGTCATGCCTGGAAACGCCTACGAGTCCTCTTCCGGTGGCCCCTTTATGAGGGACATCAACTCGCAAAGCACCGCCGAGCAGGAGCTTTACTTTTACATGTATAGTGGTCATCTTAGGACCGAGCGTTTGCGGGTCGGTCTTAAGGGTCCCTACAGGATGGTCTTCACGTAAGTGATTTCTGTTTCTTATTGCCTGATCTCATAGATTGCTGAACAGTAGCAAAGCTCCAGCACACAGCCGCCCTCAGCGAACGTCGACATGAGCTTTTTCGACTGTTTGAACATAGATGGTTATGTCCCTGACAGTGGACGTGGAAGTGTCTCCGGCACCGCGACGGGCATAACAGGGAATTTCGAAACTGTGGTGCATTGGTTCAATGGTGATGCGCAATACTGGATCAAGGCGGTCGACGGAAAGTTCACATCGCCGCTCATGAAGCCCGGGAAATACACGATGAAGTTATACCGAAACGAGTTCCCCGTCGCCAACACTAGCGTAACCGTCACGGCGGGCGGGAAGACGACCCAGGACATTGTCTCGACCGAGTCCGAGCCGTCGATTATTTGGCGCATCGGCGAGTTCGACGGACAACCCTTTGAAATGAAGAATGGCGACAAGTTCCTGAGGATGCATCCCTCGGATGTCCGCATGGCGAGCTGGGGAGGCGAGTACACCGTCGGCACGTCTCAGAGCAAAGACTTCCCCATGGCCATATTCTCCAAGATTGGCGGCAACGCCACCATTCACTTCGATCTGACTGCCGATCAGCTGGACGGGGTTGTTGTGCGCGTCGGGACGACGCTATCGTTCAAGGGCGGAAGACCTAGTATTATTATTAATGGATGGCATGCAGCCGATCCTGGTCCTCCGGTAAGTGTCACCACCCGCAAACTTCATTGCGGAGGTTTTTGGAAAAAAAAGGTCTAATACGACTCCCGGCAGACACTCATTGACTCCCGCGGGGTGACTCGTGGTGCCTATCGCGGATACGGTGACGTGTACACCAGTGAAGTACCAGCGAGCGCGCTGAAGACAGGAACGAATACCCTCGTACTGGGGGTACTTGGAACGGGGGATGGTGCCTTTTTGAGCGCCAACTATATCATCGATGCAATTGAGTTGCAGGGTAAAGGGGGAGCCAAGAACGCTACTTCGCTACCGCTACCTGCTCATAGGCACCAACGGCATACTAAGCCCCATCAAATATGATTGACTGCTCAATATAAATTTCTTTCGCGTTCAGGGAATTTGTCTGAAGCATTGATTTCGCTCATCTTCGGCTTCGACTGTGCTTTCACGAGCAATAGTCTCTCTATTGGTCCGCAAGTATGATGAGGTGCCGTGCAGGTCAATGCTCCATGGCCGTTGAGATGCATTACAACGGCGAAAGGGATGAACAGGACACCGCAAAAAAATTCAGGAGAGGAGTAAGGTATTTCGGAAGCAGCCAGGGTTCATAAAGCTCAAAGAGGCTGGTAAATCTGACGAAAGGCTGGGCGGCCCAGAGTCCCGGCTCAGAGTCCCGGCTCAGAGTCCCGGCTCAGATCTGACAGCTCCGTCTCGCATTACCGAGTCTGGCGAAGGAATGCCATTCCAACAGTCACCCACGTGTAGTACCCGCTGTTTCACGATAGGTGCAAATGATAACATGGAAGTCAACCCCCATGTTACTAGAGTAGAAGGTTTTTAGGCCACCCAGAAGTAACGCTACGCTGGGAAAAATAACTTGCGTGATCGAGCTTTTCAACCCCAAGCATGTGCCAATGTAAGGGGATACGGGGCTCGTGGGACTGAAATTCGGGTAATGGGCGCACATAGTCTCTTAGACTTACGGCTGTCCCGTCTCTGATATTAGTATCTCCAGAGCACATGTACGGATACAAACAATGATCACGAATAAGTCTCACAAGGTTCAATAATGGTTCCTGCTACTTGTCTAAGTATGGACCTTGAGCGCGCGCAAACTCTTCAAGAGGCCTATTAAGTACATGAATAGGCCCAGCACTAGGTAGATCACTCCCAGGCCCCAGTCGCCAGTTCAGACAACGTGGGCATCTTGCTTTGACAGCCAACGTTGCGCCCCCATATCTTCGCCTATGCCGAGCCTGAAAGTTCCAGTCGTCCATGGATCCATGGTGCCTCCATCAGGACTAGTCCAAGGTCAATCTGAACCCGAGCATGCGACGAAAATTATATCATGAAGTTAGAAACCATCTAAACTTCAGTTGCCAGATAGCTCCTTGCATTTACAAGCCAATAATCCGCTCTTTTGCAAAAATCTGAAGTCCCATCTACCCAGTACTAATGAAAGTCGCGGCCATTTTATCACTCGTTTCAGCCCAGAGCGCATAAGTAACTTGGTCTATTTGAGTTTGCGCTTCTACCAGTCAAATTAGTCCCGCGCTTGCGGGCTTGCTCTGTGCCATTCCCAGCGGCACGGCGTCCCCGAACACCGACATTTGCAGGGGCATTGGCGGCACACCTATACCATCTTTCGCCCCGGTAATGGGTTCAACCAGCCGAGATTCCTACTAACGGTCTTTTGCTAATGTGTTGTTCCTAGTGTTGCGGGGCAGCGCGCAGGCGACAAGGCTACGCGTAGGAGTGCTTGGCCATTTGCGGTTATCGTGTGCAAAACACATATCTATGTTAAATCGTGAAGGCTGTTGGCAATCTCGGGCTCCATAGTAAACATCTAAACCTGAATAACCTCCTTGTCGAGACCAATTGCTATCTAAGTCTCTATGGCCGCCGGATGAAGAAAAATCTATTTCTTGTTTGAAACGTCTGAGACAGATAGTCAGCACTCTCCTGTGATAGAAACATGCAGGTACTTAGTATCGGGGGCGACTTGTAACGTACTGAATTGGAAATGGATGATATCTCCGTCTTGGACAACCTAGGAGAAGATGAAGTTAGCGCTGCAGCATCAGACGGCGTCTGGTCTGGCTACTTACGTAAGACTTCCCCTCTTGCCGATACTTTCCAGCAGCCTTGACTGGGCCCATGGACTTGCCACCTTCACAGAGATCGTGGAAGTCTTGGTAGGCGACCACTTCAGCTTTGATGAATCCCCTCTCGAAATCGCTGTGGATAGCTCCGGCAGCCTGCGGTGCAAGGCAACCCCTGGGGATAGTCCAGCATCTGATCTCTTTCTCACCAGCTACGTACAAGTCAGCACGAAAGTCACCTAAAGGGGGCAAAGTGTGAGCAGACCAGTAAAGTAGTATTGCAAGCCGAGCTTTGTGAATCCCTCGGTTACGATCTTGTCCAATTTTGACTTAACCTTGCTCTCTTTGAGGAACTCGGCCAGGGCAGCTGGATCATCCTTCAAGCTGTGGACTTTCTCTTCAAACTCGACGGAGAAGGGGATAATGTCTCGGGGAACGCCTCCGTGCTCGGTGACCCACTTGGCTATAGCCGGCAGGTACTTGCTCTTCTGTCTGAGGTAGTCCTTCATTGTCAAGTTGACAAGGTAGATGGCTGGCTTGGTGGTGATGAGCTGTATCTTCTCGTTGATGAGCGCAATCTCGGCCGGCGTCCAGCTTCCGTCTCTGACTGGCTGATCCTTCTCCAGCATCTACCTCGCGGTTATGAGCATGTTTAAAACAGTTAGGCCTATGCGACTGGGAATCTCCAGACTCACCGCTTGAATCTTTGTCGTTGTCTCCGTGAAGAGAGGCAGCATCTTATACTTGCCACCTGCCTTTCTGACGATTTGTTCCTCAGCGACGATTGTCTTCTGCAGAATGTCTAGATCAAGGGGGGTTAGCTGGCGTCAAGCGGATTCATAGAGCAATACAAACCGAGATCTTTCTTGCAAAGCTCGCTTTGGATGGTATCTAAAAGATGAACCGATTAGTTTTGTCAGCTGGAGAGAGTTGGCTGAACTGACCCAAATCCCGGACGGGATCAACAGAGTCATCGACATGCAAAACCTCATCGTTATCGAATGCTCTGTTGAGTCATCCAAGTCAGTGTGGAGGCGCGTCAGTTAAGCCGTGGTTGCTGTACCTGACAATGTGGTACATGCCGTCAACGGCCTGGATATGAGACAGGAAGGCGTTTCCAAGTCCCGCTCCTTGGGAAGCACCCTTAATCAGGCCGGCAATGTCGGTGACCTGCAGATACGCCGGGTACATGGACGGCGGCTTCCAAAGATCGCAGAGAAAATCCTAACACGTGTTGCTTACTTCAGCTATTGGACTCATTGGGGGGCCTCTATGTACCCTAAGGTAGGCAGTCTCGACTTACATATCGAGCGTCGGGAACAGCACATCTCGCCTCATTGGGTTCAATTGTACAAAAGGGGTAGTTCTCTGCAGCGGCGCTCTGTTCAGTCAAGAGGTTGAAGAGACTCGACTTTCCCACGTTGGGCAGACCGACGCAACCCATCTTCAGGTTCTTGCGAACCCTTCCAAATGCAACGACATTGTCGGTAACAACTTCAACCTTTTTGGGGGGCATGATGACTGTTCTTGGCCAAGCACAAACGAACTTTTACTACGTGAAAAAGCTCGATTTTGGAGGGTTGAAAGAGGAATGAATCCTTTCAAGTGCTGGCAAAGTTTTCCGATAATGGCCTGATAATTCACTTTTAGGCCCACTTAACGACATGGGTCTGGTGTGTTCTTGCTTCATATTACCCCGCTCACTCTGCTCACCTTGGGCATTAGTCTGTTTGATAAGAGTAGCTATCTGAAGTTGCGATGCTGAGTGAGACGATTGTCCTTGCATAGTAGAGTGCTTTGCTTTTGCAGCAAATCGTGTGTGAAGATGGAGTTGCGATCCACAAGCAGCATTCATGAGTTCCACCCAGGTTATGGAGCTCCTCCTAGAAGTATAGGTACTCAGGTAGGCGCCTAGTGCTGAATTAGTAAGAGGACGGCATTTTCTGCTCAGAATTTACTCTGGAAGGCAAGACTTGATTGAGGTTTTGGTTTGGGATCAGGTCGGGTGGTGACTAACGTATCTCTTCGCTTTAGCCCAAGTAATGATGCAGAAATTATAGAAAGTCCTGAGAAACATCCACCTGTTTGTCGTGCAGTGACTTGATGAGCCACCCGTCGATGTCGGACTCTCAATTGAATTTCTCGCCGTAATCATCAGTCCCGGCTGGGGTCCGAAAGATCTCCCCTCAACTTCCCAATACCACACTTCCACACCTCCCCCGGGAGCCCTCATGGCAACTATGTATTTTTCTTTTCATTTGCTGACGGTGGCTTGTGGTCCGAGTTTAACAAGAACACGTACATGCTTGCGCCCAAGAAGCCCGTGCCGAACATCCTCTGTTGTCTCAAGTTCACTAATCTTTGGAAAACGGGTTGCAAAATGTCCCTCCCAACGGGAGAGTGAGTGAAAATGGATGTCAGATGCCGTTTTGAGATGGCCGGCCTGGAAATAGGGAGAAAAATGCCTTACAAGTGAGTGGTCAAGGATATTAGTAAGAAACTGAAATGATAAGTATAGATTGAGTAGGCACGTACGACATTTGCCCCATCATTGTTGCAGACAACCGTCGCGGGCAAACTAGCATTGCCAACTTTAATAATTGACTCTACAGACTGTGAGTCTATGTAGGTACTTATGCAGTGAAAGTTGAAAACAGTTGGAGGCATGCATATCTAACCTAGTGTTACGTACCCCTCTGCGCTGTCTGAATAACCCTCATTCCAAGTCGCCTCTGCCAGTCTTCCCGGCCAAAACTCAAAAAATACAACAACGACAACTACTCCACGTAATCAGAGCTTGGAAAAGCAAAATTTTGGACACTGTGGGAATTGAACCCACGACCTTTCACAAGCAAGCGCAATTAATCGGATCCTGATGAGGACCGGAATGAGATGCGAAGCGAAAATCATACCCCTAGACCAAGCGCCCTATGATTGATGGTCTGTCAGCCTGCAGAATCCACTAAGATCCGCATACGGGCAGACTGGATCTTCGTGGAGCTGCATAGTCTCTGCCTCCAGCTAAGAGACCAAGAATCTGGAACCCAGTCTCAGACTGGCAATAGGAGATGACAGCTGACGGGTTGCTGAGGTTATTCTGGATTGCGGTAGCTGTCGGGCTGAGGTAGGGAGCATATGCACGGCCGGAGAGAGTCTCCGCAGGATTCGTTCGGAAAGTGGATTAATGGTGCAGATTGGACCTGCACAAACCGGAGCAAACTGTTGCGACACATTCCATCGTGCTATTCCCGGGAGATGAGGAAATCTTCAGCCCAATCTGGAAAGTGCCATCGTTAAATTGCAATTAAGTGACTTGCATACCAGAGCACGGAAACTGAGACATGTCCAATTAGCCCGGAAGACCCCTGGGGATTTCTCTCTGGTCTGGACCCCGAGTTTTCGGTTTGGCGTTGTCTGACTGACGGCGAGAAACGCAAGACAACTAGAGCAGTAAGAAAACAACAGTCTTCTCACAATTAGCTTTGCAACCAGAATCGAGTCTGCATGTGAATTGAATGCGCAAACTTTGCGCAATTATAGTGGATGCTCAGATTTGGTTTCTCAAGTCAGTAGCTTTAGCAACTCAATATGAGCTAAGGTGCAAATCTGAGTGTCTAGCAGTCGTAAAAAAAACCAGAAACTTTACCTCTCAATGAAAATGAAGATCAATATTCAAGGCATCAAACTCTGCTAAAGTTATCTTGGTGCGATATCTGCTTTAGTCAACAGTCAGACGCGACTCTCCATGTGCTGGTCTCGAGAGTTCACCACTGTGGAATGCAAAACACCATCTAGTCACCTGTTGTAGCATTGCCTAAGCCCAAACCCAAAACCACATTCCATGAAGTTCGCCTACGTATTGAAAAAAATATCGCTGAGCCTGCCTAATGGCGACTTTTTAAAACTCTTTCCTTTAACACCTTGCCACTGACTCTTCCGACACGACCTGCCTTGAGGCTACTACAAGATTACAGCATCATGTCATACCGAGGCCCGCCAAAGAACCCTCTGATCGTGCTATCAGACGGTGTGTGGACTGGACGAGAAGCGGGTTCAGAATCCAACATCCACCGACTGGCAAATCTGGTCTGGGGAGAATACGGACTGCCAAAAGACGACGATTTCGCGCACATCCACCCTTTAGGAAAAGCGCACTATGTCAACAGCGTGCCATTAGGGAGCACCTTCATGGAGTAAAATGCCCTCCCGGTATGAACTTCTTCGAGATTTGCTGACCAAGTTCTTCAAGTCATGTTATCCACGGCCTCAACGTCCAAGACATCGAGCAGCAATGCATAGACACTTACGAGTACCTCGTTCACGGCTACACCCCACAGGAAACAGAAATCTGGATGTTTGGCGTTTCAAAAGGATCATTCATCGTCCGCTCCGTTGCAGGCATGATCAACAACTGCGGTATCGTGAAGCCAGTATACGGGCTAGAGGGGGATGTTGACGTGGACAAAACACACCAACTCTGCCAGGAGGTCTACCGCATCTACCGATGCCCGTCAGAAGCCAACGCGCCAAAGACGGAACAATCGCGAACCTTTAGAAGGAGGTACAGCTGGGCTTTGATCGGGGACGGGGACGTCATCGAACCGCCGATTCGCTTCATGGGAATCTTCGACACGGTGGGCGACCGCGGCATCCCACAATTCGCGGGCGCCGTCGGCCTCGACTGGCCCAAATTCTACGACCAGCACGTCTCGAGCGTCGTGTCCGAAGTCTACCACGCAGTATCGCTCCACGATCGCCTCTACGCTTTCCAGCCGTGTCTGATCTCCCGCGACACGGAGTATGGGCCGTCGTACGGGATCACCGAGCGTTGGTTCCCGGGCACACACTACGATCTCACTCGACAGAGCTTCAAGATTGTCAGGGGCGTGCTCCCGCAGCGACTTGAGAGCGTTCTTCCGCCGTGGGCGTGGACAAGCAAGACGATTAAGCCGAATGAGGTCCTCGCTGACCTTGTTTTCAAATGGATGCTGGAGTGCATTGATGCCCATGACCCCTCGGGATTCGTCATACCGAAAGGCAACCTTTATCGCGAGCTAGATGGACTCAAAGCCCGTATTTTGAAAGGGCAAAACACTGGCGATGGCGACGTGTACCATCGCATCCTGCAATTTGTGCCTTTTGGGCGGTACTTTGACCTGGCGTTGTCGACAGCCTTTGGGAAGTGGCAAGACAACCAGCTTTACAGGATGCTCTTCGCCTGTAGACCTCGACTGATCCCAGAGTTCAACGCGTCCGTGTACAACTACAGAGGCCCCGATCCCAATCTGGATGCCAGGATTATCCAAAAGTTGGCCAACCTCCCATCTAGTTCAAAATCACCCGAGAAGCAGGCTAAAACGCGATACCCGTCGACATCGTATGACAATTGGCTTTTAAGGCGATAGATCTGTGTTATGTGTATGGTAGTAGACAGTTGGGGTGATTGGTGTACGATTTTGCATGTAACATATATGGTGCTTGCATCTGCTGGCAAAGTCTTGCGGATTTGTTGTTGATTGTATACTAAGTAAGTACCTAATTACGACTAATAGTTATCTTCCTGTCTGAAATAAAAAAGTGTTTCGTATCGCTGGTCTTCTGTAGTCGAACATCTAAAAACAAGGAAAATGGTCGTTACGTCGTTATCAACACTCGGGAAGACGAATCTGGCCCCCTTTCCGCGTCCACGGGCGGAACAGGCTCTTGGTCCACTCCCACGTATGAATAGCCATGCTCATCGTACCGAACATGAAAAAGGGTATCAGGGAATTGGCAGTCATGTACATAATCCCGCCGGACCGCTTGACGATATCGAACAGTTCGCCGCGCATGATGCGCAACGACTCCTCCTCATTCTTCCAAGGGCCCACCAGGCGGAACTTTGCATTGAAGTTGCTGCCCATGGCCCAGGTATAGAAGGCTTTGAAGCCTTTGGAGAAGACGTAGCTGAAGCGCGGTGCCGAGCCGATGTCGAGGGCCAGCTGGTAGACGTAGCTCTCGTGGTCGACGCCGCGCTTTTCGGCCCACGGGTCTCGGCCGCATCGGGGGTGGAGCTTCCAGTCGATATCGTAGCCGGGGAGGGCGTTCGGGTCCAATGGAAGGCCTGTCGGTGACGGTGCTAGGCCAGGTACGTTGGGGTACTTTGATCGGAGAAGTTGAAGGATCCAGAATTGGGTTTGCATCTCGGCGAGTGTAGGGATTGCACCTGGGAAGCTTTGTTAGTGAGGAGTTTTGGAGAAGAGTTGCTCCTGAGACTGAGAGACAGTAGACTTACCCAAATTAGGCCGCACAAAGCCAAGGAAACCCACTGATACGTCGTTGCTGTGATAGATGGCTCGCACATCGGCCGTGTCGGGCGTGCCATAACTCTCGTCAAGGAATGGGAAGCGACGGGTATAGCCAGTTGCAAATAGTATAATATCGGGTTTCACAACCATTTGCTTCATCTTCTCCGACTCTGGCCTGCCAGTCTCGCGGAAGTGCAACACGCCATCCTCATCAACGTACTCGGGCCAGGGAGCAACATCAATGTACCGACCCTTGGTGTCGACGTCGAGCTCTTTGATGTAGAAGAAGAATCGGCGAATCCTCTCCATGACCGAAATAGGCGGACGCCAAGGCGCGGAGATGTAAGGCACAGCACGGGTGGACTTGGCCGGGAAGACTGCGATGTTCGGTTAGTCGGGTCCTGCAAGTAACATGTATTGAAGTAGATGGCCGCATACAGTGATCAATGTGCATCCTCTCCCGACGCATTCCGCCGACGTGTTGGTCCCAGCCAACAAGCGTTCCACCAATGAGCGAGAAGGTTACATCGATCTGTTGGTTGTAGAAATCCCATAGCAGTTGGCTTGACTGCAACTTCGGGGGAACGTAGGCAGTGTCGAAGAGACTAGCGATAGAACAATCGACGGGCTTATCGTTTACTTTGCTATTTCTGCCCCAGAAACCAAACATGATTGGTGTTGGTGCGGTCTATGACGAGTTAATATCTGCTTACACAACCCAGCTTTTCGGACGCTCATCCTCTTACCTTGGGCGCGACGACAAACCCATCTCTATGGCACATGACAACGTGCTTGACAGTTTCTGTCGTCGCCGCGAGCTGACCGAGATCCTGGCCAGTCTCCCCTGTGCCAACGATGACAACGGTGGGCTTGTCGCTCTTGATGTCTCGGAGTTGATCTCTGGTCTTGAATTGCGATGAGTGGAGCACTTTTGGAACTCTCTCAAGCCCTGGAATAGGAGGAATGCGAGGTTCGAGATTGAGCCCGGAGCAGACGGCAACGGCATCGCAGGCGTAGTCGAAGTTTGTGCCATCCTTGCGAGTTACGGTGACAATGTGCCCTCCGCCATCTACGCGTTGGGTGCGAGTGACTTTGGATGAGCACTCAATGTGAGGACGAAGCTCGAAGCGATCACAATATTCGTTGAGGTACTGCACATAGACAGCCGGGGTGACATAATCAGCGGCATCTCGGGGCAGGCGGTGATCGGAGAAGGCGGTCAGGTATTTGGACGAGACGAGCTGTGGCCAATGGCCATCCGGTCAGCTTTAACAGACCTTTCCTCCGATGAAGAGATAGGATAGAAGTGATTGAGAGCAGGTTGAGTTTAATAGTGGCAAACTTACTTCAGCATCCTCGTACACTCGATACTTGAACGTCCCTCCAATGTCATCCTCGGCCTCAAAGACCCGGATCTGGATAGGTTCAATCGCAAAGAACAAGTGCGCCCATTTCAGATATCTGGCTGTCGCCAGACCTGCGGGCCCAGCACCGATGACAGCGACTTTGAGAGGCATAGTTGGTTAGCGTGCGCGGACGTGAACTTTCAACGTGCCCTATCTGCAGGGTCCTCCGATGTTGTGAAACATGAAGGGACGTCTCTCAAGAAGAGGGTACACCCTCCACCGCTACGAAGGGATAGCAGGCAGCGAGAGGATTAGGCACGAGGAATAGCGGGAATTTTGTGAGGGAGTGGGAAACAAATCCGCTCATGAGACGATGAGGGAAAACGGTCGGGTCTTATGGCTTACCTCACACGTTGGACTAGCATCGTCCGCACAGACAGCGCGGTACACCTTAGTGTAGGGACGACGGCGAACCTCGGTGGGTGGAAGGGGAACCCAAGGGGAGGCAAGGTGTGGTAGCGAACGGTTCAGGTTCAGTGTAGTTTGGGTCGGCGGCCCAGTCCAGTCTCGTCTGGTCTTGCTTTGCCTTCCCGAGTCTCTCGTTTTCCCGTCAGCCCGTCAGGAGAGAGAGAACCCCTACTCCGAGACCAGGCATGGGAAGAGGAAAAGGACCGGACCTAACACCGAGCTAATGGTTCGGGTTCCATACGTGCGTATGGGCGAACCAGCCCGTCGGAGGGACCCTCTCGACCCTTCCATGGACCCATGCTAGTGAACCCAATTGTGAGGTTCGCTCGTGGTGGATAGACCTTGCCAAGGGTGCAGTAGCGCCACCTAGTCCCATGCGGAAACGAGGTCTTTCCTTGTTCTCGTCATCAGACCCTCGAGACGTGAGCGGGGTAGGCAATATCTTCAGCGGGGCGGTCCCCGCGAGAGAGATCGGCTCTTGTCTGCTGTGCGGTTGTTGTTTTTTTTGGATTACATTGTCTTAGATGGACCGAGGATGTCGTCTTTGCTCTGTTGGGGAATGTGATGTGGAAACTCTCATATCATCTGTGCCCCCCTCTAGCCTCTGGGTCCGGTACTTGAGAGTTAAGACGTGTGGAGTTACCAGCATTTATGGATACTCTCTGGGATATGCCTCAAGGTCAGGTCCATGTCATCTCTGCTACTATAGCAAGACCGCTATCGACAAAATGAGCTGTCCCATCCGGCAACTTTAGGAAGCCTTGCATATCGGTGACCACTCGGTCTGGGCCCGGCGTTCGTTTTGGCTCAGGGGCACAAAGACAGCCGCCATGCGGCGCGGCGGCGTAGTCCCAAATGCTGCAAGACAAAGCAAAACGGCGCCCCCGGTGGTTCCGGCAATTTCGTCTGGCTAGTCTGGCGTGGCTGCGTGCGCCTGGCATCTTCTGGCCCAAGCTGCGTTGCCACACCCGCCGCCGACTCGAAACTCAATCTGCTGTCACGTCTGTCATGTTGGATTACGGAGTCACGGTGTGATGGGGCAACAAGATTTACGTGCGTACTTTTTTTTTGTTCGTGATAACTGGCTCATCGACCAAAGTTTGTCACATTTCTGCAAACATGTCTACTTCCTCCATGGCGACGTCACATCTTCGAACCTCCACATCGAAATCGAACAGTCTGACCGCCACTTCGATTCCGAAATTTGGTCCTGTCAATCGGACCCGGACAACTGGGTCATTAAAGATCCTCCTCGGTCAGAAAGACCTCCACCGTGTCCTCAAACTTCAGCAGTCTTGGCGCCGTAGCATGAGTCTCTCTCTCACCCCTTACGTCACCTTATGGTCGAACCACGCTATATCCACATGTAAGACATACCGCATTCGTCCGTTGTTGCATGGTCGTTACCCACTGCATCAGGAACTTTCGCTGATTTCTCCTCCACCGCCGCTTGAGCGCTCCCCTTTTCGTCGCCAATATTCCTTCTACGATGACCGTGGCCCTTGACCGAAGCACTTGCGGCACATCCGCAAGTCCCGTCCTGCGTGCGGGTAGTCCCGCGCGTCCCCAAGCCAGTGCGGTCAATTCACTGCACTGCACTGCACTGCATTCTGCTGACGAGTCCTGGCCAGTGAGACAGAAGCTAACTAAGAAAGTATTATTCAGTCTGAGCTTTTTTCAGAATTCTTTCGCCAGGATCCACGACAGGCTGTGGTCCCATACTGTACGTCGGTAGCGAACGACTGCATGCGCGGACATTTCTCCAAATGGCAAGCCGGCGACTCGCATTGATTGTGGCACCGGGAAGTCAAACCCTGCCGATAATCAGAGGTACAAAATGTCACGGCCCATTGATTCCGTGGATCCCAGCACCGCGATGAGTGCAGCGAATCCGCGAGATATGCAAGAGAACTTGGAAGGAGGCTCTGGTTTCATTGTAAAGAACCAATCGAGATCTAACACGTCTATTGTCTATACCTGCCAGGGTAGGAGAAGTGTACTCCTCGTCGTCCGGGATTCACCGAGTGACCACTCCCAATGAACTGGTCGCCGCTGCAGCGTTTGGACCTGCGCGGCTTGAGAGATACTGTTGCTGCTAGGGTGAGAGCTCGGCAACAGTCGAGAGGCCATCTAAATTGTCATCAAGTGTTCGCGCGCTCCAGGTGTTCCATCTGAACCTGGGCCCCCCCCTTTTGCCCTCACTTCCACGCCCTTTTTGAACTGCTCCAAGGACAAAATATCCTTTCGTCTAGTCTCATTTGGAGGCTCGTCCATGACAATGTGCTCGTCACTGCCCACCGGTATAAAGAACCAGGGACGAGCAAACCAGTTGGGCATTCCGTTCGGTCTCGGCGAGTAGTTGACATAGAATGGCACGGCCATTTCCATCATCCCAATCTTCTTGCGGAATGCGGCATCATCAAATTTGGCATGGATATCCGTGTCCATGATGCCAGCCCGGCTCGTACAAATAGTAGCAGTTTCGATGACCAGATCTTCCAGCACGTGATCCTCCAGGTTGATTCCAGACAGTGACGCAAGAGAGTTTGTCGTCCCCATTTTGAATATTTTCAACGCCGTCATGTTGGTGCTCCAGTGATCGAGGAGTTCATGCCACGACATGCTGGAGTGATAGAACTCGGCCCAAGTGTCGTCCACAAGGTCAATATCCCACGTGTTTGGCAGATAACCACGGTTCGAAACTTCGACATCGTTCCCGTCGATATCCTTGACAGTGACGATGGCATAGCTGCGGTCTCGGTCCAAGTCCCAGACTTCCCATTGTGGAATTGTACAATATGCCTTTGATATTACCACGCATTCATCGAGGTAGAGTTCTTCAATCCCGCCGGCAGAATTCAGTCTTCCCAGAGAGGCAAACCAGTCCAGCTGCCATTCATGGCTGAAGCAATATCTGCCTAGACCGAGGACCTTCAAGTGCGGTAGCCCGCACTCTGGGCCGCTGCCGGGATTGATGAGGCGGAAGTCGAACTTGGGCTGATAACCCCATATATCATCGTAATACAGAGCCAACGTCGTAAGGTTGCGGGCAAGTTCTGGCCTGAACCATGTTGTAAGCTCTCGGAGGAAAAGGTCTTGCCATTGATAGTTGTACTCGGTCGGCTCATTCTCCATTGTGTCCCACAACGAGTTATCCGGATCATCGGGGGCTACCATAAACTTCACACTTTTGAGCGTGGGAAGAGCCATCACTCGTTGAAAGATGGGCCAGTCCGGGAGGGGCTTGTGTTGTAAAGCAGACTCCGTATCCGGGTTATTAATGTCCTCGGCCAAATTGGCAATGGTTAACTCCTCGAGATGGATAATGGGGAGTGCGCCATTAATCCGCCTTTCCTCGGTGCTCCAGGACATGTCCGGGGATTCCAGGTTCCCCATCCAGGAAAAACCGTCCGATGTTCCAAGTTCCTTCGCCAACTGCACCAGATCCTTATCATCTTTGCTACCTCCTTGTATGCAGTAGAAGGAGACAATGATGACAAAGCGCCGAAATGTGTAGAGGTCATAGAAGCGGTAGCCTCTGGAGTAATGCGGCTCGGCGTTCTCGTCTCCATCGTCTGCGTAGTCATTAAACTTCAAGTTCAAAACTTTGAGCTCGGAGAAGTATCTGAGGAACGGCAGAGCTTCGAGGAAGTCTAAGGGAAAGGGGCTGTAGTCAAGGAACGCGCGAGCATCGCACGTGATCTCTTTAACATGACCCCGAAGGCTTGCATCTTCCGCAACGCGCTTGAAATGGTCGCAGAACGGTGACTTGAGTTGAACATGTCGGAAAGATCTGGGCGTTGCCGTGGCGCACAGATATTTGCTTCCCAGCCGAGCGGTTTGCGCCGTCGGCTTCGACGTATGGGCGAAGATGAGTCCAAGGACCTCTGGGGGTAGCCGCGGCAATTGAGAAGAAGTTTCGGTCATTGTTTGACGCCTCAATTGGCGGAGAAGAGTTGTCGCGGCTCGCTATCTGGGGTTGTGTCGATGCTGAGTCGGGATTGATGGCAATGGGCAAATTTAATTCGGGATCGCTGGCCGAAAGCCCCCTGTCTCGGGGGAATTGGAGCCCCGCATTTCCAATCTGCTAAGATCATCGACAAATGAGGTTCAAGCGAAGATAGTTGCTGTACCTTCACAGTTTGAAGATGCTTCAAGATTGGATAGGCGGTAAGTAAGCGAAGCCTCTGCGCAACTAGCACTATTCAGGTACCAAAACATGTGCTTAATCCATTCACAGTTTCCCAAGGTTAGACTTAAATCTCTTCGCCCATCTTCCGGTTTTCGATTTATCAGCCAAATACACTACAGCAATCGCTCCGATCACAGCCATGTAAGGTTTGGACAATTGAATATGCACTTGTCTCTATCTGTGAAGAGTCTCATTGGATTTAGATTCAGTCTCCAAGTGAAACTGGCCTGAATAAAGTCTAAATGCTCGGCATCACTTAAATCTTTTTTTTTAAAAAAAAAAGGAGGAAGACACGTACAATAATCAGACTCTTTCTGTTTCACTCGTAGTGACTGTTTATTACAAACATCCTGGAGTTCCAGATTGTTGATATCTGCTCAGACTCCTAGCGTTTCCCTCCAATGGTCATTGAGCTCCAACACAGCAAGAAATTCCCATCTTACAGCATCACCATCAGCATCATCAAATCAATAAATGTCGTCTGTAGGCAAGGTGCTATGCAACTTAGGCGCGGCGATGTGAAGACCTGGTAATCATTCAGGCCGACTCTGCTGCGTGATCTGTTTGAATCACTTTTCACACAGTACGTGAAATTCAATAGATGCTATTAGATTGCAAGTACAATCGATGGAACCCAGGCTGTAGTGATAAGCGAAGTTGACCGTCAGCTTATCTAGTGCCTCCCTTGTGTCTACCCTTGTGTGACGCAACGAGCTGATATTTCGTGTTGGTTGTCACAAGATGACTAAGAAGCGAAGACGATGATGCTTGGCGTGACAGCAATGCTATCTTTTCTGAAAATTCACTGATCGAGAGGTTGGTTTGAAGCGAGATCCACTCACCAGGACATAAGGCCATGGCCCACAAAACGTCGCGGAGATGGAGCGGCCTCCGCAACTTTTCGGCTTGTTGTCTCCTCTTCCAACGAGGAAACCAAGCCCGACCCCTTGCCAAACAGACCAGTTATGTTGGTTGTCGCGATGCAACTCTGCAGTTTGCGGCTTCGACGGAAGCATGGTATTGGCTGCAACCCTTGATTCATATCAGCAATTCTGCCTCCGGTCCAGTAGATGGAGAAAAAGACTGGAGACAACGGTTAAGACGCCTCTGCATTCATCTTGGCTTTCGCATGTGGCATGTTTTCTTTGGAAAGTTGCTTTCCCCTCTTTCTCGCTTTTATGTTCACAGTACATGTAGGCTTGCGAGAAAACATCTCTCTCCTCCCACAGTTCATGTCTGCTCTCTTTAACTCTTTCCAGTTTTCTCACACCCGCCTTCAAAATGATAGCCGATCGCGCTTCAGTTCCGCGCAGTGACTCGGGCTCTGAGAGCCACCGGGGTCATTCCTCGTCACCGGCTCCAGCAGCCGCGATAGTGGCGGATGACGAGGCGACAGACGATGACGGGTTTCACGAGACAAACGATGACAGCTCAAACGCATCCACGTCTATGGCATCAAGCGTTCGAGACTTCAATTTCGAGAACAGACGTCGCTACCACAAGTTCAAAGAAGGCCGCTACATGCTGCCAAACGACGACATCGAACAGGATCGTGAAGACATGAAGCATGCTATGCTGATCCACTTGTGCGAAGGAGCCTTGCACAATGCCCCTTTGGACCACCCACAAAAGATCCTCGATATCGGTACTGGGACTGGTATATGGGCTATGGATAGTGAGTGTTAAAATTGTTCACAATGTTCATTAGACTAGAGTGTTTCAGAGTGCTGATGACAGTGCAATCTTCTCAGTGGGCGATGAATATCCTGAGGCCGACATCACTGGTCTTGACTTGAGCCCCATCCAGCCTATTTACGTGCCACCAAACGTGCATTTCATAGTCGACGACGTCGAAGCTGATTGGCTTTACCCGGATGACTCGATTGATTATATCCATGTGAGAAACATGGCACCAGCACTCAAAGATTGGCCCAGACTGCTTGCACAGGCTTACAAGTAGGTGCCCGAAGACCTCAAAGACTTTCCCGCGTTGCTAAAAAAAGAAGGGCTCTCAAACCGGGTGGCTGGATTGAGGTACAAGACATGGTGTGGGCATTTGCGTCCGATGACGGTACAGTCGGCCCGGACTACACTCCGAGGAAGACGATGGATCTTCTGAAGGAGGCTTTGGACAAGTTCGGGGTGGACATAGATGTGGCCAATAAGTTTGCCGACCGCATCGATTCCGCAGGCTTCTTGAACCAGATTCATGATGTCAAGAAGGTGCCTGTGGGCACTTGGCCGAAAGAACCTCGTTTGAAGGCCATCGGCAGCTATTGTGCTTCTGTCAACTACGACGCTTTGGGAGCAGTGACTAACGTGCCGTTTACAAAGGGATTGGGTTGGACCACAGCGGAGATCGAGATTTTCTTGATACAAGTGCGCAAGGATTTGATGGACAATTCCCACCATGCGTATCACTATTATCACTCATACTCGGGTCAGAAACCGTTGGAGGAGAAGTCGACTTAATAATGGCAGTTTCAGGTAGCTGAAAAATATTTCCGAAATCTGAGTCACATCTACTTCCATTGCATCTTGCCGCCAAATCATGTTACGGTGATCCCGACTCTCAGAGTTCTTTGACAAATGATCAACTGTACAACAAACTCGCCCCATGTTTCAACGCTCTGGCATGACTAAGTTACGCCCCGCCATCTCATAGGGCTAATGACAATGAGCCATAGTTTTAGGTTTGCTATGGGGTACTTGAATGGTGACTATTAAGTCAGCTGCCTTGTCCACCGCCACGGGCATCGTCCATTTCATCTCCACGTCAAAAACCAAAGTTCTGCACTGTCAAACTTTTGTCTGAGAAATTCAAGACAGGCGAGAACTATATGACACTCTATGGTCATGTTAAGACAAAACTAGGGGAAAGAGTGAAAGAACAAGAGAAAATTAAAGAAAATGAATGCTCGAATTTATGTCTGGAAAGAAGACGACAGAGAAGTGCCACGATGAGGAAAAGCGAGATGTCAGTTAGGAACGAAAGTTTTGATGAGGACTGGAGTTATGCGTTATTCAGTACCCCATACAAACCATCTCTCACATAGAAAAGCGAGGCAAAGTCATTTGTATTTCAGTCCAACCGATTTCGTTCATATTTCGTGGCGATGCCGGTTTACTGCGCCGTGTTTTCATCTGATCTTGTGGCAGCATATACTAGAGAAAAAAAGGGGTTGATTCAGCATCAAGAGTTTCGGTCGGCTGCTAAATTCTCATCGCAGGCAATATTTCTCTTCAATCCTCTGAATAAGGTGGCGCAAAAAACTTTGACGCTTCGCAATCGTGACCAGCTAATTCAAAGGCAACCGATACATTGTCACGATACGGTCTTCAAATAGATGTCAAGCGAACAAATAGGATGTAGACAGGACATATATCGGGTCTCCATCAATGAATGCGAGGAAAGAAGCACATGAGATGTGGGGGCATCGTAGCTAGATATACTTCGTGCACATTTGTGATCTCGCTGAATTGACCGAAGAAACACCACCTCTTGCTTCCACAGACCCTGTGACAATTGATATGAGAACCTGGTTGGTCAGCCTCAGAAACGTGCAATCGCTTTCAGCTACGCCGTTGGCATCTGCTACCCCTTGCGAAAGGGGTTACCAGGACCACACGTCACGATCAACCCAGCAGCCCCAAGATAGCAGGGCGAATCTCGGCTGACCTAAACAAGGGCTAATAAATACGCCACTCATCGCGCAGGGCAAAGTTGTATCGGGAAAATGGCCATCGGAATTGTTTTGTCCATTGATCTACTGCCTAATTCTCCCGTCTTCTCCCAAGTCGTTCTTTCTGCACATTCTACATCGGCCAGCTCTTTCCCGGAGGCCCCTCCTATGGAACCAGCGACAACATCAGAACCACCGTAAGCTACGACCTTGTTGCCACCAAACCATTATTGTCGGCAGATACAAGAGTATCCTCGGCTCCAAGGCCAAGGGCATCCTCAACGGCAAGGGCCTTTGTGTCAAGACTAACGGCAAGAACGTCATCATCAATGGCATCGAGATCACGAATCTGAACCCCAGTGGTGACTGGAGAGGTGATGCTATCGACTTGCAGAGCCGCAACGAAAGTCTCTGGATCGACCACAACAAGATCTCCAGGATTGGCCGTCATTTCACTGTCACCCACTTCGTAGATCCCCACTCTGCATCAACCACTTCGACGGAGCCACCACTACCTCTGCTACCTGCAACGGCAACCACTACTGGACTGAAATGCATCTCGGCGACGGAAACCATATCAATATCGACAGAAACTACTATTTCAACATCTCTGGCCGCTTCCGCAAGCTTAGCGAGAAGGATACCTTCCAGACTACCAACCACTTCTTCCAGAACGTCCAAGTTTAGGCCTTCAAGATGGTCACCGATACCATTGCTCTTATCGAGGGCAATGCCTATGAGAAGTCCAAACAGTCTTACGTCAGTCAGGTCTATGCCAACAGCTTCAGCGCCCCCGATGCCGATGCTGCCTTCATTTCAGAGGCCACTGAGCACTCTGCCTTTTCCCTACTCCTAGCACTTGCAGCTCTCACACCTCAACCAAGAGAGCCTCTTGCCAGAATACCACTACCGGAAACTCCATCGGACCTGCTATTGCCCAAAACTACGGCCAAGCTGGACTGATGCCACCACTTGTGTTGCTGGGACGTCTTGTGTTGTTCAGAATGAGTAGTACTCTCAGTGCGTGAGCTCCGCTACGAGACACAGCTCCAGAGTGGTCCGTTGCATCTAGAATTGTAGACATCAAATGTCATGATGACCAAGAGATTCTCGAAGCTATGGTGTGTTTGGATATCACCTAGGTTTTCTTGAAGATAGTAATTAACCGGCCTTGTTGTCAGAGCCAGCCGACATTTTGGTAGCACATAACACAGCCGTGATCAAAGACATCATTTTCTTGTATCCATGATTTGATTGCCTTTTGACTGCTTTAATATAGACCCAGACGTCAAGAATCCAAGACGGGTACTTGACTGTGTCGCAAAAGTAACGCCGTTAATTGCGGGCAGCAATCAGCGCCATACATATACGACAAACCGGTATTGGGCCCTGATCAAATATACTTATAGTTTACTTCAGGGCGATTGAGGTGCGGACTGTAAGTGAGAACTCCTAATGCCTCATATTACTCATCAACTTCTGACCTAACGAAGAATAGCTGTTCATTACATTTAGATATTTTGGGTAAATTCCGAAATTAACAGAGAAATTGGGACTCAGAGACACCTGTAGCGTCTATTACATGTAGTTGCCATTCTGTATATGTGACATTATGAAACCACATACTCCTGATGAATTCATACAGAGGTAAATTCAAAATATTTGACGAGGCCAAGTGATCTAGGCACAGCACCATTGCAGCTTTTCCTCTTTAGGAATTTTGGGGCCCACGATTATTTTCCTTTACACGGATTGAGGCCAAAAGAATTGGCAAGATCAGCAACGTGCTGCGGTGTTTTGAGGGGAATCTCATCTCGAAATGCTTTTCTCGCCGATTACGTCAACACCGTACACATGTCACCACTTAATGAGATCAGAACTTTCTAAAAACCTTTCTTTTTCCACAGTTCCACGCCGAATGATAACGACGTAGGACCATGGTCAGAGATACTTCTGTTTTGGGACAGACAAGCATGCAGACAATACGAGAAGGATTCATAATAACCCCACAAAACGCCAACGAAATATGGCTCCAGGCCATTCCTTGGTTCGTATTCCGCCTGTTGCAATGCATCCAGCGGCAGCACCCGCAGTATCGCGCTCCCGCTGGATGTCACTTGCTACATATATTAAGCAAAGAAACACGCAAATGTTCGTCGGCTACAAAATCTATCATCATGCTGATTTAGACTGAATTATATGACGAACGAATATCTATGTCTCTACGTTCCGACAGTTGACTTGCTCAGGAGAGAAGCGATTCTCCCTCCACTAGATCCTGCTTTGCAAGTCAAAACGGGAGGAAAGATGAACCTGGGTTCGCCTACTTATGGTATGATAACCCGCATATGGCAGGGGCTCATGCAACGGACACGAAGTCCGAAAGATCTACACAGGAAAACAGCATGGTAAAATGCACACGCCCACTAAAAGGATCACGCTAACAGGCGGCTCATTCGGGCATGCAGCTACAGGGGCACATGGGCTTTTCATTTCACCTTCAACCTTCATTTAAGGGGAGTATAGATCACCTCAATGTCAGATCAACTTTGAACTTTTCTCAGTCAAACTCGACTCCGAGCCGTACATTCACTCTTACCCAAACCATTCCGCCATCGCAATGCAGATATCTACGCTGGCTGCCGCCTCTGTTCTGGCTGCCGCCTCAGTCGAGGCCGCTTACCCGACCATCAACTTGGGCACATTCGCCTACTCCCACGGCAACCAATTTGTGGCTTGGAGCCCCTTCACGCCAACTACGACACAGGAGCTCGTCGAAGTCTGTGATACTGCAGGTGCTATCCGAGGAACCGCAACTTGGACCGCCATCCGCGTCGCCAACACCTATGTCTTCGACCCCATCTGCCGCAAGCCCTTCAACATCACTGACGACGCCACCAATACGACTTATACCAACCTTGAGCTTGCGTGTGTTGATGACAATATTGACATTCACCTGGAACCTGAAGTGACCGCCGTGGTCGATCGAAATACCAACAAAACCATCGAGACCTGCATCCCCATCCCGAGGGACAGCCCTATCAGGAACTCAAACTGTGGAGTAAACGCTCTTGCATTCAAGTACAACTGTAACGCTTAAGCAATTATTACTCGTTAATCATGACGATGTGATCCATCGGGGAAATGGGGATCCGGGTGGTTGCGGTCGTTTTGGGAATTCAGAATTGTGGGTGGGTGTTTGGCTGATTCTGGCCGAGTCCCACCAGAGCAGAAATTCGTGCCGAACATGCCAACACGGTCCCAGAAATCAGGTGCGGAGAAGAGAAAATAGTCAGACTAGTTCCTAGCATGAAACCAGTATGTTGAACACAAGTCCGCGGAACGGTTGATAATGAAGCTTGTAATCGGAAAACTCAGCGGCTGTAGACGTGGCATGTATGAGACGGCGATCATGAAGTATTATTTTCAAAAAGACCAGAGGTTCACGACTTTCCTCATCACGCACATTCATGCATATGTGATATCAACTATAAAAACAGGCGGCCACAACCTATGTTTCCAACGAATCCTTCTAGCCCGTATTATCTCGCTTGTCTTGCGTCTTTGAAAAACCACCCGTACTCAGTTAGATTATTCCAGTCAAAAGGGCTTGTTTTTACCATTTTTATTCTTGCTATGTTGTAGCTCCACATCCACTTCGGTATCAATCCTTCATCGAGAAATGGGACATATTGGTCAGTTTAGAAGTTGATGGGCATGATATTGATTCATATTAGTGGCTTTCAGCTTGTCGTCTTTGCATGAGAAAATGAGCGCGCCGCCATTACCCGCCGATGGATCCGTGCCGTTGACGCCGGAGGGCGAGGCCACAGCCAGGTCAACACTACAAGCGCGTTCGGCACCAACATCACCACTGTCACAATTGCCAGCGGATGCGACTGCAAGTCTACTCAGAATCATGAAGCAATATGAAATGAACGTGACATTTTCAGGAAGCATTGCATCTGGCCATACAGTCGCTCGAGACACTGGATTTATTCTTTGCAGGAAGGACATCATGCTGGCAATAATATAACCTCCTTGGGGGGTGACCCCGATTGCCGGCCGAAAAGTTCCGTCGGCCCAGCAGCGAGTTCCGAGATCCACACGGACCTGGCAAAGATAGAACTTGTGCCAGCTATTGCTGTCAAGGTTCGTTGGTGATCTTAAAACAAATAGCAGACAAAAAGCTCCGCCGTAGCGTGGGGAGCCATGTCCGTCTCAGGTCCCTTCAATCAGCTGAGGCTGTCCTGATGACACAAAAGTAAGTTGGGCCACACTAAAAGGATAGAAATGGGATACGATATCGGGTTAGTGCCGGACGCCCCCTGGAAATCCTTCACCCACAGATCGTTGCCGGCATGCGCCGCAACATCGTGGCAGACATGCGCTAGGCCTTTTTGGGAGACATTCTGCGCTCGATGAGAAACAAACTGTTTTTTCGATTACATCGTATTACATTTTGGTCAATTCAAGGCCTCGGTTGGGGCCAAATACGATTGAAGATATCGATGATGATGCGTACAGTCTGGAGACATCTAAAGCTTGTCTGGATGTCAATGTGTCCGGGCATATGCTTCTCTCCTTGAATATATAATCTCTTCTTGCCCCCTTTGTCAACTTAATCATACCATCCTCACATCATCGCAACATTGGTACCTTAACTCTATCAACAGAGCTATCCTCCTCACATCAACCACCAACAGTCCTCAGGCTTTCTTCTACCGACAATTCCAACAGATACCATCTTCATATTGCTACCCTATCACAATGCCTACCAACCAAGCAGCTTGGCTCACAGCTAAAAAGGCTAAACCTTTGGAAGTCAAAGCAGCTCCTTACACGCCGCCAGCTCAAAATGAGATCGTCATTCGGAACCGAGCCGTGGCCATCAACCCGGTTGACTGGTTCAAGCAAGAAACCGGCGACATCCTCTACGAATGGGTCAAATACCCCTGCATCCTCGGCAACGACGTGTCCGGCGAGGTTGTCCAAGTCGGCCCGGGTGCCGGAGACCGCTTCAAGGTCGGCGACCGCGTTGTTGGTCACGCCGTGGGTCTCGACAAGCGCAGCAATAAGTCATCAGAAGGCGGTTTTCAAGATTACGTCGTCCTGCGAACCGATCTAACTTCACAAATCCCCGATTCCATGACCTTTGAGGACGCATGCGTCATACCCTTGGGTGCTTCCACCGCTGCCTGTGGCCTTTTCATGAAGGACTTTAATGGTCTCAACCACCCAGATGTCTCTGCGAAACCCACCGGCGAGACCTTTCTTGTATGGGGTGGCTCGACTAGTGTGGGATGCAACGCCATTCAGCTTGCTGTCGGAGCTGGTTACGAAGTCATTGCGACAGCATCGCCAAAGAACTTTGACTACGTCAAGTCTCTCGGCGCTACAGAAGCCTTCGATTATCGCAGCCCGACTGTTGTTCAAGATATCAAAAAGGCATTCCAGGGCCGGAAGTCGGCTGGTGCCATTGCGATTGGGGCAGGGTCCCTGATGCCCTGTATCAACATCATGGCTGCTTGCAAGGGTCGCAAGTTCGTCGCCCAAGCTAGTGTCGCTGGACCTGGCAGGCCGCCCACGAATGTCTCGGAAACTGTGTCATTGTTGTGGGCAATGGGTTCAGAGAGCGCGGCGGCGGCATTCAAGTGCAAGACGAGCGGTGTGCGTAGCAAGTTCATCTGGGGAAGTGATTTGATAGCGAACGAAGTCGGCGCGGCCCTCTACCGAGACTTCCTACCTCAAGCACTGGCTCAGGGCACATTTATTCCGGCTCCCAAATCTCAAGTTGTTGGAAAAGGTTTGGGATCTATTCAGGAGGCATTCGAGGCGAGCTACAAGGGAGTTTCAGCGAGAAAGATTGTCGTGTCTTTGTGAATATGAGTGTTGTGCGCTTTCGGGGAATGGAACCGGATTCGTTATTAGTCTGTTTGGAACAATTCATCTAATATTTAATTTTACATAAAAGTTTAGCCCACGTCTTCTAGAATTGTTCCAAGATGTTTTTTTTCGCGGTGAACTGCATCTTCAACAATGTGAATATGTGTCTAGTTTTCCATCAGGCCTCATTTTACCCGTGCTGATACATTCTATGGCATTCTATCATCGAGATGAAGGTTCATGGCTGTTTGGGCGGCATGAGTTGCTCCTATATAATCGAAGTAGTGAAAAACGTGGTTCGCCGGCACGATTAGGGCGTCGTTGATGATCGCCAAGTGCCCCTTGGTTCGCATTGTTCTCGGGATCGCGTCTTAGGGTAGTCCCGCTCCCAAATTTGAGGGTCAGCTTACCGAGCGACTGGAATTGCCGCGATTGCGAAGCACGTAACATCGTACACGCAACGTTAGATTTTTTTGACCAACTCGGGTGACAGAGAAACCACTACCAAATCTTGGCAGGGCACCATGAATGACTGCAACGCTGCAGGGAATAGCTCAGTTCAAAGCTCATATCAATAGACGAACCCCATGTAGATCGCTGATAGATATCCGTAGATAAGACCAATTGACCATTTGTGTGGCCGTCTGCCTGGCTCCCTGCAAACCTTCACGATTCATGTGCAATTCCGGCTCCCACAACAGACTAGAAAGTACAATAAAGCGGGTTAGCGAGCCGCTCGCTACGAAAATCGGACTCGCTTTGGAAGGAAGCCAAGCTTTTGGGAACGAACGTCAGCGACTCAGCTCTAAGTATTAAGCGGCCAAATAAGATTTTGTATGTGTGTCTGATTGTTTATGCGACAAAGGCTTTGTTCACATTATTCAATCACTGAACACCGGTCTTTCTAATCTCTGCGACAGCAGCAAACGTCTGGATCCTCTCCCTTCAGGTAGGGGAAAAGATCTTGAGACTGCCTATCTAAATGGAGACTGATGCATGTCCTTCCCCATCGACCGGGGAGGTCATGTTTTCGCACTCTGTTTACCCCCAAGATCCTGACTCGCGGCGATACACAGAGATAAACAGATGTGCCCAAATGTGACGTTTGGTCTTTTCAAAAACCGACACAAATCCCCCTTTGTTAAGGGACGGTCGAGTGGTAATCGCGATCTCCTTAAAACAAAAAACGGTCTTAATTACTCTAACAACGTTGAAAATGGGACAGCAGGGTCGACCAGTACACACGAAGATCAAGTATTTTGATGATCCAGGTGTACCTCTGGTGCCCATGATAATTGGAGGGTAAGATGCCAATTCCGACTTAATTTGTTGGAAAGCTAATTCGTGGTGGGAAAAGTCCGGAACCCGGCAAGCCTCAACCCAAAGTCGAGATCCCTACAACCATCACCGACATCACTGGGAGAGAGAATGAGTTTACTCTCGACGTTCAAGGTTTCCACTATGTAAAGCATCAAAGTCAATTGACCAACTGGGATGATGATGAGGAAATCAAGCGGGTCAACTATCCCGAAATGGAAAAGCTGTGCTGGAAGGTCCTATCCGAAACTGAGAATCTGTGAGCGATTTTTCCATATGCATCGTGGTGAAGCTTTTTTTTGGCTCGCTGGCACATCCCGAGTCTGGCAACATGCTGACACGCATAGCCCTAAACCCTGTCTGGTTCATATCATGACACACATCATCCGTCGCAGTCCCAAGGATGAAGAAGGCCCAAAAGGTCCGGCGCCTTTGTACGGGGTCCACGTAGACCAGTCATTCAAGGCAGCTGAAGGAGTCGCTCAAAGATGGCTGAAAGAACGGGCAGAAGAACTCCTCAAGAAACCTCGGTACCAGATTATCAACGCAAGTAAACGCCAAACCTCGCGGGAGACTGGAGGTCGCTAATAAAGCCGTTTAGATGTGGCGACCCATTCGCCCAATCACTCGGGACCCATTCGCGGTATCAGATGCCCGAAGTATACCGGACTCGGACCTGGTCTTTGTCCCGGTGCGGTTCCCGGATCATGATACGGAGGCCGTCGAAGTTCGACCGCCGACTGCCTCGCCTCACAAATGGTACTTTAAAGATCAACAACAGGTCGATGACGTGCTATTCTTCAAGCAAGTGGACTCGAGCATGAAGCCCGGTGTCCCTAGGAGGGTTCCTCATTGTGCCTTTAAGGATACTGATTTGCCAGAAGGCGCTGGTGAGCCAAGGGCTAGCATCGAGGTCAGAGCATTTGTTTTCTACGACGAGGACTAAGTCTATAGATTCATTTGGTATTTTCCTGTTTCCGCCGTGAAAGAAACAAACAATAGGAGCTGTCGATTGCGAGCTACTTTGGTCAAGCAAAGGCCCCCGAGATGCTCCCGGCCAATGCGGAGTGAACAGGTGAACCTCAGATGGAGACTGTCAATCCACACATACCTTACCCATTTGTAGTATATGTGCAGTTGTCCTACTAGGACTAGAAGTTTAGGGCGATTGAATTTTGAAGACTCGACAAAACTGCAGAGCCTCAAGAGTTTGAGGCATCAACTAGCGCCGCTGGCTCATGGACAACCACGGCTGTGCGTCGCTGTTCTGTTCGGGCCAAAGCTTTGCAATGTAATGACTCTCCGCCCCATCAGTACGAGTCAAAAACTGGCCATAGTCTGCTTGCTTGACCGTTTCGAGAATCTGCTCTATACGCTTCGGCAGAGCTTGTGCTTGCTGTGGTTGTGTGTAGCGCCTGACATCAACAAGTCTGATAAGACGTCGTCGGCCGTATCCGTTTTGCTCAGGCCACGCGTACTCCCAGATGAAGGTGCCGTTGACCAAGTCAACCCAGTAGTCCCTGCATGATAGTCAGCTTTCAGTTATCACGGTTCACCGGACGAAAGAGAAAAGGTATTCCACCATGCATCGGCTGCTTCGTAGTACTCCAAGGTAGCGTCAAAGTCGGGAATGGAGATCGTTTCGTTCGCAAGGCCCTCTTTCCACAACTTCCAAGCAGCTGCCCCGATATCCGCTGCAGGGAAAGCTCCATATTCGAGTCAGTATCTATATCATGTTTTGTTGAAATAGGTTCGTACACTCACTGCTGATCACGGGCATGCCGTCCCACTGATAGTAGCCGGCCTCTTCTGGAAGATCCAGTGATAGTCCATAGGTTTATAAAAAGATTGCCAGTTGCGGCTTCCGCTACGTGAAGATGCCTCATGTTGGGATTTTCAGGGTCCATTCAAACCATCGCAGCAATTTCTGCCTCGCCAGCATGCATCGCCTCATACACAGACATCCAGTAGAGATTTGAAAGTCGAAACCGCAAACGGACTCTACAGCGTCACACAACAAGCTCAGAGACCCTTGAACGAAGGAAGCAGTTGGGTCGCCGATATTGAGAGCAAAGCTATTGAAGCTTAAAACTCGGTCAGCTTCGTGACCTGCTTTTCACTCGGCTGGCTTATGCTGATCGCTGCCCCTCATAAGTTCTTTACTTTGTGGAGATGCAAGTAAGGGTAAAAGATCTTCTTAGAAACTTCGTCTTAAGCCAGGGTGCCGTAACACCGACTCTCGTATGGTCCTGTTATGGCGATGTACGTAAGCAAGCCTTGGCTCTCATGGAATGCTTGCAGAGTGCCCCCAGCATTCCCACCAGACAGATTTATAACCATCAGACACTTTCTGTGTTTGTTACCTTACACATTAGTTATGTCGGTAACTATCTACATAAATATCTACACCTCTTACCCAGAGCAGCTCCAGCTCATTTTGAAGTCAATCGGGTCACTTCATTGGTGGCTACCCCGCGTGGGTTCATGGTGATCTCGAACTGCAGTCGGGAATCGGCCCGCGAGAACTCTAGTCCTTGCTGATTAAGTGGTCACGATGACGACCTTGACTGGAATCCTCCATCATCTCAATTTTGAAAAGCGTGGTCGATTGACTTTGAAGGCCATTTTGCTTTTGAAACATGGTTCGCTGGCTCAAGATTCATCTCAACGTGAGGCTCAGACGTTCTTCACCACGAGGTTCTCGGTGGATTTAGCATTTCCACGCTAGACCCTTGCTCTCAAACCGTGAGTCAACTTAAAGTGAGTTCAATAGCCGTGATCGTTCTACTATTTGAAATTCCCGCCATGTACTGGCTACAGATGCGCGTATTTGCACGCTGGTGGCATAGCGACAGCTAGACCAAGCGACTATCGGTGTCCGTCCAGTTTCCCGAATCACTCCATACGTTGGCAGTGTCAGTTGATTCTTACGGCAATCCAGAGGAGACGATTCTGGGCATTTTGAATGAGGAGAGTTTCAAAAGAGGTGAGGGTATTTGATTCATATGAGTATGTCTATATGCCAATGCCAGATGCTTTCAACGGAACAATCTCGCCACGTTGCCGCCCCAATCCGCTACCACCAATGTTTCCTTGCCATATCTCTCTAAAAAGCGGTAAAGAGTTTCCATCCAGTCCGGTGAATCCTCGCCACAAGGATAAAAGTCGTTCCTGCAAGGCAAAACACGCCCGAGAACACCTTCATGCCAACCCACCCACCCGAACCGGCCAAAATAGCTCCGTTGATAGGGTTCGTCGTCAACCCGCCAATAGAGTTTGTGAAGAACGTGATACCCGTGCGGAAGCCAATCTCGTGGGGGGGCGAGATCTGAGCGATGAGGGGTGCAATGAGCGAAACGTACGCGCCGGAGCAGAAGCCGAAGAGGACGGCAAAGGCGATGAGCGCGCCGTCCGAGTTGGCCGGGATCCACAGCGCGAGCATCCAGACCGAGGTCAGGTAGCACACCACCACAAAGATGTTGTACTTGCCAATCCTGTCGCCCATGATGCCGGCAAAGATTCGGCCAAAGAGGCTGCCCGCGTTGAGAATCGCGACAAGGTACTGCGCCAGGTTGGGGTCCATGCCGGCCTCGAGGGCCTGGACCTGGATGTAGTTGATGGGCACGAAGATGCCGTAGGTGAAGAGGAAGAAGCCGATGACGACGCAGACGAACTCAAACTCCTTGAAAGGGCGTATGAGCTGCTCCTTGGACAACTTTTGGGGACGTGGCGGGTGGTAAGCCTTGACTGTGAGGTTCGCGATGATCAGGAGGCCGAGGATCATAAAGGCGCAAATGCGCATCGCCCAGGGGTACCCCAGCGACTTGATCACCCGCGTCACCATAATGGGGAAGACGATGCCGCCGATGCTGGAGCCGGTGGACAGAATACCGAAAGCGGCGCCGCGCTTGACGTTGAACCAGCCGTGGATCGTGTTCAGTGCCGGCTGGAAGATGGCGGAGACGCCAATGGCGGAGCATACGCCTTGGGCCAGGAGGATCTGCCAGTACTGCGTTGCGAGAGAGGTCATCATGAGACCAAAGACGTGGAAAAAGGTGCCGACGAGGATGAGGTAGCGGGGGCCGTAGTGATCGTACAGTTGGCCAATTATTGGGCCCTAAGAAAGGATTAGTTGGCACGTTCAGGTTGTGACAGCGGAAGCGAACAAATTACCATTGCCATCATGAAGAAAATCTGGAGAGAAGGGATCCATGAAATGGTGCTCGCCGAGTAGTTGCGGAGCAAATCATTCTGGTAGTACTCTTGGAAAGCTCCGACACCTGCAAGACAACATTTGTTAGCTTCCGCACCGCCAAGCAACATGAAAAATAGACTTCAGCCTCAACGTTGTAACGGGAATTACGACTTACTATTCACCCACCCGAAACTGCAAAAGGATGTGCACCACGCGCCAAGAACGACCAGCCAAGCCACGGTACCTCCGTCTGGCGCATCGCTGACGGGCCATGCCGGTTTCTCGTCGCCGGCCGGAGGACCACCTTTTTCCGGGTCGGTCTGCCGTATCGTGGAAGGGTGGTCTGAGGAGTAATCCGTTCTGTCCTGATCTACTTTGGCATCTGGCGCGGACGGGTTCGGGTCTGCAAAGGTTATTTGGGAGTCCGCTGGGGACGAAAGCTGTTGTTGCTTCGACATCTTTGGAGAAGGAGGATTGTATCGGCCAGGGGATTGCTGGCGGATCTCGAGGCGCGCAGACAGCTGCAGAAAGCTTTTCCGATGTCTTGATTGAATAACTGGATCGTTGTGTTGACACGTTCAATCTTTTGGTGGACAAGGGGCTTATATGTCAAAGGATGAAGACAGGATTAAGTATTTCCCAAGATCCAATTTTCTGAGTAAACTGAAGAAAGAAAATCAGATCTGCAGATCAAAGTAAACGACAAAAAGAAGAGATCTCAGCGTCAGTAGCCCCTGTCCGCATCGGGGCTGCAGGGAGGTCTGCATCGTCACACTAGACAGGCCGGGAGGCCAAATTTGCATGGGGAAGTCGGTTTCCGGTACGACCGAGAGGGTCCCAAACAGCCTAAAGCTGGCCCATTGAGTCAGATTGCTTGCATTCTAGACCTATTTTTCCAGTGATTTGGTGCACTAGGACGGCTCGCGGCGCGAGATGGGGTGGGTTGGGCTTGCATCAGGAGGCGGTGATGAATTCCTTCGGCGTACGGCGCACTCATAACCGCCGAGGCCGAAGAATGTTTTACTAGCAAAACGGGCAAACTCGAACCCCTTTGGGAAATCTCGGCGCCGAGCGGTCACCACCGCAGCGAAAAGCACATGGGCCGTGAGCACGTCCGTATCGCCGAGATTGGCTGGCCTTGTAATTAGCCTTCAAAGTAAGCATCATTGAGAATAGCGTCAGTTGACTCTCGAGTTGAAGCTTAATAATTTTCATTCGTTAACCAGTTCTGTATTATTAATATGGTTTTGACTAGGCTCTCATTAGTGACCAATATCCAATCCTCCTGATTACATGTGCATGCTGCCCGCAACGTGATCCAACGCTACGGGGTGAATGGCCGTTCCTTTCTCAGTCCGAGCTTCTCGGCGACATCCATGGTACCGCCGAGCTCATGGACAAACAATATCGCTGTCTAGGTGTGAGACTCAGTTGACAGCACAGAGCTTCGGTAGCCGCGGCTCCGAGTTGAACTCCACGAGCAGAAGAGCCGGACAATAGACATGTCCGGGGCGGCGCGGCTACAGCTGGAGTGGATGCCAGGACGGTGATCCCACCATCTATTGTGTAGTGTTCCACACCGGCGCGCCGGTCTCCACAACGTCGACACACGTCTGAGGAAGTTTGTTAGTCAACAACACCTGACCGAACGCGAAGATAGTCTGCACTCACCGGAATCGTCGTGATCCTCAACGGTCTCCCCCCGAAACTTCCGGGGGAAGGCCAAGACCGTTCGGCACGCAGTACACCAAACGGGTGGGTATCGTCAACAGATAAACACTGCCAAGGCCGGTTCAGACCATCTCCGCGACATCGACAGGCTTCGCAGGATTAGAAGGCTTGCGATCTTGCGACAGTCTCACGTCTCGATACTCGACGTAGTCAAAGGGCTCCTCATTCTTCAACGGCCAGTTCGAATGTGTTGTGCACATTTCAGCGTCAGGCACGTCTCCGACGGCCTGCCTGCCGAAGCTCTTACGTCGTGCTGACTTGGGAGGTGGCGGCAGGCTCTGGATTGCGGCAGCACGGTCAAAGACCGTGGGTGATTGTGGTTCATCTGGAGCGTAGAAACGTTTGCCGATGCCCGGAGCAATGTGCTTTATGAAGGCTTTAAGGAAGGGGAGACAGGTGCAGATAATGCCCACGTTGGCTTCCACGATGCTGGGAAGAGTCAATCACTACGAGCACCCACGTTTGGGTTCGGACAGTTGCTTACCACCAGATGATGCTTATTGAAGCGGTCCAGGTGAAGTCCGCGTTGTTGAAGCCGAGAGGGATCATGATCATGCGGATCATACTTGGTCCAAGGACGCTGGAAAAGGTGTTAGAGCGATTCATGACACGCAGCATCATCAACTTACAATCCTCCGGCCATTAGGAAGATCATCATCTCGATCTTCTTGACCAATCGCAAAGACAGAGGTGAAAGGATCCAAATTGGGAGCAACAAGATTGCGAGATCGGTGGCCACGTTGCTGACCGATAACATCAACCACCACATCGACCGATCAACGCAAGTGCCCGGAACTTCGATATCCCAGATCTTTGCCATGGGAGTGCAAAGATACACCCAGCCAAGCGCGCCAGCGGCCGAGTACGCCACCGTCGCGAACATGACCACATACACAACTATCCTCACAGCGCGCTTGAGGGGGAAGCGGAGGTAGAAGGAGAGAATCGAGGCTTTTGTGAAGAGAACGGACAGGCTGTACGCCGCGAGATCAACCATGCTCAGCTTGTGGAAGGCCACGACTTCCGCCCGGCTCACGTCCCAGATGTGATGCCCAGACCCATTCCTCGTCTCATACACTTGGATCGCCGAGTATGCCGTGGCGAAGAGCAGAGCGATGAAGATGAGGTCGTCGTCAAGTTGATGGCGGCGGATCACGACCTTGACTGTATACAGGCGTATCCCGCAAAAGATGATGGCCAGGAGGTTGAACGTTGTGGCGACGGCAAGCACCTGTGGCACGAGAGACTCGGCGGGATTGTCGAAGTTGGATACGACGCCTGCCGGGGGCGGCGAGGCGGCCACAAGCTCGTCTTCGCTCTTTGTCCACATCGCATTGTGAGCCTTGGCGGGTTTGGATGACAGGTTTGTCTGAAAGTCGCAACTGATGCCCATGCCAAGACCGAGGGAGAGGTTCGCGTTGGGACTATTAAGCAAAAGCCTGAATCGCGACCATACCCCCCCCTTTCCCTTACCCTGACATCAGTCTGGCAGTTCTTCGCGGGAAAGTGGCCGTCACCGTAGTCCGTTCCTGAAACATTGATATTGTGCCTGGACGCACTGACTGGTTCGATGAACTGGATCCAAGGCACGTTGACGATCGACACATATTGCCAACCGCAACGCTTCACCTTGGAAAAGCTAAATCGATTGTTTCCCAGGAGAACTGTGCCAGGGGTAAGTCACGTTGTACTTGGCAGTCAAACTTATCGACCGGAGAATAAAATCGACAGACAGGGTCACCTTACATCGGGAGGCGGCGAGCAGAGGAATAAGACTTGTCCCGCGCAAAATCGTCGGCATCTTGGTGTGTTCCTGACGCTAGCAATGCTTCTAGCCCCCCTTGAGGATCTTCCCGCCTCGTCGGGCGCTTAGCATGCTCAAGGGTGTTTGCTTGGTGGAAACAAGCATACATGTAAGGGTATTATTACGATGGACGCTGACTGGTCGCCGACTCGAGCAGGGTGTAGCCACAGATCTAGCTGGTGCGGCGGACAGTGTTTGTTCCTCAAAGTATAAAGCATGGGAGTTGTTCTTTGGGGCAAAGCACTTGCTTTGAGAGTTCGCCGCAAAAGCCATTGGGTATGGCAATTGGTCAAACGCAAGCATCTATCCCGGCACGACAGCCGCATTCTCTTTCAGTCGTGGGCAGAGTGTTAAGCTCCCGACGGCGACTTAGGGAAGCTATGGGGAAGGAGGGAAACACTAGCTAATTTCAGGGCTGAACAGGGATGGCAGACGAAACGGAAGAAAGATTTGAGAGTCATTGCCCGATCACCTCTCTGTACGGTGGTAAAGCGAATCTTGCCTACTCTGGGCGGGTTGTGAAATCATGATAAAACGGGGTGTCGAGGTGTCATCCCTGGCCTGAAGCATTCGACCTCGAAGTTTAACTAAACTTTTGGGCAGAGGCCGTTGGGACTAGTCAGCCTTCTTTGTTTCCCAGCTGTTCCATCCGACGAATGACAGTTGTCCGTGGGCATTGCTGGTGCGTGCCTACTGTGTTCACCAGATGGACAATGCAATGTGCGGCGGACGTTCAAATTGGGCTGATGTCGGGCCAAGTAACCTGTTGGTGATCTGGTGTCTTGGCCAGTGAAACGAGCCAAGATCGTCACGCCGTCTCATCCAACACCGTCCAAAAAGCTATGCCAAGCAATGACTGGGCGAACTAGAGCCATCGAGATTAGCCACGATTGTCATTTCGTCTCAGAGAATGCCATCCAGATGAGTGCTCGGTAAATAGATGGCGAGGTGGCCGTCCGGGATAGCTCAGGTGGTATTTTGAAAAGTATCCCACTTACAGAGCTGTTTGTCAGACTCGTCATCTCCTCGATATACTCTGCGCTCTGCTCTTTGCGTAATTCTTGCAGTTACCCTCGGAAGTAAAGTCGCTTATCGGTCTTGTTGGCGCGACGTCTGATACATCAAACGCCAAGGACATGACGTCCTAACGACATACTCGACAAGTAGGCACGCTGTCAGAATATTCGATGACTCCCTAGGCCAAGCTTCGGGCTCGTGTTACGGTCTGCGGGGAAGACGACATTCAAGTCTCAGACCCGTCAGACGGGAAACGCTATGGCTACGTCACGCGGAGACTCGAGACGCCAGCAGCTTGTTCTGGACCCCAGTCTGCCCGCTGCCGACAAACCAACCGACCCAATTCGCCTGATTTCCATGTTCTTTTGGCTATTCGTCCCGTGTGCTTGTTTGGCGCCATTGTTTTGCACGGATTATCGGTTATCTTGAAACTAGACATCTGTCGTCTGTCAGGCTTGGAACCAGTCGTCTCATTGCCGTTTTCTGATTTTCTTTCACGCTCGGCCTTTGGCCACAGTCCGCGAGGCCGATGCTCCTTTTCGATTAAGTCTGTCATCTGGAAGTGTCAAAATCTCGCCGTCTGTGCGTCTGAAGACGTAGAGTTGAAAGACTTCACTTACAACTCATCAAGTAAGGTACCATAAGTGTTGCAGTAGGTTCGCTTACTCAAATTTGTCAATTGCCGTGATATGTCATGATTCCGGTTCCGACTCGTCGGCCATGACAGATTCCGATTGGCATCCCGCGTCATCCAAGGTGTGGGCCGCTTACATGATTATCTCTTGTAATATTCGCACAGGTTCTAACGGATTAATGTTTTCACATATTGGTATGCATCGCACGGAGCCCCCGTTCCTGCAGGGTGAGGGAGAGGAAATAGCAGGTCGTGATAAGGTTCCGTTGACCATGGAGTTAGGCTAGGCCCAAATGTGAAGGCGTGGCGGCATTCAAGCCACTCTTGAGTCCTCGGATACTAGCTAAAGGGATGCTGGAGTCGACATCTGCTTCGATTTCATAAAGACTAGTTCTCGATGTGCAGATGTAGTCTTATCCTCAAGATTGCGTTTCTGTTGATCTCTTGTATATCTCAACAACGCATGCTGGTTGTAGATAGTGGGGTGAATGCGGAGAATGAGAGATGGAACGTCAAATGTTGAATGAATGCCCTCGTCAGTAATCGATGCTTGACAGGGTCACAGCGCCGAATAGAAGAACTCTGCGATTGCATTGGTATGTCACTTGCGTTTGCCACGCCGACCGTGCTGAATAATGGAAATTTTATGCTTGAGATACGAGTCGCGATGGAATCTGTTTGACGCTGGTAGCGTCTGTTTACTCTCCTTCTCGTCGCAACAAGCCTGGTTGGCATCGCCGCTCAGCGAGACCACCAGCTCATGCGTCTAGTGGGTGATAACGCTCCCGAAGCCGCAGCCAAAAAAGCGACTATTTTGCCGAAATGCCTCATCATTGAGTTCGACAAGGCGTCTTACGCTCGTGTTTCTCTTGAAAACCAAGTAGACTAAATCCCCAGGGCCTCAACCCGTCGGTCCAGGACTTTCCCAACCCGTAAGCTCGCGTCCGGTGCGCCACCCACGAGCTATGATGGGACTTCGTTGAGGATTCTGGGGTGGAAGGGGACTGGAAGCACACCACCCCCCCCCCCCCCCCCCGGGCCTCTCCCCCCCCCTGGGCCCCGGGCCCCCGGGGGATGAGGGGGGTTTGTGGGGGGTTTTGGGGGGGAGGGGGAGGGGAAACCACCCCCCCCCCCCCCCCCCCAGCGTTTGCCAGGCTGGCTTCGTGGGCGCGGTGGCGAGCTGTTCAAAGGGTTGACCTTTATCGAAACCAGCATCGATTATCCGAATGATATCATCACTCTGCCTATGCGTGAAATGTGTCGAGATTTCATCGTGGCGTACGGAGTTGAGTTGTGGTGGCTTGGCCGTATGGCGAATGGTACGCAGATCGCCCCGGGCAAGTATAAGATGCGATTCGCCGCGTTGGTTCTTTTTTGGCAAGTAACCACGAGGCTTCGGATAATAACGATGTCTACGAGACTCCGGCCTTTGATATATCTTAGCTCCAGGCTTGAGGATTGGGAAGCTTTGAATCTCGGAAGAGATAGTTAGACAAGGACAATGAGACCACTTTTTGCGCCGTACAATTTCCAAGCCAAGGATATCTCATCCAAACTTCCTTGGGTTCTTGAGAAGCTCAAGTTGATGAGACGAGACACAGATTTCTGCTTAACGTAGCGTTTCCCAAGTAGTTAATTTGAGGGAAACCTGTGTCTTATTCAAGATATGAACCTATATGGGTATCGCCTGGCTTTTTGAAGAATCCCAAATGGGAGCACTGCTCATGCTCATGTACGAACACAGGGTCATCTTTTCGGGGTATGTGCTTCGCATTGGGTATTATGTATCAGACTGGTGGCTGGACAAGCTCGCCTGCTGGCGTGTTGGCAGTCTTTGTCTCGTATAGGTAGCTATAAATGACTGGGCCTCCTCAAAAGAAGTAGGTTCTGGTATCTTAAACTCATAAACTTGATCATAAATCACAATTTCTCCGTCTGGTTCCTGCTCAGAGTCTGGTGCTGCTCGGCAAGGAACACCTCCTCCGAAGTTAGCTGGTAGTTGGCAGACTTGCGAGCCGAGACGCCCTTCTGGAACATGACATCCATCTCACCAAAGGTGCGGCCTTTGGTCTCAAACATGCGGAAGTAACCCCACAATAAGGTCAGGGTAGCAAGAACGGCCCAGAAGAATGCCTGAATTTCATAGTTAGTCCTGCCAACATGCTGCTCAATCTGAAATCACCACTTACAGTCTTTCCCTTCAGGTTCCAGTCACCAGGTGCCAACATTTTGGGCTGGATGAGACCACCACAGATGATGTTACCGACGTAGTATATACTGCGGGCCAAGACGACAGTCTGGGTGCGAAGACGAGTAGAGCCAATTTCGGCAACGAGTGTGTATACGATAGGTCCGACGGACATGGAGTAGAAGCCGAGCCATACGACGCAAAGGATTGACTGTCCCCAAATGATGCCAGTTGTTTGATTCGGGGCAACAGAAAGGAAACCGATGATCCACAAGCAGGCGACGAGAAGACTGAATCCGGTTATCCAGATGGTTCGGCGACCAAACTTGTAAATGTAGAGCCAAGAGATGCACGTGCCGATGAAAGCGATGCCAGTTCCTCCTAGACTGATGGCGTACGATGTTGAAGGCGAAATGCCGGTCTGCTGGAAGAAGAACGAGCCAGAGTAGCAGAGGGCGCCACCGTTGGTGATTTGGGACATGAACGCCATGCAAGCGATCTCGGTACGTCGGAGGTTGGTGCCCTTGAAGCAGTCAAACAGAGAGGCGCCGGCTTGCTCCTCGATCTCGAGTTTGTTCGTGTGGACCATCATGGCGACAGTGGCATCGAGGTCAACATTGTGTTCAGGCTCCGAGAGCCGCGCCAGCGACCTCTTGGCCTCGTCGAGGTTACCGCGACGAACGTGGTGCCAGGGAGACTCTGGGGCGAGCCAAGCAGCAATGATGAGAGGAATGGGCCACACCCATTGCACGGCAAAGGGGACCTTGTAACTCCACTGGCCCTCGACGTCGACGAGACCCTTGAGGATGCCGGCAGAGATGAATTGGCCGATACACCAGCACAAGTTGACATAGGAAGTCAAGTATCCACGGATGGCCAGAGGCGTAACTTCAGCGGCGTAGGAAGGACCTGTAGTGGCAAAGACTCCCCAAGGAACGTTGCAAAGAACTTGACCAGCCAGTTGCATCTCAATGTTGTGGGCGAAGAAGACGACGAAGACGAAGGCGGCGAGCCAGACTAGAGAGAAGATGAGGACCTTGCGGTGGCCGTAAATTGGGGTGAAGTATCCGTTCATGATGGCGCCGACAATGTTGGCGACAGCGCCGATGGCGTTGAACTTTTGTTGCCAGGAAGAAGAGATCTGATAGCCGTTTTTGTCGTCGAGCCATTCGCCATACTTCTCGCGGAAGGCAGGATACCCATAAAAGGAGCTGATCAAGGTAACGTCGTAGCCCTCCATGATGACGGTGGTTGAGATGACTGGAGAAGGAGAACGTTAGACGATGCTATGCTGGCTTCAGGCTCACTTTCGAGCTGTGACTCACGAATAGACCAAAACGCGGCGCGCTTGTAGGTCTTCAAACCCTGCCAGACACCGAAGCTGTGCTCAATGTTGGTTCCTTCGTGAGCCTCAACATTGAGTCCCTTGTCATCGAGGCTGACATCGTTGAGGTGAGCAATGTGAGATGGACCCTTCTCGACGTGGATAGGGTCCTGTGGCTGGGATGCCGTCTTGTGGTCGATGTCGTTGGACATGGTTGCGGATACTCTCGGGCTGCTTGAAGCTGTTGACGATGGGCAAGCTCCTGGAGCAAAGTCGTATCGAAGGGAGACAGACGGACTAAGCACGGTGATCTGGGGGGGCAGTTGGAGTATTTTTAAGTTGGGTTGAGGCGAGATCAAGGTCGTACCAGACAGCTGGTTTCTCTCGTCTCATGCAGCGGTTGCAGAATGCATGGGATTGGGACGAGGATGGGATGGTTGTGTTGGAATGAGCCGGTCCCATGGAGAAGCAGTTTGTTTTCCCCAAGCTTGGCCTCTTGGAATGGCCCATTCCCCAATCAGGCGTCTTAGAGATCCTTCGTCGTGCCGGCCGGGGGGGATGCTATACCATTCACGCTCAAGCCAGGCTCATCTCATGGGACTGGATGTCTGGGCCGGCAAGGGAAATGCTGGCCATGTGCGAGGCAGAACCCACATTCAAGTGGACAGCCGATCGGGACCTTTTGGTTAGCGGCGGGATTGACGGTCTTGGACGATCTTGAGTGGACAGATGGCGCCATGGAGAAGAAAGTGCGGGGAGAGGCGAGGGAGTTGACAAGCTCTGAATGGTCAAAGCATCCAAGATGTCGGCGGGAGAGGCGATGGGAACCAACGGGGCGGGGAGAGACAGATACTGGTGGTCGATGCGGTGCCAAAGGCGGTCCGGGGTTCTCGAGGAGCCAGTACGAGATCGAGTTGGGGGCACTCGTGACTGGTGGTGGCTGGACACAAGTCAGGATGGGAGGCAAGATGGCGGCGCGGTAGGGACGACGGACCGTCGAATCTGGGGTCTATGGGTTCGAGGCATTGAGGCATCGAGCAAAGAGGAAGCGCAACAGACAAACTTGACTTCAAGAGGCTAGGAGGGAAATGTTGTCCGAGGCTTGGAGGAGCACAATTGGTGGAACTTTTTGCCAGGAGGAGACGGACGGTTGGGGATGGCCTGGGGATCGGAAGAGACGCAGTCCCTAGCGCGGCCTAAAGAGGATTAGCGCGGCTTTAGCGAGCCTCGAGTGGGCCAGATGAGGAAGATGATGTGGGGTAAGGTAAGTCTGGGGATTTAGTGGCGTGATGGGCCGCACTGGATGCCCGGGGTCGCTCAGGGGTCGCTAGAGTGCAACCGTCTACTCACGTACCTCAGGTACCTAGGCCTCGATGGCCGGTCCTGTCAGTGGAGGGACGCACTGAAGCCCTTCCCCATCCAGGCCCAGCCCGCACCTCTGTTGCTGGGTTTCCCCAAGTTTTGGCGCGTTTGCATGCAGTACGACCACCTCGTTCTCGTTTGTTGGTCAGTTGGAGCAGACGATATGCAGCTGTTGTGTACCTCGAACATGGCCGACAATGAAAACAAAAGGTAGTTCGATAAAGTGCTGAATGGAAAGTGAGAGGAGAGTTGAGTCAACTCAAGGCCCCAACTTTGAGATGAACCTTAGGGCGAGGGTCAAAAGTCTGGGTACGTGTCTGGGGTTGCATCGCTCCTTCCTTGCCGAGCTTAGGTAATTACCTTAGACATCTTACCAACGTATCCCTACTCCGGTGCTACGTACATGTAAGTACATTACTCAGGCCCGGATGCACCCGATTGCGAGAAGAAGAAGCATCGACCAACAACAACCGCTAGACCTGCATTAAACAGCCGACTCTGACCACGATCTGGTCCCGAAGCTGTTCGGTTCGCTCTTGCCTGCCTGTTGTCTCCTCCTCCTTCCTCCTCATCTTGGTCCATCATTCAAATTAAACACGAACACGTGACGACACGATTGTTGAAACCCCAAGCAAGATAGCTGCAAGAAGTTTGTTAGATGGAGGTGACGGTTGGTAAAGGCCGTTCTTGGTTATGCCCAGAATTGTCGACGCGTATTTCGAGGTCCACTGGCCGCTCAAAAAGACACGGCGTGTCCCAATCCACGGCCAAGGGGACCGACGCTCCCATCGCCAAATGACTCCAGTACCCAGAGACGAGGCACCATCTTCATGCAAACATCTGCCAGGTCGACAGGGAATATGCCATGACTTTCGGCTCCAGACCTCCCTCTTACCGTTGCCCTCAAGGGCCTCAACCAGTAACAGATTGCAATTGCTGCTGTGGAGTTCCGCGCGAATCAACTCCCTGTCTTCTCCAACTGCAGGCCCTCTCATCGGCCAGCCTCGGCCGAGCCTTGACTCTCGCTGGCTGCAATTGGCACTCGTACATGCATTGTGATCCTCCCCAAGGTCGTGGCTTGAACTCATCGTGTAGTGTACATCCAAGTGAAGCCAAGCTCAGCGTTCTCCGTAAGCTTCTCTGACTATGCTTCTTCTACTCATCCATGGAACCCTTTTAGGTTTTTCTCGTGGCTCACGGCTAAGCTTGACTCCAGTAGCGTTTCTCGTCTCTGCAGTTCCCACTGCTATGAACCGTGATCTCGGGTTCTGGATGGCACCGGATGTCGTAGTTTGCCGGTACATTGACATGATGCGCTGGGACTACGTGTAGCTTCTTCTACTTCCAGTTACTCGATGCCCATACAGCTTCTAGCCAGAGGCTTACCCAAAAGCCAATCACATCGGGGGATCAAATGGACGAATCACTTCCTCTAGGGCCCATGCCGCTTTCATGTGGCACTGACTACTTGGATTTCAGTCACGTGGTCATTTCCACGCCTGTAGACGAATTGAGACGGTCACGGACTAACAGGCTGAAAGCTAGTAGTATTTTTGATTCATGAACGCCATTTCCCTATTCATTCAGCTGATGACAGCTGCGTGGCCTCGTTTGAGGACTTGACAAACGCGATTGGGGCCAGTCCTCCCCTTCAATGCAAACCAAGCAAACGATATCCGCCCCCCTGTCACTCCTCGATCCTGGCTTGACTCTCTGATATCCCGCTTGGCAATGTGAAACCATTACATCATTCCGCCATTGTCCTTCTCCTCGGCGTTGGCATCTTCGAGAGTCGGCTCCCAGTTGAGCATGTCGTTCTCGAAAGAATACTCCTGCGCGGCGGGCTGCTCAATGGCATTCTCGGGCTGCATATCAGCAACAGGCATGGCAGGGGCCTGGGGAACCTGCTGACGGATCACGTCCCAGTCGAAGTAGCCGCCTCCGTTGTCAGGGAGGTGACTGTTAGTGTAGCTCTCGGCGTTCATACCAAGGCCACGCACACCGTTGTCCTGCGGCTGCGGCACGAAAAGGCCAAGATCATTGTTGTCGGCAACGACGGAAAAGGCAGTGGTGACACCAGCAGTGCCAATGGGTCCGGCGGCGGGAGCGGCGGCGGCGGGGAAACCGGCGGCGGCGGGAGCAAGGCCAGTAGCGGCGGGGGACGCAACGGCGTTGCGGCTTTGAGCGGCGGCCGCGGTGCCTCCCCGGGCACGCTTCCTCTCGATACACATTGCGTGGTCGTGGCGACCCTCGTCGCCCCAGTAGCAGGGGCAGAAGGCCCCGACGTCATTTTGGATCCAGGGTGCGTTTTCACGCACCCATTCAGCCGGGTCCAATGTGGCCCGGTTAGGGGACCACTGACAGTGGTTACAAGTAGCAAAGGTCTTTCGACCCAAGCCATGGTTTTTCGAGTCTCTAAACCGGGTATTCCAAGCCCTGTTGCCCAGCTTTCTGCACTTGGAGCAGGCCATCGGCGCCGAGGGTGAGTTGATCTGTCCAGGAAGCGTGGCCGCGACGTTGGCACGGGAGTTGGCACGAGAATTGGCACGAGAATTGGCACGGGAGTTGTTGCGGCTGGGAGCGGCACCGACGGCGTTGGAGGAGTGCGGCTGCTGAAGAGCCTGGTTCGCATTCGGCATCTGGGGCTGGGCCTGGGTCTGCGCCGCGATGGGAGCCTGTGCATAGGCGTGGATCTGCTGCTGGATCTGGTTCTGGATCTGCGCCAGATTCTGGTTCTGGGTCTGCGCCATGTTCTGGTCCATAGGCGCTCCGGATCTAGATTTCATTAGCGTCGTAAAAACTGAGAAGAGACATTAAAGTAAGAGATGGATGCTCACGGGAGGCGGTTCATGGCAACACCGACGCCGCTGGACTGCTGTGGGCGCTGAATCTGGGCCTGGGCCTGACTCTGGTTGTGGTTGCCTTGCATGATGCCGCTGAGCCAGGACATTGTCAGCATCGCAAAGTATTGAGAGAGTATGTTAGATAGGAGGGATGGATGCTTACGGGGCCCGCTCATTGCCAGTAGTGGTGACATCGTTGCCAGCAGACTGCGGCTTCTGGACAGTCTGCTTATCCATGATGTGCCTGTACGCATAAAATTAGTATCGCGAAAGTTCAGAGGAAATGAATGACTGAAGGGATGGATACTCACGAGATGAGGTTGATGAGGTTGATGAGGTTGATGAGGTTGATGAGTGGATGACGGGGGTGATCTAGCAACTGCGAGGGTGCGAATATCGATGATCCTATAGATTCTCACGATCAGTAATTTTCATCTTCGATAATAATACATCTCTCTGCCAAACTCAGTAGACGATAGAGCATCAGGGGCTTACGATGGTAAATCTGCGTGGTGGCGATGTGGTGATATTTCTGCTGATTGTTGACGCAAAGTTGACGATGATCGCTGTTGAGGAAGGGAAGAGGTTTCTGGAAGGTGAGGGTCGCGTCGAGAAAGAGGAAGGTAAACAACAGAAAAGCCCTCGACGACTAAGCATGATGAGTCGTCCTTAGGATTCATGATGCGGCTGGTGAGCTGTCCAAAGCCACAGTTGACAGTGAAGGCGGGAGCTGTCAAAACCGAGTTGATAGAGACTGCGGAAACTATCAGAGCCGCAGTACCTTGGATAGGGGTAGCGGCAGCCGTCCAAAAGATATGTTAATAGAGGCGGCGGGAGCTGTCCAAAGCCCCAGTTGACAAAGATGGCGGGGGCTTTCAAAACCGAGTTAAATAAAACGGCGGGAACTATTAAAGCCGTAGAAAATGGGGAGCTATCCAAAGCCTCAACGAAAAATGATAGCGAGAGCTGTCTAAGGCCTCAGTTGACATTGATGGTGGGATTGTTCAAAGTCATATTAGACAGTGATTATAGGAGCTGTTCAATTTCATCGTAGACAAGAAGGGTTATAGGCATAGTCTCAAGTCACAGTGCCTAGATGCTTAGGGATGGCGGGAGCTATCTGAAGTTATATCAGACTGGATGAATGGGGGGAGAACTGATCTCTAAAGGGGCAAGAGAAAGAGATGGCGAGAGAGTGAAGGAAGTTTGGTTCCTCGGCTCGACATGATACTGTTCACCTGATGATGATACAAAAAGACATCCAGGGCGTTTGGTGAATGTTCTACCTGTTGGCCATGGTGAATTGACTGGTGCAAATAGGCTTGAGCTCTTTGAAATTCTGTCGCGGGGTGCATTTATTTTCAAGACTTACCACTCGCAAGGTGGTCTTTATCGCTGTCATAACGATTTAAACTAAGACCTTTATGAAAGTTCTCACTCTCTTGTGCAAGGTCTTGGAGAAATGGAAAACGACTAGATTCAGACATGCATGAGGCTGAGTCAAAAAGGCTCAAGTAAAAACAATGAGTACCTTGGGCAAATGTCATATTATTCAGACCCCAGCCTCCATGTGGCCACTCCGTCTTGAGTTCATGGAAGAAATGTACTTACCACGGTCTTGCTTTAGGCCCTGACCCTGGAAATAGCCTGAAGGTCAAGATGTTGGTTTCCGTATCACAGGGTAATCGGGTTCGGACCGTCGTTCTAACGTGGTGACGATGGGTCAATTGACTGTATATTGATCGCTGCGTACAGAGGAAAAGAGAGGGTCTAACCGGAGGTTAGACCGTTAGTTGAAAGCTGAAATAGAGGCCCTTAGATGGCCCCTGCGCTTGCGCTGACTCGAGGTCGAATTGGGCCTCCAATCCGACACAAGACCAATATTAGAGGTCGTATGTTGGTTATGCGAGGAACTACTGAATTGGGAGAAGGCTCTACATCTGGAAACATGGATGCCAAGCTTCTGTTTTCGATTCGAGCCAACCAATTACTTCTCCTTGTCTCCTCGAACACAGCAAAAGTGGCTTCAGTAGCCACGGCCTACTGGAGGTTTCGACCGCATCAAAAACTAACAGCTTCAGCATAGTTGACAGATAAAACCAAGGGCAAGGACTGTCTCAACAATTGTGTAATAATTATGTACATTTTCGTGTTTCAATTAGTCGAATGCGCGCCGAAGTTGTGAGTTCGATCCTTCTTACTTACGGAGTAGAAGACTACGTCGGCAGGAAATATCTACAAATATCCCAAGCTTGCACACTCAGCCTCAATATCAGACAGGGTGCGCTTGCCAACGGTAACGTTGTTGTTTTGGCCGTAGCTACGAACCAAACGAGCCTCGGCTGTATAAACAGGCCACCCAATGGCATCCAGACCCGCGGTCGAGTCCTTCACAAAAGCGGCATACGCATCCATCATGATGTGACTGAGCTCATATTCGAAGGCGGTAGAGTTGCCGCGGAAGTTGGCGTGCGTGCCGAAGATCAGGGGAAGTTCACTGCCGTGGTAGGCACCCATCCACGGGCGCGGCGAGGTGTTGTGGAAAACGGCAGAGTAGTAGTAGCGGTACGTGGTTCGCCCCGCGGCAAGACGCTCACTAGTTTCCGTCAGCAGGATTTTCTTCGCAGCGACAAAGGGAATTCTCACTTAGTGGTCTTGGTTGTTGGGCACCAGAAATATTGGTAGGACAAGGCGTCTGCAACGGCCGGGTCAGGACCATTCTCAGCATCGTAGGGAGCCAGGAATAGGCCCTCCGCGGCGTTGAAACCAATGATAGCGGGCTTTGAATCGTTAGTAAATCACTATACTTGCTCGTCTACTAAGAGTTAACTTACAAGATCGGAAAATTCGCCAAGCGCAGCCTTCTCAGTGTAGTTGGCAAAAACAATCTTGCCATCAACCTGAGGAGAGAAACCAATGGTAGGCGTAACCTCGGAATCCTTGTAAGTAGCCACAAAGTTCTCAAGCTTCTCAGCGGGAATCTTGCGCATGCATGCCAACTCAGCCTCGGCGTCCGTCAGGTTTCCGCATCCTAACTGTTGCGCGACAAACGTAAAGTTGGAGTGGCTCTCGTCGTGGTTCATCAGCTGGTCCAGATGCGCCGTGCCAGAATCCATGATGAGGCCTCTGACGATGGGGTCCTCGGCGTATGCGAAGTTGTAGTAGTCCACGGCGACGGAACCAGCCGATTGGCCCCAGATGGTCATGCGCTCCGGGTCGCCGCCGAACTTGGCGACGTTGTCACGGATCCACTCAACGGCGAAGCGCTGGTCCATCAGCCCGAGGTTCTGCTCCTTAAGCGCGGCCGAGCTGGGGAAACCAAAGAGCTTCATGCGGTAGTTGAAAGTGACGAAGATGTGCGATTGCGAGCGTTGGATCCAGTTCTGTGGCATCTGGTAAGGCACGTCGGTGCCGCCCGTCTCGAAGCCGCCGCCATAGAACCAGATGATTACCGGGAGTCCCTCCCCGGAAGTCTGCTGCCCACCGGTGGCGGGAACGGCGCCGGCGGGGGCCCACACGCTGGCGGTAAGGCAGTCTTCATCCATGCCGGCATCGCCAATCATGAACTCGGGCACGTCGACGCGCTGGATGGCTGGGTGAATGGAGATGTACTGCCAGCACGAAGGCGGCAGTGCCGTGGCGTTGAGGACAGTTCTATTGGCAAAAGGACTGCTCGACTGGGGAACGACGTAGGTCTGAGGGGGTTCCCAGCGCAAGTCGTCGAGAGGCGGCGCGGCATAGGGGATGCCAAGGAACTCCGCAACATTGGAGGCATCAGGGGCGATCCGGCCTTGCACCGTGAGACCGTTGTCGAGTTGTACGCTGGGACCTGCGCTCGCCGAGGCGAGGAGAGCAGCAAAGGTGGCCACGAACTTTGCGTTGTACATCATGATGACAGGCTGCTGACAGAACCAACTGACTGGAGTTGACAGAAGTGGCTCAGCAACCGCTTTTCAACACCAGCGAGGAGTCTTTATGTCACGGAAGTCTTCCAGAACTCGGGGGGCTTCTTCGCCAAAAAAATTTTCGACATCCTGGCAATCCCAACTCATGAATGACTTCTATCAATGATCGATGGATCGATGCTCCACCAGCGTCGCGCCTCTACGTTGCCAGAACAGGAAATAAGACGTTGCACGGTTCGCCTTTCATCAGAAGTTGCTGGGCAGAACTCCACATCCTTCAACGTTGACATCGGCAGTTCTCCAGTCGAGAGACGGGTGTCATTGGTGAGAGGGAGGGGGTCTCCGTCCCTATCATGGGTTTGCGACTCAAATCCCTGCCGCGTCCTCCACCCGGACCTGGCGATCAGCAATCGGACGCTTCTAAACATCTCTTTTTGCCCTCGGAGTCCGCGTAATATGCCGGGGAGGCGGGGACTGGGAACAGTATGGAGTCCACTGCAAATGTGGCCCGCAACTCGTCAGCAACATGTCAGCGGAACTCGAATGAGTCGATAACTTTGATAGTTCCGCCACGATTTCGGGAGCATCACCCAGCAGACACCAGATCTAGATCCAGGGTTTCAGTGAGAGTCACAACTTACGTACCCAGGCGCGGCATAGGTTGATTGGCCGAGGATAGATGAGATAACTGTGAGAATAATCTTTTTTCTTGTAAGATGAGAAACCAGAGTCTGAGAATCCGGGAAAGAGAAAGATCTTGATACTCCTCGTCCGGCTTCAACAGTGCGTTACATGATTTGCTTCGTCCAGGAGCTCCCAAAGTAATTCCTCCAACTGATTGATGTCAAGGAACTTCAGGTGCGCCAACCATCATTTTCAATCTTCTCCCTCATCAATTTCCGCGAATGGCACGTAGTCTATTCTCCTTCTTGAAGGTCGAAATACTACCCGCGGCTTTGCATTTTGATTCTTGTCAGACCTGCATAATTACCAATAGCACCTATGAACGAGCTGTGATTGTCGGATTGGAAGCCCAATTCGACCTCGAGTCAGCGCTAGCGCAGGGGCCATCTGAGGGTCTCTATATCAGCGTTCAACTGACGGTCTAACCTCCGGTTGGAACCTCTCTTTTCCATTTCACGCAGAGATCAATATACAGTTAATTGACCCTTCGTCACCACGGTTCGACTCGAACAATCATTCCTGTGATACGTAAACCAACAGTGATTAACTTCTAGCGACCAATGATGGAGGAGTTCGTTCCACCTACTTAGTCGGCCTTTCAACTTCCCCGCACACGGCACAGGCTGGCAGCTACTTGTCTCAGGGAGACAACTTTGTTGATGGTGATTAGTGCTTTTAATTAAATAGAAGGCTCACGCGGTCCATCAACAGTCTCAAGGTATTCTTGAGTTTTCAAGACGTCAAAGAAGTAGAGAGTGATGAATCTACTACCTTATCTGAGACGACGTTTAACAGTAATTAGTCATAATCACAGACCTATACATCCCAACAGACTTCTAGTAAAACTAACTTTCTCCGTCCTTCGATCTCTTTCCACGGGCACAAATACTCTAGACAAGGCTTCTCTAGACAGCTCTCACTTCTACCGCTCTCATTATGGTTACTCTGGTTCCGGTTCCTCGAGTTGCGGTTGCCCTGGGTGCGATTGCTCCGGGCATAGCTCCCGCGTTTTCTACTACTCTAGGTGCGGTTGCTATCGGTGGGAATACACTCATTTCGCGTCGAGCTGTTGTCTTTCCGAAGTTCTGGAGCACTCTCAACTGGAAGTTGAGGCTTGCTCAACATCATCAAACTCCTTCTCATCCAGTTCAAACTCCGTGAAAATGGATTTCACGATGACCGACCACCATGTCTGATCTTGGCTGAGTTGAATCGAGGTATCTGGAAGTCCCAGGCATTTCCTCGTTGTTATTTCTGCATCTGGGCTCGGAACAAAATGTGATAGTGTGTTGCTCTATGACCAGAGCCTATTGGTTCGATGTCTTGCACGCCAAGCCCATCGAAAATTATCTGCCATCTAATCTGGCCATGGACTAACTTCTCTCTTGATCTTGTCGAGGCACCTGTGTGGCTGTTGATGTATCTGATCTGTGATGTACAGTGTCTCTCAGAGTCGTAGACGATCATCAACCTTCTGCCTCGATCGGATGGTCCAAACATTTGAAACTCGAGATTATAGTTCGAGGATGGCGGCGTAGTGACGTTTTGGCATTCTGTCTCGGCCTGCAATTTGGAATCAGCTCTGCTATCTTTACCAACGCAAAGCCACCTTCGTAGCATCTAGTGTTGACTTCATGTTACTTAGGGCTTTTTGTCTTGAACGAATCCAAATTTAAGTGCAGACACTAAGCTTAATAAAGCTTGTAATCTAGTGTCCAAGCCCTTCGAGAAGCTGAAGGATTCAGTATTGGGACATTTCGGGGATAGAAAAAGTTCAGATCAGTGGGCTCAAGGTGGGAGGAAGTCGATTTTATTAGAAAGAAAGAACTGTAAAACAGGCAAATGCTTCCAGTGGCATTCACTGTTGCGGTCCCGACATCTACCAGAAGTAGGCTGTATGCACAAGCAGTCAGGCTTCATTAGAAATCCAGGTGAGCTTTGCACAACTTGGCGGCGGCGCATGGGACCGCGCTATTACTGGCCAGCCTGGCTTACACTCCATCCCAAAAGACATCATCATGTTATAACAGCGATCATATAGCATAGCACATCTACGTGAGGTTCAACATTGATAACGCAGGGTGGTGGCGCAGTAGCTATCCTGGGTGCCCGATTATTGCTCATCATTTCTCATCCAAATGACGACAGCCCCGCCGCACAGCTGTGAGTACAACCCTGGCTGACAATTCCTCATACCAAAGCATTCAACTCGCACATAATCCACTTTAAAAGGATTCGCTCAAGGCTCGTTTAGAATTGAGTGACGATGCAGTCACCTGCGCTACAAAGCAAAGACACGATCAATGATTGTGAGGAAACCACGAAAGTCCAAGGCGCAATCATAATTCTCCTGGAAACAGCGCAACCTACATACCAGTCACCTGAAGGCATATCTGTCTATCAATCTCAGGGACCTGACCTCCCCTACTTCCACAGAAGACAATGATGCCGGGCAAACGAGTGGACTTGCTTGGGAGATCGGCAGCAAACTCCATCAGATTTTTGACAGTCTGGTGTCTAGTAAACCGCCAATACTACACAAGATATACCGCGTGCTGAATAAGTTACAAATGGGTGACTGGGGCCACCGTGTCAACATCGTAGAGATGCAGCAAATGTACCTGGAAGCTGTACAAGTCAGCCTCGTGGACATGGAGGTGGATATGTAAGCAAAAGGTAGTCATATAGAAGCCCAGGAAATTGCTAGGAACGGTAGAGTCTTGCCAGGCTTGCTGACAAATTTTAGTATGCTATTAGAGACCCATGCACCTATCGCTCTTATTCAAATGACCAAAGGCAATGCCCTTGACCGACGCCGTGGGCCCAAACAAAAGCAGACGTCGTACAGGGTTATGTATACATGACGAAAATCTCCCAGCAACTGTTTGACTTCTTCATTGCGTCTAGTGGGCGATACGAAGACAGCTATGTCCTCGATAAGGTGATGAGGAAGAATCGCGTAGGGCCTGGAGAAATTACCAACCGGCCCCGTAGGACATATGAAGATATGGAACTTGACGCCTTTCCTTCTGGTCCTTGGATCAATGAAGAGAACCCGGAACCTCTTGGTGGAACGCGGAATACATCGGCCAAGGCAGTGCTACGGCGCAACTTGTGGTGGAAGATGATTGGGGCAGTGGTCCGCAGCGCTTTTCTTGTCGGCCCGATGTGGTTGCTGGTGCTGAATCGTGAGCTTTATCTCAAACTTGGGGTAGCCAGAGGCTTCGTCTTTGCTTTTGGACTTCTCATGGTTGGCTGCGTAGATCGACTCGAGCAGGTCTTTATACCAACTCTCAGATATGCTGCGGTTCTCATGGCGTTTGTTGGAGTTATGTTTGACAAACAGTTTCCTGAGGGCGGAGGAGGTTGGAGATTCAATGGAATTTTCGTGGTATGAGATTTTGGAAAGGGACGTGGCTTGCATAAGTTCAAATCATAACCCCCGTAGAGAGGAAAGTAGCTTGGAGTCCTGCTCGAGTACCTCTTGCATCAATGGAGTCTTATCGCAAAGCTCACGTCCTAAAGACGGGCAATATCAACGTCCATAACCTCAGGAAGTGAAATTCATCCCCTTGAGGAATCGGTGTATGCCATATAGGTGATGTGATGTTGTAAAATCGCAACGTCAAGGGCATACTCGTGTTATGACATAATCAGCACTCGAGAGTTCTAAGATGATGGATGATATCGAGAAGCGATCCTGGCTTGAAGCCCTTTCCAACTTAAAGAGCATTACGAATTACTGCTTTTCATACAGAGCTACTTGGGAAATTTTTTAAGATACTTTGTTGTGAGTATTCTACCGGCTCAGGGCGCTGTATTCTTGGCCTAATAGGATCAAATCCCAAGGTGCCAATGGGCAGTGTCAGCAAGTCAAGGCACTGGGCAGAGTACATAGCTACTTACCTTGGTTGGCTTTTGCAGGCTTTTGGTCTAGCCTCTGAAAGCAACGTGTCTTGTTTGAACCGCACGGCATACCGTGAGTCGTACAAAGCTTCACTAGTAATTGAGCACAGCGATCTCATGATGGTAAGTCGGGAAGGATAGGTTTGACATTGGTTGAGAGAAGCTTCTGCACTATTGGTCATTTGGAAATTGATTGATGTTCGCTCAACGTACACACTAGTAGCTTGGCGACAAGTTCCATATCATAGAGCCAAGTAAGGTCTCGCGAAGTAAGTACTACCAACCTCCCGAGACCCGTCTAGGTACCTGATCGTAGGAATTGTTCATTCGGTTAGGCATGGAGTACGAAGAAAACCAGGGCTGAAAAAATGCCTGTACGCAAGTAGCAGGGTAAGTGCCGCATTATTGTGCATGATCTGGGTAAAGGAAAGAAGTCAGGCCAGTCAATAACGAAGAACAGGTTTTTGGAGCCGATTCCTTGCTCATTGGTGTCCCCACGGATGCCAGATTCCCAGGGCTGTCCCAATCGACGAATCAAGTGATTTGGACAGCCCTTCGATCTTGGGAGACTGGAACCGGATACAGGGACTTAGTGGTTTCTGTAACATTGTGTTCAGGGTGCTCCCCTTCCCCGCTGTACACTGATCTGCCTCGACCCCTAGTTTGGCCGTGGATCGCTGCCCTCTTCGCTGATGCCTAAGAACGTCATTGAACAATGGACTACTTGCAATAATTCGAGCGAGTTGATGGCTTCGAGTAAGGTTCCTAGCCATGGTGGGAAATGGCTAATATCAACATTGGTAGGCGTGGTGTTCACTACGATTTTAACAGCAAAGGTGTTGTTTGACAGTTATGTTATGACAGCGTCAGATCAAAAGCCGTACGAAATCACCGTCGTCGCTATTATCCTGGTAGATCATCACAACTGATAAACATCCAAAAGTAGTAGGTATCGGCGATGCGCAGTCACGAATGACAGTACTTACAGCGGTGATACCCAGTCTTTGCTCATTCAATCTTGTTCTCTAAACACTGCTATTCACCCACCTTCGACCTTCAACAAGATTTGATGGTGACGTAGTCAGTGCTGCCACGTATTTGCCCAGTTTTCCAACCGCAGGTTCGGCGCAATTTCATTATGGGTGGCCCACGATCGGATGCGTAGGGTCGCAATAGACACCTCCAATGTCTGCCATCGGGTGTCTGACTTGCTAGAATGCTGGTCGAGTGAAATGAATGAACCATTTACGATTTCTCGACCTCACGAACCGAGATTTTCTGAGCCTGGGCCATGTCTTTAAACCTGCCTTGGTCTTCTCCTCTTCCAAGTCCGGCCGAAGGTGGCTTGGGTGGCTCAGCCCGCTTATTCTCCTTGAGGGACTCTGGTCAGCGTTATCTCCGACGTTGCTACGGTCCTAGCACTAGGTATTCGTAGGCGGCACAGGCGCCGCCGTATGTGATATGCTCTTTCACAGAGGACGTTCTACTCCGATCTGGACGCATTCAATGTCGGATCATATGCTTCCTGAGCGTTCTGCAGTGCGTAGTCGCCCGAATCGAAGTCTCTCTCCTCTGGTGTCAAATGTGTTGGCGGCACGGGACTGGCTCCGTTGGCCCGTGAGCGAGCCGTCCAGGGGTTCAATAAACTTGCAGCTGATTGTGAGGAGATCCGATCTAGCCGGGGCCCTGCCTGCCGGGCATGCGTCGGAGTTTCTTTTCCATTTGGGCTGCGGCCTCCAGGAGGAAATGGTCCGTTAATCAACTCTACGCTGACCGCGAACAGCAGATCGATCAAATGTTAGGACTCGCAGCTGATTATGCTTCAGCTGGTTTATTGACAATGTTGTGATGATTGTTTACCCCGATCCAGTTCCCGAGGTACGGATGTGGCCGACGGTCTGGTTACTGTCCGTACGGCTGTGTTTTATAGAAAAGTGGTGACGTGCGCATGATGATGACATCGTGTTCGTCACATGGCCCCTTGCCCATCAGAAGCAGTGAGATGCCAGCAGTCCCCGCTTGTTCTTTAAGAATCGCTGGGCATTGACTGACGTGGTCGTCGCGGCTCCGCCCGCAAGAACTGAGCAAAGTTGCGTTGCCCGGGTTGCTCTTCGGAACCGACTTTCTGTATGGGCACGAGTGACCACACGCATCAATCAGCGTTGGCTAATGCGGCTTCGCAGGCCTTACTGCGCCCGGGGAAAGGGGGTCCAAGGAACCAGAATAGAAAACAGGGGTCACTGATGGAACACATGGGACGAATACAGCCACAATTAAGGTATTACGGCGATCAATCCAACGGTTTAAGACTCCAAGGGGCATAGCAATGGACCCTGACTGCAAATGCCGGACACTTGACAGGCCGGTTTTCATGCGAAAAGGAGAGGGAAGAGGGCGGGAACGCAGACGATGACCCGGCCTGAAGGGAGGGGGATGGACCATGGCGCAGACGGCCTAGTTTTTCCCCTTTGCCAGAGGGTCCCCGCGTGACACTGGACAGGGAACATGCATGCGGTTATTGGGCGCTGGTCACCCCCTCATCCTTTGCCTGCGCCGGATCAGGTTTTTCAGAGGTTCCCTGGAGATTGGAAAGTTGGACAAGGTTTCAATCTGGCAGTGGAGTGATCATTGAAAAGGGCGGCGGCCGGTGTGGCACACGGGCAGGACGGGGTTTGCGGGAAAAGGAGATCTGCATTTATAAATACCTATCCAGGGCCATCTCGCCGTGACTCGATCGTGCCACATCCGTACGCTGCCCCTAAACGGTTTAAACTCACTGACAAACTTCCATGATGTCTTCGCAAATCCCCCGTCCCACTTCCACCACCACGAACTCGTCAACCTCGACTACTTCGACATCGACCACTTCCACGTCGACCCCGCAGTTCTCGGGTAGCATGGACGCTTACACCCTCTTCATGTACGAGCACACCCAGCGCCTGATGGCCGCGGCGCAGATACCGTACACCACCCCCCTCAACATCACGTCCCCTGGCGAGCGGACGTCCTCCGGAACCGGCTCCGTGGTGGTGAGGAATGGTGTCCCGCAGCTCCAGTCCGGCAGCCTTCCCTCCTTTAGCTCGAGCTGAGCGGTCTCACACATTCACACGGTCAAAAGCTGGAAAGATGCTGGATCCCGCGATCCCGCGTCCTTGAAGCCGAGGTAGGCGACTGTCCCTGAGATGGCTCCTGAAGGCGCCGCAGGCCAAGTCTCCATGCTCATCGTCGCTAATTTGCTGTCTGATAGACTTTGGAGATGCAGATTTCATCTCTCTTTTGGCCGATCCTAGTCGAAGCCAAAGTCATTGACGAGAACACGATCCACTCGCGGGCACCCTCCTGAACGCTTTACGAAGATCATCTGCTCCTCGCACCATCCATGATGCGACGTTTTCTCAATTAATTAATTCGTTGCCATGAACTTCAGCCCGACACTACGACACCTATCCCGATGCCATCCAAACCTCCTTTGCTGCGCCTCCGGAACTCGCGGATAGAGCCTATTCAAACTCGACTCGGTCAAGGCCACCTTGCCTACGTCGATGAATGGGAGATTCAGCCGCGGACCGGGCCGATAGTTCCACTGTCATCCGCACACTTTGCACGAGGCGATTGCATCGAAGGTCTCCCATGCGACAAGGCAACGTTTGTGGGTCGGATACTCGGTGGAAAGTTGTTTCTTGCAGCGGGATAATGTCTAATGCCTGCCCACAAGTCGCTATTTACACGCTATTCTTTCTGGTATGAAATGTTGCAAGGTTATGAAGGAGTTTTGCTGTTTACGAAAGGAGGAAGCAGTCTGACGCAAACGTAACTAGACGGGGCTTTGCCTGATCGTCTATGATACCCCTATGGAATTCAATGAGCATATTTCGTCTTCTTTCTGAAACGCAATCCTTTTGCTAGTGAGATTAGAGTTATGTATCCGTCACCAGGGGATGTTTATGCCGCTGCATGCTTCCAATATCCAGTCATCAGCTTATGGTACCCCGTATCGTTGTTGTTTACTATCGAGCCTCGACTGAACCATTCTGTGTGAAGAACCTTGATGACAAGGACAGGCTATATTGAATCGGAATGAGAACGTCCTCCCCTTTTCTTCCTATTATTCATGCGTCGCTTCATTCTAGGCCGACGGTCTAAACGGAATGAGTGCTCCATGTTGTAATATAGCCCGCGCTGTGATGCCGTCAGGCGTTTCGAGAGAAGTCAGTAGCATGTTCTTTCTCTTTGTTCTTCGAAGCTTCGGGAGACAAGTAGACGATCGAGTACAGCCTTCCATCCGGAACTTGTTCGACTCTTTGGTCTTGTCATCTGGTGTGAAAAACGCATCGGTTTGATCTTCTTTCCACTGTTGCAAGTTTCTGCTGATACCGGCTTTCCGCCCATTGGTGCTGTTTTAGTCATTTATCGGAGGTTCGTTGATGCTTTGAGTTCTAGATGGCCCATTTTCTCATCATCTCATATCGTTTTGAGATATTCCACGTCTTCTCGTCCACCTTTTTTGATATTCAACGGCTAGTCACCAAATCGTCCTGTCTTCCTTTTGGATGACATCATTTGAGATGGCTATATGATGGGACCGGTAGAAGGTAAGTGGGTAACAGTCGTCTTAACAGACTGTATCACCCAGAAGCTTGCATCACCTCATGAAAGGACCAAATTTAGGTAGCACCAAGTGATGAGGAGCAATCGGTTGCCTGTTGGGATGGAAACCATAGCGAGAACCGTCCCGAGTGAAGAGGAGGACCCAGACAATCGCAGCAGGCAAGGGCATGGAAGCTGTTCCTAGGCCCTTGCCCGCTTCCACGATTGCGGGTGCCCTGGTGTTGAATCGGCGTTCTTAATGCTCGTTATTCCATCCTTTTTTAGGGGCTCTTACCCTTACCTCTTCCAACACATCGGTGCTCGTGCGGGTTCTCGCACCTGCAACCGGTGCGTCATGCTCAAAGACTGCCGTGGTCAGTCATCGAAGAACGCCTGGCTGCGGGTAGCGCAGCCAACGATGATGGAGCTTTATCCCGGGGACCCGGGCTATGACCAGGCCCCTGGCTGAGTGTCGGTAAGGTGATTTGAGAGCCGAGGAGGAGGGCGGCGGGAGCATCTGCAAGTTATCCCAGTCCCATCTCCTTACTCCCATCCCTAGAATGTCATCCAATTTGATTCGTTAGTCGACTTTGACAAGCCCCACGGCGTCCGATGTCGCGGCTCGAAACGAAGGCAAACGGCATCGGACCACGGATCGAATAGCCTGACACAAGATCCGACGATCTAACTCAGATGTTCCGATATCCATTCGCCGGCGGAAAGTCCCTGCCATCCCTGAAGCTTCTCAGGGACGGGACGAAAGTCTTGCTGTTACTGGACGGCCTCAATTCCAGACTGAAGGGACCAGGGGCTTCCTTGGTGTACGGGTTCAGTCGTCTAGGCTTGCCGACTGCCGCGGAGGTTTCGCAGCTTTGAAACCGGCTTCTCCCCTCATCTTAGGTTTCAATCGATCCAAAATGCTTACATTCGATCAAGCAGAGTATCCTCCCCCAGAGTATCCTTCCCCAGGGTCTCGGCGGTACGGCGGTACGAGCAGGGAAAAAACGACAAAAAGTCAAGAAAAATAGAAAGGCCCCCCCAAAACTAAAACCAACAGAAAAGGAGAAAAACATACTTAAAAAAACACAAATGATGGGAGGACAGGTAAGCCGATGTTCATCTCTCCATCCACGCCATCCTACGTTATGATTAGCAGGTGACAGCACAGCTGGTCCGTCTGTTCTGGCACCTTCGTCACATCCCTAGCCAACATTGGGCAGCAGCAAAGACGCCGTCTGTTTCTTGCCTATCTTTCCCTGTCCTTTGCCTTCTTCCTGCCCCTCATTCGACAGTGGAGTTAGGGAGAAACAAAGTCGAGACATGCAGGAACCGTTGCTGACTGTTGGCGCTAGAATTAGGCGAGGCCCAAAGGAGGCCTCGGTAGGGGCGTTATGTCAGCAGCCGGCGGTGCTTTGGTGGCTGCCATTGGACGGGGAGACAGGCGCCGGGGACGTCGCACCTCGTGCCGGGAAATTGGTGAAATCGACCATCCTTGTCCATCCTTGTCCATCCCCTGGTCGGCGGCCGTCTGTTCTCTTGCAGATTTCCGAATCACCACTCGCCTGACAAGGCCCCAGGTCCAGAGGGTCCATCCAATGTCCTTTGCGCCGCAAGAGGACATTTTGGTGCGTTTGCCGTTGTTTGCCTTCCCTTTTCCACGTCCACTCGTGCAAGCTGCATACGCGTTCCGAAAGCTGCTGACCTGAGCTTGACAACAGTCCAGCTACTCGACCGTGAATCGACCCGTTGGGCTGCTGTTTGGCACACGAGAAACCGCGACGTTGCGTCATCCCAACCTGGAAATCACCTTCATTAGCTCCCGACCCGTTGAGGAGCAAACGGAAAGCTTCCAACGCGCCAAAGCAACGCTAGGCCATTGCCGACCGTTAGTGCGCAAACTTCGATATTTCCAGAGGAAGACCCCCCCAAACTTGTTCTTATTCCTCTCCCCCGAGCGCCTAGGAAGCACCTTTTCGACCCTCTTCTTGCTCTCAGAGCTGTAGGATACGCAACACACCCGCCATAATGGACGAAAAACAGGCGTCTGGGAGGCCTAGCGGGATCCCTCGCATGTCCCGTCTGCCTCTTCCAAGAACAGCTCCAGCTCCAGCTCCAGCTCCTACTGTTCGACCATCTCCATCGCGAGAAGGCCTGAACTCGGGCTTGAAGAACCCCCGACTTCGCCCAGCTGCTTCGCGAGACCAATTGGCCCCGGCCGCTGCTCTCAAACAACCCGAATCTCGCACGACTACGAGACCGAAACGAGAGATCCAGCCCCCATCCACGAGAAAGACCGAATTGAGAGCGCCCACTGCTGCACTGAGATCTTCCAGAAGCGTGCCCCGACTGCAGTCCAAGGGACCGGTAATCCAGAACCCCCCTACGCCTCCAGAAGAACCCCGACGAGCAATCACTCCGCGCTCGGCAAGCGTTACGCGAAGCCCCTCAGAGGACAATGTTGCCACCCCAAGCTCGAGTCGTCTGGATGACCCAATTACTTTGACGAAAGACAAGATGAGCCCACAAGTTGCCGACGGTGATGCCGAACCCGATCCTCGGGACTTTGATACGCTGAGGACACCCTCCCTCAAGCCTCGTCCTTCCCTCTCAGAACGAACAATCGAGACCCTTCAACAACTACAATCCTCGCCTTCTCTTAGCCACAAGACCTCTGCCTTCTTCGACCCCGACGGCACCATGCGGCCTCGTTCACGCGCCGGCAGCGGCAACTCGAGACCTGGCTCAAGCTACACTTCCGATGGATCTATGCGGCCTGCGTCCCGGCACAGCAGACCAAGCTCGAGCTCCGGTGCTGAAGAGAACCCATTCGCCAATGCTCGACCGGCTGCGAACGCGTATCGGCCTTTGGGCGCCATTGAAGGTACCCCTGCTCGCCGTGTATCGAGCATTCGTTCCCTCCGAGCACCAACGATTAGAGCTACGTCCCAGTCATCACCTTCCGGTCCGTCTACTATATCGGCGATACCGGTCAACCAGAGTCCCAGTCCAACGAGACCAACCAGCATCATGGCACCACCACCCAAGGCTGGTGCAAAGACGCTGGCTGCTCGCCCTCTAAAGGCCCGCGCCTCAGTCAATGGACTCTACAAGAAGCCATCTCTGCCAACAATGACCCAGCCGGCTCCAGCGTCTGTTGCTTCGCCTCAGCCCAAGAAACTGACACCATCCAAGTCCTATGGATCCCTACGAAGGCCCGGACCGTCAAAGATTGGTGCTCCAGCCCCTAGCGCCTCCAAAGACACGGATGAGTCTGGCGAATCTGCAGCGACAAAGTCATCCAATGCTCTGCGGGAGCAGATTGCCAAGGCCCGAGCAGCCAAGCGCGTTGCAGACCGACAAGCTGCGGAAGCGGCAACAGCTCCAAGCACCGCTCCGATGGCAGATGCTTCTGGAAGCGCTGTCCAATCTGAACCTCCCATCATCCCAGTGGACGACGGCTTCGACTTTGGCATCGCTATCACGCAAGATCCTTTCAACACGAAGAGATCGGAGACCTCTCAGACCAAGATCATTCAGCAGAGGCTCGGCGCTGCCCGCAGCAGTGGTAGACTCAACATCGCAGCCATGGGCCTCAAGGAGATCCCGGTCGAGGTTCTGAAGATGTACGACGCGGAGTCCATGGGCACTTATGATGGCTCCTGGGCTGAGACTGTCGATCTGACCCGCTTTGTAGCTGCTGATAACGAGCTAGAGACCATCGACGATACCATCTTCCCAGATATCACAGCGGAAGAAATAGCACAGGATGAGGACTCGAACGGCAACATCTTTGGCGGTTTGGAGGCGATGGACTTGCACGGCAACTCGTTGATCTCTCTGCCGATGGGATTGAGACAGCTTCCTCTGCTCACATCGCTCAACTTGGTAAGCCAACACGCGCCACCCTGAGCATCGATCATGACTAACAGATACAGTCCCAAAACCGCCTTGCAAACAACTGCCTCGAAGTCATCACCCAGGCCAAGGCCCTCAGAGACTTGAAGCTCGCCAACAATCTCCTGTACGGTCCTCTGGACCCCATTTTCACCAACCTCGAGAATCTCGAAATTTTTGACCTTCACGGAAATAACGTATCATCGCTTCCTCCTGGTATCGAAAGTCTATCTAGGCTGCGTGTCCTCAACCTAAGCGAGAACGGCTTCGAATCCCTGCCTTTTGCGAGTTTCTCCAAGCTTCCACTGACGGAATTATTGGCGAAGAAGAACAAGCTGACTGGCACGCTGATTGAAGACGGGGCCGAGTCTCTTCCAAACCTTCAAATGCTAGACCTCTCATGCAACCAGTTGACACGTCTGGTACCCTCCGGATCAGTCATCAACTTGCCTTCTGTTCATCAAGTCATCATCTCGATGAACCGCCTGCAAGAGCTGCCAGATGTCAGCTCCTGGCCTAGTCTCATGACCCTCAACGCAGACGAGAACGCCATTCCGGAATTCCCAAAGGGTTTCACTGCGCTCGAGAAGCTGAGGCATGTCGACTTCTCTGCCAACGACATTCGTGCGGTTCCGCCCGAGATTAGTAGAATGGACAATTTGACTATGGTTCGCCTCGCTGGTAACCCGTTGCGCGATAAGAAGTTTGTCTCTGCCACGACGGAAGAGCTCAAGGAGGTGCTTGCCGGCAGACTTGAGCCGCCTCCGCCATTCAAGGACGAGGACACTGCGATAATCAGCGAGGCACACCTTGAGGAGCCCCATGACATTCAACCAGAGACCACTGCTGCGCCAGCCGCCGAAGCTTCAGTTCGCGATAGTCACTCGGACGAGGACGACTTCGCTACCCCTCCCACCTCTTCGCCGACCTCACCGGCACGGGCGCGTTCGCAAACGCTAGCCAATGAGACGTGGCCCGTCAAGCAAGGTGTCCTGGATCGATCCAAGACTAAGTCGGCTTCGTTGCACCCTGTGGTCTGTTCTAAGGTTGCTGCTGACAACAAGGTAATCGAAGTGCAGTTGCATCACAACCTTTTTACCTGTTTCCCGAACTCGCTGTCCTTTTTCGCCGAGTCTCTAGCCGCGCTGTCTCTTGCGCACAACCAGCTGGTCGGCGAAACCTACTTGACGGAGGAGCTTGACCTTCCAGCACTGCGTGAGCTGAACCTCGTCAGCAACCATATTACCAGCCTCTCACCGTTGACCACGCACCTGATCGCCCCGCAACTGGAGAAGATGGACGTTTCTTTGAACCGCATCACGGCTCTTCCAACTGATTTGCGTGCGGTTTTCCCCCGGCTCGTCGTTCTTTTGGCAGCAAACAACCACTTGATCGAGCTCGACCCAGACACCATCAAGGGCATGGAGGTTGTTGATGCTGGTAATAACGATATTGCACACTTGAACCCGAGACTCGGCCTACTTGGTGGTACTGGCGGACTCAAGCGTCTGGAGGTCGCTGGCAACCGTTTCAGAGTTCCTAGGTGGAATGTTCTTGAACGGGGTACGGACGCTACTCTACGGTGGCTGAGGGGCCGCGTGCCAGTAGCGGAGATGGCCTCGTGGAAGGTTAGCGAAGGTGACTCGGGCAATGCTTCCGACACCAGCCTAGACGATGTGGACTGAACGGAATGACCGCAAAGGTCTGGCAACATTGGAGGGAGGAGATGGCTTTTCTGTTTCATTCGAGTTGACTTTTCGGTGCTGTCATTTCGATTCTTGCACATATTTTTTTATTCGTGGCACAGCGCTATACCACATTGTGCTTTCCACACATGGAGTTGAGGGTAATTTTTGCGATCAGAGTCGCCTGATATCCTGTACCAGTACTGTATAATACTATAGACGTAATAGTGGGACGGTGGCATTCTGTCCCAGCAAGGTTTCTGCTTTCGATGGTCTGCCTTGGTGGCTCTGCCGGTCTTCTCTGTTGGTCTCTGTCTCGTTTTAGCTTTTCACGATGCTATGGTAGCCGGTGTCGCCAAAGAGGTGCTTGGAAAATTCTTTCTCCAAAATCTTCTTCGTGGGATAGTTAGCTGCAACTCCCAATGGTCGACCTAGTCTTTCACTCTTGATTCTCAGCATCTCCCATCCATAAAATACAGGTTCATTTCAGAAACAGCAAAGAGCTCTCTCTCATCCGACTTCTCTTTCAAACAACAACACGCATCACATTCAGTCACAATGGCCTCAGCTGTGGGCTCTGTTCGGGCTCCTACTATCTCTGGCGACGCCCGCAACGTCCGTGACTTCTACGAAAAGTACGTCGACATCATCGACGCCTCCGGCACCCAAACTGGCCACGATATTCCTGCCAACAACGAGAAGAAGCAGTGGCCCTCCTCCGCCCAGCCCAACACCAACGTAGACTCGAGGCGTCGACCAGCGCTGTTCAGCCTCTGGCAGAAACTCAACGTTACCACGCTCACCCTCGTCGCCGCCTTCCTCTGGTGCCTATATTGCGATGTCTCTTCAATCTGGGGGATCTTCTATTTGATCCATGTCGCCGACTTCTCTGACGTGATACAGCTCGTTTGGGTGGTGTCCTTGGGGGCCTTGGTTTACCTCATGAATGGGTTTCTTGTCCTTACCTTTTGCGTCATCAGCGGCTCTCGTGCCTCGCCTTTCTTGGCCCAAATAGCCTGCGGTACCTGCTCAGATGAGCAAGATGAGAAGGCGGAGGATTCGGATGCCGTTTCGAAGCCAGTGGTGGTGGATGATGACTCCGACAGCGGCTGGCTCGAGGCGTGTACGAGCCCCAAGGCGATTGCTACGCTTATGAAAATCCAGCTGGTGGTCCTCTTCCTTGCTGTGTGGCCGCTCGCGTTGGCTCTGAATATCGGACTTTTGATCTGTGGTGGTGTTATCAGGCGCGGTGATGGCTTTGACGAGGAAGACATTCTCGTTGATGTCTCTGGTGCCGGTACGCGGGCTCCGGCTCCGGCTTCGACGAGGCCCTATGGTCAGTGTAAGAGTACTTCTGAGAAGGGGCCGCTGCTCGGAAGGAGGCTGACTGCGGCAGAGATCGTGGCGATTGAGAATGATCTGGCGGCGAAGGAGGTGCGGAGGACGTGCAAGCGCCCCATGGTTGAGCAGAAGCCGTATGCCCCTGTAAAGCAGTAGGCTACATGGACTCGAGTTGAGGATTCTTCTTGTCTTGGTTGAGGCTTCTAAAGACATCGTGGTGAGGAGGAACCCATGAGGAGGTCAGATGTACCTAATTGGTGTCCAAAGTTAAAAGTCCAGTGAATATACATTGCAAATCTAAACGCTCATTCGAAATAGTGTCAACATTGGTGAATTCCCAGGTAGTGAAGTTGTCAAGTTGAGAACCCATGATCACCATTTACACGCACAGACTAATACGTCAATATCATTCACATCACCTGGAATGTATTAGAGGTAGACTACAGACCAGCCTATACAATCAAATACAGGTGGTCCTAGACAGATGGACGAGGAAAAGCAGTCGTCAAATGTCCTCCCCTTGTTCGGATTAGCTCCAGCGGAGACTTGGCTCATTTCTCCCAATTTTACTTCACCCACCACGAACCCCATTGATCGTGCACTAATTACATAAACTTGCAAGGTGAATGAACATATCTCTTCAGACCCCTCCTACATAAGGTATTTACATTTGAGGCCGACTTACCTGGACGGACTCGACCGGGGAGGGAGGGCAACAAAGTCTTGATCCCCATCCCTCCTGGACTGAATGTCTCATCGAGACAGCGTTCATTCACAGCCCACGTAGTTGCCCTGCACTTATCACATGATCATCAAGAGGAACAAGAATGGAGTGTGCTCGGGAATCTGCTAGCGACAATACACAGCCAGGTGAGAGCTTGGGCTGGACCCGGGAAGGGAAGGGGGGTGGAAAGTTCAACTTTAGGCTTGGAAGGGGGGGGGGAACGTACGTCGTACGTTCTCCCTACACCGATCTCTGTTTTGATTGGAGATTCCACTTACACACTCCTGCATCATACTCTCGATACTAAGCGCGTCGAACTTTTTCATTAGGAACCAGGGACTTTTCTGCTAGCCTCTCCTCGTTGCAAGACTTGAGGATTCGGCTCCCGGAGGTACTGCACTCTTGCGGTTTGCCAGTCCAGTTCTTCGCAGTCAAACGCACTACCAAGGTTGGATTGCGATGTCCCATAGATGTGTGAAGCTCCCCAGTAAAATTTAGCCGGAAAGGTGTAATCTAGCTTTACGGTGAACGGATAGCTATGGCCTGCCTCCCACGGGATTACTGATGTGGGATATTTGCAATTCATCGGAGATAGACATAATACAACCTATGTTTCTCTCGTCTTTCGGTCCAGTCGGGCCAGACCATGCTCAACAGTTCTATCCCATCACCGACTATCCCCATCTCTCTCGTGCGGGTATTCCATTGGGAATAAAAAGAAATCGCACACCGGACAGTAAGAACGCTCTATATCGTCACGACGGCCCGAGACCATCACGACGAGCTCCTCCTCCGTCAGCACCTGGAACAATGGCTCCCATCCACACCTTAAGCCTCGCTCCGAGGAGCCCTGGCGCCGGACTCAGCGCCAGCGCCAGCACGCAGAACGCACACAACTACGAGAAGACCGTCGTCTGTATAGTGGCCTCTTGCGCGTTCTATGCTATTCTGGGACTTACAATCTACGCCTTCATGAATAGGTTCCGTCTTGTTCCCGAGTGGTACAAGAGCTCAGCCCGAAACCTTCAGTACAAGATTATGCTTATCTTATGGTTTCCTGCAATCATGATCCTCTGGCCCTTGGCCATCGCCCGGATGATCCCCTCCAAGTGTGATCTTAAGATCATGGACAAGCCGGCCAGCTTCTTCAGAGATGTCAAGACGAAGGGCAGAGCTTTGTGTCGCCGAGCTAGCGGGGACCCAAGGGAAGGGATGGAGCTGGAGAGATGGGAAGAGATTGAACTCGAAGAGGAAAATGCGAGAGGACTCAGAAACAACGCAACTCTTGGCATTTTCGTCAATCCCTTTGATGACAGAGGTCGTTCAAGTACTCGGCGATCAAGCGGATCGACCAGCAACGAGCCGTCGCCCACGGATTGCCGAGCCGTGCCTTTGACCTTGGAACTGCCGCCCATCAGGTGGTATGAGAAGCTCCCTTTGCCGGCGGAATTGGGAGATCTCAACCAGCCAGGCTCTAGCAGCAACGGTGGTAAGTCGTCAGCCGAGGGGACTAGGAGCTGTAGCCCTTACTCCGAAGACGTTAATGGTCCGACATCGATGGCAATTCCGTGTGAAAGCGTAGAAGCCTCTGCACCGCATCCTCTTGGAAAGTCTAAGGCGACGCAGAAGTTGCAGACGATTCCTGAGCAAAACGAGGAGGTTCAAGGATGGGAGAAGATGATTCTCTGAGTATGCATTCATATACGGATCGTACTCCTTGTAACTAAGTAATCGTCGACAATCATAGTGTTCTCATGAACCACTAGAGGAACTGCGATCTGACCAAGTTGATTTGCTTCTTGACGAGATGAACGCTCCCGTCCCGGAGAGCCTGGAGTACTGTGCCTACCGCTATCAGAGAATACCCAATCCAAGGCGCTGAGAAGATGTCGAATGCCCGCACTTGAGTACTGGAAGTGCTTCATGTACGGGGAGGCCCACGCTCAGACGGCCGTATTCCAATAGAAAGGTCTTAGAAACTGACCAAGACTATATGAACATTCTCTCCCTACATGTACGAGGAAAACGTTTCACACGTGAACCGTGGCACGTTGAAGTGGTAAAAGGGCGTCCAAAGATGACTTACTCATTTTTGAGCTAGCAACTCGTGATTCCAAACATACAACGATTAGTATGCTAAGATCTTCTACTGTAAGCCCTTGTGGTTTCTGGCTCCTATGCCTGTTCGTCACAAGCTTTTCCCTCTTCAAAATTTTGTGAGATCTTACTTTGACAGCTACACTTTGTACAGGATCCTTCGAAGCACCACAACTTATAGCTGGAACGGATTTATGGATGGCCAGACTTGCTCATTAAAATGGGTATGTGTGATCGTTCGAAATTACGCAAGTCATTCTTCTCATCACGCGTCGTACTCTCCATTGAGGGGGGGCACCTCAGTGCTTAAAGGAGCCTGAAGTGCCTGATATGAATCCTACAAGGAACTGCTTAAGTCAAGAACTCATGGAAAAGCGTACATGTAATTTCCCACGAAGAGAAAGTTGACGGGCTATCGGATTGACACCAAGTCGTAAAAGCCACCGAATTCCAGCCAACAATTCTCTGAAATAGAGCACTCCATGATCTGAAATCGTTCATAATCCGAGTTCTCCGAAGTGACGTCCATTACTAAGAGACACATGAGTATAGTAATATACCACCTGCCTGTCCTTTGAGAGTCAAGGTAACCACTCAGGGCGATGAACTTCATAACATGGACTCTAGGCTGGTGATCACGCCATGTGATATCTAGCCATATGTCGCCCAGTGGTACTTCTGCTCCACAATCTTCATGGTGCTCATGATCAGAGATCCCGTATTGCTTACTAGCTTCGTCGATGGTCGGATCTAAAGGGGCTGATCTCGGGGCATCACCCTGCGAAGGGTGTGTTGTTGGTTTGAGTCCTTGAAGGGGCATGCTCTTTCGGCAAGTGGTTGGGAAGACGTTATATAAACCGTTACTGCCTCGTATTTGTTGCGCGCGTGCAGAAATGCGAAGATATGCCGAACTCGTGGCTAAGGCCAACTTGGGCCAACTGTAACCTGTTGTCGTATCAATGCTTACGGGAAAACCGAAGGAGCCATGGTCATTGGTAGAAGGCCATTTAATTGTCTTGCGGAGGCGACAAGCAGGACGAGGCTCCAGCCGATGAAGCAATTTTTGATAGCGAACGCCTTCGAGCATATGGCTCGTTCGAGTTAGATCGACGAGACTCCTTTCGAAGGAGACCTCATTATCCCAGCCAAGCCAGGACCAACTAGGGAAGTTCTGATTTCTCAGATGGGGTCCATGTTGGGCTGCCCGCCAACAAACCGTTTGGTCAAACGCGCAGGTCGGCAGACCAAAATGGAACGTTGACCGTTCGCCATCCATCATCCCTTCCAGCGTGTGGAAAACGCCTTGAAAAGCCGAGACCTTGTCTTTTCCAAGTGTGAATTTACGCTTTGAGTAGTGTTCCACGGCAGAGAGAAAGTACTCTAGGTTTTGTCCTTGCGGAATATTCAATAGGCCGCCTACCTTCTGGGATTGGCTGACTGGTGATGTAGACCTCGATTTTGCCAGTTGCGTGCCTTGCAAATCGTGTGTAGCTTCCTGGCATTGCAAGAAAATACCGTTGGAGCTGAACAGAATTGCTCGATGAGATAACGCCTGCTCTTGGTAGCACCAACCTCTGCTACCCCAGGGTGAAATTGCCAAGACAGCTTCGAGGTCCTCGATAGAGCTGCAAAGCGTCGGAACCACCGCAGATGGTTGTTTCGTCAGCAAGCCCTCGTCGGCGGTTTTGGTAGACGCTGCAACAATCGTGAACTTTGCCGCGGAGTAGATGGAGCGCATTCGCAGAATCTGAATTGTCCTGTCACGAGCAGAGTCTTGCATGATACATAACGCATCGACCCACAGGTAGTCTTCCCCAAGACGTTCACACACGAGGATGGCGTCTCGGACCGTCGTCGGGATCTGCTGCCATACAGAATCCAATCCATGCGGTCGGGATAGCTCTTGAGAGTTTGCAGTCGTGAGCTTGACCTGGTCCACGTCGCCCCAAACATATGACAGGACCGCAAAAGGCCAATCGTCGAGAGCACTCACAACACATCGTTGGCGGACGTCAATGAGTCGAAATCGGATTCCAGGAAACTTCCGCCATGTCATCGACTTCGGACGGCATTTCCCGTGGTCACAGCTTGATGCGCAATTGGAAATCCAGTCTCGAATCGCTTCGAATTGGACCATAGAAACTGTTGATATGGGACTAGCACGGAGGCTATGGATCCCGGCATTCGTCTCTGACTGACCTTGTCTTATGACCCGGCTCTGGTGGCTATTAGGGGAAGCTTTTCTCGGTGGAAGTGTCCGGTGTTTCTTCCTCATTTCCCGATAGGAAGGGTCGTCAGAGTCGTCAGTCTCGTCATCCCAAGGGCACTGTATGCATTCATTTGGCCAAAGGCTTCGGTAAAGCTCACGGGCATTTTCCCAGATGTATTCATCCCAGTAACCATCAGAGCTTCAAATGTCAGGCTGTCTTCAAAGGATGCCATTTTCAGCGGTTTGAACCTACCAAATCTTGATATTTCGGGGGCACAGAGCAAAAGCTCGAAGCAGAATGCAAGAGACTGCTCGGTCATATGGCTTCCGTGCCGTTTTCACCCGATCTCCTTCATGTTCGCAAAAGTAGAAGGTTTCATGACCTGCCTCGCCCAGCCCGTTAAAAATGATGCCTTCTTTCAACGTGGCAATCGGTGCCGAAATTGCTGCAAGTTCTTGATTGGACCCATGTCCTCTGAGAGGGACATCGGAGGCTTCCATAATTAACAGAGCATCTTCAATCAATTGCGGCCAGATCGATCGCCACTGTGGGTTAGTCCAATCTTCGACGTCGTAATAATGGCTATAGCTGCGATGTCTTGGCGTTAGTTTGGTCTTCAACCAGAACAAATATTGTAGATGCACTGACCCCATTGTGTTCCTCTTGTTGACTATTGCAAGCGAAAGCCGGTCTGGAGAAGTAATAGAACCAAGTGACTCGATGTACACGATCAGGAAGAGAGAGTGAGTGCTGTTGGTGTTAATCAACAGCATGACGCAAATAGAAATCAGGTTACATTAGGCAACCGAGCGGCACAGAAAGGACTATGCAGGAAAACTGGCAACTGTAAAAACCCTCTTCCCTATAATGTTAGCCACATGACTGAGGAACAACCAATCCGCCATTCTGACGAGGTGCCTTATTAGTCACAGCCGGGACACACAATGATGGGTTGAAACACCCGGTTTTATAAAGTCAGAAAAAAAAAAAAAAAAAGGACATGGAAGAACGAACATCATATCTCCCGCGTCTCGAGGCAACCCAGATACGAGGCAAAATATCCCAATTGATCGTAACCAACATCTAGGTACCTTGATTAACTCAATCCATCCTTCTGAGATTAGGTGACAGAGGTCGCGTGCTATCTGTGTATGTTGGGGCCGACTGCGACAAAAGGATGCGTCGAGGGGGAATCGAACCCCCGGCTCCCCGACGCTGCTGTATGGCAACGGAGAATTTTACCACTAAACCATCAACGCTGCTTGAAATTTGAAGCTAATGTGAGGCTCAAGAATCTTGCTAGCTTTTCGTTCGACATTCGGGGAGGAAAGTTAGAGTTGCAGAACTTTTTAGTCGAGGGCATTGAAGTTGAGAGGTGATAAAAAGGTCGTTAGCACCTAGGCCTGAGTTGTTGGGTGCGGTTCATAATGCGCATGCCACCACAAAGTACTAGGTATGCAAAGCTCATGTGGCAAACACATTGGAATATCTCTGTGTATGCTTCTTGATGATCAAGTTTGATTAGGGTTGGTATCTGCCAGTCCAAAACTCCGATCACTCGCAAATCAATTCAGATAGTTTGGGAAGTCCAAGCCATCCACTTGAAACTCATTCATCAACGTGCTCCAGTCGGGGAAATCCTGCATCATCTCGGCCCAATCCATCCCATCGGTGGCCGCTATGCTGTCCAGCCCACCATACACACCCTCCGCTTCCGATCTGTCATCAGTGGCGCCCGGCGTCGGGTAGGATTCCTTCTCGGCGCTCCCACTGGCATTGCCGCCGGTGTTGCTGCCGCTCTGCTGGCCAAGCCCCTGTCGTATCGCCATCGCCTTGGCCCGCAAGGTTTCTATAACCGTCATCTTCGCCCCGGGCCCCAAACTCACGTTTACGCTCTTTAAGAGAATGAAGCTTTCGTCCATGACCTTCCACGCCCTATCAATACTGGGTCCCTCCGGCTTGACGCACAAGTGCCACAGGACGTAAAGAAGCATATGATATTGGGGATAAGCCCGCATGGACCACCGGTACTGCCGCAGCAGCTCGTCCGACGCCAGGCTCAAGCCGTCCTCGAGAATACCGAGCGCCTGGATGAGATTCTCCTCCGTCGCAAACGAATCGCGCGCCTCTGGGTGCTCAAGGTTGAGCCACTGCTGCCGACTGACCATGTCGACTTTGCGAATGATGAAACGCGCAACCAACAACGTCTGGCGCTGTTGCGGTATGACGGGATTGCAGTGTCGGAGGAATCTCTCTGCGTAGTCGTGGAGTTCCTGGACGATCTCGGCGCGGACGGATTCCGGCGTGGGGTTTTCTGCCCACGATGACACCATGGCCGCGAGACGGTGCCATGCGCGCGTAATTTGGATGTTGATCAGTGCCAATGTTGATGTCGTCCAGCCGGTTCGGGAGTGTGGAAGCTCCTTCATCTCGGGATACAGGTCTCCGTCGTCTAGATTCGACGGGAAGCTCACGCCGATTCGCATGTTGAAGCTTGAAATGTTTGAAAAGCCATAATCCTCCGCTGCTCTGCCATCACGCGTGATAAGATTCCACCAAATGCGCCTCCGAATCTCGGATTCAAAAGGCGAGAGCCCGAGCTTCGTCCCGTCTCGGTGCAGGCCGATGGATTGAGCTGCACGGATGGCCAGTCCGTTCAAGGTCCACAAGCCCCGACCTGGATTATGTATCCTGAGAGCCGCCTGCGCCTGGTATCAGCAAACGAAGAGTCAATCGACTGGAGGTGGACATACCAGGTACAAAGATAAGGCTTCGAGCATTTTCACAGAGGGGTGTTCGAGAAAGTCGGCCTTGGCAAAGGCTTGCTCGAGCCCTGTCTTGAAGCGATAGAGGGTCGTCACCTTGTCCTCGCCCGTGAGACTTTGGACAGAGTTCGGCTCTAGAACAACAGTCGAGACGAAAAAGATGGCAAACATGACTGCTAATGCCTCCAAGGAGGCGTTGCGGGGGTCGTCGATGGCGGTGTAGATAAGGACTTCTGCCGTCGGCCGGTGGAGTACCTTGTTACAAATCTCGATATTGTCGATGTAGTTCCTCCATAGTTCTATAGCGCCAAACTTTGGAGGAATAAGTTCGGCAAGATCCAGTTTGAGATCCGGTGCTGAGAGAATGCCCATCGGATTGAAGGGCGACAGTTCCGCTGCAGCCGCCGGCTCGCTCCGTGGCGTTGTGAGAACTGACTGGATGTCATGTTCCTTTCGAGAAGGGTCAGTCAGGGGTCACACGCATCAAGGGACAAGAAAGAAAAGAAAAAAGAGGCATCTACCTCCTCGATGACCCGAGAAATCAGGACATCGTCGAAGTATTGGCTCGACGACCCCTTCCGTATAAGAATCTCATCGCCGACACTCTTCTCAAACGGCCCCGAAGCTGGCGCTGTTGTTGACCTCGATACTGATGTAGTAGAGTGAATTGAATCCAGACCCAAGCCAGAACTCGTCATCGGGGTCGTGACCGATGGTGAGCCCCGGAAAGCCGGCAGCTGCTGCTGGTGTTGCTGGCCTGCCGCCCCGGCCACAAGCGTCTTCTCCAGGTCCGAAATCCGGCTTGCAACGTCGGCGATGGTAGTCTTTCGTGCTCGGCGTATCGGCTGCCCCGCCTGCGGATAGTGACATTGGAACCCGCCGCGGGCGCACGACGCGCAGGGTTGCTTCTTGTCGCAGCGAATCTTGCGGCGGTGACAGAGATTGCAGGAACGCTCAATCTTTCGAACACCGTTGCCGCCGCCGCCGAGGCCGCCGCTGCTCCCGATGCCGAGGCGGGTCATACTGCTGCTCCCGCTGGTGGCGGTCTCATCCATGGCGGCCGTCGGAGACCGTGAATGGCCCGGCTGCGGCGTGTCGGCAGTTTGTGTGGGCGAGGAGGTGGATGTTGAATCCGGTCCCATGGCGCCGGTATGGGAGGGATCCGGGGTAGCACCAGCGAGATCGGATGCGATGCGACACGACACAAGATTGAATTTGATAACCTTTGTCTGTTTGTCTTGGCTCGTATGAATATGCTTAAAGTGGTAGGGGGGTGACCAGCAAACAGCTGGTCCGTCACTTGAGGTGGGTGATGAACTCGAGGTCGATGCCCAGGAATCCTCGGCCTCGGCGCTGACTTGAAGACCGAGGCCGAGCGGGGCCGTCACCTCCCCCGCTCTTCCTGACTCGGGTTTAAAGTGCAAAGTTGACGTGCGGGAGAGATCATATCCGGAGATTGAGCGCCAGAGCGGTGGGTGGGAGACCGGAAAGCTACGCCAACCCGCATGTGCACCAAGAGATGCCGGCCCAGCTTTACGGTTGACCGCTTTCAGTTCTTCACATCGTCAGCGCACCCGCAGAAGCTCGATGACGGAGCACGCTCCGTCCGCATGCGTCTAGCAATAAGCTTTGAATGAGGTCGGTAGACCTTCGCCGAGGTCCCCGAACGTGTCGGCCTTGCCCCTGTTTTGCCAGCCACCACGTGTCTGGTGTCTCTGAATTCCCTACTGTTCGGATTCTACCCTAGTTGATCATCTTCTCATCCTCACCTTCGGGATCAAGTATCCGTATAGAATGTCCCTTTGACTCGAAGCCTCGATGCCACCAGATGAGTTTGCCCCTCTTTTGCCAAGATGTCACCGGGCTTCCCCGTGAAGGATGCAACGAAGACCCTGGTACATCAGGACGATGTCGGCGGCTGCAATCCTTGTACTTCAATTTGTGTGAAAATTGCCAATCGAAAATTAATACCGTAACCAACCAGGTCGCTCAAGACGGCAAGTTACCTCAGTAGGAGCTACCGAAGAGGAAAGACTTGGCGTACCAAAAGGTCTTCAGGCAATATGAACAAGGTTTCTCTTACTGGGAACACCCGAAAAAGAAACAGGAGAAAATAATGGGAAAGAAAATGGCACCTTGTATCCGTAGAGTTCGTCATATCAATTCTCCGAATGTCACCGACACGGTGAGTGCACTGATTAGATGGATCAACCCCACAAGTGCTTTTTGGGTTCATTTCATGGGATTTCGCGCCACTGAAAGTTCATTGTCGTTAGGTTACCAGATCACTCCAGTGGTGTGCAATCAGCATCGTAGGGTTCAAGGTGGAGATCAAAGCTCGATATTGCACTGCCGTTGACATTCAAATCTTGTTCATGTCGTGACAATTATCTTCTAACGCAATATACTTTCCCCTCGACTCATCCAGCGTGGTCACTACCGAGGTGGCGGTAAGCTCCCGCGATGGCGCAAAGAGGGTGGGCACCGGAAATGTTCCGCAGACTCATTTCATCCAAAGATGCTTTTTGGTGGGTTCGGGCCTATCCTCGACAACCATGCCATTATTATTAGCCTCTGGGGAATTAGACCGCTCTCACACGTATCCTGGGGCTCCGAGGCATTCGGGTGAACTTACCCACCGTTTAGCTTGTGGACCGGATGGCAGCTTAGTTGAAGGGGAGATAAGGAGGGGGTGGGCTCTCATGTGAACTAAAACGCAAACAACGACTTCGTGTCTAGCATGTGCCATATGGTGCCATTTGTTGCGGAACGAGTACGCCCTCACGTTCTCGCCCATAGCTCCTGTACTGTATTTAACTTTGAAAGTGCGAGATAGTTGATCCCCGTTTCAATTTGGCGCGACGCGAAACAAGGTTTTCGGCTGCACTGGGCCTAGTTCATGCAATGTCTGAGCGCACGTCCAGGACCGAGCTCGCATGAAACCTCAGGTACTGACCGTGGCCTGAATAAAACGAACGGGAGCTTAATCTGGGAAGTATCGTTTTCGGCAAGGCTGCGTGATATTGGGCAGGAAATGATCAGATATGCTAGTTGATTGCGGTCAGACAATAGATCGTGTTATGGAGAATGTGAAGTCTGCATGTGTATTGGTAATGAAACGAGAGAATGGTATCACAAACCCATAGGTAAACGACCATGATGCCTCTGGGGCCCCCCATCGTGGGCAGACATTTCGTAACCTTCGAATTCCTACCGAGGCCTCTAAAACCGTCCTTTTTTGGAGCAAAGCTACCAAAGTCCCGTCATGCTCCTCTGCGTCCCGCAGTCACCCACCGCGCCTAAAAAAAAAAAACACAAGAGTATAGCCCTCGACTCCTTGACGAGGTGCCTCCATGTTACCAATGAACGGTACAAAGATAAAAGAAACTTCAAAGTATCCGTGGGTCCTGCCTCGTGGCAAATCGTACCATGGAGCAAATTCGCATCAGCCGTTACATGAACAGAGTGATATCTCACCGCCTCGCCGTATTTGAATAAACCGATAAGTCTTGAAGAGTCCAGATCAAGAAAAGAAAACCTTAAAAAAGTGACCGCTCCGCTTATACACCCACCGAGATCGGCGGCAGAGTTTGCATGAAGTCGAGCCAAGATGCCCCGGGGTTACTGTCCCGAATATCCCATACAGCCCTAAGGAAGGCTTCCAGGCTGGTTCGGTACTTGGTGTTGCCGCTGTCGATCAGTGCCGTAATGGCCCCCAACGTCGTCTCCCGTTCCGCTGCGTTCTTTGCCTCGATGGCCGCCAGGGTGTAGGGGAAGCTGACGCAACGCTGCTTGTCTTGCGAGACCGTCAACGTCATCTGCAGGTCTGAGATGATGCTCTTTGCCATGGCGGATGCCATGTCGTCCTTTTCGCCAAACTTGTACCGTAGACGATGGATGTACAGCATCGCCGCCGTCTTGTAGATACGACTTTGGGCCAGCATGTGGATGACCTCGCTGGTGGTAAAGCGGTTGGTAAAGTCTGGCGGGATGACAGGCTGCCACGCTTGGATCTCGTGCTCCACTTCGTCCAATGCTTGCGTCTGCTCTTCAACGTCGACCTCGTGATAGAGGTGATAGCTGATGCGGCATAAGTCGTACATGTGCTGCAGTAATGGCATACACACTCCCAAATAGGCATCAACGTGGCCCGCTTCGGGAGGCGCGATTCCGCATACTGGCAGCTCGCGCTGCATCAGGCATTCGTTGATATCGACGGCCGTCATGTACACGAGGATGTAGTGTGTTCGTGAACTGGAAATCTGCGAGGTTCCCAAGAGATGGCGGATGTGGCTGAGCACGTATCGTCGGACTGGTGCCGCGCTGGTTCCGAGGGCCATGTTGGAGAAGTACACAATGCCTAGTCCTAGTCCTGCCCACGGTAGCAGTTCGTCGCGCTTGAGCGTCGGTAGAGGACAAGACCGGAGCTGTTCGACAGCCATTGCGCCGCGGTGTAGATTCGCGTCCGGGTCGTATTCGCCCGTCTCCAAGCCCATTGATGACGCGAACGCGCTATACATGGCAATGTAGGCGTCCTTGCCCTGGTCAAACATGGAAAACAGATGGACGGTCATATCCAGCTGCATACTGTCGACAAACGTTGGACTGATGAAGTACTGCATAAAGTTCGACTTGTGCAGTAACCGCGATAACGAGGTGCGTTCCACGTTGTCCAACCGGCCCAGCGTGCTACCGTACGGACTGAGCGACTCGAGGATCTTGGACGGCGGACTCGATGCCGATTCGGTCGACGAGTCTGACGAAGCATCGTCGGGAGGGCTGCCGACGCTCGAGGCCGTTGCTATGCTCGGCTTCCGCGATGCGGGACACGGCGGGGAACTTACGCGGGCGACGGTCGTCGTTGTCGTCGGGACGACTATGTTGGCCTTTCGAGGAACCGGGTTTGGACATGGCACGCCGCCGCTCATGATCTTGCTCCTGACTGCGACTTTTGACCTCCCCTTGACTGCGGACCTGGGCACGGGGCGTACAAAGACGCAGTCCCGGCCGTTCATCATACAGCGGTCGCATTGCGGGTTACCTTCTGAGAAGGTGCATTTTGACTTCTGATAGTAGCACGGCGCGCACGCCTTTGCGACGGGCTAGAGACGCAAGGGGTCAGCATGGTCATTGCGAAGCAGCAAGTTGCTGAGGCCCCTGATGGTTAGTGGCCGAGGAAGGGGACAGGGTTCGAGTGTTCAAGGTGATCAATGGTGATGATGATATCGACGACGATGACGTGGATGGTACACATCAATTACAACACCTGGTGAAGGTGGGATATCTCGACGGAGATAGGCGATGACGAGAAGTGGCGGCACTCACCATTGTGAATCAAGATTCAGGTGGGGTAGTCCATTCGAGGTGCTCCAACAGACAAAGTTCTGTGGGGAGAGAACAAGAGTGACACGGCTGGGACACGCGAGAAATCTGGGTCGGAGAAAGACGTGGCGGGTCGGCGTGAGAATTAATGCGTGTACGCGTTCTCGGGGTCCTGAATCTGTCGTATCTCTTCGAAGTTGTAAATCTTCCTCAATTCCAGGTTGCTCAAACTGCTGTGCGATACTCTGTGATTTTTAGTGGTGCCGGGTACAGACTGTGGATGCGGCACAGGTCGGTGAGCGTGAGAGTGAGTACGTGGGGGACCGGCGTTGCAGTGGACGGCGATGATCAGTAAATGCCGAAGGAGTTAAGGAGGAAGGGGGATGTAGAAGTGATGTTATGTTATGGTTGTTGGGCGGAAGAGGAAGACAAGACTACTGGTAGAGGGCCTGGGATGTGAGAATAAGGTTCGGGCATGGCGCGCATGGATTTTGATCGAGCGAGCAGTTAGGCTGAGGGAGCGGTCTGATCCATGGTGATCAAGAGGGAGTGATATTCGGTATCGGGACAGAGACTCAAGGCGTTTGGTTTGGTTTGGTCTGGTCTGGTGTGGTCTGGTGTGCTTGGTGGGCTTGGGTGATGGTCAAGTCAAGTACTGCGGACAATGTATCCTGCAACCCCCCCCTTTTGAGAAGTGTAACCTGACGGAGGGGGGGGACCAGGGGTTGGATGAAGGAGAACGGGGAAGAGAGGACGAGCAGGTAGGCCTAGAGAGGGTCAAGGCTACTAGGGGAACGGAACAAGCAGCCAGCTTGGGTGTGTGGGCGGGCAAAGACAAGGTAGGGATTGGTTGGGATGGGATGGGGATGGCATTGGGAGAGGGAGATGTAGGATGGTGATTTTGGATTAGGCAAAGCCGCCGCGGGCAACGGCTGTGCTTGTTGCTTAGCTTCTTCCATGGCTGGGACGCCACTTTGCTCGCTCGTTTGGCGCAGAGAAGGATGACGAAAGTGACAGAAAGGAATGATGAAAGACGGAGCGAATTTTAGGGGTCCCTTACTACGAAGTGTGAAAGGCTCCTTCACCAGAGCCAAATACATGCCTCCAGTCTCCCTAATGCTCATTTCTGCTGGCATATTGAGAGGCAGAATGGGGTGTGCTGATTTACCAACACTAATAGAATTCCCTCCACCATCTCCTCTCTCTCTCTCTCTTTCTCTCTCCTGCGCCTCCAGCTGCCACCGTCCAGGATGTATCTCTGGCGGACTGGGCGCCGCTTGCGGGTATTCAGAGCTAGCGTCTACGGATGCTAGCTGGCAATACATGCGCCAGTCCGTGCACATCAGAAGTCAGAGCAAAGGAGGATAGTGAGTGGGAAGATGTGGAAGAGAAGGGGAAGCGAAGCCTGTCAGCCCGAGCGAAGGCCAGCAATGCAGGCGCCCACATGTCTGTGCCTATGTGAGGTACTCTGGACGCTCTCATTCTCTGTATCCATACATTCAGTTTTTGTATGTACAGAGGAGAAGCTCTCTCTCTCGTATCGAGATAGTTGTACGCTAGGCTCGCAGCGAGTCTCTGGACGCTACGCTTCCATCGCTTGGCTTCAATCAACGGCCTTGCTTGCAACAATGCCTCCCCCCCCTGAAACGTTGAGGCGGTGCAGTCACAATACCTATGAGCACGCCCGTTGGCTCTTGGGAAGCAGGAAAAAAAAAAGGGCCTGTTTTTGACTTTTTCCCTTGCACCCGCACGGACTTTGTGTTGAAGCAAGGGCAGAAGCGAGGACTCGAGGAGAGACACGCACCCCAGAGAGGGCCAACAACGGTCACCGAAGAATCGTAGTCTTTCTATCCGTACTACTTGGCTAGCACCGTCAGGTATCCGTAGAGAGTGGAGGATGTCCTGTGAACCACGACCGGGACTAGGGGCCCACGATGAGCAATCGAGGAGTGGAGGAGACCATTGTGAAGCCCTGGAATTCTGGGGCAGCTTGTTGAAGATCAGATGGGCGTGCGGCGGGCGTGTGGCGGGCATGCGGGTTGTTTCTCCCAGCCCGCCTACTGCCTTTCCGTGGTTTGCTATCGTTGTTATGCTTTGCTTCGTTGCCTCCCGTGACATCCCAAGCGAAGAGAATCAATAGTCGACACTGCTATAGTGAACCAGGGGAAGCTCTCGGCTCACGCTGGCACCGAGGCGGCTTGATGTCAATTCATCTTCCATGTGCATGGAGAGCACGAACCGCCTAGCTGTCTAACTTGTTCCTGCCATGTGTTGCGCACTCTGATGTGCCTCTCAGACTCGGGCACGATTCGTGTCCTTGCTCCAACGAGTGCTGCCCAATCTGCCACTTGGTGTGTCATCTGCCCGGGTAGACAGGCTGAAAGTAAGAATGAACGTGCGGTGTTGCGAGCCGAGGGCAGTTGGGAACGACGCTTGACATTCGCACAAGAAACATGCCTGGCTCATTTCTGAGCATCTACGCAAACTACCTAGCTATGTTGATCAAGACGCTGACGTTGGCGCTTGGGGGCTAGCTCCCGGGGGCCCGCGTCCGTCCGGGTTCAAAGTGACAGAACTGAACTGGGGGCAGAGCTAGGAGTAGGCATCTGGGCGGAGCTGAGAGATGACGGGATGGCAATGAGCTCATGTGCACAGGGCGTGGTATACGTCCGTACTGTTCCATTATCTCTGTCGTTCCCGTGCCACTGTTCCGGTGTCCCTGGTGACAAGAACTCGTTTGACGTCCTTTCATGTTGGCACGCAAACCAGGAACCGGGGCGAGGTAGTGTCTCAGAAACAAAGCGTCGATCAACAACATGTGTTCTATCCGTACGGATATTCCTTGGGGCATTGCAGACTTGCGGGCACCGGGGAATGGTTCCTGCAGGCTGCAGTACTGCCATCTGCACGCTGCTTCTATACCGTGTTCAAATGCTCGTCCTGCAAGCCGTCAATACTTCCTGGTTTGCGGAGCCGGTGTCTGAACATCAACACTACGGATTAGCATTGATGTATCTGCCGTATCAGATTGATAGAAGTACCCAACTCTCACCCACCCGTCACGTTCATCTATCAGACCCAAGCCTATTTTAGCCGTCAAGCTTGTCCTGGTTCGTCGCAGCATGCAGAGAAGGGGGGCATGCAAGTCCGCAGGCCCGCAGGTCCTTGGTGATTCCGTGGACACAGGGATGGTTATGCAGCGGATGTATCCCCCACCCCAGGGCTAAACGACACGCAAACGACTGACGGTATGCGATGTATGCGAGGTGGTGCTAACCATTGCCCATTGATCCAGTGACCTCCAAGACGCCTCAAACATATCTGGTCCACAAAGGTGTCTGGTGTAACGTTCTGGTCTGGAGGACCTAGTAGGGCAATAAGATGAGCACATGGATGTTGAGCACTCCTCCATAATAAAGATATGCCGCTAAAGTGGCACATGCCAGAACAGCTGGGAGGTCTCGCCTTCTAAGCCGACGACTGAGTCGTTATCCTGGACAAACTCCACCAGAGGCAATTTGCTTCGCTTGATAGTCCCACGTGGGAGGGCCAGATACCGCGCCCGACACTGCGTCCTCAATCTGCACCTTTCCCATGTGCCTCAATGGGAGACACTGATGGCCAGCATTAATCAGCCCCTATTTCCGGCAGATGTTGATTTGGCCCCCAAAAGAACGTGCACAACACACTTCAGGGACAAGAGTCCAAGACACCACCAAGACACCATGGTCTGGATCGACAATTCGGAGTGAACGAGATTATGCACTCACAGGACAATCTCGCAGAAGCGACTCTACAAAATAAGTACCTACTTACATAACAACCTCATCACGCCCTCTGACAACACACCAGACAGTCTCACCGGTCAGTCAAATCAACCATATTATTAGCCTTTCCACCCGTTAGCACGCCTCGATTAAACACACTTTACCGTTTCCAGGACGCTAGGCGCCTCCGGGCTAGGGCAAAATGCGACAAGCAGTCAGTTGAAAGCTTCGTGGTAACACTTACCGGCTTGCACGGCATGGTCCTTGGGTGGTTCTTCCCAGCTTGAGCCAAGCATCAAGTTTGGGCGAAACGCAAGATCACTCC